GACTGTATTTTCTCTGCCACAAAAACAATTGATTGCACAACTGAAGGTCTGCTAATGTGAATCTTTGGCTGTCATCTCCACAGGTGTTATTGTGCCTCTGCAGTCTTCCCCAACTTTTTTCTCAGCAAAATGAAGTTTTTTCTTCACCTTAAACCTCAATAATCACACCTTCCTGCAGTTTGTTTCGTCTTTCAGGAAAGGCTGGTTATCTCACTCAGCTTGAAAGGACAATTCATTCTTGTGGTCATTTGATAGTTCAAAGTAACAATTATGCCTTTCCTCTTTTTTGTGAATTTGATTTATCCTCATTCCTCAATCATGGATCCTCATTTATGTAGTCCGTCTAGATTTTGGAATGGGTGATGTTCGCGCTCTTTCACAGCCAATATACTAAGGCTGAAGTGCGAACCATTTTTGCCTGGGAGTAAGCCCCATCGAATGGAATAGGACTGACTGAGTAGCCATGCTTAGGACTGTGCCTTAAAGCAAGCTGTAAGCTTGCTCCTGAAACCATTCATTTTACTTGTAGGAGTTTGGTCTCTTGTAAAAGCAGGATTTTGATCTTTTGACTGGCAAAAAGATTTTGATCTTTTGTCTTGCACACACAAAATATTTTTTTAAAGATCTGTCCACCCATGGCCAAAGCAGGGTATGGCGTATATGCATGAATTCTGTGTGTCTCTTTATTATAAAGAACTACTTGCTCAATATAAAAAAGCATTGTAAAAAAAACAGTTCAGTAACATTCACATTTCAAATGAAAACAAAAACTGTCTATCCTTCTCCTCAGTGGTGAAAAAGTACCTGGACTGTTTTCTTTATAAGAACTAAATGAAAAACATGACAAAGTGAGAATGAGAGATGAGAACACTGAATAAAACTTGCGTAACTCAGAATGACCTGTTTTCTTGATTAAACTCTGAGGCACGAAGCCCCATTTCAGTTTTCCTACCATCTCCCACTACCACCAATGACATACATGGCTGGCTAGCTAGCTAGCAAACAGGATTTGAAAGATAGCAAAGAGGAAGGGAAGATAAAGCATGTTAATGGCTGCCATAAGCAGAGTATATAGGAATCCTCTTCAAAGGAGAAAAATAGTTTTGACATAGAAATTGGTTGCTGCATTCACCATAAAGCAGCCCTTTTTTCTGCAGTGATCACAGGAATAGGTTCCTCTAAATACTGAAAAAGTCCTTTAGAGAAAAGCATTAACTCGGCAACTGCAGTTGACATTTGTAATCAAGCAAATCTGTCTCCGTTTGAATGAAAGCTCGACGGTTGCAAAAAAATGAGTCCATCCCTAATGTGGAGAACTGAACTTAAGACTGGAAAACCAAGACACTGAGAAAAACCAAAATCAACAGATTTGCCCATCCCTAGTTTGAAAGCACCCTCCACATCAAACATTTGCCATGCCCTTGCTGACAGAGGGTGGTATTCACCTAGGTTTTTCTCAGAGTAGACCCATTGAAATTAATGGACCTAGCTTAATCATGATCATTAATACTGCCCATAGTACTTTTTATGATGTGGGGCAGGGGATTACGTGGATACAATTTCAAACACATTTAATTTAAAGCGATATTTGGTGCAAATGATGACACCAGTTTCACCCAAAAAATCACTGGTTCAAGCAGATCCTCTGAGAAGCATCTACCACAGGCATCCTCAACCCCTCCAGATGTTTTGAGACTACAATTCCCATCATCCCTGACCACTGGTCCTGCTAGCTAGGGATCATGGGAGTTGTAGGCCAAAAACAGCTGGAGGGCCAAGGTTGAGGAAGCCTGATCTACTATATCGAATTAATGTTACACAACATAGTCTAGTAACTGTCTTTTCTCCTTTAGTGAAGGAAGCAGACTACATGTGCAGGGCAAATATGGCAGAAGCGTGTGACCATTCACCTCTTGCTCCTAGCACTGTCCCGGTGCTAGGGGAACATTGTCGCTCCAACAGCCTTTTGCATGTGGCACACAGTGTACTTAATAGTAATACACACCTATTTTACTCCAAAACGTAGCATCTCATGCCCCCTCCCATCCAGTTCTCAGTTCCACATAGCAAAATTAAGTGGGCGGTTTCAAGAAATGTAAGCAACTTTCACTAATTAATTTTCAGCACAGAACTGGGAATTTAAATGTTAAAATTCCAGACCTATTCAGGCACCAGTGAAAGCTATCAGTGAATTTTGCAAAGAGGATTATAATAATTGATCTTCCTGGGGATATTGCACGGGATTTTATGCAATGCATTCCCTGAACTAGTTTTATGAATTTAAAGGCTTCTTGTTTCCCTCCCACTGGGCACAGCTAGCTTGTCAATCATCCTCCAAACACACAGAACAGTTAGCTTTCAGAGGAATAATAGACAAAGCAACTGCTCTGGACTTTAAGCAGTTTGATGACTAAGAAGAACACTTGCATGTGGTAAGTTGTTCTTTAAATACTCTATACACAGTATCTTCATATCTGTCTGCATTAGGCTTGTTAATAAAATGCATTTATGCTTTAAATAACCACAGTGCATTGATAGTTGCTGCTTCTGTAATGCCAATATTGATTTTAAAGGATGTTGCATATTTCATATGTTGAATGCTTGATAAAACACCCATGGGAGCAAGTTGCTACAATTTAGCAAGTAGGTTAACAGTATAATTTCCAATTAACTGCTGCTTTAATGGGTACAGTGAGAAATTACTTTAACGACTACAGTAGTCAATCCATGTAAACAAGACTTAGGAATTTGCTTCCTGTTAAGTGGAAGAGGAGTTTTAAATAGTTTGGATTTTAAAAAAAAGACAAGAAATATGCTTGCGTCAATCCCTCTAAATACAAAAACTCCAACATAGGAATGGGAGATTGAGACCTGACTTTAAAGTAATTACTTCAGTCTTTAAAATATATATTAGCACAGAAAATACTAAACAGGAAAAGGAAAAGCAGGCTGTGGAAGAGAATATCCTCGCCCTCCAGTCTTGATGGAAACTTTTACATTTGTCATGTCACAGTGACTCAGGATTCCTGAATGAAACAAGCTGATTTCTGTCGAAATGAGTGATAACTTCATTCCTCCAGCTTTATTTCTAAATGGTAAGGTTCCATTGTATCTTTTTTTTCTTCCACTTCCAAAAATGCAACGTGCTTGTTACTGACTGATCTTTAAAAGGCAGGATTTATGCTGCTTCTATAGCTGTATAATTATATTTATAAGAACATGGTGGGCTTTAGCTTACAAAAATGCAGCTCCGTTTTCTCCACCGTCTATTTTAGACTGTAAGCTCATTGGGAGAAGGGACCTATGTTGACTAATTCTGATTATGCAGTGCACATTAATGACATGGGGCATAGTAACAACAACAACAACAACAACAACTGCAGAACTCTGTGATCACCAGTGTGACTTAAGTGCCGGAATTTGCTTTGAAAGCAGGAATATGTTGATGACAAGTAGGGACATCTGAAGACTTGGTTTGACCTGCATTTTTAAGCAAACTGACCTGATATACACTTAATGCACCAGAAGGCAGTTTCCTCTTCAGGTTTCTGTACTTCTCCAAATTCACGTTATAGTTGAGTACATAAATGCATGCAAAGGATATCTGGAGAGGAAATGCATGCAAAAAAAAATGCACATTTTGTGGAAAGAATACATTCAACATTGATTTTTGTGTGTGTGGCATTCAAAAAATTAACAGAATATGAAGCTGAGATGGCTGAAATAGGTTGATTCATCTATCCCTAGTGCCAAGATATTTTGTTGTCAAACTAACCTTAGTTTGTGTGTGTGTGTTTAGTGGAGACCAGAAAAAGTTCTACACAGTAGGCTTGGCTAATGGGAAGCTCATAGGAGATGCTCTCAAAGCCCAGTTCCCACCTAGTAATGCCCCAATGTGAACTGCAAGGAAAGAACTGGCCTTGAAGGATACAATCTCTTCAAGGCCAATTTTGCCATGAAGCTTTTTTTTTGGGGGGGGGACAGGTCCTCACTTAGGTTTGTGCATCAATTTTATCATGAACATCATTAAGGAGGCTAATTTTATTTGTTTGTTTATGGCATTTCCGCTCCACGTTATAACGCATCTGTTCTCAGGGTAGCTTGAACAGCTTTACTGTCATGTAAAACACAATACAGAAAAATAATAGAAACAAAAACAAAAGCGAGGAAACAACAATGAAAACACCTCGAGTTAGTCCCCAAATGCCAGACAGAATGAACATACTTTAAGTCATCTCCAAATGGAAACTAGAGAAAACCATAAATGGGCTTCTTTTCAAGAAAAGTAATGTAAGAGCAACAACTTAAAAGGCTCTGTTCCCAGGAGATGCCAGTCTCAGTACCCCCAAAGGATGCCACCTGGAGCTAAGTTGAAGAACACAGAATGTGAGTGCTGAAAATCCCGAATTAATTTTGTGGATTCTAAAAATACATCTGTTTCTCTCTTCCTTTTTCCTTGCAGCAGTGAAAGTTGACAATAAATTTTAATAGGGATAGGTTGTCGGCATTTACTGGCACATCTCTGAATTTCTGGACATTCACAAATTTATCTGGGGTTGCAAACATTCGCTATAACATATTCATACATACACTTACATGAAACAGAATGACAGAAATCAGGGCTTCCAGCAATATGCATTTTAAAATGTGATTTGATAAACAGTAACACTGAAGAAATCAAGATAAAAGATTTCCTACGTACAAAACTTAATACCACCAGTACATTTACTCCATTATCTAAACTTGCTGTTGATGGTGGATATGCTTTTGATCTTTGCTTTGTGTTTAGTGGTGAGACATCTTTGCCTCCTTGTCATGTTCATCGCAGCTTATGAGCAGAATGACTGTCACTAAATGAAATGTGAAATGATCACACTAACAACTGTGCAGCCACTGTAAAGGGACGTGTAGCTTTAAGCAATGACGACCACAGGGAGGAAAAAAAAGTTGCAAAGGACACTTCCTCTAATAACTTCCAGAAACTCTCAGTAATGTTTAGTAAAGCAAACAGTTTCTGCTTTACCAGAAGAAGCAGGTCAGTTTGCCTTTGTTGTGTGACCCAGCATGGCCACAAAACTACCCTTCCGAGAAGAATGTGAGACTTGGACTGCTATTCAAGTGGCAGATCTCCTGAGACAGGTACTGGACCGATATGATATTCTAGACAATTGACTGTCCAAAGATTAAGAGGCAGGCATGGTTAAAGAGTTGATGTAAGATTACTCCATTCTTTTTGAAGACATTGGTGGCAAGCTCTTAGAGGCAATATGCCTGTGAAATTCTTCTATTATTAGCCTAAAGCACCAAGAAAGGGAATATTTCATTAGTCGCCTGTGTTATACTGAATGTTATCACAACATGTATAGTTGTCAGATTGCCATTAGGAATATGAATCTGGGTGCAGAACAGTTAACATATGTAACATTTCAACTTCATGATCCTCCTCTACATGCAGCCATGAGCAGACTCATATTCTTAGAGAGGCCTGCACCCTCTCCTCTTACCCCCAACGCAAGGACCTGCCTGGCCATGCAAGATGCAGGGTTCAAGAATTCTTGAAGGGGATCATCCCTCCCCCTCAGCTGTGGAGGCCATGTGACACCCAACAAGTCAGCTGACAGCTTCAAGGGGCTCACCAGGCTGTAAGTTATATTAGGGGAAATTGCTTTGCAATACAAGTTTATGTTAGGCAAAAATATGTACAGAGATGTTTACATTTGGAAAAAGTCGCACTAAAATGATTGATTTTATGAAGTTTTTTTAAAAAACAAATGCACACTGGCAAGGCAGCAGAGGAATAACAGCTGAAAACAATATTCTTGTGTATGTATGTACAACCATACTGGTAACCAATGTTTTTTTTCTGGGGAGTGACACAGGGGTACACATACCCCTAAACATTTTGTGAATCTTTGTACTTTTGTCCATTTACTGTATTTATTTTTCCTGATCTGAACTATAAAATGGTGATTTTCTTGAGTCAAACTGAGAGTATCCCTAAACATTTTTTAAGAAAAAAAGCACTGCTGGTAATTGTATGTGGGGCACAGGTGGTGCTATGGTCTAAACCACTGAGTCTCTTGGGCTTGCTGATCAGAAGGTCGGTGGTTCAAATCCATGTGACGGGGTGAGCTCCCATTGCTCTGTCCCAGCTCCTGCCAACCTAGCAATTTGAAAGCATACCAGTGCAAGTAGATAAATGGGTACCACTCTGGCAGGAAGGTAAACGGCATTTCCATGTGCTCTGGCATTCATCACGGTGTCCCAGAAGCAGTTTAGTCCTGCTGGCCACATGACCTGGAAAGCTGCCTGTGGACAAATGCCGGCTCCCTTGGCCTAAAAGCAAGATGAGCGCCACAACCGCATAGTCGCCTTTGACTGGACTTAACTATCAAGGGGTCCTATACCTTTACCTTTTACATTTACTAGTAACTGTAGACTCCCCTTCCTCACTCAGGATAAATATTTATTTTCTTCCTTCTCCTCATATTGCAGCCTTGTTCTCTTCAGTAGTTTGTCCTGTCCTGGCTTCTGAAGCAAGCAGGGGGGCAGTATTATTAAACTGATCACACCCTTGTCATTTTCACCATTTGTAGAATGTGTGATCTCACAGTGGCTCTGGTGGTGCTAATCAGAGAATAGCTGCAACCCATGACACACTTAGCAACACTTACTACCTGGTAAGAGGTTATGGGGATGTGGAAGTGAAGCAAGAACTCTGCACTCACAAAGCCTTTTTGTCAAAATATTCTCATTTAGCAAAAAGGGGGTATATAATACTGAGGTATTTATGTCATTAAACAGGGCAATCCTGAATGTGTTTGCTTTTCACTTCTATTTCCTTCTATAAAGTCACAATCTATAAATCTATTTCCTTCTATAAATTCACCTTCTATAAAGTCACATTTTATTGTACTGTTTTTCCCTGACCTTGCATTTCTACAATGGATGTCTGCACCGCAAAAAAAAATTCCACTCCTGCTAACTTCCTCTTTAAATCTAGACATACAACACATCTGTCCATGGTACAGGGTACAGGTCAAGAAAAGATGACGTTTTCAAAATAGTGTTGTGTAAAATTTTTTAAAAGAAAACAACTCCAAAGGAAATGACGCAGCAATCTTCTAAAAAAGGAACTGTGGAAAACTTTCTACTGAAATACTTAGTACAAACTTATCCTACCCAAATTGCCTATTAATAGGTCATGTCACTGGCTGTTTTACAACACAGGTCACACGTGTGGCATAAGCAACAGCAATTTGAGACACAACTGGATGCCACAGGAGGGCTTATGTCTCCTTTCCTGTGGCTCACATGCCTAAAAAACTGTTGGCCATCGTGATACTAGGCAGATTATGTCCCAGGGGCTTAGTCTGGTACAGTACAGGGATCAGAGTATCAGAATGGGATGTAGAGACCCAGGTCCAAATCTCCACCCAGTCATGAAGTTTACTGGATGACAGTCACCACTTGTTCACTTAACTTACCTCACAAGGTGGTTGTGAGAATAAATAGACACTGTGCTTAAAATTACCATTCATCAAGGCACTCACTGTGTCAGCCTGAAAGCCATCTAAAATGTTTGTGTATTGTACATATCACCAACTCTAATATCACCTTTCCCTCCCTCTCCCTTTTCAGTGTGGGATGCATGACTGCGCCCGGATAGTGGAAAAATTAAAGATAGACGGAGCTCGGTTTTTGGTAAGCATTTTTCATAATTTCTCTTAGAAATTGTTAACAGAAAGATGGCCTCCCTTTTAGTGAAGGTATACAAGCAGCAATGATTGTGCCCTCACACTGTATAACACTGATAAGAGTAACACCAGTATTCAGCCTCAGATGCATGAAGGCAACAGAAAAATACCAATATAAAATGAACAAAAGAAAAGTGAACGTTTCCCTTACCTTAAACATATAAGCCAAGCAGTATATATTTAGAGTTCATTTCCAATTGTGTTGCAAGAAGTGACGAAATGTCATGTGACAAAAGATCTGGAGGAACTTTCATGGGCTCTTCCACTTTTCATCACAATTTAATATTGCTCAACACCGTTGACAATGTAACATCAAATCCGTGGTAAATTTATTCTTCTGGTGGCATTTTGCCAATGCTGAGTGATTAGTTATGTGCAAGTTAGGCTGCTTACAAATCTAGAACTATTCATTTAAACTAAAAAAGAAAAACAAATACAGGCACAAATTAAAATTAAAATATTTGGAAAAAGCTTTCCCTGTCTTTCCCCTTCACTGACCTTCCCTTCTGTTAGGAGTCTTGCTTTATTTAGACTGTAAGTCTGTGTCTAATTTTAATTTTATATACAGAGCCTGCTTCTTGAAGGAAGACTGTATGAAATTTAATCATACAGGAATCATGAAGAGAAACTAGCATTTTATGGCTGTGTGCACTCTGCCAGTTGACGGTCTTGAAATTTGCGCAGAATATGACTCCCTGGAGGGTTTTGTTTTTAGAAGTGTGTGATTTTAGCCCTCATGACTGTAGAGAATTTGTTCTAAAGTTGGGGAACAGCCTGCAGATCAGGGAAACAAAAGTACACTTTATGTGCTATGTTCAGTGGGATAAAGCTGTGAAAACATTATTAGTCTTGTGCCCTGCGACACTCTCCCCCCTGTGTACAGGGAGCATGTGAAATAAATAAAGGAGCTATACTAAGTTTAGGTGGCTCCCTAACCCAACAGTCAGAGAATGCAACTTCATTAATGCTAATCTGTCACTAACAATTGTAGAACTTGAAAGTCTTGTTATCACCTCATTCATTTGCCAGAGCAAGGAGGGACCATGAAATTACCCTGGCAAAGCGGAGCAGCTCCCCGTTTCCGACGGCTCGGGGTAGGCTTGGGAGTCGCGGCAGGCGGTGCGCCAAATATCACCCCCTCAGTGAAGACTCCTGGGGCGGGTGATGACATCACTCCTGCTCTGAAAAAAGGCCCAGAGCTGTGCTTCCTCACCCTACTACACTAACTGCTTTCTCCCCGTGGGATTGGTGCCCACACCCCAAGTCTAATATCAGCTTGCTCTCCCTGAAACACTGGCAAAAACAAGACTGGTTTAAAGCTTCCAGACAATAGGGCCTTCCTTGTACCAAATGGGTTTTCAGAAGCAATCCACAGGCTATTACTGAACATGTATCCTTTATTTTCTACATATATTTCCACACATAAACCTCCATCACACTGGTCCTACTACTCACCCAAATCCATACCTTCTTTTACCTTCCATTGTTCATTCCTTGCACACATATTAAATGATATTAAATATTAAGATTCCAAATAATGTAGGGTTGCCATATTTCAAAAAGTAAAAACCAAGACTCCCCAAAAATGACAAGCTTTTTTTTCCGATTGACTTGCCTAAGATCCAAGACAAAGCGCCCCCTTTCAGAAATTCCACCGTGACATCAATTCCATCTTTGGAATCCCGGTAATGTCTGGGGAAATCCAGACGTATGGCAGCCCTAAAATAATGCAATCAAATAAATTAAGCAAATGTATGTATTTCACTGTAATTAAAATCATGAGGGCAGAATATCTTCAATGGCATTTTATTTCTCCCTCCTCCCTTTCTAGATTAGAAACAGTCCTGCTTTGCAAGGCATTTTTCCAAATTAGGAGACAGTTGATTCAATTCAAAGGGTTTTAAATGCCAAGTTGAGAAGACGCAATTGGCTTCATTTTTCTCAGAGCACTGAACATTCATTACCGAGGGAAGAGAGTGTAGTAACAGAACAAACATATAAAACTATTGCTAGGGGGTGGTTTAGTTTCAGATCATATGTCAAACACTGCACGTTAATTGAAAATGAGTCTGAGCGATTCAATTGGATAGAGCGCTAAAACCTGGCAATTAATGCCATGCAAATATCCGATGGTGCCATAAAGCAGGCCAAAGCATCTTCAGTTAATTGGTCCAGAATTAAAACAACAAGCACAAAATTTAGTAATAAAACTGGCACTCAGATTCATCCAGAGTGTGCCTCTTTTGCACATTCCTCAGCCGCCTTGGGCCTATTATAGCCCAACTGCTTTTGTAGTAGTTCTGTGTTGCAATGACAAAATCATGGCATCTTAAGACTGCTGGCTTGTTGGTAGCCAAAAGGGTAATCATTAGACAATTGCTCTTAAGTCCTCCAAATGACGCAAAAGCAGACATTGCCTCACCCCCACAGCTAAGGATGATGTAACCTCAGTGTGTCTGTGTGAAAAGAAGCAATAGAAACTGCCATTTAAGCAGGGAGCGAGACAAACTGATAATTTTCCTTCCTGTTAAACTGTGATGGATTTGCTGCATGTTGCCTCTGACAGTTGTTAATTGGTGCTAGCCTGCAAGCTCAACATCTAGATCAGGTACAGGCAACGTGTGGTCCTCCAGGTGTTGCTGGATGCCAATACCCATCAGCCCCAGATAGCAGAACCAAAAATATAGTCAAGGATAATGGGAATTGTAGTCCAAAAACATCTGGAGGGCCACAGGTTCTGATCTGGATTCAAGCAGGGCCAGGCCATCTGTGAGGCAGAGTGAGGTGGCTGACTCAGGAAGCAGATACTAAAAGGGAAGGGAGGTTGATTTTATTTAATATTTGCATTCTGCTTTTCCAACAACAAATGTTGAGCTCAAAGCGGCTCACAGTAACCACAATAGCATTAGGAGAGGGAAAACATTGTAAACACCATAATATTAAACACAGAAACATATAAATAAAGCAAACAATAAATTCATCAAAACAGCTAATAACAGTTCAGCAAAATCAAAATATGGGAAAGAGCACCAGCCCTGTACCAGATGATTTCTTCTCTCTTGGAAGGTGCTTCTTTGCTCATGGCAGCAGGTATCACACATCCCAGGCAATTTTAAACTTGACTTCTTTTCACCCTACTGCTCCCTTGCTTGATCTGAGCACAGCGCTGGACCCAGTCCATCTCCTGCTTCTGGTTCTCTTTGAAAGGTGACCCAACAACAAATGATGGTTAGGTGTTAGAGGACTGAGCGGCATGTGATGTGCATGAGCTATCTTGCACCCCCTAAAATCTGAATTGCTATCCTTAGAAGATGCAGAGGAGGATGCTGTCCTGTTGCCAGCATTGAAAGGGTTTTCAGCTGTCAATCCAATTGGCTTCTGTATGTGGAATTGAGAGGGGATGCCATCTTGTCATTTGCTCAGGGAGCAAAACACTGTGGGCTGGACATGGATTCAAGAGAGGTGTTTGGAGGGTCACGCTATTATGGATGCATTTTTTTATGTCTGAATGTTGCTCTGGTGTTTTATCCTCCCACACTGAAGCTCATTGATCATAGATCATTCAGGTTAATGCTGGTGTTCATAGATAGGGTTCTAAAGGAGGTAGGGTCCTCAGCTGATGCTTGAACCTTGTGCTGCTACTACTAGCTTCCCACTTTCTGTTTCCAGGCTTTTAGTCTGCATGCCCCTACACTGGCATTCTGAAAAGCTTCTGGCTATGGGTGGTGGGTAATGTCTGTGGTCCCAGGCAATATTATATCCATGAAATTCAGAGCCAGTACTATTGTCATTGGTGTTAAAAAAAAAAAGGATGCCTACTATAGTCATCACCATTCCTTAGCTGGAATTAAAAGACCTCAAGTGATATGCCATAGCTGTGTATGATATTATTTCCTTATAACTGGCAGTATAAAAATACTCCATTCAGCTACTGTACTGCTTTACAATACATATCCTTATGACAGGAGTTCCCAACACCAGTATTATAGTGACAATCCTAAAATTATCTTGTAAAAACAGAGCACTTGGATTAATCCCATTTTCATTCCAATGGTTTTAAGTTGTCTCATGCTTCCCATCTTCGCTTCTTTATAGCCTTCCTTAAGATCACTAGCTATGCTGGAACTGCCTTGGAGGACATACTGAAGCCCTTCATTTTCAGGCTGCCGCTGATCTCACAAGGCCACCAAGCTCCCTTTCCATTTTGAACCCAAAATTAGAGGATGCTCTTAGGTTGAATTGAATTGAACCCAGAGTCATTCCAAAGTGTAACTAGATTCAAGAAGGCAAAGTAGAAAGATCGAGAGACAAACTTATTTCATAACCAGTGTTCAAAAACTTATATACAGTGGTACCTCGGGTTAAGAACTTAATTTGTTCTGGAGGTCCGTTCTTAACCTGAAACTGTTCTTAACCTGAGGTACCACTTTAGCTAATGGGGCCTCCCGCTGCTGCCGCACAATTTCTCTTCTCATCCTGAAGCAAAGTTCTTAACCTGAGGTACTATTTCTGGGTTAGCAGAGTCTGTAACCTGAAGCGTCTGTAACCTGAGGTATCACTGTACTAGTAACGAACTCTTTCTCCAAGTGTGGATTATTATGTAGCCAAAACAGTACAATCTATGCAAAAGAGGGAGGTATCAGCAAGCTTCATGGCCATAGCCAAAGGGGGGCGGGGGGGGCAGCTGCCCTCCCTATATCTAGTACAACAATAGAAATACTTAACTGACCAATCACATCGGTTCTGCCCCCCCAATGAAAGGCCTGCTCTCCCTAAAAAAGACCTGCCCTCCCCCCATGGCAAGCTTAGGGAAATAACTAGGTTTGCATAAGGGGGGGGAAATCTGAGGATGGCAAAACAGATCAATGAGGACTGAGCATGCTGGGCGCATACCCTCCAACATTTCTCCAATGAAAATAGGGACGTCCATTCCATAATGATAATTTTACTATTTGTACCCCACACATCTTATCGGGTTGCCCAGCACACTGGGCAGCTTCCAATGTATATAAAAACATAATGAAACATTAAACATTTTTTAAAAAGAACCTTCCCTATACAGGATTGCCATCAGATGGCTCGGAGTTGGAAAACTCCATACCCTCTAACATTTCTCCAATGGAAATAGGGACAGCCGCAGGAAAAGCGGGACATTCCGGGATCAAATCAGAAACTGGGACAGCTTCTCTAAATAAGGGACGTCCCTGGAAAATAGGGACACTTGGAGGGTCTGTGAATGGCTATGGACTGGAGGGCCCCCTTCAGACTGGTGGTATTTTGTGGGTATACACAACATGCCAGATACAATAATTGTGCATTAATAGTGGATTCATACTGTGCTGTGCACACATCATTCTGGTTTACTGATTGTTCTGTGATGCTTCCCTAATGATACCACATTACTGTATCCTCTTTGTCCCACTCTATGGTCTTCTTGAACCGTAGAATGGGACAAATAAAAAACAGCCTGGGTGGAAAATTGTAGTATAAAATGTTACAGGATTTTAGCCGGCATTTCAAGACATGCTCAGATCGGAAACAGAGCAATATGACTGTTCCCTAACTTTTGCAGACGTAAGCAGTACTGAAAGTGGGGCCTCAAATAACTGACTATTGGGTGGGAATGGAATATTTAGAAGGAAGCTGTGGTTGGCTGATAGATCTCACTTGCTCTGCCTGATATTGGTTATTTTAAAATGGAATAAATAGTGGAGGAAATAAGCACTTTTGTCTCCTCCATTTCTAGTTCAAACATAGAAAATACAAAATGGAAGAAACCCCCATGGTCAGTATTTGCATCATCCCAGCACTTACACAGCTGTGCTAGAACCTTGGAGAATCTCTTTAGACAATGAGTTGTTTATTCCTGTAACAGTTCTTTTAATCTGTAGTTCTTTCTTAACCTCCTTGGCTAGCTTTATATTTCCTGGCTCCCTCTACTTCCCACGTCCCTTACGGCTGGGGAGTGTTGCACTGCATCAACAGTCCCAATGCCCTTCATTTGCAGGCTGCAGCTGATTTCAGAGGCCACTAAACTCACTTTCCACTTAGAACCACAGTGAAAGGGTGTTTCCGAGGTAGAGTTGGATGCAGAGTCAATCCCAAGGGCTACCTTATTTCCTTGTTACTTTTCAGCATTCAGCTTTATACTGGCTGCTGTGGCCAAAACATACCGTATTTTTTGCCCTATAGGACGCACTTTTTCCCCTCCAAAAATGAAGGGGAAATGTGTGTGCGTCCTATGGGGCGAATACAGGCTTTCGCTGAAGCCTGGAGAGCGAGAGCGGTCGGTGTGCACCGACTCCCGGGCTCCGCGTAGCTCTGTGCAACCCTCCGGAGCCTGGCGCGAAGCCGTGCCGGGCTCCGGAGGGTCGCACAGAGCTGCCTGCGCTCCCGGGCTCGGTGCAGCTCCGCGCGACCCTCCGGAGCCAGGCGCGAAGCCGCGCTGGGCTCCTGAAGGTCGCGCAGAGCTGCCTGCGCTCCGGGTCTCAGCGCAGCTCCGCGCAACCCTCCGGAGCCCAACGCGAAGCCGCGCCGGGCTCCGGAGGGTTGCGCAGAGCTGCCTGCGCTCCCGGGCGCGCAGCCAGAGCGATGCTGAAGCTGCGCGCAGCTTCGGCATCGCTCTGGCTCCCGTTCTGGGGGCTGGGGTCGGAGGAAGCTCGGGCTTCCCCTGCCCCAGCCCCACGCCTGTGTGGGGGAGAATAAAAAATATTTCCTTTATTCCCCCCCCCCAATCTAGATGCGTCCTATGGGCCGGAGCGTCCAATAGGGCGAAAAATACGGTAAATTGAGTGAAAGAGGAAAGATATCTCCCCTTCTAGATTTGTGGTTTTGAAAGAGGAACGACAGAACCGTAGAGTGGGATGGGACATGTTTAACACTTGCCTTGCAGTTTAGTGCGAACCTAATGCTTTATTATAGCTGTCACTGTGTGTGTGTTTTTATATAAAGGTATGTATCATCAATAATACTTTAAGTAGAGGAGGGAGCTACATTATTTATGCTTACTAGATGTTACCAATGACAACCGTGGCCTAGTTAATGTACTGTAAGCATGCCAGCTACTGCAGATAAAGAAAGGGAATGGTGCCTTTAAAAAAAGATACAGATAGAATTTAGAGTGCTTGGCTATCTGCCTCAAAACACATTCAATCTATGTTTGCTGTGTTGAGGAAGGGCTACTGTTCATCTTAGAGTTATTCTTTATTTTAAAGCTTTCTGGATTACCCTTGACATATTGTTCTCCACTATATGGTGCATTTATAAGCCTTTTGACTGGTGCAACTCCCATCAGCCCCCAGTCAAAGGCTGGTGTAATCTATTGCTAGCAACGTGTGACACTATCATGGGCATTTATCAAAGAAAGAAGCTGAGGGTTCTAACAAGCAAAGGTTGTTAAAGCAAACGGCATTTAAAGCAAACGGAACAAGGAGACCTATTTTAAAACCTGAGTTTAGAGGATTTAATACAGTGGTACCTCTGGTTTCAAACTTAATTCATTCCGTAGGTCCGTTCTTAACCTGAAACCATTCTTAAACTGAGGTACTACTTTAGCTAATGGGGCCTCCCATTGCTGCTGCGCCGCCACCGCATGATTTCTGTTCTCATTCTGGGGCAAAGTTCTTAACCAGAGGTACTTGTTATGTACTGAAGTTCTCACCCTGGGCCAGCAGCGGGATGGTGTAGATAGTTTTCACTCAGGTCCACATATGCAAATAGGGGATTGAAAGTGACGTTCAGTGATTGGATAGTTACAGAAAGTAGTTACAGTTGTGTTCTAGTGGAGCTCTATATAAGCAGGCTGGCTGAACCCTTCAGTTCAGTTCTGTTCTGGCCTTTGAATAAACAAGAGCTGTTTGAAGAATCGCTGTGTCATCTGATATGTTCACCCACAACTTAACAGTACTACTTCCAGGTTAGCGGAGTCTGTAACCCGAGGTGTTTGTAACCCGAGGTGTTTGTAACCCGAGGTACCACTGTAGCTGAGTACATTTGCATTCCTCTTAGTCTCTTTAACAAGCTATGTCAATATGCCTCCAATGGAATGCAAACTATAAAAAGCGAAGACATATTTTTGTCTCTTTATTTCTTCCTACAAGAATAAGACAGAAGCCAAGTTAAGCATTGTTGTGTAACCATTACTGTTGATGACTAAACTGTCACCGATCAGTAATAAGCCAAGGAAATGAGTGAGGAGAAAAGGGGCAAAATATGGCAGGTTCATCTAAAAAGTCAACACATATACACATAGGCTTAATGTGTTTCCAGTGCTGGGTTTTTAATCCATGTGTGATATTAATCCAAAATGCATATGTATCCTTTATTTTGCTATAAGATGCTTCTGTATGATGCATATTCCTTAAGCCTTAGCATTCCCACTCATCGACACCTCTTGGTGTATGCACAAATTGAAGCTGTGCTGATGTGAAAAGCTAGGGGGCAAAAAGCTGCGAAACTCACTGGAAAAACCACTAAAAACCCCGAGGGAGAGAACTATGAAGGTTTCTGAATAAAACAGCCCTCCCCAAGCTGGTGCCCTCCAGTTACGTTGAACTACAGCTCCAATGAGTCCCAGCTACCATAGCTAATGGCCATGGATAATGTTAGTTGTTGCTCAAAAAAATCTTAAAAGCACCAGGTTTAGGAAAGGCATAATAGAAATCATAATTTCTCAAGTTGTTGGGGATCATAGCAGCCAATGCCTAGGAGCTAAGCTCCCTTGACTCCTCTGAATATTTGATGGGCATTGCCATTCAAATGGTGTCTGTGTGCTGTATCTTATGCAGGGTGGGGCTTACCTGGGCTCCCCCCTCCATATTCCCTTGTTGGGAATGGGGAGTTACCAGTTCCCTTTCCAGTTTCTAATGCAACAGCAAGTTATTTCTACAACAACTACTACTGCTAGCTGTTAATGTACATGTTACAGGGAAACAAGCGGAAACAATCCTTTCCCTATGAGGAGTTTCCACTCTAAATGTTGATAGTGAGAGAGGGTAAGAAAATCCCTTCGAACCAAATACCAGTACTTCTTTAGTCTAGCATCCTGTTGCACAAAATGGTTAACTAAACCATGGTGGCTGTTATTCATTGGGGCTATAAAAAAGGTAAAGGACCCCCGATAGTTTACCAGTGGCAAATGACTCAGGGGTTGCGGCGCTCATCTCGCTTTACTGGCCGAGGGAGCCGATGTCTGTCCGCAGACAGTTTTTCTGGCTCATGTGGCCAGCATGACTTAGCCACTTCTGGTGAACCGGAGCAGTGCACGGAAACGCTGTTTACCTTCCCGCCGAAGTGGTACCTATTTATCTACTTGTACTTTGACGTGCTTTCGAACTGCTAGGTTGGCAGGAACTGGGACCAAGCAATGGGAGCTCACCCCATCATAGGGATTCAAACCACCGACCTTCCGATTGGCAAGCCCTAGGCTCAGTGGTTTAGACCACAGCGCCACCTGCATCCTAGCGCCACACGCTATAATAAATAATAATAATACCCTGCCCATCTGGCTGGGTTTCCCCAGCCACTCTGCACAGCTCCCATCAGAATATTAAAAATCCGATAAAACATCAAACATTAAAAACTTCCCTAAACAGGGCTGCCTTCAGATATCTTCTAAAGGTCAGATAGTTGTTTGTTTCCTTGACATCTGATAGGAGGGCGTTCCACAGGGCCGGCGCCACCACCGAGAAGGCCCTCTGCCTGGTTCCCTGTAACCTCACTTCTCACAGGGAGGGAACCGCCAGAAGGCTCTCGGAGCTGGACCTCAGTGTCCAGGCTGGATGATGGAGGTGGAGATGCTCCTTCAGGTATACTGGGCCGAGGCCATTTAGGGCTTTAAAGGTCAGCACCAACACTTTGAATTGTGCTGTTATTGTGGAAGGCAGGGAGGCCAAAAGCAGGTGGAGCCAAAGCCAATGACAGGCAGAGCTGCACCCTGACTTTTCTGTAAGCCAGAAGGCCGGCAGGGGGGCTAGTAGAGCCAGGCCCCTTCCACCCTAATGGACCGGCCTCCATTGCAACCAGATGCCTATGAGAATCCCACAAGTGCAATAGTCCAGTCTCACTCATGATAATCTCCAGAAACAGGCATTCGGAATCATACTGCCTTCGATACTGTACATAATATATATCTGTCATGATGAGTAGCCGTCATTAGCCACAAATATGTCTAATTGCATTCTGAATGCATCTATATTCTCAACGCAAAACAAGCCAGCCCAAATTAAAAAGTGGGGGGGGGGAGAGAGGAATGCTAGTACAACAGCAAGGATGGTTTATCATAAAAGGATAGGGTACAAATGCAAAAAATAAATAAATAAACATAAATAACTCATATTCGCATTAAATATAGATCAAAATAATATCCTTTGATGTCAAACCCTTTGTTCTTAAAGTTTTACAGCTATATTTTCAAGTAAGATGAAAGCTGTTACTTGGAGGTAACATACTCTGGGTGCTTGTAAGTGGCTTTGTAAAATACCCCCCCCCTTTAAAAGAAAAAAGAAAAAGAATCCCATTCAACAGTAGACAAACTTGGAAAATTCACCCAGCATTTACATATATTAAATGATGCCCAGTTGCTGGTCCATAGTTCTTAAAAGTAATTTTCTTAAATCTCATTTTAAAGAGAGCAAGAACCTTTCCCACCAATTTCAGTGGGATTTAAGGCAGAGCAAATAACTTTCTCTGTATTGCATCTGAGAGGTGATATAATAGCCATCTTCAAATATCAAAAGGGCTATCACAAGGAAGATGGAGCAAGCTTGTTTGCTGCTGCTTCAGAGGGTAGGACCCAAACCAAAGGATTCAAATTGCAAGAAAGATTTCTTTGGGAGGAAAATAATGAGATCTGTGATCCACATGTGGGAAAACAAAAGAACTGGTTGGACACCTGCATTCAAAACACCAGGCTTTATACGCTCTCTAGCAGGAGAAAGCCCGCACTGGAGAAAGCTAAGCAGCTGTATAGCCTGGGAATGCAGGTTGTTAGACCCCTATTATATTGGCTTACAGTACTCACCCCTTTGTTTGCCAGAGGGCAATGAACAAACCACAAACTGTTAAGTACCGGTAAGTTTAAAATACTTTACTTACAAAACCCAAAGGTCTGATTCATGTGTTATTCCATGCCACAGCAAGGAAACCACAGGTAGAATACGCTTGGGTACAAAATACAGAAATAGCTTCAAGCATGCTGTCTGAAGTGAGGGGGTGTGACCTAATTGAGTCTAAGAACACAGCTCTGTGGTCTTAACCCCTTCCTGTACCAACTAGCACTCACACCTTTTTGACTGTAATTTCCCACAATTCTGACTAAACATAAGAGCTGTTCAACCAAGGAAAGGACTACCTCAGAAGGTGGCAGACTTTTGTTCATTGGAAGTTTTTAAACAAAGATTGGATGGCTATATGTAGCTGTGATTCCTGTATTGCAGAGGATTGGACTAAATGGTTCTTGGGATCCCTTTTAACTGCAATTCTATGACTTTTTCTCAGCACCCCCTTCAGCAAAGAGCTGCTGATAAGAAAAGGGACCCTCTGCTCCCCAAGAATCAGAAACTGTAGTTTGCCCCTCACAGACCTATAATTCCCAGCACCTTTAAACTACAGTTCCCATAATTCTTTGGGGGTACTTTAAATGGGCTTTACATTTATGGTGCATATGCAGCTGCCATTTTATATTCATGGTGCCTTTGGGGAAGAATTTAGCTCAAAACACATTGGCCTCAATAAATATTTTTTTTTGTGCCTTTTCCCTTCTTTTCTTGTCATAATACCAGATAAGTTTGCCATGAGACAAGCCAGTGGGCTGGTGACAGCAGCCAATAATTATCACTTTTATTCTATTACTCCCTACCCCACATGGTTCTTATAATAGTTTGGCACCTACTTCCAACCACACAAAGCTTGTCTGAGCTTCTCAAATTACATTTAAAATTATGCTTAGCTATGCAAAGCTGTTAAAGGTGGAAAGGAACTTCCTTGATGGGCTTCACAGAAAAAGTACAGACTGAACACTCAAGATTTCCCCTCACTAATATGATGACTCCATCCTGCCTTCTCCTAAATTACACCATCTGCTATGAATATGAATGAAGCCAAACAAGCAATGGCAGGCACAGAAGAAGCCAGAAGAGAAATCAGCATAGGCCTAATCACTAATTAGTGTCAACTTGCAATTGTTCTCAACTTAAAAGGCAAAAACCACCAGACTTTTCAGGGTTGCCAGCTATCTGCAAAAGGGGACAACTATTCCTTTAAGAGATTTGCCTAAGAGCCGCTCAGGGGCTGTGTCAAGCTTTCCTCTCTGCGGGAGCTCTTAAAGGAACAGCAGTCCCCAACTGGGCTGGAACTGGCAACTCCCGGTGAAACGCGAACAATCTGTCCATTGTCAGCATTCTCTGCCAACGAATGAAAACTAGCAGACATTCCTCTCAGTGAAGCAGAGAAGGTTATTAAAATATTTATCAGCCATTCCATATTTTAAAACCCAGGGAGTTTGCCCCCGTTACAAACAAATTCAAAGGAAACAGAAGAAAGGCTCCGATTGCGGAGGGTTGCGGTTTTCCCCCCCACCTGCTAGCCCTGTTTGGTTCCTCAGATTTTAACATTGTGTAATCTTGTTCCAAATTTTGATTGCATTTGCTAACACACACACACACACACACACACATATATATATATATATATATATATATATATATATATATGCGCGCAGGATGGTGTCAACCAGCATGGCGAGTGACTGGTGAGAAAATATGTTCCCCAAAGTTCTCCCAGTCCTGTGCATAGCAGGAAATGCTTAGATGTCTTGATCGTTTTAGAGCTCTTAGGCTCCCATCCTGTACTTGCTTACCCAGAAATTACAGTAATTCCAGTGAACACAGTGGGACTTGCATGTTTACTGCACTAACTGCAATTCACTTCATTATCCCTCCTATGGACACTCTATAGTCCAATGCCTGTCCTGTATAAAATAGTATGTTATGTCAAGGGTTGCACTGCTCAAGGCAGTGTTGTATAGCTCCACAACCCCCCCTGCTCATTGTCTTTTACATAAGATGAACCTGCTGAATCACTCGAAGGGCTCATCCAATGGCCAGTCTAGCCCACATCCTGCTCTCACAGTGATGCCTGATGCCTGCAGGGTGCAGATGAACAAGATCAGCAGCAACTGGTAATTCAGAGGCATCTGACAGTGGAAGCAGTGGAAGTACCACCATTCAACACTGGTAATGCTTCCAGTTTAGCTTTACTTTTCACAACTAGAAATGGTTGCATTAGGAAGCTAAAATAAATACCATGTCAAGAAAGCAGACAAACAATGGCTTCCTACAGAGGTAGCCCATTCCCATCATCCCTCACCATTGCCCATGCAGTTTGGGGCTGATGGCGTAGGGCATGTCATTTTAGGAGGTGAAACTTAATTTTTGCAAATTGCTTCAGTTGTGGAGAAGCTTAAAAATATTTCGGGGGTATGAGGAATTCAAATCTGCTACTAATTCTTGTAACTGGACCACATTTAGCTTGGTAAATCTACATTTGATTAAAAAAGCACATGAACTGGGCCTTTCTCCTGGGCATGGTCGGCCAACTGGTGCCAAAGAAGGATAGAACTTTTTTTATGTATGCAACAACAGCAGCAACAATACTCATTGCAAAGTATTGGAAGACACAAGATTTACCCACCCGGGTAGAATGGCAGATGAAGTTGATGGACTATATGGAACTGGTGGAAATGACTGGCAGAATCCGAGACCAGGGAGAAGAATTGGTGGAAGAAGACTGGAAAAAGTTTAAAGACTATTTACAGAAATATTGTAAAATTAATGAATGTTAGAAAAATGTTGGAATGAAATTATATGGCTTTAGTAGAAATGTTATAAGGAAATAAGTATAAATAGATTAATAGAGTATTAAAGGAAAAATAAGATTAGAATGTGTTAAGATAATTATAGGATAGAAAACAGAGGAAGATGGAAAGGAATTGCTGAAACAATTAACAGAAGTGGAACACAAAAAGGGAGGTGTGAGGAGGTCGTGTGTTTAATGTGTCAATGTTATGTAGTGTTTTTGTATTGTATTGTATTGTATTGTATTGTATTGTATTGTATTGTATTGTTTTTGTAGTGTTTAAATCGTTGGAAAAGCAATAAATATTATTTTTTTTTAAAAAAGGACATGAACTGATCTCAGAAAACCAAAGAAGCTTGATTTTACCTTCTGAAAATGTCAGGTAATACTATAAAATAATTAGTTTCTCCGCATAAAACTTATCCTACTAAGCATACAACATTGCCTTGTAATCATAAAACATTAGAAGGTAATGGTATCAGTTAATAAGAACTTTACACAACAAATTTCATCAAGTTTTGCTTCGTTCTGGGACATCAGCCACCAACTTGTTTCTTGGCCTCACATTTCTCATGTCTGTACACCCTACCTGCTGCCTCTATGACTTGTTTCACACACCTCTCTATAGACTGAGCATGGCAGGGCCACTGTGGAACTTGCATGGGCTTTTCAATGAACTTATTTACTTCCACGGAGTAAGTCTACATGTCAAAGGAGGTCCATATACCCGTCAGACCAGTCCACCAGTTCCAACAGGGACAAAGTACTGGGGCTGATGGAAGATGTCTTCCTTGGACATAAATATCTTCCAATATGCCATCATCTCCATCCCTCAAGTCAACAATCTTTTGGACACCAGCTCTCCTCTCCTGTCACCCGAGCTCAATGGTCAGGTATGATGAGGTTGCAGTCCCGCAACAACTGAAGGGCCCATGCCTATCTTACAGGTTCACCCACTCCCCTGCCCGCATCAATGAAAAGGTCAGGAATGACAAACAAATTTGAGAGACATCTTGCCTAACCATAAACTATTTCCTTACACTGCACCGATTTAGTGGAGTGTTGGGTGTATTCTAGGGCATGCTGTGAGTTGAGGAGACTGGGTGATATCAGCCAAGGTTCTAGGGTTTTGCTGCTCCTAAAGGAAAAGAAATAATGTGAAATGCTCAATTCCACATGTGTACGTTTAAAGTTCATTGTTAAAAGTAGCTTCATTTTAATTGTGGTTGATTGTCTTTGGGTGCTTCTAGAAGCTATTGTTCCCCTTGTTAACTCTGCAAATGCTCTAGGGAAGCCAGATGGCATCATAGCATGAAGGCAGAGCCAGACGGTAGCCCTTTTTGGATCACGCAGCTGCCATCTGCATTGGTGAGTGAACAGCTTTGGCGAGGGGTAGTCCTATGCCACCCTGTTCCAATTTCCAAACAGGAATAAAGTCCCTTCTTGTGCTTCTTCCTGCCTACTGAACGGCAAGAGATGGAAATGCACCCCAGTGTAGTGCTCTCCAACCTGACAGCAACCCAAATAAACTGTACAGTGCCTGTCTGGCAGGTCATCAAAAGCCTGTTAGCATGTCATCAGGTGGAAATAGCAGTTTGTGAACTCTGTTGTGCCTTGGTCCTCAAATTCTTTGTCCCCTACCTAATTTCCATAGCAGCCAACGAGAAACAGACAACTCTCTGAAAATAGAAGCCAACATTATGTTATTAATTTCGCAGTGAGGTTTTTAGAGAGTTTAGATTTTACAGATCAATATCTGTAAAAACAAGAACTGCAGGCTCCCCCCTTTTTTAAAAAAAGAAAATCTTTGTCTTTTTCATAAAGAACAGTAAATCTGCATTAAAGTAATTTCCCCATAACTGCCCTCTCTGCTCATTTGCAGCTCGTTTAAGAAATTGGTTTTTCTACTTCCTGATTTGAGAAGTTGTGCCAGCAGAGAAAGTATAGCTTTTTATTGCTCTTCGGAGAGTTAGCAATTTAATTGCAAAAGAAAAGCTGGCATTTGTAGTGAAGCTCTAAGGAAATGGAACCTTATATCTGAAGGGATGAGATCATTGCTGATGGCAAGGAGCCACTAATGAAAAACAAAAGCTGCTTTGGCAAGTAGCGCTTAGTAATATTTAGTAAGCCATTAAGTAGTTTGGTAACAAAATTGCTTTAATTAAAATTGATTGAAATCCCCCAGTTAACACTGTGTTTTGATTCTTCTTGCTTAAAGACGATTGGCTCCCCACTGACAAATACCCTAATAAAACTGTTACTTAAGCTTTCCTAACACAGAAGCTGAATAACCACAATCTTTTGTGAAAATCCATGCACTGCTTGCCTTATGCGCAGAAGCAATTGTAGAATTTCAATATCATTTACTGCTTTTGAGGGAGAGAGAGAGACTGAGGGGGCGCATGCATTGGTAAACACCCGCAGTCTACAACAGCCTGAAATAAACAAATGTGCAATACCCCTGGTACACATCTTCTTGGTGAGTAATGGGTTGTGATTTGGTAACCAACATAAGCTACCACTTGCAGCTCATTCTCAAATCCTGCTTCAGCTAAATGCCATCCTTCTGCAGAAGAAGTTATACAAAGCCATTGAGACAGTTATCAATCTCGCCTCGCTACAGGATTTCAATGTAGCAATCTTGATCCTTCCTCCAAAGTATCCCCTGAAGCAGATGAGGAAATGTTGCTCAGGAACTTGTTAGATGCCAACTACCACCAGTCACCACTGCCAATCATCAGGGATGATGGAAGTTGTAGTCCAAACCCATCTTTGCACATGTTTGCCACCTGTGTCTTGAACCAATTGACCTCCCTCCCTCCCTCTCCACTCTACTGCACTATGTAGAAGGTGGGGAGGTTGTTAGGCGAAGCCAGCTTGCTTTTGTAGAGCAAGAAGATAGGTGAGGTTTCACTATATGCTGGCATGAGGGTGCCAGTGCCTGATCTTTTTCTCTGCTCCTCTTCACAGTAGAATTCTGAACCAGGCTGCTTGACTGATGAACAAAGGCAAGCTTCTGGGTTCATTCAGCAGTCTGATTTTTTTTTTGTCAGTAATGCAAAACTCTACTGAACATTGAGGTCTTGAAATGAAATTTAGGTGCACTCATTCTAGGTGTAATTCCACAGTTCAGATTTGTGAAAATGTTGAGCCTGTGCCTGTTTTCAAAGAGGTGTGTGGGGAAATCCTGTGCAAAGCAATCTCTCACTTGAAGGTTCACCCCTTTCTATTCCCATGTAAAATGAACACATGAGCAGGAATGAGAATGCTGAGCTCTGGTGTTCTGACATGCAGTTCTTCGTAAGCACAATATATATGTAGCTCATACACTCAGACTGATTTACTTCTAAAAGATATGCAATGGTAATATTAGCATGAGACAGTTTATGCTCACAGAATCCTCATCACATCAGTAATTGCACTTATTTTAATGGGCCTATCTGCTGTTATAAAGAACTCATTTGATGAAGGGAGGTTTTTGGTTGTTTTTAAAATGCAGTAGTGTTCTCCAGTCCCCCAAAGTATCAAATGCTATTATGGGATAAAGAAAGTATGGTAATGTACATTTAGCATACACTGCTAGGAGCCGTATTTCAGTCATGTAGCACATTCCACCTGTGCTATAGTATGATCACCATACTGCAACAGATAATGTTTACAAACAGTGGCGTAGCGTGGGTTGTCAGCACCCAGGGCAAGGCAAGTAATTTGTGCCCCTTAACCCGTGGATTTGCACACCCTAACCCTAACCCCCAGATGTTGCGCCCGGTGCGGTCGGCCCCCCTGCACCCCCCACGCTACGCCACTGTTTACAAAACAGCTGAAGAGCTTTTATACTTTTTTAAATACAGTACATGGTAGATTTTTACTAAGCCAGCTAAAAGCAAAGCTTTGCAGCATCCTTGGCTGTCTGATATATTAAATGGGTACGTTTAAGATATATGTTGGGTGGAGACAAAAAAATGGTAACCAAACATGGGGTGCCAGTTCTTCAGTGCAAAATGTAATTCAGCCATTTTTAAAGCAAATTTTCTGAGATTTGGTCCTATCCAATCCCTGCCCAATCCATTCTTATAGGACAGTGGGTGCTTCTCATGCTGGCAAATTTGTGGCTGAAGTCAGATACAGTCATACCTTGGTTGACGAACGCCTTGTGACTTGAACATTTTGGCTCCCAAACGCCACAAACCCAGAAGTGAGTGTTCAGGTTTTCAAACGTTCTTTGGAACCCAAACGTCCAACGCGGCTTCCATGGCATCTGATTGGCTGCAGGGGCTTCCTGCAGCTAATCAGAAGCCGCGTCTTGGTTTCCGAACATTTCCGGAACAGATTCCATTCAACTTCCAAGGTACCACTGTATTATCATTGACATCATAATGACAGCCTGCATTCCTTGCTCCCCCCTCCTTTAACCCAGATTTATAATTTCTGGGTAAAAAAACAAAAAACCAATGTTGTTGGGTTTTTTAATGTTGCCAACTACCTATTTAGGATATCTCAACAACCCATTTTCAAACTAAGCAACCAAATCTGGAAGCACCAGAGCCAGACCTACTCTTAGGCAGAGTGAGACTGCTACCTCATGCAGAAGTCACTGGGGCTGGGAAGGGGCAGCAAGGTGTTGGAAGACACAGCTGTGTATGCCACACAACCCAGCCTGCAACCCCTTCTACTATCCTGCCACCCTCAGGTGCAGCGAAGGATGTGGTCTCCGGTCTGGTTGTCTTCTTCTGTGTATGTGAAATGCTGAGGGAGAGACCTTGTCTTTTGCCTCAGGCAGCAAAATGCCTTGTTGTTGCTGTTTACACTCCCCTCCTTTTCTCATTCTCCACTGAGCTATTTCCCACACTTTCTTGTTTTTCTCATCCAGATGCAGAACAGGAGGGAGGGAGAGAGAGAGAAACAGCTACTTTGGCAGTCAGTGTCAGCAGGGAGCGGTTCTGCACAGTTCCCAGGCCCTCAGCCAGCAGGGACTCATTAGAATACAGAGGTGACTGACCACAGTCTTCAGTCACAAGCTCTTCCTTCCATTAAATTCTTGTAAACTCTTATTCTCCCCCTCCCCCCAATCCAAATGTTTGCCTTGTGAATAGTGACTGAGGAAGGATCCACACAAGATGATGGTGCTTAAGGATGTGGTAGTGTTAGTCCTTAGGCTTCAGCTACTGCTGGAGTTTAACCTGTGTTCTCATGTCAGCACTCAGCTCCAATCAGTTTCATTTCAAAGAGTCATTAGGCTATTGCAAAAAAAAGCAAATTTAGCTCCCCCAAAATTACATACGGTAATCAAAATGAAGCTGATACAAATCAAATTTACAAACGTGCATGACTTGTTTAGCAGCAAGACACTTGTATAAGAGCCAAACTAAACAGGACATTTGATGCATATAAGCATTTCACATATACATTTTTAAACATTTAAATATAACCCAGAGGAGGGAAACAGGTGAGGGGTGATGAGGATGGGATTTAACCAGACAAAACTTGCCTCAGAGACTGCAATTATCTCTGGGAGGAAAGCTTCCATTGGTGACAATTTACTTCTATTCTTATTTGTTAGAGAGCCACCTAGAACTGCTTAAAACAAAAATGATCTGCAAGATATAGCCACAGATGAGCATTCTGCATAAGTGTGGCAACGGATGCAAAGAGAGAGAGAAAGAAACCTGGTCCAGAACTATTTGGCCCTTCCCATTTCGTTAAACACTGTTATAGATTTATAGGTGTTAGGATTTTATTGAGGCTTGGAGGTGTCAAAGCTAATTTCCTTGGAAGAAACAGCCAGACCCAAGTGTATATTAAGGCTGTGGTGGACTCACTGATAAGCCTCTGTTATTGTAAAAGCTAGTTAAGTAGGCACACTGGCTGGGTTTTGTATTGGACCTTGTAATCCTCACCAAATCAACAAGTGTTAATGAAGTCAGACAAACTTGTTTGTGAGATGACCACCTGGAGAGTTAACCTTTAGGAGTTCAAACCATCAGAGGAAATAGGTGTTAAAATGCAAATGAATGGAGTCCTCCCTCTGTAGATAAAAAGGGCTGTCCTGAACCCCTGGCCTACCTAGCAGCAAGTCAGTATGTCAAGTCCAGGGATCGAGCCACACATGCAAAGTCCAAAGGTCAGGAAATGCAGTCCAAGGTCAATCCAAGTAACCAAGTCTGAAGTCCAGCAGTCAGGATACAGTCCAGCATCAAACCTATAGCACAGTCCCGCAGAGGCCAAGGTCCATCAACAAGGGCAGTTCAGCAGACACAGCACCTCAGCTCTGCTTCCCTTTTGCAGCATCTGGGCTTGATGAGGCATGTGACCCTCACCTGCTCAGAGTCTACTGCAGCTGAGGAATTACAACCCTCCTCCCAGAGCTAATGAGCCCCACCTGGCCAGCTAATGAGCTGGGCTATGGGCCCTTGCCTGCCTCAGCCTCCTAGAGCACCTCTCCTGCTGCTCCCTACATCTCAGAGTCTGCCATGTTCATGGAGATAGGGGCCCCTCTGGCTCTGAGGATGGGTCCTGCTGCTCTGGTTCCTGTGCATTGACCTCCATCCCCCTGCCATCCTCCCTCACACTGTGAGTACTTTCTTCCCCATCTCCTGCTTGCCCCTGTGTGTCCCAGTCCTGGCTACACCTCTCATCAGGATCCTCTTCCTCCTCCCCGTCATCCTGCCAGTTCATGACAAGGGTTTAGTTTAGGGAAGGAGGTTGGCAGGGTTGTAATGAGGAAGCAGAGAGGAACAGTTAAGCTGGCAAGTATCCTGCAGAGCAGGAGAGGCTATGGAGAAAAGATATTGATACTGTGGAATAAGTTTTGGGCATGTTTTGGGCACTGCTGCTGTGAGCTCCTCCATAAGCAGGTTCAGGTTATATATCTGTGAAATTAAAACCATATCTCTTAAAGACACTTCAATCTCTGTTGTGCCTCATTTTTGAACCCTGGTTAAATGCCAAGACACCTGGAATCTTGTGCACAGCTGGGCAGGGGTTGGGGTGACCGGTAACAATATGGAACATCTATAAAAAAAAATCCTGCCTGACAAGAGTGGAGATAGTAGATTTCTCTTTCCTTCTGGTGCAAGCAGCATGCAAAACATATACAGTAAAGGCCAAATCCCTTACTGCCTTGGCTCGGTAAATGTGGAACCTTGTAGTTGAACTCAGCAAATGCAGGTCTTTAGAGCAGGGAAATCTCATGGCCCATGACCCAGTACTCAGATGAGAACAAAGTTCAGGATACCAAGGGGGAAACGGCCAGCTGGGAGAACATCCAGGGCTCTCCCAGCTGGAGGACACTGTCCTGCCATTACCCTCTGACTCGGAGAATGAGTCGTCTGCAGCATCTCTGCCTCCTCAGCCTTTCAGAAGCTGAAGACTACAAAATAAGGTGACGGCCCTTGAACCAGCAAGCCAGCTCCTCCAGGCCTACTTAGGCGACATGAGTTTTCATTTGGCTATAGGTAAAGGTAAGGGGACCCCGACCATTAGGTCCAGTCACGGAAGACTCTGGGGTTGCGGTGCTCATCTCACTTTATTGGCAGAGGGAGCCGGCGTACAGCTTCCGGGTCATGTGGCCAGCATGACTAAGCCGCTTCTGGCGAACCAGAGCAGCGCACGGAAACGCCGTTTACCTTCCTGCCGGAGCAGTACCTATTTATCTACTTGCACTTTAACGTGCTTTCAACTGCTAGATTGGCAGGAGCACCTTCTGATCAGCAAGTCCTAGGCTCTGTGGTTTAACCCACAGCGCCACCCGCATTTCCTCCAAAAACACCTCCTATGGCATGGCTGATTTAGGAGGGCCACTTGGAGTTGCCCAAAGCCCTGTATGCTACCTGCCTCGCTAGGGATCTTGACTTTGCCTTTTTCTCCTGAAAGCTCCAAAGACACACACAGACTGACAGGTTAGGAAAGGTATGACTGTCCTGATGTTATTGGACTACAATTCCCATAATCTCTGATCATGCTGGCTAGAGGTACTAGGTACTGGGAAACATCCATGGGGCCACAAGTTCCCCACCCTCACTTTAGAGCATTTTCTTGCAAGAGGCTGAAAGGCAGGAAGTGAAAAGCTTTTCGTCAAGCTAATGTGGATCAAAAGTGGGGGAAAGAAGTCATAAAAAATGAGGAGGCTACTGGGATAAAGCCACATTTGAACCATTTTGTGTTATCATCATCATCTTTTTTTCTTGTACCACTTTTCCTATAAACTCAAGGCAGTAAATATGAGTTTCTTCCCCTTCCTCTTTCCATTTTATCCCTATTTAAACCCTATGTGGTACGTTAGGCTGAGAGATGGATATTGCCTAGGGTCAACCAGGAGACAGCGGGCAGCATTCTAATATAACATAGCCCAGGGATGGCTGAAGCCTGCTGCCCCTCCTGATATTATAGGGCTCCAGCTCTCATCAGCTCTAGCCAGCAGTGCCAGTGGTCTGAGATGGTTTGAGGCTGAGGACAATAATAGCTAGATGGCCTGTTCTGTACCCCTGGCACATCTGAAGCTGTGTTGCCGCCTCCCAAATCACTAAGTTCTTTGGGCAGGTAACAGTAACAGTAACAGTAAAAACATTAAAATACACATTTAAACCATAAGATTTGGCTCTATCCCTTGTTCTTGGTGCCAGGTATGTCCAGAAGGTCAGGTTTCCATGGAAATATTTGGGCTCGCTGCAAATCAAGAGTCAAAGATCTGCCCCGAATTGTTTATTAACTGGCCTAACCTCCCAAGCTAAAGGCTTAAGTATGCAATTGATAGTTAGCATTGCTACCTGATTAGGAATGCACACATTGCATATTAAGTTCCATCCAGCAGCGGGCTATGAGTTGGATGCAGTGCAGTGCTGGTCCTGTGTCTATTGGTGCTGGGGAGCTGTGAGCAAGAGCTCCAGGTCGGCAGTGTCTATACATATTTGCACATCTGCAGGATGTTGCCACTGCCAGCCCAGAGCTCTCCCAACCTCACTGCTGCCTTGGCCAACCCCACCTTGATCATGGTGAGCAGCAGCAGCAGTGCAGCTATCAGGAGGGCACTACAGCCACTGCATCCTTCGTCATGCATTGCTGCAGCCTTCACCCTGTAACGCTGCATGATTATTTGAAGGAAAGGACATCTGAATATAAGAGCCCTGTTGCATCAGATGCAAAATCTGTATCCCAGAGTGGAACGCAAGACTAAACTCAAAATATGTTGCATTATTAGAGGAGGGCTGATCTGGGTGATTGCATTCCTAACCCACAAAGTCTATTCTGGATAAGAAATGAGCCCATTTCCCCAAAATAAAAAGTCGTTATCTCTAGGGCTGGATATTGCTTTTACCTGACCTCTGGCCACACTGTCAATATTCAAAGGGGCCAAGAGACACCCGTGTGTTCCACCACTGGAAACAGTCAATTGACCTTTTAATTCTGAGCAAGCCCTTGAAGTTGTAAACCCCAAACAAAAGGAATCTGAAATCCACATTTAATTGACTCCTTTTCTCTCTCTCTCTGAGTGATTCCTGTGAATAGAATCAAATGCTGAACTCGGATCAAAAGGTATCTTTCCATGACCGTGCAGGCTGGGTGACAAGATACAAAGCGTTGCTGAGTTGCTCAACAACTTTCTTAAAACTAGGTTATATAGCTATGAGAGATTTTATTTGCCCAGAATTCTAGGGTTCCTAAAAAGAAAATCAGCATAATGTTTAGCAACAATGTTGATCTGCCTTGTTGCTGTTGTTGTTGAGTCGTTTAGTCGTGTCCGACCCTTTGTGACCCCATGGACCAGAGCATGCCAGGCACTTCTGTCTTCCACTGCCTCCCACAGTTTGGTCAAACTCAAGGTGGTAGCTTCGAGAACACTGTCCAACCATCTCGTCCTCTGTCGTCCCCTTCTCCTTGTGCCCTCCATCTTTCCCAACATCAGGGTCTTTTCCAGGGAGTCTTCTCATGAGGTGGCCAAAGTATTGGAGTCTCAGCTTCAGGATCTGTCCTTCAGGATCTGTCTTACTGAAGATTAATTTTTTGTAGTTGATCCCCACCCTCCCATACACACCCCTTTCTTCAACTCCAGAACAAATAAGGCTGCAATCCTATGCACACTATTGTGGGAATGATGTTCACTGAAACGAATGGGACCATAGTAGACATGCTTTAGGGATGCTCTACATAGTATTCTGTTACAGAGAGGATTGATTTTGTAGCTTCTGTCTTTTGAAAGGTCTAGGAAAGGGATGGGGAAACTGGGGCTCTCAAGGTGTTGTTGGACCCCATCTCCCAAAGTGCTTTGAGATGTGGGTGAGAAGTGTGTATAATTTTTTAAAAATTAAATTAAATTATTCCTGACCATAGGCCATACTGGCTATGGCTGATGGAAGTTGGATTTCAACAACGTTTGATGGATCAGTGGTTAGACATCCCTGATCCAGAAGATGGAGGGGCTTCTCTAGGTTCAAGGAGGACCATCCTCCAGCTAGGAAGGCACAGGAGAAGCTACTGAAGGTTCTCCCCTGTGGAAAGTGTCCTGAGCCTTGTCTTCACCTGAGTCTTCTGTTCAGAGCACTGTGGAACCGCAGAGCTGGGGACCATGACAGGCTGGGCCCCTGAAGGCACTGACAACGATCTTAGAAATGTCATTCAAATAGAAAGCAAATCTAGCAGGTATGTTACCTAGAGACAAAAATGGACTTCCCACGTTGAATGCAGGGGCCGAGCCTCAATGTTTGTATTAGTCTCATGAACGACAACTGCCAAAAATTAGAGGAGTGTCTACCCAAAGCAGACATCTTCTGTTCATGCCAGAGATCCTTCTGATATTCTGCCTTCTTCAACACTAGAGTTTTATATTCTCTTGGACGGGCTACCATTTCTTGTTATTTTTAAAAGGATCCCTCCCACCCTATTAAAAATAACTTGAATGGTGTAGTCATCAGTAGGCTGTTTATCATCTGATTTAGAACAGCTAAGGAACCTGCTGGTTCCCTAACCCATTGATTCAACAGAGTACAGTTTATCTGTAGCAAAATGCAGTCGCCAAGGTAGCTTCTGAACTGATGCCAAGACTATCACAATATCCAAAATATAGAAGTAGTACGAAGGCACGCTTAAGAAGGAAGGAATGATGCTGGCAAGAGGAACATAGAGCTGGCAGGCTTGATCACACTAAACTGCAAGCTACTATTGCATCATTGCAGCTAAATATAGTTTTACGGGAACCTTGATACAAACTGAAATAGTCTAACCTTCAGAGGAAGTTCTTCTCTGTGTGCCATGGCACGGCGAGGCATGTTATGTGGTGATGAGAGAAAGAGCCCTCTTTGAAGTGATGTCCTACTTTTGGAATGCCCTTCCCTTAAAAGTGTACTTAGCACCCAACCTTTTTATCATTTTGCTGTGGCACCTACTGAGTGGAAAGACAATATTTCAAATAAAGGCTGAATGGGCTTAAGTTGAAGCAATGGGCTTAAGTTACTGAAGTACATTAATTTCAGTGGCTCAACCCTGAAATTATTTAGCTGGATACAACCCATGATATTAGCTTCTGTTGGATGCAAGGACACACAAATTGTTAGGAGAGTCAAAGAGGCATTTCATATGTGACACTATACTGGAGTCACAAAGTGGTTTCCAATCAAGCAGAAACACCAGAAAGCTCCTGTTGGACCCTTCTCTAGCAGTGAGCCACTTCTAATCTACTGCGGGTCATTTGCAAATGCTACCACACTTGGGGCATCCAGAACTCAGAGGCAAATTACTAGAATGAATGAACTCCAATCTGTCAGAAAGTCAATGCCAGTCATAGTACAAGTCTATCCTTAGAGCTCTCAGATTTCAGGAGAGAGCTGTGTCTTTGAATGCACAACTTGGGTGTATTCTGGAGTTGCTATTGTTGTTGTTGTTAAATTTTCCAAGTAATAGTGAAAGAATACAACCAGTAATGATAAATATAACAGCTTAGAAAGGCATAAGATTACTCAGCCTTACACTTTCAAAATAGAATACTTCCAAATAACACCCATATAGAAATATTTTTAAAACAGAAAATTAATAATTTATCCTTATAGGTTTTTATGTAAACACCCTTATGAGTTTTTTATAACAGAAACATGAAGAGGCAGAATTTGAAAAGACTGTTCCAAATATAACATGCAGCTGAAATGTGTCCTGTCTGGATCTTATGTTGGCATGCAAGGATAGTTTGCATATTATTTTAATTTGCAATATGTTATGCTATTAAGCTTTTTAGATGGTTTGAATCTATTTTTCTCTTTTTATTAACCTTTTAAACAATATGTGTGAAAGCTTTGAGAACTGGGGGGGGCAAGTCTTATTCTTTTTAAATTAAAAAAAATTATTTATGCTTTTACCGTAAATTGGTACACCCATTTCACAATATTCTTCATTATCCTATATTATTTGACTTCCCCACACCTCCCACCATGGTGTTCCTTTTGACTCTTAGTTGTGCTACATATCTTTCTACACCTTGTAATTAATTTAGCTGCTGTTCCTATATCTAGTCCTACTTGGAGATTTATGTAACTGCTATAACTCTTTAAATATTCCCCAAAGGTTTCACACTCCTCTCTTATGGTATGTTCATCCTGGTTTCTTAACTTTGCTGTCAGCATCACTAACTCCACATATTCTATTAACTCATTCCGCCAATCCTCTTTGGTTGGACTGTTATTGTCCTTCCACATTTTTGCATAGGTTATTCTGGCTGCAGCAGTTGCATAAAGAAAAAGATTTAATACATTCTTAGGTATCTTTTATTTATTTTTCTCATTCATGCATACTTATCGCGATGTTAGGATTTGGAAGATAATGTGGTCCAACCTTAAGGCAGGATCCTGAGTGCGCGATTCTCTCCCACACCACACAAATCTCTCATGGGAGTTTCAATCTCCCATCTGTAAGACTGGAGCAAAATTAACTGTAACAGGGATCTGTTCAACAGCTCTGTTACAAAGTTGAACAGGTGTTGTACATCACTTTTACTTTTTGATAGTCTCCCTCTTTATCACACTCCAGGCCCTTGTTACTGGTTCTGTGGTTCCGGCGCTCACAGTTGCCCTTCTTGTCAATGTTTGTTCATTTCCTTTCTGAAACACCACAACTGCCCCTGTTTTGCAACATACTCATGCCTTATTTTAGGCTTAATTTAGCACATTCCTGCTTCCAACAAGTGGAATCCAATAAAAGCATACAGATTAATACATAAATGTTTCTTTTAGATGCCTGCAAGGTCACTTTACTATTAAATGAGAAGTGTAGTTTTAAAACTCTTCTCACCATTAGTTTTTCCTTTGTTCAGGATATGGCCTATTAAAGTTCTGGTGTGTCTGACACGATCCAGTCTTGCAAGTTTTTCTAAGTTCTAATTTTGTAGCTCTGGCCCAATTTGCAAGAAACAGAAAAGCAAATTGTGTTGCCCAAGAGCATAGGAAGAAAAGGATAAAACATGACAAATGCAGGAGTCATTGCAATAGTGAAAGAGTATGAAATAACTAATTTCTGGACACAAGAAGAATGTTAAGATAAATGACCAAGCAACTTTGGTGTGAACAGGAATCGTCTTCCTGACCACTGGCATATCTGGGAAAGCAGCTTGAATTCTAGATGCCACAAATACAGCACATCAAAGCACACAGTACATTCATAAAAAGAATTTAAGTGATATAAAAGCCCTTTCTCATTTCTTTTTTTCCACAGTTAACTTCACTTTCATTTAAAAATATCTCAGAACCCTGGCTTTCAATTCGCATGACATAAAACAGCTTCTGAGAAGAGTTTTTAAATGCACTTTTCATTAAGACCGCCAGATGTCAGAGTTTTCTACACTGAAATGGCTTTGAAACCAAATTATCTCCTTGCTTCAATCAATGCATATTTTCCGTTTTAACTGGTCACATGCCCTCCTCTATGTTTCCGAACTCTGGTTTTCCACCAGATATCCTCACATGCCAGGATGAGAGGTGCTATTTGACTTTGTAACCTCAGTTTGTGGCTTAGAGAAACTTAGACGTACATACATTACTCCACAACCTCAAGGGTATTTTCACACCTTATTGTACATACTTTAACAAATACTGGAAATATAACCTTCTCTTGACTTCCACATCCTTCTAGAATACATTTCAAAGAATACGACCATGATCCTCCCACTTGGTTCAGTTCAAATTTATTAATAGTCTACAAACCTTCATATTCGGGGAGAGGTATTTGATTCCATACACTGCCAGTAGTCTATATGGTTTTTTTTCCTTATTGTTTTGCAATGTTTGGTAACTGATACATTCTTAAATTATGTTTGTGTTTGTTAGTCCTCTTCGGTTTGGTTTTGTTTTTAAGAAAAGTGGAATATGTTTAAAATGTTTTCTTTTTAAATGGGAAGAAGATTTGGACTTCGGATCTTATTTTGGGGGAAGTAGGTTATTATTCAGAACATTCAGATTTTAACTTTGAACTCTGGGAAGAAATTTCGAATTGACTAATTCATTTCTGTATAGCTCATAAAACAAGCACCATTCCATACTAATTAGCCCAATATTTCTCTCTCTTTTTTTGTCTAGCTGCAAGGAATGCTGGGAACCCATTCCAAGCTCTTGTTAGAAAAGCTTTGGAAAGCAAGTGATAAGAGTCCAAAAGAGACAGGCGAAAAAAGGATTATCTCAGTATTAATTTACTGACTTGGCTTACGCAGCTAATTAGGGGTTGTAAAAGCATCCACTGGTTGCCAAATGCTGAAATGGTCCCAGAGGACATTAGCAAATACTTCCATGGGGAATTCTAGGACTAGCTGGGATATTTTAGCATTCAGAATTGTGTGTGTGTTTTGCTCATATCCCCCACCCACTGTTTGGTATTGTACAAGAAAAGTAGAGTATTAAACTGCAAATGTACCAGAGTACACATAAGAAAAGCTACACCTTTCCTAGGGTGAAGAGTGGGTTATGAGTGTTTGCACACATGAAGTCTTTAATGTTGCCTGAAAAAAGTATGGTGTGGGACATTTGCGTAGCCATCAACAAGTTTGCTTTAGGAAGTGACTTCTCAACAGATGTTACAATGCAGGAAGTTTTTATTTGAAGGCAGGAGCACAGTCTACTTCCTTAAAGGCAAATGGTGATTTGTTTTTCTTTTAAACCAAGCATGCATGGTTTTCAGGCTAGCAGGCATGTGAGCAAAATCAAGAGGTGGAGGAAAGCCAGAATGAATGTTTGTGCCAGAGTTTCTGAAGCATTTTATACAGTGGTACCTCGGGTTAAGTACTTAATTCATTCCGGAGGTCCGTTCTTAACCTGAAACTGTTCTTAACCTGAAGCACTGCTTTAGTTAATGGGGTCTCCCGCTGCTGCCACCGCTGCCGCCACGCCGCCGAAGCACGATTTCTGTTCTCATCCTGAAGCAAAGTTCTTAACCCGAGGTACTATTTCTGGGTTAGCGGAGTCTGTAACCTGAAGTGTATGTAACCCAAGGTACCACTGTACACACGGAAGAAGGGAGTTACTACAGCACAATGCTAGAGTAACTCATTTCTAGGTTTATTTTCAATTAATCACATTCCAGTGAACTTGAGGTTCAGACCATTCAACTATCAATAAATAGTACTTACCATCTAACTACTAGATGTGGTTTTATACGTGTAGTAAGCTGTCCAGAGTGACTGGGGAAACCCAGCCAGATGGGCAGGGTATAAATAATAAAATGATTGTTGTTATTATTAATAATAGTAAACTGACCAATAAAATCCTTAATTACTCCCTAGATGAATGCAAAAATCCTTCAAGAATAACCAAAAAGTTTGACAAAGTGAACCAAGACTTTCCAAACATTAAGCACTCTGTTTTATAGGAAGTATATCTAATATGTTAATTCCTAAGATCAGTCTGTCCAAATGATAGTAACTGTTTTATTTCCAGTTTTTGGTGGTAAATTGTTTTGGCAAATCCTAATAAATACTACCTCAATTTCTGATCTGAATCAGAATAGTGACTATACTAAGCTGCCTTGTTGTTGTTTAGTCGTTTAGTCGTGTCCGACTCTTCGTGACCCCATGGACCAGAGCACGCCAGGCACTCCTGTCTTCCACTGCCTCCAGCAGTTTGGTCCGACTCATGTTTGCAGCTTCGAGAACACTGTCCAACCATCTCGTCCTCTGTCGTTCCCTTCTCCTTGTGCCCTCAATCTTTCCCAACATCAGGGTCTTTTCCAGGGAGTCTTCTCTTCTCATGAGGTGGCCAAAGTATTGGAGCCTCAGCTTCAGGATCTGTCCTTCCAGTGAGCACTCAGGGCTAATTTCCTTAAGAATGGATGCCTTTGATCTTCTTGCAGTCCATGGGACTCTCAAGAGTCTCCTCCAGCACCATAATTCAAAAGCATCATAGTATTGTAGTAATTCCTGGGTTGCCAACTTAAAAATAAATAAAAAAATAAAAATCCCTCATCCATCCTACCACGGACTCCAGGCGTTGCTACATGGCCTCTCCCAAGTCAGATGTTAGGGAGCAATAACCCTGAGTATCATCATCATACTGACAGTACTGTGCCCCCAAACTCCTAATGACCGCTCCCAGCTGCTTCATATAGATGTTAAATAGCAGTTGGGTTGAAACAAGTGCCCTGTGGCACCACGTACTGGAACTGCTAGGGAGTCAAAAAGCACTCTCCCAATGCTGCTCTCTGGACTTGGTCCCGTAAGTAAAAAAGAAGAAAGGTAAAGGATCCCTGGACACTTAAGTCCAGTCAAAGGTGACTACAGGGTTGTGGCACTCATCTCACTTTCAGGCTGAGGGAGCCGGCGTTTGTCCACAGACAGCTTTCCAGGTCATGTGGCCAGCATGACTAAACTGCTTCTGGTGCAATGGAACACCATGACGGAAACCAGTGCACACACAAACGCCGTTTACCTTCCCGCCACAACGGTACCTATTTATCTACTTGCACTGGCATGCTTTCAAACTGCTAGGTTGGCAGGAGCTGGGACAGAACAACGGGAGCTCACCCCATCGCGGGGATAGGAACTGCCAACCTTCTGATCGTCAAGCCCAAGAGGCTCAGTGGTTTAGACCACAGCGCCACCCGCATCCCATAGGTCCCGTAAGTAGGACTGGAACCGCTGTGGCACAGAACCCCTGATTCCCATTCCCCAGAGCCAGCCCAGGAGGATACCATGTTCAGTGGTATCAAAAGCTGCAGAGAGAGTGAGAGAGCAAGAAGCCGCAGCAAGGTTCCTCTCTCCCTGTCTTGCTTTCCGTAAAAGTCATCCTTTACAAGTAACTCATAACAGGCTTGAACCCAGACTGAAACAAATCTGCAAGGCAGATCCTGATAGCGCATGTTACAGTAGTCAAATCGAGATGTAGCTAATACATATAGGACCATAGTCAGGTCTGAGCATATCAGGAATAGGTGCAACTGATGTGCCAGCCAAGCGGGGGAAGCTCTACCCATTAAATTTCTGCTTCTCATGCAGATCTTAATGGCACATGAATTGAGGCAGAAAAAAGGCTGTCTGCCCCTTTCCTTATCCATATATATATATATATATATACATATATATATCTCCATAGGAATTTGCTGATTTTGAGACCTAGTCAGGCATCCCCTAATTATGGTACATGCAGTGTGTGAAACTAGTTTTCTGTTTTGTCTTACAGTATAATTACAGGATTAGTATTAAATATAGATGGTTTTCTAGAGTCTGAAATGCCACATTTTCCTAATGCAGATAAGAATCATAATGAGAAGCAGGGATACATTTGAATTTGAAAACAGTCTGTAGATACACAGTTTTGCTGAGATACTGCATATGCCATATATATATGGGTTGGGGGTTGGTGGAAACACTTAGTTCCACTCTGAAATCAGTTTTAGCTGAGCCAGCAATATCCCGGATTAGATTTCAGAACCTGGACTGCATTCCATTCCGTACTTGTGAAGAGAACAGGATTGCCAGTTCTTGAAAATAAACATTATAGTACCCAGGCAGGGACATTGGTGAAGCATGGATTTAAAGGTGACGTCAAGATTACAGAGTTTTTAGGTGGGTCTGCATGTGGAGTTCAGTGGTCTACATTAGGCCTGGAGGTAAAGCTCAGAGCAAAAATGGACTCTCCCAACCAAACTTTCCTAGTAGTTGCTCCCCCTCCCCCCCCCCCAAAAAAATCCCAACCAGGATTTACAAAATGTTAATAATATTCAGAAACCAGGGGGGCAACAAGATCACTCTGCTTCTGACCTGAAAGTCAGCACTAGTTAACAATGTAGGCAAAGGCATACTAAGGCTGAAACTGCAGAGCTAGAAATAATCAGATTTAATTTTGCTCATTTGAGCTTGGTCAAGATGATTTGTTTTCTCACTACAGCTATTGAATAGCAAAGCTAGGAAGACTGAAGAGGTGCATGGTCACTGAACTTACCTTACCTTTGGGCTTTGTCCCACTGACAGCACCTCTAGCATTTCTTGGCCTTTTGGACAGACTGTTTGCAATTTGTTTTTCTAAACCCATTGTGTGTTTACCTGTGCATAGGTATGTGCCAACCTTCACCCCACAATCAATATATTAGATGTCCAAAGAGTAAGTCTTGCTCTCACTGCAGAACTTCAACATGACTATCACTCTGGATTTGTATTGGCATAAATCATGGATTTCAGCTGAAGACTAGTTAACTTAAGGTACTTTACAGAACAAAAGTTGTGTTCCCAGTGTCTCATCCTACATCACTCAGGAAGGGCCCTTGACCTTCTGGAAAGGTTTGGGGGGGCATGGGTAGTTGCAGGGAGGACATGAACTTCCTTAAGTTATCTTATCAGAGGAACTGAACTCATGCTTTCCATGCTATCTGCTTCTCATGCTTTCTGCGATAAAGTTGGGGTTTTAAAGCCCCGTTTTGAAGTTCACCCTGCTTTTTGCTTTTAGAACACAGCAGAAATGGTAAATCTATCAAATTCAGCTTGTGTGCAAGTAGACAGATGGTTATAAATTTTGTAAAAATAACACGCTCAAGCTTATGTTACATCAAGATAAAAAATGCAGTGAAAACTTTATAAACAGAACGTTGCTGTCTTCGGTTTGAAAGGGTCTGCAAATAAACACTGAAGTCTGTGCTGAAATATATGTTATTTGTCTGAGTGATAACAGTAATACCAATTTGTCATTGTGTGCAATAGTAATATTTATAATCCTAATGATATGGCAACCCATGAGTTCAACTGGAGGAAGCAAAAAATAATAATCTTCTAAATAAATAGGAATAAAACTGGGTTTGGTGATGTTAAGTTCTATAGATGAGGAGTTATGGCCAAGGGCAAAGACTCACTGAACAGCAATGGCAGAGTGGAGGGACACTGGATGCGGCCTTCACTGGTAGAAATCAAGACTTGGATGGCATCCTGCCATGCATTCATGAGCATAAAACTTGGTGAATGATGTTTGCTCCAAATCAGCTGTAAAGAGTGAGTTTTCCTGAGGAAAGCAGTGGGGCAAATGGAAAACTGCTTGGACTCATGCCTAGAAAGTATGGGACAAGCAGAAAACTTTGGACCTGTGCCTTCTAGCTATGGGGCAAGTGGAAGTATGGGTAGCCCTGAATGCCTTCATTTCTGAGTAGCAGTGTTCCTTGATGCCTCTCCTTTCCCTCAAACTCTCAAGGATTGCAAGACTCCTGGAGCCTCAGTGGACATTCTGTGGAAGCTCCAAAAAGGAGACTCATCCAATTCATCCTCTTGCTTGCAGTTTTAGTAATCATTCATTAACCTGTGTGTTTTTCTTATGCACAACATTCCTAGGAAGATTTTGCACTGTACAACATGTGCCACTTCCCCTCCACAGTATCACCAGGTGTTAGTAATAAAGAGTTAATAAGTAACCAGGACTTAATCCTTCAGTGGCATTAAAAGAATATGATTACTTAACTCCACAGAGTAATCTAACTGTCCTCCAGCTAAAGTGAAACTCAGTTTCAATTAACTCCTCATTTGTTTTGGCTGTTCCCTACAAAAACACTTCTCTCTCTCTTTCTTTCAGAATTTATCAGAATATGAGATGAACAGATTCTGTATAATGGACCAGCCGTAAGTTTTCACTTTTTTGGCCTTCACAAAGTAGACAGATGTTTTGTTGCAATTCATAGTTAATTTTGTATGATTCATATTTAATATCCTCCTTTCATTCCCCCTCCTTTTTTTTAACATAGAAGAGAATCAGATCATAACCTCATCCAAACCGCTATATGTATTTTGTGTTTGGATTAGAACAAACTGGATTGGCCTTGCAGAATAAATTCCACCTTTCGTTTGGGTATATCAGACTATATCAGCCATAAACACTATGAGTTTATTTTATTTTGTGATTCAATCATGCACAAAGTAAACTGAAAAACAAGACAAAAACAAAAGCAAAAAATAAAGATCAGTCTCAAAGCAGCAGATTGGACACAATTATATTAGTCTGTTCTTATTTCTGCATTATATATTATTTCTGCAAATATATTTAGTACATTAAGTATATTCACACACACACACATATATATAACACATAAATTAATATATACAATGTATAAATGGTCTAAACATTATAAATGATTTCCTATAAACAGTAAAATGTACCATTATCAAAAGAAGAAATATTTGTTTAAAAAGCAAGTCAAAAATATATTTGCAAATGATACAACTTCTAAAGGAAAGACAAATTAACCCAGTCTCTATTAATTCAGCTTTACTTGAAAACCACGTATGGTCTGTTCTGATCCCTATATTCTTTTCTTAATTATTTGTGTGACTAAGTACCATCTATTTGATACTTCACTAAGTATTGACATATAATGCCATAATGTTAATTTTTTATCACTTCCAGCTTGTTCTAATAATTTCCAAATGAAGTCCTGTTTGCTAGACGTGTATCCTTACTTCCAAATCTGAGCTTAAAAATCCTTGCTAGTGTAATTATACGCAGGACAGGTTACACTTTTTTTAGTTGCAGGTCTTGTAAGGTTTGCATCTGAGCCCGCAGGTGTGTCCAGCACTCGCACATACTCAATGCACACCTTCAAGAGAAAGTGGAATCTGTTATGAATACACATTTACCCTTAACCTTATGCCCCACACTGGGAAAGAAAGGTTGGTTTATTACATGAAATAAAGGTGGGAAAGTATATGGATGCTGTTTCAGACAGCAAACTTCCTGCTACATAAAAGTAAGTCTTAGGTTGTGGTTCCATACACACCTATGTAGGATTAAATACCAGTGAACTGTTAGGTTTACTTCTGAGTATCTATGCATAGGATTGCACATCAAATTGCTCAAGCAAAACAGCTCTGAAGTAAAAGAATTCTGATCAGGACTCTTGTGTGAAAATACCCTCCAATATTTGTCATTCAGGACATTTTCTATTTAAATATCTTCTTAATTTCTAAGTGCCTAAACATTGGTCATAGGTAAGTAAAAGAACCCTGGAAAAATAACATATTTTTGTAAACATTTGAGCCCAGAACTGTCTTTGTTTTCAACACAGTGACTGCACCATAATTATATCTGCTTCTTGAGAATATATTTCCAAATTACAGGCCCAAACCAGACAATTATCTGTAAGATTCACACCAGTTTTTGCAACATGCAAAGTACTAAATTCTAGTCTCCCTTGCAGTGCTCATTAAGCAGTAACTCATGTGAGTTATGTCTGGAAAGGTGAGGGTGAACACAGATATTTCATATTTTATATTCACATTTTTTAAAAAAATATTGCACATTGCTCACTAAAGCTTCATGGTATTCCTTGATTGGTACCCAGGAAGATTTGGCTAGCTTAGCTTAGCCCCCAACTTCCAGCTCTATGGCTGCAGAGTTTATTCCTCATAGAGCTACAATTCCCAGCACCCTTAACAAACTATAACTCCTAGGTTTATTTGGGGAAGATGATGTGCTTTGAATGTGCTTTAAAGGTATAGTGTGCGCACAGCCTGTTTCTCCCATATGAGCTCTTTCCTAGAATGTTTCTAGTTGGTCTAAAAAGTTGGTGAATGTGCATTTTAAAGATTTTTGTATCCAGTTTCCTGTTTTATTTTCGTTACAAAAAAACCCAAAAACTTATTTCAGCTGGTGTTTGTATGGGCAATTTATTTGCTGGCAGCCATTCCCATCAGTAAACAAGGGTCTGTCATGTGGTGATTCACATTATGTAACTGCTTCCTTATGAGAAGAAAATATGCACCTATATTTACCAGAATGCAATAGAAGATCGCTTAGAAGATAAAGTGTAACCATGGTGCCACAGTATCTTTTTAAAACTTCCTCACATGTTGCACTTGCTGGGTAACTTTGTACAAAGTCATGATCTTTCACTCTATGGCCATTTCAACGATTGCTTGGGAGACTTTCACTTACACGTAATACATTAATTTCCTACTCCACATCCTTTGTTGAGAAACTATTGATGTAACAATTCAGATTCAGTAGGGTCAAAAAGAGAAGGAAGCATATCTTTGGGAGTGCCTGAAGTTTCATGTGAAGAAATTCCAGGAAGTAATCAGCCGTCATATTCCAGAATTCCCATCAAAGGGTCTCTCTCATATACTCTTATATAATATATTCTCCTTGATTTATCAGGATTACTGATAAAAGAAGTCTATAATTATGGAAATACATATTTTTTTCCTCTTTGTGAGTATCTGGAACAAATTATGCATTTGGATATGAATATATTCTAACACACACACATTATGGGGTTAACATGATTTCAGAACGTGTGGCCATTGTGCATATTGAGCACACATCACAGAGAATTAGCTGTGTTTTAGCAGCATGAGCAGGCAATATGCATAATATCCAGGTGAGGAATTTGCAAAGTGGAAGAGTAATGCATGAAGTGCCCTATTCATGTTGCGAAGTCATGCGCATTTCCCAACATCACTTGGAGACTAAACGTATTCACCTGACAATGTCCCCTGCTTATGCTGTTCAGTTTTGCTTATTCGCCATGGTATCTGTTGAATCTGCACAACGGCTGACGTTTATGCATGTTCACCAATGACTTCAAATTAATTACGCATGCACTGACTTATTTTTACAAAATGATGCATCGTACCCTCACAGTGGAGTAGGAAATGTGTGCATCAAAACAATTACAATTCCAGTGCAAAGAAATCAAAATTCTTCAGCATGAAAACTCAAATGTATTCAAAGGCATGCAACCCGATACAATATATGCCTATATTGGTTTATTCTGCCACAATAAACATATCTTAGCAGCAGGGCACTTTTGTATATGCAAATTTATATGTGTAGATGCAAACTTCAGGGGAGAAAGCAAAGTTGATTATTTTCAAAGTTTTTTGGAGGGAGCAGTCAATCTGAGACGAAATGGAAAAACCCAGGGTGCAAGACTCCTGAACCACCTCCAGCAATACCACTGTTTAGAATGAGTAACAATTTGCCCTGCTCATCTGAACCAGAAGGCCCCATGCAAGATAAAATAACAAAGATGAGGCCTTGCCCTTTTTGCAAGGTCTGAGCCCCCCGCCCCCACCCTTCCCTCTTTCCAGACAGTCTGGTAGAAAGTACTGCACCTGGACCTCAGCAGTGAGAAGAAACTTGCCTTTCTCTCAAGCATGAAGAAACTGCACATTTAGATTCTCAAGCTCTGTAAGGAAGGAAACTGTGAACAGATGCATCAAGTAATCTGAAGTCCTATCTCTTTTGCATTCGACACTGAAGTTATTTGTGCCTAGTGTGCTGTCGCCATACACCAGGCCTCGTTCCAATCTGAGGACCAGAACACTTGATTGTTGCTATGATTGCCCCATGCTATAAAAGCCATGTCACAAAACACAGCTGAAATTGCCTTAAAGTATTATCCCAAACAAAAAGAGAAAAGTATTCTCAAATTTAAAACAGTTTTAGTTAACTAGTAATAGTTTGAACTATCTTTTTTTTAATGGCACATTGCAACCTAGATTTGTATTTTTGCTATTTCATAAAAAAGAGAAATGTGCAAATGATTCCACATTGGCACATTTCCCCCTGTCTGTTTTTCCAATTCTGTTTTGTTGTTCATAGCATTCTCTAATTAATTTCATTTAATTGAAAATACTGGGCTTTAATTAGCACAATTACTAATGAATTAGCACACTAACTGTGAACTTCCGTGCATGTTTACTCAAGTGTTAAATGGGGCTTACTCCTTGATGAGAGTGCATCAGACTGCAGTCTAAGTGGGAAGACAGTTTACCTCTTTTATGTCTTTAAGATATATTTCTCCTGGACAGCTCACTTTTAAGAAATGCAAATTCAAAATTCTGTTCTCCCATACAAGGTATAAGCCCACTGTCTTTTTGTAAAACAACAAACAACTGGCACAAATAGTGCAGCAAACACGGGAAAACAAAATGTTGTTGTATTTTAGTTTTCTTCTGCAACAAAATAAACCCAATTCCTCTGCCATTATGTGTCATGGTATCCTAATAATGGAAATTTTAAATCACTCATATTCCATGGTCTGAGAGCTGCACAAATAATGGAAAAAATTCTGTGGTAAACCATTTTCAAACAGCAAATTTCCAGTTTCATGTTACATTCCTAAGACATAAAGAGGGAGATGTTTCTGTCTCTTTACCAAGTATAGAGTAACCCTATACTCACTTACCTGGCTGTGTGCCCCATTGAACTCAGTATGGTTTACTTCTGAGTAGACATGTATAAAACTATGCTGTGTGTTTCTTTAGCTATGTTGCTTGGTTAAAACATTTGAAATACTTCAGGAAAAATTATTTTTACTGATACATATATAGATATATTAAAAGACGCCTGCTTATGGGAGAAAAGCAATAACAAACCTAGACAGCATCTTAAAAAGCAGAGACATCACCTTGCCAACAAAGGTCCGTATAGTTAAAGCTATGATTTTCCCAGTAGTGATGTATGGAAGTGAGAGCTGGATCATAAAGAAGGCTGATCGCTGAAGAATTGATGCTTTTGAATTATGGTGCTGGAGGAAACTCTTGAGAGTCCCATGGACTGCAAGAAGATCAAACCTATATATTCTTAAGGAAATCAGCTCTGAGTGCTCACTGGAAGGACAGATCGTGAAGCCGAGGCTCCAATACTTTGGCCACCTCATGAGAAGAGAAGACTTGCTGGAAAAGACCCTGATGTTGGGAAAGATGGAGGGCACAAGGAGAAGGGGACGACAGAGGACGAGATGGTTGGACAGTGTTCTCGAAGCTACTAACATGAGTTTGACCAAACTGCAGGAGGCAGTGGAAGACAGGAGTGCCTGGCGTGCTCTGGTCCATGGGGTCACGAAGAGTCGGACACGACTAAACGACTAAACAACAACAACAACAAATATAGATATATATCTATTGCTTTAATGAGATGTTAAAACAATACATTGTCAGATTTTGACCTGAATCTTTTCGCTAAACAAAAATGGTTCCATATTGAAGTCTCGGATTCAAACCACTACTTAATAGTTAAGCCTAGGGTCTAAGTTATGATCAACATATGGTAAGATCCAGGCCTCCACAGCACCATTGGGTGAACCTGTATTTCAGGGATGGAGAACCTGCAGACCACCAGATCTTTCTGGGCCCCAATTCCCATCAGCATAGGCAATGGTTAGGGATTTTTAGAGTTGCAGTCCAATAACGTATGGAGAGCCTCTGCTTCCCTATCTCTCCTGCATAATAACAGGTAAGGCAAAAAATCAAGCCTTTTAGTTGATATGAAGCAAAAGTCCCCCACTGACTGAAGAAGCAATCAAAATAATTTTTAAAAAACAATAAAAGCAGAAGTGTTAACTGTACCTCCAAACTGCGATTTTGTTCTCAAGGGAAATTAACTGTGGCTGGAACAGTTGCTAAGTGAATCATGAAGACAGATCTGGCATGAGAATGTGCTGTTTTCATGAATGCCTTCTGACTGTCAGTGTTTCCTAGTAGAAGTGGAACTGTACTACCTAAAAGGAGTACGTGTGGCCCTCCAGATGTTGTTGCACTGCAACACTCAACATCCCTGGCCGTTGGTTTTGCTGGCTGGGACTGAAGGGGAACTGGAGTCCAACAAGGAATCTTGGATGTGCATTGGCACAACTTGTTTTTATGTCGGGACTGGAAGATTTTGCAGATCCTGCAAAATACGGTAACCTCAATAATGCCAGGTCGGAATGAGCAGGTTGAGGACCAGAGAGCTTGTGTGACTGCTCTGTCATATTCCAGCTAGAACCCTAATTACTCCAAATCTGCTAATTGACTGTATGTATATTTAACACACATGACTGTCCTCAAAGAAGCCTGGGAAACATAGTTTGTTTAGGGTGCTTGGAACTGTACATCTGTGAGGAGTAAACTACAGTATAACATTTACGGATCTGTCAAGGTCACAAAACCTTACAAGAAGAGAAATGATTCATTTTGGAATTAGGTTTCAAACCCTCATGGTTGAAACCAGGTGGTGACATTGTGAAACTCCAAGAGGCACACAAAGTAGCAAAAACAAAATAAAATAACATAAAACAATTTTTTAAAAAACAATTCCTTCCAGTAGCACCTTAGAGACCAACTAAGTTAGTTATTGGTATGAGCTTTCATGTGCATGCATGCTTCTTCAGATAGCAAAGAACAGGTGTTGGAGGCACACTGAAGAAGCTGCTTAATTTTAGCATCTTCCTGAATTTGAGAGTGTGATAATATCTGTAGTGCCCAGACCCAGCATTAGAGATGGTGCAACTACTACAGTAAAGACTGGAAGCACTCTTCTCAAAGCATCTTATTTCACATGACCCCACAAGATGCTTCAGCCCACATAACTGACCAGAATAGGACCAGAGCGGGTGGTGCTATGCTCAGTTCCTTTCCATTGGGCATGAGGGGGAAGTACCCAACAGCACCCAGTCAGGATGCAATGTGGAAAACATCTGAATACACCTCTGCACTTGGACTTGAATGCCCAGGTTCAATGTCCGCACCACACATTCAAAGCACGCGGCTTTCCCCAAAGAACCCTGGGAACTGCAATTTTCTAAGGCTGCTGGGAATTGTAGAAGTCAGCTACAGTACTCAGGATGGGGAAAGCCAGGTGCTTTAAATTTACAGCGTGGGTGTGTTAGTCCATTACATGACAGTGGCCAGCAGCAATGAAAGTGCATTGCCTGTTGTTTTTCCAAAAGTGTTCTGTTGTGCCAGTAGTGGTTTAGTCATGACCCGGAAAGCTGTCTGTGAACAAACGCCAACTCCCTCAGCCTGAAGCGAGATAAGCACAGCACCCCATAGTTGCCTTTGACAGGACTTAACCATCCAAGGGTCCCTTACTTTTCCAAAAGTCCTACTTGAGCTCTGTAACTCTCCAACGGTTTGAGTTATGCCAGACTCCCAATGTAAATTTGACTCCCAAGCTGCTGTTCAGCCATTGGTGCTACTGGTAGCTTTCCTTCCAAGGCAAATAGCAGCTCTGCAACTATCTGTGGGTACATCACGACTGTGGTATGGTTCATCTCCTCCTCCCCATGCAGGAAACATAGTCCAAATCCTAAATCCTGATCCTATTTAAGTATTTTTTAAAATAGGAAATGTATTCACCCATTTCACACACCATCCCACTGACGAGATTTCAGCATGCGTGCACACAAGCTGTAGTTCATTTCAGCCGCTGCTGTGGCTGCTACCACAATCAGCTGACAGTTTTTGCCTGGTTCCAGGTTTAACAGTGTTTTAACATGCAGCCCCCTCACTTTTCAAGTTCCTTCACAAAATCTGTTCTTGCTCATCGAAGAGGAACAAAGGGTAGTGTTGCAAAACCCGGTTGCCACGTTACTCTCACTATACACGGTATCTTCACAGCCCCTTGCCTTTGTTTAGATCAGTGAGTGTTTGCTGCTAACACTCCCTGGGTGACCTTTCTTTTCCTGCGAAGGGAGCGGGTCAGCACGTTGCATTCCCATGTTAACCCTCCCTTTACACTTTCTTTTCAGCAGCATTCCTGGGCCAAAAGCAATGAGGTAGCACAAATGAATAGGCACTTCAAGAAAGATACCGGTTGGCAAAGACTAAGGTTGTGTGTGTGCATTACTGATTTAAAACACAGCTTGGTCATTCTCCCCCCCCTCCCCCCCATATGCATCGAAGTTCCTTTAGGAGAAATGCTTCAAAACACAGCATTTCATAGGAAACAACAGGGCACCTGCAGGATATGGTTTGTACAGCGCTTGCCCAAGCAGTGGTGGGTGCACGTTGGATGCAGGGTAAATGGAAGTGTGTGCACGTTGTTGTTGTTGTTTTGTTGTTTAGTCGTTTAGTCGTGTCCGACTCTTCGTGACCCCATGGACCAGAGCACGCCAGGCACTCCTGTCTTCCACTGCCTCCCGCAGTTTGGTCCGACTCATGTTTGCAGCTTCGAGAACACTGTCCAGCCATCTCGTCCTCTGTCGTCCCCTTCTTCTTGTGCCCTCCATCTTTCCCAACATCAGGGTCTTTTCCAGGGAGTCTTCTCTTCTCATGAGGTGGCCAAAGTATTGGAGCCTCAGCTTCAGGATCTGTCCTTCCAGTGAGCACTCAGGGCTGATTTCCTTAAGAATGGATGCGTTTGATCTTCTTGCAGTCCATGGGACTCTCAAGAGTCTCCTCCAGCACCATAATTCAAAAGCATCAATTCTTAGGCGATCTCTCACTTCCATTCATTATTACTGGGAAAACCATGGCTTTAACTATACGGACCTTTGTTCGCAAGGTGATGTCTCTGCTCTTTAAGATGCTGTCTGTGTGTGTTCACAGCCTGACACAAACAGCATCTCAAGCAAAAGAGAGCATGAAATGATCATGGGAAGCATGATGCGCACACATTGAAATTGACACGGAAGAGAACATGCTTGCCTTTCATGTGCACAGAAGACGCAATCTGCGCAGATCCTCCACACTGAAAGAGAGCCACTGCAGTGTAGCAGTTAAGAGTGTCAGACTAGGACCTGAAAAGCAGAGTTCAAATCCCCACTTGGCTATGAAGAAGGCTCACTGGGTGAACCTTGGGCCAGTCACTGTCCCTCAACCCAGCCTACCTCACAGGGTGGTTGTGAGGATAAAAGGTGCTGGAAGGAAAACTATGTACACCACCTTGAGCTCTTTGGAAGAAAAGTGAGATATAAATAATAAAAATGGGATTCCAAATATGTTTGGATGCAGCCCACTTTATGGAAGGAGCATAAGGAGAGTCCTGTGGGCACAGATCCACAGAAAACCAACATTCTTTCTCCAACAGCAAGTCGGCCGGGAACACCAGGAAAAACTCTTCATAGAATCACACCAGGAAGAACCCTTCCCGGTTTCTTGTCTCCAATATCTGGTATTCCGAGGTAGTCTGCACTGGAACATGGAGGCTCTGCAAAGCGAACTTTGTGTGTTGTTGGGGGGCGGGCGAGGCATCCCATTGCAAGAGAGGAGGGCCTTTCAAGGCAGCAGAACGTGCAGGAAACTCTTCCAGGTAGCAGCCGCTTCAAAGCCCCGGGACGGCGGCAGGAAGTGTTCCCAGCTTGATCCCTGGGATGAAACGCCCGCGGCGCACGAGGCAAAGCCGCCAGGACGTCAGGAAGGACTTCAGCCCCAGACGGGGGTGGTTTTGGACACGCCCAATAGGTGCGGATCTTCAAGTTTGCACAAACACCCTATTGCCAGGCAAGCTGGCTCCGTCACATGACCCCCTCGAAACATGAAACCCGGCCGGGCGCTCGGGCAAGTTTTGCTTCTCGTCCCAACGCACGAGGAGTCGCCTGGCGGGCCGCGCGCAAAGGCGGCGCTAAGGGGATCCGCGAGGAGGCGAAGCAGCCAGGGGAGTCATCAAGGGGAATCCAGCCTTTCTCTCTCGGGAACGAGCCAGGAAGCCCCCCTCAGTCCCTGCCGACTCGGATGCCCGTTTGTCCGAGGCAGTCGCCTCGCCTGGCAGCATGGACAAGTTCAATAAAATCACGGTGCCAGCGGGACAGAAGTTCAGGTATGGTTTGAACCGTGTCCCTTGTTTTCTTCTCGCGCTTTTACGCCAAGGCGCAGAGGCTGTTTCTTTCTCGGAGGCGCGCACGAGGGGGATCTGGGGGACAGAAGCAGGAAGAGATCTTGTGGCACCTTAAAAAAAAATGGGGGGAAAATAATAGGGTTTCCTTTTCTATCTGGCGAACTGGCTTGTCTTCCACGAAAGCTTATGTCATTAAAAAAAAAGTCTTGAAGGTGCCACTAGAGTCCTTGCTTGCAGCAGGCTGACACCCTTAACCCCTCTTTGGAAATGGCCAGGGAGGATAAATTTGTATGTAAGAAGATAAAGCAATCGAGGGAGGATTCAAAATGGTTGTTAGGGTAGCAAGCTGCAGAGCTGTACAGTTTTCTCAAATGGGACTCAAAAGCATTCAGGGAAGAAGACTGTCTACAATACTTTGATGGGATAGTAAACAACAACAACAACCTGTGAATCGCTTGCTTCCAGATTGTTGCTAGCTTGGGGTGGGATTCAGTGGCATACCAGCAAATTCAGGTTGGACAATTATGGCAACAAACTCACATTCCCGGAAGATTGGATGTTTGGTGAGAAGGAATGGGAAAGGAATAGGCAACATCATCTAACCTCCCCACTAACCAAGCAGAATGCGTGCTCAGTGAAATAGCCAAACATCATCTCATCTCCCTGCAAACAAGTCAGGATGAATGTGCAGTAAATATGTCATCTTGAAGCACCTTACGTTTCCCTCTTGAGAAATGCTTCTTCCTTTGTTGAGTGTCAGCCGGTCACTAAAGGTGCAGTAGCCCAACCAAGCTGGCAGGTTTGCGCCTCAATATGCCAGCACGTATTCAGAACGTCTGGGGGCCTGACATTTGTTTAAATGAGGATACACTAATGCTCCCTGTGTTCCCTTGTTGTGCTTTTCTCTCTTTTTTTGCAAATTCAAGAAGCATTGCTGTTTATCACATTGGTGCATGCATCCTTCCTTTGTGTGGGCAGTGCCACTATCTTTGAGCTGTTCCTCTTCTCTGCGTTGGGCATCCATCTAGAATTTGCACAGGTGCTGCACAGTTGGCAGGAAGTGAATGTGCGAGGTGGTGGTGGTTTTTTGCATGAAACTCTTCAATAGCTTTTATGGCAGCTTTCAGATTTATATTGCAAAGACAAAAATTAGTCATGGTCGGTTGACCGGTTACTGAATGCCTTCCAAAGAGATCTCCAAAGAGTAGGACTTCTCTGTCTGCTTCACAAGGGAAAACCAACTACTGCAGATACACATGTGTTCTACAGGTGTTTCTGCAGCAAACATGTCAAGTTTGGGTGATGCCATGCAGGTGTGACTCAGCTACACCTGTCTGGGAACTTTATATGACAAACTGGCCTTGAGACAGAGTGTTTCTGAAAGTGCTGTACTGAAAATTAATTTGAAGAAACTGATGGCACGAGCAATCCAGTGGATAATTAACAGTGCCCATGGGACTTTTGATGATGGGACATGTAAAAATGTTCTGTGAGCCAATCGATCTAGGGGAAGATAATTTGGTTGGAATAAAAAGTAAAATCTAAGAAACCATAATTTTATGGATTGCATTTCTAGACTTCCATTTGTCCTATAGGAGCACAGAGCAGTTAACAAAATAGTAATATATGAAACAAAAAGTATATGCCTCTTAATTGTAGTAAAATTGCAGTAAACACTTTACAAGAAACATTTAAGCCATCAGTAAAATCATCGACAAACAATAACAAACCAGTAATCGTAAGCACTTAAATTTACATACCTACAAATGCCACAGCAATTATACTTTCCAGCAGATTAAAAAAAACTATTAATTCGAGGTTTTATACAGATATCCCACCAAGCAGCTCAAGGTGACGTACATGGTTCTCCCCACCACCACCACTTTATCTTCACAACAACCCTGTGAGGGATGGTGACTGGCCCATGCTTACCCAGTGAACTTCGTGGCTGAGTGGAGATTTGAACTTTGGTCTCCCAGGTGCTAATCCAACACTAATCTCTACTACACCATACTGGCTCTTTGATATGATGTCAGTGAGGAATGATATCAATGTGGGGAAACAAATGCAATTACATACACATAAGGCAATTGGATGTTAATGAGTTACCAGTGCTTTGAGGGTGCAGGAAGGAACAGGTATGCAGTAAAGGTAAAACCCTTGTCCGATGTTCATCACTGTGCTTGGAGCATGGATAAAACAGTACAGGAGCGCTGACAAAGCATGTAATTCGTCAGCCCATATTAGCTAAAGCAATTATTGCAAACGAGCATTTGGCAGAGGATGGCTGAATAGCTAAGCCTATGTCTGTAAATTTTGCAGGACTCTCTGTTCTTTCCTGACAGAGACAGAGAGAATTTATCTTGCCCAGTGTGCTAATTCATCTCAAGTCTTGCAAGAAGGCAGGATATATCTTTAAACAAATATCTAACACAATTGTATAAGTGTGGCTGCTTGAATTTAGCACTGTTGTTCAGGACTTTTCTCCACAGAATAAGGGAGGAGCCTGGAGTCGGTGTTGTGTTGAATACCACCTCCTGCCGAAACTTCTACATGTAGTAGCATGTCGGTACTGCTAGACACTTTTCAAAGAGGCGCAGTCTGCAATCCCACGCATATTTAGTCGGGAATAAACGCTACCAGAGCTAATAGGACAAGAAGTGCTCGAAAGCGGGGGCACAATGACGTGAGTGGGAACTTTTGCAGCTCCCCACCCCCACCTCGATGGTGAGAAAGAACATCCCACAAACTCATGCATACACTCTTTGGACACTTGCTGCTACGTGCAAAGCTTGTTCCTCCACCACTGCTCCGTCATAGAAATTAAAAGGGAAATGAAGCAGGATAAGAATTAAAGACGATAGCAGAGCTTGTTAAGAGTGTTGTGGACATCTGGGAGAAGACAGCATAGAACCCAGAAAAGCAGTTGCTCCGGAGATCAAGCAAAGGCCCAGATTCTATTAGGAGCATAGGAAACTGCCTTATTCTGAGCCACATCATTGATGCATCTAGCTCATTAGTGTATACACTGACTGGCAGCAGCTTTCCAGGCTTTCGGACACGGGGGGCTCGCAGTCCTATCTGGAGATGCCAGAGGTTGAGCCTGGGACTTTCTACATGCAAAGCAGTTAACTATATGGCCCCTTCCATATCCAAGTGATCTGCTCACACATTAATCAGTAAGAGGTGTTCAGCAGTGGAAAGGACTACCTCAGAAGGTGGTGGGTGGACTCTCCTCCATAGGAGGTTTTTAAGTAGAGGTTAGATGGCCATCTGTCTGGGATACTTTAGCTGTGATTCCTGCATTGCGGGGGGTTAGACCAGATGACCCTTGGGGTCCCTTCCAGCTCTGGAAGTCTATGATTATAGGAGTGAGGCCACACTGATCAGCTTTGCCCTTGGCATTGTGCCTTCCAGTTAGCTCCACCTCTGGCATTCTCACATACAGCACACTTGTATCCTCAGGGTTCCAGATCACACAGAATGCACAAATGTTCTCTGCCTGCAAACATTTGCACTGCAAGTCTGGATGCCAGCTGGAGCATACAAACTAGCGGGTGCAATCCTGTCCACACTTTGATTGGACAAGTGAACACGTCCCTTTAATAAGGCTACCAAAGTAATAAGTTGTAGGAGGGAATTTAGAAGAAAAGAAAATAATTTGAAAGACAGAGTTTCTGGCTGTTCCAGAAACTGAGGATAACATAGCAGAAACTAGCAAGGTGGAAGTTTAAGTTACAAGGAAGATGATATATGAGATTGACCTTTTTTCCCAATACAGTGGACGCGCAGGTTGCGATTCAGCGGTTCTGCGCATGCGCAAAGCACAATTTAGCACTTCTGCGCATGCGCAACCGCCAATGCCCGGAAGTAACCCATTCCGGTACTTCCAGGTTTCGGCGGTCCGCAACCCGAAAGAAACGCAACTTTAAGCAACTGTAACCCGAGGTATGACTGTAGTCTCTGTGCTGTTAACAGGCATTCAACAGGCAGAAATGCAGCAATCCCCACACCTGAACAGCTTCACCCCTCTGATCACATTGAGTGAAGGCGAGATCCAGGTTTCCTCAAACAGACTCCTCCACGTGGCTGGGAGCCCCATCTGTGAGGGGTTTCCAGTCGCATGGAGGAACCTATGGAAGTCAAGCTGTCTTCCCCCTTAAGACCTTTACCAAACAGGCAGAGATCAGAGAGGCAGAGCTGGGCAGCATGTAACCTCACAGGTGGGACCAGCTGCCTGTCCTACTCTCCCTTATCTAAATGTTATCTTTCAGTGCAGCAGATATATGAACAGGGCTTTATAGCCACACAATCAGATAGACCGCGTTATTCCCCAGAAGCACTGGGAACATTTTGACTACCTAAATACTCCCAGAATTATTACTGTCATGCACTTCCTAAAATATGCACTGGGAAGTTGGCTTGAAACATGAAATGATGATGGTCATCGTAAGAGGACCCCCCTTTTAGCCTATAAACATTTCAGCTAAAGAAACAAGGAAGCTAACGAAATCCCACCAAAGCAGCCGACGTTCATCGCCATGAGCAGGTCTAATGATAGCTTAGAGACAGTATAAAGAAAATCAGCCGTACAGGCCACAATCTTCTGCTTTCGCTCCAGCTACTTCATTGTATAAACAAGCATTCATCTACCTTAATAACATGCTTTGCCCTGCTTCACTTTAATAGAACTACTCATGCTTAACAGAAATTATTTGAGTGACCTTTCGAGATACCGCTTCTGGTCCAGTTATGTGGAATGAAATCAGTGGGACTTACTTCCCAGTAAACGTTATGAGGACTAAGTGTTTGGCAACCAGCATTTTAAAGCTTGGTTTCCCATTTTGTATGTACAGGAATAAATGGGAGGTGGGGGTGTTCTGCCCAGGTTGAGGTGTGTACATGTCATAGGCAGCAATGACTGCTGTACAGTAAGCAATAGAAACAGAAATAATGTGTGTATCGGGGCGGAGACCAGGATAGAAAGATGTGGGGGACTGTTTTTCCCCAAGCATTTGTTTTATTTTTTCCAATGGAGAAAAAAATTGTGAGAAATTGAAAAACATCTTTATGATCTATTTTCCTTTTGTAGAATAACAAAGATAACGTTTTTAAGGCAGGTTTTACAAGTATTCCTGAAGCTGCACTGTGCTCCCTTAGAATGATTTCTAGTACCAGTATACCGTATTTTTCCATGTATAAGATGCCCCCTATTTTGGGGGACTCAAAATTAAGAAAATGAGGAGAGATAGCCCCCATGTATAAGACTACCCCCCCTTTTTAACATTCTTTTTTAGTAAAAAAAACAAAAACAACATAATCTTATACATGGAAAAGTACGATAATAACTATGTGATGCAATATAAAGTGTTGGGTAATTGCAAATCCCTCCATTCTTGCGGTGGCTAATTTGCAACCCCTGCAGATGACATTGTGGGACTCCAGCTCCTATCAGACCCAGCTGTAAGAACATATGAGGAACAGCCTGCTGGATCAAGCCAGCATCCTGCTCTCACATTGGCCAACCAGGTGCCTGTGGGAAGCCTAAAGCAGGACATGAGCAGAAAACACTCTTCTTCCACTCCTATGCTCCAGCAACTGGTATTTATTCAGAGGCATGTTGGCTCTGTAACTGAAGGCAATATGTAACCCCACCATGTCTAGTGGCCATTGACAGCCTTAACCTTCTGCATGGCCGATAGTTAAGGATGATGAGAGCTGGAGTTGTGGAACATCTGGAGGGCCAGATGTAAACTGAAGACAACTCAAATCCAATGCTGCTTGGCTACAGATAGATAATTAACTCTTTTAAAGAGAGGTGGAGACAGTTTGAAAGAGGAATTATTGTTTCTTGCATTTTAATCGTCCCATGTTGTGGAGATATACCGTAGATATTTATGGTGGCATTTTTTTCTGTTTCTGGATCATTATTTCCTAAATCAAATGTGTGTTTCTAAAAACAATAACCAAAAAAACCTACCCTACTACAGCACTGTTTTAACCCCCATGATACTTTTTGACGCTTCAGGGTGCCTCAGTTTTGATGCTCCATCTGGGTTTATATGTAATGATTTGAATAAACTGACAGTGTAATTCAATACATGTTTACTTGGAAGAAAGTCCCACTGCATTCATTGTGGCTTGCTCTAAATGTGTGCTGGGTTGCAACTGATAGAGTGTATGCTTCTGAATTTAACAAATATAGCCAACATGTACAATTTCATGTACTCTGATATACATAATGCATTTTAGGTTCCAAACGTAGTAAAATAGGCTTAGAACTGACAAGAAAGTAAGTGCTGCATATATTTCTATTTCCACACCAATTTCCTTCTATTTTATGGAGAAGGGAAGAGTGAGGATTTCCCCGTCACCCTCAGCTTCGAAATATTTGGAAATTGTATATATTTTACCATTCTTCTACATAAACCATTTTCCTCAATTTGTCTCTTTAAAAAAATGGATAATTGTAACACCTCTGGAACACTGTTACAGTGTTACAGAGGAACAATATGAAGCACATCTTTACATAAATGCTGATGAAACAATGACTTGGTTCACATGTCATGCAAGGCCAAAGCAATGGCTTTAGTGCAGGAGTGGAGAACTTCTGCCCTGGGCCCATAGGCCAGTCTTGGGCCAGAGCCATGAGTCACCCACCAATCAGCTGATGGACAGGGGAGGTCAGTCCTGCCCAGTTAAGAGTGTGCAATAGAGCTCCCTTGTACACCTGAACCCGGCAGAAGCAGGACAGAACGTCAGTCGTGGTCTGTTCAGGAGCAGTAGGTTCCCTTTGCCTGCCAACCACCTGTCAAATCATCTGACACCCCAATGATGTGTGACTGACAAGTGGGTTGTTAATATTACTTTCATTTCTTGTTGAAGTAGAATGCCAGACTTTAAAAAGCAGCAACAACAACAAAAGTGTGCTATTAAATATCAGCTCCACTAATTAAAATAAATTAACTAAGCAACTGAAGCAGTAGTCAATTCATCCCCTAATTAAAGTTGGCATACTTTAACAAAACAAAAAAAAGTTTGTTTTGGTAAGAGTTCTCTCACTGATAAGTATGTGATCGAAGGACATTTTAAAAGTAACAAATAGCCCGTGCAGTCTCCCAATACTTGTAATTTGAAAGGAGCTGTGCAGTGCAGTCCCAGACACACACACCTGGGAGTGTATCCCATTGAATTCAATGGAGCTTACTTCTGAGTAAGCATGGGTAGGTTTGCACTGTTAATTGTCTCAGGTTTCTCAGGACCCAAAGGTACATTCAGCAAAACATTGACCCTGAGATGTCTTTAACTTTGGATTCACCTGCTTCTATTTTTTTATGAAGCTAAACAGAAACCTGTTTGACCTCTTCTCATCTGTTTGTTTTGTATGATGGCTGTCATTTCAGCTTCTTACTTTGCACGCTTGTTTCCCAGACCTGACTGACGTTATAATCACATGTCATTGGCCAGCAGGCTTTTCTAAATAGAGAAGAACCTTCAAGGAGTGTGACGCTTAATAAAAGGAAAAGCAGAAGCACTTGATGAAGATAACCACACAAAATCTCAGCAGGAAGGCAAGGAAGGGCAATCTGTAAGATGTGACAAAATTTTCAATAAAGATCCAGTAGAGCCGTGTTGAAAGCTGGTGTTCCAAAGGTTGCAAGGAAGTGCATGGCTCTGGGGAAGCAAGTGTATCTCACATTTTGTGGGACATCATTACAGCTGTCATTCATGTCCCCATGAGAAGCAGCTGCTTTTCCTGTATAAACTTCTCAGATGGGGAAATCTGACCCATGGGTCAAACTCCATGCACTGATACCACTGTTATTGCCAGTCCATCGTGGGTATGAGTGCTTCCCTCCCATGCTTGGCCTTTTGTATGTTGGGCCCTCTTTTTTTGTACGTGACATTTATTGGCATCTGTCTGCCTCGGGAGACAATGCAGTGCGCTTCCAGGGGTGAAGTCTAACCACTGCATTAGCAACACCCAAGTGACCTTTCTAGGGTGCAAGCTTGGGCAGTGTATATGGAAAGCCTGGGCTGCCCAGATGACAGGACCTCCCTCTTGCCCCCTGATGTGGTCCAAAGCAGAGCAATATGTTTGCTTGGCTGCATGAGTTGGCGGAAGGTGATGCACAAGGTGCTATCCAACCATCTTAGGGACTCCACTCCAGGTCTGTGTAGGGTTTATTCCTTAGCCTCCCCCCGCCCAAGGCAGTGGACGTTCAGGATCAGAGTTATCCTTCTAGAAGGGCTACCTTCCCAGGTTGATGAGCTCCATCTGCTCTTCAGTTCCCTCTACAGCATGTGCAGAAACTTCCTTCTTGACCCACTATTGGTCTCGTCCGCTCCACCACTGGAGCTTATCGCATGCAGCAGGAAGTCCCTAATTCACTGAGGGCTTGAGACCCATCAGCTACCCTCACCTGGTTTAGCCTGCCTGTCAAAGCCATTCCTGAGGTATGGCCATTTTAGAGTTGTCACATGCAACTCTAAAAAACCCTTTATCTCTTTCCACAGAAAGGAGTTCATCTTAAATCCACGTTGTTTGTAGCTAAGAGTGAAATATCATTGTCAAGTGTGCATATGCTGAGCGCGTTGCTCCAAAACATGATCTCACAATTTTGTTCTTGAGCACTGCACTTATAAACGCCAAACCTTTCAGGAGTAAAACATTTACTGGAAGTAAAAACAGACTGATTTATGAGAATGAAACAAGTGACAGCCCAAAGTTAATCAGCCTATTGCCATGACTGTTTACTCAGAAATAAGTTGACTCCATAGGACTTACTGCCTAGCATTGTATAATTTGTTCCTTAAAACTAGAGGGACTTAGTCACAAATCATTTGCCCTGTTTATTTCAGCAGGATTTAACCGCGGCTTTATCTAGATTGGGACCCCATGCAGGAGAGTTCTCTGGACAGGGATCATAGCTCAGTGGTAGGCAGGGCCACCCAAGACATTTTGTGGCCTGAAGCAATGGGCGAGGTGTCACCTTTTCTCTTCCACAAACAGCCACATACTCAGCTGGCAGTTGAGTCTTACTTAATTACTTATTGACGATGGCACAGCTTCCTGCATTGCATCTGAGGACAGCTTAAGGCGGGCAGGGCAGTTCTGCATCTGCCGTCTGAAGCAGTTGCCTAACTTTCCAATGTTAGGGATGGCCCTGATGGTAGAGCACATGATTTGCATGCAGAAGGTTCCGGGGCAAACCCTGCCATTTCCAGCATAAAAGCATGAAGTTACAGATGACTGGGGAGAGCTCTGCTGAGTCCCCAGAGAACTGCTGCCAATCACAGTAGACAGTCCTAAGGTAAATGGATAAAATAGCCTGGCTCTGGTATAAGGCACCTTCCTGTATACTAAAACTCTGATTTCTATCCTACAGAAATGTACATTTAGAAGTTCGTGTATTGTGAGTCAGGATGTGCCTTGGCAAATGGGAGGGTGAAGAGGGAAGGGATCCTTGATTCTTAAAACATTTTCCAAATCGGCTACTATGTTTTTGCTTTTGTTGTTTTATTTGGTGCTGCAGTTTACCTGTTTCATTATTTGTTTTTATATATGTATTGTTTTTAGTAAATCATTTAGAGACTGTTTCGGTATTAAGCAATAGATAAAGATATGTAATAAGTAAATAAATATAATAAGAAAAATATATTTGCAATATCCATTATTGACTTAATATTTGCAAATATCTGCAAAATATTTGGGGGTGGGGTGGGTAATTCCGCTTAGACCTTTTTAAAAGAAAAAAGAAGCAAGTTCCTAATTTATAACTGGGGGCGGGGGGGGGAGCAATGGATTGTATACAGAGTAGCTCTGACACATTCCATCAACTCAAGAATTTCTACTTGTACAAGAGAACTTTGCCCTCCCTTTGTACAACTCCTAAATCTGTTAACAGGATCAGGCCAATGGCCCATCTAGTCTAGCATGCTGTTCTCACAGTTGCTGACCGGATTGTGCAAGTGGAAATCCTTTGCCCTGACAGAATACATTAGTTGGATACCTACTGCCTAGTGATCTTGGCATAGATACAAAAATCAATGCAAGTGGTAATTGACTGTGTACCTAATCCATGGAACACCTGGTCGGTACTGGCAGCTCAGACACTTCCCATCTTCCAGTTAAGAGGGAAAGGGGAGCAGAATTAAGTCACCAACTGAACCGTGCTACATTTGAATGGCATTACCTGCCTTACTGGATTGACAGCATTTGTATTTGACTTTGAGAATTTTAGAACCAACAACAAGATTTCTCTGTCCTAAGTTATTTTTTGAGGTTGGGCATAATGCTGAGAAACCAGTCTGATACCCCCTTTTGAGTGAACACATCCTGATTAGATACTATTTATTTTACCTGTCTCATTGAAGTAAAGGGAAGAACTGAGGGGGCATTCCTAACTTCCAGTGGATTTTTACAATCTGCCTGGAGCTGGTGAGCTCCATTCACTGCTCAGAAACTATAATCCTCTCTCTTTCTTTAATTTCTGTTTCACCTGCACACCTGTTTATACGAAACTAAAAGTCACGTCTACCAAAGCAAAAACGAGCTGAGAGGTAATTACTATGTCATTGCCTGAGTACAGTCCAGCTCCATTGAAATAATATTGACTAAATGGGAACAAGCTCTTTGACTCCCTTTCTACAACAGTGAGGTAGAGGTGAAATATGTCTCTTCTACCCCTCAATGTAGGGGCAATACTAGGGTTAACTTGTTTTCCAAGACCATAGGAGCTAAAATTGTAAACTGGTGACATCAACTTAACATCAACTTGATGTACAAGAATTAGCAAATAAGGTTGCTCATGGCATGGGTATAAGCTTTAGCACTTGATAACATCTGCAGAGTTGGGGATGCGGGTGGTGCTGTGGTCTGAACCACTGAGTCTCTTGCACTTGCCGATCAGAAGGTTGGCAGTTAGAATCCCTGGTGTGCTCCTGTTGCTCTGTCCCAGCTTCTGCCAATGTAGCAGTTTGAAAGCATACCAGTGCAAGTAGATATATAGGTACCACTGCAGCAGGAAGGTAAACTGCATTTCTGGGCACTCTGGTTTCCGTCACTGTGTTCCATTGTGCCAGAAGCAGTTTTGTCATGCTGGCCACATGACCTGGAAAGCTGTCTGTGGACAAACGCCGGCTCCCTCAGCCTGAAAAAGAGATGAGCACCACAACCCCATAGTCTCCTTTGACTGGACTTAACTGTCCAGGAGTCCTTTACCTTTTACCTTTGCCTAACATCTGCAGATCAAATGGTTCAGTGTCTGGCTTAGAGATGGGAAATATGTGGTCCTCCAGTATTGCAACTTCCATCACCCTGAGCACTGGCCATGCTGGGTGTGGCTGATGGAAGTTGGAGTCCAACAACAGGCTCCCCACCTCTAATTCCTAATACTGCAAGGGTGCTCTAATTCTGCAAGGATGCTCAAAAAAGGCGTGATTAAATGGGAGGGTATTCATTATTATTGCATGTTCTTTTGCAGGACAGATCAGGTTCTGGAAAAGGTGTCTTGAGCCTACCAAAGGTCTTTTAGTTGAAATCTTCCTTTCCGCTAATTAACTGATTTGGGTTGATAAAATTACACATGGTACCGGGAGAGACCAGATAGAGAGAAGAGTGTGTGCACTCTCTCTCGCATAATACTACAATCTGGTTTATCCAATGAAGCTGAACAGTGAAAGATTCAAGACAGACAAAAGATCTGGTGTTGGTCACCAACTTAAATGGTTTTGAAAGCGGATTTAGACAGATCATAAATGATGACTATATACTACCTCCAGGACCAGTTGCTGCGAAGCAACAGTGGGGAAGATAATTGTCCTCATGACCTAAATCTCTTAAAGTTTGCAATCTTTTTAAAAAAAAATTAGAAACCTTTTGTAAACTAAAAAATGCCAAAGATTCCCAAAAAAGGAATGCCATAGATTCACTTTCTGAGAAGTTGCTCAATAAGCTGATTGAATCATTGTCATCAGACCAATGAGAAGATTTGCACTGTAGCACTGTGGATGCTTATTTTAGATTGCCTCGCTACAGAACACTTTGATGAGTTTTTCTCAACAGATGCTGGGTTTACCAACAGCTTCTGAGAAGAATTAACACTTCCACCAAGAAAAAGAGTGAAAGAAAGAAGTGGTGTGGGGGGGAAAAGGAACATATGACAGCAAATATGGGGCTTTTGATGTGTCTAGTTGTATATGTTGTAATACACCTTCTTGTTCTATTAATAACACAGCCATGATGAAAGATGTCCATGCTTTATTTTCTACAGGCAACTTCAAAAGATAGTACACGATATCAAGAAAAATGACAGCGGAATAATGAGCAAGTTCAAAAAGTAAGCTATGCACATCCGTAATTTACATGATTGAATGTTTTACTCATTTTAGTGCCTATTTTTGATACATGCTCAGCAGAAGACTGTGCATGCCTACTCAGAAGTAGGTCCCAGCGTGTTCAAGGGGGCTTACTTCCAAATAAGTGTGCATTAAATGGAACACTTTGTGGTATGTGACGGGGGGCCCAGATGCCCAACTGAGCATTTTGAAATTCTCAGTTTTGCTCATAACAAACAGTTCTAAACAGTCTTCTTAATAACAGTATGTATGTGAGGCCGCATTCACTCCATACCTTTAGAGAACTATAATAACACTTTAAACATGAGAGCCAGCATGGTGTAGTGGTTAAGAGTGGTGGACTCATAATCTGGTGAACCGGGTTTGCGTCCCCGCTCCTCCACATGCAGCTGCTGGGTGACCTTGGGCTAGTCACACTTCTCTGAAGTCTCTCAGCCTCACTCACCACACAGAGTGTTTGTTGTGGGGGAGGAAGGGAAAGGAGATTGTTAGCTGCTTTGAGACTCCTTAGGGTAGTGATAAAGCGGGATATAAAAAAATCCAAACTCTTCTTCTTCTTTCTCCAAGTTGTGGGCTCTGTAGTCTGTTAAGGGTACTGAGACCCCTTATTCCCCTCAGAGAGCTACAATTCCCAGAGTTCCCTGTGATTGGTTGTTAAACTACTCTGGAAAATGCAGTCATCATATGACACATGCGCCATTTTGAACCTCGAAGATGGTGTCTCAGATTTGGGCAGTGTTGTGTTGGAGGATATGCATAGATGCCCATAACAAAGCAGTTTACCCAACAAGCCGTAAAACAATCCATCAGTCAAAATAATAAAGTGCTATAACAAAACCAAAGGTAGATAACCTAAGTTCCATAAATGACTTCCTTAAAATGCCTGCTGAAATAGAAAGGTCTCTGTCAAGCATCTGAAGTCTAGCAGAAAGAGGGCCTGTCTCATCTCAGGCAGGGGAGGGGAGCTTCACAGTATCATCTCCACAATGCTGAATGGTGAATACAAATCATGGACCTGAGCCATAGGAGATCCCTAACAGAGACTTACCCAAGGTGATCCTTAAGGTAACCTTCACCCAAGTTAAGGGCCTTGTTAATTGACACAAGATCCTTTAATGTGACCCAGTAATATGGGCAACTGGTGCAAGCTTTAAAGCATCAGACTTATGTGATGGTGGAATTCATGGTGCCTCCTTGATCTCCCCTGCAGTATACATACCATCTCCACAAATGTCAGCTGAAGAGTTCTCTTCAGATGTTTCTCAGTGACAACTCACCACTGTTCCTAGGTGTATGTGAGCTTCAGATGGTCTGCTTCATTGACATTTGCTTGCAAATGCAACTGATTAAGAATTACGGCCTCTTCTTTGTCTGAATGAGCCAGCAAAAGATGAGGCAGAAACTCAGGTGTATGTCAAAAGCCGGCTGAAAGTTACATCACGAATGGTCTCAGCCTCAGTAGGAGCACTGTTACTGCTCCTCTGCCTCATGAAATGCTCATGGTTAGGAAGCATATCTCCTTGTGACGTGCTGTTCTACAGAGATTACCTCAGAAGGTGATGAACTCTCCTTCATTGGAGGTTTTTAAACAGAGGTTGGATGGCCATCTCTCAGTAATTTTTTCGCTTGGATTCCTGCATTGTAGGGGGCTGGGCTGGATAACCCTTGGGGTCGCTTCCAACTCCACAATTCTATGAGGCGAAGGAGAACTAGAAGGAGCATGCAGCTCACCTTGCAAATAATTCCACTGAATAACCTACAGTGGATTCATTTCAAAGTGCTCAGACTTACAAACAGTGCAATCCCGGCCACGTCTACTGAGAAGTCCAACTGACTTCAGTTCTGCTTGCTCCCAGGTACATGGGTTTAGGGCTGAACTTTTATAAGGGCATCCCGTTTTGACCCAGCTGTTATGTATTGTCCTCCTATTGGACAAGCACTTTCAACAACTGTGTTTAAACTGGCATCTCTGTATTACAATGGCATGATAGCAACATGTCTCAACAACTTCTGTTGCAACAGACCTGATAAACCAAATCAACAAGGTTGTTCTCCCTCCTTCAAAGAGCTTGCAACAATTCTTTTCTTTAGAGAGAAGAGAGAGAGAGAACCAATTTGCCCCTACCACAACTGCTATGTGTGTGCTCTTAACTCTGTATTTATCCTTAAAACACTTAACTAAATATAGATGCCTACAGAAAGGCACTCTGGAGCTAGACTCGTTTTATATTAGCTCATATATCACTCCAGCAATTATTACCTTCCTTCCACTCCAGAAAATGCTTGTGCTTCTCCTTGGCTCTAATGGCATCAATAGATAGCTGTGGGCAAAAAAAAATTAGTCCCACAATCTGTTACCAAGAACAAGCAGCCAGTTTTGCTCACATGCAGGGCAAGAAGGAGGTATACTAAGTCCCCCATTCACAGCTGCTGCAACATCTATATCTTACATTTAATGCACTCTTATACCACTTTAACAACCATCATTCACCCAAAGAATCCTTGGAACTGTAGTTTGCTGAGAGTGCTGGGAATTACAGCTCTCTGAGAGGTCTGCTAAAAACAGATCCCTCTAGGAGATCCGTATGGCTGTATTTAATCAAACTTCTTATATTTTGAGTGCTGTGAGTTTTGTTGTTGGTTCCTGTTGTGTTCATACTGTTTTACTGTCTCTAATTGACTCTGCTATGACCCTCCTTAGAGAGAGAAAGAGCAGGATAAGAATGCTCATCATTAAATAAATCACAATGCTAAAGTGATGAAAGAAAACACACTTGGTGTAACTTTCTTTTCTATGCAGAAGTGTAGACATCCTTGAAGTTGTACTGATGGGCTTGGCCGTTTCTCTGTTAGCAGAAGCCTGGTTTTGAAAGCACCTGCCAAACACCACATGAGTAACCTTGCACATGGGCAAACTGGCTTACATGCATGACCAAACACACCACATTTGACAAATACACGACTTCCTTTTTTATTTACTGTAAAAGCAAAGCTACTTTGGAGTACAAGAACCGGGTCACCATCTTTTGACCCTCCCACAATGGGTAAACGATATCAGTGAAAATAGCTACATTTTGCATGCTGACTGTGCAGTCAAGGAAATGAATTGAAGCATAACATGAAAGGGGAAGCAATACTGAAAGGAGGGCCATAAATTGTAGCATAACTGAACTAAAATGGGGAACTAGGGGGGTTTATGGCAGAATATCTAGGCCTCTAAACCTTATGATGATGATGATGATAATGGAACATCAGTCATGTTCTCTCACCTACAGACAGAGGCTTTGTTGTGCTACTTGTTGCAAAGAAAAACGTAGGAGTTTTTCGTTCATCAGGTTTGTTATCAGCCTGATAACTATTGTGAAATTTTATTATGAGGGTTGCAAACTTTTTCTGCAGGATCCCACTTTGTGGCTTGATCTGCAGATATCAGTATCGCTTGCTGTTTGGTGCTATTAACAGATACAAGAGCAGGCATGACCGGTTTCTTTTCCCCTAGTCCATCAACAGTACTGTTCTTAATAGCAGGGGCTGAGAGCATGATCCTCCCAGATGTTGCAAGACTACAGCTCATCACCAAGCATCGTTCATGCTGGCTGCGGCTGATCAGAGAGTCTGACAACGTCTCGAGGGCCACAGGTTCCACAGCCCTGCTTTATGGTCAAGCCTGTAAATGTTATAATGCCAGTGATTCCCAAACCAGTTGAGCAAGGTTACGTGACCTGTAAATGGTTCCATTCCATTGACTGCTCACCAGATGCACACATATTCAAGCAGTACACACACACACACACACACACACACACACACACACACAGGAGCTTTCTGTTTACTTTCTCTAGCAGCAGGTTCACCAATCTGAGCAGCCAAAACTCACAAGACATAAAAATGCAGCTGAGTGATTACTTTAGCAGCTTTTGGGTCGAAGCAACTAGATACGTCCTCCAAATGCACATGTGGAACTCATACTGTCAAAGACTCACTAGGTGATACTACAGAAATACCAGTAGTGTGCATTTGTGGTTTCGTTCCATTTGCAAGTACGAGTGTCACAGCTTTCACAAACTGACAGACCTAACCTGCTTGAGAAACGTTTGTCTTTTCTTCTCTCTTTTGATATTTAGGTTCCAAAATGAACAAATGGCCATAATTTGCAAAACTGGAAAAAATACATGGGATCGGTATGGCGATTGAGTATTGCACAAGTTTTGGTTGTTCAGCATGAAGTCTTGTTGCCCGCTTTCAGTGTAATGCTTTTGTGTTTTTTGCCAGGGTTTACTTGTAGAAGCAGAGCCTTCTCTCTCCTGTCGAGTCGCTAGACCATCAGCCTGTTAATTTTCTTTTTTCCTAAAAGTACATAGACAGAGCAAACTTGAACATCCATTCCACCACGGGACCATCTCATGGATTGTTTTTCCAGCACTTACCTGTGTGGTGCATGTTAAAAATGTAACACATAGTGTTTAAAAGCATGTTTAAGCATGTGTTTGATGTGGATAGCTGCTGCAGGAAATTCCAACTCCTTGTAGCCTTGTAACTGTATCAAATGATTTATGGCACCTACAGGTATTTTGTGAAATCTGCTAACAGCTCAGGGCTGTAGAAGTTGGAATGCATTTTGTTTAGTTAAACCCACAAATAATTCAAACAACCATGTCATACTTCAGGCCAGTCCCATTTGAAAAAGACATCTACTGCCAACCTGAAAAACAGATAAATTTCACTGCACTCTCATATACTGTGATCAAAGATAAACTCATCCCTTTTAAGCATGCCAGCTATGGTTAACTTCATTGGCTTGGATTCTAAGATAAATTACCTTAAGGAAGCTCACAGGAAGAAATACTTCCTAAATTCTACTCACTACTGCGGTCACAAGAACAAAAAAGAGCCTCATTGGAGGGTTAGGAAGCCCCTCTGAACAATCTGAGATAGGGCATGGGAGGCTGAGAATCAGCCACAATTGAGCAGACCTCCGTCTGATTTTGAATGATTAACAATGTTATCCTCTACATGCCCACTCAGAAGTAGGGATGAGGGAGACATTCATTTCAGTTTGTATTTAAATGTGCACTGATAACATTAAAAATCTAAACAGTATAGGGATGAATAAGTAGACACAGCAATAATTGTAAACATCTTTTAAACACTTGCTAAAAGATGCATGGCTTTTAAACAGTGCTGGGGGACATGTGGCCCTCGAGATTGTTGTTGGACTCCAACTTGCATCAGCCCCAGACAGCATGGCTAATAATCAGGAATGATGGGAATTGTAGTCTAACAACATACGGGAGGCTACAGGTTCCCCATGCCTGGCTTACATTGTATCTTTCAGATGCTACAAATTCAAAATCAGATTGGACATTTCTTGGAAAACTCCCATCCACCTAACTAGGATCATTCCAGCTAAAACAGCTTATGAATCACCATTATCTAAGAACCCAGCTCTGCTTAGATTTGCATTCATCAGCAGCTCCTCTTAAGCTGGTCAAGATCAGAACTGGTCCCTAGGCCCTGTGGAAAACAAATTGAAATTTTGATTAGCAAAGAAGAAAGGAACTTGTTTTCAAGCAAAGAAGCTAGAAACCAATATTGAGATGCAGAATCAGATTCTGATTCAGAATAGACAAGAAATACTGGATGCATTCAAACCTGAAATTTGCAGATTAAAAGGACATTTCACTATTTAACATTCTAAATGTTGTATTGGATAGTTTTGTAACTAACAATCTGCATTTCTTACATCCTTAATTGTCTGTCCGTTGTGTTTTCCTGCAGAAATATCCATGTTCATTACATGCATTCTTTCCCCAGAAGTATCACAAACCATAGATTTGTTTGCATCTTCATGTACCTCTTGCTAAGTGTCTTTGTCGTGGTCTTTTGTCACCAGCTTTTTGTTATAGTTCGTTTTCGCCAAGTGCTTTGTTGCTGCGCAACTATTATTTAATGGTTTGGAAGTGTAATATAATACTTTTGTATTTTTCACAGGCTAACAAATAAACCACCACCAAGTGTGCCACCAGTAGATTATAGAGGTATGAACATGAAACTGTTTATTAACTGTTAATTAAGTCCTGTGGTTTGTACCAACCACAGTTTAGGGAGTTTGGGGCTTATAAAGGAAGGTGAGGGGCAAGTCAGATGTATCTTGCCCTTGGGGGTGCCCGTTCCTTGGTGGGGGCCCATGCAGTTGGCCCCCACCCAGATGGTTGGGTTAATTAAAAGTTATCTCAGCTACATGGAAACCACTCACAGAAGTGGTTCCGACATGGCTAGGGCAATGGTTAAATGGGCACTTAATCAATGACTTCATTGCATAGTGTCATGTAGCTAACGTGAACACTGCATCCCTATGAAGAAATTTGAATCATTACCTCGGCTATTAGATGTGAAAAGGCAACCGCAGAAAAGCTGCCTCAGCTAAAAGATCAAACCATAAGAAGTACCTAATGAAACATGACCCTTTGCTAGCTTTCAGAATGGTATTTAGGAAGCCTCAGGAGAAAAGTAGTACTGTACTACATTTAGGCATCAGAGGCTGTGATTTAAGAAAGCAGTTTTGGATGCCCATTATACACAGTGCCTTGGCCTCAGATTTCCTGAGTAACATTTTGCAAGATGTTTCCTCTCCTTCTTGGTTCCTGTTTAAACAGAGATGCTGACTTTCTTCAAGAAGAGGGGTTCCTGCATTTGCCTCGTTCCTGTCAGAAGATTGTATTAATGTCTCATGGAAATGGTGTGCAGGCAAGGGATAGGAAATCAGTGTTGCAGACTGGCTAGCATACAGCTATTGGGGATGGATGGTCAGGCATGCAGGCTTCCGCTGGGAAAAACGATAGCTGCAAATATCACAGCATCTGACAGCCTATGAGAAGTAGCCAAGAAGATAAACAAAGGGGAGGGGGAGCAGCTTTCCCGCTTTGCCATAAAATGCAAATACTGTATATTGTAGCACATGGTTATCGAATTGTTTCCTCAAGTACCAGTTCATTTCACTACCATAAATCTAAGATACAGTATTGGCTAGCTGTATGAACACCTCAGTTAGGAGCATTTTGTAGACAGAGTTTTGCAAGAAGGAAGTATTTGACATCTTGCTAACCTGCATGCTCTTCAGTGGCTAGCAAACTAATTTTATTTGTTTTTATGCAGAGGCAGAGGAAGAGGAACAGTGGTCAGATGAATTTGTAAGTATATTCATCACACTTCTACCATTGCACCTAAATAACTATAAATCTGAGTTGTGGAATTTTTGACTCCAAACCATCTATTTTTGCTTCCGTTTATATAAATGATATTATCAGTCTTCTAGTCACACTCTTGAAGAGCTGGAGATGTGTGGATGTGTGTGTGTATCTGCATTACTACCAAAATGCTCACAGCAGTGGTCTTGTGTCTGGATAATAAGAAGTTGTCACTTAGATCAGAACTGGATTTGGGAGTCCAATAACATCCGCAGGGTCACGGGTTCCCTATCCCTGACCTATGTAGTTCTGATCCCACCACCCATTTCCTCCAGCACCACTGCATGACAAATGCTGATAAGGTCTGCTATTTAGTACTGTCACCCCGCCTCACTGGCTGCCATTAGGATTCACCATGGGGCATAAAAACCCACTGAGTGTGCTACCAGCAAAAAAGTCACTGGTCCTCTATTCAAATTATTTCTTGTCTTGTTTTCCCTGAAACCCACACCCACATGGCTCTGTTCCTTTGCACCCAGGGTGGGGAACATCAGGCCCATGGTCCAAATGTGGACCTCCAAGTCTTTCCATTTGGCCCTTGGGACTGTCCTCAAGCAAAACACCCACAAGCCACACACACCCCTTCTTTCTTGTCTGGAATGGGTCCTTGACCCCCTGTGGTAAGGTTTCTGGCCTGGAAGGAGAATGGAAGTGTTTGTATATAGAAGCCTCTGACGTTTGCATAGCTGGAATGTAACTTAGGCATGTGATCAGAGTCCCATTCTTTGCTTAGTCCACTTTTGCAACTGCCCCTGCCCACCACTGCTATGCCGCTCTCAGAAGGTGGCCTATGAAGGTATGTAGCCCTTTGCTGTAGTTTCCTTGCCCCTGCTCTTCCCCATAATCGTAGGCTTCTTTGTAAACTCAGGACAGGTTTAGATTGTCAACTGAAGATGTGGACTGTCCCAGAAAATATTGCATCCAAGTTGTTTATTGAGCGCTGGGGAATGTTCTCATGTTGTGACTAGTCTCTGGCAGCCCATTCACATCGACAGGTAATCATTATACATCACAGGGACTAATCATGTTCATGTAAACACAGAATTAAAAGACTTTGGGGGAGCTGCTTACTTTTTGGGGTGGTGTTAAAAATAAACAATACTATAGCATATCTCAACCCAATGCACGTATTCTCTCTAAGAGTTGCTTCTTACAGGGTTCTAAGAAAATGAATGATGCACTATTTTTATTTTTTTTAGGATAGTGATTATGAGAATCCTGATGACCACTCTGATCCTGAGATGTACGTGGTTCCCACCGAAGAAAACCCTGATGACAGCTATGAGCCCCCACCAAGCGAGCAGGAAAAGAAGATTCCAGCAGCCTTCTCATGTGCTGGAGGAGAATATGCAGGTAATCTTTATGCCTCATTCTATGCAGCTGTTTTCCTATTCCAGAACATAATGAATGGCATAGAATTTGAAGGAAGCAGGAGGGATTGAAATGGTGGTCACACCCCATTTCCCCGGTCTCCTAATCAGGGCTGAGCCTCAGTAGGATGATCTTCCTGCATTCCTAACTCCCACCTTACAATTGTTTCCTTTATGTATCTGCCAAAGTGGGCTTGAGTCCATGAAAGCTCATGTCACAGTAAGTAAATTGGCCTTTAAAGGCCACAAGCCCTTTGTTGTTGTAATTTCTAATTGTCAGCTGAGGTTACAGTACCGCTCCCCCGCCTTTTTAATGGCACACACAAGTCTAGGGTCATTCATTGGATGCTTTTCTGTGAGGTGGAAAATTAAATTATAACAGAACTCAGAGCTGAGCTGCACATGACACCCTTCACAAAATTAGCACAAGTGACTTTTCAAAAGTCGATTTCAAGGGCAATCTGGACCAATGGGGCAGAGGGAGTCCAGAGCAGGTTCTCCACATCTGCAATCTACTTTTAAAATGCCAGGCATAGAAAAGTCCACAATATTATCCCCACCCCCAAGATATGAAGTTCCTGTCCAAACAATGAAGGGGTTTAAAAAATATATAGCTTGTTATTAAACAAAAAAGCTTTATTTTATTTTTAAAATTGCTGTGCAAGCTGATATGGAAAATATTCAGAACGCTCAGTTCTCTCAGTGGTGTTGTTTTCTCAAAAGTGATCAATTCCAGGAGTCGGATGATTTTTATGACTTCCCATTCCGTTGCCGGGGAGTCGAGGGTAGGAGGTATTTACAGCGCCCAGTTTTAAAACCATGCATTTTATGTCAATCCCCAGAAGTGTTTTTTGGCTGGGATCTTAGGGAGGGTTTCAAGCACAAGTAACTTTGACTGTTGATCCAGCACAATATACTGAACCTGCTTTGCAGGCACACTAAACCATAATAGAAATAAGCTACAGTTATTGTGTATGAGCAGCGTGCTGGTACGCACTGACGAAACCACTCCTGCCATGCTGTTAGAAAACAAGCCATGGTCTGGATTGGCATGTCAACTTAACCAAGGCTTATGGTTTGTTTGGTAGAAACAAACCACAAGCCCAAGTTCAGATGTCACAACTAGCCAGACAGCACAGCTGGAGTGGGAGAGGAGTGACGTGCCCATAGTTTCAGCAGCATGCTGTTCATTCACATTAAACCATTGTTTTTAACTATGGTTTAATGCACCTAAGGTCAGTTGCATGTCCTGTTCCCTGTACATCAGTCGCACATCTGAAACTGATCTCAGTCTATAAGTAGACTAGATCAAAATGGAAGGGGATGGAGGCACCCTTTTGAAAGTTAAGGATTCTTACTGGATTTTCTTTCTCGTTTACAGACAACAAGCAGCCTAGTCCACAGAAGCCTTGGCCCGTCACCAAACCACTGCCTACTTTGCCAAGCAACTCTTTATCTAAACCAAAGAAACTGGCCACTTTGCCCTTGCCGCCTGCTGCTCTCAGGCCAATACAACCACCTAAGCCTAAGGATGATGAGGTAACGCTGACAGATAAATCAGGATAGTTATTAGATACAAAAGCTAGGCACGGCCACCTTAAGAATGAATCCTCTTGAACATGGCGATAGGGAGGTCACAATTTAAAATAATAAAAATGATGACAGTAAGGATTTAAAAATTATTGTTCTAGGACAATTTGCCCATTATATGAATTTAGCACATTTCACATTCTCTACATACAAAAGATTCAGAAGTAGAAGGGAGAGTTGTAGGAAGCTGCATGCTTATTCCTGTAAATAATATTACCCTGGCACTAACAAGCACTTCACATACAGTTTATTTATAAAAGCAGGAGGAACAGAATGGAGATCAAGATAATCAAGGCATAGGGATAGGCACACAACTAGTGGCAGAAGACAAATATTAGAATTTCTCACTTGCTGTTGTTCTTAAAATAATAAAATAAAAGGAAATAATAGTAGTTATTTATCTATTATTATTATTATTATTATTATTATTATTATTATTATTATCATCTTCATCATCATACTAATCTTAAATCCCTGGGACTGGGAACAGTGTTAAAGTGATTGTACCATCTGAGGTCTTACAAACCTTCACATGCTCAAAGTGGAGACGTGCAAATGGTCTCATTTAACAGAATGGCAGTGTGTTCATTTATTGTTTGAAGCATTCATTGCATTGCTCCCCCAGTGCTCACATCACTTGTCATACTCCCACAGTTGTACTAAAACCTCTAGAAGAGAAAGGCTCAGAACAGGTTCTCAACCCAGACCTGTCACTCCAATCCTCGTGTAGGAGCTCGGATGTTCCCTGTGCAGTTCTGGAAGATCAAGGGATGTTCTGCTCCTTCCAGTATTCAGAGGATGTGCCCATATTAAATGGGAATGACGTATGTGTGGAGCATTCTCTGCCGTTGAAGAAAACTAGCTGCTCCTGCACATATGGAGTGCACTTGTGTGTGCACAAGAGGCCCCATGGAGCTTTGACTAATGGACAGTGAGTCACCCCCAAATTATTCACATGCAGTCGCAGTCAGACATAATCCATTCCCAGTATTACATTCTGTCCTTATAACAAACAGCCTTGGTCCCGCATAAATTACGGAGCATCATTCTCCCATCCTTTCTTCTTCTTTTGTTATTTCTTTGTCTTAAGGCTTGATACATTCATACACCAATCCAGGAAGAAATGCTACGGAACAAGAAGGAATAAAACTATTCATATATCAAATACAATTCATACACGGTTGATGCACCGAGTTTATTTTTTTATGAATTTATTGTGTTTTTATGCTGCTCTTTGGTCATATTCCCAGGGCAGCTGGCAAAATAAAAACCCACCCCAAGCCCCAAAACAATTAAACTGTAAATACAACTGTGTTACTGCTGTAAATACATTTTGCAGAATGCAAAACAAAAAGGGGAACCTGGTTCGTACAAGTAATAAAGCAGGTGCAACAAGTTTTAATTTCAGTTTAGTACATTGTTTTCCAAAAAAAATCAATACAAGGATTCTGTTCTGCTGAAAATTTAAGAATGGGTTCCCTAAATGAAAAGGTAGCAAATTGTTATCTTTGAATGTCATTATGATTATTATTATTTCCTTTTTTCTACCAAGAGGGGAGGGATAGACATGTGAGATTTTCTGACTTGGGTCCCAAAAGAAGCTTCCATCCCTTAATCTGACCACATCGCTTAGTGGTCTCAAATTGATTAATAATTGCAGAAAAAATCCTTGTGGAAACCAACAAGGAGAAAGCACCTACTTGTACAGAGCAGACATGGCGAACCTTTGGCCCTCCAGTGCAGCTGAACTATTAACTCCCATCAGTCCCAGCAAGTATGGCTCAATGGCTAGAGACTATGGGAGTTGCAGTTCAGCGACATCTGGAGGGCCAGAGATTCCCCAAATTTGCTGTAGAGGAGAAGTAAATCATAGCTGTTAGCTCAACTGCTATTTATTTGTTATTGGATCCATAGCCAGCCTGCTGTCTCAAAATCCCTCACAGCATCTTACAACATATAGTTAAAAACATTAAGCCAAGCATTGTAAAAGTACAAGTAAAGTAGTACCAAAATCTTAACTAAACCAACAACCTAAAACAGTTGAAATCACCCATAGGTCTGTATGGAGCAGCCATGATGCAATGGACCCCACTGCAGCTCAGTCCCTCCCCGACTTCAGAATGGCCCAGCATAAGGGGGGTTAGTATTGCACCTGATGTCATGCTCAGATTGGACATTGAAATCAATGGACTGAAGCTTCTTGTTACTTAATTAATTCCATTCATGTCAATTCATTCATTCTTGAGTCGGATACAACTCAAAGGTCTCAAAAGGGCCAGTTTTTATCAACTACAGTCAAACCTCTTCTTACGTCTGCCTCCGCTTGCATCCATTTCGCCCAATGTCCGTGGCAAACCCAGAAGTAACCGTCGGGTTTGCCGCCATTCGCACATGCACAGAAGTGGGAAATCACCACCTGCGCACAACGGCGCCTCTCCCAGTGACCCATTTTGAACTCCGGTCAGACATCCGGAATGGATTATTGTCGCAGGTAGAGGTTCCACTGTACTTAAAATCCTGGTGATGGATGCCAAGCAAGCAGACCTCTTTCTTCCATTATTCAGGTGCTCCCACAGAAAAACCTATGCTTCTAGCGCAAGACAGTTTCAGCACATACATGACATAAAACCCAAAACACTCAGTTAATCTTGGTTCACTGGAGCTGGGGGGTACCGTGGTACCTCACAAGACGAAAGCCTCACAAGACAAAAAACTCGGTAGACGAAAGGGTTTTTTGTTTTTTGAGCTGCTTCGCAAGACGATTTTCCCTATGGGCTTGCTTCGCAAGACGGAAACGTCTTGCAAGTTTGTTTCCATTTTCTTAACACCGTTAATACAGTTGCGACTTGACTTCGAGGAGCAACTCATAGAACGCGGTGTGGTAGCCTTTTCTGAGGTTTTTAAAGACTTTGGTGATTTTTGAAGCTTTCCCAAAACTTTCCCGACACCGTGCTTCGCAAGACGGAAAAAACCGCAAGACGAAAAAAATCGCGGAACGAATTAATTTCGTCTTGCGAGGCACCACTGTATTTATGGGAGAGGTTTCCCAAGCTTCGACCTTTGTGTGTGTTTTTTATTCATCGTCTCATAAAGACAATTTATCTAGGTGACATACTACATCTTCAATGTGTAAAACAAGGCTAAAACACAACACTGAATCCAAACCCGGCATAAAATAATGAAACAAACAACAGCCATAGCAACGCAACTATATAACATGAAAAGAGAACAAAAATGTACCAACCCCCATCAACCAGCAGAGATGAATGTTAAAATGATTGGAAGGGGGTTTTCCTCCCAAGGAAACTTGCTATTAATGGCTTTGCCAGGACAGAAAAGATAACAGTGGCATTTTCTACATCTCATTTATTTCACAGGAGAAATCTAATCATGTACTGAGAGCTCTGCATTGAAACCGCAGGGGAACGCACAATGGTCTCTGGCTGGGTCATGTGCTATTTTATACATACCCTATATTAACTCATCTCTGCATTTTCCTTCAGGCAGATTACGTTGTACCTCTAGAAAATGACGATGAAGAAGATAATTATATTCAACCCACAGAGGAGAGCACTCCGCCGCCTAAAAAACGTAAGCATCTGGGTTGTTGTTTTTTTACACACAACTTCATGAAGCCAACCAAGTGGGCAAGGTATTGGATCTGAAATGTGTAGGACTCCATTTCTGTCCAACAGACAGGAAGAAAATTCTCAGAATTGGGCGTACAAATTTAGCTAGCAGGGCCATTCCTTTTGATAAGATCCAGTCTCTTCCCTTTCCCTTCCAAAGGACTACAGAGGTGAAGGGAAGAATGCAGAAAATTAGGGCAAGCAAAAGCCACATTTTGAATCTGAGAGGTGATATTTTATGTACCGTATTTTTCGCCCTATAGGACGCACTTTTTCCCCTCCAAAAATGAAGGGGAAATGTGTGTGCGTCCTATGGGGCGAATGCAGGCTTTTTTGCGCACCGACCCCTCTCGCTCTCCAGGCTTCAGGAGAGCCCAACCGCCAGCCCCACAAGCTCAGGGGACAGCGGGGAGGCAGAACGCCGCCATCCCGCTGTCCCCCGACTTGGTTAGAAGACTGGCGGGGGGAGAAGCCTGCTCCTCCCCGTCGCCAGCCCCGCAAACTCGGGGGACAGCAGAGAGGCGCAAGCTCCCATGGCTCTGGGTCCCGTTCTGGGGGCTGGGGGAGGGGGAAGCTCGGACTTCCCCAGCCCCACGCCTGGGGGGGGTAATTTTTTTCCCTTTATTTCCCCCCCCCCAAAAAAATCTAGGTGCATCCTATGGGCCAGTGCGTCCTATAGGGCGAAAAATACGGTACATTTTTAAACTTTCCATAGAACGATGAGGGCTAGATTCTTGGCTGCTGATTTTAATATCTTTCTTTCTTTTTCTTGGGGTTCTGCACATGCCACTAAATTTCTGCTGTAGGATTGCTGAACCATGTCTCTCCATGTTTGAACAGACCGCTTCCTTTTTAGAAAAGGAGCTGTAATGCATATTTAAGTAGATCTCTAAAAGAGGGGGGGGCTGGCATATTGCTTGCAGCATAAAAGAGCAAATTTCAGTTTCAAACAGTTTTAAGGAAACTAATTTAGCCAAAAATACTATCCCCCAATACATGTGACTTTGGTTTTCATTAGTGTGACATGCCTATGTTTCTTTCATCATTTTAAGCCCCAGTGGTGAACAGATTGATCAAGCCCATGCAAAAACTTGATTCTCCCAGTTCGCCAGCATTGCCTCCTGTTCCTGCATCGCCTTCAACATTAGGTATGAAAGAATGTGTATTAGTATAATTATAAACACCATTTTATATGTTTTGAAGTTGTGGTTATATTTTGCAGTCCTTTTAAAAAGCCATCGTAAAAGCAAGATCTAGGTTTGTACATATATATTATTTTTTTAAAAAAGGGTGTTGGGAAACTGTGTCCCTCCAGATATTATCCCTGACCTGCAATCATTCCTAACCATTGGCTGTGCTCCTTGAATTTGCAGCAAACTCGGGGCTGATTTTGCATCATAAGTCATCCTGGATCTACTATGTTGCCAACTAGAGGAAATAGCTCACTGTTTTGTCTGATAAGACTAGCAGGCTTCATTAATGCTGTACAGTGTAAACAAGCCATGCCAGAGAAGGGAGTCTTTTCTACGCACATTGTTTGGAACGTCAGAAAGTTCATTCATAGTACTCCTTTCGGTTTCTTTGGATGGTAGCAATAACTTTGCTTTCAAATAAAACAGCACCCCCTAGTGGAATTTATTAATGCTATAACTATCCCTAATTTCATCCTTTGCATCAATGACAAGTGACATTATTATTTAACAGAGTTAGGAAAGCTGGGTTTGAATCATTTTTCCAACCAATTCCTTCTAATAAGTGAACATACAGACAGTAAAACACTGCAAGACAAAAGCTTGACTTTGTTCCTGCTGAAATCGATGGGATTTAACTCATTTGTCCTGTCACATTGATTTCGGTGAGGCCTGAATTCGCATAATTTAGTCTGGACATAACCCAATGTATTCAAGTCAGAAAAAAATAGAGCTTTGATAAAATGAAGTATGTTAGTAATATGCTTAAGAATTTTTTGCAAGGATCCTAAGATAAGTGAGCAGAAAACTTAACAGAAGGAAAATTTTCCATTCCCTCCCCTCAGTCTATATCCCCTTAAAACAGTGATGGCCAAACTTGGCCCTCCAGCTGTTTGGGGACTACAATTCCCATCATCCCTGACCACTGGTCCTGTTAGCTAGGGATGATGGGAGTTGTAGTCCGAAAACAGCTGGAGGGCCAAGTTTGGCCATCACTGCCTTAAAAGCTTTTCTGAGATGTTAGGGGACCTTCTTCAGTAATATGGGGGCGGACTGTTCAGGAAGAGCAGTTCCTGTTATGAGCCCCATGGAAACACCTTGACAGGAGTCGGTCCGATGGGGAGGAGGGGTGGGAAGAGATATGGGAACTGGAGGACTCTGACCCGCAGAGGGTCCCAGCAGATTGGGAGGTGCTGACATAGACCTGGGGAAGGGGCCGCGTTGGCTGTCAAGAATACAGCCTGCCTTAGGGTCATCTGATACTCCCAAGTGTAATGTCTTAGCCAGTTGATGGGACTCTGTTGCTACTCCCAGCCAGCGAAGAGCCACTCCCAAGGGGAGACACAGAGGGATCAGTCAGACCGTGAGCTGGCACTGTCATCACCAAGGAAATTGCACCAGTGCAAACAGACTTCACTCCCTCAACCTGCTCTCAGGAGTGCTTGTTTGTTTGACCAGGCCCAAACCTTGGGGCATCACAGTGCCTCCAGGAAGCCCTCCAGCAAGACCTGAGGATAATAGTTCTCTCCTGCTGTTTGCATTCAGACCTCCAAACCTGGAAGTAGCACATAGCCACAATGGCGAGTACCCAGTGATAGCCTTATGCTCCACAGGGTTTGTCCAGTCCAGGGATCACCAACCTTTGGGGGCAGTGGGCACCCTTGGAATTTTGGGAAACTGCCATGGGCACCGGTCCAAAATTGGCTGCTAAGGGGGGCGTGGCATAGCACAGACTATAAACTGACATCAACTACATAAATGAAAGTGTCCATCACACTCTTCAAAAGGAGAGCCCAGGGTGTGTTTCAGAAGCTTAGGTTCTACCTAGCCATGAACTCTCAAGCTCTGCCATGCCTCCAGGATTTGTGACCTGTAACCCAACTTATGTTTAGGTACTGTAGTGAATTTTGGAATAAAGCTTTCCCCCCTAACAACCCTTTGTCTTACCCAGTATTGTCAGTGAGGTCCCTGACTGTCCTTGGACAGTGGCGTAGCGTGGGGGGTGCAGGGGGGCTGGCCGCACCGGGCGCAACATCTGGGGGGGGGGGCTCTCGCACTCACAGCTCTCTGCCCCTACCTGGCTCACTCACTCTCTCTCACTGCAGTGCTGGCTGTGTGAATCCGATCCGAGCCGCTGGGTCGCCGCCCACTGTGGAGGGGGTGGGTGCCAGGCGTGCGGTGCGGAGAGAGAGCGAGGGACTATCTGGGGGAGGGACAGTGCAGCGGCCGCCCAGCGCAGCGCTGAGCGCGGGAGAGAACCACACCAGACCAGCCCAGGCAGCAGCAAGAAGAAGCTGGCAGCGGCGGCAGGTTAGGGGTTAGGGGGCGCAAATTACTTGCCTTGCCCCGGGTTAGGGGGCGCAAATTACTTGCCTTGCCCCAGGTGCTGACAACCCACGCTACGCCGCTGTCCTTGGAGGTTTCTTTCTGTGAACTTTTTTCTTTTCACTTGTCGTAGGACTGGAGCCAATGATGCTTAATATTGCTAATATTTTTTGTTTTATTCTGTTCCTAAATATCAGTGGCTTTTCACCTTTCAGAAACATTTTAGCATGATCTACAAGTATCAAATGTCCTGCCAAAACTGGTTATCATTTAAAAAAAAAATAGAACTCTCTCTATATATAGTCATTCCTGTATCTATATTTGTGCATGCCTGTTTTGAGTTTTGTTTCTAACTGCAGAACATCCTTCTTTTTCCAGATGTCTATGAAATTCCTGAGGAAGAGGTAAGACCTTATATACATGCTTTGCAAACCAAAATCTCACCTGTGCAGAAGGATCCTGTTTTTTACTGGAGAGAAGAAATATTCCATCCCCAGAGTGGGAAATGGCATATGGTCCATTTTGTGCTCAGATGAAACCGAGTGCATGTTCAGAACAGTATTTCACACATTTGAAATATCAAATGGAATACATTCTGACCACACTAGACATGGAAGTTTCCTTGTACAGTGGTACCTCGGGTTACATATGCTTCAGGTTACATATGCTTCAGGTTACAGACTCCGCTAACCCAGAAATAGTGCCTCGGGTTAAGTACTTTGCTTCAGGATGAGAACAGAAATCGTGCTCTGGCAGCACGGTGGCAGCGGGAGGCCCCATTAGCTAAAGTGGTGCTTCAGGTTAAGAACAGTTTCAGGTTAAGAACAGACCTCCGGAACGAATTAAGTACTTAACCCGAGGTACCACTGCATCTATAATATTGTGACGCAGGACTTCCAAGTCCCTTTCCATTTTCATCACTTCTTTTCCTCATTGCCAGGAATGTTCTGTTCATAGTCCTTCTTCTAAGAGCAACTCCATCCAATACAGCTTATGTCTCAACTCTGTCCTCTTGTGGGGCAGGTTCTGTACAACCTGTCTTTTATTTGGATGGGTGTGTCTTAGTTTTTTTTAGGTTTTATTGGCTTGTTCAATTTTGTAATTGGTTTTAGTGTTTATACTGTTTTGGAAATCACTTTGGGTAAACATGACTAAATAATAATATCAATAATAATAAACAATTCATTCTCTCCCTGCAGGAAAAAGCACTGCCTCCATTGCCCAGGTAATGTGAAACCTGTGTGAAATTCTGTATAAAAAATTATTATGTGATTCCCTGCACAAGTGTACGTCCTCCTAGAGGTGTATTCATCTACTCCAGATACTTAAGGCACATTTAGATCAATGGTTTATGAATGGACTAGAATTCAACTCGACTTAAGTGGAAATAAGGTGGGGTGGGGGGAGATCAAATGAGAGGGAGGTTTGGCTTTAGGCACCAGGCAAAAATGCTCCTCTTCAACCAGGCCTTGGGCTAATTAACGCCCAATGCCCTTTTAAATGTGTTGTGGGAGGGGGCATCCTTGGTTGGTTGGTTTTTTTCTTATTTTATGTTATATTTTGTGTTTTTTATATTGTATTTTTATGTTGTGAACCGCCCTGTGATCTACGGATGAAGGGCAGTATACAAATGTAAATACTAATAATAATAATAACAACTAACACCTTTAGGATTATGGCCATAGTCATCTGACTGGTGTACCTTATTTGCAAACTGAAACCATATAGTCTCTAATGCTACAACTGAGACCTAGGAATTTATTAGAAGATTGATGCATATTTATGGTTATCTTAATAGGAAAAATATGCCCAGCACCATCTTTTTCAAGAAATATGTCCTGTAAACTTCTTCCAGCATCTGTCTTGCCTTCCAGTTATGAGAGTATCTGGGCAAGAAAACTGCTCATTAATCCAAATTCACAACAGCTGGGCAAAACTTGTGGGCTAGTTCACATTTTTTGTAAACATAAACTTTTAATATGAAACCTAGACTTTTAATATTTTCATCCCTAAGGAATTCCAAGCAACTTCCCCCAAAACCTGGACAGAGACCTGAACCCAGAGGACACTCGCTTGAACACAGTGCAGCTAAAGAGCCCTTTAAACCTGACGTGCCCAGGTTAGTTATGAATAAAAATAAGAATATCTGTAACAATCGATGAGTATGTTACACGAAAAGGGGTTCACACTGAGCATTCAGTTTGGCATTGTGGGTACTGCATGTTCCATTTCAAATGCCCAGGCTCCATATGCACTATGCATTTAAGGCAGGATCATACCATTTTAAACAGTCAAGGCTCCCCGTAAAGAATCCTGGGAAGTCTTGTTTTTTAAGGGTGCTGATAGGAGTTGATAGGAGACCCTTATTCCCCTCTCAGATCTACAATTCCCAGAGTTGGGAATTGGGGTTGGTTTTGCTCTCTGCATTTTTCTTGAAGCTGTTGAGCAGTGAAAATTGTGTCCACTGTCCCGCTAGGTCGAAAACCATTTTGGGATTCAGGAAGGGTAGCCTCGGATATAGTTAGGAGATGTTTTGCTAAGATCCTTGCAAGAATTTTGCCAGCTGCAGCTAATAAAGAGATGCCTCGATAGCTTCTGCAGTCTGCTCTATCACCCTTTTTAAAACTGTTGATAATTTTGGCATCCCTAAAGTCTACTGGGATCTCCTCACTCTCCCAGATTTTTTTGATGAGCTTGTGAAATTGTTGTACAAGTTCAGTTCCACCCACTTTGAAGAATTTGGCAGGTATGCCATCAGGTCTGCTGGTTTTGTTGTTTTTCATTTGGTTAATAGCTGTACACAACTCTCCCAGATTTGGAGATACTGCAAGCTCATCTCTAATTTGTTTTGTGGAATTCGTGAGAGGACCTCAGCAGCTATGGGGGGAGTTGCGGTTAAGGAGATGCTGGTAATGTTCTTTCCAGCGCAGTGCAATAGCTTCTTTATCTTTCAGAAGTGTGGCATATGCATAGGGGGCATATGCAATGATTTATTGGTCCATAGATGGTCTTTGTAGCTTTAAAGAAACACTCTGCATCATGAGTGTCGGCTAAGTGCTGGACTTCTTGAGCTTTTTTTATCCACTAAGTGTTCTTTGGTTCTCTGGTTCTTCTTTGAACTTCAGCCTTAGCATTGGCATAGGTTTTTTTCTTAGTGGCGCAGTTCTATCTCTTTGGCAGATCTGAAAGGCCTTTCTTTTCTTGTCAATAATGTGTTCAATCTCACTATCATTCTCCTCAAACCAGTTCTGGTGTTTCTTGGTTTGGTGTCCAATAGTTTGTTCACAGGCTGCAATAATGGAGTTATCAGGGAACTCTGAAAGCAGATGGTCCTTAAGGGTTGTTTGGAAGCAATCTCGCTTAATAGGATCTTGAAGGGCTTGAGTGTTCATTTTGTGCCTTGATTTCCTTCCTTGAAGCCTGTGTTGAGGTATAATCTTGATAGCCATCGTGGAATGTATTAATCAGTGATCTGTCCAGCAGTTGTCGGCACTCGTCATAGGAGAACATCGCGGCAATATTCAGCTCGGACAATTACATAGTCTAAGAGGTGCCAGTGGTTCGACTGAGGGTGGTTCCATGATGTTTTAAATTTATTTATTTTTTGTTGAAAGAGTGTGTTGGTGAATAACAAGGTTGTGCACTGCACGTATAGTCAAAAGTAAGATTCCATTCTGGTTGCTGTTGCCAGTTCCTTCTTTCCCAATAGTCCCAAGCCACAGATCAAAATCTCTCCCAACTCTTGCATTAAAATCACCTAGGAGGATAATTTTCTCCTTAGGCATCTCTGATAGGATGGCATCCAGCTGAGAATAAAAAAATTCTTTAATGTCTTCATCGATATCCAGTGTTGGTGTATAAGCACTTAAAAATAGTAGCCTGTTGGTTTTTGGTGAGTTTTATCCAAAGGGTTGAAAGTTGTTTAGTGCTGACATAACAGCACTAAATGTCAGACATCTCTGCTTTACAGGAAGTCCACTAGTCTCTCTCTATATATTCACATAGTTCATCCTAATCAGGGTGCTCGCTACAACAAAAGTTTCAGGTGAAACTGAAATTATAGCAAAGCAGATAATTACTATTACAATTAAGAGCTAAAAGTTTGATTGAAACATTTTATATGCTTTCCAGAAATGTTTTGCCACTTCCTAGGAACCGGCCTCCACCAAAAATTGTAAGTTGTTAACCACCTACCTAGTTTGAAAGGCAATTACTTGCTGTTGCTTGAGGGACAGAAAACCAATTACCTTCTGATTTTTGTGGAGAAACAAGTCCTCTTGTCCTGCTTGTAAGCTTCCCATTGGCATCTGATTGGCCACTGTGGATAATAGACTGATGGACTAGATACATCTTTCTTCTTATCTAGAAAGCTTCTTTTTATGTTGTGCTTTGAACTAACGAAGATCTTCACCAAAGGATTGGAAAATGGCATTTCTTTTTCTTCCAGTTTTGTCGAAATAATTTAGGAGAGCTCATCTCCTCTGATTAAGATATTTGTTGGCTCAGAATCCTTCTCTGATTGTTCCTTCAGTTTTCTGTGGCTTCATAATCTGGCTTTTCTTATTAAGTAAATGTTGTTTGGTATATTTATATACCAAAATCTGACAACTGTTATTTTGATTTCAGGAACCAGATAGCCTCGGAATACAAGATGATGACAGTAAGTATATTCTGCCCTGGACACAATTGAGGGGCCTTTTGTACTAGGACTGGAGGGCATCAAAAGCCACTCCAGCACCAATTTCATGCCTCCCTCTTCATTCCACTTATACTGAAATCCTAACAGACTGGGGCTACCATTCATACATCTGCACTGTTAATATTCTCTGTGTATCTAATGCATATATTTCTGTGGCATATGTATTTCAACTTGGAGCCCTCCAGAAGTTTTGCACTTCTACACCTATCATTGCTGGGTATTGGCTACGCTGGCTAGAGATGATGGTAGTCAAAAAAGAGGGGGCACTAAACATTGTGTCTGGATTTTCAGCTCTCAGCAGCAACAGTGCTCCAGAATTCAAGGCTCCTTCTGCTACAGTCCCATCTCCATTTCCACGGATTCCGTAAGTTATAAAAAGATGTTACTTTAGAACTATTCCATGCACTCTCAGCATGTACTGGAGGCAGTAAAGTAGAGGCTGTCCTATGCATTAAACCCATTATATAAAGGACCCCACTGGATTCTTTTTAAAATGCTCATCACCATTAAGCCGAGCAACATAAAAGTTGGGTTTCCATGGGCTGGATTCCCCACTTCTAAGAGGGCTTTCCTGCCTCCCTGTTCCCACTGCAGTCCTCTGTAAAGGCTCTTGGAAGGTCTAAGGATTTCTCGGGCATGGCACTTGATGTGGCAGGTGGGGCTGGAGGAGGAGGAAGGGGGGTGGATTCCCCTTGTGTGAACCAAAATGCCTTTCACTCATGTAGTGACGCTTTTGCCTCCAAGCTTATGAATCACATGCAATAACTCTCTCTTTTCTTTCCCTTGCAGGAAAAAAATACCAAATCCAGCACTGCCATCAGTAAGTTGATTTTGATTTTTAAAATATTATTACACATTGAATAATAAATGAGAATACAACAAAACTTTCAATCATTCCAGAACACTAAACAGTGCTTAACACAACCATTATCCTAAATCAGCCACGTTGTTCCAATTTCTCGGCGCTAAATGGTAAAGAGGCTATTTGTACAGTGATTTTTGCTTCTGCTGACAACCAAATCCTCAGTGTGCTACTGAATGGAGCAGAAATTTATTACAGCTAATTGCTGTGGCAGATATTTGGTGCTTCTCTTCTTACAAAGTACAGTACTTCTGTGCCTAGCGAAGGATATCCTCTACCACAAGCCTAGAAGGGAGCAGGGATCTCAGTCAGTTGTGATGTCAGATCAGTGGATGAAGAGCATTTTACCACACAATCTTAACCCAATTTACTTCCTGTGTCCTCGTAGAAACCAAGCCTCCCTGACAGAGACCACCTAAGTGTTATTGAAGGTAAACTACTTCTACTGTTCAAACATTTGTCTACCATCTTCTTATTAATAATGCGTAAAACTCTGTAGTGCTGCAAGGCCACATACACTACTGAATCCCACTCAAGGCAGGATTGATTTTGTCTAAGGCTGCTATGAAAATTTCAGACAGGGGTAGACCGTAGCTCAATGGCATAGCACATGCCTCCATAGCATCTCCAGTGAAAAGACCAAATAACAGAAGATGGGGAAGACCTCTTCCCAAGACAATGGAGAACTGCTTCCAGCTGGGGTAGAATGGATGGGCTAGATGGAACAACAGCCTGACTACTAGAAGGCATTTCCCTCTATTCCAAGAGAGCTTTTGCAAAATAGAATTAGCAAGGTATTTACAACCACATCCAGTTACTAGATGTACCAACTAGCAATGTCATCTTCTCCTAAAGTGTTTAGCGTGTATTGCCTGGATTTGTGCTATAGGGTGGGAGGGGGTGCAAGTAGATTGGTCAGTGGTCTACTGGGGCTTCACCAGTCAGTGATCTGCTGATGGACCATCTCCTGCTTGCTGGGCTTCTTGCAAAAAGTGCTGAACTAAGTAGTCTACATCCTCCAGGTCATGAAATATAGACTAGTAAAACCTGTTAAAGAGAGCCTGGATATTCACTTTTGCTTTGCAAATTTATCAAGTGCATGTGAACCATGCGGATTCTCAAGAGAGAAGACCACCACACAAGTCTGAAGTCAGCTCTGGCACAGTGCACTGTGCACCCATCTCATTCTGCTCATTTCAACAAGGTGCAGTGGAATTGGTAAAAAGTCTCGCTTTGTTGCAAGGTGTTGAGCAAGTGGTATCCAGTTTCCCTTCCACCTGTACGTATAATGCCACTCTGGTTGTAGAACTGAGGACTGAAAGCCTGAGAAGCCCGTTTTGCTCTCCTCTTCAGGATTGTACCTTGTATTGCTTTATAGCCAGAAAATGAATGCTGTATGATAAAAGGCACAATTCAGATGAAGATAGCCAAACCAGATTCTCAGCAGAGTGCAGATGAAGGACTAAAAGCTGTTGTGCCTTGACTTTCAGTAGTTGCAGCTGCAGCACAGCAGAAAGTGGAAGGTCAAATCACAAGGTAGTATCCTTGCCGCTCATGCAAGCTGAGCTACGCAGTATGTCACCAAGGGCAACCGAGACCCATTTGCATCCTTTCCCTAACCAGACTTCTCTTTTTCCAAATGTAGATAAACCTATACCAGCCGAACGCCGGCGCGTTTCCAATCATGATATCCCTCTTCCACCCATCCCACCCAGCATCCAAAAGTAAGCACATAATTTGCTTTAAATTTTTCGTTTTTGCTCCTGAGTTATGATCTGCTGGTTTCAAAGTCTAAAAAGAAAGAGAATCCAAAGTGGGTACAACTGATTATTAGGCAAGAGATGGAATTAGGTACAAATGTCTTCCTTAACAATTTGCACATTAAATCCTCATAGATGAGCACACTGCCATGTAATTGTATTGGGGCCCTGATCCCCAGTGCAATCACTGCCATTGCCTTTCACCCTCAGAAGAGGGGGAAATGAGCTTTGGAGCACCTAAAATTAAAGAGTAAAAAAAAAAAAAATCCCAAGGTGCAAGCATAAAAAAAGTCAAGACAAGTAGTTTTAACCAGAACAGCATGTAAGCTCCAAAAATTGAAATATTGTTTCTTTAACCTCCTGACATTGTTGCACAAATTGGAGTTTAAGTGCTATTACTTGAGGAAGCTACTGACAATTTAGAAGATGCCCCTCTTTTCTTTGTGGCAAATATTTCCAGCAGTTGGGCGGGCATCATCAGCAAAACATAATGAATTGGATTTTAACAATTGTTCTTAACTCCTCCCAACTGCAGCTCTGCATCCTTTTCTTCTACAAGCAGAGCATAGAACAGGCTGCAGTTAGAAGAGAGAACTGTGCAAGTAGAGCTGCCTTCTGCTCACACTAAGGTTCTGTGGATACAACCCACTGTATTTATAAACAGCAGACAGGGGATCCTGCAAGAGCTTGAGTAAATTCTTCTCCAAAAAAAAAAAAACCAGGAATAAACCAGAGGAGAACATTTCCTTAGGATTATAAAGGATGTATAAGTTTCCCCGAAGGAAAAAGCATGTCAGAAGAACCTTGCTGGACTTCCAGCATCCTATTCTCAAAGTGCCAACCAGGTTTCTCTAAGAAGCCCACAAGCAGTACCCAAGCGCAACAGTAATCTCAGCACATACGTTCCCCAGTGATCAGTGTTGAAAGTTATACAGCCTTTGGTAGTGGAGTCAGTACACAGCCATCATGACTAACAGCCATTGAGAGCTTTCTCCTCCATGAATTTGTCAGCCATTGGTAGCCACTGTGAATTTGTCTAAGCCAGGCGTGTCCAAAGTTTGTTTCAGGGGCCTAATCCAGCCCCTTGGTTGGTTTAATCTGGCTCCCGTGGCAGTTTATTTCCTGGGGTAAAACCCTTAAAAAACCTCACTTTGGTTGGCCCTTCACTTCATCAAATTTGGCCCTCTTTGAAAAAAGTAAATAAACTGCCACGGTAAGCTCTTTACAGTAAATACCACCCTTTTTGCTGCTTTGTATTTTTCTTTATTCCCTGTACGGCTTTCTCCTTTTCTGGTTAAAAGAAATGGTGAGCAAAATGCAGTTCCCTCGCTTACCTCAGTTGCAATGTGTAATACCATCCTGCATTTCCTCAATTTCTGTTTGTTTCAGACCGCTGCCTCCGAAGCCAGCAACACTGCCAAGTAAGCCCTCCTTCATTTGACTTAAGTTGGGGTGGGTTTCCAATTCATGCATCTTCAGCACGATTAAGGAAGATTCCTCTCATGCTGTCTTTATGACTGGCATGGCAGCAAAGGCAATAGGCAAAGGGGGCTGCAATTTTATATAACAGAGCCCTCTCTTGTTTAAACATGGAATGTTACAGGTTGCCTTGTATCTTCCCCAGGACTCCCAGAACCTGTGAACCGCACCTCATGTGCTCCACGTAGCAGTAGCCTGCAAGGTGGTTCTACTGCAGCAGAACAGGTACACCACTATTGAAATTCATTTTTAAAAAGAGGGGGATTGGAGAGTGTGTTCCACAAACATTTGGTCAAGATATAATACAGCCGTAGGGAATTTCCAGGCCCTGGGCAGGGCTCCCCATTTAGCACACCAGGTCGTTTCAGCCAAGCCACTCTCACCTACCTTACAGCTGATGTCATATATGATGTCAGGTGTGCGGCAGGTAAAAACTCAGCTGGGCAGAAAGGGACGTTTGCAAGTGCCAATGATAAACTGGTTGTCAGCACTTGCAAAGTGCTGTGCCTGTGTCCACCTGGGTGAAAATGGGTCACTGTGACATCAGGTGATAAGCCTCACCCACCTGTCAAACTAGACATGCAGGGAGAGGGTACAACAGATTCCTCCTATTCTAAAATGCCAGTCCTCAGTTAGGTCCTTCAGCCAGTTCACCACAGACAAAAAGCATCTTTTAAAACAAATAACCTGTTTAACATTCATTTCCTTTATGAGGAGTTAAATCTGTTGCAATTACCATACTCGGTGTGTGGACTGATTACATTTAAGGCCACTCTACCAGAAACTAAGCAAGTGTGGGTCTAAGATGGGAAACCTCCTAAGGACCACATGGGTAGGTCGCCTTGTGTTCCATGATAAAATAAAGGTGGTTAATAAAATGTTAGTAAATACAGCAGAAAGGTATGTGGGAACAACTATTAGCCACACAATTAAGTACGGGATATAAGCTCTTTTGTCATGAATTCTGTAGCCTACATTTAAAAACTCTTCATAACCTGCATTTTAAAAATAGAACAAAAGTCATTTCATGAATAATTCTGAGAGTACGAAATATTACACTTGTGAATGTCTGGTGGTTCCCTCACTGTGAGAAGTGAGGTTACAGAGAACCAGGCAGAGGGCCTTCTCAGTGATGGCACCCGCCCTGTGGAATGCCCTCCCATCAGATGTCAAGGACGTAAACAACTATGTGACTTTTAGAAGAGATCTGAAGGCAGCCCTGCATAGGGAAGTTTTTAATGTTTGATGTTTTATTGTGTTTTCATTTGCTGGAAGCCACCCAGAGTGGCTGGAGAAACCCAGCCTGAAAGCTACGCAAATGCTAGTTCATTTATAGATATGTATAAATTTATACATTGCCTCTTCATTCATATATGCTTCTGATCTTAAATATGTATTCCGATCTTAACATTGGTTTGTTAAGGCAACACAGCAAATCAGTGCTTTTTTTTGAGTGTGCAGATGGAAATGCCTCTCCTTTTCACAGGATGCCAGCGTTCATGGTAAAGCATGGTTTATGGCTTCAAGTGATCGAAAAACAGCTGAAGATGCATTATACAAATCAAACATGGTAAAAAATAATTTTCCAAACACTCATAGCTTGTAATAACTCCTTAGAAGCATAGAAGGGGAACGGAACTTGAAATTTACAAAAGAAACATCAAGAGGCATATATACTGTATGTCTGACGGGAACAAATGATACTAGTTACAGGCTTTTCATACAATATAATTTGGGAACACTGATCCCAGAGCCCTCTTTCACAATGCATAATTCAGCCAGTTTGTGCAAAGATTAAACCGTTCCAAGTCTCTTAAGAAGGCTGAGGGGTTCGCTGCAGGCTGACACAGAGTAATGGGATAGAATTGCCACCTTACTGATCTTGCAATGTAAGTTTACCATAAAGGCAAAAATGCACATTAGACCATGCAAGGGATGAAAGGAACCACCAAAATAGGGATCTAATCATTCTTATTTGGGTCTGTTTAAATTGATGGACCCATTCTGTTCTACAGGAAAGAGTCTTGTAGAACCTTTAAGCATGAACACATGTATTATGGCATGTGCTGTCCTGGACTTCGCTTCATCAGTGAAGTATTAGCCGAAGTTGCAATTCCATAGGTACATGGTTAGATGCTATGAAGATTTATCCTGATGTAGAACCTGTCACGAAAAACTGATTTTCCAGTCTGGGAAAGGAACCCACTTCCTAACTACAGAATCCTGCATTCTAGAACAGAATGCAATATTCTTAACAAATTCTACACACCTCTCTCTCTCTCTCTCTCTCTCTCTCTCTCTCTCTCTCACACACACACACACACACACACACACACACACACTTATCTTGTCACATTCTGTAGAAAAAGGCCATTTCCTCACTAGCACATGTAACACTAGCATAAGCTATATATAATAATTCAGATACAATAATGCAGTTTGCCTAGGAGACTTTTAAGCACCATTGATGTTAATTGTGAAGGTAAACAATAGACTTTGCCCAAGGGGAGTGGGTAGACACCAACAGGGATGATAAAACTAGAAGACCCTCATGCTAATATTTGGGAGAGCTGCACATTAGCTAGCATTTTTCAGTCTGTTAAGATCTTAGGAAAGAAAGGGTTACAGGGGGAAATGAATATCTATGTTATGAACCCTCATTAGTATTTGCTTTTTCATATATGACTTCTAGGATGGATCTTTCCTTGTAAGGAAGAGTTCAGGACAAGACTCAAAGCAACCATATACACTTGTTGTGCTTTATAACAAGAGAGTATATAACATCCCAATCCGATTTATTGAATCAACAAGACAGTATGCTCTGGGCAGAGAAAAAAGTGGCGAAGAGGTAGGTGATTGCATTTCTGTTTTATTTGGATGGAAATTTTAGTTACATTGCTTCTGGGCATGATAATGTATAAAAAGAAAATCTTTTTAAAAACTGATTTAATATTACTTTTCTTACACATTAAACTAAACAGAAAAGGAGGTGATTCAAATCCAAACGAGACCTAATTAAAATGTGAGTGCAGTTCTTTTTAACAATCAAGCCCTTCATTAAAGAACTCCCACTGGGAGCTCCTAACTGTAGCTTTTCCCTTAAAGACAATAAAATGAAAAGCACACCAAAATACTATCATTTATCCAAACTGTAGGGATGTTGTGCAGGTGGGGGCTTGTGGGGATGATAACAACTTAATTGAATGGAAGACAGATACACTCAGTTCCCACTTGTAGGCCACTTCCCTTCACGCTATGAAGAAAATAGCCAAACAGTTGGATCCAAAGGTGTCTTATCTTATTCTCTCGGAACACTTGCTTTACACTTTGCTTTGTGCTAGAGTATGAAACTAAGCCCACAGAGGGGGAAACAGCACTATTTGAACTCTTCTGCTACCCTTTATATAAGTGGGGCAGCACTCAACACTACACTAATTTTGCTTGTGAGTAGGATTCAAACAGTCATTAATTAGCAACTTCATAAAATTGACTGTACAAAGGACATTACTGGATTTAACAACAATTGCCATAGTGTCATGTACCGTCGATCCAATTTTACTCTTCTCTTTCAGAAGATTTTAAACAAACTCTGCTGATTCTGAAAGTTCTGACCAGTACATATTACTTGTCAGGCAACTAATTTTTGCCCCCCTCCCCACCTCCAAAAAAAAGTGTGTATTTAATGTTTGGGGATTATATTGTAATAAAAGCAAGTGTGTATATTGTCTTCTCACAAAACTGGAAATTTAGTCGAAGTATCCACTGTTAAATCAGAGAGCTCAAAAGTATTGTTTCATATTTTTAATTCTCTCTTGGGGATAGCCTTTATATTTGTGCTAGCACAGTTGTAGTACACATTGCAGCCTAAGGCTGCAATCCTAACCGTATCTACTCAGAAATCCCACTGAATTCAATGAGGCCTTCTCCAAGCAAAGAATGCAGCCTTTAGTCTTTTTTAAAAAACTAAACTTTAAAATATTGAATGTCCTTGAAATGTTAAAAACTTTACTGTACTACCGCATACGAAAGAATATCCTTTCACTCTGAAGAGAGTAAAATGACATTGTTGAGTTCTTTTGATCGATATTTCATCTTTAAATTTTAAGAGGTGTAAGTTTTTAGTTTTTTTATGAAACGTGGAAGTGTGTTTTTCTTCAGTCTGTCATTAAATTTAAGACAAAACGTTAATTCAAAGCATTTAGTTTCCAGTGTCATGAGTAAAATTTTGCTCTGCTTCATCCACTTTTTAATATGACTCTCAATGGAGCCTTGTAAAACCAACACAAGTGCTGGAATGAGCCTGCTAAGCTCTAAGTAGGTGAAACTCGAAAAATTAGAATATCGAGGAAAAGTTCATTTATTTCAGTAATTCAACTTAAAAGGTGAAACTAATATATGAGATACTCATGACATGCAAAGCGAGATATGTCAAGCCTTTATTTTTTCTAAATGTGATGTTTATGGCGTACAGCTGATGAAAACCCCTGTATTATAATCAAAGTTTAGTTGTTGTTTTTTACCCAAATCTTGATGATTCAGTTTTTGGCTGAACCAGCAAGATTTGTGTTTTCATCCATGTTGAGTAAGCCATCTTGAACTCTTGTTTTCCCAATCCAGCACTTCAACAGTGTGGCTGAAATAATAGAGAATCATCAACGGACTTCTCTCGTTCTCATTGACAGTCAAAACAACACAAAAGACTCAACCAAACTGAAATCTATTGCTAGAGTATCATAACTGCACTGAAGATCCACGGGGGGGAATCTTCCAGCCCTTATCTTCTGAGAATTTAAGATTGAGCATCTTAATAAGCATGAAAAGCTTTCTCCAAAAGCTTTACACCAAGCACCATAGCCTGAGAAGACCACACAATGTGTAAGAAGAGAAAGAGAGATTTTATTTGATATAGTTACCCAATCTTTGAATAACCTACTGGTTGGCTGAATGATGAAGTGGCAATTTTACAGTCACACCAGCCTCTAAGTTGTTATGTACTTGAATGTACTTAGGTACTTTTAAGATGTTCCAAGTTCAGGTAAAGTATTCCTTGACATGCAATATATTCAGAAGTGTACCAGCTACATCTTAACTGTTCTTAAAGCAACTTCTTGGGAAAATTCACATTTGTTAAACCAGGATGTCTACGCCAAAATGAGCCATCATGGAACAAGCTAAAAACTGGACCTTTTTTCCCTGGGACAGGTCTAAAAATTCAGTTCTATTTAATGTAATGCAGTAGATTTGTATTGGCTTCAACTGTGCTAGTTGAGAGCATTGTTACATGTTTATTAAATGTACATATAAATAAGAATATAAAAAGCCTATGATAGAGCATAGTTCTATGCAATTGTGACTGAGTGTACTTGTTGTAATCTTTCACGTTTAAAGTACAACTTACCTACCTCTCAAATTCTATTAAAATGGGACATAATCGCACACCTCTGCTTTTTTAGAAATGGGTAACAGGCAAATTCCTTGTGCTAATGATTTTACTGATTGTGGGCATGCAGGATCAGCTATCAAGGTTAGACTTAAGTTTGGAATTTTAGACTGTGTACAATTTAGGACAGGTGGGTATAAAATGAAAGTCTAATCATTAACTGATTCTTGAGGGGAGGGGGGTGTATTTTCCTCCATCACAGAATTTAAGACAAGATAGAAGGCACAAAACATGGCTTGGATCCAGCAAGATAGCCACAGTGCTTATGGAGCTTTTCCTATAATTAGCAAACAGAGCTCTGTGCGTTTCTTGCCTTCTGTCAGTGAAACTAGAGTTGAGATTTTGCTCACTTTCCAAAGGACAACCCCCTTATTTCTAATCAATGGCCTTATTCCCCACCTTCCTTTTCCTTCCAGATATATTTTGCATCAGTTGCATTTTACTACACCCCAATTGTTATCTAAATAATTTTCCACTTGATTCTGAGTTATGCTAGAATTTTTTGGACACAGAACATGTGGCTTGCCTTCCTGTTACTTCAAAACTGAGTATTTTTCTTAAAACTCCAATTTCAATAATAGTGTTTCTAAATGAGAATTGACAGCAAAGACCTGGGGTCACGTTTTTTGTCAAAGCTCTGATAACTACTCTCCTTCAGAAGGGAAATGTATTTCTGCTCAAAACTACACACTTGTATGATTGTATAGCCAAATGATTTTCAGCTCTCATCTCAAGGTGAATAAAGGTACTTGAACAATGCCTCCAGCACTATCCTAATTAAACCCAAGCCCAATTTCAAAAGTCCTTTTCTTCCAAATCACAGTAAGTCGTGCTGGACCTACACAGGATATTATGGTTAAGACGTGAACTTTTTTCTTTCCAAATCAACCAATTCACTGTTAAGCGCTCTTCAGGCATTCTATGCAGAAGTAAATTTCAAAAGGGAGATGGGTTGATGAGCAAGCTATCTCTGCCCACTTCTGCTGCTTCTTTTAGAAATTCTCTATGGATGCAAAAAGCTGCTCTGCAGAGAGTTGCCTTCCACAAATTGGAAGGCAAATGAAATGGAGACAGGTTTCCCCACTGCCTACCCTCACATTTTTACTTATATCCTCATTTGGAACACCTGAAGAGGCCTATTGTTTTACAGCAAACGAAGCATGTTTTTGGAACCAGTTTTATAGTTTACCATGACTAGGCCTGTCACATACCATGTGATTTGCAAAAACGAAAGTGGAGTAGGAAATGTTTTTTTTCTTACCAGTCAGTATCGCTACATTAAGGAATACTTCATTTGGGTTTCAAATTCAATTAATGTAGAGTCAGTTGATGAACAACAAGCTGCAGTAGCTTAGGGAAGAAATGGTAAACCAGCAACAGGACTGATGCTCCAGAGTTGGGGCAAGTATTTTTACACAGCAATCTTACACATTCACTCACAAGCAAGTCCCATTGACAAGAAACTCAGCTTCTAAATGCAGCAGCAATTTAAGGCCGTTTTCCTGCCTTGAGTACATAATACTAGAAGTGAATGCCATTTAACACAGATATCAAAATTGTATAAAATCTACCATTTCCTCAAAACCTTTAGCAAATATGTATATAAATAATATGATGCTCTCCAACCTTGTTAACTGTGACAAAGGATTAAAATTTAATAGCAATGTTACAAAAAAAATTAGTGGCAAAAATATTACAGTCACCTTACAAACACCCACTCATGCAGCATTAAAAGTAGTTGTGCTGTAGCAGAGAACAAAAGCCACATTACAAATATACTGCCTGGCTGCTCTACAGCTCAAGCCATGTGGCTGAACTTTTGTGGATGGCATATAAATATTTAAAAGTCTAGCAACAGCCTTACAAGATCTCCTTTCTGGCTTGCATGTTTGTTCAAACTCTTACATTCAAGGTGAGGCTTGTGTCATTATGAAATATTTTCTTTTATAAATACCCAAAATAATTATGAATATAAAAGTTGGAATGTCCACACATGGAAATAGATGCACCATACTACCTCCTTTAGTAAACTTATATTGTAGCTACCTTTTTTAAAAAAGCGTGCATCCTGTAATGTATATGAGGATGTCACCTCAAGTAACTAAGACCATTTTTTAAAACTATAAATTTCTATCGGCAAGGTAATTACTGAATGTTACCATAAAGACAGTGTTACTCACTGTTTAAAATTATTCAACACAATTAAAGAACAATATATCTCTGTAACAAATTTATTAACACCAAGCATGTGCAGGGGAATTTTTAAGAGGTAATTCTGAGTTGCATTTCTTGTTTAAAAGCACATCATTTTCCTGAGATACTTTACTTTGTAGGAACTGTTTAAACACTGGAAAAAATACAAATGTGAACCGGTTACTGCTCATTACACTTGATTTTTCTCCCTGCCCCATTCCCTTCAGATATGTCTAAATTTTCTACAGAGGACCAATATATAACTTAGGTACTGAAACACTGCCAATACTCAAATTACTCCCTGGCCTTACAACACAAAAATTAAGTATTTGTTATTTCTATCAATACGGATTATTCACAAAATGCCTGTTCAGACTTGACTTGCTAGGGACAAAGTTGTCTCAACACTAGTAGGTGTTGGGGCAGGTATATTTCTCTTTATCCCTTTCACTTTGGCAGCGGATAGGAGGAGAAAAAGTACTGTTTGATCCAGGCTATCATATACTTATTTAAATGCTGAAGATGTCCAACACATTTTCCCCCAAAATCAAAGATGCAATGTTCTGTATTACAACATGGATTATTGCACAATCAGCAATAACTTCTGCCAAACTGAGATTTCTCTCTTTTCTGTCCCATATGTAATATCTGAACAGGCCAGACAATTTAAAGATGTAATCTCTAGCCTACAAGGAGAAATAAAGACTGACTGCAGGCTATAAGAGGACAGTAGTTTGTATAGTGGATTGTGAATCAACACAACTAAAAGCCTGAGAATCTTGAGTAAAAACCTGATACCATTTCTAGAACATAGCAGCCAGTGCTATACTGTCAAAAAGACAAAAATCTATTCAACAATTAAGAGACCACAATCAAAACGCAAAGAGTTTTTTGTCCAAATCAGAAGATAACCAAATATAAGAGGGTTTTCTTTCCTATTGTGGAGTGACAAATACTCCAGAATTTTATGAGGCATCAATGTATGGGATAAGAAAATCTAGATTGGAGCACTCTTTAAAAACTAAGTTATACTCTCTAGCCACACAAAAAGACTTACAGAAAAATAGCCATAATCCGATTTCTAGCAAAACCAAAGCCACCACAGCCACAGGCTGCCCTTTATATACATCTGGTGGCAAAATTATTCAGTATAACACAAATCATACTGATTTAATAGGGATGTCAAACATCCACTTGGAATGTTCTTCAATGTACTGTACAAGTTGTGAATACATTATATTTACAACTGATCTCATTATCAGGCTTAAACACAATAACATGTTTATTGATTTATATGAAAAATACTTCACTAAGAAAGTAGACAAACTGCACAGAAATAGTACAAGTGTCATGTGCATAGCAATATAGCTTAAAGCATTCACATATGGCTTTGTTTAAAAGAAACTGTTAGAAAACCTGGCCCTATGAGGGCCTGTGGTTATACAGTTGACACAAAGTAAACTGCTTCACATCTTTTAGGCACTTGCTAACAACAGTGTTCATCCCTGGAAAAGAAAAGGGGGCTGTCTTGAAAGAGCAAGGAAAAATACGGCAATAGCTGTGTGTAGCTGAAAAACATTTTTTTAGTAGTGCATGCACAGAGCTGAAAAAATACAATTCCTGTGCAAGATTTTATAGCAAATAACTGAAGTATAAAAATATGTACACACTTTGATTTTTAAATATATACATAACAAAAGCCCTGAAATTCATTCTCTAAATATATCACATGATAGTAGTAACAAAATGCAATTTGAACTGCAATTGAAGCTATTTAAATTAAATTCATACAGGATAATTTTAGGTGTTAACACATTTGTTTCTCTTTTAAAAACATCATTTTGATGCTGTCATCCAAAATAATCTGCAAGCAGATGAACTCTTTTGTCTTTTTCAGTCATCACAATAAATTACCCTAATGAATTCCAGTCTCGAGTGGCTTCCATTAGATGACGCTGTCCATGTCCTACCCAATTGTCCTGATTGTCAAATATCCTCCCACAAAACCAGCACCTAAATTTAGTTTTCAGCGTATTATCAGAGGTAGTTTTCACAATCTGATAATTGTTTTTGCTCGTCTTCTTCAGTGTTAATTTTAAAACAAACCTTTCTTTTACAGGACTTACAGGTTTGAGCATTTTGCGTTTTCTTCGAGAGAGATCATTAGTAATTATGTACAAACTGTTATAATCTGCTGGCTCCAAAAGAGCATCAATAGTTCTCTTTGACAAGGAGACCTTTAGCACATGTCCTTTAAATTTAGCAATAGTCTTCATAACATTTACAACTTCTGGAACATCTGCATCAGGATGGTTTAGCACTACAACTGGCTGATTTCTTCGGGGGCATTTGATTAATTGTTTGGAATTAAATGGAAGTAGCTTTAGAATCCTCGCAGTGTCTTTTGACAATCTTGGTCTACAAGGGGCGCGAATTAAGGATTCAAATTCATTCACATCCATTTGATTTTTCGCTTTACATTTTCGATGCAACATTTTCTTTCTAGGAGGTTCTTGAAGGCCATGTTTAACTTTCCGTTTCAAATTCCTATTCTTCTGTGAAACCGTAGCATCAGAAACTTTAGCACCAGTTTGCTTTGAATGACGTTTAGCTCTTGAAAATTTGTTTGTTGGTGGCCCGGTTGACATCTGGGTTCCAAAAGCGTTCCCTTTGTTAGCACTAACTGTTTGTGCTGAATCAGATGGAATCTTTTGTGACCGTGTCTTTAAATTCCTAAGGGAATGTACAGATTCTACAGAAGTAATAGGATCCTTTGATTTATCACTTGCCAAACAGGCATTTGCTGGCATCAATGTACCTGGAAGCAGTAAGGCATTGCTAGGAGAAAAAGCTGCCTTTTTCTGATCTAGTGCAGGACTATTAAGGGAATGCATATTATCGAACTGTAAAGATGACTTAATGTTGCTAATTGACTGACAATTGTCAGCAGCAGGAAAGGTCTTAATTTTCAAAAAAAGCTTTTGTTGCATTGCTCCAGTTTTCTTTGGTTCACAATTTTGACTATTAGCAGTACCTTGAAGAACATTATGCTTCTGTACTAGGGACTTGTTTGGCGACATACATTTAAGAAAAACTGCTTGTCTACCATCAGGCAAAAGTGCATAAACAGGTTGTTCTTGTCCAACCTCTGGTTGTTTTATTGACTCCAAGGTAGCAACATTACTGCCTTGATGTCCAGCCTGTATTTTCACGGAAGAAATTCTGCTCTCTGAATTTGTCATGTTAAGTTGCTCCTTGTATGACATGCCAGTGGATGAAGCAACCGCTGTCCCACTAGCACCAGAATAATTTCTTATACTGCCAGAGCTGTCTATTTTAAATTTCATACCTGATGTAGCTATTTCTTCTTTACCACACTCTTTAGATGCAATTTTCTCTAAAACCTGAGAACTATTTTCAGTGGCATTTGCAATTGTTCCAATTGAGCCACTACCAAAAGTCAAGATCATTCCAGGTCCTTTGTTTAAAAGTAAAGGTGTAGCTCTTGTTGCCTGAACATCTGATGAACTGTTTTTTGGAGAAGGCTTCCCTGAAATAACATGTAATCCTTGTTGATGGGCAAGGCGCAAAGGTACAAAAAACCTTGGGAGAGATGACTGAAGTAGCACTGATTTCTTCTGTTCTGGAAGCATTGGACGGATAGCATTAGGGACATTCAAACTGTAGTGCATCTTGTGTTTTTCCAACTGCTGTGCTAAAATTGAATCTGTCTGAGTTTTAAGCAATGCACCAATACCTGTTGTCCTTGAAGTAGAATGCATTTCGTCTGTTCTATGAGCCATCACTGGGAGTCGTCCTTCATTCCTAAAATACACACCTTCATTCGTTGCACTGCCATTCGCATTCAACTCTCTCTTGAATTTAACAGGAGAATTGGTTAAACTGCATGCAGCAGCTGAATCTCTGAAGTGTGCAAATGTTTTACAATCCATTTTATTATTTGGAAATGAGTTGTCATAACCAGTTTTTATATAGTTGAGTGGCTGAGTAGCAGGTTGCCCTCTTAGAACATCTTGTAATGACTGGTTTACTTCAGGTGACAAATAGTTGGATGCCTGAGTACTCTGGAGTGAGAAAACAGATGTTATTTTAGGCATAAGTGATGTATTTACACAATTAGAGGCATTTTCTTGTTTTGATTTTTCAGCTACATGTTCCACCACTTGATTTACCTTTGTATTCAAATGCTGCTGGTCATCATGATGATTTTCTATAGGATGCTGTCTGTCAGTAGCATAATTGGATTGGTTAGCTGAAAATACTGGAACATTGTTTGTATTTACAAAGCCATGAAGAGACAGCAATGAAGACCTTCTTTCTAGATTTAACACTGTTTGTTGTTGCAGATAAGTGGTTTCATTTACAGGCCTACTCTGGAGAGAAAAGGCGCTGTTGGACATATGGTGTTTGGAGCTATCCAAAGTATCTATTTTGGAATAATTATGGAAAGGCAGTGGTACTTGATTAGAAAAATCAGTTGATGGGCAGTAGATATTATTGTATTTACTGTAGTTTACTTCACCATTCCGTACTTTTAATTCTGTAGGAAAGGTTTTTTTCATAGGGTCATAATGTAGCATGTGTGCACCAGCAGAGGATAAAACCTGAGAATGGTCCTGAGGTACACAATTCCTCCACGAAGAATCTCTGTTTCCAGCCTTAGCCACAAAATCACAAGGAAGTGAAGAATCTGGTTTTGCTGGCAGACGAGTTGTACAGTTTCCTACCATTACAATATGAGGTTCTACTGTTCGAGATGTATTCAAACTAAAATAATCTGGACTTTCTTGCTTTATTTTTCCTGAATATTGATTAGAAAATGACAATGGAGATGATGCCAATGAGTGAACAGAATTATTTCTAGACATTTGCTGATTAATTTCATGAGGTCCAGAAGCGGAAGGAAAATTGAAGTTGTCAGCTGTCTGCTGCAGAAATTCAGTTGAACCATCTTTTACCCCATCAACCTTATTTTCTGTTGGCAAATTCTGTTTATCTGTAGGTAGCAGTTTTATTACTATATGCTGTTTTCCATCAACCACCTTGAAGCCCATAAATTTAGCACTGTAATTTGCAGGAACAGATATTTTGTTGTTTTTAACCATCAAAACTGTAGGACCATGAACAGCTTTTTTCAGCACACCAGAACCCAAGCCATCTTCTGCTCTACTGTATGGTATTGCTGGAGAGGATTTTGCCCCACTGTAGATATGCCTTTCATTTAGAAGATTGTTGTCTTCGCTGAGGTGTAATTCTTTTGTAGGCTGGCCTAGCTCTTCAGATTTAGGCTGAATTTCCTTCATGTTTTTGAGAACTTGCCTGTCCTCTTCTCCAGTTCTACAACTGCCAGTAGTCATTCTTTTACGTCTCCACAGGGCCTTCCTCGATGCACCTGTTTTGTACCTTTTCAAGATAAGTTTTAGTCCTGTTGAAGTTTTCTTCATCTTCTCATTGTTATCTGTATCTGTTTTATCTTTTGCATAGAGGTGGTCTCTGTGTAATGTAATAATATGTTTTAAAAGATAGTTTTTCCGAGATGCCATGTAGTTACAATATTGACAACTGAAAGGAAATGTGCCGGTGTGTGAAGCAACATGTTTCTGAGACTCTTCTTTTGAAAAACTTGCATGGTGACATTTATCACATTTATATTGTATTTCATTGTGCCGATGAATATGCTGAACAAATGTGCCAACATCATGGGTGGAAAATCTACATCTTTCACATTGAAAATGGCCATTTACACAGTGCCTAGATGTGAAATGTTTTGTTAGGTCCAACAAAGTATATCTATTATCATCATTACAGATTTCACATTTTACTAAAGTGCTACGATGTGTTCGACGGTGTTGATTAAATGATTGGAAGTCATTAGCTGAAAAATTACACATTTCACAGGGGTAAGATGGCAACTCTCCACGATGTAACAGCTGGAAATGCTTCTGCAGATCATTTGGACTGTACTTAACATTGTTTCTGCATTTGGTACAGCTAAAATTCAGTATCTTTGCAGATGTTTTCAATCCCTCCTCATAATTCAGTCTTGGTTTACTATGTGGAATATCAGTCTCAGAAAAGTTGCTTCCATTCACATCCATGTGCATGGAAAATGCTCTTGCAGGCTTTTCTTTACATTGAAATACTTTCATGTATCTGTCAATTTCATGTGTACATAGCACTTCATTTGGAATATTTACCCTAGGCAGCTCTATTTTCACATTTCTCAATCCATAGGTGAGAATATCTGAAATTGCAGGTTGAGTTATATACCCCTTAACAGAAGTATCCAATGTAGGAACACTTGTTCTATCTAACTCATTGTTATGTAACAAACTTGTATTTTGGATGCAAAAGGATGGTTCTTGTTCAGATGGCATTTTTCCTAAAGTACTCTGTAATTTACTATTTTTGTACTCTTCGTTATTTAAGAGACTCTTGTGCAGAAGTACTCAGAGTTCCAGGATTTCCTCAGTTTAGTAAATCTGGAATTAAAAGTACAAAGTTAATTGTAAAGGTTAAAAGGGGGGAAGATACCCATAGTTTCACATACTAAAAGCAGCATAATGACTGACACCTGTGTGCTAACATAGCCATTAAAACTAAAAGGGCACAAAGCTTTTGATCAAAGTTGTTTTTTTGTCACCACAGACATGTCACATTTTCCCCCATTAAACCCATAATCCCCTTGATGTGGATTAAGAATTGAAACCTTCACAGTGACACTCAAAACCTTTCAGCTATTGGGGTCTGCTTTTAGATAATCAGATTACTTTGCTCCTCCCACATACAAGTTATTCTCATTGGTTAATTCCTACATGAGTTAATGCAGTGCCAGAAGCAACGTGCCATTGTTTCAGCCACAGCTTTTCTCCCAAGTCAGTATAAGACAGTCAAACCCTACCTAGTTATGTTCCTGGCCTTCCACCTCCAAGGTGATCAGTAACTCAATCTTCACCCAGTTTCCTATGATCGCCCCATATTCTACACATTTGGACATGATGGACTGCTTAACACAGAGGCTGCCAACCATTTTATAAAAAACAAAATACACAAACAGGAGACTTAATTACCAACAAGCACAGACTGTACCATGACAACATGAAATGAAAATAACCTTAAATGTCAACTAGGACTTCAAGCAGGCAACTTACCAGAAATCTCAATTAAGTAGATTTTAAAAGATGCTTCACTCTGCAATACAGCAAACAAAAAAACCCTTACTACATGTTCTGAAAGATAAACTCTCACAGGAATAATATGTATACATCAGGAGCAAAAGAGAGAAATTTGAAAATATGTGCCTCAGTGGTATCAGACCTAAACATTTCTAACACAGGTCTTTCCCCTAAGTAGATGTTTTGCTGTGGGAAATCCTCTTGTCGGGGGCACGGGGTATCATTAAACAGAAGTGCTGTGCAGGCATTATGCCTGAACGAGGAACTGGGGGGGAAATAGGAAAGACAGGGTCATGCAAGTTGCCCGTTAGCAACATTCTTGCATGCACCAGCCTTCTTCCCACATTGAACCAGAAGGTCTGAGGGGGTTTTCTAAGTACTTTTGGTTGAACACACTTAGAAACCCCTTTTAAATCTTACCACTCAACACATGAAGGTGAGGGTAGATCCTGCACATACAGAGACATTGGGCATACAGCAGTGTGTGGGCCTATTCCCCTTCCAGGATTTGAAAATTCTAACACCTAAACAGAGCTAGAGAGGTCTTTGTTTTCCTATATGCTGTTATGTTATCTATAACGTTGTTCACCAAATTAAAGCAATGAAGTCCAAGGGTTCCAACACTGGTTGATGTTCTCCTTTTCTAGCTCAAAGCATAGTAGCAATGTTTGAAGTTCTCAAATGGAAGCAGCATTAGGTAATTTTGTACTTGGTTCAAATGCCATGTCCTTGCCATTGTGCAACACCTAATGGATACCTCTATATCCAGTCCATCACCAGATCATATAATCTATTACAATGTCAGAAAATATAGCCCTTCCTCTCTGCTTCCTCAGCAAAACTCTGGCCCCTGCCCTGGTAACTTCTTTCTTTAGCTACTGCCATCTCAGGTCTTCCACTGTCCCATCTTCATCCAATCATCTCCATCTAACATTATGCTGACAATGTCACCTCCCTTGGCAAACTGACCATGTGATGCTCCTTCTTAAATCCCTATACTGGCTTCCTATCCCCTTCCAGATCCTGGACGACTCCGCTCCCAAGTATCTTAAAAATTGTATCCATCCATACTGACCTTCTCAGGCTTTTAAGATCTGCAAAGGGGGCTCTCTTAGTACAGTGGTAACTCGGGTTACAGACACTTCAGGTTATAGACACTTCAGGTTAAATACTCTGCTAACCCAGAAATAGTACCTCGGGTTAATAACTTTGCTTCAGGATGAGAACAGAAATCGTGCGGCGGCAGCGAGAGGCCCCATTAGCTAAAATGGTACTTCAGGTTAAGAATGGACCTCCAGAACGAATTAAGTTCTTAACCCGAGGTACCACCGTAATTCCACCAACCACAGAAGTAAGGGAATAGAACCCAAGAGAATACTTTCTCTGTGACAGCCTCTAAATTATGGAACTCCCTACAGAGCTGCATTTAGCATCTTCACTATACAGTGGTACCTCTGGTTATGTACTTAATTCGTTCCAGAGGTCCGTTCTTAACCTGAAACTGTTCTTAACCTGAAGCACCACTTTAGCTAATGGGGCCTCATGCTGCCGCCACGCTGCTGCTGCACGATTTCTGTTCTCATCCTGAAGCAAAGTTCTTAACCCGAGGTAATATTTCTGGGTTAGCGGAATCTGTAACCTGAAGCGTATGTAACCCAAGGTACCACTGTACAGTTTTTGCTGTATACTGTAGACAAACCTCTTTTACCCTGGCCTTTAATTGTTTCATGGGACCCATCACTTTTGCTGAATTTATATTGTTCTGCTCAATTTTGAACGGTTTTACTTGTTTTATAATTGTAATAGTTTAACCTTTTTAAATAATTGCACATTATACTGTTGTAACTCACCCTGGGAACTTATGGTGAAGGGTGGGTGAGAAATCTGACAAATAAATAAATACATTTCTTGTGCTCATCTTCAAATCCTTCCAAGTTCCATGGCCTTCCTCCCCATTATCTCTCTGCTCTTATATCTTAACACATCTCTCTTCCTTTGGCTTTTACATCTTCAGCTCCATTACCCACTGTTGTCTAAAAGTCTCATTCTCCACCCTTTCTCCCTTGCTGCCTCAAATACCTCCCAGAATGTGTCCAACCATCTCCCTTACCTCATTCAAATTTCTCCTAAAAACTCACCTTTGGAACAATCTTCTAGTGATAATACCCTATAGTAACTAAGCCGAAGAAACTTAATTGCATCTTATTCCCCTGTTTTCCACTGCTTTCATTGCCTATGTTATTTTCCTTTGTTAGGTTGCAGATTGTAAGAACATGTAAAGTGCCATGTACACAGATGGTGCTATATAAATAATAATAACCAACATAGGCAACCAGGCATGTTGTGATTTACAAGTCTGAACACATACATAAATGTAACGGGTGATATCCAATTATTCTGTGAACTGCCCTGAGACCTCTGGGTATAGGGTGGTATATAAATTACAGGCATAGGGCGGTATAAAAATAAATAAGTAAGAGCACACTCATTGCAATCAATGGATTTTAAGTTGATTTTGGTACTACTCTGAGTGTAACTAACATTAGATATCACTCAACAGCATTTGATAATACAGGATATTTTAAACAAAACTCTCCCACAGTGAATTTTTAACTTTAGCCACAGATAAGTAATAAACTTACTGTTTAAAAAGATTAAAAATCCATTCTTCAGTAGTCTGTTCAATACTTTTCTTTTCCAAGAGATGAAAGGCATAAAACAGAGGGTCAAGAGACATTGCATTCAGTGTACAAAAAATCCTGAAATAAAGAACATGTTTTTTTAAAAACACAAACATAAGAACAATTTAGAAGTCACTACCACCTGAGATCTAACTGTGCCTGATCCTAATGTACCTACAGCAAAAAATTAGGTAATTTTACTCTAAATGTGGTCATTCATAATATGGCCAGAAAAGGGAGGGGGGATTTATGTCAATATCTAGAAGTTTTGCAAGTTTTTGTAGTTCTTCACATAGCTGGCACTAAGTATTTACTAATACTCCCTTTAAAAAAATGGTATTGTTGACTACAAATCTGTAGCATTTTTTGACTCCTGACTTTTAGCAGGATAATCAAAATCAAATAAATGCCCACTATGACAGAAATTCTAAACAAATACTGTAAACTAGGGAAATGCCAAGTTTAATTTATTCTCCTAAATCTCACCAACCTTATACATCTGTACAAGTCTTCTACACTTTGGAATAGAAACCTGCTAGCTAACTTTAAAGCACATGTAATGAGCTTCTTTAATACCTAATATTTACATTGCTTATTTGTAAATTAACCTGCAAATATTTATCTGCAGAAACTCGAAATCTAACTATTTCCCAAAATATTCCAAAAATAGTTAAAAGATGTCAGGAATGAATTTGTTCATGTTACAAAACAAAGGCTGCACTCCTACTTTTGAGTAAACACAAAGGGGACTGCACTACACACATGCACCTTATTGATTTTGCAAACTTTAAAATAGTGCAAACACCACTAGTTTACTAAGGGTGCAATCCTGTGGTACCCGGGAAGGACCCCCAGACACCATAAAGTATCTCTAGAAGTGGACCACTGTCAGGTGGTTCCCTGGATGGCAACAGTGCTTTCTGCTGCCATGGCTACCCTACCAGTGGTGGGCCCAAAACTAGAAGGATATTAGCATACATTGAGGGCAGCCAAGGATCTGCAGGATCCTACACTTCTTCATTCACCCATCATCATGACTCCAAATGGAGCCAGAAACTACAGTAGCCTAAGAGCTGGCATACCTAATTCCCTGCAATGGAAAGCAACCATAACAGAAAAAATGGTCACCCCTTCCTCACCTTCTGCCAAAGCCAGCAAGGCTTTGAAAATGGAAGTCGCTCTTCCACAGATCTTTCCCACCCAGTAGGACTGCTCTGCTCACTTCCCGCTTCCCCAGATTAGATTACTTACAAGTAAAAAAAAACTGTTTAAATTTAGGATTTTCTAGACAGCAGCAACTTGAAAACCAGAGTACACAATCAGAAGCATGAAATCTTTCACAAAGAAAGAGGTCTGTTCTGTGCAGAGGTATGTGCCATGGGGACCAGAGAAGGAACTTAACAGGCTAAATCACTCTGCCCAAAGATTAAAAGCAGATATACCTAAACAAAAGCAAAAAAACCCAAACCTCAAATTTAGAACAATTTTAGTATCTCCTTATACAGGTTGAAGCCTAGAATATAGTTACCAAAACATGCATTATTTTAATGGCAAAAAACAAACCCAATAAATCAATCTTACAAACTATCATTCTTGGTTCAGCATTGTAACCTACATGCAATGTAGTCACCTTTCTTAAAAGAGATGTCTCAAGTCTACTGATCAATTCCCTATACAAAATAGCCCATATTTTGCAAGAGTTGAAGGAATAGCAAAGACAAATTATCTCCATAGATTGTATAAAATGTGTCTACTTGTAACACTGCAACTTCTGGTAGTATCTTTCTTATTTCAGAACCAAGCCTTTGTGTTTTCACATCTCAAGTATATGTGAGCAAGACTGGACTGGCAGATTTAGAATTTTCTCAACTTAAGTTGTAATACAGGTCCATCTTACAAATTATCCACATAGGTACATCCCACTATATTATTATACAGTAATATATCACTCACTATAATTTAGTGAGACGGCCAGTGAGAACAAAATTGATTAGCACATTTCCATGGTTATATAAGAATCTTTGCACTATCTTAAGGAATTTTCATGAACAATTGGCTTTGTTGGTTTTCCTTTCCAAATAACTTCTTTCTAGCTGCAGCAATGCATGCTACTTAACTTCAGTCCTGTGGTAACACAATCATAAATATAAGCAACCAAAATCAGCTCAGTACTTTGTTGTGAGCAAGAGAGGATTATCTTGGCAAGTCTTTTTTAGTGCAAGGCTACACCCAAGCAAAACAAGATGGCAGTCAACAACAAAGCGATCTCCCTTCCACTCTCTCTCTCATTCTGCAGGAAGTGCTTCCTAGCCATTTCCAAGTTAATCCTTTCAACACAATCCAGATAGGGCAACGCTTAGCATCTGCACTTGAAAAGGGCGAAGGGCCTTTGCCCCAAGTCAAGCCCATGATAACCCTTGTTGAGTTTTGAAACCATGGAGTCTGGCCTGCCAACTTGCTGTCTTTAGGTCTCAAGACCTTTAAGGTGCTGGGGGAGTCCATAAACTGGAGGGAAAACAAAAGACCACCCAACTCATCTTTCTGCCTGGACACAAAAAAAGCCCTTTCGGGTTGAGTTGGGCTTCCTGGGCGCCTCTAGAACTTTTGGGCGCCATAGGGAGAAGCGCTGCCAGGCCCCTCAGGTGTCGCTCAGGGGCACCAACCCCGCTATTTTGATCCCCTTGAGCTGTGTTTCGGGAGACAGGGGGTGGGGGGGTCAAGATGCTCGCGCCCCCGTCCTAAAAAGGGGGTCCCTGGCTGAAGCCGCGAGGAGGAGACGGGGCGCTGCCGAACAGCAACTCTCATCCTGGCAAGGCGGAGGGATACACGAGCGCTGTGTTGGTCGAGCCTTTGCCCGCGGGGGCGCAAGCGGCCGCGCGGCCAACGGCGCGCGGCCCCTCAATAGTTCCCCCCGCACCCCTTGAATGAGGTGCACTTCTCTCTCTCTCTCTCTCTCCCCAAAACCAAGCCGCGACCGCGGGACTATTTGATGCCTCGGCCCAACAAGAGGGCGGGTTCCTGCCCAACTACCGGGATTCGCCCGTCCCGCTGAAGAAGCTGCCCCCTCCCGCCGCCCGTATGGGGTGGGGGGATCCCGCCTCCCCGTTACCTAGCTGGGCTTCCAGGGCCCCGCGACTCCCCCGCGACCTTCCCCCCCCCCCTACGCTGGGCACGAGCGCCGGGCGCCTAGATTACCTCGCCCGTCTCCATAGTCCGACGAGTCACAATTGGCGGCCATTATAGTTTTCCATCCGGGGACTCCGGCAGTTTGACGAGCTCAGCAATGGAAGGCGGGGTGACTGTGGCGGAGGGATATGGCGCCGCACAGGAGAGGGGGCGGAAGGACGGAGGCCCAGCGAAGTTTGGGGGGCGCGAGGAGACGCCTGGGGGGGGGGCTGCCGACGACCCCCTCTTTGCCGCTGAGGAGGCGCCACGACCTGCGCGCCTTTTTTTTCCCCTCGTCGCTTTCACGTACCATGAAAGCTGCCTCGGCGGCAACCGCCGGCCGGGGAGTTTTTCTGTCAAAGTAATGAAGGCAGCAGCGGCAACACGGCCGAGTCCCTCCTCTTCCTCCTCCCAGCCTGTTATTTGTGTGTGTGTGTGAGAGAGAGAGAGAGAGAGAGGAAGGCTGTGGGGGTGGATTACTAACACCAATACACACTACCAGATCCAACAAAGAGGCACCCATATTCCCCCTCACGGGTGGCCAATGAAACAGCCTGGTGCCACACAAGCACATACACACTCACAAGCAAAGCCCATCCCGGGAAGCAAAACAGGGCGCCATCATGTCCTCTCCCTCAGCCAAGGGATGACGGCGACATCACCCACTTCTTCCCCCTTTGCTCATCCATCAGCCGCACGCGGCCATTGTCTGGAAGCCGCCTCCTGATATCAGCAATGTATTTGCCCTCCTTCCAATGCTCATCTTTCAGTTGCAGATAGCAGTCCTTTTGTGCTCAAAAGAAGAAGGAAAACGCGGCCTGTTTCCCCTTCTCTTGCATGAAGACAATGGCGTTCTCTGCACACTCGCGATATGCAAAGGGAAGGGGAAATGGCCTCCTCGAAGCAGCTTATATGAACCCAGCTTAGCTACAAAACAAAGCAGACGGGGAAGAGAACTGCTGAGTGGCACAATAGAAGCATGAATAGGTAGCATGAATCGCATTTGTTTAAAACCTAGGTGAACGTTATTAGGAGGACCTAAAAATAGGGGTGAAGCCAGTGCTGAAGCTCTCTTTGTGACAGACAACACAGGGATGCACCTTTCGTTGGTATATGAAAGGTAATTCTTTGCTTAGCTGTTACTGCAACACGGAGGGTAAGCTTTACAAGCCAAAGGATTGCGTCCACATTCGACATTTTTGCAGCCTTGCTGAAGCAAATCCAGAACAGCGTTATTCAACATATGAACAGCCATATTTGGATTTTAAGACCAGAGTCAAATGCAAAGAAGGAAGCCTGCAGGAAAAATATTTGGAGCATAAAGGGGTGGCTTAAATGACAACATGCAGTATAAAGAAAATAGATTGGCTTCCTGTGTTCTATTGAAGATCTTACACGCAGAACTAAAACAAATGTAACTTTCAAAAAATGTCATCCTTACATTCCCAGGATGGGAGTTCAATAAACAGATCTTCAAACTCTGTTATTCAGAGTTGAATTTCTCCATCAGACTCAACTCTGCCATTCTCTCCTCCCCCACTTCTGTATTTGAACTTCCAAAAGCAAATACTGTTTCAACAGTCAGAGAAAAAGTGCAACTTTTCAATAGACTATAAAACCTTTAGACATTTCATTACTTTATGAAAAATATGACTATTTATTTTCAATGAACAAACTTTCGAAGCAAATGCTTATCCAAGAACCTACTTACATATTAAATCTATTTTTATTTGGCTTATTTGTTTGAACATATGATATCCTACCTTTCTGTTTATATTACTAAACATTCAATATGGCTAACAAATATATAAAATGTTGATAGCATATACAATGTATATAAATACATCTAGGAAGCAAGATGCACTTTTCATAAATCATGAAATAAAACATTTGTGACTGTGGAGAGATCATGTTTTACTGGATTTGTTTTACATACTGTATAGGAATTCGCTATGTGTCCATAGTTTTGCGAAGAGCTAAGTTTAAAATACAAAGTATCCATTGCTGACTAGCAGCTGGTTGTTACATGAGACTGGTCTGGAAAGAAGCAAGGTTCTTTTTTATACTGAGTAATAAATTGCACTTCTGATTGGCTGTAAGATGGAAAGTTATTGGGCACTCATTCAACAGAATAGGTGATCTTACAGGAAGGGGATGAGAATTACGCTGGCTGGAACATAAATAGGCTGGAGGGGAAGCAATGTCGGCAAGAGGCGATTGCAGTAAAGTGGTGTTTTTTTCCCCCAGGGGGTGCCAATACCACTCCTAGCAAGGATACAAGGGACCCTAGGTATGCCTCTGGCTACCAAATATCTTTAGGGCTGGTTCAATCAGCTGCCCCCTCCCCCTTATGATAGTAGAACTTCATCAATGCATATAACACTTCCAACAGAAGGTTTTATTAAAGAGTACACCCAGGTATCTAAATGAGCAAGTTGATTCTATAGCCTGCTAATCCAAGCACAATCTATACCTAGGAATGTGTCAAAAATCATAATCTTGGTTTTAGAGTAATTTATAGATAGGTTTTCCTGTCTACAGTATGTGCTGAGGCCCAGTCAGGAAAAGGAGAAGAGTATTAAACCACCCGCATACACCAAGATTGAGATCTTTATGCTCCTAACTACTGGAGAGGGGGAGTTTGCATTGGGTAAATATGGCACCAAATCATTAATATAAAAGTTAAAACGAATGGGAGCCAGAATGCAACTTTGCTTCACGCCTCATGACATTTTAAAAGCATTAGTCACATCACCGTTTAAACCTACTCTGACCCTCATTTCTGTGGTGCTGTATAGTTCTTGGATCAATAGCGGAAGTCTGCAGTTAGTGTTGGCAGTTTGAAATTTATCCTGCAGTGTTGACTGCAGAAAAAAGATAAGTTAAGGTTACATAAAGATTATTCGTAATGCTCTTACTATATTTTCTTATAATATGGTTCAGAATAAAACATTGATCAACAGTACTGCCTCCTCTTCTGAAAGATTGTTTACTCTTCCCTATGTAGCAATTGCCTTTACTATACACCACAAACTGATTTTTCCACCCTCCTAGTTTCAAAAGTCCTTTGCCATGCAAATATGTGGGAGACTACTCAGGAAACACAACTGGGCAACAGAACTAATTTGGCACCTCTTTGAGTCAACTTATGTCTGCCTCTCTCCATAAAAATCTTCTTTCTTTTTGAGCTGTGTGCTTTCTCCTCTTCTGAAAAGTTTATTTATAATGCTACACACAACAGATACATTTATTCCACATAAATTAATCCAGAATAACTGTCCTCCCCCATTTTTGGTCCTACATTGCTGTTTAAAATGTATTCTTTATTCATAAGTGACATTCAAAAGTAGGAGTATACGCTTGTGCCACCTTCTGTATGTTTTATTCCATGTTTGGAGCAAACATGGTGAGCAAAAAGCTGAAAGGGTCAATTAAACCACTTTAATTGGATATCTTCTGGATGCTATAACTTAATCATTAGGAAAGCTACTGTATTTTTCCTCCGCCATATAGAATTAATTATTTTACAGAATGTCTATCATGTTCTCATTAACATGCATTGTATTGTTCATCATTATTTCTTTTTTATTTTCTGATAATTCAAATCCTGTTTAGAAAATATGCAAGTGAACAAAGCAGAACCTAAAGCAAAACACTCACAAGAGACAGTACAGATGGAGTGGTGTTTTTAATTAAGTCAACTTTTTGTTGGGTGTAAAGAGAGCAATATTTCAGACGAAGTCCCTTGAAGCTGGAAATAATGTATTCATTTTCATTAAAGAATGTTGGCCTGATGCAATATATCAACCTACCAACTTGATTTCTCTCACTTCCTAGTACTCTAATGACAATAGTAATCTTTAGCATGAAATCATTTGTATGTAACAATTGATGGAAGCTGAAAAATAGACTGATAACCGCATGCTATAGCTCAGTTATGGAATATGTGTGGTAAACCAGTGGGCAAAGACAGGAAATCAGTTTACAAGTGGGCATGCATTGCATCAGAAAGTAAAAGGAAGCTTGAAGAGCTGGAAGGGGTTTAAGAATCCATACAATGGCAAACGAAACCAAGTGAATTAAGATATCTTCTGCAAGGACGGGGGTTAGTAATAACGGTCATAAAATCATCAAGCTATCTAAATTCCAGTTTTTGAAGTCGCAAAATTGAGCTTAATACAAAACAACACCAGTATGATGTTATCTCTCTTAATGAAAGAACTGGAATTAGAGGCCAGTTGGCCTAATTTCTGTACCACACAAATGGAAAGCAATTTTATAAAGACATATGAATCCATGTATGTATGCAGCAGATTGTGAACCAATGGCATCATGCCTCAACAAAGCCAACAGAACATCTTAACGGTGTCAACAGTATGTGGTTAAAGGTGATCCACATTTCAATGTGCAACATCCACTCCGTATATTCGAAGCACATGGCTTTCCCCACTGAATTCTGGGAACAGTAGCTTATCCCTCACAGAGTTACAATCCCAGCACCCTTGAAAACTTCCCCAGGATTATTTGGGGAAAGCCATGTGCTTTAAATGTATGGTGTGAATACGAGGTTGCTTCCTCCCACAGCATTTCAAGTTGCTTTCTTATGCTGCTGTGCAGACCAGAGTAGGGTCTGGTTTGTCTTCATCCAGTGCCCATTGCCTGCTTTTCCCCCCCTGTGTTCACTGAAGGTGTCATCTGTACATGTGCTTTCATCTGCACAAGTGCAACAGCTGCCTGAAATGTATACAACTTAGCTGTTCTCAAATCAGATGGAAACTGGTTTGAGGGAAAGCGCCTCAGACAGAGTACTGAATCAAGAAGTTACAGGATACCTATGGATTGTGGTTTGTGTCATGTGTGCTCAGCTTCAAACACCAGTTATGGAAATGTGCTGGAGCTACAGTAAGCATCAATGTGCAATAAGATAGCAATAGCTGAGCAGGTGCATTCATATCTTTGCCAATATCCTGAGGGCTTAGGGTGTATTTTTAAATGGATACAAAATGAAGCAGGTGATTAAATGAAAGGTTTCCTCAACAGAAGTAAATGACAGCGTAAAGCCAGAAGTGTAAATAGCGAGGAAGTGAAACTGCCGATTGTACAAAAATGTTGAAACTTCTGTCTGCTAATTTGACATAAAGTCACTATACATGCAAATCTGTAAAATTTAGAGAAGATCTCTCTAACATATAAAAACAGCAAATTGAATTCTGTGTTGATAAGAACAATATGGTATTTGAGAGAAGAAGAACAACAGGGTTTAAAAATTGCTTTGACTCTAATAGATGGTGTCATATCCTAAATATCACTCAGGATTCAAAATCATTGAAAACATTTGTATTGTTTTTTCTTTGGGGATTTTTGTATTGCTTTAAAATGTTGTTTTGAGAGTGCTGTGGCTACATCTTATATTTTTCCTGGTGCTGAGGAATGCTCCTAGTTGTTACTAGATAGCAACAGTAGGGTGGGTGGGGGAGAGAGACCGAGAGAGAGAGAGAGATCTGCACAGTCAGGAACATGAGGTTATAGCTGCCTAGGATGTCAAGAGTGCTTCTCTCTCTAATTCTAGTATTATTCCACAATTTCCATTACAGCCATTTTATGTCCTGCCCTCTCCACGGCAATCAATTTGTGACTGACAGCCTCAGCACACGCTCAAACTAGAAATGTGCCTACTAGTTCAAAAAGGTTGGCAACCTCTGCCCTAAAATATTGTTAATCTTAACTAAATTTAGTCCAACAGTTTGCTGGTTTAGCCATCATTAAGATTATCCACAGTTCAGATGACATAGCAAACTGTGGTTAATCTAAAATGGAAGCCAAAACTTCTCAACTATTTTTCGCTGCTGTGCTAGTGAAGGTGAAATGACCAATCTGAGGCTCACGGTGGCTCAATATAGTAATGCTAAATTATGTTTTAGTGTTATGTTCAAACTGGTTCCTTAGCTTCATTGTAGATGTAACTGAGAGATTAAATAGATGGGATGTAAACTTATATTGAAGTGTTTAAGATCTATTGATTTCAGCTGAACATTCCTTACTTTTTCTGGATTGGCCCCTATGGGATATTTAAGACAGGAGTATTAACTTAATTTTAAATTACTTAATAGAATTTCCCTCCTTTAGATCTTCCCTAAAAAGTTCCCCCAAAATATTTCTAATTTAATCTTCAATACTTGAATCATAAGTTCCTGTAGTTAGACAAATATATTTATATCTAAATATAAATATATTCCTGTTTAATATAAGGTTTTTAATCTTCATTAAACAAGCAAGGTACTACACACAACTGGCTAATGCTAATTTTTGCTGTTTCAAAATATATCCCAAACACTGGTTTAATTATTTGCCGTATTTTTCTGTCTAGAAGACGCCCCCATGTATAAGATGCCCCCTATTTTTGGGCAACAATCAATTGCCAGTCCACTCTCGGCACTATCCATGTATAAGACGTCCCCAATTTTTTGACATTTTTTTTGGGGGGGGGGCTAGTCTTATACACAGAAAAATACGATAAGTGTTTCTCCCTCCATATACAAAGCAGCATAAAAATCAGAGTTTAAACTCACCGGGAGATCCCAAATCAGTTCTGATGAAACTAGAAAATAAAAATATTTAAATATGATGATATGATCTAGTTATATAATGATATAATCATAACAAGCATCTACTGTAGCAATGTAGGTATGTTTCCATTGACTTTTTTCATACTATTGACACCCGATGTAAATTTCAATATTAAAACCACCAGTTTAGTCAAATAATACAATTCCTCTGTACTTTTTATCCAGGGGGATCTTTTAAGCTTTCGGAGTTTTGAGTTTGAAGTGCTAATTAGTCCTTCATCATTGCTGTTTCACAGCTTATTGCTTTTGCTTATATCACAACTAATATGGTTATTATTCTGTTCATATTTAAAGACTAGACTTTCAATTTTTTTAGTAGCTCATCCACACACACACAGGTGATCAAGAATTATGTAAAGTGGTTGGATAAATCGCTTGCACATTTCATATCTGTGTGTCTTCTTTGAAGCAGCTCTGCATACATTCTCCGTATATGCTGTACTGAGATTACTTATACTGTACTAATTAGTGTCTTTACTTTGTATCTGGTATTTTTAAGAGTTATATTTTCATCAGTTGTTCTCATATAGGTTATATTTTCTGGGAAAGACATTTTGTCAAGACATTTTGGGACCCATGCTGTGTTTAATTAAAATGTTTCCTCTTCCTACTGAAATATATTTTAGTACCCTCTGTAAAAGTAAGTACCATTCATCTCTCAGGGAGGAACAAAAAAAAAAAAATCCACCACAAATGCTAATGTGTACCACAACATTAAACTAGCTAACCTGCTCAGGGACTCTGGGAACTGAACTTTTGAGGTGCCTCAGATCTAGAAAGGCAGGAAGCTGCCTTATATTGAGAATTTCTGCACTGACTAGCATTCCCAGGATTCAGATGGGAGACATTCCTCACCCCAGCTTGAGACGCCAGGGATTGAGCCAGGGACCTTTGTGTGTAAAGAAGATGCTCTACCAGTGAGCTACAGCCCTCCCTGAAGTTTCCAGAGAAAGCCAAGATCATGAGCAGAGCTATCCTATGGAGGTGAGAGAGTTTATGGTAGATCTACCAACACTTCCCAAGTCCTATTGGACTCATGCCAGCAGGGCAGAAGATGCTGGGTGGGTGGGTAGCCTATGACCTGTTTTCCCTTATCCATTTTTCCTTTTGGAACCAATGGGAGGAGGAAAAGGAAAGGAAAGAGGGAAATGAGCTAGGATGAAAAAGCGGCAAAGCTACTAAACCACTTCAGTCAACATAAGCAAAGCACAACACAAGCTTGCACTTTCAATCCCTCCAGGAACCAACAAAACCCATGCCAAAGAAACTCATCAATATATAAAACAGCTGGACAGCCTATGTCTCAACAGGGCTACCTTGCTTCCTAGCTCTCACGTGGAGCATCCTACATCAGGGGCTCCTCCTTCTGTCACTAGGGAGCCAAAGACATATTTCACTGATTCTTTTTGCAGTGCACACCAACTGGAGAGGCACTGCCTCCCCTGTAATGCTTTTACAAGGTGGTGAGATAAATAGTATTAACTGAAATGTTCATATGTCCAGATTAGAAACAAAGGACTTTCCAGAGCCCTTATAAGTGTTGTTGTTGTTTTTTATTTGCAACATTTGGAGTACCCATTCCCCCTTCCAGACCAGTGGATATGATAAGAGTTATGGAGTGGTAGAGTGTACTTCAAGCACACTTGCGTGTGCACACAGATGCAAAACCAGATCTTTGCCTTTGTTTTGAATAATCACAAGTGATCCTCACAATCAGAAGTGTGGCTCGAAAAGATAAAGCCCTGTTGAGGATTTGCTCTCTCCCAAGTTATAATATTGGGACGTGGGTGGTGCTGTGGGTTAAACCACAGAGCTGATCAGAAGGTTGGCGGTTCAAATCCCTGCGACGGGGTGAGCTCCCGTTGCTCGGTCCCTGCTCCTGCCAACCTAGCAGTTCGAAAGCACGACAAAGTGCAAGTAGATAAATAGGTACCGCTCCGGGGGGAAGGTAAACGGCGTTTCCATGCACTGCTCTGGTTCAACAGAAGTGGCTTAGTCATGCTGGCCACATGACCTGGAAGCTGTACGCCGGCTCCCTCGGCCATTAAAGCGAGATGAGCGCCGCAACCCCAGAGTCAGTCATGACTGGACCTAATGGTCAGGGGTCCCTTTACCTTTTACTAAGTTATAATATGGGATGTATACACCAAGCATTTAAAATACATGACTTCCTGTTGATGAATTGTTGGAACTATAGTTTCTTAAGGGTGTCGGCAACTGTAGCTCTGTGAGGGGTAACAACAGTTCCCTCAATTTTGGGTTGGGGGGAGTTATATGTTTTAAAAGTATGGTGTGTATGCAGCCCTGGACAACATACAGAGACTCCAGCCCCTCACCCACTTGACTAAATTTGAACTAGGACCCTACAGGAGAGAAACCTTAGAATCTCAAATGTTTTTTTGTTCCCTTGATAAAACTCTGCAGTCCCTTTACTCTTGATTTCAAAAGACAGATTTGAGGCAGCAGGTGTGCATGTGATTGTTAATTGTGCCCCCAGGCTTTAAGATTTTCAGCTTAATGACAGTGGATCAGTTACTTCTTTGCGGCTGTGATTTCAAAACAGGCTAAATAAAAGTTATTTTTGCAGTTTTTCTTCCAAGCACATTAATCAGCCTGTTACTTTAGATCTTACTCCCTTGAGGCTTTTAAAATGCTGCTTGAGACTTTTGCAGATAGCTGTACTGTTTGGAACCTTCTCTCTATACATATGTTTACTCGGGGCAATTAGTTTTGTTGTGGTATTTTTAATGTAATACTTTCGTGAGGGTGGGGGCAGAATTATGCATTTTGAAATTAAAAACCAGAAGGTAGCATGCAGTTGCTATGAACTGTGCATCACCTTTAGCTACTATATGAAAATAGCTGGAAGGTAGGAAAATTCCTTCATATTAACCAGAAACTTTTTTTTATTGTTGTTCTTCTCCCCTTGGAGATGAAAGAGCACACACAGAAGGGAGATGTGCAAATATGATCAAATATAGTAAAACACCAAAAGTGTTGCCTTAGTATGTATATCAATGAAATGTCTTATATAAAGAGAGAGCGCTGTCAGCTATTTTGTGGAGAGACCGATACCAATTCTAATAAATAAATACTAATAAATCAGCCAATTTCCTCCTTAAATTCATGAAATTGCAGGGCAGTCCCATGCATGCCTACTCAGAAGTAACAACATTGAATCATATTAGACTTACTCCCAAGAAAGTATTCTAGGATTGTGTACACACCATACATTTAGAGCACCCACCCAATGAATCCTGGAAGCGCAGTTAACCCCTCATAGAGTCACAATTCCCCTTATGAAACTACAGTTACCAGAATTGGGAAGGGGGCACTTTAAATGTGTGATGTATACACTGAGACTATTGGTCCCACTGAAATAAAACTATAACATTGTTATAAGAAAAAACTGCTCCTTTATCGCTTATAGGGTATTCAAGAGCCTGTATGGAGTCCTTATGTAGGTTCTCTATCGGTAGGAGAAAATAACAGAGGCCAACCAGAGAATATTGAGACGCAAAGCAGCTAGTAAGCATGGTCTTTATTAACCTGTTGCAACAGGGTCCCCCACTCCCCCACGCAGGGAGGGAGGAGAGGAACCCAGAACATTGGTGTGCAAGCTCTTATATAGACTTTTGAAATTGCCTGCCCTGAAGCTCAAGACCACCCCCCAAAACACCATACATACATCACAGAAAGAGGTGGTCCCCAGCAGAAATTTGACTGTGTTGCTTCTCTCTTGTCTGCCAGGATACCTGATAATGCCTTATCTTATTGCCTTTTCTGCGTAGCCTGGCCATTCCTTTGAGATGGTAAATACTTAGTTCCTGAATCTCTTACGCATATCGATAGTGTGCTCAGCTTAACAGGTACTTGCCAGACTGTATTTACAGGGAGGTGTAAGCCCCTGAAGTACAAAGACAACTGGAAAGCTTCTCCCATTTCCTTCCTCCTTGCAGAGAAATATTTTTGGTCAATTTGGGAGAGTCAAAATGGCTTCACGGTTTCTTCCTGTACTATTTCAGACACATGGTTTATATACTTATGTATGTGTTTGCCTTGTACATTTATGAACATTTATTTTATATCTTAGACCTTATAATTCTCATAACAGCAGAGATGAGAATGAATCTGTGGTAATGCCCAGACAACCTGATTTGTTGTCCATCCTGACAGCTGAATATGATTCCTGAGCTGTAATCAGTTCAGTCATTGCCCTACTGTCCCATGCACCAAACAAACAGGATGTATTCCTACTTTCTGCTTCCTGTTATCCAGACTTTTTCCTGATCTACAAGAGGAACCTTGCCTGTTATTCCATGACTGCTAACCTTACTCAGGAGTCTTTGGCGTGATACTTTGTCAAAAGCTTTTTGGAAGTCCAAGCACACAATGTCAACTGGATCACCACTAAAAGGTAAAAGGTAAAGGATTCCTGGACGCTTAAGTCCAGTCAAAGGTGACTATGGGGTTGGGCATTCATCTCGCTTTCAGGCCGAGGGAGCCACCATTTGCCCACAAACAGCTTTCTGGGTCATGTGGCCGGCATGACTAAATCGCTTCTGGCGCAACCGAATACCATGACGGAAACCAGAGCGCACAGAAATGCAGTTTACCTTCCCACCACAGTGGTACCTCTTTATCTACTTGCACTGGCATGCTTTCAAACTGCTAGGTTGGCAGGAGCTGGGACAGAGCAAAAGGAGCTCACCCTGTTGTGGGGATTCAAACCGCCGACCTTCCAATTGGCAAGCCCAAGAGGCTCAGTTGTTTAGACCACAGCGCCACCCACGTCCCTTTTGGATCACCACTATCTGTATGCTTGTGTGTATTTTTAAAGAACTCTAAAAGGTGAGAGAGGTCCTAACCTTGCAGGAGCCATGCTTTGGCACAACCTTTTCATCGATGTGTTTAGTAATTATATCTTTAACACTGCTGTTCATTAGTTTTTCCAGAACAGCCTCTAATTCCCCAGAATCCCACTAGAATCCTTTTATATATTTAAAAAATATTGATCACTTTCTACTCCTCAGGAATGAAAGCTGATCTTCTGGACAAATTTCACTTCTTATTTTTTTTAGATCCTAGAATTGCAAACATTTTCCCTCTCCTCTGATGGGTCACAGTTAGGTGAGAAACAATGATTCAGCAGGTAAGTGCTTGGTAGAGAAAGGTCTCTATTTCCCCGGGAAAGCTTTGCTTTCTGGACTTCTCATACAGCTGTGAAAGTAACAGGTCCTAAAAATGGAGTAAATAAAACCAAGCCATAGGGAATGAACTTTGGGGATGTTCCCAAGGATCACTGAAATACGTGAACTTCGCTGCTGACCTCTGAGACATATAAAGGATTAAAAAAAAAAGGGATGAGTGTAATATACAGCTTTTCAGAAAGTTCATGCTCATTGTGTGCTAACTGAGGATCAGTTTGCTGAGCAAAGATGCTGCAGATGTGAAATGATACCCAAGGCCATTAATGGCTGAGCTGAGAAAGTGTCCTTTTGGTGCTGTTCAGGAAAACATTGATGGTACATGTATAATGCATAAGAGAGGAAACAACCCAGGATGGCCTTCCGGGTAATGAGATGAGTCACTGCATTGGAATGAAGATGACGAACGCCACAAGCAAACTGTTTGGCTGCCATTTTGTGTGTGTATCTCCAATATAACATTCTACTTTGCAGCCTCAAAAATGGAATAGCATTTCTTCCCCCTCCCCCACCAAAAAAAATATGAATTGTGTATGAGTAGAAGGAAACTAACATTGGACAGTATAACGGATTGGATGTATAGAGAACTTGAGCTGTAATCCCAGGAGAACCACTTACCAAGTAACCTTGGGAAGCCTGGCTGATCTTGTTATGCAATGACCTCAGCTGGAAATTGGATAGAATCTGGACCTCTGAGAGTAGCAGAGACATAATCTGAACTAACACTACGATACAGACATATGAACTATGTTACTGAGCTGGTCCCAGTATTTAGTCACTTTTAACAGATGCAAATACACACCCAGACTAAGGGGGAGGGGGTGAGAGACAGGGAAAATGAAACTAACTACTGTACATGGCATCATAAGCACTGCAATAAGATCAGAAGGCAGCCATTTGCTTTCATGTCCCTCTTTTCCTTTTGTTTGTAATAACATGACAGTATCTTTTGAGGGACTGTGGTGACTTTTGAATAAGAAATTACCACTGCCTTTTATGTTTTCCCAATCATAAACCTGGGAGCAGCCAATCTGAATTCATCTCCCCCCCCCCCCCCCCAAAAAAAAAAGTATTCAAAACACTCTTAAGTTTCCAGGCAGGGATAAAAATGAAGCACATCGGGGCTTGAAAAATTTGATGGAATATTTAAAATGCTGCCTGATCACAGGGCAGCTCCAGTGCTATTAACTGTATTTTTCAAGTGGAGATTATGGTGAGCTGCTCAAAAATTGAGGTTGGTGAATGGGTGGTTGCTAGCATTATGACTGCCCATAACACTTTCTTCTGCAGTCCTTGAATTACAAGGGGGCATGGGCGTAGCCAGGGGGTCAGGGGAGGGGCAGCTGCCCCCCCTTAAATCAATAAAAATCAGTAAAAGTACATAGCAAACTGAAGTTGTGCCCCCTTTAACAAAAATCCTGGCTACGCCCATGCAAGGGCGTGGACCCCTTAACACATTGTGCGGGGCCTCTTAGCTTTACTTTTGGGTGGCTAAAATTGTGGAGAGGAGAGATGGAAGTTTTGGGTTTCTTTAAGGACTCCCTCCCATTTATTCCATAATTCAAACACGTGAGTTTTCTAATGTAAATCAGCAAAGTTCCTCCTTGCCTTTTTCTCTCTCCTGCCACCATGGAAGGCAAGAGAGAGGAACCAAATTTTCAGGGGTTTGAAAAGGATCACAGCAAGATTGGTTGCTGGCTAGCAAATCCTTCAGCAAGAAAATGAAACAAAAATATCTTCATTTAAATTACAACTGCAGCTTCTCGCTTTGAGGTCTTACACCTTCCAGCTGGTGCCACAGTAGTGATTATATAGGTTTGGCAGAACATAAATCTTATACATACACATACATATATATATACGGTCTCCCAGTACTTGAAACTTTTAAGAAAATATTACCGTACAACATCATATGTGGTTGAAACGTAATAAAATATCAAAAGTGATGAACGATTCTTGCATTACTGCTATAAACCTACACACACACACACACACACACACACACGCACTCAGCCCTGAAGACTCTTCTGTGAACCATCCTTCATTGATGGAAGACTTTCAGAAACAACATCGTGCCCGGGCTGCTCAGCACTGCAAGGAGTTTAATTGTAAAACCATTTTTAATATTTGAGGGAGAGCAGGGCATTCTTAATTGTAAAAGCATACGTGCTCTATATTACAATATATTCAAAGAACATAGATCACACATTTCCCAATGTAAAAAAACAACAACAGTGTTGGTACTTGAAGAGGCAAAACAGAGTATCTTCTACTGCAGAAGTTATTACTGGCAAGGAAATTTAACCTGGAAATTTACAACCAGAAAGTAGCCTGAATGAAATTAAAAGAAGATGGTGAAACTAACCAAACTCTAGAAATTGTTAGACAATTTAAAGGCTTCTACACAAATTTATATAAATATTCCAAACTGGACCAATCAAATGTATCAGAGTAGGAGTTGAATTACAGTAGGAACTTGGACTGTTCCTTTTCTCTCCCATCCCTTGTTCATCTCTATAAAAATAAATGCCCTGTATAGTGGCTAGACACTAGAGAGAAAAGGGTTTCTAGCATATGTGGGGTTAAAAAAAGAAGGAATTCACTTCCAATATTAGGTCCAGAAATAAAAGAAAATGAATAGACCAAGATATAACTGGCTTCAAATCCACGAAATTTACATTTTATTCAAACCCCTCTTGTCTATAAACAAACTTCTAGGCAACTTGCCCAGAAAATGGAGGAGAACACGGAATGGTGTGTGTTTTTTCCATCCTGGCTCCCACCCTCAGGGACAGTACTTGGACTCTCAGCTCCAGGAAACTCCAAGAGATTCTTTCAAGAAATCGGCAAGAGGTCTCAGCATTAGCTTAAGGTACAGATTACAGGGGGACATGGATGGTGCTGTGGTCTAAACCACTGAACCTCTTGGGTTTGCCAATCGGAAAGTCAGTGGTTCAAATCCCCATGACGGAGTGAGCTTCTGTTGCTCTGTCCCAGCTCCTGCCACCCTAGCACTTCGAAAGCATGCCAGTGCAAGTACAGTGGTACCTTGGGTTGCATACGCTTTAGGTTACATACACTTCAGGTTACAGACTCTGCTAACCCAGAAATATTACCTCAGGTTAAGAACTTTGCTTCAGGATGAGAACACAAATCGTGCAGCGGCAGCACAGCGGCAGCAGGAGGCCCCATTAGCTAAAGTGGTGCTTCAGGTTAAGAATAGTTTCAGGTTAAGAACAGACCTCCAGAACGAATTAAGTTCTTAACCCGAGTTACCACTGTAGATAAATAGGTACCGCTGCGATGGGAAGCTAAACAGAGTTTCAGTGCGCTCTGGTTTCTGTCACGGTATGTGGTTGAGCCAGAAGCGGTTTAGTCATGCTGGCCACATGACTCAGAAAGCTGTCTGTGGACAAACAGTGGCTCCCTTGGCCTGAAAGCGAGAGGAGCACCACACCCCATAGTTGCCTTTGACTGGACTTAACTGTCCAGGGGTCCTGTACCTTTACCTTTACAGGTTACACAATTCATAGGTCTATAAGCAAGTCTGTAAGATTCATGACCAGGCGTTAGCTAATATTCTGTTCCAGCACTTGACATGCCTCACCCGCTTTCCTTTTTAGGTGGAGGGGATTGTGCAATTCTCATCGCCAATGAGAAGACTGACCTTTCAAGTGTGCACTCCAGTAAATGGGCAGAGTCTGTTTGTGCCAATACAGATGGCAGTCTGTCCTTGGTGATGGAACTCACATCAGTTCCTCTGGCTTTTCCTCCACTTCTGTGAGTGAGCCGGCTGCCTCCTCAGCTACAGTGGACATCCCATTGTCCAGAGATGGGGTAAGGACTGTCTCAATTGCTTCCCCATCCTGCTTGGTGACATCTAGCAATAACAGGGTAGGGACCTCTCCCAGCTCAATACATGGACTCTCTCCTTTTCCATTCACAGGGTCCTCTATTCCCTTCCCTTCTGACTGATCCTGCCAGCCCCATCCTTCTTTGGTAGGAATAATATCTCCGGTGGTTAAGAGACACAGCTTCAGTGGCCTGCACAGCTTCCTGCCATTCACCAGAGGCCTAGCAAAAATGGAATAAGGTCCATCAGGTTGGAGGGCACTAGGAAAGCAGTCAATCACGTTTATGGTACCTTGAAATCAGTATGACATGCAGCTTTATCCCATAACGTACATGGAAGTAAGGATCGTTGACTCAAATGGTAATTACTCCCTAGAGAGTGAGCAAAGGATCAGATCTTTGAATATATTATAGTGTAGTGCTTAAGGTCTAGCAATTTCAAGCAAGACATAAGCAAGGTACCATTTCCTGGCTTAAGCCTGTTAGGTGGAAGTTCCACTGATTCCTGCAGGCCTTAGTTTAACATGTTTTGAGGAAGAATAGCAGTGTAAGGGGGGGAAAGGACTTCCACATTTAACTAAGGAAATACTATTTAATTGTTGTTTTAAGTACAATGGATGTGGTAAAATATAAGGAACAACTTCATGCCAGCCTTCAGATAAGAAGGCGAAAGATTGTGGAGGCCTGTACTTACCGTAACTTCAAATTGCACAAGATGTTACTGGAAAGAAAGCAGAATAATCCTCCCTCTCAGAACTACAGCAACCGAAAGACGCTGGATGTAACATTGCAGATGTTATAGCTCAGTAAAGAGACCCAATTAAAGAGGTCCCTGTAAGCCAGGCATGGCCAAACTTGGCCCTCCAGCAGTTTGGGGACTACAATTACCATCATCCCCGACCACTGGTCCTGTTAGCTAGGGATGATGGGAGCTGTAGTCCCAAAACATCTGGAGGGCTGAGTTTGCCTATGCCTGCTGTAAGCCAAAGTACAACACTACAGTGGACCACCTGGACTCCACATACTTGCTTTTCAAAAGATAGCAAAATTCCCACAAGGGGAAAGAATATTTACATAGCTTCCAACCTTTGAAAGAGGGAAAGTTTGAATTCCCTACTCCTTCCCACTTCCCAAGCAAAAGAGCTACTTTGCAGTCATGAAAGAAACTGGTCAACCTGGCCAACTAGTTAACTCAAATCCAAGGTCTTGCCAGGATGGCAAGCTAATTTACGAATGAACTCCATCACTTGCAGAGAAAGCTGGCAGTGTTTGAAGGTGCTGCAGTGTCATATACCAAGCCTGTTTAGCTCGTGGGCAGTTTATCTTAATTAACAACATTGCCATTCCTATGGTATAAGGAAATGAATCTGGCCAAAGTGGGCAAGTTGGCAGGTCCGCTATAAAGTTGAAAGGGGCAGGAAGTGGGCCATGAGTAGAATCGGCAGCTAAAATAACAGCAGTTTATGAAATAACACTGTGTTTCTTTTTAGAATGAGACAAAAATAATTCAAAACTACCACACCTTGTTTCTCTCTCTACAGTAATGAATGTTGAGTAGAGTTATAAGGAGGATGAATGCAAGGAGGAAAAGAAATGAGCCTATTTTGAAATGTTGTTACCACAGTTTCATATGACAAAAAAATGAAATAAACTCGAAGACTATAGCAATTGACCCTTTAGCTCATATTCAGATATAACATTAAACCAGGGCTTAATGCTATGTGCTTTCCCCGCTTCTCCATCCTGAGGTGACGAGAAGCGTCCACTTGAAAAGCACACCCCCATGACCATTTTAAAACAGAAGAAACCAGATGTAGGTGGCCCAAGCATTGGACATGGTGGTGATGTGTCCACACCTGCCCAGTGACATTGTGGGTGGGTATATACCAAGATCACACTTAGCACTTCCTTTATCATTTACCCAGGGGTATGTGCAGGGAGAAAATGGTATGGATAACCCAATCAAGGGGAGGATTTTCAAACACATATCAAATAGCCACACACACCCTTGTGGAAGGCAAAATCTAGATACAATCAAAGTGTTGATACTGACCTTTAAAGCTCTAAACGGCATCAGCCCAGTATACCTGAAGGAGCGTCTCCACCCCATCGTTCAGCCCAGACACTGAGGTTCAGCTTTGAGGGCCTTCTGGTGGTTCCCTCAGTGAGAGAAGAGAGGTTACAGGGAACCTGAAGGCAGAGGGCCTTCTAGGTAGTTGTGCTTGCCCTGTGGAAGGCCCTCCCATCAGATGTCAGGGAAATAAACAACTATCTGACTTTTAGAAAACATCTGAAGGCAACCCGGTTTAGGGAAGTTTTTAATGTTTGATGTTTTATCGTGTTTTTAATATTCTGTTGGGAGCCACCCGGAGTGGCTGGGGAAACCCAGGCAGATGGGCGGGGTATAAATAATATGCTGTTGTTGTTGTTGTTGTTGTTGTTGTTGTTGTTGTTGTTGTTGTTGTTCGCAGCAGCAGCGGCATATTGAGGATGAGTGTGAATAATTCCAGATTAGGTGAAACAAAATGAGTGTGTATTCTAAACGGAACTCTTAACAGTATTTTTCTCCAATGCCTTCAATAGAACTCTCTGCACTGAGATAATGTAATGCTGGTACCAATCAGTTAATGGCCTTGCTAAAACCCAAGGCGGCTCAGCTAGGAAACCTTGACTCTGATGACAACCTGATTTTAACCCCTTATAGTTTTCCCCACCTGGTGATCTCTGAATATGCCACACCAAGAGAATAAATAGAAAGGTTGTTGCATAACAGTGAGGATTTCCTCAAGTGAGCTGGCATGCCTAATCTTTGATCCTGGTGGTCCCTCTAGAGGTGGAAAACTATTCAGCTTTTTTATAAATATAGTCATTGTACTTCCCTGTCAAACTTAGTGTTGCTGGCAATGATGATTCTCTGCTATAAATAGCGGCTCAGAGTGGGACATCTTACACTAGACTACTGTAAGGACTACCTTGTGTGGTTGGTGATAGGGCAGCTATCAAGTTATGCGCTTAAAGTATTCTCATCAATGGGACTTATATATTCTTGGGATTTTGATCTAGGTAAACAGGCTCCCTTTATTATGACACAGAAGGCTGTGTGGACAATTGCTGGAGTGTAGCAGATGTTTAACCTAACCAAAATGTCACTTGATAATGACTGAATGTGTGAATTGATCCCAGGTATCCTTGCTGAGCTATCAGCTTTGCAACTAAGCCACAATATGCTCAGAACGTATATCACTTTATTCCCTTTCCTGGATCCTTCTACTTCTTTTATGTCTTGTGGGTATTTTCATTTTGCATTGGGTAGTTTATTGGCTGGTCCCTGTGAAATACAGTAGTTGGAGATGGAGTTAAACAAGAACCACCATTGCTTGCATTCAAAGGTGTCCTTTGTACTTAATCCAATTGAGGCTTCCATCAGTATAATAGGGAGGGAGGGATTTTTTTTGCCAATTTCCCCGATGTGCCAGAGGGTTAGGGAGCCCTTTGGGACAAGAAGGATGATGCAGAGTGCTGCAGCAAGAGAGGTAACAAACAACAACAAAAATCTCCTTTCTACTGTTTGGGTCCATGAGCCCTCCATCACTTTAAGGGACACCATTAGACACAAAAATTTTAGGTGCGGTCTAGTAATCATTTAGCCTACTGCACAAAATTGTTGTTAGGAGAAAGGGGGAACCATGTGCATTGTCCAAAGCTCTTTGGATGAAGAATAGGGTAATAGATAGATAGATAGGCCGTCAAAAAAGTTAGGCGGCACAGTCTTACAGAAAAACTTGATTCAACATCACTTGACATAACTAAAAACATCCAGTGTTACCTTGGGAGAATTCCACACACCACAGGAGTCTCACAACACCTTGAAGATTGATAGATTATAAATTGATAAATTATATTTTAAAAAATCAAAAATATATTTTAAAAATCCTTTCCCCCTACCCCTATAAAATACAAACACATGATAAGAAGCTTTAGCTTTTAGTGCAACACTGCTTCCATTGCCAGGTGTGTGCCAAGAACTAAGAACTTCATGGCTGACATTTCTGCTGTTTCAGGTGCTGCCAGAGCATTTCCTGTGGAGCCTCCTGGAGGATTGTGGCACTACCTTACACATTCCAGTACAAGGGTGGGGAAGCCATTTCAGCCTGAGGGCCCACTTACCTTTGTAGGCCACCTTCCAAGGGCTCCATGCCAGTTGGGGCTGGATGCAAAAGTGAGCACTGAGCATAATTTTTTCCTTCGTATGGTAGGCTGCTTTCCACGAACCTCCCTATCTTCAAGACAGGCAAGTAAGAAGAGTTCCAGGACATATTCTAGCAGGGCAAAAACACTCAAGGAAAGCACAACAAAGGCCACTGGCATATCTAACTGCCCTTCTAACTGAAAACCAAAAGCCTGAGTAAATGTTTTTGCCTGGCTCCTAAAAACAGACAATGATGGTACCAGGCGTGTTTCACACAGGGCACAAAAAGAAGCACATCAGATGATGAATGCCATGTACTGGTTGGTTCATGGGGGGGAGGTGGTACTTGAAATACTGGGATCCTGAGCCACATTCCTCTTCTTCTCATACTAGCAGTGTACTTCAACAAAGTCTGAAAAGGTGACTCAGCGCATCAAGCATTAAGGCAGGGGTCAGCAAACTTTTTCAGCAGGGGTCCGGTTTACTGTCCCTCAGACCTTGTGGGGGGCCGGACTATTTTTTTGGGGGGGTGAATGAACGAATTCCTATGCCCCACAAATAATCCAGAGATGCATTTTAAATAAAAGCACACATTCTACTCATGCAAAAACGCCAGGCAGGCCCCACAAATAATCCAGAGATGCATTTTAAATAAAAGGACACATTCTACGCATGTAAAAACACGCTGATTCCTGGACCATCCACAGGCCAGATTTGGCACCTGGGCCTGTTTGCTACCCATGCATTAAGGCATCTCAGGCTATACCACCCCCCTTCTTGCTTTCTAATTCCTTCATAGTCAAAGTTGACACTGACCTGCTTTTAGGGTAGCCCTAGCTATATTATGGCTTGGAAAACAAGTCATTTGTTCCAGTTACACAGTGTTCTTTACCCACTTGAAATTTTGCCTTCTTCCTGTGTGAGCGACCATTTTTCAGAGATGCTCCACTGTAAAGCTTAAACACTCTGTTCCCATAGATTTGCTAAAATGGATCAGGTATTTAATGATCCACACAGTTCTTCTAAGTCCCTAATAAATTTTGTCACTTTCTCTGCAATGCAAGGAGAGGGCTGTTATGCTAACTGGAAGGCATGAGCCAAAATCACACTGTGATCTCTCTTATCAATAATCTTTGGCATCCTAAATTTGCTCTAGGGTGTTTGTTGGCCATTTCACCATAAAGCACACACTAGTAATTTAGAAAATCATAAAGTGAACATTGTTCAACAACACACACACCTAAGAGTTTATTGTAGGCAGCACACACATACTATATATCCAGGTAGGTAGCTGTGTTGGTCTGACGCAGTCAAAATAAATTAAAAAATTGTCCAGTAGCACCTTAGAGACCATTTGTAGTAGATATTGTATCCTGCTCTATGAAGGCATTGTATGCTGCTTGGAAGACATCTTGCTTGGAAAAACAGGGTACAAATACCTGAATAAATTCAGGGGACATATGTACAAATATGCACATCTTGTAGTAGCACATCTAGTTTGGCCCTGCCAATTCTGTACAACCGGGATTGTTATTTACACAGCACCATCAGTAGACATGGCTTGTTACAAAGGATGCTGGGATTCACACTTCCATAGCATGATCAAACAGTCACAGGAGAAGCAAACTGTCTTGTTGTGGTCCAGCCCCGGTCCCAGGCAATTTTGCACCCTAGTCCAGGCTAACTACTTGCACTCCCCACCCCCACTACTCCAAAATTGCTAACATCAATTTTCAAAAACAGATGTCTTGTTGAAAAAATGAAAAGCACAAAACTTGAAACTGCTAAATTTATTTTAGCACACAAACCATTTTGAACAACTGTGTGAATTGTGATGTTAAAACAATTAGTCTTCTAAAAGTTTCAATTTCAGGCACATCAAAATCTCACTTTGTGTGCCTTTTCCTTTGATAATTTTGTCACCAATTCCTTCAAGTGAAGTGCTGATACTTGAGCATGTTCAATTCATATAGCTACCAAGCCAACTACTTGCAAAATGTAAGTTTATATAAGTTTGAGCTTTGAGAAATTGTGTTCACCACTTGCCATTGACACTGGAAGTGTGGGAAGTATTCTTAGAGCAACAGAAACATTAGGCACGTTATCCTGGAGTTTTTGTTGTAGTATAAAGAGATGTATTCCTTGGCTTAACCGATGCCTAAGTGTGATACATGGCTAGTTAGAATTTTCCAATGCTGAGTCAATGCAAAGAAATAATTAGAAATCTGTTGAACCAAACTGAAGAAACTGGTTGCTTCCAAATAACATTTAGCAGCAGCATTGACTACCAAGTTTAAAGAGTGTGCATTGAAGGGCACAAAAAGGGAACATGGGTTTATGTCCCAGACTCTGTTTTGTATGCCATTTTCTTTGCTTTTCATGTTACTTCCATCATCGTAACTTTGACCACACAAGGTTCTCAATTGTTAATCCCATTTGCTCAAGCTGTCTAAGAAGAGTTTCTGTCATAAAGGCACCTGTAGTCTCCTTTATAGTGGAACAAATCCCAAGAAATGTTCTCTTATGATAACCTCAGGCTCAGACATCTCATTATCTGTGGCTTGATAGCATCAACATAATATACAATCATCGTAAGTTGTTCAGTGTGACTAACATCAGGTGTGCAGTCCAGAATAATTGAGTAGTATTTGGCTGAGTTTGCATATGCTAAGTTGTTCTGCTTTGCAACATCTACTAGAAGCTATATACGGTAAGCTCATTTTGGATATCTTTTCCCAGGTAGCAACCATTGTTTCTTGATCTTTCCCTGTGCAAATGTTCATTTGTGATAGGATCAAAAAGGGCTAGATAATTCTACAAGTTTTTTTAAAAAGAATCCTATGCCAGCACTGTACAACTTTTCAGATGAACCACAGAATGCCAAGAAAAATACCAAGTAAACATTTTGTTTAGAACATATAACAAAAACTAATCTGTATAAAACAGTGCCCCTCAAAGGTCAGTACTGCGCCCCTCAGAGATCTGCACCCTAGATAGCTGCCTACTTGGCCTAATGATGGCCCTGACCCTGGTGTGATCCTTTGCATGCATCTCTCACTGAATTAAATACAATTTAGCATGGATGATGGCATGTGCACAAAACCTCCTCGGCTGCAAAAGTGACTAGACAGGTCCAACTACTGCATTCTTCTCACATAAGCTCTATTCGCTTGAGCAGACTTCATGCTTTATGAAAGAGAGGCTGCAACTATTAAACAGCTACACAAATCCCAAGCCCTTCTCCTTCATCTCTATGAATGTGGAACAGTGCCTGCATCATGTCAAAAAAGTAATAAGATGTGATACCAAATTGTATCCATACTCACTCAGAAGTCCCACTTCATGGAATTTTAGACCTAGAAGGGACCATGAGGGTCATCTAGTCCAACTCTCTGCAGTGCAGAAAACTTTTTGCCCAACATGGGGCTTGAACCCACAACCCTGTCTCTACAAACTCAGCTATCTCAGTACAGTGGTACCTTGGGATGCGAACGGGATCTGTTCCGGAGCCCCGTTCGCATCCTGAACCCAACGTAAGCCGCAACAGCGTGTCTGCGCGGGTCGTGTTTTGCCACTTCCGCACATGCGCATGACGTCATTTTGAGCATCTGTGCATGCACGAGCGGTGAAACACGGAAGTAACGCGCTCCGTTACTTCCAGGTTGCTGCAGAGCGCAACTCGAACACACTCAACCCGAAGCACATTCAACCCAAGGTATGACTGTAGTACCAACAACAGAGTCTGGATGGCTTTGCTCAAAAGCTATGGCTTTACCACATGTCCATCCTGACCCTGTGCTTGCTCACTCTGAGGTCCCACTCCTTTCTGTCAAACTTACCCAGGGCATAGCCACCACGCAGTGCAAGTAAGCAAGCATTAAGACTTAAGGAGCCTTACATGAATCTTAAACAGCACAGCCATGCAACATAATCCTATGCATGTTTACTTGGATGTAGGTAGCACTGTATTTAATGGGGTAATACTCTCTGTTAAGTGTGCAAAGGATGCAGCCCAACTCTCCTTACTCTGCATAGCCACCTGAAATAATATCTACAGACTATTAGGCAAGGCATCCCAGTTTGGGGTTGCTAATTAAATATCATGCATTAAACAAGGTTCACATTGAGTCACACAACTTTCATGTTTCTGAGCTCTACAAATTATCAATTAACCGAGCGGTTTAGTAAAATGCCAAACGTTGCACCAGTGCAGCTGAATTTAGGAAGTGTGTTCTGAGAAGGAGAGTCATCAAGTGATTCCCAGCAGCTGGAGGGGGAAGAGGAGCAAAGGCCATCAGACAAGCTCTCTGACCCTTGATCAATGCAGCCTCCACTCCTCTTATCACGATCCCCTTATTCGATCCTGGCTGTTCTCCGCACCCAACCTTTTCTAAACTAAGCATACACGCTTATTCAAACTTGTTCAAAACACACACTTTCACAACGCGCAAGACGTCCCCCGCCAGTCGTTTACAGATCCCCGCCTTGAACATTAAAAAAAACCAAAACCAATCCACGCAAGGCGACCTTTACCCGAGCGCACGTAAAACCACTTGCCCCAAACCAGGCCACGTGACTCCCCGCCCGCCCGCCGCCTCGCTTTTGCTTTTTTAAGTCTGAGCGGCCTACGGCAATCCAATTGGCCCAAAAACTTCCAGCGCATATGGCAGCGGCGGGGGTAAGGGAGTGGATGGCGCGCGCTGATTGGAGCGCGCGGCCGGAGCGGAGTTGTAAGGCGAGCGCCGATTGGCGGAGGCGCGGCCGCATGTGTCCGGCTCGCTGTCTTTGTATACAGAGTCGCTCTCGGAGCCCCTTTAACAATGGACGGAGGGAGCCGCTCCGCCGGATGGCGACGGGCGACGAGCGCAGCTCCCGCGGGATGCCGAGCCTGAGGCTGCTGCTGCTGCTGCTGCTGCAGATCGGCGTTCGAGGTGGGGCGATGCCCGGGGAGATCCCCGAGGTGGATCTCTTGCTGGCCCGGGGGCTGTAAAGAGAGAAGTGGAGCTGGGCAAACTCCGGGTAAGTGGAGAGGAGGAGGAGGCGGCGGCGGGGCTGCGCGGAGCTCCGAAGAAGGAGGAGAAGGGGACTCTCCAGAGGCAAGCTCGGGCAGCAGACGGAGGAAGCGTGTCAAGCCCTTTGTTGTAGCTTCATCTGGCGCTGCGCTCTCGCTTTCCACGAGGAGGAGGAAAGTTGGCAGTTGCTGCGGGACGGTCTTGGGCGGGGACGAGGTGGTCGGCGCTCGCTCTTCCCCGCAGCCCTTGTCGAGAGGCCAAGACGTCCTCCGCCTCCTCCGAAGCTCAGCTGGGCGCCCACCGCGCCGCCGCCCTTTAATGCAACCCCAGGCTCCCCGCTTCCCACCAGGGGGATCCGACGGGCGCGGCACCAAAAACTCTGAGCTCGATCTCTCTTGCTCTTGCTAGGATCCCCTGCGCGCCTCTCTCTCGACGTGCATTGAGTGGGATCAGCTGCGTGGCTTCAAGCGCAGCTCCCTCGGCCAGCCTCCCTCCCTGGAAAGAGAGTGGGGAGGGGATCGCGGAGTTCTCGTAGCTCGGGCGGGGCGGGGTGGGGTGGGTTCCCGGTTGCTTCTAACTGGGCGCAAGCGGCGGCCCTGGAAAAGGGGGTCTGAGCCCGGGCTGCTTCCGCTCCCTCTCCTGTGCAGGCTTCGGTGCTGCTGCTGCTGCCGCCGCCGCCCGCTGCTGATTCCCGGCCGCCTCACCCTGTCCCATGGAGCTAGAGGGGCAGTGGTGGAAAGGACAGCTCGCTGCCGACATCCACCAAGCGCTTCGCTACAAGGTAACTCGGATCATCAGGGCACCATCGTGTTCTACCACTTTTCCCCACTTTTTTTATTTTATTTGCTCCGGGTGAAGGTAGTTCTCGGGCTGCTCAGTGCTAGAATTAAGTTTGCTTCTTTTGAGTGACAGGGCGAAACAGCTGCCTGCTGCTCTTTCTCTCTGTCCTCCTCCCACCCCACATTGGGCGCATCAAACGGCTTCCTGCGTTCACTCTTTTGTCCCCAGCGTTTACATTTTGCAGGAAGGCCGTGCCTTATGGGCCGCCTGTTTACCTCCAGATGGATTTCATAGTCTTGTGTTCGTTCACAGGGCTGTTTCAGGAGCAAAGTTGCTAATATGTTCACGTGCAGGTGGGGAAACTTAACTGCATGCTTGTTGGGAATTCAGGGGGACTTGCTTCTGAGGCCCCTATGCCCTGAAAGTTAGTTGTGCTTTAAATCCATCTTGATAACCGGCCTTGTATTTCCCACTGAAGGGGGCTTGCTTCTGAGTAGATACTCATAGGGTTGCACCATAAAGCTTAGGTACATTAAATCCCATTGGTTCCGGTGGCTTTAATCCCTAAGCTGCTTTGTTCTCTCATGGGACAGGGCAACTCTGGTCAACTTTCATGTGCACCCAGCACGGTGTACCAGGGCCTCCCAGCCACTAGGAACAGTTTTTGGAGGAGACTGGGTAGAGAGGGGAAAGTTGCCAAAGCAATGTTCCTTGTACTGTATTCTGTTCATGGAAGCAAAGTTAGACTCCAAGCTGGTGTCCTAAAACTGCCTAGGATCAGACTTCACCTTTCTCTGAACTGGGGCCTAAGGTAAACATCCCAGACTGCCCACACAACTTGCTTCAGGCTGCATTATATGTCTGTGGCAGAGATGAAACTTAGATCTCGCAGATCTGTGTCTGCCTGTCTGTCTTCTGAGTCATGGTGTCTGCCAGATGCATGTATATTTGTGAGCATTTGAAACTGGACCTGTTGCTTTTGCAAAAGGAGTCTGAAATGTTCCTTCTGAGGATCAAGAAGGGTGGCTGAGTCAAAGGTTTCACGTAAAGTGCTATAGAAACAAAGGGTAATATATTTTGCATTGTCTTCAAAGAGTTCATTGAAACTTTTCTTCTGCTTGATCAGCTTTCCTTTCTTAATTGAACAGCATGTGGAGATGAAACTCCTATTCAGATAGTAACTTCATTGAGGGACCTGTTTATTTTCTCTCTACTCATTCAGGAATTGTGAGAACCTGTTTAGTCTTGGCTTTTCCCAAAGTGACTCATCCCTGATCAAAAACGGCTTTATTCTACCTTCTATACAAAAGGGTTTTCCTTTTTTTGAAATAAATCATCAAGGCAACTTCAGATGCCTTGTCCCAAAGCCCGTTGCGCTGTGTGGAAGTTCAAGGCTGCTTAACTGGGCTATTGAGCCAGAGTTTCATGGGAACTACCTAAAGAATGAATAAAATGTGATAGTGGGTTGCTGGGCGGCAGAAACAACTGTGGGAGAGGCTGGGTCATAGTCGTTAAAGGGACATTAGACAGCTGGCTAGTGCTATAGATCCTAGTCGGAAATTGCCAGCCTATTAGCACTATTTGTCTCTTTCCCCTAGACTAGAGGCAGACTGCAATAAAAATGCAGCGGTCTTCCTCAAAGGACCAGTGTGAGAACATTTCTTACTTACAAATCTTATAGGCTGCCAAACTTAAAACGTTGGGTTTCTATCTGGAATGTCTTCTTGATTTTAGTTTTTAATAATAAACAAATGCACGTGAGATAACGTTATCTGCTCTGGAGATAATTAAGAGTTGCCACCTGTTTCTGGCAGGACTCCTGTGGTTTTAAACAGGGTAGAAATTCAACAGGTGCAGTGGTTGAATTTCTGCCTTTCATGCTACTGTTAAAGGCACATAACCCCTGCTGGAATAATGATGGCAACTCTTCTGGAATTACCAGTTAATATACTGTACTGATTCGCTTATGTTAATTTCATAAATAGTTGCCACCTATTTCTGAACCCTTTGGTGTGTGTGTAGTTGCCTCTGGTTGTACAAATGCACTCTCAGCAGTTACCACTGCTATAAATGTCAGTTGATGATGTTTAATTATAGCAGCGTTCTGAAAGAGTAAAGGTCTGGATGTGGCTGACAACTTGGGTCAATTCTCTCTTGAGGAAGGGGAGCATGCATCTTATTCTAAGCATATTTACTCAGATGTAAATACAACTGAAAGCACCAGAACTTACATATTTGTAAGTATGCTTAGGACTGCAGCCTTTTAAGCATTAATCTGTCTGAACAGCACCTTAGTCATACTCACATATAGGTCACAAACAGGAGCAGGGCTGCCCCGTTCTGTTCTACTGACAACTGAAGCATCAACCTCTCTTTGAAACTAAACCCGTGTACTTGCCCTGGCAGCTGTTTTGAAGCATGAGTGGTTTGTGTGACTATCATCCCATTTTTCTGCTCTCTCGCCAGCTTCTTAAAGCCTTTGTTGATCCCAGTGTAAGCTAAGAAAGATAGCTGAAGTCAGATGTGCCTTCAAAAAAAAGATCCTGAAATTCTGGATTTATTCCGCAGTAAATCATTCTTTGCTGCAAACTAAATCCAAACTATTATTTGGGGATATTCCTTCTTGATTACTTTAATTATAGACTTGTCGTGTCTTCAGTGGAAGTGATTCTCTGTCGTATGTTTGTTTTTAAAGCATTGGGCTGTGATGTCTTACCTTGCTGACTGCTCTGAGTCAGGTAACTAAAGCAGTGACTCTTGCAGTTAACCCTTGACTACAAAGGATAATCACTATCTAAGGTAGCTGAGCTGTAAAGTAAATTCAGGCCTTTGTGTGTCAAAGCCTTTTATCTGTGGTTTTCCCTGTGAAAACCAAGAACACTTAGAATCATAAAATTGTAGAGTTGGAAGGGACCAACAAGGCTCATCTATTCCAACCCCCTGCAATGCAGGAATCTTTTTCCCAACATGAGGCTTGAACCTACAACCCTAAGATTAAGAGTCTCATGCTCTACAGACTGAGCCCAATTTTTTTGAGCCCTTGGATATAGTGCTGGATGAAGTTTCCCTGTTCTAGCAACACCCAATGCTCATTGTAATGATCTTTCATAACTTCCTAGACTACAGACTTGCTGGCATTTTGTATTCTTAGCTCCAGTGAATTCTTGGGTACTTACGTGCGAATAGATGGATCATCCGCATCTGTTTTGTGCAAACAAGTCTGGAGAGGTGATAAGTGCTGGCATGCCTGCTAGTCAGATGTGCTAATTGGCTGCCTCCCCTTGGTCCAGCTGTGAGCTGGAGATCCAGTAACCCTCTCCACCACAGAGGTGTTGTGAAAGCAATGATTACAGGCAGATCTTGCTAATGTAATAGAAGCCCATGTAGTGGGCTGCCCAGCTGCTCATATGCATAGGGGTGTTACTGTTCTAGATTAGCTGAAGAAGCCTTTTGCCTTGTCTGTTACGTGAGCACTGTGACAAGTACAGTGGTACCTCAGGTTAAGTACTTAATTCATTCTGGAAGTCCGTTCTTAACCTGAAACTGTTCTTAACCTGAAGCACCACTTTAGCTTATGGGGCTTCCTGCTGTTGCTGCACGGCCAGAGCCCATTTTCTGTTCTTATCATGAAGCAAAGTTCTTAACCTGAAGCACTATTTCTGGGTTAGCAGAGTGTGTAACCTGAAGCGTATGTAACCCGAGGTACCACTGTAATAGGATTGAAGGCTAAAGTAGTTTGGGTGGTGGTGGTAGGGATGGGAAGGCCTATGAACAACCCTTACATATATGGTGAGAACCGAAGAGAACAGGCAACAAAATAAGGCTGTTGTGCAAAAACTGACTCTTTTTATAATGTCTGCAGTAATAAAGTGCAGGACAACATAAACTCATTTGTGTTACTTGGAACTGTGTGGTGTTTTGTTGCTATGTTTGATTTTGGTATGGAAATTTGTTCCCATATGTTTGATTCTAGCTATATCTCTACTTCTATTTGACACCTGCTGTTACACTCCGCTATGTTATAAATAAATAAAAATACAAAAAAAGGCCCACTCCTGGGCCCTTATGGAATCCAGTGGATTCCTGAATAGTCAGTGGAATTTTCTTGCATATGCAGCTAGTGAGCCTGTCAAGGCCTTAGTCTCTAGGGAGACGTGGCAGGCCATCAACACTATTGTTCCTGAGTGTCCTTTCTAGTGCTGTGGAGTCAGTGCTGTTCTCTGGTACTCGAAAGAGCTGCAGCTGATGAAACGGGCTGGATGATAAGTGCATTTTGAACCCACCACTCATTGTAGCTAATTTGGATGCGTGCAGGATGTTGTGTATGTGTGGCTATGTGAGATAGCGGTGCACCCAGAGCTATTTGACGACTTCCACCTGGCTTTCCCTTTGGAAGGAAGGTAGGTACCCGAGAGGGTTGTGGAGGCCCAGCTTCTTGCACTCTTGGAAGAAACTGATTACCTGGACCCTGTTCTTCCTTGATTTCTCAGTGACTTTTGATACCATGGTATCCTGCTAGACTTGACTTGTGAGTAGGGACTGGGAGGCATTGTGTAAAAGTGCTTCTGCTCCTACTTACAGGACACATTTCAGAGACTGGCATTGGGTGGCTATATACAGACCTTGGCAACTATCTTCTAGGGTGCTGCAGGAATGTAGTTGTGTTTTAAAGGGTTGTTTTTGATCCGTTGATAATTTTAATTCCTGCTTTATTTGTAATTGAGTTTTAATACAGTAGTTAGCTGCTCTGGCAGGAGGTAAGGAGTGATATAAGAACAACAAATACAGTTGTACCTTGGAAGTCAAACGGAATCCGTTCCGGAAGTCCGTTCAACTTCCAAAACGTTTGAAAACCAAATCGCGGCTTCTGATTGGCTGCAGGAAGCTCCTGCAGCCAATCAGAAGCCCTGTTGGATGTTCGGATTCCAAAAGATCGTTTGCAAACTGCGACAATCACTTCTGGGTTTGTGGCAATTGGGAGCCAAAACGTCTGAATTCTAGGGCATTCGGGATCAGAGGTATGACTGTAAATGTAACATCCGAGTGGAATCATCACAAGATCTGGAGTGTGGTGCCACCAGTAGGAAAAAATAAGAGAAACTGTAAACCCTAGGTTCCTAAACCTTAAAAATGACTTCAGTTTCTTTAATTTTGGTTAGTTTCAATGCCCGTGTAGTGGTGGCTGTCTTTTTTAAAGTGCCTGTTATTCTCCACTTAGGAGCTGAAGCTTCCATCCTATAAAGGCCAGTCTCCCCAGTTAAATCTGAGAAGATACTTTGCAGACTTGATTGCCATTGTGAGCAATCGCTTCAGGCTCTGCCCTGCTGCCCGCCATCTTGCTGTTTATCTCCTGGACCTCTTTATGGACCGTTATGACATATCCATTCAGCAGCTGCATGTGGTGGCTCTTTCCTGTTTGCTTTTAGCGAGTAAGTATGAAGCAACAGGATTAACAGATTTGAAAATCATATTTCCCATTGTTCGGTTAAAAGCTCCTCAGTTTTCCAGTCTGTTACATGTCCTACAACTATGCAAAAAGAAAAAAGAAAAACACCACCCTGCATGATATCGAAGGATTGTGAGGGAGACACAGGGCATTGGCAGTTTCTCAACGAGCACTGTTCTATGTAGATTCAATCTCATTCTTATATCCACATGTCCTGTGTTAATATCATATTACTCTCTGGCCTGCCTCAGGTACAGTCGTATTGTGGTTTTTGAATTTAATCCATTCCGGGAGTCTGACTCGTGGAACAGTTCGAAAACCAAGGCATGGCTTCCAATTGGCTGCAGGAGCGCGCTGCAGCCAGTCGGAAGCCATGCCAGATGTTCGGCTTCCGAAAACCGGAACAATCCCTTCCAGTTTTTGATCGTTCGGGAGCCAAAACATTTGAGTTCAAAGGCGTTCAGCTTCTGAGGTTCCACTGTACGAATCACATCAAAAGCAAGGTGACTGGGGCTGTGTTTTAACCTGCCCCCCAAATTGTGTGACTCCTCCCACCTCTGCCATGTTGATCATAACTTATAAATTGGGAGCCTTCTCTACATGCGGAGTCTCACTACACAGTGTGGAACCCCAGGCAGGAAGCATTTCAGATTGTGCTGGGATCCTCAACAAATTGAAAGAAAACCATAACTTCTGCAGCAGAGAGCTAATGTAATGAAGGGTAGAGCTAAAAGCAGCCCCTGTCCCAATGAGTAAATTGTGAAGAGGGCTTTGGTGAGCAGCAGAATTCCTGCTAGAAGTTGTGTCTGCCTCAGAAGCTTTTGGACAATTGATTTCGCAATTTAACAAAGGATTAAATACCTCAGAATTTCAAATATTGCGATACTATACCTAGTTGTTCACATCAGAATCCTATCACATTTGCAAAAATATGGAAACCAAAACTGGTTATTTCAGATACCGTGGCACTGAGTATGGCATACATCCCAAATAAAAAGCAATCGCTTTCTACTCGGTGAATATATCTGAAGTGGCAAACCAAATCTGCCTTGAATCTACTCAAAACACTGTTTTCAGAACCTTAAAAAAATAAACAAGTAAATCCATTTATATTGTCAACCTAAATGAGCAACCTATATTTAATTTTAAAACTGAGGACCAGATCTACCATAGATTTTGTAAATGTATATCCTTTATGCTTAATAGAAAGTGTATATATGCTCTGGTTAGGCCGTTATCTACCTCTTCAGCTTTTCGCTATGAGGTGATATAAGGTACTACAAGTGCAACAGAATCCCCGTTGTAACTTTTTGCAGGATGTGGTGGCAATTAGCTAATCCTCTGTAGCAGGACTGATCATCATGCTGTTCTCCAGATGTTGTTCAACTCCCATCAGCCCCAGCCAGCCTGAATAATGGTTGAGGATGATGACAGTTATGCTTCAACTCCTGGAAGGCACCCTGATGGCTAACCCTGCTGTATAGCAGCTGCTATTATTTTTATTTTATTTTGCAACATTGATCCATTTCTTTTTGAGGCATTGCCGTTCCTCCATGAGGAGCTAAAACATAAATACATTTGTTTTTATCGTGTACCTATGCTGTAATGGAATTTTACCTTCTCATTTCCCTCAAGGTAAATTTGAAGAGAAGGAAGACAGTGTGCCCAAACTTGAACAGCTAAACAGCTTGGGTTGTATGACTAACATGAACCTGGTACTAACCAAACAGAACTTGCTGCACATGGAGCTGCTGTTACTGGAAACCTTTCAGTGGAACCTCTGCCTCCCGACAGCTGCTCACTTCATTGACTATTACCTCTCCATTGCCGTTCACGAGTCCGATCTTCACGATGGATGGCCAATGGTTTGCTTGGACAAGACAAAGTTGTACATGGCAAAATATGCCGACTACTTTTTGGAAGTATCCCTGCAAGGTGCGTTTTCATGGCTTTGTTCTAAAGACCCCCATAGTTACTTAGGTTACACAGCTAATACTGTGCTTGACTAAACCGTGATCCTCCGATGTCTCTCCAGATCATGCATTTTTAAATTATGCCCCTTCGTTAGTGGCTGCTGCATGTGTGGCTTCTTCAAGGATTATCTTGCGTCTTTCTCCAACGTGGCCAGCAAGACTCCATCGCCTTACTGCCTACTCCTGGGACTTCCTGGTGCCATGCATTGAACGATTGTTGGTGTAAGTTTTTCAAGCAGTCTCTGACATGATGGTGTGGGTTTAAATCGCCCAAGTGGTGGAATGCAGTGGGGTGTATGTGTTTTGTTTTGCCTTGTGATCACTTTGAAGAAACTGGTAGTCATGCTGGTGTCATTCTTGATTCTGGCAACTGGTTCATTTTTAGCTTGAATGCTTTCACAATAATTGCCACATTTTATTATTTCCCTCCCAATGACTTCCCCCTTTTCTGCCTGAAATTCATCCTAGTTATCACAGACTTCAACCTTGTGTGTTTTGGCTAAGGTACAAAGTGCCTTTATTAAGGGGACTTTCGTTCTAATCTTGCCTTCCTTGGGACCCACTTGACAAAATCGGTTTTTGACTTGAATGTGGTTTCCCCCTCCGTGTGCTGCCTTGCTCTGCATCCATTGTCTTCAGCCTGCAATCCACCACTTTAGAAGGTCTGAAATTGTATGATGGCTTTATTCATACAACTATATTTATTTAGGCGTTTTATTGTGGAGTTTTGATTTGCATTACTACTGCAAGGAAAATCTGGCTGGTGGTGGCTTTGGTGCCTTAGAAATAGTTGCATAAACAGTACCTTGTCTGACTTCTGTCAGTGCACTTATTAGTTATCTTTCTACTGAAGTACCCAAAGTGATGTACCTACAATAAAATGAAAGAGCAGAAGCATACACGTTTAACAGCATAAAAACTAATCTAACAATATCCATAAGATAGCCAAAATAAATCAAATACAGGAAGTTGTAAAGACGACTTAGGAGTTCTGTGCTTCATTCATACCCACCAGATGGTGATAAACATTAAACTTATTATTTTTGATTAAACGGTCACCTGTTTCACACATTCATGAATTCATTTGCTTAAAGTATACCCTTTTAACGCCCTGCTGCTAAACTCATGGTCTTGCATGCATGCCCTTGCATGCCCTATCAATTTCAACAAGCTATGTTCAGAAATGACAGTGTTTTGGATTGCAGCTTTAAGGTGCCAGAATGCAGAGCTTATTAAGCAAACTGAAACTATTAAAAAAATAATAGCCATTCAGAGTATAATCTTCTGAGGCGTATTTTATTGTAAGGATAGGAAACCTGTGGCCTTTTAGATGTGGTTGGAGTGAAACTACTGCCCATTGGTGATATTGACTGGGGCTGATGTAAACTGGAGCCCAACAACTCAAGAGCCACAGATTCCCCTTCTCTGGTTTACTTTACTGTTTTTTCAAAAATACCAAATTTTGCATATGTAAAAAAAGAAGCACCCTGTTTTAAAATCAACCTTAGATGCTGTTTTTTAAAATGCATCTGCAATGTAAATTCAGATCTGCATCTGTTTTGGAAGGTTGCTTATTTTCTGACAAGTCTTTTCCCACCCCCCAGTCCAATTGTTTTACGAGGATGTAAAGTGCTTGTTACATTTGTTTTACATGAGGTAATGTCAGTGAAACAGAATACTGAGATTATTATTGTGTTCTATTGTTAAAACTGGGACCAGGATCTAAAGCATTGTAAATAATGTTCACACCTGCGTATGTGTGTTCCTCTCCCCACACAGACATCCTCAGTTTCTTCTCACAGAAATTTCCATGCATATCAAGTAGGCTTTGATATATGAAGAAATACTCTCAACCCAATATGCCTGCATACATACATACATACATACATGGGGTGGGTGGGTTCTGATTTCCAGCCTCTCTAAAATGGATAGTAAAACAAGGTTTTAATATTATATTCTAGAGCCCATGATAATGATGTAAAAGAAGCCAACAAGCAAAAAGGACAGCACGGTTCTCCAGCAGCCCAGCACAGTTTATTTCAAACAACCCCACAGCCTCCACAGCAGCACATACCCCAGTATGTTCAAGCACATCAGACTCCTCAGCAGTTTCATCCAACAGCGCAGCAGCAAAACTGCCAGCAGATTCTGCCATCTGGCCACACGTCATCTTATCCACTGCAGACTTGCCCAGCTGGTTTACAAGGTGGTGTCCAGGCTAGAGGTCATATACAGACGGCTGCTGGAATGTCACTAACTGTCCCCATAGAAGTGAAGCCATGTATAAGTGTTTCTTACAACCGAAGCTATCAGATCGCTGGACGTTATCCTTGCATTACTCCCTGCTTTGAGAGGTGATAACTACAGCAAAACGCTGCAAGGAGGACAATCCTCTATTTTTCCTCTTAACAGCAGAGAAGTAGTTGAATACTTTTTTTTTAAAAGGTAATTCAATTGCAGGAACTGCTAATATGAGATTATACCTACTGATAAGGTGTTAATAACCTGAGAAGGATGGACTACTCCCCGTTCACAGTTGTTGTATTTGTTCACTTGAAGCCTGCGCTTAAAACTGATGCTGAGAAACTGCTGCACTGGCTTAGTTTGTCTTCCCATGAAGAGGAATGATCCTGTGTGGTTCTAAAGGGACCACTGTGTCTACCCTTCGCTATACAGTATTGAATAAGACTTTAAACTCCACCAAGTGCCATGCTTTCCTTCAGGATGGAGAGCCACATGGGAGAGAGGAGAGAACCTCTTGACTGAAATTGGCAGTTCCGCTCTCGTTCAAGATCTTTGGATGAGATTTTGTGTTAGAATGCCCTTTGGGTTAACTTTTTTGTATATCTCATACTTCAAAGTACTTTAGTGTTTGCTGAAACCATTTTAGAGCTAAACTGTCATACTAACTCAGGGAATAATCAAACTACTTTGATACTGGTGTATATCATTTAAGTAGTGTTCTTGGGTTTCCTCACTCAGGGTAATGGCCATAGCAAATACCAAAGGGAGTTCAGATACTCATCCAGACTACTCCCTTAATCCAAAATTGTGCTTTCTATTGGGAAGAATGGTGTGCTATCTTCAAACAAAACCAATGTTGTACCATAGCCAACTGAATATTGTTTGTGGTTTCCCCTAGATTATGTAACCAACTATTTATGACCCAAATCCTTTTTTCTCCTCTCCATTGTATTGAATTCCTACTTAAATAGGGAGAAAGTACAATTTAAATCTTTTCAAGAAGCATAGCATTGTACATGATAGTTCCAGAGCAAATACGGGATTGAAGTTCTCAGGCTCTACCAGAACAGCTACAACTTCCTGTTTCTACAATCGTATTAATAGTGATTCAGATATTTTTCTGATGTGAACTAGATAGTCCTACAACGACTGCTAAGTGCATAACTATCAGAAAGGTGATAGTTTTTAGCTATTTAATTTCCTATACTTGGGTCCATACCAGAAACAGAGTGGCAAATAGGTGAACACCTTACATCTTCTCTAGCTTCCTATCTGATGTAGATGTGAGAAGGAATCCATGATGGTTGAAGGCAGAGGGTAGCACTTGCTTCCTGATGTCTAGGGATGGATTAAGTTTTTCAAAAGAATAGTACGAGTCGATAGGGGAAAGTATATATAAAAATTGTCAACAGATTTTCCTCACAAAAGGGACCATCCCCAAACACTTGGTGCTCTGAGAGAAATGGCACTGCTTGATTGAAAAGGCTCTCCTAGAGCTGAATATGCTGCAAGAAAATATTCTTTAATTTAGAGGAGAAACGATCCTCTGAGGCAATTATTTTATACCGTAATATATTTTCAGGGTGTCTTTGACAAATGTGAGGAGTTTTTGAGAGAAGGGAACATTCCGAGAACACCACCAATTTGATAAAGTGTCCTTGCTACTTCTTTCCTAAGGTCTTTAAGTATTGTCTTGTTTTCCTCTCACATGCTGTCCTTTAAAGGGGCAGAGAGAAGGTTACAAATAGAAGAGGTAGAGGTCTGATGGTATCACTTGTGGTGGTTTCACTTTAATATGTGAGGATGAAGGACTACAGAATGCATCTGAAAAGGAAAGATACTCAACTTAGTTTGTAATACTATATGTAAGACTCTTCATTGTTTGACTACCTCAATAATACGTTGAATGTACAGTCTTGTGGTAATCCATGACTTGAAATAACAGCAGGTTACTTGTTTTGTGTTTTGTTTTTTTTACATTGGGTTCATTTTCATCCTCCATGTGTGTGACAGCAAACGAGTTACTAATACAAAAGAAGTCTATTTTGTAGGCCTGTACACTCAAACATTGGCTGATAATTAACACTGGAATTATGGGGGAGGGTAATTAGTTAACAGCAAAGCCTATGTATAATAGGGTATTGTTTGTATTTAAGTCATTAGACTTCAAAGGATCCACTATGTGCTATTGGGTTTGTGGTTTTCTGCTCTGAATTTTTTATTTATTTATTATTTACCGTAGCCTTTTGAGTTTGACATACTAGCAGGATATTGACAATAGAATATGCACTGTGAACCATTTCCAAGTCTTGCTTTTTTATATAAAAAAAATAGGTTTGGTCAATCTCCACTGAATCCACGCACTACTTGAAATTCCAACTGAAGGAATTATGTGTCGTGGTCATGCAAGAGAAATGTCTACAATAAAAAAATTCCAGCTGAGTGCCATGCACTCATTTTAAAAATAAAACTAGTTTTGAGCAATCATCTCTCTAGTGGTGTGTGTATATTTGAGTGCAGCAATTGAATGGAGCTCATTCCATACCGTATGTCCCAGCATGTGTTATTTTTAAAATATGCTAACTCTATAAACAAAATAGGCAGGAAATACTTTTTTAAAAATCTATAGCAAAAAAAAGGTCTACTTTATAACTCCACCACTGACACATCCTCCTCTTCTAAGAAGGAGAGGAAGCAAGACAGGAAATGTTTCTGTATTAGGTTATAAACAACTAGCAGTGGAACTATAGGCTATTTATGCTGAAATCACATTGAAATCAGCATGGTTGTAGGGCAATTGCTAACAGGATGACATAGAATTCTACAGCTAGCTATTCAACAATGTATTTCTACTCTTGTACTAAAGGAAATACAAAACATACATAACTGCAAACTTGGAAGACACTGACAATTGAGCATAGGATGGTATGCAGGAGTGTCTACAGAATGAACCAAATCGCTGGCTAATATGCCATTTCAGACATTATCCAAAGGTAAAGGAGATTTGGTCCCTTGGCTTCATGGTGAATATTGAATCAAGGATGCTTTCACTGGGTAGTCATTAGAAACACAAGTCCTTGAACCAGCAATGTTAACATTTTGAATCTGGCTAATTTAAATCTTGCAATATAGAGATGTATGCAAGGAAAACTTTTATTTTCTGATTATTAAAATCTTTTTCATGCTGTTTACCACTGCAGAAAGTAAATGAAAACACAAGTTAATACAATTACAAATGAACAGCATTTTTACATATCTCTAGTAAGCAATATGTGAGGAACATTTAAGAGATAATCTCTGCAAAAGCAATGTGACTCTCAAGACATAACTTACTACTTCTTGTTGATATAAGAGTGAAAATTCAGACATCACAACCAGCAAGCTCCTCAAGGCTGCACTAAAATTCTTGATTCCTGAAGAGTTTTGTGGTACTGCTTACTGATGGCGTACCAAAGATACTAAATATATCCAGACAGATAACATGTTATTTGGGTAAGGATGAATATACACAGCAAGAGAAAATTCTGTGTTGGGAACCTCTGAAGAATGAATTCCTGTCTGATAAACAGCTTCAGTTATTGACTGTAGATCCAGATACGGCATTTGAATAGGAAATCCTGTAACCTACAAAAATTTAGAAATTAAATTGTAAAATAATCACTGTGTCAAACATCAAACATTGCATATTTGCTCAGCAACGATATTAAACTTTAGAAAATATAAATTCTATAACATTTTTCAGTATCTAAACAAACTTCAAACATGAAACACAGTGTTAAAATCAAAACAAGGCCACCTAGTGAAATAATTAAGTTCTGGTTCTGAGTTCTGGCTTTACCTCTGAGCACTAGCCCCCTCAACTCTAAATCCCTTATCTCTGAACCCTTGTGCCTAGCTCCTAAGTGATGTCTGCCCGTGGCTCAGTACTGACTGCAAAGATCCAAACCCCCCCCCCTTTATAAGAGCAGAAATAATGGGAGTGAGTGTCCCTGAGAACAGGACATTTCAATAATCTAGTAGCATAAACACTAACCCAGTAATGTTCCTGGAAAGCCTCCAAATTATTTTCTTCTTTTTCTCTAGCTGTCTGTCCATTTCTAAATTCTAGATTTGAGAGAATTTGTCGTAAGACACTGGTACACTGTCGATGCCACCGAGTTGGCTGCTGAGATCGCCATTCCATAAATTTCTTTTTCAAAGTCTTTTCAATCCTGTTTTTTTAAAAAAGTAGCAGCATAAACAGTAACCATTACAGCATTGTATTAACAAAACGTAGTGTTGTATTAACATTGTAGTGACAAAACGTCTAAATTAGTGGGTGTCAAGGAATGTAGAACAGAAACAATATTTGCAAAGGGGAAAATTACATGCAAACCATACATGCAGGAGAAGCTATGATAAGAAGGAAGAGAGGCTGAATGGAAAGTGGTCATGATGTTTGCTAATGGGCCTTGCCTTTTGAGTGGCATAACTGACACTGCAACAGAAGAAGGCAGATGACTTATTACAAGGCTTCCTTCTGGTCAGCAGGCTGGATGAAAAAACTTTTTTGGGCATCTTTTAAATTGATGCCAATTAATCATATGTTATTATAGAAAACAATAAGTATATAAAACCAAAAAAGCGAGAAAAGAGAAAGGGGGATACAAAACCCCCTTCTAAGGTAGATCTTAACCCTAGTCTCACACTGAAGAGGATAGACTCTTCCAGCTCTCAATTGGGAGCTTCCCTTTCTTCTCCTAGCCTCTCACCCTGGGAGATCTTCTCTTGCCTGCCTCTCACACAGGGTCTTTCACCAACCATTCATCACCTTCATTAGCCCAAAGTAGAGGACATCAAAAATGAAACAAATCTTGGACCTAGAATAGTCTAACAACTGTTCCACAGTTGCTAGTATTTCACTGTTTTCTTTTTTTATGGAAGATGCTTGACAGGGTGGTGATGGTGTATTACATAGACTCTTTTCAGTCTGAGTTCAGGCTTTTGTCATAATACTAGAACCCAGGATTATACAGTGGAAGATTAGAACAGACAAGAAGAATCACTTCTTCACACAGTGCATATTTAAACTATGGTATTTCCTTCCACGGACGCGGGTGGCGCTGTGGGTTAAACCACAGAGCCTAGGACTTGCCGATCAGAAGGTCGGCGGTTCGAATCCCCGCAACAGGGTGAGCTCCCATTGCTTGGTCCCTGCTCCTGTCAACCTAGCAGTTCGAAAGCACGTCAAAGTGCAAGTAGATAAATAGGTACCGCTCCGGCGGGAAGGTAAACGGCGTTTCCGTGCGCTGCCCTGGTTTGCCAGAAGCGGCTTAGTCATGCTGGCCACATGACCCGGAAGCTGTACGCTGGCTCCCTTGGCCAGTAAAGCGAGATGAGCGCCGCAACCCCAGAGTCGGTCACGACCGGACCTAATGGTCAGGGGTCCCTTTACCTTTACCTTTATTTCCTTCCACAATATGATATGATATAACTACAGCCTGCTGCTTCTCTTTGAAAATAAGAGTGGTAACATTAAATGCTTTAAAAAAACACCACCATGATTAATACAGCGTGTAGTTTGATCCAAAGCTCCTAAACTTTAAAAGTTATTTGAAAGAATGTTGTTTAAAGTACATACCTATTTTGTAGCTCTACGACTAAACTTACATCAGTTGGGGTGTAAAATAGTTCTTCTTGCTAAAACAGATATTGTATAATACTGTAATATACAGTTACACATTAAGCAGGATCTGGAACGATTTTCTGAAGGTATCACAATTTTTTGATACAAAGCACCTCATACGTTACTAGGAAAATGCAGCTGTAACGTATAAGATGGCCAGGGAGTGAGATTCCTGAAGTATAACTGGCACCAATTAAATACTGCTTGTGGTATGGAGATTAATAATGAGAGTAGCTGTGCAGAAAAATGCTAACACTGATGGGAGAGGAGTGAGAGCACAAATAAAATTGACAATAGACTCCTCCCTCTAACTTCAGCTCTCATTTGTTTTCCCACTATGAGGAAATGTTGGATTAGCCTGTGGTTCCGGTTCCAGATTCCATGAGACTGCATGTTTCTTTCCTCCTAAAAGAATCATAGAACCATACAATTGTAGAGTTGGAAGGAATCACGATCATTATCTAGTCCAACCCCCTTTAATGCAGGAATCCTTTGCCCAACTCAAACCCATGATCCTGAGAATAAGAGTCTCAGGCTCTACTGACTGAGCTATGATGACAGTAAAGAATTGAACTGTTTAGATGTGGACACAATCTGTCTACTTATTTTTAAAGTCTGCTGGTTTTATTGTTATTTCCTTATGAATATTGTATACTATTTTATGTAAACTGCTTTGAGATTTTTATGATTAAGCCATGTTGTTAAGGAAAGAAAGAAAAACTACCGAGATATATATTAGTAAATTCAAGTTGCATTCTTGAAACATAGATTCATGTTCCAGGATGCAAGGCTCAAAGCTAATTTTGAGATGTGGAAACAGAATTTCTACAATCCAGCATTCCATCCTATGATGGTCTCTATTAAATAGTAAACACCTGTGTCTTCTACACTGACCTAAAGTTGATTGAATGATGTTGAAGACCACCCATTTTGAGTGTCCCTGCTAAACTGCTTTGTACAACAAAGGCTCACATTATTTCTGTGTTCGAGGTCTTTTGACTGACAGGTAGGTGTGGTTTGCCCAAAATAGCTCCACAGACCAAACTGAGAGTCTTGGTGGGTCTAATTAGGCCTGTGACATGGAGGTTCCTCACCCCTGATTTAAATGCACACACAGCTCTCCGGTATCAGAGCAACTTGCAATTTTTTAAAGCAGAATTCTAGCTCAAATTCTTCTTTCCTTCTTACCCCAATATGTAATATGTAGGCTCATCCAGTGAGGCTCTGCCCCACTGGGCAAGTCACTTGCAAGGTAAGTACTTTTTGAAATATTTGTCACCTGTACAGTCTGCATTTTTAAATCCTGAACATGGTATGGAAGAAACTGTTTCCATAAGCTTTCCTTTGAAATATCAAAACTGACACACATTGGTGAACTGTTCTGCTGTATGTTGAACCAGACCTATCAAGACATAAAATGTCAACAATAAATAATTGAAATAAACACATATTTGAACTAGTTCTGCTACCACATATCCTTTTAGCTGGAAATGCCATGGACTGAACCTAGGACCTTCTGCTTACAAAACATCTGCTGTCACTGAATGATACTCCCATTTCCACATACACTGAAATTAATACATAATACCATCAGTCTATACTGGATTTGATTCAAAATATGGAAGTTCCAGTGTTTATATGGAGTTTTGCAAAACAAGTGGGCTGTCCCAGAAATGTAGCAGCACTACAGAACTTAACAAAGGCAGAGACCAACTGAAACTGGTGAGGTTTATACAAGAGTGGGGACTAAGAAATGCCTGTGGGGAGAAGAATCCGAGATATATGACTCACATATGTGTACCCAGTGTTTAGCTTGTGATCCAGAATAGACTTCCTGTTGACATCCACCCCACTGTTAAATGTGGTGAAAGAACACAAATAGGAGAGATCAAAATAACAGAGCGTGCCCCAGTCTGCACAAAATTTGAATTCACTCCAGTTGAACATACAACCTCACTAGGGTATTTCATAACAAATCAATTACAGTGGTACCTCTGGATGCGAACGGCATCCGTTCCGGAGCCCCGTTCACATCCTGAGCAGAACGCAACCTGCATCTGCGCGTGTACGGCTCGCGATTTGCCGCTTCTCCGCATGTGCGTGACATCATTTTGAGCATCTGCACATGCGCAAGTGGCGAAACCCAGAAGTAACCTGTTCCGCTACTTCCAGGTCGCCACGGAACACAACCTGAAAAAGCTCAATCTGAAGCAACTTTAATCCGAGGTATGACTGTAATAAGAGAAAGACTGACTAAAATATTAGGGGGGGAAATAAGGAAAATAATACGGAAGGAATAAGCTCTGGTCTATTGTGGGAAACAATGAAGGCAGTGATGAAAGGGGCATGTATACAGGAAAAATCACTTTAAAACACATCACGTAGGACACAAAAATGACAACTGGAACAGGAAATTTCCCTTCTGGAACAAACACAGTTACAGGATCAAAATGCTTTTAAAAAATTGCAAATAAAATGGAAAGAATTGGAGACCATAGAACTAAAGAAAACTATGATACAGCCATACTTAAAACAAAACAAAATACGAATCTGGGGGGGAAGGGAGTCTAAACTCTTAGCCACAAGATTATGAAATAAAAGCAATAAAGAAACTATAACTGCCATTAAAACTAAACCAGGAGAAAAGTATTTTCTACATAACAAATCTGACAAGTATAAAGAATTTTTCTCCTCCTTGTACTCCTCGAAGTCCCCCCTTCAGAAATGATACAATTTTTTAAGCACAACACAAATACCAACTGTAAAGGAAGCTGAGGCAAAACTTATAATAATTGTATTAATTCCCAAACTTTACAAAGATCCCTCATTAGTGGCATAATATTGCCAATTTCTCTACCCAGATTTCAACATTTTCACAACAGTGATGGTTAATGGGAACTTTTATCGGGAAATATAGTTATCAGGCTCAAGCTGGGTATGTCCTGGGCCTTCTTCAGCTGAGGGAAAGCATCTAAAATTGGTTGGTAATTTAAATGTGAGTGAACGGGTGAGCTGCCTGAGAGCTTTACAGCTGAAATTAGTTGGAAACAGGGCTGCAGGAGGAGGGTCAGACCATAAATGTTGCTCTCTGGAAATCTGGTGCAAGCTGTTAAATCTAATTAGAAGGGTGTATTTGTCATCACTATGTTCTGTACTGTAAAGAAATACAGTATTACAAACCCACCACTGCCAATGAATCTTCCCACAATGATGCAGGAAGCATGTAATAGTATATTGTTTTTCTACTCCATTTAATCATACTTACATTTTCCCAGCTGATTAAGCAATCAACACTCTGCAGAGGGCAAAATGCATCAAACTGCTTATAGCACTGGCCATTCAGTGGATTCCACAGAAAATACTCTCCATTTTCTTGTGTGGCTACATAAGCTACTTTCCCCTGTAATAACCAAAGGATACAGCCAGCTTTGTTGTTAAAAAAATTACCAAAAAACCTGGTAAAAAACTCTATTTTCCTGCCTCTATAACATGGAAAAAATAAGAAAATAAATAAAGCAACACTTAACCTATAATGTCTGTGTTTATACAAGAGTGTTTATACATCTTAAGGCAGCCATGTTCAGGGAAGTTTTTAATGTGTGATATTTTAGTGTATTTTTGGTTTCTATGGAAGCCGCCCAGAGTGGCTGGGGAAACCCAGCCAGATGGGCGGGGTACAAATAATAAATTATTATTATAAGAGGGAAGGAAGAAATAAATAAAACACATTATCTTGCACTTTGTTATTACACTAATACATTATGAACAATGACAATTTTTCAATAAGACCCTTGCTCTCTTGTTAACCTTTAGAATAGCTATCAATTTCAACATGTATACCATATCCAAGATCATATTTCATCACTCTCCTAATAATGGAAATTCTCTCTGTTTCTACTCTTGGATTATTGCCATATCTATACTGCTTGTTTATTCCAGTTTTTACATTGCCAAAAGATTACTATTGGGTCCTATGTATAGTTTTTGTTCCTATACAAATACAGGAGAAACTATATATTATATTTACTCCTTATACTTTCTAATATACTGAGAAATAAAATAGCAATTTGGTATCTTTCAGAAATCCTACAATCCTTATTCACATAAATACTTGGCTTGATAAAAGCTAGGGCCATTTTATTTCAAGAGAATGGGATAGAGGTGGGTAACTATTATTAAGTAATGAAGAATATATAAATCTAAAACAAATAATATTAAGAATTTATTGTCATGGGTGCCATTGAATCAATAATACAACATCTTAAGGATCACACATGATTGATCATTTAATATCAAAGATAAGACCACACTCCATTTAAATGGGGTTTTGAAATAACTTATCCTGAAACAATTTATTATTTGATAACTTTAATGGATTTTCTTTAATCTGGCAGTTTCTTTTAACACTGTCCTCCTGTTCCTGCTACGCCTAAGCCTATGGGTTGGATTCAGAGTTAAGTGCATAATAAAGCTATGAATTTATACTGTTCGACTTGTTATGTGGCTTATATTTCTGAGAAGAACTATACCACAGGCAGGAAACCTGAAGCCTGCATCTCATTTGGCTCAATGGCTGAATTTGCTGATGACACTTCCAGAGTCTGGTTCATTTCCTTGCCCATTCAAGGTTTTTGCACTTGTTTGTGTTGCTCTCTTTCAGCGCTGGGCTCACTACTGACCCTGTTGTTCATGCCTACTCTTATTTTCATGCCATTCCTCTTGTGAACACAGATATACCAAGTAGAACATCTACTTAGCGTTCAACCATGCACCCTCTATGTTTTCCTGCTGCCACTGATTCTCTCCATACCGATCTGCACTGAACTGAGAACGAGAAAGTTCACCAACCCTTGAATTATAGAAACAAAGATTGAAATATTTTGCTAGACTTACTTCTAACACTGATGTTCCCAACAGTACCCATGCTTTTTTCCCAATATACAGAAAGTAGTTACATAGAAGCACTGCATGTTCTTCTTTACTACCAATACCAAGTTCAAGGAAATTCTGTTAGAAATATAAGATCATTCATTTTTAAAAGCAATGCATATATTCTTCATCTTCCCACAAAAATAATACTACAGGGGCATTGCCACGAGGAAGTTCAGAAATGGCAGCTTGCATGTTATTTAAAGATTACCGTAACTTCAAGTAGCAAAATAAAAAAATCACAATGCTCTCACTAGTTACATTTCTTCCACTGATATATATAAACATATAATTATGAAAATAATAAAAATCAGCAGACTAAGTTCAAGGTGCTCATACTGCTGTACTGCTTTATTTAGCTTGGGATGAAAGTACCCCTTTGAAAGCCACTATGAAGTTCGGGAACCCTCTGTAATCCTGTGGAAGATGCCCCCATCCAAATTTTGCCAACTACCCATATCATTCTGGTGGGGCCCTAATTCTACCATATTTTTAGCAAGTCTTGCTTTAGTAACACTTTCTACCATTTTACCTGGAACAGATGTAACACCTGTAATTTCCTCTTTCTTTCCGATGATCGAATTCTGTCCTAATTCTGTGGCATACACATGGTTAAGGATTTTTTTTTTTTTTTTTGACTACAGTACTTGCATGAAAGCTAAGCAGGGCTGGTGACTTGTTACTTTTATCAGTTTAGCTTCTGCCCCTCCCCTCATCTTAATTAACTTAGAAGACCCTCAAACTTCAAGCTGTTTGAACTGCAGAAATATTTCAAACATCATTGCTCATATTTTCAGGTATATTATTATGACTTAAAAGTAACATCAAAACTTTTTTTTATTTAACAAATTTATACCCTGCTCTTCAATAAAATCCTTTTTAAAGTGGTTAAGAAATGCAATTTACATGTTAAAAAATCAAACTAGTTAAACAAAGCACAGCAGAAATAAAAAGTCATATACCTCTGATGTCATCCAAAGATCAACATCATCATTTTCATCCCCAGTGTCTGATATACAAGGAATTAAAGACACAAATCGTGATATAAGATCCTACAAAACAAATAGGAGTATGCCTGTCTCAGAAATACATATTAAAATAATCCATCTGACATTTGGCATTTAATTAAAGGCATCAAGCAATAATTAACTCATTGTGTTACCTTTTTTTTACATTCTTACAGGGGTTAGCTGCGATCTTATGCCACCCTGATGATGGATGTGAGCTTTGGCTGTGATATTGACTGTCCTCAGCATCACATGTCTCAGTTTCATAGCTGGAACAAAATGCTGCAATGCCAGCCTTACAGCTCATAGTTTCCACCAGTTTGCCTTTAATTGTGGGACCCCTGCTGTGAGCGCCCCAGCCCACCAAGTATGTGCTGATTCTGTGATAAACATTACATACTTACAGAAGTTGAGTTAGGCTCATCAGCACACATATCTAATAACTGCTGAGGTGGATTCAGAGAGGTAATGTACTTTGTTACTAAAATATTTCTTCCTTGATTGTTAAAAGCTGAGGTTATTATTCTCCTCTTTGGAAACAATGCTTTGCATGTTTGCTTAAAAATGTATGCTTTTTGCAACAGTGTTTGATCTTCATGATCTATGAACTGAAAAACAATCTAGAGTTAGAAGTGAACAGTGATGTGGCTGACTTTGCTGATGATATTAAATTGTTCAGGGTCATTCCTTGTTCAGGATTGTTAAAACAAAAAGGGATTGTGTAGCGCAGACATAGGCAAACTCAGCCCTCCAGCTGTTTGGGGACTACAATTCCCATCATCCCTGACCACTGGTTCTGTTAGCTAGTCCTGTTAGATGGGAGTTGTAGTCCCAAAGCATCTAGAGGGCCGAGTTTGCCTATGCCTGGTGTAGAGCTCCAAAAAGACCTCTACAAACTGAATGAATGGACAGTAAAATGGAAAGTAAGAGGTGACACGATGCAACAGTATAAAATTACGTATGACCTGAAGAAAGTGGATAGCAAAAAGGTTTTCTCCCTGTCTCATAATATTAGAACTCATGGACATTCAGTGAAGCTGAATGCTGAAACATTCAAAACAAACAAACTAAAGTGCTTCTTCACACAGCACATATGTAAACTATGGAATATGTTTCTGCAGGAGGCAATGATGACCACCAACTTGGGTGGTTTGAAAAGAGGACTGGAAAAATTCATGGGGGATACAGTCATGAATAACTAATAGCCATGTGTTTATGCTCTGCTTCCATGCTTGAAGGTAGTGGGCTTCTGAATACCAGTTGTTGGAAACCACAGGAGTGGGGAATGCTCTTGTGATAAGGTCCTCCTTTTGGGCTTTCCACAGGCATCTGGTTGCCCACTGTGAGAGCAGAATGATGGGCTAGAAGGCAGATTGGCCTGATCCAGCAGGCTCTTCCAAAGTCCTTAAAAACTTATTTTAAACTGAGATCAAAACTATAATCTCAGTTATAAATTTCAAAGCAATAATATCATGCAAATTATCCTATTTATTAAACAGAGTAAAAAATAAAGGCCAACCTTGTCTGATTCTAAATTATTTTCAGTAGAAGATATTTGAGGTTCAATAGTGGCAAAGATGGTTAAAAAAGTATATTCCTTCAAGTTCTGGCCATGGCATTCTTCTTTGGGAGGCACATATGTCTTACTCCAAGTATATCCAAGCAAAACCGGTGGCATATTTACTTGAAATGTACCACAAATCTGTGAAAACGCACATTATTTGGCTTACTGAAACAAATGCAAGTATTAAGTTAAGAGTTTAAAAAGCTGATGATATGGCTGCATTACAATTTTGCTATTTTAAAAGCAACTCATTATCTGCAGTTAATGATACTAAATCTTTAAAAGCATGATTCTTCTTCATTACCTTCGATTGCTCCAGGAGTGTAGAGAAAGGAAACATAACTGATCCAAGCCAATTCTTTCTTACATAGGAGTGACCACTGCAGTTTTTTGGACATGTGTCCTAACGAAGTTAATAATTTGTGTTAATCTTTTGTATTTTAGTATGCATTATTCAACTATGTTTCCTCAACAGCTGAATCTTAGAACTATCTCACGTCTTTATTCACTTACTGCCTAAACACGTTGTAAGGTGTTTAAGCAGACCAAAAGTATTTTCCTAGCTGCAACTTATCAAAAACTTTGGGGGCACAAAACAGATTTTCAGTAATATTCTCTCTTCATTAAATATCACCAATTTTATTTCTAGTGCTAATAAACAATTTGAAAAGAAATGCAAATATTTAAACTAGAAACAAGAGGTAACATCTAATACTTGTAAAAATACCAAATGATTTAGCTGGGTTATAAAAACATTCTTAGAAAAAATGCTGTCTAGTTTCAAATATGATGCTGAAATAGGGTTTGGTGTACAAAATACCAGACTTTTCTTTAAAATCTGTAATACAATACTGTACTCCACCATACTATACTATAACCTTCTGTGATTCCTTGTACACATTACCCAAACAAACTTAGTCTACAATTTACCTCATGCTTTTCAATCACAAATTCATCAAAAATGTTAATATTTATATTGTCTTTGATTTTAGATAGCCCTGAAAAAGTATAATCATGCCCTGGAGAGCTGAAACAAAAACAAAAGCAAAAAAATTAAATCAAACATTTTGACAACAAAGTTACTGAAACTATGTACAGTCGTACCTTGGCTCTCGAACATCTTGGGAGTAGAACATTCCAGTTCCCAAACGATTGAAAACCAGAAGTGAGTGTTCCGGTTTTCGAACATTCTTTTGGAAGCCGAACAGACTTCCAGAATGGACTGACTTCCGAGTTATGACTGTACTGTCATATTGTACTGAGGTTTTGGTTTAATGTTCTCTAAGCAGTTCTGCTTGTGCACTGCACCTTTATGCATAACTTCTCAAGCCATGAACAGTTGAGGAGGTGGGGTAGCAGAAGAGCCCCGTTGGATCAGACTGAAGACACATATAGTCCAGCATCCTGTTTTTACACTGGCCAAACAGATGCCCATGGGAAGACTACAAGGAAGACCTGAGTGCAACAGCACCCTCCCTACTTGTGATTCCAAGAAGCTGGTTCTTAGAGACATACTGCCTCCAAAAGCGAAGGCAGAACACAGCCATCATGGCTAGTCACCATTGGTATCTTTATCCTCCAGGAGATTCTGCAGCTGGGGAAAAATCTGCGACTACCTCCACTCACCAAATACATGATCAGAACTGCTTCTACTCAAGAATGTGGAACCTGGGATCCAAACCTATATTTCTAAACCAAAAAAAAGTCTGAAGCCTTCAACATTTCGTATTCTTCAGGCTCCCTGCAAGGCAACCCCTATGATAATATTCAGATAATTTCCACAACCATGCAAAATCAGGGATTACTGATTTAACATATGTAACCGATATATACAGTTGAAATCAGAGACTTAAAATAATGGAACAGGCTGCAATGTAAAAAAAAATTTGGCCACAGAAAACTTGAAGTACTGTACACATTATTAAAAGTGAGGTACACGTAACTTACATAAAATCAACTTGCAGTTCTTCGTTCCAACATGGATGAGAGCCATCAGCAGTGCTAGTTTGATAGATTGTGTCCTGGAAGGTAACTTCTACAAAAGGGTGGACACCCACCTAAAATAAAAATGTGCAGTACAGACTGGAATTTATTTTGGTTTTGTCTCATTTTCAGGCCTATTGATCATAGACATTTTCCTTATTACAGTTATTTAGATAAACTGCAGACATTTTAAAAATTAATATCGAAGTTACTCATGTAATGCATTTATCTCCCCCCTCCCAATATAATATACCCAGTGGGCATTACAAGAGAAAAATACACTCCAGTTCTCATTCTATCACAAAAGCAGCTGCCAGTTTGGCGAATTGACAACCAAACTGGTACCAAACTGTAAACTACATCCCTAACCACAGCCAAGGCAGATGTTGTGTAAAAGGTGTGGAATTTAGTCTTAGGGTTTTTTAACCTGGTTCAGAGTCCTACAGTATAGACAAACTGAAGCTGTATGTCTTACTAGTGCCTTATTCTATTATTGTTAAATAGAAAATCAAGCAGCTTGTTAGAAGTTAGTTCTGAAATGTATAATCTCATAGAATATAGTGTATCACCAGCAGGAACAGCCCACCAGTTTCTTGTTGTTTCTCTTCAGCACCATGTGCGTGTGGTTCAATCATAAAAAGACTGAATAATCAAGTCAATAAGCTGTGGTTACAAGTCGTAGACATTGCCCCGCCTCCATTATTTCTGTGGACACTCATGGAAGGTACTCCTTTTTTTGCAATGGGCAAGGCTAGCACTTAGGATGCAGCTGTTGCTACTACTGTATGGCATCAAGTCTTAGTTTTTTCCTTGCTGATCCAACCCTGGAGCTCTGTGTTGCTAGAGCACAACCTGAGTCCTGCATTCAGTCTGAACCCTTCTCTACCTAGTCTTATTGCAGAGGACATTATGTCTTCAACATTAAAAATAAAATTTTAGAATCACCTCATTCTCCAAAAATAAATGTGTTTTACTGCAATGTATAGGATAACTTTCAATCCCTATGCCACAAAGCTCATTGAAGTCCTGCCAGCACAGCATGGGTGTTGATTCAAGCACAGATTGCTCCCTTCTCCCTCAATGTAATAATCAAATTCCACCCCCTGAATACTAGCATTCAAATTAGCTGAAATATCTGAGATTCAGAAGCAAAAAAGAGGCCTTGTTGTTTAATGAAAGCAAACTTTTAACCACAAGATGAAACTATGTATAAATATACTGCAGTCTTTAGACTAATTTCTGCACACACAAAATAGACATGATTTGGAAATTAATTTAGAGGGGGGCATATAAATGTGTTGTTGTTTTTCATAATTACCTCATACAAAGGGTCTGCTGAATAGGCTGAATTTCCTGACAAAATATGTCTGCCTCTGGACATACGATTTGGTAAATAGGATGGCGAATTAGCAACTCCAACCCTTGAGATAGTAAACAAGAATTACATGCATATTTCAGCCAGTTTACCTCATTAACATGCATCAAGATTCCCTGCTTATGTATAGGTACATAATTGGCTGGTTGTTACTAGAAATAAAAGGCAGTGAAAATGCACTCCTGCTGGAGTGGAGGCAGGAAAAGACCACTTTGAAAGTTGACATTGCAGCATACACACTTGCAAACTGAGACAAGGAAAAAATGAATGCCATCAGAGGCGCAATCTCAGCAGGTAGGCAACCAGCTTGCTTTCCGTTAATTGCTAACCAGGTGAAAGGGGTTAGCAATGAGCAGCAATCTTCTGAACTGGGGCTCTGAGCCAAGATGGAGTTGGCAAAGCAAGACAGAGACAGGAGGAGGCAGTACCTGTTGCTGAACCTCCACAACCTGGTAGGCACCCACATTTGTAGAGTGTGTGTGCTAAATTAAGATTAGTCTGCCCGTTGCAGGTAGCTCAATATTCAGTGGCTCAATAAAGTTGTGGCTCTTTATTTAAACCACATCCATCCATGCCTTCATTCTGAGTTTAGACGCAATAATGGTTAATAGTTTTCTTTGTGCTTTGCTACTTAAGCAAAATCATGAATAATGCATCTCTTAAGGGAGAATTTCGGCATAATGCTTGTAATTCTATGCAAGTCAATAAGACTAAACCAGAGCAAGTATTTTGTGATTTGCCCCCTACGTCAATCATTATTGTTAAAATATTATTTAGATTCTCTGAAAGAAAGCTCTGTTTGCTTGCAGCTACAGCATACTATTTTGTAATCCAAATTACTTGCACAGTAATATATAAAAGAACAAACTTATTTTCAAACACAGTAACTTGTAAAAATATTATTAGTTTGTTTCAGAATACTGTACACTAAAGCCTTGATTTTTCAACATAATTTGATTAAATTTAGTGGCTATTATGCTAACCATTTACACTTTCACAAAATCCTTCTACATATCTGTACACTAAAATAGTCTTTCACTGCACAGCTGAACTTCGGATAAAAATAGCACAAAATGCTAACAATGTGTTGATGATTAGAAGCTGCAGTAAAATATGCACTATGTTTTAATATGCTTTCCCTATAATTCTCCTTGTTATACTTCAATTTCACTGGATTTTCCCATAAATATTTTTTGTAACTTAACCATTGTATCTGTCTCACTTCATTCAATGACTTTTAAGATACTGAAGATATTTAACAAAATATTTGTAGCAGTATTCTTAGCAGTTGAAATTGTTCCTTCATTCTAGATGTTATGTCCAAGTGGAAACTTTATACTGATAGGCATATAGAACAGATTATGAAATATGTATGCAACTCCCGAGACAGACGGAAGCCAACCATTATGCAATTCTCTATGACACAATGTGTTGATATAAACAGTCTTTCTCAAGAGTCAAGACCTTTCTAATCTAGGAATTCTGTACCTACTTAGTTGGTGGTGCCTTTCTTGCAGGGATATTATAGGCTCTCAATATTCTGATGAGAAGTTTTACATCTCCATCAGAGACAGCCTGTGCTGGAATCTTTCGCCTCTCTTTCCTTTGTGGTTTCAAATGTCTTTTGCGTTCACCTAGCTTAAAAACTGCATTACTCAATTCACTATTTAAAAAAAGGAAATAATTTAGATCAGACTTGCATATGCTCATATGAGAAAAATCTAAATCTTAATTATGCATTTTGTAAGATAATTCTAGCAAATTAAGTTTTAAACTTCAATGTTTTTCTATAGGCTTTTTGTAATAAAATGAACCGTCAAATTCAGAAACTTTAGTCAGGTGGTCTATGGAAGATTATAGAACAGCCAAAAATATATGTACATAGCCCTACACTAAGCAGCAAAGTGAATGGGGTATAGTCCATTAACTTTTTACATAATAAATGAATATTGTACCTCATAGATATAATTTCTTCATAATCATTCACAATATCTGATAAGTTAAACTTGTGCCTAATGGTCACAATTCGTTTTGTAGCTTGTTTTCTCATCTGTATATAAAAAAGAGACTCGATGAATGCAATATGAAACTAAATCATCATGGGTTTAGCTACATAGACAACAACATTGTAAGGTCCAGTATACCTCAAATGTTTTTGCATTATAGACTACTTTTTTAGAACATGATATGGACAAAATCTATTTTTTATTTTGAATTATTTTGAAATCAGATATTACTTTTAGTTCTAAGTGGGAATTGAAAGGGGTCCTCCAGATTACTACAGCAAATGGTGGGAAGAGTTAAGCACAGGTGTGCTACATATGATCATTGTTGCAGGTGCAGTGATGACAATTTTGATGCTTCATAGGCATACAATACTGACATGAAACCAAGTTTGACACAAGATGACTCAAACAGTCCTTGAACCCAACCCAGACTGAAACACCTAGCTGTATTTCCAGTACTTCTGTAGCCATTTATGCTTCAATTTTAAATTTATGGAAAGTATCATACCATCCTAACAAAAGAGGCTGAACTATTCCTTCGTGCAGAAATAGGATCTGCATCTGTCATCATGTCCTTTTCTAACTGGTTCCCATATGCCTGAAATAAGAATTAGTTCATTAATCATAAAGCATTAATTTTCACTGGATTGTGCAGCTAGCCATATACAACTTAAGTTGCTACAATTTTGTTCCATTTTTCATTGTATCTGGGGAACTCGCATAACTCTCAAGCATTTTGTCCCTCAGCTTTAGAATAATACTTTCTAAGTACAGTACTTTGTTGTATGAATTAATGTATACCTTTGATTTCCTATATAAACATTATATATTTGATATTTCCTTGTTTTCTCCATATGTTATTCAAGAGCCTGGGATTATGTATGCAGTCTTGAGCTTCTTGAAAAAAAGACAAGATAGAAATCCATTTTTAAACTGAATTTACTAAAACTATGTAGAAAGGCATCATAAAGCTCCATTCCTCAGAATACATAATCAATATTGCACAACATGAATGTGGATATTAGAATGAAACACATAGTCAATACTGTTTGTATTCAAGCAAACAGTATCCAAAATTGTAGGCCAACATTTGTTTTTAAAGTGGAATACCTGAAAGACTGTGTCTGGTATTTCTCTGTCATACAGAGGAATTTGCTGGAAACCATAGAAATCTAACTGTCCCAAGCTTCTCAGCTGCAACAGCTGGAAACGTTTACAATTTGTAATCTCTTCTGCAGTAACAAAGTTAAATTCTTCTTGCAGCTGTTCAAGACGAAAGTATTTTGATTCATTTTGCTCCAAGGATTTTGTATTCTAGGAAATATAAAATAATTTATTTAGCAAGTTAGTTGCCTACAACAAATAAATATGGCTTTTTAAAAGTTAAAGTAAAAAAATTACTTCTCTTAATATCGCTTGCAATGTTATGTTCTACATGCATGCTGAAATGATACTTTTGCACATCAGAAAGTGCAGGTGCATGGATCTTGCAAACCTGGTTCAGGAGCTCAGCAAAATGTGTGTCAGATGCACACCTCACATTTCCAAAAAGTCTCTGATATGACAAAGACCTAAGTATCAACTGATACACTAGCTACTGAGACTTAAATATTTACCATGATTATCTCAATCAAATCCAAATAGTCAGGGTTGTTTGGATCAATATTGGCTTCTTTTGCCCACTCAATTAGTTTCTGTATGTCAGAATGCTGCCAAATTCCAGTTCCTTTTCCTGAATCGATACACCTTGGCACACTAAAGAAAAAGAAAAAAGAATTAAAGGGATAAACAAGTCTCATTATGATGGAACTCTATTCAGCAAATATAAACCTTATTACCTAATGCAGGCAACATGAAGGGGCTGAAATGTGGGTGCTAAAGGAGCTCCTGTGTCATCAACTGTCCAAGATAAAGAATACATTAATTTTCCTGATGTCAGAATACATAGTTCTTCTCTTTCTTTTTCATCAAGGAAAAAAGATACATCTGTCAAAAACATAACTGAAATAAGCCTTTTGATAACAAGACCTTATAATTATGTTTAACGTACTATTACTAACATTAATGCTGCAATGTGGATAAGCCTACACAGACGGAGAGGAAACATTATATGAGATATAAACTACCATTAACACCCCCAAACATTCCTATTTTTGCATCATTTGAGTGAATTAATGATAACTGCCATACATCCAATCTGTGACTGGGACACATGGGTGTAGCCGAGTTTTTTGTTAGGGAGGGCAGAACCTCAGATTTGTATTTATTGTTTGTTTTGTTTCAGGGGGGCACTTGCCCCCCCCCCTTGGCTATGCCCATCGAGCTACATCTAAATGCATGGATCTGCCATCATTGCATATTGACTAGCCCTCACAGTGACTTATCAGAGGTCTAAAGGTAGAAAGCTAAATATCCTCAGAGTTTGGGGGCTCTATGTAAAAACCTTTTAATTCTATCAAATATATCACTGGATATAATGGGAGGAATAAGCATTTTAAAAAAGAAAGCCATTATCATACTGACAGGTGCAGCAGAATTAATAGAGGCACCCATCCCATATCTAGTTTCCTGTACTGATCATCCACAGAGACATATTGTAGCATATTGCTTTGAATGATCCGCAAAATAGTAGTCACCACCACCATACCTATCAAGTTAAAAACATATATTATGAACTTACTGCTTCCCACTGCCCCACTGGAAGGTTTAACTTGTTGTTCACAACTAAACTCTGCCTCGTCCAGAACATCTTTGTTTTTCAATGTAACATTATTGGGAAGAGGTAAGAACACTTTGGCCAACAAAGTCGGTTTTCTACTTGATTCAAATATCTAAAATTAAACAAATCACCCAATGTTTTTAAAAAAGATTAAGCTGTGTCAGCTTAACCCAAGAAAGGCAAGGAAAAAAATATGCAAAGAAACCCTATTATACACATTAAAAGGCTGAAATCTTATAAATCAGTACAGTACCTAGTGTGAAGTGGATTCTTTTTAAATAAACAAGTAGTCATCAGTACAGCACAATATTGTGTAAAAGGTACCACTGATCTAAGATTATAAATATGTTCTAAAATCCACACATTACAAAATCAGTGGCTATATCACATGGACTCATGATGTACTCCCAAAATGTAACTACATCTTTTCTTCTTTACCATATGCACGTCCTACAAGGAAGCCACAATTGGCCCCACTTTCCACTGGCATGTACAGATAATATAACACAGCATCAAAGGTGGGTCTAGGGGAGTGTGACTGGTGCAATCACTCTGGGCACAGAGAGTCTGGGGTGCTGAAGCTGGTGCCACAACTGTGATATCCAATGGAAGGCAAGAGGCAAAGAGTGCTGGATTTTGGCGTTGCACAGGGCACCACGGAAATTTGAGATGCCAAAATCCTGACAGCGTGAAAAAGACATGTGACATTTTCACACATTATGGAACACCATAGATTCACACAATTTTTATGCAGCCTACCCATTAAAATAAAAATACAGGAAGCTATGCTGAGTATGAACAATAGTTCTTAAATATTACATCAAAATACAAACCAATTTTCTTCAAAGTGTATGGTTTGTAAAGAACAGCTTCAGCTACAGTACACTGTTGAACTATTTTTATCATCTAACTAGGCATACCTCTAATCGAAGAGATTCAGGCCAGTTTAATACTTGAATTCTAAAAATTTGCTGAAATATTACTTTAAAATCCTGGTGAAGAGGCGCTTCGGAAGTAGAGGAGACCAGTTTATTGTTGTAATATATTTTAATAAAGTATTTTTCCATTTTGACTTTTTCTCTTCTCTGTCGTTCATCTCTAAACATACCGGAATACAGACCAGATCAAATAATATTTTAATATTTATATACACAACCAGCCAACAAATCAGAGGAAACTTTCAAAGTACAATAAAATATGTGCTCACACTTTTCCTACACTGGTTCTCACTATGGCAAACATTTTAAATGTTTAATGTGTACAGAATTAAATTGAATATTAATTATATATTCCATGTCAAACCAAAAACTGGGGGATTACAGCATAATCACGTATTTTCTTTAACTTGTTCAAGGTTATTAAAGATTTTGATATCAATAATAAAGTTACATTTTCTTTCTATCACTGGGGTTTGAAGTCACAATTCTCATATGTGTGTTTCTTTTTACCACAAAAATTATTAAGAGCTCCAAAAATTAGGGAACCATTGCTCACACAGTGAAACTGCTTCTTCCTCTCCTCTAACCTGCAGCTCCCACACCCCCCAAATCTGCTCCAAAGGGCTGGGGGATCCTCCAGGGCAGATTTGGGGGGGGGGGGGAGATGGTAAACCAGAAGATTTATGTTGCATAAGCACAGGGCCGTCTTAAGCATATTTGGTGCCATGGTGCAAAGATCCCTCCGGCACCTCCCCCCTTTCCCAGAGTTGACCTTTTTTTTAGGGCTAGAGGAGGCAGGCAGTGGCTGGAGGGTGGGGAAGAGGCGGAGGCTGGCCGCATCGTGCCACAGTGGCCATGGCAGGCAGCACACTGTGCACCGCTCCCGCCAAGCGTTGGCTCAGTTTTTTCCCTTTTAGCGTTCTGGCACCCCGCAGAATTCGGCGCCTGCAGGCTGAAAGGGAAAAAAACAAGCCAACGCTCGGTGGGAGCGGCGCACGAACCCTCACTCACTCAGCACGCTCGTTCGGTGTTCCCCAGACTCTCGCCTGGTGCCCTCCAGAATTTGGCGCCCTGGCGTCCCGCGCCACTAGCCTCAATGGGTAAGACGGGCCTGCATAAGCCAATGGATATAACTGGATTATACCCATAGTGCACTGTGTCCTACAATTAGCAGAAATTCAGAGTAACTGGCAGCCAAACATTCAGGAAATTTCCAGGTTTTCCCTTCAGTGATGGTCTTCACATAGGATTTGGCTCCCCCTACTGCTTCAAGATGGGAAATGCTGAACTTCAGAAATGGTCTTGGAGGACAGCATTGATATATAGTGGTACCTCTGGTTAAGAACTTAATTCGTTCCGGAAGTCCGTTCTTAACCTGAAACTGTTCTTAACCTGAAGCACCACTTTAGCTAATGGGCCTTCTGCTGCCGCCGCGCGATTTCTGTTCTCATCCTGAAGCGAAGTTCTTAACCTGAGGTAATATTTCTGGGTTAGCGGAGTCTGTAGCATCTTTACCCTGAAGCGTCTTTAACCTGAGGTACCACTGTACAGTAATGGGCATAATGGTGGAGTGGAAAGAACCAGTGGAACATAGTTATTTCTGGATATCGGACATGCACAGGCTATTGTCATTGTCATCTCCACTTTCAGAAGCAAAATGAGGTGTGGGATGGGCTGGCTGGGGGCCGGCTCACTTAAGGGGCATTTCCCCCCTTCCCCCATCATAAAGCATTATAAAACTCAATAAATAAGCAGAAAACTACAGGTGCACAGTCTTCTCTTTGTGTCATATATATATATATCTATGTATCTATCTCTATCTATATAGATAGATATAGATAGATAGATATAGATAGATATACACACACATAAATTTCCCCCCAGTAGTATTTATACTACTGGGGAAATACATTTTTATATAGGTGCATTGTAAAACTAAAAAAAAGGAAACCTGCAACTCACAGAGGGCACATGTCTTCTGCTGTTATTTCTGTTACAAAGGTAAGATGTGGTATCAAAAGGGGTTCATTTATCCCTCCAATGTCCATTGTGGTTTGAAAGGTATGAGCTGAATCCAAGCATGCCTAGAAATCAATATTTGTATTTTCATTGCACCCAATACATTATTTCAAACAAACCACAATATCTGCATTCCAATTAAAAAACCTGCAGTAATAAGCTTAGAGTGGCATGTATGAGAGAGAGTACTCTTCAATTCTGAATTTACACTGTATATAAAATATTCATAAGGTCAACCAGATTTCTACAATAAGTGCCAGAAATTAACTGAGCACAAAGCAACAGGGAACAGTGCTAATCACAGCCATTTTCCTATGGCACAATGATTTACTATTCTGCAACTCCTTCAACTTAAGAACCTTCTGTCTTCTTTCAGCTGCTGAAAATTTGTTTGATAAATCAGTATATCTTTCGTCTCTTGGAGCATTTTCATTCTCTTCTGATATGTTGCCTTCGAATTCATCAAGTTCTGAGATATATGTCAGCCTTATTGAAAGATGGGGAGAAAACAATGAAACCTCTACATTTAGGGTCAAATGTTATCTGACATTTGGTTGTACGATTCCTCTCCCTTTTTAATGTGAAGAGGATATATGTAACTGGAAAAAGGAAGTGCTCTTTCACCCGTCACTCTTCTCACACTCAATTATAGCCCTCCAGTGCTCTGCCTCTGCAGCTATTATCTGAGTTTTGTTCCTTTGGAAGGAAATCATTGGAGGTCCATTGCATTTTGTAATATTTGAATTTATTTACAAATATACAGGTTAAGCATAGATGGAGGCATACAGCCTAAGCCAGGCTTCCTCAACCTCGGCCCTCCAGCTGTTTTTGGCCTACAACTCCCATGATCCCTAGCTAGCAGGACCAGTGGTCAGGGATGCTGGGAACTGTAGTCTCAAAACATCTGGAGGGCCGAGGTTGAGGAAGCCTGGCCTAAGCATTCAAACAAAATATACTGCCCTACATCACATCCTCAGAGAAACATACTCCTTGATCTCCAAATACTGTTAGTTTACTGAGCACACGAAATCCTGCTTTTTGTCTTTTTTAGATTTTAGATTAATTTTTAGAGATTTTAAAGATATCAAGCTGTTTATCAGTACATATAAACAAACAAACTGGGATAAATTCAATTTCTTCTCTTTGAGAAACACAAACACACAAGGACTAGATTAAATCTTCCTGAAGAATTAAAAATCATATATGAAAGATCATCATTACGACTTACTTTTGAAATTGCAGCCTGACAGTAGAACTAACAAATCCTTGCTGTCTCCGTAGAGATTTTATTTGTTTCCATACTTTCATAATACTTTGTATTAAGCATTTATCTCTTTGGTGTTCTATATCATGTAATATTCTGGTATTTCTGGTATTTTATAATGCAAAACAGGGGGAAAAACCTGAGCACAAACTTAAAATTCCATTTAATGGTTTGCAGTTGTTAAACAAAAATCTAAAATCATGACATAAATTGTACATTCATTTCCCCTGCGATTAAAGTATTTTATAAATATAGTTACACACTGCCCCAGTTTCCAAGCAGTGAGAGATTCTAGGGGTTCTAGCACTTTGCCCAGAATTTGGTTTGCTTGGAATGAAGGTCAGCAGAGACTGTAGCATCTTTAGGATAGATGGTTTTATTTTTACATATATACAACTTAAGCATATGATAGAAGGGCTCACTGCATATCTGTGTCTCCTGCTTCCAGCTCATAGGCAAGAGGATGCCAATGTTCTCCTACCCAACAGAGTGGGTGGGTGGGGGAAATCCCACCCATTTGTTGTATGGCACAGAGCAACTTCTTTGGTTATACTAATCGTGGTGCTTAACAAGCCAGACCAAGTCATTACCTTAATAAAGGAATTGGTTTGGCAAGCCTGTACATTCTATCCACACAGATGCAGGAGCCCAAGAATTGGAAGGGATTCATGGCACCATTCAGAATGACACCCACCAAACTCACAATGCTACCCACTTCCAATAAAAAGAGGTCTGGGCCTAGACCTACAACCAAATAACAGAATAGCAACTTACAGTGGTACCTCTGGTTGCGAATGGGATCCATTCCGGAGCCCTGTTCGCAACATGAGCAGAACGCAACCCGCGTCTGTGCATATTCACTGCTTCTGCGCATGTGTGTGATGTCATTTTGAGCATCTGCACATGCGTGAGCAGCAAAACCCGGAAGTAACCCTTTCCGGTACTTCCAGGTCGCCACGGGATGCAACCTGAAAACACTCAACCTGAAGCAAACACAACACAAGGTATGACTGTACATGTATCTGCATCTGGTACTTTCACAGTACATAATTTCCACTGTATGCTGAAGATGCACCCCTTTACCTGGGCTTTGACACCCAAGAGACATATTTACAGCACCCACTCTATTCCTGGAACTGCAACATGCTTTAACTTTTTTGAATTTTACATTGTTATAACCTACCCTGGGATCTGATGCTGAAAGGTGGGTAACAAATTGAAATGATGGTGGTGATGTTTGTTTTTTATTTTATTTCATAAAATTTATTTTCTACTTGATTGGAGGGGTACTCAACGTGGTTAAAACCTCAAAGCATCTTAATCAGTTGCCTCAGGGAATTGATTTTGAGTCAATGCAGATTACTCACTATTTCCAACTTTGCACTCTTGGAAATCAGCATTGACCAAAGCAGTATATACCTATAGCACAGTCAATTCCTCCTCCTGCCCCATTTTAAATAGGTACCTTATTTGTGATCTGTAATCCTTCAAAGTTTTCGTACTTAGCTCACTTGTTTTTAAGTTACTTTCCAGTAATTTTGTGGAACTTATTAATGCTTTGAGCTGTAATAAAAAATAATTTATTTAAAATGCATTAAAAAATTTTATTAGCGAATAACTTCATGTGGTATTTTGTTAAAATTATTAATATTTTAAAATGAAAGTTTCACACTCTACAGGACAATATCCTTTCTGGATATTTGGGATTGTTGGTTTTTTCCTGTCCTGTTATGCATCACTTTGCATTCGTTTACATGGATTTTCATTTGCCATTTTACTGCCCATTCTGTCAGAATGAAGACATCAAGTCTTCAAGCTGTGACATCCTGAAGTCTTAAAGCCTTTTACATCATACCTTATAACTAAAACTGTAACATAAAGCATTTTCTTACTTTTTCAGATAGCAAGAGAGTAACGTTTTGCTGCTGCCGTTGTTGAAAGCAGTCATAAAGGTCAAGCAACCTGGCAGCCAGTACTTGTTCACAGTTGAAAAAAAAATGATGGCTAAACACAATACTTGATATGTTAAGATCCAGTTGATAAATTTTGCTCTGTTCCTCTGACTTAGTTATGATGCAGTTTTCCAGTTGAGGTTGCATTGCCTATGTTTTAAAAAAAAGTAAATTTGAGGTGAAGTGACAAGTTTTCAGAGTTGAATATGATCTGAATGAGGAATTACTCCATCTGGCACACACGTTTTTGGCTCTGATAGGTAGTTTTTGCTTTGTTTTCTAGGTTTTCACAGCATTAAAAAAAAACTGCATAACCTCCTTGACCAGAGATAACAGTGGACAAAAATGTGTATAAGTATACACTGTGGAAAGTGATGCTTCTCTCGTATCAATTGACTCTCCTAAAAACTATTTCTGTGTTAATTCTTGGTTACTAAACTAACTGTTACTCTTATTTACTACTTTTGAGTTGCTATACGATTCAGCCTTAAATATATGTACAAGAATTTATCACATCTACAAAAATATAAGGTGTATTTTACATGAGAGCATAAATATTACATATGTAAAAAAGCATGATAAACATACCTCCACCCCAAATTAAAGGTGTTTATTCTGAGTCACTCTGGTGACTATTAGTCTTACTTCAGATAAACTGAACATTTTTAATATTAATTTTATCACATTAATATCCTAAATTTCTTTCTTCATAGCACCCAAGACAGAGTACGTGTGATTTCCAGACACTTATGCACTAATGAGACCCTACCTATAGCTTGAACAAGGTGGTGGCCTTATGTGCCTTCAGACCATTATTTAATTTGATGTGTGTTTGATTCCTTAGCAAACTAATTTATAGAAATCACTAGATTTATAGAATTTTATTTGATCACTAGATTTTAAGTGTACTGTTATGTCTATAAAATGAATGAAGTACATTAAAATATTTTAGCTAAAACATAAGATATTATATATTACTGTTAATATTAGCTCAAATATTCATTCCATTTTAATAGTACACTGCACAACTCCTAGTGCAGTAGAGAGCTTCCTCAACTTTCATTAGTTATAAAGATGCGAATTAACAATTCCATCTAAAATATACTCCCAGCCCTACATAGTATTTCTAGCCCGGGAATATAAAGCATTTCCTAGCAAAATAATAATCTTAAAAATGAAGTGTATTTGTTTTTTAAAGTGGAAAAAAGAAACAAACCTTCCTGTATGTTGTATTTAATCGTGGGTCAATCTCAGAAGGAAAAAACACTCTGTAGTAACTTGATGGTTTGATTGGAGAAGGCAATGACATTATTTCCCCGCTTTCTTCAAACCAGTTTTTCCCCTTAATAAATATGATTCAGAAGCACAAACAACATTAAGCAAATCATCTGCTTTTTAAACATATTATTTAGGTAACAGAAGTTTTTAGAAACTAAGCAGCACATTTACCCCATCTTGCTGAAGAAGACGGTTTTCCATTTTGTAGTATGTATTCCTAGATACACGAGGCTTTCTTGGAATATAAAATCCTTCATCTTCTAGGAATCGTGGTGCCATATTGTCTGGCAATTTACAGCTCTGTATAACTGAGAACAATTATTATGAAGTTATGGTGACATATAGGTAGAAGGTAAATTCTTGAATTAATTTATCCTCTTCTTTTTTTGCTGGTCAGATATTTAAATCTGATCCAGAAAAGTACAACAGTAACACAAAACAAACTGCTTAACCACCTACGCCAAATATAGCAAATTTTAAAATGAGCCCTCTCTTTCACTAACTTTTGCTCTTCTCTCTAATCCTTCCTTCTCTCTCAGAATGGTTGATACTGAAACGTGTCCTTTTCTGGTCCTGCAGATAAGCTCATGTAGCAAGGCAGGTCTATTATCACAGCACCAAGCAGCTCCTAGCAAACAACTTGCTTTGACAAGGACTGAAAGTGTTCTAGGACCTTTAGAGTTTCTGCCTCTAGCCCACCTCTCTTGAATTCTGCCCACTTTTGAAGAACTAGTCTCTTAATGGGCTAACCTGAAAACAGGCACTTTCCATGCATTCCATGGCCTCTTACCTGGTGAGGGGTGGCAGTCATTTCTGCATTTGTACCAGAAAATGAACAAGATCAGACTATCTGCAGCCTACTGTGTATTTGTGTGTTCACATGCACATTTATAAGATCTAAGTCACTGTCATATTTTGCAACATACATTACCCGGGGAAGTGCTTGGCAGAAAAAGTTGTTGGTCCCATTGCTTTTGCTTATCGGGATTACTGCATTCACACTCAGGAGGTTTTACTTCAAGCAGTTCTGGTAGTAGTATTTCTCTCACATGATCAAGCAAAGGAGCTTGTTCATTTAAACCACAGACATTTTGAAAGCTGTCATTTATTGATTTCTGTTAATCATAATAAAAAATAAGTGTGATAGAAATATAGAGAGCGATGGGACAGATACCAATAGAAAACAATCTACATAAACATGTTGGAATAGATATAGGTAATTTCCAGACAAAGTGCTTTATAATTTTATGAGTCCAATATGTTTTATGTAGTGCTGTAACACCATTACAGTGGTGCCTCGCAAGACGAAAAGAATCCGTTCCGCGAGTCTCTTCGTCTTGCGGGTTTTTTCGTCTTGCGAAGCAAGCCCATTAGCGGTTTAGCGGATTAGCGCTACAGTATTAGCGGCTTAGCGGGTTTAGCGGATCAGCTGATAAGCGGCTTAGCGATCAGCTGTTAAGCGGCTTAGCCGATCAGCTGATAAGCGGTTTAGCGGCTTGGGAAAAAGGGGGTGGAAAGGAAAGAAACCCCGCAGGAACTCGCAAGACATTTTCGTCTTGCGAAGCAAGCACATAGGAAATTCGTTTTGTGAAGCACCTCCAAAACGGAAAACCCTTTCGTCTAGCGGGTTTTCCGTCTTGAGAGGCATTCGTTTTGCGGGGCACCACTGTATTAGGACCAGTTTGCTCACTTCTTTCTAATCTTTCAATAGGTCCTAATAAAGGAAGCACCTTATTGTTACCGTTTGATTATTTATAATGGATAAACATTGATAGCTACAATTTTTGTTATATTTTATTGTTTTCATTGGAATTAGAAAACTCAAACTTCAACTTTCAGGTTTAATAAACAGTATCCAAGTATGAAGAATTAAGTGATTCCTTAATACAGTACCTGGATCACTATTTTCTATCTCTGTGAAAATAGGCATTTTCCACAAATACTTAAAAAATGAAGTATCACCAGTACTGCTTACATTCAGAATGTGCAGGCATTTCAGCGCATAGTCTAGTCCAGGGGTAGTCAACCTTTTTATACCCACCGCCCACTAATGCACCTTTCTTGATAGTAAAATTTCCTTACCGCACAGCGGTGCTCGATGGAAGGAGGATTCAGCTTGTTCCATAGAATTCCCTACCGCCCACCTAGAATCCTGAAACCCCCACTAGTGGGCAGTAGGGACCAGGTTGACAACCCCTGGTCTAGTCCATAGGTGTGGGGAAACAAGCAGTACCTCTCTGATCTTGTTGAAAAACAAATATACAGGGTCTGGTGCTTTGTGTAGCCAAAAAACCTAATCTCTCCCAGTGTCTCTGCTTAAACAAATATCAGTGTATTTCCCTCCAGCAACAAAGCAAGAAAGAAATGCATAGTGATTTCATCCAAAATGCTGTCTTCCTCACTCTCATTCACTTGAAAACAAAATAAACTTCTGTATTCATTTTCTATAGCTTCTCACATATTTGTTCTAAGGACTCTGATATAGTCATAAAGACACAGGGCCATGCCAAATATGGTTCCATGCCACTCCAAGCAGTGAGAGTCTCCAGGGATTGTGTGCTTGCTCGGGCTCAATTTCCTTGGAAAGAAGGTCAGTAGAGACTGTGGTGTCTTTAAGATATATGGTTTTATTTACATAAATATAACTTGAGCACAGGACAGAGGGGCTCACAGCAGTAATGTCTTGCTTCTCCATTAGCCACAGCTTTGGATTCAGAACACAACAAGACATGTTTTTGTCCCTAGCTCTCAAAGCATCTCTCTCCTTCCAGCTCACTCACAAGCAATCTCCAGCCCAGCCCATATTGTTGCTCATTTTAGCACTTTCTCACCTATATACAACTAATTGCAACCCAGCTCATCCCTTTGAAGTAATCAACAGAGTATTAAAGTGGCCAGCTGGTCTTTGCAACAATAGAAAGTGTAAGAAAAGTCTGTGAAAAAGTTAAACATTTTAAAGAAAGCTCCAGTTCCACGACAATTGTTTATAAATGTAAGTCAAATACTTATTTGGATCATGGTCAAATATATCTAGGAAATCTATGGTACAAGGTACTTTGAAATGAAAGAATGAAAGAAAAATTATTTTTCTTTTGTTTAAGGATATATAGTTATTTTGTATATAAGTTTAGGGCCACTGAAGAAAACTTTTGAATAGCTTATTTCATAATTTTCCTTTGTTAACAGAGAAAGTGAATTAACTGTAGCTATAAACAACTTCAAATACTAGACATCTATTTGACAGAAGACTTTCAAGACACTCCAGCATCATAATGCAACAGAAAAGAATACACTTTGTATGAAGAAAAGAATAGCAATACCTGGTCAATGATCTGATCAGTTTCTTTCAGTTTTGAGTAATCTTCAAAAGTTGATGTAAAAAATATAAAACCCTCATCAAAGGAGACTTCATTCTAAGATTTAAAATTTGGTGAATAATTATCAGTCAGTAGTGCTAAATGCTGGGTAGCCTTCTCTTTCTCCAGAAACTTAATTTTCCTTTATTATCCTTTGTTATATCTATTGACAACATCACCATCTAACCTAGCACTGAGGCTGTTTTACTCCCTCCCTCCTTCTCATATTCAGTCTTCTCACCAAGTCAAGTCACGTGTTCTTATATAAAAACCCACCAATTCATCTCTATCTTTCTCAGCTTAAATTTTGGTTCATCATCTTCTCATTCCTACCCTGTCTAATGAAACATTTCCCTCTTAGGCCTTCCCTTATAATGCCTTAGTTCACACACCTCTGCCCATAGCTTTGTTGCCAAAATCATTTACCTTCTTCATCATTCAGATCTTAGTACTCTGAATGTAGAGGGGAGACAGCATATGCCAATCTTTCTGTAAACAAAGGTAATTCCTATCTCTCTGTCTTCTCCAGCTGACCTTCAACTTAAAACACCTCTAGATCATGTTGCTTAAGAGGGAGCAGGGTGCTTCTTTGGCTTTTATCAAATTTTGCCACAGCAAGAAGAAGCTCTAGATTACAGAGTTATCAGAGAGATATTTTTTTTAAGAGGAACAAGTAGCAAGCATCTCTCTCTTGCTTCTCCCCACCTCTCTGATACTGAAATTCTTGAATATGCACCATGCATTTAAAGCACACATGCCCCCACCCCCAAGAATCCTGGGAAATGTTGTTTATACCTCACAGAGCTACAACTCACAGCACTCCTAAAAATGTCAGTTCCCTGGATCCTTTTTTGAGGGGATGGAGATGTGCTTTTAAAAAAAGCAGTGAGAAAGTGAGAAGAGATTCAGGATTGAATGATACCCATCTTCTTGACGGCACAGGTGTTTTCTATATGTAATGGCAGGAGTAACCAGAATCACACATTCTACAAAAATATGCTCATATTAGAATTTGTTGCACCAAATTGAATATAAAAAGCAATGGTGCAGCTTATCAGTGTTGGCAGCAATTTTACAAATATTTTATTACCTCAGTGCTCACTTCAGAGTTGTGTTGGTATTCTTTAGTATCAGAGTAGGGTTTGTCGCAAGATTTTTCTTCTTGTTCAGCCTAAAACAAAGGGTATTTTAGTGTGCTTCTTGTTATTTTAAAAACACAGAGAAAACAATAACTGAGATAAAATGCAGGCTTTCCATATTCAGCACTTAACTTTTTTCTGATGCGCTCCAATTGGTTTGGGAGAAATGATGAGTCTTTTAAACTGGTTGAACTTACTGCCTTTTATAGAATCATACATACAATAAGTTACATGTTTCATTTGAATGCTAAATCAAAATTCAATTAAAACTATTTACCTTAACAGTTCTCAACTTCCCTCTCACTCTATCCCGTAATACTTCAGTTAATCTACTTTGTTTTTCTTCTACAGCCACAGCTATTATAAAAAGCACAGACATTTAAAACACACTTTGCAATAAAATACTTGAATATTATCGGAATGTATTTTGCAGTACTTTTCATATAGACAATTTTGGATTCTCAAGGAAATGACAATAATCCAGTAGGTTTTTCAAAGTTTGTGAAGGATTTAGATTAAGTATTCTTTATTTGAGTCATACATTCACATTTCAAGCTCGCTCCTTAAAGTGCAAATTATAAATGAAAGTGCATTTAGTTCACTGCACAAGAAAAATGCAGAAAACACATGATTTCAAGTTGCAACATCTGCGCAAAAAGTTGACAGGAATCTAAAATTAGAATATTCTAATTCTAGCACATCAGAATAGTCTGTATTATTTTTTATCAAGTGCTAATATTATTACAGTACTTTAGAATAGAATGAAAACAGGAAAAGGTCATATGCAGGTTTGACGTTTGAATAACATCTAAATTTAATCTGAGCCACATTTGTGGAAATGCCCTTGAACTTCACTGTGATATATTACAACTTGGTAAGGAGTAAAAACATTGAACTACCTTCCTGTGGATTTTGGTCCGGGGTTTCTTTTTGTTTTCTATCAACATGTATGTCATCTTCAGTTTGCTATATTAAACAATTTACCAAAAGAGAAAAGTTGCAAGGAAATGATCAAAACTATTCACTCACATTTTTATTCATTTTTTCAGCTGTATACATCATATACCATCACCCCATCCAAAATGTTTACTAGTGAGCAACCTACAAAAACTTCAAGTTGTGATGCAGGCAAGGTTTATGCCATCATTCAGATAGTAAATGGAATAAACAAAGAAGAATGATCTTCATATTAGAAACAAAATAACATTTAGAGTTGGTCAACATGCTATAAACATTTAATTGTCCAAGATACAAGACGTCCCATGTGTTCAACAAATGTATCTATATATATAACGGAGTTCTCAAAAACTCATTTCCATTTTAGTTCCTCTTGGTCAGCGGCGTAGCTAGCCGCTCGGGTGCCAAGTGCGGCGTGCGCGTCCTGAAGCTGGGGGTGGGGCGCGCTGCGTGGAGCCTCTCCGCCGCCTCCCCCTCAGCTGTAGGGCGGCTGAGGGAGAGGTAGAGGGCAGACGCAAGTCCTACACTGCCATTTCAGGCAGCGCAGAGCCTGCAGACCCCAAGCCACTACATCACTCCCAGGAGAAACACATGGCTCGGGCATGCTGCAGGCCCCACAGTAAGTGCCGGCCCCCGCGCCAGCCGCGTTTCATTATGTTCATTCACTGAACTAAAAAGTTTCATGAGCCCATTTTTAAAAAACAAAAACAAAAAACCCCTCATATTTTTGTCATTTTGTCACACACACCCCTCAGTGATGACACCTGGGACGGATCCGCACCCCCCTTCCTCCGCCATGGCTCTTGTTGTATTTAGAACTTCTAAAGTGGCCTTTTGAGAGATTCTGAAGGACTAAATTAAAATAGAGAAAGGCCCCCAAAGCCCTTGAGTGCTCTGCCAATGAGTCTTTGATGTGAATGCAAAACCAAATATTACAATATGAAATGATTACAAAAACAGCAACCTTAGTTGAAGTGCCTCACTTCATAATGTCTAATACTAGCTTTCCAACCTAGTGTTTCCCTCCAGGTGCTCTGGACAACAGCGCCCATGATCCCTGACCATTGATCACACTGGCTGGTAGGAATGATGGAAATTGTAGTCCAAAACATCTGGAGGTATCAGGTTAAAGAAAGCTGGTCTAGAGCAACTTACCCTGACGTCATTATATCTTCACCCACACATGCAATAAAATGGCACTGCACAGTTAAGATTTCACTTTCAAGATAAAACTGATTTGGGGGAAAATACATTTTCCATGTAAGCTCTGCAGAGAAGAGATTATTTTTTAAAAAAATTAAAAAGCAAAGGCTTTCCAAACTCTTGCTTCAGTAAATGTTTTGCATGCTATGTGATGGGGTAAAATGTATGAACGTACCTTTCTTCTGACATTTCTTTTCTGTAAAGATTTACTTTTCCTTGCAATTCTTTCCTGAACCTGTTCTTTCTGGATAATAAAAAAAGAAAACTATCTAAAATCATAATCTATAAGATACACAACTTCATAAACAAATGTAAATAAAAGGATGAAGTCAATTTTAGGGAACTCCTTCCTAACTGAACCTTTGGCGCCTACTGAATATTTTTTTTTTTTTACTCCACCAAGCATTTCAATCCAAGTCAGATGTTATAGATTTAACTATTTTTTTTACTTTTTATATTGTATTATTGTAAACCATTTAGAGACTATCATAGTGAAGTGATAAATAAATAATAGGGACTACATGTAGATGGGTAATTTGGGAACTAAATCTCACTTGCCAAGTTATCTTCTTACACTAAATAACCTCAAGCTTTTCAATAAATTTCAGTACCATGACATGCTGCCTTTAAAAATATTTGATTATATTGTTAAGGTTAGGATTCTTGCAACGTAGGGATGTTCACTATTACAATTTTGTTTGTCATAAATAACAATTAATTTCAGGATTTTTATACATAATTTTTATTAAAGATTTTCTTGGGTTACAAAAGTACATGCATTGCCTCCATTTGCAGGTTGTAGAGTCTTTTCTACAAATCTGTTACATTTGATGTGAGACATTAATGTAGTATATGAGGTTGGGAGAGAAGAGAGGTGGGGACAGAGAGTGCAGGGGAGGGGAAGTGGTAAACTTACACTATTTTACATAGTGTATGTGTGAGGTTGTTGTGTTAATAAATTTCAGTTTTAATCAGTAAGCAACCACACCCTCACCTCCAAAGAGGCATCTACTTGCCTGAGATTTTAACCATTAGGGAAATATCCAGAAAACAGAATAAAGTGTTGTGTGAATGCAGCCATAATCTATATGTATTTGTTTTTAAAATACACTTGTCTATTATCTATAGGAGTATTATAAGAAATTCATAATAACCATATTAATTGTTAATTGTAGTACATTCTTGGGGTATAATAATAAACATATACCTGTTATTATTATCTCTATTTTATCTAGAATAAAAAAACCTGATCAACAAATCTAATTATTAGGGCATTGTAGTTGGGTAGTAATGTAAACATTTAAAAATAGTCTTCATAGCTTGCCTTTGTTTTTCTATCCAGTAGTATTCCTAATTCTTTGTCAGGATCCATTTTATATAAAAACTGGATTCAGTTGGTCATCAAGGAAACTGGGAAAGAATATGCAGAATATTAAAATGTAAAAACCAGTCCATCTTTACTCCATTCCACATATTTGTGTCTTTCACAGCTCATCTTATTCTTTTGCCTAGTACAGAATGTTTCTGTGCCAGTACTGCTCATTCATTGAGTGCAGGTGTAGAACGCAGAAGAAGCATGTGCCGATGTGCTTACAGAAGCTGTGTGTGACCTGGAACATTCCAAGTCAACCACAGCTCATACACCAACCACACTTGAGTGGCTGCTGTCAATCCCCTGGCAGGCCACATTTGACGCCTTGTGAGTTCTATGAAATAGCTGTGCAGGCCTGTTACAGCGACTAAGCAATGAAAGCAATATTGTTTCAAGTGGCTGCCACAAGATAACAATGGAATGCAAACAAGTCTAAGAAATAAGCACCCAACTTGAGAAGTGGGTGCATTACTACCAGCAAGTTTTGACTGAGAATAGCAGTTTTGCTTCTGGATTGCCAATAAATATGGTCCAGAAGTTTAGAACCAGAAAGTCCTAAGTTCTTAGAATCGCAGAACTGTAGAGTTGGAAGGGACCAGCGAGGACCATCTAGTCCTGCAATGCAGGAATCTCTCACTCAACAGGAGACTCAAACCCCCCCCCCAAAAAAGCTGGAGACTCTCATGCTCTACTGACTGAGTTATCCTAGAAAATAAACATGCAGTAAGACAAAGTCTTATTCTTCCTCTTTTTTGACCCCAGCACAGAAATGCACCGATAGGCACACACCCACCTCGTCAAAAACTGAAACTCCTTCTCCCCACCCCCCCACCCCGCCTGCATTCCTGACTAGCGGGACCGTTTCCTCCTGAGGAGAGCTAGAAGGGGAAGACCCGTCTCCTCAGCCGGCCAAGTCCCAGCTCCATTTAGGGTGAGGCAAAGTGAAACGGCAAACCGCTCTTAAGCAGAGAGACCGTCCTCTCCCGCCCTGGCTATAACCGTAACCTATCTACCGTTAGCGAAACAAGCACGCGCACCGCCCCCCTCCACCCCGCCCCGTTGGCCTCCATCCAGAAAAGAAGCCGGCAAATGAAGCGTCCTCCCCTAAAACGGCCAAAAGAGGGCCCCTCTCCGAGCATGCGCTCCAATGCGCGCCGCCGGCCGCTGGGCATGCGCTTGCCTCTCTGACCAGCTGCGGGGCATGCGCAGTGCCGGAGCGTGAAGGGGGAAGCTTTCACAGTCGTTGGGTCCGCTCGCTTCTCTCTGGAGAGAGAAAAACGCGTTTCTGAGGGTACGAGCAGCCGCCCACCCGCTTTTGCCGCCGCCGCCGCCGGTCCTCTTGCGAGGCCTGGTGAAGGCCACGCCGCAGCTCGGTTGATTTCTGGGCCCGAAGGGTTCGGTGCCCAGATAGTTTACACGCCCATCTTGTTTCGGGGCCCAACCTCGGTGTCCGCCGCCGGGGAGCCGGGGCTTCCTATGGGGGTCTGTGGCGCCCCCTTTTCTCCCCACCTCGCTTCGGGCCCTTCGGGGGGGGGAGCAGAAACCTGCCCCCCCCTCGCCCCGCGGCAGGTTGGTCGGGCAGCTCTTCTTCCTCCAAGCTTCCAGCGAGGCAGCTTCGTTCTCTTCTGCCATTTTTGCTTCCTGGAAAGTGGAGGTGCTTTGCCGGGTGCCTGTTTAGGGGGGCTGAGAGGTTCAGCTGTATCTCCGCGCCTTGCAAAAAAAGAAAAGAAAGAGGTCACTAGCCGACCAGCTGCTAATTCCACCAAGCCTTGCCAAAAAAAAGGGGGGGGGACCAGCTGCTAATTCCTCCGCCCCTCTTAAAACCCCCAGCCACCCATTTCCACCTCCTCGAATGGGTGCACTTAAGACCAAGCAAACGGTGAAGGGTGTGTGTGTGTCGATCAGGCTCTTCTTTCCCAGTGCCCCAGTAGAGAGGGGCAAGGGTCTGGTTTTGGAAGCAAACTGGGTTTATTGGGACCCTCCCCCCCCCTTTACCTCCCTGCAGTCTGATTCCCCCCCCCCTCCTGTGTTCAAAGTAAGGTTGGTGTGGTGGTATGGGGCTGGACTGTGGGGAGATAAGCGCTGGGTGAGGGTTCAGCTCTTCTCTTTGGCAACAAAAGCTAGACCTTCTGCTCCCTTGCTTTATGCATGGCTGGTGAGCTACCACCATTGCATCCGACCTGGGCCTTTGAGGGCTCTCAGCTCTGTGAGAGTTGGAGGAAGAGACTGGCACCGGGTTAACGGCGCGGTTCTCTCTCATTTGCTGCAGTGCTGCCCATTTTCTCTGCTGCCTCGCACTCTTGTCCACTCCTGCTTTCACCATGGTTAAGAAGAATAGTATTCCCGCTGGGTAAGTATCCTATAAATATTACATGGAGAGAGAGAGGAAGGGGGCTCTGACAGCCCCACCTGTTCTCTCTTGCTGCATTACCATCTTTGCCATCTAACATAAGCTAAGGTAAGTATTTGCAGCAACATGAAGTCACAGCTTACCATCCCCCAGGTAAGTATTTTATCCCTCCGTGTTTGTGAATGCTCCTCCATCAGCCATAGATGGCTCCTGTTTCTTCTCTCTTGATCCTCAAATGTGTGCAAAGAGGAATTAATTGAAACTACGTTCTTAACATTTCAGTTCTGTGACATGGCAGAATAATACCACATCATGTCATAAATGTGGTTTTTATTAATTACATGACATGCAGAAACATATGCTACTTGACTAAGCATGGGCTATTTACAGAAGCCCAACTTTACCAAAGTATTATTCAAGTGTGGTTATTTTTAACTGTAGGATTGTCAGCATTGACTTGCATAATTGTCTAACAGTTATTAAACAATAATTGCTTTCCTTCATCACATTTAGCCCCTAAGGTCCCAGTTTTTCTCCACTTTTGTGACATGCCAAAATACCCCAGAACTCTCTTAAAACATAACACAACTTTTCTATGGAAAAGTGCTTTTAAAATGTAGAGATTAGTTTGATAAAGCTATCCAAATATCAAGATAAAATTGAAGAAATTCAGGAAGTGACATTAGAAAAGTAAACATAGAAACAATATTGCTAAGCAGTATTATTTCTAAAGGAGTACTGTTGCAGCAATTCGAAAGCAAAGTTTGTGGTTATGACATATTTTTTAGTTTGCATTGTTCTGCGTCTTCCTCTGTTGCCTCCTGCTCTTGTACACTCTTGTAACATGGCATTAAATTACCAACATAAATTGAGTATGCATTTAACAGACAGTTGAAACATGCATTGATTTTAATAAACAGATCAACTTGGTAGTCCAACCCTCAATAGAAGGATAACTTGGCTGGAATTCTGCATTGAGAACAAAAACTTAACATTGTAAGGAATTATTGGGAAGATAGGTACCAATTAAAATAGTGCAAATAAAAGTGAACTGTAGTTGCAAGATTGGTACATTATCTTTTAGGCTAGAACTGGTAGCATAGTAGAGCTTGATTTTTTTGTCTAGAGGCCAATCGTCACAACTTCTTCAGTGTGTAGCTGCTAACCAACAGGACTTCACCTCTTCCAGCTTGGTAACATACTATGAGAAGTGATGCATGACTATCACAATTGTGCACTGAACTAGGCACAGATAAGTTTTCAGTACTGAAGTTACTATACAATTGCAGCTACACATTACAGCCTCAGTGCACTGAGCTGTCTGTGTTGTTGACAGTTATATTAGCCATCTTAGTATACGCTGCTAGATGGAATTCATTACTGGCTGAGTTTACTGGCAGCAGCTGTTCATTTAAGGAGCTGTTACACAACCTGCCATCTCTCATTTGTTCTTCTATGTCATTGCTGTTCTCTATGCCTACACAGTACACCCATATAAATACCAGCACTAGAGTTATAGTACACACAGACCGTAGCAGCCCAGATACTTCTTGGCTAGTAGATCCTTGGTGAGGGGTACATGAAAAAATCTGTGATAAGTTGGTTGAAAGGATTATATAAAGAATGGACATTGGCTGCTTTTGCTAAGAAGACATTTCCGGGGGGGTTTCAGTTTTTAAAAGGTTTCCGTCTTGCCTCTCAGTGGAAGTTTCCAATGAAGGTAACACATTGATTTAAAATTGAACATTAACATAAAAGCAAAAACAACACCAATAAAGAGCATCAGTAAGAATAGAAGCAACATTTTAAAATAGGGAGAAGTATGGCTGTTCCCAGTGCCAAAAACGTGGTGAAGTTACACATCTGGAGCACACCAATGAAAAGGTCCTATCTCTGGTCCAAAGCCAGGTGTAAATGCATAAAGCAGATCAAAAATACAAAATGCGTATCAATCTGTTTCCTCCCATGTCAGAGGGTCTTTCACTGATGCTCTCTTTCAAATACCAAATATCAGAGATTGTATTTGATACAATAAGGGCAAGGGTAGTATACCTGATGCCACCATTGCTATCTTTTAGGCACCAGACAAAACATTTTGTATTTACTCAGGCATTTAAAAGAATTTTTCTATTCTAAATATGTCTATTGAGAATGAAGTTCAGTAGAACTTCCTCTTCAGTAAGAGAGTACTGTATAGGATTGCTGTATTATATGACTTAATTGTGCTTTTATCTGCTGCTGCTGCTTTCTGTGTATGTTGTATTACTTGTTTTAATTTTTTGTACACTGATTTGAAATTATTGATGAAAAGAGGTGTATAAATATTTTAATTAAAGGGAAATCATGCAGAAATAGATTTACCTTCCCAATATGATTTGGTCCTACAGCATACAAGGCATATTTTACTGTAGAAAAAAAATACTGATAACTTTCACAGTAAGTTGAAGGTTCCAGTTTTTACGTCCTCCTTTAATTGTACACTATAGCTGGACTATTTCAAATTGCACATTGTTATTCTATTTTATTTTGTGTTAATTGTTATACCTATAATGAATTTGCTAACAATATAGGTGAATATACATTATCCAAAGTGCTAATACACATTACTTGGAATGCATTATTATATACTTCAGGTATATTAACAATCTAATAAAAATTAAGCAATTCAGATTGGTAAATATTTTCATATTAGGAAAAATACATTCAACTTAAACAGCTAAGTTATTTTAGGCAGCTAAATAATAAGGAATAGAAAGTGAGTGCAGTTAAATGTCTTTGTTTCCTATTGTAAGAAGGAACTATACTTCTGTATTAAAAATGTTATGTTACTTTGCAATTATTCATAAGACACGAAGGCTAGCAAACATTTAAAAATCAATTTTTTGTTAATGAAGCACTTATTTACATAATTTCAGGTGCTTGCATGATCATTCTTTTAACAGGTGATAACATATTATCGATTTCAGTTTGTCTAAATAGAATAAAGACAGATTTCCCTTCCTTCTATTAATTTTTTTAATTGTAGAGCCTTGAGGAGGGCATTATAAGATAGCTCTTTACTCTGAGCTATTTGCTTAAGTGGTTCTCATTTCATTTTTTATGATTTGAGGGACAGTTGAAATATTCTTCGCTTTGCGTATTTCTGTAACACAGTTTGAAGTATTAAATCAGATGTTAATTGGGGTCACTGCAAGTAGTCCTAAGTTTTTTTCCTATTATGAAAAAAATAGCTTTTAACTCAGATGAGGAATTGTGTACAACCATCACAGCTGCTCTGTTTTCCTCCACAAAACTCAATTCCACCTTCACCCCTGTTGATTTTCTCCATCTGACAGTCAGCTTTCCATAGGTACTGAGTATTCTCAGGCCTCATTGAAGACTTTGCCACTTGGGATTCTTTTTAAAAAACATTTTTTATACTTTTGCGAACCATGGGGTTTCACTGAGCATGCTGGTACCCCTCTCTTTTTTCTCATTAGTTCCATTTCTGCCATCACTTACTACCTGATCTCTTTGTTAGAGGAAGTGATGAGTGCAACTTAAGTCTGCATGAGATGGATTTCATTCCATAGTTTTCACTGCATGAGTTCAATGAGGCAAGTCTCCCACTGAGATGGCATAGTGTTATTGCTGTAGGGTGCCTCACCAGCTCTCCAAAAAGTTGGGCTCCTTTGCCTCAGCTTAGCTTGCAAATGCACCTCTTCTTCTTTGGTACGATACAATTGCAAGAAGTCCTTATAGCTCAGGAAACGGGAAGAAAGGTTTCTTCCTGTTTCCTGTGTTGTCTTGCAGTGGCATTGCACAAAAGAGAGAAAAAGTTGCTTTGGAATGTAAAAAGACATTTGAAACTGTTGGCTCTTCGTCTCCATTATAGCATTGAGCTAGGAGGAAAGCCTCCTACCCTAGCACTACAGTGCAAAGGAAGAATGCTGGAACCTTCACTCTTCCTCTGCTGGTCTGTCCCTCTGCACCCCACTCTACTGCATGTGTGCTTGCCTCTATGGTGAACTGTATGCCCAGCATAGCTGAGTAGGAGAGCGTACACATGTTCTTTGGGCACACCCACTACTGGCATGCAGAACTTGGAGGGGTGGCAGCCCCTAGTGTGGCCCTCAGGGTGAAAAAGATTAGTTACTCCTGTTCTAATTGATCCTAGACTAATATGATATTAAGTAGGTTTTCACCACCTATTTAATGTTCAGCATAATTCTAACATTCAGTTTGATGCACGGCTCTCAGTGACATGACAGGCAGAAATTTTCAAGAAGATGAGACAAAACATGTTTAAAACTAGCAATTATGTTCTCCCCTTAAGGCAGGGGTGTCCAAACTTCTTTCAAAGAGGGCCAGATTTGATGAAGTGAACTTGCCTGAGGGCCAACCAAAATTGTTGAGTTGTTTTTTTTAGGATTTTACCCAGGAAATAAACTGCCACAGGGGCCAAATTAAATAGAACGGTGGGCCGGATTAGGCCCCTTAGCCGGACTTTGGACATGTATGCCTTAAGGGGTCATCCTCAATTCAGAGTAAATCTTGGCAGTTTGCCCAATCTAGTATTTAATCAGGAAATGATACTTGAGGAGATATCTCTTTTCCTCTTGCCAGATGCTTCCTTGTATAGCAAGGTAGCAACAACTAAAACAAAAAACTTCAGCTCTGCATGTCAGTTTTAAGATAATGGATGACAAGGACCTTCCTCACTTTCTTGGAGAATGTAAAGAGTCCATGACAGATGAAGGATGTTCAACAGGGGAGAGGGCTTTGGTTTTGGTTTATCTGAAACTGCCTCCATGTGGTGAGATGTTTTGTATGCATCACTTCACTATGAGGATCAGGCTCAACTATTTCATTTATCTCCATGTTCACAGAAGCTGGAATGTTTGGCATTGGTGTGGAGACAAAATGTGGTGGGAGTTGACCATCAAGGTGAGGCAGTACATATGAAATGGCTCACTGCATGAGGCTGTTGCTACCAAGGAAGCAATTTCAAGCAGTAATATTATGTGTGGCAGCTATAGTATGCCAAAAGGTGGCAGATACGTACTCATTTTTGCCCAGGACATATTGAGTCAAATGTTTTTAAAAATTGGTTTCATTTCTTGGGTTCATGAGTATTGCCGCTTTCTCCCAGTATCTTAAAAAAATGTTTGGCAGCTTCTTCAACCATTTGAGGTGGTTCAGATATATTTACTGCAGGTTAATATCAAAAAGCCTTCTGCTTGGAATGCAACTACCATAAAATGAATACAGTAATGAAAATTAACATTCATAAATTTTAAACATGTTTAGTAATTAAAAAGACTTCATAGGATACTTGCATGCATACTTCTGAGGCAAGGTTCACTGATGAAAGAATCTTAAGACGAACCAATAAGTCTTTGAGTCTTGCTTTTATCAAATATCATACTGCTTGGTTAAAGCACAATTTAAATATTAACTCATTTCCTTGTTGGAAGCTCAAGCTGCAAATTTGGATCATAATCAGTGGTTTGGCATGCTGTTTGAATTCAGTAGTGCTTGTTTGGGTAGTCCAGTTTGGGTAGATGGATAGCTATACAAACAGAGAATGAAAGCCTATCCCTACGATAAGAGTTTTAGTGTTCAAAGATGGTAAGTATACATTGGTCAGTGAAAAACTGTGTTGCATCGCTATGTGGCAGCAGATAACGCTTGCTTATTTTATCTTCATTAAGTGGTTACATACATAAACCTTGAAATTATTCCATACAATCTTTGAATTAATCTGAAGAAAGCCCCACAATCTTACTTTATTTGTATTTCAGACAAGCCAATATTTCTGACAATAAAATATAACAATTCTACCACCTCTGTGTCTCTTTATTTCACCTGTCAGCTATACTTTTTTATAAACTACTCTGAGGCAATTCATTTTAAGAATGGAAGCTGAAGCTCACACAGTGGAAAACATTTACAGAACTAAAGGAAATGTTTACCATTTTCCTTTAAAAAAAGCTAAAGCAGTATATAAATTTTCTTTTTTTAAAAAATAAAATTTTACTGAGTTGCTTTTTTGTTATGTATACCAAGCACTGTGTCTGAAAGAGTCAAAATGAGTACCTACTACAAAAGTGTTATAGTGTAGCCTTGGAGGGTCACTGTCCATCAGTGCAGACAGTAGTGAGTTATGTGAGCCAATGGTCCAACCTTGAATAAGACAGCTTCCAATATTCCTAACCTCTCTAGCCACATACATACACATTGAGTGGATTGCTGTTTCTGCTATCATCGGCATCATTTTCAATATAGCTGTGGTTTGGATTGGCATACCACTACCAACCGATGAGAACCTGTAAGCTATGGGAACCATCTGCCAAACTGTTGGAAGGTAATGTGGCGCTTTCTTTGTCAGCTGTAGTAAAAGCTGGTTAACAACATACAAAGCTGTCTTCTATTCATCCTATTAATAATTTCATTATTGCATTTTTATCCTACCTTTCCTTCAAGGAGCTCAAGGTGGCTAGATGGTTCTCTCCCCATGTTAACCTCAAAGTGACCCTATGAGTTAGACTGGGATACAGTGACTGACCCAATCAGATCCACTTGGTGAACTGCATACCTGAGGTGGGGATTTGAACCCTAGTCTCCCAGGTCCTAGTCCAACACACTAACCCATATCATGCTTAAAGCAAAATAAATTTATTTTTGAAGCAAGTGCCACTAAGTACAACTTAGGAAATATGCACTGTTGACTGTTAGACATAGCGATAAGTGTTCATACTTTGGGAACATGTATATAAAGCAAGAAATACAGGCTGTGCTATCCATTGCTACTATTGAGCAATACTCAGTACTATTGTGTTTTGGATATGGGGGGCCTATATTTTATTCCGCCCCCGAAGCATCTTGAAGTGATTTTGGAATACAATGAAAACTTGCATAAAACAATTGGATATCTGAAAACAATTTCAAATGCATACAGAAAACATTAGGGATAGGAATATCCACTCAGAAAAATTGTTAAAAAGGAAAGTCTTCAAGAGCTGTTGAAAAGAGTGCAGATGGCACCTGTTTGATATGTAATGGGAGGAAGTTCTAATGAGTAGGCGCCACCACATTGAAGCCCCGATCCTGACATGCAGAGCAGTTATGATAAGATGGTCATTGGTATATAAAGGATGAGAAGATCTTTATGTCAAAGCCTTAAGTGTTGTAGCGCAGGTTATAGTTCCATTGCTTTATGCAGTAATGAGGAACCTTTTTCAGCCTGGGCCCCATTCCCTTTGGGGAGCATGCTTGTAACAGATGGGGCCAGAGGCAAACAATGAGCATAGTCAGGCAGAAATGGACTGGGAACTGTGAAACTTAATTGTGTATAGTAAACTCCTTTCTATGCACGTCCACACCTCCGTCCATCCAGGCAACCAAGAACTATCAAGAGTTTAAAAACATTTCAGCCAGGCAAAAATATTTGAGGGTTTGAAGCGGGACCAGTAAGAGGTGTGGCCAGGGGAGAGTTCTGTGGGCCAGGTAAATAGGTCTTAAGGGCTGCATTTAGCCCCTTGGGCTGAGGTTCCCCATCCATGAATTTATCTTAAGCCTGCTCTTGCTTGCTCTGCATTTCTAAAACACTGCTTGCAGTTTTAAATTGGTGTTGGAGGCTAATATGCCTTACACATTCAACAAGAATGAGTTGGAGATTAAATAATGGTCTTGTATGCCTGCACATGCCCTTGTAGTCATACATGGGCTTATGAAAAAATGGACAGCTGAATCTTAGGATATTGCAAAATATGCAAATGTGCTTTTTTATTTTGAGTAATTTTTCTACTTCTATTACTCATGAGAGGATAGCCAATGAATTATTTAGGGTACTGAAATGCATACACAACCCTGGAAATGCATACACATTTTCAAAATTACCTTCACATAGATCCATTCTCATTACACATCATATGTATGTTTAATAAGCAGAATATACACATAGGGACAGGTTATGAAGGATGGTAGAGCATAGTTGTGAATCCTGATTTTTTAAAAGCAAACTAGAGGGCCTCTTGGCTGAGTTTTATGTTCAGTTGCATGCTGAATCCCCAATAATAGTGCAAGAGACAATGAATGTGACATGGTTAAGTGTCCAGGCAATAATGCTTTCTGCAGGATAGCTTCACTATCCATGCTTCTGTTTTCAAATCCCCACCCCATATCCTGCATTAGCACCCACAAATGTGAAAAACGTTCCTCACAATATCCACAGTAAAAAGAGTCCTACTTTGCACAAAGAAGTATGTGTGCTTCCCCTGTCCTTTTGATGCATATGGCATGCTGAGCCAAGATTTGGCTTAGCGTGTCCGAATCTGGCCTTGTGGTTAAGCTCTCTCCTTGCTAACCGCAAACTGTAGCCAAGGTTTGCTCTTAGCTGTGGTTTATTCTTAGCCATGGTTTATTCTTAGCTACAGCTCATAGTTTGCAGGGAAAGAGCTTGATCATGAGCTGGGGTTCAGATGACACGTTAAGCCAAACCTTGGTTTAGCTCAGCATGTTGTTGGTGTGAAAAAGACTTAAGAGGAGCAAAGCAGCTGTGAGCTCTGCTGCAGGAGCCTGCACATCCAGCAGTCCCAGTAAGCCATAGTTTGCAGCTACCTATGCAGCAACCTGGTTTGCACAACATGGGAAGCCAAAGACTTCCATAGTAGCAAGAGATGCTTTTCACCTACCTCTCACTTTGCCAGAGGCTTCCCATTGCTTTTGCTTTTTCTATTTTCTAGTTCCGTAATAGGGTATCTCATGTAAAATACAAAATTAAAGCCAAAATTAAATCTATGAGTCCCATGAGTTTTTATGCTTACTATATGTGCTCAATACACAACAGCCCCCTAATGTAACTGGCAACAACATAGAAGCTGCTGCGCTATGGATGCGCCTCGTAATGTTTCTAGAATGTGATTGCAGACATTGCTGGAGCAATGGTTATTTCTCATATATCAGAGATGATGGCTTGGGATATGAACATGTTAAACCAGCTCACAATTTCTTCCTTCAAACCCTGCCAGAAATAGCATTGGAACAGCCATGTCACAATGACTCCCATTTTTAAAAATTGCTAAAGATGCATTCTAAGCTTGGAGCCTGCCAACCTCATTTCTAGTTGTATATGTTGCTGCAGTAAGTAATGTATATTTTAGCTTTGCATTCAAAAATAAACTTTTGAAATGATACAGGTGTTTGTCTTGCTTCCAGCCCAGATTTGGACCTATGGCAGGAGATACATAGGGATAGTGTAGCCCTGTTGACCTTCCTGAATCTCACAATGGCATTCAATGGCATTAATCATATCAGTGTATTCTAGACTGCCTCTGTTTGGTTTGGGTGCTTTTTACATAGAAATGTCCTAAATTATTTAGTAGTAGTAGCAGCAGCAGTAGTAGATGTCCCATGGAATTAGTGGTAGTAATAGTAGTAACAAATACTACTGTATAGCAATATGTGGTATTTGGCAACAAAAAACTTGATTATCATCTCACAATAATAGCAAGAGAAAATGGTTTCCTGTCTCACTACATATGTTAATTAACTCAGCATCACTGTTGATTATGTTAACATTTGTCATGGTTTGGGGGAATGTTCACTCTGGTTTTTTTTGCAGACATTCTAACCCTAATTTAATTGTCCTTTGTAAATTTTGAAATTTCATTTCTCTCTGATTTCACTGCTGATAATCCTCTGCCCACTTGCAACTGAAGAGACCATACATCTGATAAAGCAGACTCTCACTCACAAAGGCTTATGCCCTCATAAATTTCTTAGTCTTTAAGGTGCCTCAAGATTCTTTTGTTATTTGTGCTTTGACAGACGAATTCAGCTGCCCTTCTAGAAACCTAATCAAAGATGAGCACATTTCTACAAGAGAATTTTGAGCTCTCTCCCATTAAAATCAATAAGGCAGGCTTATGCTATGAGATTTCAGAAAGCATTACATGCTTACCTGTTTGGAATGGCATGACCAACGCTACAGAAAAGGAGAATTCAACCTTCTTAACAATGTTGGATTGGAAATGAAGTGTACACAAATGCTTGCCTACATAGCTTCTGGGGCACAGTAACTTGCCTGAGGATTACACATACAGCACCAAGTACTGTATGGTTGAACCCTGAGTTTGGTTGGAGACAACAATATGTTGGGTAGGGGGAGGGAATCCAGAACCTCCTACCCTTTCTTCCAGCATTAAAGAGTATCTGGATTCAGAACCAAGATCAACTGCACCAAAACATATAATTGGTGCAGTATTCTGAAAGCAAGTTTCTGCTTTTTGTACATATCTCTGGATTGAAGTCCTTATGTTTTCTGTAAAGTGCTGTTGTCATAACCTGTATTTTTCCAATACATACAGAATTAAATACAACCATATTTCCTTTTTCTTAACAGATGGCGGAATGTATCGCCAATTGGACAACCTATGGCAGGAACCCGGTTCATTCCTTTCAAAGCACCCATGAAAGGGGTACGTATAAAATTTTGCTTTCATACATTTATGTTAATCAAAAAGCATAACACATAAACTCAGGTATATTTTATCTAAGTGTTTAACTTATCCCCCTTTGGATCATCCCATTCAGCACAATATCAGACAAGAGCAACAAAATAGTCTTTAAACTACAAGACTATTCTCTTTTAGTATCCTCCTATCCCTACTCTGTGTTTTGTATATGGCTCAAGACTGTCATGGTTGTAGGGCAGGGTATTCTATTGTGTTCTGTGTATTGGCCCTTTGACTCAAAAACCCTGTTTGCCACTCAGTTGCGCCTGTGAGTTTTATTAACTGAGATTACAAGAAAGAAAGCACTTTCTTTCCAGAACATACAAAGGTCAAACCTGTATCCTTTGTGCACCTACATCACACATTTCCATATTTTTCAGTGGGTCACATGACACTTTTCCAGGAATCTCAGTTTACGCAGATTGAATTTTGTCTTGCTTACTCACTCCTTAAGGCTGAGGAAGGGGGTGATATGTAAGTTGAACTTAAGAAAAGAAAGGTGAATAGGGGAGAGAATTTTATTCCAATTGAGAAAGACTCTCCTCCCTGGAAGAGAGGGGAGTGGTTGTGGGCGGGAGCCCGAGCACTGCCCCGAGCAGGGGGCGTTAGCCCCCTGCCTCCTCCTCTCACCTGGCTGGCGCCCACGCCCCCTCGGCAGGCATCCAACCAGGTGCCTTCGAGGGGGCGTGTTCAGCAGCCTTTTGCGGCAGCGCCAGCCTCTCCTTGGCCTCATTCTTCTCCGTCCTCTCGTTGCGAGTCACCCACCCTCCACTACCTTTTAGCTCAGGGTCTTTGTTCTTTGGCCTTGCTATGGACCTTAGGTTGGTCGCCCTGGTTGTCTAGGGGGCCTGGTAGGAATTTTTCCATTTGGCATCAGGCTTTTTGGTTTTTTCGCCTACCTCGTAGCAATCGTCACAACTTTTTGTGGTATTGGTGGGTAGGTTAGGCATTGGAATAATGTGTTGTGGTGTGTCGAAGGGTTGGGTGTGGCCATCGCCTATGCCTTCAATTTTTGGGTATTCCGTTAAAGGAATCTGGCGGTCGTGTACTCTGTCCGATGCCTGCTTGGCGAGAGGCCATGGCATGACCCCGGTGACATCAGGGAGAGCCTATAGTTGGATTAGCATCAACAGGCTCCACCTACTGGTGAATAAACCCCCTTGTTTTAGACATCCAATGCCTAAGCCAATACCTTTTCACTGCTGTAATCAATAAAGTTGTGGCCTTTTCTTGCCCATTAACCTTATATCACGTGTCCTTGCGTATTCATTTCACATTGTGGGGGTCGGGTCCTCGAACCACAAATACTGTTTCTTAGCCTGTCTGTACTGGGTGGAGTTGCTTACAAGCTCAAGAATGGGAGGTTTGGTTTACTATCTGATAAACTATCTGATATTTACTATCTGATAAACAGCATTGTTACTCAAGATGATGCAAAGTGGTGTTTCATGAAGGATTCTTCAAATGGTGAAACTGTATAGATAAAAGATGTTTACTCCACAATGATCTGCTCCACCTAGACGTTGCTTATCAGTTTCTTTCCAAAGAAACAGGCAGAAGTTCCAGTAACTTCACTTGTTCAGGTTGTTGCAAAATACCACATGTTTGATTCAGGGCATTTGGGCTCTAAATTAGCATTATCCTTATAGCAGCCAAGACAGAAACCCCTTCAACAACCTTCTGTCTGAATTTTCATATTACCTCTGCCTCCTGTTTAATTTTAGGTAAAGAATTTTTGTGCTTCAAAACTACCTGTTACTTTTGAATGCTTCTGTTTCATTTCCTAATTCTCAGTTTTATGAGTCAGATTTTTCCATTTCTATGGGTACATTTTCTCATATATAATTACTTTTTTCTCCACCCTAGGAAATCAACCAGCGACTGACACCAACTCAAAAGTTCACTCCAAAAGATCTGATCGCTGCAATAAAAGCTCTAAATATAGAGCTTGGCTTAATTATAGATTTAACATATACAACAAGATACTATCATGTGAAGGTAATAATAGTAAATTTGTATTTCCGAGTTTTGCTGCGTACTTTCTAATGCTGATCTTAAAACATACCAATTCTCTATGTGTTATAACAGTAACAGTGGAGGAACTTGATGAGCTCTGAATGCCAATTATTTATTTATAGTTGCCATCTATGTGCACAGTGCTTTGCTTAGTGTAACAGGATTAGATCCATGCCCCTGAGGGCATTCAAAACAGCAGAGCAAGGGAAGAGAAGGAGAGGTAGGGAGAAAGAGCAAGAATGCATTTAGGCTTCATTACAATAGTATATTAGAATCAATGGGCTGAGGGGCCACTAGGGGCACATCGGAAGATGGCTGACAATAACATCTCTCCGACCCACACGAGGTAATTAGGAGGCTGTGATGGGAGTAAATAGCCTCCCTACCCCCCCCCAAGGTTGTGGGGGGGCTACCCTTATCTGCTGTGCCCTATACCACCCCCGAATTTGTGGGGATGGGGGCACTAGGCAGAATGCCCTCCTGTGGATCTCGGCGCTCCTGGACGCTGTCTCTGATCCGCGCCTCTAGCTGCAAGAACTTCAAAAGAAACAATTAGGAGGAAGCGAATGCACATATTTCAAGGAAGGAGGGGGAGTAACGACAGCTAACTGAAGAGATCTCTGATAAACAAGACGGGTCGGAGGAACAATATAAATCATGAGAAGATACGCCAAGGCTCGGTATGGCAAAAGGACTGGATGGGGGAGGGGGAAAATCTTTCCTTTTTTTCCCCTCTAAGTGATTAACCAAGAATCCCCACCCCCCACAAGTCAGAAATGTCGTTTTAATGACTTAAGCTGTGGATTTATGACTGTGTGGAGATAAATTTTCTAACCAAAGCATGTTTTAAGAAGATCGTGGAAAGTATAACAGCTTTGGAATGACGCAGTTAAAAATACCGTCGCCATGTTGGCAAGTTCTGTCGGAGGACTTAAGTCTGGGAGGAGAAATAGAGCTGTTTTTATATTGTGGGTGAGACTCCTCAGAGGGACTTAAGAACGACAGTTTTGCGATTAATGATGGAAAGAGCGATGTTATTTATGAAAGCGATGATATATGGAAACCATCTCGATTTGAGGATTGGACGAACGGAAAAATTCACACAGGATTATAATTGGTGTTTATCTGCTTAAGGAGATTATCAGAAGAGATCATAAAGGAAAAAAAGAAAAAATATACGAATAAGATGAGATGTGGAAACAGCAAGATAAGACTAGATAGAATTATGAACTTTATTTGGACTGATTTGGATATTAACGCAGTAACAAGAAAATGATCGGAATCCCCCTTCGGAACTTGAAATATGGGTCCCCTCAACAAAAAATTAAAATTCGGCTTTGTAATTCGGAATTTATGTGATGTGATTTGATTTGATTTGATTGGTCAGTTAATAAATTTTTTTTTTAAAAAAAAAAGAATCAATGGGCTGATTCGCTTTAGTGGATTATAGTGTGACTGAGTTACATCAGACACTTAGACTGGTAGTGAGACATAGTGACAGGATTATGAGGGTAAGATTTGCCAATTTGAAACAAGGATCTTTCTGTTCATTGATTTTAATCAAATTATGAAATGCCTATCACAATGAAATTCCAAAAATGTTGGAAACGGAGAGAAGCACTCTGATTATATTTTCAGCTGACATCTGTCTATGTGTTGGCGGATGATTATAATGATGCCATGACGCTCAAACCTTTGAAACTGGATACTTAGCCACGTTACTATGTCATATGTTTAAAACTCTATAGGGCTTTCTCCAAATATGATCTCATGGGGCAGGTTTCCTGTCAGATCTTGTGCAATAAATAAATAAATTGCAGTGCAAGGAAGACAGATGACACAAAAGTGCTTGGAGTTGTTGCAATCACATTCCCTTTCTGAGTTTGGGGATTTGTACCAACAGTAATTATGACTGATGCAAGAGCGTTTTGAAAAATGATTCACCAGACATAATTGTGCACTTTCAGCTCCTACAAAATGAACTTTATTCAGAGCCAATTTTTAAAAGTTGGATCAATCTTAGAGATATGCAGAGATCAAATTACAATTTTTTGCTACAAGTTTGTTCACCTTTTTGTTGATAGGATTTGCCTAAAAATGTGGTCTATAAGAAACTTTATACTATTGGATTTGAAGTTCCAGATGATCCTACTATTCTACAATTCAAAAAACTGGTCAGAAAGTTCCTATGGGAAAATGCAGAAAATGGTAATTAACAGCATTTTTCATTTTGTAAAACACTGCCAGTATTTGTCCGTATATGTATAATTTACTAATTGCTGTTGGAATCTGTGAATATGGATTCACAGTTTTCCAATGTAACAAATCTGGAATTTTACAATGTTTCCATTTCCTCCCTTACTAACAGTGTATTTTTCAATAAGAAAAGTCAGAGACACTAAATACATGCATTTTACATATTGTGTAGTTTGGCCCAGTTTCAAATGAGGTTTGCTACGCAGCATGAGACTGCTATTCAAGAAATACAAATACAAAGCCCTTTTGTGCATGCCAAGCTGTTTGTGTGTTTATTTGGATCTCGGCTATTGTGTAGAAACAATTCCCGTTAAAAATGTGCATCCACATCATTGTCTCAGTCCAGAAAAGTCAATCCACATGCATTAACAGCTTTCTGCATAGTGTGGATCAAGCTGCAGGGAAAGCCTTGCATTCAGTTTTGGACCTGCAAAAGCAATTCTTCGGGTGGAATTCAATGTCATGCTCTTCCAAATGTTCCATCTGCACAAGCATTGCAGCTTGCCTTGCTGGATGGAATGATCATCCCTCTCCTCCCCTGCATGCTGTTCTGTGAGTTCTCCTGATCCGCCCCAGAACATTTCCATGTGCTCTGGCACTCGTCATGGTGTCCCGTTGTGCCAGTAGTGGTTTAGTCATACTGGCCACATGACCTGGAAAGCTGTCTGCGGACAAATGCCAGCTCCCTCGGCCTGAAAAAGTGAGATGAGCGGCACACCCCATGGTCGCCTTTGACTGGACTTAACCATCCAGGGGTCCTTTACCTTTTTTTACCTTATCCCCCCACCATGCCAATTTCATGTTATGGGGTGGGCAGAAAGGCCCATTGCAGAAGGAGAAGTCCTTAGGTGAATTCTGCTCCATGTATATTGCATGCAGACTACCTAAGATGCAATCTCAGTCCTAACAGTACTAATTACTAGTTAAGCAGAAAAGGAGGGAGAAGTTGGCTCAAGACTGTCAGCTTTCAGAGTCTTCATCACATCTTAGAAGAGGTTTTGCAAGTGAAGCAGAGTGCAAATAGCCATTTGCCAAATTCGTGGTTCTCTAAGTGGGAGCCAATACATTCAGCATTAAGGGATTAAAGATGCACTACTGGACCAGTTCTGTAAACAGCAAGAGTCTTTGCAAAACCTCTTTGTTTTATTGTGCACTTACTGTATTTTTATATTCACATTCTTTTATTTTCATTTTGCTTTTTAAATAGCAAAGCTCATAGGAGTACACTGTACTAATGGAATTAATAGAACGGGTTATCTTATCTGTAGGTAAGTATCATATAAAATATTAAACAGTTATTTTCACTAGAGTGATATGTTCTGCTTGGTGATCTGCATCTGTGCATATATTCCTTTAGATATCTTATTGACGTTGAAGGCTGGGATCCAGAAACAGCAATCCAAGGTATTTGTGTGCCCCTTGATCAAAAGTCAAGGTTCTGCATGCACTATGTTGTTATATCACTTGCCATAGCTGGGATCCAAAAGGCTGCCTCCCAAAAGCCACAGTCATACTGAGACTTTTGCAGCCTCCTTTCTTTGTTTAGTTTTATGCAACTCAAAAAAACTTCTCCTGGAGGTCATAGGAGCAGCAGGATGCTATACCAAAAGTGCAAAATTACAATCTCTCCATATGTGCACAGAAAACTTTACACTTGTGTAAGGGGAAATAGAGCCTTCTTCATGTGATTTGGCTTATGTGATTTAGCTGATGATAATTCAGTCCTGACACTGTCTGTAAAATGTCTGTAAATCATTTTAATGTGTTATTTTGTGGAGTTCTCATTTGCATGATCACTGTGATGTGAACCATGCAGATACTGGATACAGCAACTTCCACTGTCTCTGACTTCAGTATATATTTCTTGACATGTTAGAGACCACAGTGGTGTATCTAAGAACTCGAAGTTTCAGCTTTTTATCAAGTTGCTCATCAAATGGATAACTCTCATTCCTAGCGGGGTGGGGTGGATGTAATAAGCTGTTTTTGTGAGAGTCCATGACATTGGTTAAATGAAATGACAAACCATAATTCATTGTTATGAGAATGAGCCTTTCTGATCCTTGGGCTCATATATTCACTTTACCTTCTACTTTGTACATGAGAAATAGGTCAGAAACCTCTGCTTCAACAGTCATCATGTGCCCCTGTTACATCAAAAGTAGGGAACTGCAGTTTGTTCCAGCTGTGGTTTTCTCAATATCCCAAACAACTGTGGTTAGTTAAAAAGAAGGATGATCCTTCTTTATAAGACTTTAAGCCTAATTAGTTTTAAGTAACCACATTATAACAAACCACAATTCCTTGAGTGTGAATGAAACAGGGAACTATGTTTAATGCTAAAGCAGAAGTTTTCAATTTTCTTATGCAAGTGATGGAGAAGAGGTAAGGATGAGGGTGGAGTATGTGAACCAGAGGCTCCTCCTTGTCCATCTTCATAATGACAAATCATATATTGCAGCTGGGCACAGTTTATTTTTTCAGAGACTGAAAATATTCTGCTTATAGCAGCAGTGGCAAATAGCACCCACTAGACCAGTGCAGTGCAGTAACACTAGCTCCCTGAGAACCATGCTTGGCAAATCAAGAGTCAGCCTTGGAAATACACATCCCCACCTCATACCTCCTCTCCATCTTTGTCTTCAAATTCTCCCTTCTAACTACAGTTCCAGATCACAGTTAAATTAGAACCCTGGTTAACCTTAACAGCAGTTAATATTGGGGTCAATTAACTGCTTTATTGTGGTTAAAGAAGGAAGGAAGGAAGAATTTGTCTTAGTAAGAAGTGGCACTGCAATGAGGTTATCTCTTGATTTGTTAAATCACAGTTTATTTTGTTTTTTGTTTATTATTTGCATTTGTCTGTCGTCTCATAATACAAGTTCTCTAGGCCAGAGGTAGGCAGAAGGTAGTTTGTGATCTACTAGTATATTTTTAAGTTATTCAGATCCACAAGCGTTTCTGGGTTTTATCCAACACGGCTGTGGCACCAGCAGAACAGGCTTCTGGTAGCACAGCATGACTTTCCCTTCCTCTTCCCCCACCTGCAGCTGCCATGCAGCCTCAGATTCTGGACCAGATGTTTAGGGAACCCTCTGGAGCATATTTTGGAGGCATGATGGGGGATGCATAGGGGATGACAGGAGGGGAAATGCCTGTTGCACAAGTGGAAATGTGTTTGCACCCTCTGACTCCCAGTTATTTAACAATGGCATCAACAAAACAAATTTTGCCACCTAAATTAGGCAGCAGAAGTGTAGAAAGCTAACCAGGAGGTAATTTTTGTATGAAAGTGCTGTAATCTAATTTCACTTCTGATACTGGCAACAACTTCCTAGGTTCAGAATATGCTCAGAAACACCTTGTTCTTTAATTCTTTGTACATGAGTCTGGTTGTTAGAACCTGGGGCTCTAGTAAAAAATGAATTAGATCTAAGATGTCTTCCCCCTCATACACCACAATTCTAGGCAACAGTTTATAGAACAAATAATATGTCAACACCAGCCTGATGCAGTTATTATCGTGTTGTGTTGTGTTGTGTTGTGCTGTGTTGTGCTGTGTTGTTTTAAAACAACATTATTCATGTTGATGAAACCAAATAAGTTGGGGGAGGGATCCACACTTCAGAGTGAGGTTGCAGTCTCCTTCTGGACTACCTTCCCGGATCCCCAGTCAACTCCTACATAGAGGCTGTGAGACAATCTAGCAGGGTTCCTACGATTTAGCACAAGAGGAAGGGAGGGAGGGAGGGAGGACTAGATGACTCAGAAAGCAGCAGGGAGAACAATAGTCCCAGCAAACTTCAATCATATCTTTAAATAGCAATGGGCCAAGCCAGCCAAGCCCAAGGTCAGGTGAAGGCAGAGGACAAAGAAAATCAGGACCTTGGATAGCTCCAAGCAACCCTGCTCTGCTAAAGCTCTACTACATAAGGTAGCTATGAGAAAATATAATACTAGCAGGGAGAAAGCCAAGTGAAGATTTATATTGGCTGACAGGACCTGTAATGTGGCTGTGCCTCCCTGGAGGAGCAGTCTGGGTTGTTAAAGGGCCTTGTTTGATTTTGTAGTGTTTGATATCTGCTAACCTGGGGAGGAGATCCAGCAGGGGACTCATCAGCTGAGTCCAAGGATGGTGACAGGGCTGTGTCCTCTGACCAGGAAAACTGATGGTTCTTCCTCTCACTGCTGCCCTACCGCTGGAGGAAGGGACCTCAACCTCATCCTCTACCATGCACTGCAAGGTTCCAAGCTTGGGGGGTCATAACACTATGATGCATTCTCTCAACCAACATGCTAGCAAGGTGGTAGCTGCATTCCTGTCCAGGCAAGAACTGTTTAAAAGTGATGAACATGATGCTGTGTCCTCAGTGTGAAACATGATGGCTCTATAAATATCTAAGGAAGGTCACTCCCAGTTAAAGGGTGCCTGCTGTGACTTGACTTTGTCTGCCTTGGCCAGACTTTGCTGCTTGATCTGACCTTTCCCATTGTGAGCTTGCCTTTATCAAATAGTATCTGCTTTACACCCAAGCCTCAAGCTCCTATGAAAGCCAGAGGAAATAGCTCCTCACTCAGGCACTGAGGAATCAACTTCAGTGGCTTTATGTGACAGAGCACTTCAGAACAGAATTGCATGCAGCCAACTCTGCTATCACTGGACATTACAAAATTAACATCTTTGCATCCTCTGATGGGGAACTTTGGCAAATGGGCTCTCCAGGGAGTTGTTGATCTACCCAGAGATGCACTGCTTTTCAAAATCCCCAACCTAGATGGCCTCCTGCACTCAAGGAAAGAAATTCTTTGCTCACCTGTGACTCTGTTATTTTAAAGTAAAGGAGATTAGCTAGGCTCCATTGTTCAAGCTGCTTCCCTGGGAGAGAATAGCTCCTTCATTTTCTCCCAGCTTAGCTGTTTGTGCTCCTATCCCTTTCCCCTCTCCTCAAAGCAAGTATCATATCCATAGGGGATCTCATCAAAGATCTAAAATGATCCTTGAACCATCTACCTTTGCCTTGGGATCAGGAGGGAGGGTAGGGGTGGACCTGCAACCTCTAGAAGGAGACTGCCTCCTTTTCCTCAAGGCGTGGAACTTTCCCCAACCTAGCTGGCCTTCTTCACTTGAGAAGAACAGAAATGCCCATGTAAGTATAACAGAATATGTTTCTAGCATTCAGTGCACTGCAGTTTTTGAACCACTATCAACAGTCCCCGTCCCCCCCCCCGTTCACAAAATGGCATTCCACACAACTAATGTTCGCAAAATCTGTTTAGCTTTTGGGGAGGCTCGTGGTCACCATATTGATGGGAAAATATACCTGGCAGATCTCAAAACACAGCCAATGAGAAGGTAAGTAAATACATAGTTTTTCATTACTAAATACATTCCATTTCTGTTATTGGAGATTCTATACAAGTTCAGTGTTTCCTTCTTCAGACTTTGATTGTGATAACAAATATGGTACTTTTGTCATGGATTCTGCTCCATATTGATTCAGAGCAGACCTCAGTGTATGGTTAGCAGAGTAAAAACTTAAACACAATGCAGGGTTCCCAAAGAAGAGACCAGAGGCAATCAAGTTCATCCATCAGAGCTTTTTACTACTGAAGGCAAATGAGCTTTATGGTCACAAATCCATAAATTTCAGGATTATCACAGACCATAGGAAATCCAGTTGCAGCAGACTTAATTTAAACTTACAATATGACTAAAACCTGAACACTTAAGCACAGTGCTTTTTTTTCTGTGGGGACACAGGGATACGCCTGCCCCTAAACATTTTGTGAATCTTAAGTTTGGCCTCATTGAGGGGCAGTATTTCAATATGAGTAGGAAAATGAGAGTACCCCTAAACATTTTTTAGAAAAAAAGCACTGCTTAAGCATACTATGTACAGAGCAGAAGGAAAGAGACAGGAAGTGAAAGAGAACAGAGGAAAGAGACGGGCTCCTTCTGGCCTATTATTATAGTCAGCATGACCTTGACAGAAAGAGATAGCAGAACCCATTTAAACCAGCTGTTCAACTTCTCTGGTTCCAAACATCAGGAACCTTCTGCTTGTTTCTAGGCAGAATAGAAGCTTGCTTGTTAGCTAGAAACTTTCAGCTTATATCACACAGAGAAGCTTCCAGAATCAATAGAAGTTTCCTTCTTTAATCAATAGAATAGGAAATATCTCTACACTTAGTTTAAACTGAGAATTTCTGTACCCAAAAAAAAAGCAAACCTGACAACTTTTTTGTTCACTTCCTGAATATACACTAAATATACATTGTGATAAACTGATAAGTAAAGAGTAACATATCCTAATATGAAATCTGGGTGTCCTACATGCTGATTAAGCACATCTGTCCCTTGCTCATAAAAATACAGCCTTGTGGAAGTATAAACATATATTTACATACAGGTGTGAAACTGATAAATAAGGTTGAAAACTTCCTCCTTTCTTCATTATAATGTTGCTTTGTATTTTTCCATCAGTAACTTCAGCAAACAATTAATACATTCTGTTTTGACATTTTCTAGCAATCTTGGAATGAATTTATGGGATACTGATGGAGATATTGCACCGCCACCAAATGATATTGATGGACATATTGATAGATTCCCAAATGAAGAATATCCTAGGTAACCTGCAGAAATTCGTTTTCTTAAGTAGAAATTAGAAGTATGAAAAATATTGTCAGAACAATTAAATCTGTATAGTTCTATTGTAATGCTTACAATTAAGCCATAATTTAATGATAATTAGGTTTTAAATTGCGGAAAGTGCAGTAAAGGTCAAAATAATTCCACTCAAGGATTTCTTCTATAATGAAAACTGACATGCAAACATTAAAACTATGACCAAAAATATAAATTGTAAGTGTGATACTCTTAAGAGATGAGATATTTCTTTACACTTTGGTTTTATCTGCTGATTTCAATACTTGCCTTTCTTAAAATGAGAACTCTTTCCTTAACAGGCCTGGGAAAAGAGTAAGAGTTTTTGACTATGGCCACAATGAATTACCAGAAGAGGTTCAATTGAGAGAGTTCGATTTCATTAACAAAGGTCCAGGACAACGACGAAAACCGTATCATGACCACCAATTTCAAGATGATTTGCAGCCACTAGTACAAATAAGTCAAAGGCATTTCCCTGACCGCCAGTATTATGATGATGACTATCAAGAAGAAATGCGCCTGATGGATTTAAGGGGCTCAGAACATAGGCTGAGTCCTTTCCATGATCAGTTTTCTGATGACTTTCCAGGAAGGGCATCACCAGAAGATCTTGGTGATGTGGGTCGTGATCAGAGGCAAATACATTTTCCTGACATCCCTGCTCTCAGAAGTATGCTGCTAGATACGGAGGTTGAGGGGGACCATGTAGAAAGGCGGAGACCATTTTATGAACCGCAATCTAATGATGGCTTTCAACCACACGTGCAGTTAAAAGACCTAACATTCCACAAGAGTTCTCTGCAAAGAATTAGACGTTTTCATGACTGTCCCCCTCATGATGATATGCAGCCACCAGTAGGAGAATTCGAGTTTGTTAGTAGGGGCCATGGACAAAGAATGGCACCTTTCCCCGACCACCAGCATCACATCGATGACTTACAAAGAGAGGTGCCACTAGAAGATTTTGATGATAGAGATTCTGGATCAAGATGTAGACATTTTCGTGGTGATCAGTCTTACAGTGATATCGCTGAGGAAACACAACTGAAAGGTTTTCGAAATAGGGGACCTTTTAATGACCACATGCCCCAAGATGATGTGCCATGTGAAGGATATTTAGAAAGGTAAGAATTACCCTACTAGCTCAGAGTATACATCTCTCTAGATCAGTTTCCTGTGTTTGACAGTAGCTGCTATTAACTAATACAACGGAAGAACAGTACAAAGCAGTTAGGAAGACTCCTTTTCCCTTTATGTACTGCTAGATTTAAGATTTCTGAGGTCAAGGAGCCTGATATCCTGGCTATTTTTGATATTCCCATCTACAGTGGAATTCTGTAACCTAGCCAGATTAGCAAATTATAGTTTTGATAATTTATTGTATTTATGGAATTGAGAACACGAATACTGGTGAAAATTATCAAGTTTCAAATACTGTTTTTCTTTAAGCTCCTTATACAATTAACTTTCTGACTGTATTAACTTCATATTCCATATATATTTTTAATGTTATGCCAATTATTATATATATTATTTATACTCAGATTGCTTCTTACTTTCCACTATTTTAATATGTCCGTTTTGCTCCTTATAGAGGTCATCCTTTTCTTTCTCATGCGCACTTCACAGAATCTCCTTTACTTCACAGAGAAAATGATTATAATAGAGATTGCAGGTAAAGGCGTTGTCATGGCATTTATGCAGAGCATGTCACTGATTCACATTCAAAAATATAAACTAAAAGACTGACATTTTCTAATAATATACATACTCCTGCTTTGTTTTTGCAACAAGACAGTTTCCTGTGGACATAATACATCCTTTCATAGAATTACTTCATTCTTGAGGAACTCAGCTTTAAAAATAAAGATTTTTCTTTAGAGGCTGGAGCAGGTACAACTTTTGGTTCCCTCTTAGCTATAATTAGGAGCAGTCTCTGAAATCACACCCTACATCTCCTCCACCCTCTTCTCAGTTCCTTTCTCCCACCATGGCTGCTGTTAAGCAATACAACAGCACAAACGAATTCATCGGTTCCAGTCTAAAAAGGATTTTGATCAAGATCAAACTCTGGCTTCAAATTATGCTTAACTGGAAATCCTGGTTAGAATTGGATGTGGTTGGGGGTCAGTTCTAATGTGTCCCTTTTGTAGTTAAGGTAGTGGAGTAGTGTGTGCATCCAACAGAGGAGGGTTTGGAGAGAATCCTGCAGCTGGTTTCCTAGTATCTCAACTGTGGGTAGGAGATAGGTAGCATTGTGGCTCCAGATAACATTAATTTTACTGGGTATAATTGGACTCAGAATTGTAGCCCTAAAGAAGTTTTCATTTATTTCTTTTTAATGATGCCCTCTTAAAATTTGGATGGCTTATCAGGATCAAGTGGCAGTGAAAGCAATATAGTTCTAAAAGTCGTATGGCTTTAAAGGAAATCACATCATCACATCAAATGAGGCCTTAGTAGAGAAGGCCTGAAGTCACTGATCCTTAGGGTAGATATCTGGTCAGTGTGGTGTGGATTCATGCTGCTGACCACAAACCTGTTTCTCTGCCTGTGTGATATATAGCATGTAAAGTAAAGGTAAAGGGACCCCTGACCATTAGATCCAGTCGTGACCGACTCGGGGGTTGTGGCGCTCATCTCGCTTTATTGGCCGAGGGAGCCAGCGTACAGCTTCCGGGTCATGTAGCCAGCAGGACTAAGCCGCTTCTGGCGAACCAGAGCAGTGCACGGAAACGCCGTTTATCTTCCCGCCGGAGCAGTACCTATTTATCTACTTGCACTTTGATGTGCTTTCAAACTGCTAGTTTGGCAGGAGCAGGGACCGAGCAACGGGAGCTCACCCTGTCCCAGGGATTTGAACCGCCAACCTTCTGGTCAGCAAGTCCTAGGCTCTGTGGTTTAACCCACAGAGCCGCGTCCCTGTATATTATAACATGTAACCTACCGTATACAGTGGTGCCCCGCAAGACGAATGCCTCGCAAGACGGAAAACCCGCTAGACGAAAGGGTTTTCCATTTTTGAGTTGCTTCGCAGGATGAATTTCCCTATGGGCTTGCTTCGCAAGACGAAAATGTCTTGCGAGTCTTGAGATTTTTTTCCGCTTTCCCCCCCCCCTTTTGCTAAGCCGCTAAGCCGCTAATAGCCTTTTAGCAGCTAAGCCACTAAGCCGATAAGCCTTTAATAGCCGCTAAAACGCTAATAGCGCTAATCCGCTAAGCCGCTAATAGGGTTGCTTCGCAAGGCGAAAAAACCGCTAGACGAAGACACTCACGGAACGGATTAATTTCGTCTTGCGAGGCACCACTGTATTATTATTTATACAGCAGGAAGTCAGGAAATAACCATTTTCGATTGCAACAATTCATTATAAGCTAAAGTAATTTACACTGGGATGAAGCAGCAAAATAATTAAGTATTTGTGTTTGGGGATATTCCTGTTGAGACAATGTGTTTGATCATATTCTTAGGAAGATATTTGACAGTCTCAGCGGAAGACAGAAGGGGAAGCAATAAAGGGGGGGAAATCCTAACCCAGTCCGCTGGGGCTGAACAGATTGGCAGGGCCACCACTACATCTGCAGCCCTGCCATTCATGGTGGCTGGGACAGAAAGTAGGGGCAGGCAGATCTCTGCATCGACCTGCCCTCAGAGCTCTCTTCTTTGGGGCTATTTACCAGTGGGGTGGGGATCCCACCAGTAGGCCTCACATCTGCCTGTTTGGTAGGCAAAAAGAGAAGGTCTGCACTGACATTGTGATGCTGGCATCACTCCACAGGTAGCAGGAGGCTGTTGGAGCAATACCTCCACTCGGTCCAACGAACCACACCTCCAGACCAGCACAAAGAGGCTTTAGATTGCTCTGTATCACACTTCAAAACACTAATGCTGTATTATGTCACCACAGTCCAAAATTCTGAGTGGGGTGGATATACACAAGGGTCTCAACATGCACGAGACTTCTTGTTCTCACATAGCATGATCATCTCACTGTGTGCGTGGATCATATTTCAGAAGAGACCCCTGAAATCTTCTTGAGTAGAAGCTGAGCCTTGTGTGCAGGTATGAATCTTCCTATGCATTGGGACCTATACTGGTAACATTTTTCCAGTGAAATGTATTGAAACTAAAAAGCTTTTAGGAGGGAATTTCGTTATCATCACTTGGAGGAGTACACCTTTTACATTTTTAATTTGACAGGTTCCTTTTCAAAGAAAGGAAGTACAGTACAGGAAGTTCAGGAAAATAATGCATATTACTTATGTTTCAATGAGCAATTCATAGATCTTCTTGTAAAGTGCAACCTTTTATGCTTGTCTCTCCTGTCTTTGATGACTGCCTGATCAGTTGAAGAAGTTTACAATTAATAATTGTTTTCACATTATAGACCTGATTGCCCTGAAGATTACAGGAGAAGCCGCCCTTCTAATGATGAAATTAACAAAGGAAGAAAAACCAGATTTGCACCATATCCCTCACAGCCAGTACATCACTCTTCATCCGTGCAACAGAAAGTTAGTTCAGTTTCAGTGGACCCTGGAAGGGAACTTCAACATAAAATTACAAGGGAGACAGAGCAAAGGGAAAGATTGCCTGTCGTAACAATTGATTACAATTATGGTTTGCCTTTAGACTATGCATCTGAAGACGAAGATAGATCACACTATGATTTACCTCCAAAACAGCACCAGATTTGGAAATGAGCCAGGTATGTGTGGCCATGCATGTTTACCCATTACCCCTTGTGTGGGGACCAAACCTTTTCTCAAACTGAAGAAGCATATCTTTAAAAATTACAGCACTCGTATCAGTAGTAAGACTAGTTTCCACAAATGTTTGGGGTTTTTTACATGTAGATAGTGGTACATTTGTTACGTGTATGTGGAGACAAATGTTCAACTTCTGTAAAATAAAATAGTGGTTACCTATAGTGAAATTGGAAGACCGCAGCTTACAGCACCACAGAAGCTGTGTTCTTCTCACTTCCCCTATTTTGAAATGTACATATATTGCTTCAACTTACGAAATGTGTAATAAAATAATTTAAAGACAAAGACTGCTCTCAATAAACTTTTACTATGAATTTGAAAGGAAATACATTGCAAAATATGAAAAAAAAAGAGTTATGGTAATGTGGTCAATTCATTTGATGGTAGCAATTTGAATTTCCCAGTACCGTGCTACCTTGGTTTATGAACTTAATCAGTTCCGGAAGTCTGTTCTTAAACCAAACTGTTCTTAAACCAAGGCACGCTTTCCCATAGAAAGTAATGCAAAATGGATTAATCCGTTCCAGACTTTTTAAAACAAACCCTAAATCAGCAATTTAACATGAATTTTACTATCTAACAAGACCATTGATCCATAAAATGAAAGCAATAATCAATGTACTGTACTATAAAATAAATAAAACAGTATTGTAGATGATAAAAATAAAAATTACAAAAAATTCTTACTTGCACTGATGATAGTAATTGTTTGGATGGGGCACTTTTATTCATTTCCGCAGTCACACAATCAATCAATCAATCAATCAATCAGTAGCTGAACATGGATCCACACAGATCCACCACCTCCCACGCTGCTGTGGGAAATGCTGCCTAGAGCATGCGTCTCCTGCAGCAGCATGGGGGGGGGAGTTGCGCGCCCACCAACCAGATGGCTAGCGGGTGTGCAGCTGCCCTCCCTCACAGCTGCGGGAAAAGCCGTGACGACCCCCTCTCTGCTGCCGGACAACGGAAGTGTGGCACTCAAAACGGAAGTGCACCCCCGGAGTATGTTTGTATACCACACACACAAAAAACGCAACCCGGAACACTCCTTTCCGGGCTTGAAGTGTTTGTAATCCAAAAAGTTTGTTAACTAGGCTGTTCGTAACCCAAGGTACCACTTTATTTCCTATTTTAAAAGCATGACAGCAAGGGAACCTACCCACTGAGAAAAATTGTAAACTTGAGGACTTGTGATCTGTTAGTATCCTGCCCATGTAATCTCAGCAGCAGGTTCCCTTCAATGTTGAATTTCAATTCCATGTTGTATATTACAAACAGGTAAAGAAATTTCAGGCTTGAAGATAGCCGTGTAGAGCCCTCACTGTCATTGGAGGCATTCATCATTTTTCTCCTGTCATGCTTTTGGATTTGAAGGATTTTTAAGTACTACTATAAGCAGTATCTCAAAAAAGCCAAAACTAGGATCTAGAAGCAAGATCAGTATCAAGGCTACAGGACTATTTGTTTATTTTATTTTATTAAATTAAACTCTGTGTTAAAATAGGGATTTAAAAACCTAAACCCCACCAACGAATTGCTTTGGGGACAGATTTGGGGAGGGATGGGGCAGCACAAAGCAAATTGACCCAATCTGGGGCCACAGATTGGATTGAGAGGTCCGTCCACAGCCTTAGCTGCTACTCATTCCTGTGGTGGTAAGCAAAAAAACAAGCAAGCAAGCACTTGAAGAGACTCTTGGGTGTTTCTTGCAGGGACAAAAAAATGCCATGATTCATAAAGTTCAGTTGCTTGTGGGGGCAAACCACTACCAGCATATATCGCCTTGCTTGCAGGATTTATACTGGCTACCAATCTGCTACTTGGCCAGATTTAAGGTGTTGGTACTAACATGTAAGGCTGTATAACTCAGGACCAGGTTACTTGAGAGGATGTCTTTTTTTCTTCCAAGGGTATTTTACGAGCAGGTTTCCCACTTTATCCTCACGCTCTCAGTGTTTAAACCTGACTTGGACAAGATCAGTGTGCGTTTCATATCTGACTGGTGAATGAATTGAGATTTTCCTGATGGAAGCACAAGACTATATCCACCACAACACACTTCCATATTGTGGGCTGGAACATCCAACGAGAAGGGAAGGTCAGAAATAGTAAAACGGGAAAGGAGAAAATAGCCCAACTCTAATACAAGGCCACTGGCTATTGAGAAAGGTATGGTGGGACAAAATGGAACTAATAGTGGGTGCTGTGCAGCATGGGAGACAGCAACTAATACCACACTGCCAAAGCAATGACACAAGCACCAAATATGGGAGTAGCAGGCATTCACTGGGTGGCACAGATTACCATATTTTTCGCTCTATAAGACACACCCGACCATAAGATGTACCTAGTTTTTAGAGGAGGAAAACAAGAAAAAAAATATTCTGAATGTTGTTGAAGAAGCTTTGCGCGGCTATCCCTGAAGCCAGAACAGCAAGAGGGATTGCTGCGCAGCAACCCCTCTTGCTGTTCTGGCTTCAGTGATAGCTACGCAGCCTGCATTCGCTCCATAAGATGCACACACATTTCCCCTTACTTTTTAGGAGGGGAAAAGTGCGTCTTACAGAGCGAAAAATACGGTAGTTAGAGGAAAAGCCATCCAATCTGCAAATGAGGATGCAGCCACCACTTCTCCCACCCTGTTTCTCCCCCAGTCCATTAATCCACACACCTTTCTCCACTGTTGGAGGAAGCAGGGCTCTCAATATGCTGCGCAGCAGGCAGAAAGAGAAGGGTGGCCAAGGCACAGAAGGGTGATCAAGGCAGAAGAAGCCACAGCTGCATAGATTTGTGTTATTGTGGGGCTGTAAAAGGGCACACATGCTCCCTGGCTTGTGACCTGGCAACCCTATTTGGGGGCTTAAGGCTAAATATAGCATAACGTTATTTAATCTTTAAATCTAGGCTACATATAGTATCTAGGTCCCATCTAGGTTCTGAATCAATCAAGGTACTGCCCAGGGAAACATGTTTTTAAGGTGTGTTTAGGTCACATCATTAAAATACTGTAATGAATTGCTGAAAAATGTATGACGTAAGGCAAAATTTCCAGCACAATGTAGTATGTAGTATGACCTAAACAAATTCAATGCTACAAACTTATGTTCATAAAATCCAACAGGGCTCTATTTATGTTCTTACAGTCATAATGTAAGGGCTATAATTTAAGTCAATTGATTTAAATGGGTCTACTCTCACTATGACTTAGTTGGAGATTGATGACTGCTGAAATTTAGGGTTGGGTGGAGTTAACATTAACCTATAAATTATTTCTCATACTTTCTATTACAGGAGATAATATTGTGTGGACATGTTTAGGGCTTTTGTAAAAAGGACTATATTAGTCTTTAGTCTGTCTTGGTGGAGCTGATATTTCAGAGCTCACTAGAGTTTTCTAAGTGTTATTTTGGTTGGGCTGTGGGAAAAAAAGTTAAAATGTGGCCTTTTTATGATTGGTAATTATTTTTGTTGAATTTAAGCTAGTTCACAATCCTTTCAGTATCTAAAGATTGCACCTATAGAATTATGGAATATGTGAAATTTAAGGTGATTAGTTGGTGAGAGCTGATGATTTAAATAAGGCTGTATTCACATTCCTGTTTACTGTGCACTCACCCTGTTTCCAGTGCTGGGTTTTAATCCATGTTCACATGTTATCCAAAATACATATGTGTCCTTTACCTGGTTCTAAAATACTATCTGATGCGTTGTTTCTCAAACCAGTTTCACACGGATTGGAGTGCTTAAGCCCTTCCTAATTCATCTCTAGCCAAGGTGTGAACGCCTCTGCATAGGGTAAAGATGGTACATACGCAAACAGAAATTAATCTGACACTAATGAAGCCATGCTGATTGTTATGTACAATCCAAACTGCAGCAGTCTGATTGGTCCTAGAACAATAGGATCCAAAATGCAGCAGTCTGATTGGTCCTAGACCAATAGGATTCAGAATGCAGCAGTCTGATTGGTCCTAGAACAATGCAGCAGTATGATTGGTTGGCAGGAACCACCCAGTCATGCTCCAGATATAAGTGAATCCACAACCTGATTGGCTTACAGTAGAATTCCATAATTAGCCAATCATGTGCAGCCCATTGTGTAAATAATGTATATAAAGCAGATATTTTGAGGGGACATTCATTCATTCCTCCTCACCACTATGAGCTGAATAAAGAGCATGAAATCACTTTGCGACTCTGAGTATATTTCACTGGCGACGAGGATGGGATCCTGCTGAGCTGACTGCCACACACAGCACCGCAGCACCGCCACCTGCCGCACCGTTGCCTCGCACCGTGTATCCAGGCTTCAGCTCCGGGACACAAGGAACTCAGAATGGCAACCGACAGCAGCTTCTCGCCGTTCAACCCAGCATCTGGAGACTGGGAAGCGTACGCCTCCCGTTTCACCTTCCTCCTAGAAGCCAAAGGGGTCACCAACGAAGAAGACGCCAAGAAGAGTACGACCGGTCAGGCTCAAGGCCCGCCGGGTCCCGTTCACCCTGAAACCCCGTATAGACGAGGAATTGGACCGGCTCGTGGAACAAGGAGTGCTGGAGCCGGTGCCTAATGCCCCCTGGGAAACCCCAATCGTCACACCCGTCAAGCCTAATGGTTCGGTCCGCATCTGCGCAGACTACAAATGTACCATAAACAAGGCCCTCACGGCCCATGCATACCCAGTGCCAGTGGTCAGCCATCTCCTTGCCACCCTGGCTGGGTCGAAAATTTTTGGCAAGCTGGACTTGACCCAAGCATATCAACAGCTGCCAGTAGATGAGGCCACAGCAGAGGCACAGATGATTGTGACGCACAGAGGAGCTTTCAGGGTAAAGCGGCTGCAATTCGGTGTCAGTGTGGCACCAGGCATATTCCAGAATCTAATGGACTCGCTCCTTAAAGGGATTCCTGGCGTCACCCCCTTCTTCGATGATGTGTTGATTGCCGGGCCCACACCAGAGGAGTTTGAGGACCGCCTCCACACCATTCTGCACCGTTTCCAGACGGCGGGTCTCAAGGTGAAGCGGGAAAAATGTCTACTAGGAGTGCCTCAGGTGGACTTTCTGGGATTTATGGTGGACGCAGAAGGGGTCCACCCGACTGGGGACAAGGTACGGGCCATTTGTGATGCCCCAGCGCCCAAGAGCAAGACTGAACTTCAGGCCTTCTTGGGACTATTGAACTTTTACCATTCCTTCCTTCCCCACAAGGCGGCGGTAGCGGAGCCCCTACACAGACTCCTGGACAAGCGGGCCCCTTGGGTGTGGGGCCAGCGCCAGGAGGCCGCATTCCAGGCAGTCAAGGACTTGCTTGTCTCAAACTCGGTCTTGGCACACTTCGACGAGAGGCTGCCGGTGGTGCTGGCATGCGACGCCTTGCCCTATGGCATTGGTGCTGTCCTGGGACACCAACTCCCAGATGGAAGAGAGGTACCGGTGGCATACTTTTCCCAGACACTCAACGCAACCGAGCGGAACTACTCGCAAATAGACAAGGAGGGTCTGGCAATCGTGAAGGGAGTAAAAAAATTCCATGATTTCTTGTATGGGCGGCCCTTCACCGTGGTGACTGACCACAAGCCGTTGCTTGGCTTGTTTGCCCCTGAAAAGCAGACCCCCCAAGTGCTGTCTCCTTGCGTCCTCAGGTGGTCAATTTTCCTTGCCAGCTACCAGTATGCACTGGAAGGCAATGGGCCATGCGGACGCCCTCAGCAGGCTACCACTACCGGAAACAGGCCCCGACCCAGCACCTGCACAAGAGGTTATGAGCCTGGAGCTGCTTCCCGACCACCCCATTCAGGCACAAGAAGTTGCACACCATTTCAAGAAAGATAGGGTCATCTCCTGGGTCCTGGACTGGGTGTGGAGGGGATGGCCCAGCAGCAGCCCTGGGCCAGAATTCGCCGGCTACACAACCCGCAAACATGAACTGTCAGCCCACAAGGGGTGCCTGTTATGGGGAAGCAGGGTCGTTGTTCCCCAGCCCCTCCGCAAAAGGGTATTCACAGCCCTACACGAGACACACCCAGGGGTAGTAAGAATGAAGGCCCTTGCCAGGAGTTATGTGTGGTGGCCGGCGATCGACGGAGAGTTAGAGGCCTGGGTCAAACACTGCCAGGCCTGCCAAGAATCCCGCCCAGATCCCCCAAGGGCCCCAGTCCAGTCCTGGGAGTCCGCCCGAGCACCATGGTCACGCCTGCATGTGGACTTCGCTGTCCCCTTTCAGGGGAAAGCATTCTTCATAGTTGTGGACTCCTACACCAAATGGCTGGAAGTCGCACTGGTACCGTCCACTTCTACGTCCGCAGCCCTCCGGGTACTACGCAGGCTGTTTGCAACCCGCGGGCTCCCTGACACTCTCATCTCAGACAACGGGACTGCATTTACGTCAGGAGAATTACAAACCTTCACAGCGCAGAACGCCATCCACCACATCCGTTCGGCGCCATTCCACCCTGCCACCAATGGCCAAGCAGAAAGCATGGTGCAGACCACCAAGGACACCCTTCACCGCATGACGCAAGGGGATTGGGAGTACCGCCTTGCCACATTCCTCCTAGCACAGCACAGCACCCCCAGCTCAATGACTGGCCGGAGCCCCGCTGAACTACTAATGGGTCGGCGCCTTGCAATCAGATTGAACTGCCTTCACCCCGATAGAGCTCAGGATGAGGTAGTGGTGGGGGAAGGCAGGAACCCCTGGACCTTCGAGGCCCAGGACCCAGTGTACACAAAGAATTTTGGGGCAGGCCCAGCATGGGTACCTGCCACAGTCACCAGGGTCACTGGCTCCATGTCGTACGAGGTGCTAACGGATGGGGGGCAATGCTGGCGCCGCCACTGCAACCAGATACGGCGACGATTCCCAGGAGAAAACCAGGAGGAGGACAGGTCAGAGGAGTCCCAAGGGGGGAATAGCTGGGGGGAAAGAGCTGTAAAATTCACCAGAAAAAAGTGGTTTTGAGGTGGTATTGCGAACATACCCCAAGTTATCGAAGTGGCGGGAATCTTATGTTCTTTCCCATTATAAAGATTGTTATAGCACTCAGTATTTAAATGGTGTTCAAACTTAAAAGAGGCAGAAAAAGTGCAGTTTTGTTAGCATTATCTACTGCAGAGTCTCCTTGTGACGACACCTTCTATTTCTTGCATTTTTAGATTTTTAGATTTAAAATGTGCTCAAAAATTTGGAATATATATATATATTCCAAATTTTTAACATTAATATATCAACTTATAACACATTTTAACTTTTAGCTAAAACATGAGTCTGACCAAACTGCGGGAGGCAGTGGAAGACAGGAGTGCCTGGCGTGCTCTGGTCCATGGGGTCACGAAGAGTCGGACACGACTAAACGACTAAACAACAAACAAACTTTTAGCTCTGCCAAGCTCTCCGCTTCCCTCCATCCATCTTCTGGTTTTCTAAGACATATCTTAATTCCACACAATTATATCATCACAATTCTACATTTTTCTAAATTATTCAGATTTTTAAAATACAAGTAGAAAATTTCTTCTTATAAACATTGCAAGTTTTATCTCAATCCTGCTAGTGTTTTTAAATGTGTACACTGATTTCCTATATATGAAATTAATTTACTCCAGTCTCTCTGGAACACTTGGTCACTCTGATTCTTCCCATCAGGTTTGCCAGTTCCACATAGTCCATCATCTTTGTTTGCCAATCCTGTATCATCGGTATTTCTTATTTCCATTTTTGGGCAAGTAAAGTTCTTGCTGCTGTGGTGGCATACATAAATACAGTAATGTCTGGTCTAATCTGGATATTTCAGCCCCTACCATTCCCAACAGGAAGGCTTCGGGTTTCTTAGGAAAAATATATTTTAACCTTTTCTTTAACTCATTATATATATTCTCTCAAAATGTTTTTACCTTATCACGTCCACCACATATGATAAAAATCTCCTTCTTTCTCATTACATTTCCAACATTTCCTATTTTTCATTCTGTGCATCTTAGCTAATTTGGTTGGCGTTAAGTACCATCTGTACATCAGTTTCATTATATTTTCTTTCAAGACCATACACACAGTGAAATTAATTCCAACATTCCATAGCCTTAACCAAGAGTCAATTTGAATATTATGCCCAATATCTTTTGCCCATTTTATCATCATCATCAAATGTGTTCAACAGTACAGTGCATAAGTCTGAGTTGATTCGTTATGGTCTACTTTTTCCTTCTGAAACTGACCTAAAACTGAACTCATTAGCATGACATTCTATCGGCCAGGGGCACAATTCCTTCACCATAAATAGGGCAAGAGAAAGCCAAATGTAGAACTGCCATAGTAATAGTGCAATCCTAACCATGTTTATTCAGAAGCCCTAGAGTACAGTTCATTCCTAGGAAAGCGGGGTTAAAAGCACCACAGGTATTCAATTCCCCTCTGTAACTGAAATGGAAGCTAGAAATGCCACATGGGCATTTTCTGAGGAATAACATACAGTAGTAACATAAGAACAGACTGCGGGATCAGTCCAATGGCTCGTCTAGTCCAGCAACCTGTTCTCACAGCGGCCAACCAAATGCCTGCGGGAAACCTGCAAGCAAGAACAGGGGACAACAGACCTATTTCTCCAGGAACTAACACTCTCACCGCTTTATTTTCCAAGTTAAGTTTATTTTCGGAGACACTAGAAGAGTGTGGGGGAGGATATATTATTTCTCTTTATTCCGCGGATGGGAAACCGCTAAAACTACCGAGTCTTCCTTTCACCACCACCCCCATCCGGTTGGGCGAATGGTACTGCCCCGTAAGCATGGCCGCCGCCGCCGCCTCCTCAGCAGGCTCCGCGAACTCCTCTCCGGCCCCTGCTTGTCCCCTCCCCCGCGCTTCTCTTCAGAGGACGCTTCCCATTGGCTGCGGTCTGGCGTCCATGCCAATCAGGAAGCGGCTTCCATGGAGGAAGGGAATAAATACAAGATGGCTGCTCATATAAAACCAGGCGTCGGGCTTCTCCCTGGTGATGGGAGAATAGAGGCTTTAATCCGCGCGGGTGGAGTTTCTGGTCGCTACTGCTCGTACAGGCGGCCGAAGGGAGGAGGGGGGCTCGAGCCGCCGCGGGCCGAAGCCTCGCCTAGTCGCCATCCCGCCCTCGGGCCGCGCCGCGCTTCCCGGAGGCCCAGGCCGGGGCCCTGTCCCCGCTCCTTCCTGCCAGCAGCGCGGTGGCTCCCTGCCTGCTCAGCCGGGCCTTAGCTCCGTCTCTCCTTCGCCATGGCCGTCTCCAGGTCGGTGTGAGGTGGTGGGGGGAGGCGTGGGCTGAGGGGGCAGACGGTCTCCTAAGAGGGTTTCCGCCTCATTCTTCGTTTCATTGCTCTTTCCTCGGGTTGGTATAGTAGCCTGGGATATCGGCAGGCGCCTGCCTTTTTTACTCCGGAGGGACGCCTCGTGGAGAGCTGGCTGCTCATGGAGTCGTGGTAGGCAGGCATCCCCCCCTCGCTTTTATTGTTGCTATTATTTATTGAATTTATATACCGCCCTATACCCGGAATTCTAGAAGCTTTGTGGAGTCTAGAAGCAAGGATGAGTGCAGGCGAAAGGAGCTTGGGTCCTGCACACACATACACACACACCCTAAAGTTAGGGACTCCCGAAGCTTTAAGGGGGTCGGTGGGTGGTAGGTGTCAAACTTCATTTCAACGTAACTTTAAGTGAGTTTGAATAAAGAAGGGCCATGGAGAAATCTGATGACACCCACACACAATTATGGTTTCTGGCTAAACGAAAATGAATGAGAAGTCATCAAGGCTGTTAGGGTTTCCCTTTCTGAATGCGTGCGCCTGTCTATGCATGGTGTGTGCACGGAGGCCTCCACTGTATACGAAGAAGCTGTGCATCATGCCCTTCCCAGTGTTTGAGCATCCTGGTGCATGAGGTTCCCACATAGTGAAGATGCTTTCACTGTAGTCCTAAACCAAATTAGGAACCTAGAAGCTGTTAACTTGTGGCCCATTATGTTCATTTGGTCAGTGTTTTATTTATCACGAGTTTTCTTCAGGTTATTCTTTCTGTTAAGCAGCAGTGCTGTTACCTTTCTTCATAAAAAGCTGATTTGAAAAACTTCTAGGAAATTGTCATATCCATCTAGTTGAGTATTTCCTACACCAGGGATGCAGAATATGTGGACTTTCAGCTGTCGCTGGACTAGAGTTCCTATTATCCCTGACTCTTGGCCATGCTGTCTTGGACTGATGATGTTGGACTATGACCAACACTGGGGGCAGGCACAGATTCTGTGTCTTTAGACTAATGACTGGTAGAAGCTCTCCAGGGTTTCAGACAGCCCTATTTGGAAATGGGTATTCTAGGGATTGAACCTGGGAACTGCATGTGAACCATGTGCTCAGCCTCTGTTATAGCCCTCACCGTTTTTCTGATCATGTAAATTAAAACCTAGCTGCCTTGTGCTACACTGGCTTGGCAATAACTAGTGAGCTTCTGCCAGCAGTTATTTACATAATTGTCTTGCTGTAACTTGTGACGATACTTCTTGTTTAGTCATGTCCAACTCTTCATGACCCCATGGACCAGAGCACGCCAGGCACTCCTGTCTTCCACTGCCTCCCGCAGTTTGGTCAAACTCATGCTGGTAGCTTCGAGAACACTGTCCAACCATCTCGTCCTCTGTCGTCCCCTTCTCCTTGTGCCCTGCCCTCCATCTTTCCCAGCATCAGGGTATTTTCCAGGGAGTCTTCTCTTCTCATGAGGTGGCCAAAGTATTGGAGCCTCAACTTCAGGATCTGTCCTTCCAGTGAGCACTCAGGGCTGATTTCCTTAAGAATGGATAGGTTTGATCTTCTTGCAGTCCATGGGACTCTCAAGAGGCTCCTCCAGCACCATAATTCAAAAGCATCAATTCTTAGGCGATCAGCCTTCTTTATGGTCCAGCTCTCATTCCATACATCACTACTGGGAAAACCATAGCTTTAACTATACGGACCTTTGCCGGCAAGGTGATGTCTCTGCTTTTTAAGATGCTTTATAGAATCATGTAACTGGAGAGTTGGAAGGGACCACAAGAGTAACCTAGTCCAACCCCCAGCAATGTAGCAAATGCAACTAAAGAATCACCAAGAGATGGCCAATCAACCACTGTTGAACAGCTTTTACAGTCAGAAAGTTCTTCCTAGGTGGAATTTCCTTTCTTGTAAATTGAATCCATTGGTTCAGGTCCTAGCTTCTGGAGCATCAGAAAACAAGCTTGTTCCATCTTGCATGTGGCAGCTGTTCAGATCTTTGAAGATGGCTATCGTATCTCTTGTCTTTTCGCCAGGCTCAACATACCCAACTCCCTCAACTGTTCCTCTTAAAGCTTGGCTTGCAGAACCTTGATCCTCTTAGTCACCCTCCTCTGCAAGCATCCCAGCTTGTCAATATCCTTCTTAAATTGTGGTGCCTGGAACTGGACACAGTACTCTAGGTAGGGTCTGACCAAAGCAGAATAGAATGGTACTGTTACTTCCCTTGATCTGGACACTATACTTCTGTTGATGCAGCCTAGAATAGCATTAGCTTTTTTTACTGCTTCATCACACTAATGTTAAGCTTGTGTTCTGCTAGACTCCTAGATCCTTTTCCCATAGCTCTCTAGTAGAGCATATGTTTTGCACGGAGAAGCAGCTTCATTTAAAGGAGTGTTTTTCAACCTTAGGCCCCCAGATATCACATTATTAAGTTGTGGTTTAGTTATATACCATGTTTTGGCTCAAGGGCCACCTCAAGCTGTGAGCAGCATATTAATACCAAAGGGTACAGTAAAAATACAATAGAAAACAATAGAAAATCACCAAATGTCCACCAATCACCTTGAGCTCATTGTTTTATCACAGAGCAGCTCCCCAACATTCTAGCTCTGCTGTTGGACTACAGTCCTCATCATCCCCAGCCAACTTAGCCAGTGGTAAGCGGGGGGATGGTTGAAAGGATCTTTAGTAGCAAGTTGACAAAAGTCACTGGATATTTCAAATGTCTACTGCTAATTTATATTTGATTTTATCCTGTGAACCATCCTGAGATCTTGTGATGAAGGGCGGTATATAAATCTAATAAATAATAAAATATTCGTTAAACTTAGATCTTGCCCTCCCCCCCCCAAGGGTCCCCAGGGTAATATCAGCATAAACAAAATAATATGCAGTAATTGTCTGTCATGAAATTCCAATGTCTAGCTATCTGTATTCCCTTCCAAGGGCCTGCATAAACACTAACTTCTTCAAGTTCCACCTCAGTTTGGCAAATGAAGGTCTACCAGATCTCTCCCAGGAGAGAGTTCTAGAGGCAGGGTGCCACCACAGGGAAAGCCCTCTCTTGCATTCCCATCCTCCGTGCCATCCATGGTGGTTTCATTATGAGAAGGGTCTCACCCCCTGGTTATATACATTGTGACTCAGGACATATAGAGAAAAGTACTTCTTCAGGTACTTGTGTCTCAAGTCGTAAAGGGCTTTGTACACTAGTACCAGCATCCTGAATTAGGCCTGGTACTGTGCTTTCACTGGCATTCAGTACAGTGCTTTCAAAATTGGGAGTGATGTACAATACTCTAGCAGCTGAACTCCCACATTCTGCACCAGCTGCACCTTCCAGATTGTTTTAAAGAGCAGCCCCACATAGAGCACATTGCAGTAATCTGTATGGGAGGTTATTGGAACATGGATCACTGAGGTCTAATTAAATTGTTCTAAGAAAGGCCATAGCTTGACCAAGACACAATTGAAGTACGAAATAGTGGGCCCAAATAGTCATCTCAGGTCAAGGCAGTTTGTTTGTTTTCCCTACTTTCTGTAACCTGCCAGTAAAGGTCATTTGCAAATTAGAAGATGATAGGTCTGAGTTAATCATGATATTCTTAACATTATAAAGCAGGCATGGGGAGCCTTTGGGCCTCCAGATATTGCTGAACTGCAACTCCCATGACAATTGGCCATACTGGCTTGGTCTGATGGGAGTTGTAGTCCAATGACATTAGGAGATCCATGGATTCGCAGTTTTAAAGCCACGATTTCCTGAAGTGGTTGTACATGTTTTATACAAACATTAATGCTCACTAGCAGCTAAAGAAAAATAGTCCCTTCTCATTTGAAAGGTTGAATTGATTGTTCTGCGTCTTTTGCCCTAAGGTTTATAAGACATAAACCACTATCTTGTGCTGTTAGAAAATGAATGAGAGAAAAAATGAAGCTATATAAGATTTTTATTGGCTTAGTTATGAAGCACCTACAATTTTGTAAACAACAATAGGTCTGGGAAAGTGGTGTAGGAGTTTGAGCAATTAAACATCCAAAGAAGACAGGAAACCATGAAGTAGGGAACCTTGTGGTCAAAGTGATACAAAAATAGAAACTGATGAATAAAATTGACGTCTTTGCCAAACAAAAAAATCTAGCAGTTGTCTATGGACCTTGTTGATGGATTTTCCATCTCTTTCTGTTAGTAATCACAGGCATAAAAGAGTTTCCCCCTGTCTAAATGATGGCTCATATGTACCTCATACTGTACATGAAGATGCTATTTTTAAAAAAGCTGCAATTGTAGCATGAAACCACAAAGTAGCCACATCTTGATACAAATTCTTCAACTCATCCCTGCAAGTGTTGCATAAAGCACAAATTTTACATACTATGCAGAGAGAAACAAGTTTGCCAGCACAGAAACTACTGCCAACAGTTGCTGAGTAGCCAAACATGGTGCCCCAATAACAGCAGCATTCTTGGGTATAACGAGGCCCCCTTCAGCAATTATCATTGTAGCTTGAAATTGAACCATTGTATTAATTTAATTACATCCCCATGTAAGGCCATTAAAGCCATTCTAACACCTGGCAAAAAAAAAATTGAAATAGTGAGCCTCTGTGTGGCTTGTACCTAGTTGTTCTTAAAATGACAGGTCCACACTGTCACTTGGTCTAATGAAAATATTCAGAGACTTCGTTGGGAGTTTTTAAAAAGGTCTTATGTTACTTTTGTTAGGCTTTTAGATGGAGGTAACAGTGTTACTGTAAAAGGAAATAATAAGACTTTAAAATGGAGCAAAAATGCAAGAGACAACTAAAATGTATTGTGGTTCAGCAAAAAATATTGGTTCTTATATGTGTGTTAAATAGTTTTATTTTTTCTTGTAGTTATCTAGAAAATACTTTGACTGGTGGTTGTCAACAAACTCATTAATTGCAAACATTGTTTTGTTAACTGTGGTCCAGAATGGGTAGACTTTGAAGAAAGCACTCACTGTGCCTTTTCATGGTATAGGTGTGGGTTTTTGTTCTAGTCTATTCTATACATAGTAACACTATTTCACTAGAATTTTGCTTAACTTTATTATTTAATTTTCCAAATTAGTAGATTATCTGGATTTCTCAGTAAAAGTATTTAAAATGGTTTCACTATTGACATATTCATTCTGTTCCACTAGGAGCCATATTGAGAAAACTAAGAGTCAAAAATATGTTAATTATGAATAGCAGTGTGTTCTTAAACTCTGCTTTAAGTAGGACTTGGTATTGTGGGAGCTCAAATCCACTGATTTGTATCTATTCTTCCCATGCCTGGAACAAAGATCATTGTCTTGGTTCTTGTTTCCCATTCTGTGTCCTGCTTCCTCTTGCTCAAGGACACCCTGAAACTGACTATGCCCAAATGCCTTGTGTGTGAAGTGATAGTGGATGGGAGTGGGAGGCAGGATATGGGAGCGGGAGGTAGGATAGATAGTTATCAAGTCTGTGATGGAATTGGTATTAATGGAAGAGTCTGAGTGCCCTCTCCCATGTGTCTCTACTCAGTCTTCTGGGAAAATCCTGTAATTTCATTGATGTATCACGCATAGAGATGTAAAAATTTCTATAATTTTTAAGCCATAAGGAAAAACATTTCCCCAAGTCTCCCCCCCCCCCCGAAATAACCAATTTTGGGGAAATTGAAATATAAACAGTACCATTTAAAATTTAAATATAAACAGTAACCATTTAAAATCAGGAAGAACTGGTTAAGTAACAGAAGAGTAGCAGTAAATGGGACAGTCTTTCTCTGATGGAGGGCTGTATGAAGTAGAGTTTTCCAACGATTGGTATTGGGGCCTATTCTTATTGATTTCTTCATAACTGAGGTGAGCAGTGGGACAGCAAAGTTTGCTGATGATACTTAATAGTTCAGGGTGATTAAAACAAAAAGGGATTGCATGTTGAAGCAGAAAAACATTATTTTCACATATGCACTCACAGGGTGTGAACTGGCAGTGACTGACCAGGAATGAGATATTGGGATCATAATGTATAGCTTGATGAATGCATTGACCCAGTGTGTAGCAGCTGTGAAAAAGGCAAATTCCATGCTGGGGACTATTAAGAAAGGAACTGAAAATAAAATACAATCATGCTATTATACAAATGTATGGTGAAACAATTTGGAAGTACTATGTACAGTTCTGGTCACTTCATTTCAATAATGATATTGTAGAGTTGGAAAAGTTTCAGAAAAGGGCAGCAAAATGATCCAGGGGGTGGAAGAAAGGTAGCAAGCATTTGGAGCTTCTTAGTTTGGAGAAAAGTCAAGTAAGTGTGGCGTGATTGAAGTCTGTTAAATTAAGCATTGTTGCACTAGAACTCAGGGATATCTGTTAAAGCTCACTGTTGGAAGATTCAGGACAGCCGTGGAGGTAATAATAATAATAATAATAATAATAATAAATTTTATTTATATCCCGCCCTCCCCAGCCGAAGCCGGCCTCAGGGCGGCTAACAGCAATAAAACAGTACAACAGTACAACACAACACTCTAAAATCATTCATTATAAAATTAATTCAAATCAAACCAATGGCAACCATTGGGCCAGAGCTCCGCGAATATTGCCAAAGGAGGGAGTCAGGCTGTGCCCTGGCCAAAGGCCTGGTGGAACAGCTCTGTCTTGCAGGCTCTGCGGAAAGATGTCAAGTCCCGCAGGGCCCTAGTCTCTTGTGACAGAGTGTTCCACCAGATCGGAGCCACAGCCGAAAAAGCCCTGGCTCTAGTTGAGGCCAACCTAACCTCTCTGTGGCCTGGGACCTTCAAGATGTTTTTATTTGAAGACCGTAAGTTTCTCTGTGGGACATACCAGGAGAGGCGGCCCCATAGGTACGAGGGTCCTAGGCCGTATAGGGCTTTAAAGGTTAAAACCAGCACCTTAAACCTGATCCTGTACTCCACCGGGAGCCAGTGCAGCTGGTATAGCACCGGGTGAATGTGATCACGCAGCGAGGACCCCGTAAGGAGTCTCGCTGCAGCATTCTGCGCCTGCTGGAGTTTCTGGGTCAGTCTCAAGGGCAGCCCCACGTAGAGCGAGTTACAACAATCCAGTCTGGAGATGACCGTCACGTGGATCACAGTGGCTAGGTCAGGGGCGAGAGAGGTAAGGAGCCAACTGCTTAGCTTGGCGGAGATGGAAAAATGCCGCCTTTGTATAGCTGCAATCTGCGCCTCCATGGAAAGGGAGGTGTCGAAGATTTAACCCAAACTCTTAACTGACGGTGCTGGCACTAATTGCGCCCCCGCAAGAGATGGGAGTTGCCCCCCCAATCCCATATTGTCCCATCCCAGCCACAGGACCTCTGTCTTCGAAGGATTTAGCTTCAACCGGCTCCCACGTAACCATCCAGCCACAGCTTCCAAACATCTGGTCAGTGTGTCTGGGGCCGAGTCAGGATGGCCATCCATCAACAGAGATAGAGTTGGGTGTCATCAGCATACCGATGGCAACCCAGCCCAAAACTCCGGACAAGCTGGGCGAGGGGGCGCATAAAGATGTTGAAAAGCATCGGGGAGAGTATCGCACCCTGAGGTACTCCACACACCAAGGAGTGGCACAATGACAATTCTCCCCCAAGCGCCACCCTCTGTCCCCGACCAGAGAGAAACGAGCGCAGCCATTGAAGGACTGTGCCCTGGATCCCCACGTCGGCAAGGCGGTGGTCCAGGAGTTCGTGATCGACCATGTCAAAAGCTGCTGACAGATCTAGAAGAATCAGCAGCCCCGACCCGCCTCGATCCAGCTGTCTATTAATAATAATAATAATAATTTATTTATACCCCGCCCATCTGGCTGGGTTTCCCCAGCCACTCTGGGCGGCTTCTAACTGAATAGTAAAAACAATACAGCATCAGACATTAAAACTTCGCTAAAGAGGGATGCCTTCAGTTGTCTTTTAAAAGTAAAATAATTGTTTATTGCCTTGACATCTGCTGGGAGGGCGTTCCACAGGGCAGGCGCCACTACCAAGAAGGCCCTCTGCCTGGTTCTCTGTAACCTTACTTCTCACAATGAGGGAACCGCCAGAAGGCCCTCGGTGCTGGATCTTAGTGTCCAGGCTGAACGATGGGTATACAGGACTGAGGCCGTTTAGGGCTTTAAAGGTCAGCACCAACACTTTGAATTGTGCTCGGACAGTGGCAACTAATCCTGATAGATGTGTTCTACCTCCTCTGTCAGAGGCTGCATGCTTCTTCTGAACACCAGTTGCTGGAAACCACAGGAGGGGAGAGCTTTGTTGCACTCAAGAGTCCCTCTTGTGGGCTTCCCATAGGCATCTGGTTGGCTAGATTAGTCCTACACACGTTTACTCAGAATGCCCATTTTGTTTAGCGGCACTTACTTCCACTAAAAGGAAGATTGCAGCCTCGAAACTATAGCACTTTACATTACAGTCCTGTGCATGTCTATTCAGAAGTAATTAGTATTGAATTCAGTGGGGCTTATATTCCCAGACACTTCTGAATAGACATGCATAAGATTGTACTGTTTGGTAGCAGTGTGACAAGCATTTGAGGAATAGATGAAAAGGTCATCCACAAGCGAGGGGGCAACTCAAAAGGACATCAGATGCAGTGCACTTGCTTCTGGTATCTCAAAACTAATTCACAACTTACCTGATGGAGAGAACAATTCATAAGAAAGCAAAGGCCTTGTGTGATCTTCTCATGAAGGTTGCAGCACTTTCTAGTTGCAGAAATACAGGATGATTTGTGTATTGCATATGTCTACAGTATGGATAGGAGTTCTCAATCTCTATTCCTGTAATTGTTGCACAGTGAGGACTCCTATACATGGCAGAATGTTTCTTCTGACATGGGATTACACGGATCTGAGATATTTTTTGGAGACCCTCATCTGAGTATCCCAACCAGCAGAAACTTGGAAAGTAGCAGCAAGGAAGAGGCTTTTCAGTGTTTTCCCTCCCTTTTCTGGAATGCTTTCCCTAGTGAAACTCACCTTATGCCTACATTCATATTTTTGGCAAAGTCTTTTCTTTTCTCTTAGGCATTTGATTGTTGATGTCTTTGTCATTGTTGGTGTTTCAGCTGGCGAAAGTCTTAGTAATTGTGATTTTATATAAAGTTGGAGGGGGGTGGAGTTTCTTTCTGTTGGCTTTATAATTAAGTCTACGGTTATTTTTAGCCCTTGTATTTTTAAATGTTAAGGTGCTATGACATTTTTTGTAGTAGGCATCTAACAAATGAAATAATGTGGGGTGGGATACAAAACGTGCTACAGTAATGCTTTTAGTTTTACCCTTGCAGGTCAGGGTGACTAGAAACATATTCCATAAAGAGTGAAAGGTGAGAGTTTGTCTTACAAGATCATCATCAAAGAAAGAAGCCCCAAGCTGGCTGGATCATATGTGTACATTTGCTTAACAGCATGCTTATAGGATTTATCCATTTTTGAGACCCCTATGGCAGAATTCTTAAAGAGGCATGCTAGAAAATTAAACTAGAAAATGACATTCGAATGTAGACTTACAAGTAATACTTACTTGGATTCCTTATCTCTGTACTACAGTAAGCCCACAAATTACGTGGAGTTTACGTTCTGGGCATCATGCCTCAAACCAAAATTGTGTATAGTCAAAACACATTTGGTGGAATGGTGGGAGGGATTGCAAAGGTCTTTTTTCACAGACGCGTCCTACCCCACACTTTTAAAAAAGTTGCCTAGCATGTAAAGCTAACATACACAAGTTAAATGTGCATATGTTGCAGGCTGTACTTAGTTATAAGTATTTTAAGTTAAGTAGTCCATCATTGAGCCAAGCTCTGCTCAAGTAGCCATATAGCATAGGTGCTATGCTAAAAATGACTGTAAAATAAGTTTACTACATAGTAAAAAAAAAAAAGTGAGAATCAGCTTACAAATAGAGGCAGAGAGAAGATGCAACAAACCTGGTAGCCACAACTTGCTCTACAAAGTAGTATACTGGGTAGTTTGCTTTACGCAGATTGTGAAGTTCTTTGTACAGTATTTCAATTCACACAGTCAAGGATAATGAGTAAAAATGTTCAGAGACAGCATACCTTGTTTGAAGTCAACCTGATGTTAAAGATCTGGATGTCTGTATGGTTACATTTCACTGTGACAGAAATGTGACTGAATCCGAATTGTTAGTCTAGTCTAGGGGCAGTCAACCTGGTCCCTACCGCCCACTAGTGGGTGTTTCAGGATTCCAGGTGGGTGGTAGGGGTTCCAAGGCACATGTTACTGCAGCACTGGTGGGCGGTAAGGAAATTTTACCATCAAGAAAGATGCATTAGTGGGCGGTAGGTATAAAAAGGTTGACTACCCCTGGTCTAGTCCCATAGTATTTAAACTCCTTTTTTAATATAGTCAGTGCAGTGCACTGTAATTAGCTATCTAGTCATGTGATCTTTAGAAGATAGGGAGCCTCAAAATTTGCAGATACATCTTTTAAATATTTATTTTCATTTTGTCATCCATACTAGGCTTGATCGTCTCTTTATCTTACTGGACACTGGCACAACACCAGTCACAAGGAAAGCAGCTGCACAACAACTTGGGGAGGTTGTGAAACTTCATCCACATGAACTACATAATCTCTTAGCTAAAGTAAGCATTTTGTTAATATTTGATAATGTTGGAGCCAGGATTAGGTAGTACAGGGGGAGGGGCACCAGCATAGACTTGGTAACCCCTCAGCTGCTGTGTACCAGGATGAGGGGGCAGAAGTTGCTCAGGTTCACCTCTGGGACTGCTGGATTGATTCTGCCAATACACCAACACCTTCCTGACCTTGCTGCCACCCTGCCCTCCCCCATACTGGTGTATGGCAACGACATCAGTGCTGGAAAGCCTGTTCTGCAGTAGCACCGCTCTCCATTAGCCTCTTATAGTTGGAGGTATTCCTTGTCATCAAAATGAGCCAAATGTGAATTTCTGTAACCTGGTGATGGTGGAAGGCCTTAAGTTAGAATCAGTTGAATAATACCGAAATACATTTAATGGTGTATTTTGTTAATTTATTTAATAGAACACTTTGATAGCCTATAAGTCTGTGTTAGAATTCTGTATTTACAGGGCAATCCTGTATATGTCTGCCGTGAATAAAGTTTTAGTAATGTAGCTTATTCCCAAGAGTGTGGGTGTATGATTGCGGCTTTAATTGATAAAGCCTCTCTGCATAGGGGCTGTTTGTTATGATACTAGTCGTAAAACACTAGTTTTTAGGGAAGATCATTACTGAAAATCCACAGAATTTATTTTTTGTGGAACACAATAATTTAGTTCCTCCATGGCATTTTTATAAAAATAACAGAAGTAAGTTCGACATATTGCAGACTTTTTGTAAATGGGCTGTCCAGCCTCTGTGCCACCCTTGCTTCTGTCCTGTGATAGGTTAAGGAAGTGACTTAACATTGTCAGTTTCTGATAATCACAAGTGGCTAGAGTGCTATTGTACTCTGTTCCTGCTTTTGGACTTAGAGGGGTCTAGTTGGCCACTGTAACAACAGGATGCTAGACTAAATGGGCCACTGGCTGATCCAGCAGATACTTAAGTTCTTACTGAATATCCTCTGTAGAAACAGATGGTTTCAGGAAGAGCTGAGATGCAGAGAGCCTCATGCTGTTGAGCTATTTTTGAGTAAAAATAGCTATTAAATCCTTAAATTTGTTAATCTAGTGTTCTGTGTAAGTAGCAACCCTATGAATTTCTGGAAGAAAAGAGAATTATGTCAAAAGTGTCCACATTTTTTTTAAAAAAAGCTAGTTGAACCAGACCATTGCTTAACATGTATATATCAAAAAGTAAGTGTGTGTGTGTGTGTGTGTGTGTAGGCATTTATAAACTACTAATAATTTTTTTAAAAGCAAGTGATATATAACAGAAGTAAACTTGATAGGCTATTGGGATGTAAAGATAATGGTGATCTGTGTTTGATGACCTATTTCAATGACTAGCTTTTAATCAATCATACTTTATAAGCTTTTGAGTGTTGTCCAGAATATTTGGTGGCTGCTGAATTTAATTACATCTTTTTGGAAACAAAGAGCATAATGAATTCATTTTTGAACTTCTTAAAGGTATTGATACACTTAAGGAGTACAAACTGGGATACCCGCATTGCAGCTGGACAAGCTGTGGAAGCAATAGTGAAAAATGTACCAGAATGGAACCCAACTCCACGACCAAAGCAAGGTGATCCCAAGAGAACTAAAACTATTACTGTGAAGTGGGCTGGGGAAACCCAGCCAGATGGGCGGGGTATAAATAATAAATTATTATTATATAAGTACATTTTTGTTAAACCTTGTGTGCAGCCATCTTTCTAAACCTGCTTTGCAACATTGTATGTTTGGTTATTAACAACAACAAAAAAGTCATAATGGAACACAATTTCCCCCTCTCTACTATGAAGTACTTTATGTGGCTGTTACCTATTCTTTCACTTTGCTTAGACATATGTAAAGCTTCAACCCATTAGTGAAACGACATTGAATGGCAGTTGTATATTTTTGAACCAGTTACTTCAGCACGAATCTCATTCTAAGTTTTTTGTTAACCTTTACCTAGAACATGCCTGCGAAAGTCCAGTGGAAGAATCCTCTGCCTCTGATCGGTTGCGTTTTGACCGATTTGATATCTGCCGACTTCTAAAGCATGGTGCTTCTCTTCTTGGGTCTGCTGGTGCAGAATTCGAGGTTCAAGATGACACATCTGGTACTTGCTCCTTTAATACATTAACTGTGCCACATACTTCAGCTACATTGTTTTCATTGTGTCACCTTTCGTTATCTCAAATCATTAAAAATATTTTATAGTCTGCATTTTTGTGATTAAATATGTCTACTCATGTTTTACAACTGGTACATCAGATTTATGAAATAGAATCTGTTTATTTAACTACACTAGATACAATGGTGCAGTTCAGATGTAATGCTAAACCAAAGTATGTCTTAGCATGAACAAGCAAACAGATGGAGAGAAGATCACACCCACTGTGTTCCTCTCGGACCTGCTGTTGCCATGGCACTAGAGGGTAAACAATGGTTTGGCTTTGCACTACAGCCAAACCTGAGCTCATGACAAACCATAAGCCTGGGTTAGTTCAATACTAAGCCAAGCCATGGGTAGCCCACCTGCAGAAGGACTAATGGAGGAGAGCAGCAATAACAATATTCACTCTGGGAAATTTGCATTGGCTTAGTGTTAGATGCGAATTGTATCACTCCTTCCACATTTGCTAGCTAAGTCCATGAAAGAATTCACACAATATCATTGTGGGGTGTGGGTGATACCCAACCAAGCCATATTAAGATCTGAAATGTCTAAAATTGGAGATCTTCCTATATTCTTATGGCTCTTGCACTGTTTCTCAGTTTGGTCCCGGAATTATTGCTCATGTGTTTTTAGTTTATAAGCCATACCTATAAAAACAATCTGAAGTGTTGAAAATGTCTATATAGCAGCACTTCTAAAGAGGCAGAAATTTACCTCTTACACCATGTTGCAGATGGCAATAGCAAAAATGAAATATTTTAAATAGCATATTAATATATAAATGTGCATTTTTATGTCTAAACCAAACTTTCTATACTAGTCAAGATGACATTATATACTTCAGACACAAAGTGTGGCAGTGAAGAGTATATATTCAAAGAAGCGGAGAAATAGAAGTTATTCTTCAGTAAAGGTTCTGCTTCTAGATTTAAAATGTGCTTAGTGCTTTCATGTTAGTAAAGGATAAGCATGCGATTAAAGACTGTTTTACTTTTTAAGGTGAAGCTGATCCCAAAGAGAGAATAGCACGACAGAGGAAGCTACTCCAGAAGAAGCTTGGCCTTGATATGGGGGCTGCCATTGGAATGAACACAGAAGACCTGTTCAATGATGAGGATTTGGACTACACTCCTACTTCATCATTTTTTGTTCACAAACAACCTGTAGGTAAAATTTCAGACTGTTTGACTGCAAAGACTCAATATAACGTTGTAAACAATTAAGTTTCAAATACTATGTCATAACTTCAACTTTAGGAAAATATATCACACAGTAATTGACAGAGGATGATATTGAAAGTTTTAGGTGAGGGGGGAGGTCTGTCATCCTTTAAATTTCAGATAGAAGCTACTTTTACTTACCCAAAGTGGTCCTGAATTTCCAGTTGTTACCACTTCAGCCATACATGCCCCGTGTTGCACTCCTCAAAGAATCCTTCGCTCCCCAGAAGTGATGCTGGGTACAAGAGGCTACAGAAAGGAGGCAGTTGCATGAAATACATTTTGTGTGAGTGGAACTCCAACCATGTTTATCTGGATCTAAGCCAGAGTAGCCAATAAACCTTTGTATCTTTCCAGACTCTTCAAGCTGCTGAATTGATTGATTCAGAATTTCGAGCTGGTATGAGTAGCAGGCAGAAAAATAAGGCTAAAAGAATGGCCAAGTTGTTTGCGAAGCAGAAGTCAAGAGATGCAGTAGAAACCAATGAGAAGAGGTACTGTATCAATTTGAACTTACTTACCATTATAATAGGACGCGGGTGGCACTGTGGTCTAAACCACAGAGCCTAGGGCTTGCCGATCAGAAGGTCAGCGGTTCAAATCCCCATGATGGGGTGAGCTCTCGTTGCTCAGTCCTTTCTCCTGCCAACCCAGCAGTTTGAAAGCACGTCAAAGTGCAAGTAGCTAAATAGGTACCGCTCCGCTGGGAAGGTAAACGGTGTTTCCGTGTGCTGCTCTGGTTCGCCAGAAGCGGCTTAGTCATGCTGGCCACATGATCTGGAAGCTGTACGCCGGCTCCCTTGGCCAATAAAGCAAGATGAGCACCGCAACCCCGAGTCATCCACGACTGGACCTAACGGTCAGGGGTCCCTTTACCTTTACCTTTGCCATTATAATAAAATACTTTAAAACAGCCTTCTTCAACCCTGATGCCTTCCAGATGTTTTCGACTAGAGTTCCCATCAGCCCCAGCCAGAAAGAGCAATTTTCATGGATAATAGAAGTTGTAGTCCAAAACAATCAAGAGGGCACCAAGCTTGGAAGATTGATTTACAAAAGTACATCAGTATAGACATACTAAAACACCCTCCCTCTATTTCTCAATTTCTGGAGTGAATGCCATTGATCATGAGCTAAAACAGCACTTTCTGTGTGTACAAGGAAGGTATCTACAAGCTTGAGGAAACCCTAAGGTTTGCGCGAATGCAAAAATCCTAAAAACAGCTCTAAGATGGCAGAACATTCTTAATAGCCACAGAATGCTGATATGACGGGCGGAGGAATGGAGTATCCTGGGAAAGCTGCCTAGCTGAAATCCTGAAAGAGTACTCTACAGTGCAACAAGTTGTCTTATTAGTTCCTTTTCAGTACTCCCAGTGCCATGTGTATATCTTGAACCTTGTCATTCCATTCCATTCCATTGCAAGATTGGTTGGTTAGATATAGATAAGACTGTTTTCCTTCTAACTTACATTAATTGTGCATGTCCTGCATCCTTTGCATTAAAGAGGATGTATCCCTTTGTTTCTGTCTATGATTTATAGCTATCCTAGCAGCTGCCTACAAGTTGATAATGGAATTTTTTATTTCATGTAGTAAAATAATACCAAGGAATCTAGTGATAAATCAAAGCCAATCTTTTTTCTTATATTTTCAAATATAATACTGTAAGTTTCTGATTTGGAAGCATTCCCATTCAATATTATATTTGCACCTGCATGCCCAAATTTTCCAATAGTTGCTCTGTTAGGGGTCTTAGACACTTTCATTTAAAATCGTCAATCTTTAAATGCTAAAAGTGAGTACAGTAACTTATGTGACAAGTAACTATTCTGTCAAGCAATTGGGTACTTAAACATTTCATTGTTCTTTCTAGCAATGATAGCACTGATGGTGAGCCTGATGAAAAGAGAAGAAAAATTGCAAATGTTATCATCAGTCAACCTGCAACTGACTCCAGACTTTTGGTAGAGAATATGCCAGAAGAGGTAGAGTATACCCTCATAAAAACATGAATTGACAGCAAAATCCAACCTCAATAACTTTGTCCAGTGATTCAGTTGGTGACAGTGCTAATAGTCCGTATTATTTATGTCTCTCTTTTAGACCAACGAATGGCCTCTGGAGAGTTTTTGTGAAGAAGTGTGCAATGATCTCTTTAACCCATCATGGGAGGTAAATAATAATAATCTTGCTGTCTTTAGTTATATTGGGTTGAAAAGAATAGACACTTTCAAGATTAAGTTTGGGGCAGTTTTTCTAATCATTTTGTTTCCAATTTATAAGTTATTTGTATTGACACTAACGAATAGTTCAGACCATAACATCAGTTCAGTTCTATTCATTCTGTGCAGTTCTAACCATTTTAAGGTAACTTGACATTCAAGACCACTGATGCCCTTTTCATGCATTGGATACAGTGGGACAATTGTGTAGGCTTTCGTACAGAGATGGGGGGACCTTTGCCCCCTCAAGCTCTACATTCCCTTCAGGGTGAAATGGACCATGGCATATCAAGGTCTGTGTGCTTTGAATGCAGGCAGGTCCCACTATCCAAATGCTCGTCACACAAAAATTCACTTGCCCAAACATGAGTTATTAGTACCCAACCTCACTATAAAAGGTAAAGGGACCCCTGACCATTAGGTCCAGTCGTGACCGACTCTGGGGTTGCGGCGCTCATCTCGCTTTATTGGCCGAGGGAGCCGGCGTACAACTTCCGGGTCATGTGGCCAGCATGACTAAGCCGCTTCTGGCAAACCAGAGCAGCACACGGAAATGCCATTTACCTTCCTGCCGGAGCGGTACCTATTTATCTACTTGCACTTTGATGTGCTTTCGAACTGCTAGGTTGGCAGGACAACCTCACTATACACACCACCAATTCAGTTATCCAAACAGCCAGACCTGTGTGTAGTACTGTAAGCAAATAAGCAGTTTAACAAGGCTTACTTTTTGTGGTCTGTGGGAGGTGTTTTCCAGAACCATCTGAGAGAGGAGGAAGTGGGGGAGACTGAACAAATAAGAGAGCATTTTTTTCCTTCCTGGTTTGTCTTTTGCAAGATTTCAGAGGGTTTACATAAATTGTTTCATCATTTTGGGATCAAAATTCTGTGGTTGGGAACACATTAGAAATTTCCCCATAGGAATCAATGGAAATTGTCAACAAATGATTTCCTGAGAATGCATTGTTTGGATAGTGAGACCTGCATGTATATAAATAAATCTTGTATCATGAAACCTCTTCTTAAACTGCTAGAAACTTAATCTGTTTTGTGTTTAGATCCGGCATGGTGCAGGTGTTGGACTAAGAGAGGTACTTAAAGCTCATGGAAAAAGTGGGGGTAAAATAGGAGACAGCACTATAGAAGAGGTAAGATCAATATGCAAACCTAGATAATTCATTGTGAGCATTTGTACATTCAGCTGTAGTGCAGAGTTCTCAGCTGTTCTTTTGGTATAAAAATAATGAAGTGTTGAGAGAGGTTGCTACAGAAAGCACTGTCATTTCCTGGCACCATCATTATCTACTTTTTGGCACCAGGCAAAAATGTTTTGTTTTGTTTTTAATATGCTAGCTTTTGGACCTTCATTTTGAGAGTTTTGGGTTTATCTTGGCTCTTTCCTTGCCTTTTTTTGTAGGGTGGGTTATATTAGACCTGCCTTTTGTTTGTTTTAAATTTTTATTGTGTTCTGGTTTTTATATTTAGTTTTAATGTTGGAACTATATAGTAAGTCACATTTAGTTAACTTTTTGCCAGGAAGCGACTAAAAATGTAAGTAATAATCTTGAATATTTCACCTTTTCAAAATTTACCTTTTTTCTAAACAGATGACTCAACAACACCAAGACTGGCTGGAAGACTTGGCTATCAGGCTTCTTTGTGTGTTTGCATTAGACAGATTTGGTGATTTTGTTTCAGATGAAGTAAGTATCAATCTTTGACGCCTTACTTTGCATATGGGGCTCAATTTTCTGATGCCTTTGTTTTATTATGCTGGGTGTGTTTATTTCCCTTTAAACCTTAGGTTGTGGCACCAGTACGAGAGACTTGTGCTCAGACTTTGGGCGTAGTGCTGAAGTACATGAACGAGAGTGGAGTTCATAAAACTGTGGCTATCTTGCTAAAATTATTGGCACAGGAGCAGTGGGAAGTGAGACATGGTGGCCTGCTGGGGATCAAGTATGCTTTGGCAGTGCGTCAGGTAATTGGTTTTAAATCTTCAAGGTGCTATTGTTTCTTCTTTGATTTCAAAGTCTTGGCTGCTGTATAAAGTGGCATTGTGCCATCATGTGCAATGTGTATGTGAATATCTCTACTGAGCGGTTTTGTGGGCCTTTCCTGCCCTGATCAGTACCCACCAGGAGGATGGGGTTTGTTTTGGCTTAGAAATGTGTTCTTTGATGATAAGACTAGGTAATGCTTCCTTCGTTATTATTATTATTATTATTATTATTATTATTAATAATAGTGGAACTTGCAGCATAGTGTTGGTGTATACTTCACCCCCTAAGACAGAAATAGAAAGGTTCCCCACTTTGAGAGGTGGGCAGAAAACGTTCCTTTGTTTCCCACATGCACATCTCCAAGATACTTACTATAGGATATTAGGAACTCCAGCAGGCCAACGCTCCCTCCCCTCTTTTTCTTTTTATCCAGCTGTCACCCTAACATAACATGTCCCAACCGTAGATATTATTCATAGACTCACACAGTCTGCCTGAGCTTTGGCTCCTTGGTCTCTCCTTGCTGAGCTCAAATTTCCATCAGAATTCTGTTACTCCTGGAAGTTTGCAGGTATTTGTCACCCTGTTCTGTTCTATTTTGTTGTTTTCTTAGTGTTCTCATAACTTGCATACTTCTGTGTACCTAGAGAATATTGTGTGTATGTTGAAACTATTACATTATATTTTGAGTGACTCCATTTCAGACTGATAGACACTCATCTTACTTGTGTCTGCTGTTAGGCAGAATGATGCTAAATTACTTAAAGTGAAAATAGTCTATGTGTGCTTGAAAAGGAACAGTCATCCTGCCTACAGGCTTAGAATTTGCTTTGAATTTGCTTAAGGATTCTTGCTTTTGCAGGACTTAATTGATACTTTATTGCCTAAAGTATTGCCTGCAATAACTGAAGGTCTGCAAGACTTGGATGATGACGTTAGAGCTGTTGCTGCAGCATCTTTAGTACCAGTTGTGGAAAGCCTTGTGCATCTTCAGCCACAGAATGTAAGTAGAGCACACCGACACTTAAATGTTTTGTTACCCTTCTGAAGGAAAAACCAAGTCTTAGGAATCCATGTTTTATGAAACTCTCTTCGCCTCATGTATTTTTCATCTCTGTGTCTATAATCTAGGTTCCCTTTATTCTTAATGTACTTTGGGATGCACTCCTGGAACTAGACGATCTAACAGCTTCCACAAATAGCATTATGACCCTTCTTTCATCCCTTTTGACGTATTCTCAGGTCCGAAAATGCAGGTAATTTAATGCTTTTCACAATTTTTATTTTTATGTAAAAATACACTGTTTTCAAAATATCTTGTCTTAATAATATACAGAATGAATTCTACTTGTCAGCATACCTACACAGCAGCACTGATTTTGCTTTATAAATTTATATGAATACAAATGAATATGAATAACAATGTGATCTTCTTCTTTTTCCTTCCACACTTGCCTCAGTATTCAGCAATCACTCACAGTTCTGGTACCACGTGTGTGGCCATTCCTACATCATACAATATCATCTGTTCGAAAAGCAGCATTAGAAACTTTGTTTACCCTATTATCTACAGAGGATCAGGTGGGAGTTATTTACCTTCTAGTGGTCTTCTGGACATTGATGGACCCTTTCTAATCTATCAGTTACTTCTTTGTTCATCTTCTCATTTTCCCTTGCTTTTAAAAGTCTCCTCCTATTTTTTTAAGTTGGTTTAAAAGGGTTAATATTTTATTGGATAAAAATACATTGATGTAGAGTTTTTGTCTTTCCAGTATGGCTTGCCGGGAGTGGGGAGAGTTGTCCCTCCAACTGTATGAGAACTAATTTGTAAACTTCTACCACTCACATATACTGTGTGTATAGCACACTCAAGTGAGAAAGGAATTACTTTTGCTTGCTCACCAAAACAGTAGCTATATTGCTTTATCTTCCTAAAAATAAAAATAAAAACCATTGGTATCCTTATTTGAGAATAAGCTTGTTTTGTTAGAATAATCTGCTTTGATAATTTCTTATTTGCTGTTTCTAGAGTTCTGCAGCCTGGCTTACTCCCATTTTGCAAGACATGCTAAGACATATATTTCAGTTCTGTATTTTAGAAAGCAATCAAGAAATTCTGGAACTAATACATAAGGTATGTGCCCTTTTGCAACTTAAATTTACCTTGCCCTGTTTGTCAATCTGGTTGTGTGCGGATGCTGTCTTCTAATGTTCTATCTTTCAGTTTTAGCACTGGTCAAATCTGATTTGTACCATGAAGTGTGAAATGCTGTTCCTTGGAATATGTCGGTGAAAATTGTGGATGTATTTTATGTGCACAGAAAAGTCTTAAAGAAATCGGTAATGTAAGATGTTTGAATATGAAGGGTTGTTGTTGTTTTTTAATAATCCTGTGAATGTTGTTGTTCTCCTTTTTTTAGGTGTGGCTTGAATTACTAAACAAGGCTTCCCTACAATATGTAGTAGCAGCTGCGTGTCCGTGGATGGGAGCCTGGCTCTGCTTAATGATGCAGCCGTCACATTTGCCTATTGATTTAAATATGTTGCTAGAAGTGAAAGCCAGATCAAAGGTCAGAAGAGACCTGTATTCCTTTGGGTGGTGTTTTGCTTATTTTGTTGCATTATACTATGGAGCAATCTGAACTGTGCATGTCACAAGCTTAGGCATTTTCTAACTAAATGCTTACACTTTTTGGCAAGGGCTGCCTCTTACTTTAAGAACCATGGAGCCTGAAACCATTCAAGGCTCAGGGGTTGCACCAGAAGGGTTAGTAGTATTGAAGACAAAGCTATGCAATGCATATTTTTAGAAATTATATACATTCTGTAAGAGTGAGGATTGTTTTCTAAATACTATTTGACTTGAAAAGGTATTACATTGTAGTGTTAAATGTATATGTAATGGAAGGCTGCTTTTCTCATATCTGTAGCCCAAATTTAAAAACAAAAGAGTAGGATGTGAAAGCAAATGAGGCTTGCGCCAACAACTTTTTATATCTTGTTCATAGGAAAAGACAGGTGGCAAGGTGCGGCAAGGTCCAACCCCGACTAAAGAAGCAGTACAGGAATATATTGCTGGAGCAGAAAGTGTCGCCGAAGATCTAGCAACCAGGGATTATGTTGTTATGAGAGCCCGGATGATGGCAGCAAAGTCAGTTTATTACTGAAAATCTTAAAACGGGTTTTTTTTTTTGAAAATCAATGAGTTTATAGACAAGCTATTCATAACATAATTCAAGTTTGATTGTGCAGAACAGTGTGTTACTTGAAGTGTAACTAATATAAAATTGATTGTTGTTCCAGATTGCTTGGAGCACTTTGCTGCTGTATTTGTGATGAAGGTGTGAATACTGTTTCCCAAGAAATAAAGCCAGCTGAATCTCTAGCCCAGCTATTGCTTTTCCACTTGAATTCCAAGTCTGCTTTGCAGAGGTTTAGTGTTGCATTAGTAATCTGTGAGTGGGCTTCCTTGCAGAAGGTAAGACATGTACTGCAGTAAAAATGCATATTTTTTCAAAGTTAAAACATTAAGCTCCAGTTATATTTTTGGAGCAGATTTACATTTTCTTTATGCTGTCATGAGCTGATAAGCGAGGTGCTAATTTTAATGTTGAAAGCATGTAGCTGACAGGGCTGTGTTCAGTACTCCTGATGCACATAGACTGTGACTGAAAATGTATTGCGAGGCATGCATGTAGTGAGAAAACTGCGTTCCGAGCTTCTCGGAGGTGGAGTAGAGTGGGTGGGTGACTAGCAGTTTGATATTAAGCCATCAGCTGTATTGGACATGTAGAACTAGTTGCATCAATTCTTTGCCCCCTTATAAGCAGTTGTATATGTTGGAAATGCCTGTTTTTGTAAAAAAAAATAAAAAAAAATTTACAAACCCAAATTATTCTTCAAGGACAATGAAGATTGCTTGCACTTAAAATAGCTAATTTGACAGCTGAACGACATGGTGTTTGCTTTCAGGAAAACAAAGAAGTGACTGCTGCTGTCCAGTCACGCTTGCTTGGGGTCCTTTCCGAGCATCTGTATTATGATGAAATTGCTGTTCCCTTCACCCGAATGCAAAATGAATGTAAACAACTCATCTCCTCGTTCACTGATGCAAACATTGACATGGGCAGCAGAGTAAACTGCAGTGTGTTTACAATAGATCAAGCGAATGAATTGGTGAGTGACTCAATGAAAGGGCTAGCCTCCAATCTTTAGGTGAGCAGTGTAAAAAAGAGCTTGAGCAGCCGTGGTAGCATACAAGCATTCACCTGTGGCTACACAGAAAGATATTGCCCCCCCATGCATATCACTAATAAATATAGTGTGGAACGTATTACCAGTCTTCAGAGTGAAATCCCCTCCATCTTGTAGAGGTGTCTGGCTTGTAGATGTGGACCGTATAAGCAAAGCAAGGCACTTCTTCCTCAGTGTATCTTTCACCACTAACAGAGCTGGCCAGATCTTAATTTCACAGAAAGGACCGTATTAATCCCCTCACCCCAGGAAAAAAGTTTCAACAGTTAAGTTTTTATGAGAATAACATGTGCATACTGTGTTTTGCAAAGAGTACACTAGTTTTCTTTGATACATTTTGTTAATTGATGTGTAATTCGTTTCATAAGTATTTGCTGCAGCCACTTCCAGTTGCAAGGAAAAAGCACTGAACAGAATAGTATTGCAATTGCCTAATTGCAAGATGGGAGCTGCCACTAAAAATATAAGTTACAGTGGAACCTCGGGTTGCGAACCTGATCCATGCGGGAGGCACGTTCGCAACCCACAGCGTTTGCAACCCACAGCGCTGCGTCTGCACATGCACAAGTTGCGATTTGGTGTTTCTGCACATGCGTGGGCGCCGAAACCCAGAAGTAACCCATTCCAGTACTTCCGGGTTCGGCGTGGTGCACAACCCGAAAACGCGTAACCTGAAGTGTCTGTAACCCGAGATACCACTGTACTGCTATCTTAAGGCAGCAAGGTACTACTACTGCAAAAAAATGAAAATGAGTCAGTATATGGTAGCTTCTACCCTCTTTAGGGCAACAGAATAAGCTGCAAGCTTCTCAGTCCTCCTTTACCTTTTCTGGCTGCTGGTAAAAGGGATCTGTTCTCATACTGAGATTCCAGAACAGGCAGAAGGATATTGAAGTACAGGCACACCCTCATTAAGAGGGTCTACATACGACTCAGCTCATAATCAAGGCCTTCCTTTTCATCATACTTATGAAACTTGGAAACACGGGGAAATTATGCATCAATGTTTAGTAATGGATCTATCTGGACAAAATTTTGTCCAGGGTATTATGGACTATCTCACATTTGCCACTGCCACATCTCTGGCAGTTTTCTCTAGAATGCATTGAGCACTGCAATGGGTATGCTAAGCATCTTAACTACTAAGATTTTACTATGGAGGCTTATTTTGAACTTACATGTACTCTTGCCTTCCTTGGCTACTTCTGGAGGTAGAGCGTACAATATCACTTGTCGGGGGGGGGGGGGGTAGCAAAAAACAAGTATCAGCTTCTAGCACCATGTGTAAAAAAACCAGCAAACTTTGCTGTCCTTCTTTCTGTTGTAATGGAGCAATGTTGCTTTGGGTTGATTTTCATTTTCTTAGGTCACTACTGTCTTCAGTGAAGCTACAGCCTCTCTTGATCTAAATCCTAAAGTTCTGCAGCAGCTAGAAAGCAAACGACAACAAGTCCAAATGACTGTTTCAGAAACAAACCAGGAATGGCAAACATTGCAGATGAGAGTTCATACTTTTGCTGCCTGTGCTGTTGTGAATCTTGAACAACTTCCAGAAAAACTAAACCCTGTCATAAAACCACTGATGGAAGCTGTCAAGAAAGAAGAGAACACACTAGTACAAAACCATGCCGCTTTGTGCATAGCAAAGTTACTTCAGCAGTGTACAACAAGATCTCCGTGTCCCAACTCAAAGATCATAAAAAATCTTTGCAGTTCTCTCTGTGTAGACTCGCATCTTACTCCTTTAGCATCATGCCCTGCACAACCTCAGAGCAGCCATGAAAATTCAAAAGGTAGGTTATGTGCTATTCTGTTGATGAGTAACTTGGTAGAAGAGAAAGTGTTAGAGGAGATCCTATATCCAAGTCCCTCTTCCAGGCAAAGTGGGAGGGAGGAATAACATCTAGGCATATCATTTATTTAATTTCTCTCTAGAAATAATGTGCACCTGAATTTCATTGTCCACCCCCACCCCACCCCATTATGCCACTTCGTTTTAAGGATGTGCGTTTCAAAACAATGGTTTTAGTGTTCTGTTTTGATCTTGCCCCTTTCTTTAATTCATCATTCATTCATTTCCAGACTGTATTTCTAGTCTCTCCTTCATGTCTTTTCCTCTACTCTCCCTTCCCCACTCTCTCAGTCCTCTGGAGAGGAAAACATATGTTCCTGGTTTCCCCTCACTGTTTTTTATTAGCATAATTGCGCCCTGGGTGTGAAAAAATGTTTTAATTGCCACCTTTCTTTATTGTAGGATCTAATTCTGAAAGAGATGGGATGCATCATACAGTCACCAAGCATAGAGGTATAATCACACTGTACAGGCATCAGAAAGCTGCATTTGCCATCACAAGCAGGCGAGGTCCTACACCAAAGGCCCCCAAAGCCCAAATTGGAGATCTACCTACAAGCAGTAGTGGAAATGTAACCACAGAGCTTGACGAAGTGGGTGTGAACTTTTCGTTTTCATTCTTGCGAATGTCGTTGTGTGGTGCTCCACTCCAGGTGTACATGACCCTGTATAGCAAGAGATGCTAATGTGGTGCCCATGCACCCTCACAGGCCTTCCCTGGCACTTCCAGTGTCCTGTCCCACCACTGAAATTAGGCTTGAAAGAAATACCCTGCTGTAGCCAATAGAATATGTGTAGTGAGTGATCAGATGCAGCATGCGTCAACATCAGTTTCTACAGTTTACAACAAATAGAAAACATAGAGGATTAAAAAGAAAGGACAGAGAAATAATGCTTCTGGCAATGCTTTTCTAGAGTATTTTCTTGGTTTCCTTACTTCTGTTCACTGGTTAGCACACAAGATGTCCATAAGTTGATTACACAATGCATTGTAACTCTGAATAGGCTTCATTTTTTGAAAGCACAGTTATCTGAGATAATCTGTCTCTGATTAATGATAGTCCATTTGCACACGCAGATATTCAGTAATGAACATACGTGCAAAACTGGCCTTGAAAACCATTTTCGGAATCTCATTTGATTTTGGAAATAGTCAACTAGTTGTGAAGATTTAGCAGTTATGCCTGTTCCTTGATCACATGCATTTTCAATCAACAGCCTTTGACATTAATCTGATGCTTGTTTGTATTGTGTTTGTCTCTTCTGGTTATGGTTCTGTTGAGAGAGAAGTGATTTATATCTTGTAGGCCTATATCAGTGGCAATTTTTGCCTCAAAATTTTGCTGATCTTATTTTGCTCTCTCTGTGTAAGTGTGATTGCTTTCTGTTTCCAGCTTGATATGTAATCTAGGGCAGTCTAATTTATTCTGGGCAGGCTGTATGGTTGAATAAAAACTTTTTTATTTTGCTTCATAACCTTTCTCTTTACCTTATCGAATTCTAGGCTCAGAAGCCTTATGTTGTACAGAGAAGAGGAGCAGAATTTGCTTTATCCACTATTGCTAAACACTTTGGATGTGAAATGGCCGTGGGTTTGCCACATCTCTGGGACACTATGGTTGGTTCATTAAGGAACAGTATTGACATAGACAACTTTGGTATGTGTATTTCTTAAGGTATAGGTATTCTAAAAGTTGAATTCTGAAACTCTTCTGATAATATGATATTGCTTTTTGTAGACAGAAAAGTGCTGTTGGAAAAAGGAGATGGTCCAGCCCAGGAATTAGTGAACTCTCTACAGGTTTTTGAAACAACTGCAGCTTCTATGGATGCTCAGCTTCACCCTTTGGTAATTTAAATGTTTTGTATTTATTTCTAACACAATTTTAATTGCCAATGTAGGTGTTTGGAAATGGATAACATAAGTGATGCTGTTCAAGAATACAATTGGTTGGTGTTTGCATGTTTTCTAAACTAGGAAAAATGCTTATAGCTTGCAGTTATGAAGGATGAAGCAAGTTTAGGATATTTGTGTTTTTTCAAAGTGAGACCCCAAGTAGTTACAGTCCTCTTCCTAAGTCCCTTGCTGCTGTTCTATTCCAAATAACGGCAGCTCCAACAACCACTCTCTGACCTCTTATTTACACCAGCCATGCATCTCCACAAAGGTCATACCATCAATACCACTGAGGTAATTTTCCACACTCTTATAACAAGATGAGGCAGCATGTTCACTAAATTTCCAATTAAAGCAGAACACCCTTTTTGATGCCTTTGATTGGGATGGTTTCTAGTTTTATGTTCCAAAACATATACATCTCCATGTTGATATTGGGCTACTCTTGTTCCCTCTAGTTCCTTGCAGGAACACCGTTCTGTTCAGTTCAGTTAACTCTTTACATTCATCATTTTGTTAGGAATGATGCAACATCCTTCATAGTAAACTTTACTGCGCAGATAATATGATTTCTCTACAAGAGGGGATATGATACATATACTTTGCTTTTTTCTGTTTTTTACTGAAACGGTCTCTTGTAATGAACTTCTTAGTTAAGTTATGATTGTTCCTTCTGGAAATGAGCCCAAAATAATTTAAGCTGCCGAACACCTAATATGTTCCGATTTTCATTCCATCCTGAATATAAAACTATACACTAGCATTACACATTTCCCTCTTTGTACAGAAGTTCTAGGAGCCAAGTAGCTTAAAGGCACCTAATGCCCTGTGTGTGATTATGATAAAGTTCTTTTTTGAGTTTATGCAGGTTGCAGTATTTAGCAAAATAGAATACTCACGGTTGGCATTCAGTATGTTTTAAAACAGCTGTGATTTCTCTTTGCAGTTGATCCAGCACTTGCCTTACCTTTGTATGTGCCTTCAACACCCCACCACTGCAGTGAGGCACATGGCTGCTCGCTGTGTAGGTGTAATGAGCAAAGTGGCCACCCTGGAAACCATGCACATTTTCTTGGAAAAGATTCTTCCTTGGCTGGGAGCAATTGATGACAGTACCAAGCAAGAGGGTGCAATTGAAGCTCTTGCCTGTATCCTTTCCTGATTCTAAGGAAGAGGTATTCATGTATGACTTTAAGTGCTGAGATGCTTTCCAGATGTATGTTTCGTGGGGAAGATTTAGTAAGTTTCGTGAAGCCTGGGGAGTTTCTTCAAAAGGGCAAGTGCTTCTGCAAGATTGAACTGGAGCAGAAATATTTGCTTCTTACTAGCATGGTATATATGATCACCTGATTCCAGGCTTGGTAGAAGAAAGATTTTTTTTAAGGAAATGCATAATAATTGTTTGAGCTCTAGTCCAAAGCCTGGAATTCTGTATATTGACACTGGATACTCCTGTATAGAGAAAGTGTCCCAGAAACCATTCTGCAACCCACTAACTTTGACAGTAATGACCAGAGACTGTTTCTACCTTGACCCAGGTACATGACTTCCAGTTGCTCATATTCTCAAGCTTTCAGTTCCACAAAGTCATGAGAGTATCTTGCTTCAGTAGTTGAGAAGATCATGTACCTACGCTCATAGTTGCCCAGCCTTAATATGATTCCAGTTCCATCTAAATTTTTTTTAACTGCCACAATTTATGCATTTGGTGAAGGCTGTGCTGAAAGACACCAGAGATCCCTTGACCTTCATGAGTTGAGGATAGCTTGAAGTGTTCTTGTGTGCAGGTTGAAAATTGCATGTGGCCCTTTGAATGGGAGCCAGAATTCAAGTAATGTACAGTTAACACTATGAGAAGTAGCATCATCAGGAGTCCACACATCTCCTCGCTGTGGTTGCCATGGTGAGTGTACCACTGTGTCCTGAAGAACCTGATAATTTCAAGTTGTGTTTTGGGAAGGGGCGGGCGGCGGTAGGAAGAATGGCTCTGATGAGAGGGAAAGCATAACAGCAATTACTGTGCCACATTGATATGGAAGGAATTCACTCCAGCGGATACTTCATGGCTGCGCCTAATACAGCTTTTATCAGGTCTGCTTTCTTTAGCTTGTGCAGGGCTGCCTGTATCCAATCCCGTGCTGCATCTATGCAACATCAGTCTTCCTCTGACCATTGAAAAGCAAAAAGTGGGATTCCCTCCCCTGTATATGCCCCAAAGTTCCACCCTGTTTCCTTTAAAAAAACAATGTTATTTTCCATTAAGATGAATACTGCACAGCATGCTATAGCAATAGAAAATTCTATATTGGAATAGCAATAGAAAATTCTATATGGAAAATGGAAAGTGTAAGTGATAAGTTTTCAGGGGTCGCAGATATTCATAATTGGACCAGCTGCATCAAAAATACATATTTTCAGGGGGAACAGGGGTTGCATTAGGAAGTCAGAGGCAGGAAAGCCCCATTCCACAAGGGCAACACTGCTCTCAGAAATTAAGATCCATGCATTTGTGATTCAGTAATTGCTGTTCAGATGTATTTTGGGTTTAGATAAGATGGATTTATTGTTGTGGAAATTGCTCCAAAACTGGTAAAGAGAAGCTCCTTAATTATTAATCCAGGTGTAATGGAACAGCTAGATGTCGGAATTGTTCCCTATATAGTTCTCCTTGTGGTTCCAGTTCTGGGCAGAATGAGCGATCAAACAGACAGTGTGCGTTTCATGGCCACCCAGTGCTTTGCTACGCTGATTAGATTAATGCCTCTTGAGGTAAGTCAAAGTCTTTCATTTTGACTGAAGAGAGTCAGTGAGCGAGCCCTGTAAAAAAGCGTATTGGCATATAGTGATAGAAAGGAGCAGTCTTTCGGTATTGCATCTTATTTAGGTAAATAAGTTTTGGGATTTAGCAAGTAATGCATTTTGTGTCAAAAATCTTCTCAACTGAATAAAATCGGAAGTTTTGGAGCTTGGAATATTATATTTTACAAATACTTGGACTGAGCATTCACTTGGAATTTCAAATGCATTCTTTCATACGATGTTCGATTCATTCTTGATCCTAGCACCTTTCTAGACTTAGTTAAATTTGTCTTTGTGCATTTGCAAACACTGAAACTATCTCTGTTATGACTGTGAAATTTAACACTGAAAGCTCAAGAAACCACTCAGGAATAGCAAGAAACATAACAGCATACAAAGAAGTCAGTGTTGTAGAAAAGATAAATGAGTCCTTTACATTCTCCTCTCTCCTCCCTCACTTTGAAACTGACAAAGTGGGTGTCTGTGTCACGTAAATCACCGTTAACTCTTTTGATTTTACTGTGTCATAATGCCACTTAAAACATTAATTCTCAATGCCTGGTCATAGTTTAATCTGCTTGGGTAAACACTTCTCTGTACAGTTTGTCCTCCTTGTTTGGTTGCAACATAAGTTCGTCTTTAATGCGTCCTGTACAGATCACTGTGTGGGTTACCTTACACAATAGATCTGTGTATATATACTGTGTATATAGCAGATGGTGCTATATAAATAATGGAACCTGCATGTTAGATGACATAGCTGTTGAGGCTTTGAACACCTATATATCTGCAGAGTTCAGGGAATGTTCTGTTTGAACACCTGCACTTCATTGGGAGTTACCTTTCTCCCAATTCATAGAATCAGAGTCAGAAGGGACCCCCAAGAGTCATCTAGTCCAATCCCCTGCAATGCAGGAATCTCAACTAATTACCATATTGGTCCGAATATAAGCCGCATCCGAATATAAGCAGCACCTTTAAAGTTCCAGAGGGGGAAAAGGAAAAAAGGCAATACCCAAATATAAGCCACTCCCTTAAAATTCTGCAGGCACTCACACCTGTTCCATTTTACCGTATGTCTGTTTCAGCAGGGATATCCTAAAAGCCAATTTTTGTAAGGTCACAAATTTAACTTTTCACGGTCAGAATTTGGAAAAAGTAAGGCTTATATTCAGGCCAATATGGTAATTGTTTTTTCTGCTGATTGCTATTTATCTGCCGATTCCTGAGTAGATCATGTAATGGAAGCATCACTATTTCTTAATTGTGAACTGAACACACTTCTACAGCATTATTTTCAAGAAAATTACACTGCAAGGTAGTAGTTTGTTTGAATGTTTAATTCCCATTCTGTGTTAAAAGTCTGAAAGCTGAGTTACTTCAAGTTAATGACACTTTCAAATTGTGTGATTTCATTATGCTTTTTGTAGAATATTAGTATTGATAGAGTTGAAACATGAATTAAAATTAACTTTTAGCATATCATGAACTTTATTTCTTATTTTAATTAAATATGCAAGATACTGTACATATAAATATATATTTTCTTGTTTCAGGCTGGCATTCCAGACCCACCAAATATGCCTGAGGACTTAATCAAAATTAAAGCCAAAGAGCGCCATTTTCTGGAACAATTATTGGATGGGAAAAAACTTGAAAACTATAAAATTCCAGTACCGATTAAAGCAGAACTAAGAAAATATCAGCAGGTAAATTCTTATGGGAAGTTTTTTTAATTTCAAGACACACATAATTTCCTTATCAAATTTGTCTTGTGGATTGGTTTGAATAGCTTTTATTATTATTTCAATTTGTATTTTGGAACCTGATATGAAAATCATATAGTTTCTGGTCTTCTGAACGCTGCTTCCAATCATAATTTTATGAAGACTTGAACATTAAAAAAAAAAAAATTTCCAATTAATGCCTACCTGGAAAAAATGCAAGTACAGTGGTACCTTGGGTTACATATGCTTCAGGTTACAGACACTTCAGGTTACAGACTCTGCTAACCCAGAAATAGTGCCTCGGGTTAAGTACTTTGCTTCAGGATGAGAACAGAAATCGTCCTCTGGCGGCACGGTGGCAGCGGGAGGCCCCATTAGCTAAAGTGGTGCTTCAGGTTAAGAACAGTTTCAGGTTAAGAACAGACCTCCGGAATGAATTAAGTTCTTAACCCGAGGTACTACGGTAGAGTTTTCTAGCTTCTACTGATCAAGAATTGTATCTAATAAGATTCCTGAGATTAATCATAAAATACATGAGCAGAGTTGGAAATAAATTCCTCTGTGCAAGCACCGTACTAGGTGGCCTTAAGTTTTTTTTGTACTTAAGACGTTTTAGAAATATTTATCAAATTCTTGGCTCTAGTGCACACTTCTGAGTGCTGGCAGTTTCATGAAGTGGTGTAATGTTAACGTTAAAGTGTCAGAGGTCTGGCTGGCAGGAGAGGACTGAGCTTTTACTTCTAGCAGAATCTCTAAGAAAAGCATTAATACTCCCCAAAGAGGTGTGGTTACTGGGGAGAAAAATGCTTTTTATTCTTCTTCTTTTTGCTAGATGAGTGGTAAGACTTCTTTTTTTTTTTGCAGCAGAATTTTAATGTATTTCAATTTTGCCTCTTGTTTTCACTTTATCTAGCCTACTTGCTGTCTGTTTTTTTGCCTGTGAACGTATTTTAAATGTTAATAATTGTGGAGGCCTTTTTAGGGGGCATAAGAACAGAAGCCTAAATTATGTTCCTCTTCCTTTCTGTTCACAGGAAGGTGTGAATTGGTTGGCTTTTCTCAACAAATACAAGCTTCATGGAATCCTCTGTGATGATATGGGCTTGGGTAAAACCTTGCAGTCCATCTGTATTCTTGCAGGAGATCACTGTCTCAGGTAGCATGCACAATCACGGCTAGTCAGTTTTTACATCAACATATTTGCAGTATAGAAGATGTGACATTTCTTGTGATTTGGTTTTGTTCTCCAAAGGGCCCAAGAATATGCAAGAACTAAGATGGCCGATAGTGTTCCACTCCCATCCTTAGTGGTGTGCCCTCCCACACTCACAGGCCATTGGGTGGATGAAGTGGGCAAATTTTGTTCCAAAGAGTATCTAAATCCTTTGCACTATACTGGCCCTCCCACAGAGAGGGCTAGGTAAGTACTGTAATATAGCTTGGCTCTAAGATTTGCTTTGCAGTGACAGTTCCTTCTGTTGTGATTATGTGAAAAGTACTAAAAGTAAGTGCACAGGTTTATTTTTTGTTGCTGTCTCTAAAGTTCTACTTTTTATACTTTATCTTCTTAAGGTTGCAGCACCATGTGAAAAGATACAACCTAATTGTAGCTTCCTATGATGTTGTGAGAAACGACATTGATTTTTTCAGGTAAATGCTATAGTTCTTCCTGCTATTTTGAAAGATACTGTATGTTTCAAGGCTATTTTAAGTTGATTAGTTGTGTTTTCTTTCCTAGAAATATTAAATTTAACTACTGTATTCTTGATGAAGGCCATGTCATCAAAAACGGAAAAACAAAACTGTCCAAAGCAATAAAACAGTTGACTGCCAATTATAGGATAATCCTCTCTGGGACACCAATTCAGGTAATCCCCGCTATCTCTTGAAATAAATAAATGCCTGAGAACTGGCCCAGTTTGCCGTAATTAAAAACAATGATTGTTTATCCTATTTTCAGAACAATGTCTTAGAATTGTGGTCACTGTTTGACTTCCTTATGCCGGGATTTTTGGGTACTGAGCGTCAGTTTGCAGCTCGCTATAGCAAGCCCATCTTAGCAAGCAGAGATGCCCGGAGCTCTGGTCGAGAACAGGAGGCCGGTAAGAAGCAAGTTCTGTTGCTTAATGAAGCACATTTGTTCTTGGGGAAAGTTAATCCTGCTGTGGGTGAGACACCAGAAGAATCCTGTTCTTGTTTAGTGGCTTTGCTGATCCATATGCTCTTCCTTTGGTGGGCATTTGCAGGTGTTCTTGCAATGGAAGCATTGCACAGGCAAGTACTGCCGTTTTTGTTGAGAAGGATGAAAGAAGATGTGCTACAGGATCTTCCACCCAAAATTATTCAAGACTATTACTGCATCCTCAGTCCTCTACAGGCAAGTTCCTTGCGCTGGTTTGCATTCCACTGATACTAATAAACAACAAACGAGCCTGTTGTAGGTCTTCTCAGATCCTATACTTGTTCCAAATTGGAATTTTATTATGTTGTGTCCTGCCTGAAAAATATTGCTGAGGCTTGCGTCCAAGATAACATTCTCATTGATGAGCAGTTAGTCATAACTTCTTAGGCTCAAAACCCTTATTCTCTGGACTGTTGAAATAGCTTTTGTCTTGTTCTGTAGTTTATATGTAGTGTATGGTCAATAATAATAATAATAAATAAAAGGGAATCAACAGTGAGGACAGGTAATGCTGCTCTGGTGTGGAGCAACAGCTTCTGTCCCTCTGGATATGAATAGTTGAATAGAGTGCCCTTTTCTAAGCATTTTCCTTTGGTCTTATGTTAAGAATAAGATAGTTGTGGTTGTATATTCCCTTGCAAAGAAGAAATGCAGCAGCTTAATCCTGAAAATGGCAGTGTGTTGAGCATTCAGTAGTTTAAATTGTTGCTGGATTATAGTTTGGGAAACAACAGTACCTAAGAAATGAAACAGAAACCATGGCTGTCTAACACAGGATGCTTACCTTCTGTCAACTATATTGTTGAAGTTACTGTGGGAGTAGGTAAATAGGTAAATGACCCCTGGATGGTGAAGTCCAGTCAAAGGCAACTATGGGGTTGTGGCATTCAACTCGCTTCAGGCCAAGGAGCTGGGACTTCCCCACAGACAGCTTTCCAGGTCATGTGGCCAGCATGACTAAACAGCTTCTGGCGCAGCGGAACACCATGACAAGTGCCAGAGTGCACAGAAATACCATTTACCTTCCCACCACAGTGGTACCTATTTATCTCCTTGCACTGGCATGCTTTCAAACTGCTATGTTGGCAGGAGCTGGGACAGAGCAACGGGAGCTCACCCCGTCATGCAGATTCGAACCACCAACCTTCCGATCAGCAAGCCCAAGAGGCTCAGTGGTTTAGACAACAGTACCACCCTCTTTAAAAAGATAGCTACTGTTGAACACACCCCTTTGTGAGGTAATTTTGAAGTGAACAATAGTCTATTAAGCATAAATTTCTTTCTTTCTTAATAGGTTCAGCTTTATGAAGATTTTGCCAAGTCTCGTGCCAAATGTGATGTGGAAGAAACTGTTTCAGCAGTGTCACTGGTTGAGGAAACTGAGAAACCAAAACTTAAAGCCACAGGACATGTGTTTCAGGTTGAAATTTCATTTTGTTACATCTTCCTTACAAACATTTAATAAAAGTAGTAATTTTTATGTAACTGGTGATTGTTTGATTAAACACTGTAGTTATATTGAACCAAAGCAGTGAGCTGCCTCTAAATTTCCAAAATAGATTTTAAGCTTAGTGATATATAAATGTAAAATTTATTAAATAATGCGTTATAACTTATAGAGTGCGGAGTATTCTTAGATTCACAGGAAGCAAAGAAATTGTTTTTAAAAAATACAGGGTAAAGTAATTGCTCCAGGGACAAATTTGTCAATCATATTCTTTTCTGCCCTCCGCAGCTGATTATGATTAAACAATGAACATTAGTTATTTGTTAGTATGGCATCTACCTCCAATCTTTGGCAAGATTTCGACGAGTAAGAGAAATATACTATCTTGTGCCTTATCCGAATATATATTAAGTTGTTATGCATGTTTAATGGCTTCCTTCATGGGGGTTTTTCTTAGGCATTGCAGTATTTAAGGAAACTCTGCAACCATCCAGCATTAGTTTTAACTGCTCATCATCCAGAGCACAAGAGGATTACAGAAAAGCTTGCCGTTGAGAATTCTTCCCTTCGAGACATCCAGCATGCACCTAAACTCTCTGCTTTAAAACAGGTGAGGAAAACCCTGGCTGCATAGCTAGTTTTAGGAAAAGTGTTCTCCTTAAGCCTATTCATTTTTTATATGCAACAAAGGGATGGGAAAGAAATTGTCGTATCAATTAGAAAATTCATAGAATTGTAGTTGGCAGGGACCCTGAGGGTCATCTGGTCCAACCCCCTGCAATGCAGAAATCTCAACTAAATCATACATGACAGACGGCCATCCAACCTCTGCTTCAAGACCCTCAGAGGAAGGCGAATCCACCACTTCTCATGGGAGTTTGTTCCACTCGCTGTCAGAAAGTTCTTCCTGATGTTTAGTCATTGTTACTTGAAACCATTGCTTCAGGTCCTAGCTTCTGGAGCAGCAGAAAACAAGCTTGCTCCATGTGACAGCCCTTTAGATAGTTGAAGACGGCTATCATATCTCCTCTCAGTCTACTCTTTGCTAGGCTAGACATACCCAGTTCTCTCAACCCATTCCTCCTAAGACTTGGTTTCCAGACCCTTGTTCATCTTGGTCGCCCTCCTCTGCACACATTCCTGTCCTCCTTAAATTGTGGTGCCCAGAGCTGGACACAGTGCTCCAGGTGTGTTCTGACCAAGGCAGGATAAAAGTGTTCAGTATAGATCAGTTTATAAAAAAACACATTAAGGAAATAGAAATTCTATCATCCTGAACACATGTGCATGATTTCTGTTCTTGTTTTGTTGCAATCCTGGAATCAGCGTCTTTTATGAAAAGCAGATTTGCCTCTTGCTTTGTCACTCGTGTCTCATTTCTAAGTTTATGCCAAAATACTCGCACGCGGTCATTAGTATGAAGTAGATTTCACCCATAACTACTTTAAAAAAGAGAAATAAATGGTGCTGCAGCTGATGTGTCCTAGCCGTTCTCTAGCTTCTAATGCATGTACATGTGCACCTCCAGAGGGTCTAAGAATAAAATATTTTTAACTTTGCAGCTTCATTGGTTTCATGTTTTCATATTATGACACCTAGGAAGGCGCCTCATCCATTGTTAGATTTGGCTGGTCTTGTATTTTCTTCTCACTGGCAGCAGCTGTCCAGATTCTCTGGCAGCGATCTTTGCCATCACCTGCTACCTAACTGTTAATTGGCAGTGCCAGGGATTAAACATTGGAATTCTGCATGCGGAGCATGCACTGTCCTATTTGAGCAACGATGACTCCTCCAATGGATGAAATCTGTGTAATCGTTTTCAATGGAGAATATATGCCTACTAAGTTAAATGACTAATGGCATGCTTTTGTATTTGGTCTTTAAGCTGCTACTAGATTGTGGCTTGGGAAACGGAGGCTCCTCAGAAAGCGGCACAGAAGCCATAGTTGCACAACACAGGATCCTTATCTTCTGTCAACTCAAGAGTATGCTGGATATAGTTGAACACGACCTTCTCAAGCCCCACTTGCCCTCTGTTACTTACCTGCGACTGGATGGCAGCATACCTGCTGGTCAGAGGCATTCCATTGTGTCAAGGTAAATCCAGTGTCAGATATATTCTAACAGAGTAGCTGTTGCATGTAGAGCTCCCACAGTTGCTGAAAGAAATGAAATCCTATGGTTCACTTGCGTCGACTTGGAATGCATAACTCAAATGGCCCCAATGGCCTGCTTTTATGCTGGATGCGGAGGAGAGGACCTCTCATCCTTGGCATCAAGCAGTTGGTCCCTTACCTTTCCCGCCCCAATCTGGCCACAGTGATCCATGCGACAGTCACCTCCAGGCTTGACTACTGCAATTCGCTCTACACGGGGCTGCCCTTGAAGCTGTCCCAGAAACTCCAGCGGGTACAGAATGCTGCAGCAAGGCTCCTCACGGGGTCTCTGCCATGGGAGCATATTCACCCAGTGCTTTTCCAGCTGCACTGGCTCCCGGTGGAGTACAGGGTCAGATTTAAGGTGCTGGTTTTGACCTTTAAAGCCCTTCACTGCCTAGGACCCTCATACCTACGGGACCGCCTCTCCCGGTATGCCCCACAGAGGACCATAAATAGCAACACCCTAGTGGTCCTGGGCCCTAAGGAAGTTAGATTAGCCTCAACCAGAGCCAGGGCCTTTTCAGCACTGGCTCCAGCCTGGTGGAACGCTCTGTCTCATGAGACCAGAGCCCTGCAGGATCTGATTTCTTTCCGCAGGGCCTGTAAGACAGAGTTGTTTCGCCTGGCCTTTGGCTTAGAGTCAATTTGATTCCCTCCCCCTCTTTCTTTTTTCCTTTCTCCTCCTGTGAAGAGGCTGCATCTTAATGTTTTAATGTTGTATTTTAATCTTGTTTTTTAAGTTGTATTTTAATCAACTTGTTTTTATTATTAGTTGTTAGCCACCCTGAGCCCAGTCGTGGCTGGGGAGGGTGGGGTACAAATAAAATTTATTATTATTATTATAAACATGAAAATGGCATTAAGGTGAACTTATCAGCAACAGCGGGTACTTTTCCCTCTCTTACTTTTGCAAGACGACATTTTGCTTACCAGATGTTAACTTAATGGACAGAAATTCTGCCTGGGTTCCTGACTGGAAGCCATACAAGAGTTTGCCTTCCTCTTAGCATACTATTTTGCTTTGAACTCACATTTTGCACTCATTGCTCTTGAGTCACAATGGGTTTTGGCACTTTTTCACTGGGCAGGGATCGTAACTGGGATGAGTAGAAATTGGCTGCTCCCACAGTCCCAACCTAGAGGTGATGGCGCTATCTACAGACCTAGGTTGGTGAAGGTATTCAGAAGTAGCTCATATTGTTGACTTGTCTTAAGCTGGGTTTTCTAACCTCTTCTCCCTCCCACCTCAAGAGTTAGGCTAGAGGTGCTCTGTCAGCAGATGAGCAGTTTCTAGTGAAGCCATGGTTTCTGTCCATGCAACACCAAAGTCTCTGGAAGGTGCAAGCAATAAAGTTGTTACAGTTTTAACACAATCTAGCGTCAGTTTCTGTCTCTTTCCCTTTCTCTTCAGTCCCTCCACCCCACCAGCACTCTGTCTGCTCAGCCCTGCCATTGTGGGTTCAAGCTTTTTCTGCATATGCAACCATGTAAATCTAAACTGGCTTTTTTCATTCACAGGTTTAATAATGATCCCTCCATAGATGTCCTCTTACTCACCACTCACGTTGGTGGACTGGGCCTTAATTTAACTGGAGCTGACACAGTGGTATTTGTTGAACATGACTGGAATCCAATGAAAGACCTCCAAGCCATGGATCGAGCACATCGTATTGGACAGGTAAAACATAAATTGCTGCTGATTTGGGAGCAATTAAAACCATTTCAATAAATCCAAAATCGGTTTAAGCTTCCTAAACCAATGCCATAAATGCCATCATTCAGAGTTCGTGCTTTCAGTTTATAACCACCATTTTCTAAGATAATGGAGATGTGGAGCTGAAAGCATTAGCATAGACTAGCTAGCGAAGAGAGATTCAAGGCAAAAAGTTCTGGTTAATGCAGTCTTCGTCCTCCTCCTGAAAAAAATGTTTCTTCACTTTTCACCCTGCCCAAAAATAGATATTTGCTATTTACCAGAGAAGGGATCTCATTAACACCCAAGATAATTCCTAGGAAGAAAAAATACTGTCCTAGGAAGGAAAAAAGACTATTTATGTATTCCATAATTTCTTGCAATTTATTCCATACTCCTTTAAAGGTCCTCATTGGGGTGTGCTTCCTTTCTTTCCTCTCCACCGTTGAGCCAGGCTTGGGTTCTCTTATGCTGTGAACATTTTTGTCTTGTTCAAAACCTGGATTGAAAGTACAGTGAAAAATTTGCTTCCAGTGACGAAGGCCTCTATTGGTTCCTTTATTTTCTATTATGGTGTAATGGAGTGTATATCGAGTGTCTTTCCCTACATCTTCTTTTACCCTGTGGTAGTTTCTTGAACGCTCACGAATATTAACTGTCTCCTGCAGAAACGAGTTGTTAATGTTTATCGCCTGATTACAAGGGGAACCTTGGAAGAAAAAATAATGGGTCTGCAGAAGTTCAAAATGAATATTGCAAATACGGTGATTAGTCAAGAGAATACTAGTCTACAAAGCATGGGGACAGATCAGCTACTTGACCTCTTCACACTCGACAAGGTAAAGAGTAGCTCGCATATGATCTGAAAGCAAGCTGCTAATGCTACCGTAGTTGTAATGCTTTGGATTAGTCAACAATGTTGGTAAGATTTGTTGTGGAATTATAGCCATTCTCCCTTTATGCCGGAAGTCTTTCATTTCATTGATGTGAGAAAGATAAGTACCCTCTTGCTTCTGCTTGCTATCGTGTTGTAATTTGCAGAGACTGATTTAGGGTTGTTGGATCTTTTAAGTACTGATTTATGTATTTGCAGATGCTTTCTGGCTCTTAAAATACATAGATTTCAATGTGCTTCTCTTTCTCTTTTTCTTCTACATCACCTTCCAAATACCTTCAAGGATGGAAAAAATGAAAAATCAGATGCTGCCCCTTCTGCTTCTGGAAAAACAACTATGAAGTCCGTTCTTGAGAATCTTGGAGACCTGTGGGATCAAGAACAGTATGACTCCGAATATAGTCTTGAAAAATTTATGCATTCACTCAAATGACCATTTTAATACAGTGGTTGCTAGTTGACATTTTCAGCTGATATTCAGCAACTCTCAAAGCAATTATAGTGGACTTCAAGCATAACATGTAAATATACTTGTGGAAAAATTATGAGAAAGGGCTGGCATTTTGAATAGAGCCACCTTTGTCACTTTGGGATAGTTAAAGTCTTAAATACTTGCATTATACAAAACCTCTAAATGTAAACTTACTGTAAGGTAGTTCTGAATTTCCAGAATAGCTACAGATTCTTATTTGATAGAAAAATAAAACAGGTCTTAACAGGTTTTGCACATGTTGATAAGTGTTACTTCTCTTTTGAAATATGCCTGTTGCTCCCTCTTCCCTCAAGCTGCAGTAATTTGTACAGAGTGTTTGAGTATTTAACTAGTTTGTTCTTTTAAACCTCACTTTAGCTAACTTTCATAGTATACTTTAAGAATGTTTAGTCTAACAAGTTAGAATGAGGTTTAGATCTCTTCAGGATATATACATTGATAGAATAATGGCGAAGCCTATCACTCTGGAAGAATATTAGGGAATTAAATGAAACTTCAAGTATTAAAGTTCTCAACTTTATATTTAAGTATGTGGTGCTCTTCAGTCTTCTGACATTTTGAGAGCAGTTGACTTTTTCATAGGAATTGCAGGTAATGGCTTATTTTAGGCCATTTCCACATCCTGTTTAGAGGGTGCCATTTTTAAAGTTTGTGTGTGTACATATCTATATGTATATATGTGTGGCTAGCACATAGCCCAGTTAAGAAAGCAATTGTATGAAGTAGACTTCAATCCTATTTTTTTTTAACCAAAAGAGCAAATATATAAACAGAGTTTTTCTAGCAGTAGATCTTATAAAATTGAGGTTCCATGCTAGAAAGACTCTCTAATGCATGAACCTCTTAAGTGAAAGAGGGAAGAAGCTTTGAGGTCCAGAGAGGTAGTCTATTTAGAAATGCCTTCAGGGCATCAGAGGAAAAGAAGTATTTACAAGCTGAAATCATGTAACAAATTTTAGGAAGCTTTAATAACAGAGTAAGAATAACAAGAGTTGTACATTTTTTTTTAAAAAAGTGTCTTCTAAAAGGGAGTCAGTAGTGACATATGTCTGTGCATAGATGTGCATGTCTGTACCAAACGTGGACACGGTTTTCTAAATATATTAAAGGCAAACCTACATAAGCTGTCAGAATGCATACATGAAATATATGTTTAGTTGTCATATCTAGGGTTGGCGCTTGCTGTGCAATTCAGCATCGGAGCTTGAATAGCCATGAGATTTCAACAACATAAAGAGATGGTTTTAAATGTTGACTTACAGAGCAAGGTCATTTTGCAGCACTTGCATATGAATGGACGTGTGTCAGATTTCAGTAGATATATGAACTGCCATACTGTAACATTAAATTAGCATTCCGTAAAAAAAAAAAAATTAAAAAAGCCAAACTGGCATTAATCATCCCGTTATATATCTCATGTAGTTCTTTCTGTATATTTGGTCATAAACCTGACAGCTGCATGGAAAAAATAAAATAAAATTGGCATTTCTCTGGATGAATGCTTTGTGGGGGAAATGCAGCTGGTTTCCTGGCGCTGAACACTTACAAGATTGTGTGATCTGGTTTTTCTATTAAATGGCTGAGGAAAATCACACTATGACACAGATCTATCTACTGCTATTTCAGCAGAGGATTTTAATGACTGATCTTGGTATCCATCCTGTCTGTCCTCGCAGGCTAATTCAGCTTCTTATGAAAATGCCTGATGAAGAAATTGGGCAGCATAAAGCATGCATATAGTTATCAGTTGTACTTTGAGATAAATGTCTGGCTTCTACTAGAATATGTGTGCACAAATTTAGGTCTACTCTTTATATCTAGGTTTTATTTAGACTGTACATTTTAGGACAATACAAATTATCTTCTTTCACCTCCCTGAAATGTTGTCAAACGCCATCTCTCTCTCCCACCCCCCTGTCTCTCACACACGCTGCTACTAACCTCTTTTGCCACCTTTCAGCAAGAGCTTATCCTCTGCAGTGTATTTAGAAATGATGAGCTTATTTGGTTATGCTTCTTGTCACCATCCTTTATAGTTGCTGGCAGCCATTGTAGGTAGCCCTGGCTATTTATAGAATCAATAAACACTGCCTGCATTTTTTTGATGTTAACTAGGTAACTTGTGTTGGTCCCTGGTCGTGAATTGTAAGTGAGCTGTGCTTCTTGTATGTGTACAGATCATTAATGTTCAATGGGAGATCACTTCTCTGCAAAGAGATGTGTGAGCTCTTCCCATATTTGGAATACATCATGGCGGTTTGTAGAGGGGTTAACTCAGTTTCAGTAGCTAAATGTGTTCAAAACAAGGAAATAAGTTTACTGCTGTGTTCATGCTGCTGTGTGCTGTCCCTCTGGCCCAAACAGTCAGATGCAGAACCACCAGATTTAGGTGTGTGTGCTTTTAATTTGGAAGTATAAGCAACTTTGTAGTAAAATATACAAGTGGTGCATAAGTGGAAGCAAGCAGGCAGGCAGTCTTCTCAAGCAGGTCCTCAAAGAGCATCTTGAGCTATTCCTCCATTTTCAGCTAACTCCAGCTTGAAACACTTGACTTCTTCTCTTCTGTTTTCTTCCAAACTACCTACTCTGCTTTCTGTGTTTTCTCTTTCCCCCATATACAATTCACATCAAAATCTGATTCATTTAAAAACACTGAAAGATCCCAAACTGCCAGGAGACCATCTCCTTCTAAATGCTAAGCAATTGCCCCTGATGACTTATTGATGTTCAGTTTATCAGCAATTTACCTAACAAAAGAATAGTCAGCCAAAAACCATTAACCCCTAAAATGAACATCAAATCTCTGGATTATACCTGTGATCTTAAAAATGTTTACATACCTTGTTAAATGAGCTCTGTTAAGAATCGGTATGAATATTGGGAGGGAGCTGAAAAGTTTTGTGTGTGTTTATTTTAGGGCTGCTGTATGGAAGATTAGACTCCTTTTTAGGAAAATGTTTAGATGTCACTTTCTGCATTGTAAGGATTACTGTAAATTGTTCCCATCTGTGTCTGTTAGGAAGTAAATCTCATTGAGCTCAGTCAGACATATTCAAGTAAGGATGTATAAACCCGCACTCTTAATGTGGTAAATGGGAAGAGATGTCTAGGGGCATGTAGTCCTCTGGAAGCTACAAAATATGGGTAGGAAGCATTGTGGAAGCTGCTATACTATGGGGCGAAGAAAACAGCACACTGGCACTCACAGCAGCAGCTACCTTGGCCTTAATTCAAGAAGCGAAGGTGGGATTAAATGCTGGAATACGGAAACCATAAGGTTAGAAAGCAGAGGCTTCCCACTCATAAAATAAAATAGGCTATAGCTGTCGTCTAGCTATAAAATGCCTCCAGCATCCCTAAGTAACATTGACTTATCAGTTCATCACCTTTATTACAGTTTACTAGTCAATTGGGTGGTTTGTAAACCAGTCAAACACAGTAAAATATGTACATGATCAGCATTTAAGCTTCAAGTATTTACAGCAGGCATAGGCAAACTCGGCCCTTCAGATGTTTTGGGACTACAACTCCCATTATCCCTAACCCCTGGTCCTGTTAGCTAGGGATGATGGGGGTTGTAGTCCCAAAACATCTGGAGGGCCGAGTTTGCCTATGCCTGATTTACAGCATAAACTATCTGATGATACCTTAAATATATGTGCTCTGAGAGAAAAATGCCGTTAAATAGTAGGCTACTTCCAAAAGGTGTACCAAACTGTCTTGGATAACCCACAGTTGCTGTTTATACATTACACTTATTTTAGTACATTGGTTGTCATTGGCATTGCTGTGCTTCTGTTACAACACCCACGGGAGTGAGGTAAATATTAATGATGGCTATTGTTTAAGCTCTAGTTCTAGCAAAGTTCTGCATCAACCTGCTTTAAAATGCCATGAGACCTTAAACCTGGCAATTTTATTTCTATAGTAACCCAGTGAGTCACTTTGCAGAGGCTTTAGGCTGTCCACGTTGTGATTTACAGGCATGAATTTCCTATTTGAATGGCCAAAAGGTGGTGTTGAGGGTACTGCTTAGCTCCATGGCGTTAAATTTCTATTATCCCACCGCTATTTAATTCCTGCATGAAATTGTTGAGTGAACTCATCAAGAGTGTTGGAATGTGGTACCATCAAATATGCAGATTATCCCCCCTGCCCCCCTTCAAAAAATAAATCCTAATTTTTCATCTTGTTCAAATGAGGCAGTAGAAATGCCAAACCAGTGTTTGGGCTCAGTAAGAGACTGAAGAACTGTCAACAAACTGAAACTCAGTCCTGATTATCAAAACTCAGTTTGGCTTATGTATTTTGTGGTTTTATATTCTGACTTTATCCTTTGAACCAGCCTGAGACCTGCAGATATAGGGCGGTATACAAATTTAATAGCTGCAGCAGCAACCACAATATCTGAATTCATTTCCTTTTCGATGTCATTTGTTCACTACTACAGGCCAATGTGGCTGTTTCAGAGGCAAATGAAATGTTTTCTTTCCCCTTAGCGGATGACTGCTCAAGTCTTCCTACAAGACTAATATCCCTGGTGGTCTTTTGAAGGCGCTAAATGACATTTGCTGTGATCATCTTGGCCTCGGTTTTTCATCAGCCAGAGGAGCTGTTTATAGCCTCATTTTTCCTCCATGGCAAAGTCTCTTAATTAATGCCCCATGATGATTAGGCCTTGTGCATGCAACCTACTAAGCACCATGCAAATGAGGAATCCCTCCCTACCTTCTCTTTTTTCTCCTTGGGCTTGATTTGTTTTACACAGCTGCCTGTTGGTGCAAGTCCAACATTTCATTTTGCCAGCAGCAGCTCTGCAGGTTAGGTTGTAGAAAGCAGATCACCCGGCAGCATTCTAGAGCCGACGTCGACTGCTTTTACATGATCTTACAGGCAAATGCCATAGCTCAATGGCAGTACGCATGCAAAATGTCCCAGGTTCAAATCCCCAGGTAGGGCTAGGAATGCCTCTGTCTGAAATTCTGGAGAGCTGCTGCCAGTGACAACAGTACAATAAGTTTGAAACTTGGAAAATCATCTTTTAATGCAAGGAGGGCACACAAATCATTTTGAAGGCCTCTCGTTTTTTAACTTGAGGGAACCCTTTATAACCTTGCCTAGAAATAAGCATTGTTAGAATCTTGGCTTAAACCATTCCGCTAACTCTGCTTCCCCGTCCACACTAATATTGTGCTGTGGACATCGCTAAACGTGGGCGGTCTGGGTTTTCTACTATACTTAAAAGGACCTTTAGAATTGTTGCTGAATAACGAATAATCTGATCGGTGAGAGAAGTGGAGAGATGATTCAGCAAACTTGCAGACAGAACAGTAGCTGCTTCAAAGATGTGAAGGGACATCATGACTCAGGAGGGTCAAGGTGAGTGGGTTGTCATGGTAACAATGCCCCGTCCTCCTCTGTGATCTCTAGCTCCAGGTTTAAATTTATTTAATTTATGCCCCAAGGAAGTATTGGTTGGTGGTTGCCTGTCTGGCTGCTGCAGGTAAACAAAGTTAGGCTCCCTTGCACCACTCCTCAGTTCAAGGGAAGGAGGAACAAGGCTGGTATTTCTCCCCCATGGCTGTTTTTGATAGGCTTGTGCAGGCCTTAGAAGTTTGTACACCAGCATGAGCAAGAGTTGCCAGCTGCAGGTATTCTAATCCGCATGCGGGACTGACAATGTACAGGTCTATCCTAACAGCACAGGTGGGAAGATGTTTTTTACATCTTACGTGGCAGGTATTTTGATGAGCTTAAAGAGATTTTCCATTTCAATTACTTCTCAGCAGCAGTGCCAGATAGGAACAGTATTGGCATGAGAGAGACAGAAGGGGAGCTTATCGCTCGAGAGTTGTGCTGAAACTGCTCAGCCACTAATTAAGTTTACAAAAGCTGTTTGAATTCACTGGAATGCAGCTGGAGGCAACCTGAAGCCGCCAGGCAGGGTGCTTTCCCTGCCATCAAAGTGTTGAAATCGGAAATGAGTTGAGGCAGCAGCTGATGCCATTGGGATAAAGCTTAGCAGTGTTCAGTAGCCATCTCAAAGCTTGGGCAGGAGAAAGAAAGATGGGCTGACTAAACAAGAGGCAATAAAATTGTATGTAATCAATTTGAACTGAAGTGCGGAGGACGAAATATCAGGGAACTTGAGCTCCTGTGTCAGTATCAAACTTCATTCCGCTCACAGAACAGCATAAGATAAAACATACAGATAAGACAAAACAGGTAAGGAATAAAAACTAGTACAGTGGTACCTCGGGTTACATATGCTTCAGGTTACAGACTCCGCTAACCCAGTAATATTACCTCGGGTTAAGAACTTTGCTTCAGGATGAGAACAGAAATGGCGCGGCAGCGGGAGGCCCCATTAGCTAAAGTGGTGCTTCAGGTTAAGAACAGTTTCAGGTTAAGAACGGACCTCCGGAACGAATTAAGTTCTTAACCCGAGGTACCACTGTAATTGAAAGGTGAGTATATCATGCATACTTAAAAAGATAGAAACAGGGACAGTTAAAAGTGACAACAAGGGAGGGGGAGCGTGAAGGAGCACAGGCCTTGCATTTTGGGCCTAGTTTGTGGCGCAAACCATCCTTTGACGAATATCCATCATAGCAGCACAGAATCTAGCAGCTGAGTATGTAACATCTGGGTTTTCATCTTGAAGTAGCAGGGAGGTATAAAGTTGTTCTGTGCAACCTGGGGATTTGTGTAATACAGGCAAGATGAACCTAGTTTGTATATCTGTATAGTATTGGCAGTGAAAAAAGACAGGCCACACGGGCATTTCCTCTCCTCATACAGTGTCTTCCTAAAGCGGCTTTCCTGGATGGCTGAAGGGAGGGCCTGGCAGCGGGCCAGAGCAGAAGCCCTTCACTGTTTTGGAATTTCAAGGTTCATCATATATGGCATCTGGGAGGTGTGGTGTCTTCTGGTTTCACTGATTAAAAATTTCAGGGACCTGGCTAGATCTGCTTGGCGTTCAGTATCTTCCACACACTGTTGTTTTTTTGGCTTGTTCGTACCCCACGTTGAGTAGGATCTGCGGGGTGAAGCCTAGAGTTGTTATTCTGTTTAGCACTGCATGTTTCCATGTCATTTGGAAGCCATCCTTGAAAGTTAAGGGAGCAAGGCCATGCGGGAGGAAGGAAGGATAGTCTCAGCCAGTAATTTAGTGTGGCGAGCCATATTCTAGTCTCAATTCTTACAAATCCAGTTTCAATATGTATGGTAGCATATGTGTTTAGGGAAGCTTTTAATGTTTAACAGACCACTGTATTTTAATATTTTGTTGGAAGCCGCCCAGAGTGGCTGGGGAAACCCAGCCAGATGGGTGGGGTATAAATAATAATAATAATAATAATAATAATAATAATAATAATAATATAGATGTGTTTAGGCACTTGCAGGGTTGATCTTAAGAATTTAGATTGTACCAGTTCTAATGGTTCACAATTGGCAATGGGGCCTAATTGGGCACCATATACAAGCTGCACAATGGATTTGGCCTCAAACAGTTTGAGGGCTGCAGGTATATATTGTCCACCTTCAGTCCTTAGGTACGTGAGTATTGCATTTACAGCTTCTCTTGGCATTCCCTGCAACATAATCCCCTTGGGCTTTTCTACCTCCAAAAGAGTGATGGGTTATACCCAAATATATGAAGCAGGTGACCTGCTCAATCTACGGCCATCAATGTACCTACCAAGAGCAAGGTTTGGGCCTTTTGGCAAAAACCATTATTTTGGTTTTCTGATAATTTAGTTCTTGCTTGCTCTCCTTGCAGTATGCTGCCAGTGTTTCCATGGCTCTTTCAAGGCCTATAGGAGTTCTTGAGAGGATAGCTGTGTCATCTGCGTAAAGCAGCACAGGGATGTGATTTCCTGCTAGTTTTGGAGGGCGGAAGTTCCTGTTGTGGAAGAGGGGTACCATACCATTTATATAGAGCCACTTGTACACCAAAGTCAAGGCCCGGGATAAGCTTATCTTGCTCATTTGATAAGTGGTGGCTATTCTGTTCCTCAGGAAGACAGAGCTCCTCAAAGTGCAGGTTCTGTCACAGATTCTGGGAGTCAACTACACCGTCTGCATATTGGCATCAGGTGGGCCATTAGCCTCAATGAGGCTGTCGCCTCAGGTGGCCGGGCAGGAACTGCTGGAAGCTGGGCAGTGCTTGCTGCCCTCAGCCGCTGCCTCAGAAGAGCAGAGCCCCTGCTGCCGCCACCTGCTCCTCGCCAGTCTCCTTCCCCACATGTCTGCAGTGTGCAAGGGCTTCTCTGGGGTCACTTCCAGTTACCTCAGGTAGCAGCAGCAGCAGGGGAGAGGAGGGGGAATTGGTGGGTGTAGGGGAGGGTGGCAGTGGCAGGGGTGCCATTTTCTGTTGTGTCTTGAGCAGCAGAATGTATTGGGCCGGCCCAGGACTTCAGAAACTCCTAAGGTATGTAGTCTGCCATACAAAATGTTCAGTATTTCAGGCAGCCATGCTGTCTCTCAAGGTATGCCGTTTGACTTCCCTTCTGCAATGTCCTTTACCACAACTGCCTTGTGAGGGAGGCCAGCTCTCATTCCCAATGGACATTTAGCACTCTATGGTCACTGCGCAGGCTCAGTCCTCACTGCACTATTTGGGGAGGGATTGGGCCCTTGGGCTTCTTTCGTAGAGGTATAATCAGGGCTTTTTTTTCTCAGCCAGAACTCACCGGAACTCAGTTCTCAGGTGGGAGACATTGCCATTATAAGAGAACACGGGAGGCGTTCATGGTGAGTTCTGGCACCTATTTTTCTAGAGTAATAGCACTGGATATAGTATGTAAGATGCTAGCCTGATTTGAGCTTCATGGGCTGCCATATGGGGGAAAGGCCTTTTCAGTAGTGGCTCCAGTTCTTTGCAGTGCTCTGCCTAGGGAATTTCATCAGGCCTGCTCGGCTATGATCTTTTCTTTTTCCAGCAGGCTTCTGGAGATGACAGCTGAACTTGGTTTTTTATACAATTCCTGTGTTTTACAGGGGATTTTTGGGTTCTGTTTTAATGGTGTATTTGTTAGCAGGTGTTCTATTTGTGCTTTGTTTATATTTTTTGTGCTTCAAATCACCCCGAGGGTTCAAGTTGCTGAATATTGGGATAAAAAGTGAATAAATTAATAACTCACAAGCAGGTTTCATACATAAGCTAAATATACAGTGATAATGATCTGGATATAGCATAAAAGCCAATGGTTTGTGCTTATTCTAACTACAAATTAGCCTAGTAAAATTGAATGTTCTTGGAAGCAACTATCTTCTACAACCAGGACAATGTTAACTGGATTATAAAACATCTGGCCTTAGTAATTCTGCCAGGCATGCAGTTTCTTCCCTGTGTTTCACACTGCAGACCTGCTGAGGCTGATGTTGAGGAAAACACAAACATGCATGATGACACATATTGACCTTCTCAGGAGTGTCAGTCCACTGCTTTATCAGTGTCATCTAACACAGCAAGACCCTTCATTAGCTTTAGTTCCCTGGCTATTTCTTTCACAACATTTATATACAGCATGATTGTAATAAAACCTCAAGCGGTTTAAGATGCTGTTTCTTTCTTCCTTTCCCAAACTGATGGAGAGTGAAGGGCAGCCTTTGCATGTTGGGAGAGCAGTTTCACCCTGACTAGCCATGGAGCAGGACCCATTAAGGCCCTGCCAACATCAATCTGATCTCAACCACCTCCCAACTGCCTGCCTTTTTGCTATCAACCCACCCGGGGGGGGGACCCTATCAGCTTCCTCCTCCTTAGCTTCAGTTTTGCCATTGTAGAACTCAGCAGGAGGATGGGGACAAAATTGGAGTAAGTTGGCTCTGCCTATGGCTCCCTGTCTTCTGCCCCACCTGCCCCATTGGGCACCAGCCACCTCTGCTTATCAGGATACCCAGGTGAGCTCTGTTGTTGTCATAGTGGTGGTTTCTCTCTGTATAGCATCACTTGTCGTGGACTTAATATTTTCTATGAATTTCTACCAATTTTTGTTCAGAAAAATAGAGGTACAAAGTGGAATTTCACAACCTTATGGTTTACATTGTTTGGGGCTTTAACACTGTTTTTATTGATCCCGGTTTCCTCTCAAATTTTAATTTTATAGTATTTATATCTGCCGCTACATATGGTGCGGTTTATTATAAAACCATTCTGAGGGTACCAGAAAGCAGAGTAAAATAAAATAAATGAAACATTGCCAGTTCTCCATTATAACTTCATGGAAACTGAATAATCAGTGGAAGTGTGTGAATTACAACAATCCCTTTTTTAAAAGAAGACAATGGCATCAGTGTTCATGGGAAATGTTGTCAACCAACATTGTAGAAGCAAGCAGCATGTGCAAAGTTAGAACCTACCAAACAAACAAATAAAGCTTATAAGTTATATTTTAATATCACTATAGAAGCAAATAAAATTGACAGAAAGATTCTACCATTATTATTTCATAATAACACCAAACTGAATATTTACAGGAGCACATCAATGTCAGTTTCACAGCTAGCAAATTATAAATGCCCCATTGTAAGACAGCTATCAGCACTGAGTGACTGGTATATATTTTTATGACAGTGAAATGCTTGTACATAATTTCCTGCATGAACTTATTTTCAGGCTGTTCTTTAGAGCATTATTTGAGAATTCACTGTCTGTTGCATTCCAGTAACCGAGGCATCATTCAAATATAAGTCTACAGTCCTCAACATATAGCTGTAAGAAGAGCAAGCTGTTTAGTATTTGCAGCAGGAGGAAATCCCTCACTGGTGCAAAGCGGGAGCAGGGTGGGTGGTGGTGCAGATCTTCCCCCAAAGCAGAAGAGGGAATTTCCCTCTTGACCCCAGCAGGGAAGGAATGGCTTGAGTTTTCCCTTTGCAGCAGATGCAATCCTGTTCATTAGTAGCCCTTCCGTCACATGAATTTTTGCACATTAAATTCAAAAAGACACATTTGCTTGTCATGTGTAGTTTGGTCCTCAGACTTTTGCCACCCCCACCCCTCCCTAAAGATTCCCAGAAGCTAGTTGGTTTATTGCACTAGAGTGTTCCAGTGGGGCTCTTTTCCCCCCACTGCTGGAGAATTAGCATTAGTCAGCTTTTATGCACACTTGCTGTCCTGTTGCTGACAAAGCAGGGTTTACAGTGCCTGCCTGCTTTTCCACTTCCCCCTGGCAAGTTGCCACGCAAGCTGTTAAGAGATCTTGGACTGTTCTAGAAAGAGCTTGGCTGAATCTTGGCATTCGTGTCACAATCCAAATTTATAGGCAGCCTAAGAGGCTGCTTTAGATGTGGTAACGGAGACATACAGAGAGTGTGTTTGTATTACTGCTACAGCTAAAGCAGGATTGGGAAGCAGGCTAAAGCAAGGAGAGACGCCAAAACTTGCTGCACTTGGCACTGGAACATCCTAATCTCTCTGATGATCAACTTTGCAATATAAATTTAGCAGTGATGGGGCAAGATATACCTTTTTGTGGATGGGGGTAGAATACATTTACTTTCCTTCATAGTGACAAATGCAAGCTCTAGACTCCCCTGGATCAGGATTGCTACTAATTAATTTACAAGAAGCAATCTGGTGTCAAGCATGGAGTAGGGGACCCTGAGATCCTCTAGGTTGTTGTTGGACACCAAGTCCCATCAGCTTCCATCCACCTAGCCGACAGTCATGGATGATGGGAACTGTAGGGCCACATGTTCCCTACCTGTATTCTAAACAACATGTGGAATGGCTCCAAAAGGAGTGATGGGATGACAAAGCAACTTAACAACATTAATGTGAATATAAAGTGATGTAAACAAGTGCAAGGAATCCCAGCTTTCAAAAGTGGCTGTGAGCAGAGCCACTTTTGGATCAGTGAGCTTGAGCACAGGGAGTGTGCTGTTGAAGTTGGTGTGGGGAGTCGGGGGACAAATTTCAGCTAGATATGAAATACAGCACACAGCTCTGGCCATCTTGGCTGAAAAGGAGCATGTTACAGCTGGGAAATACACAGAAAAGAGCAATTGCCGTCTACAATTATCAAAGGTTGGTGGATCTTTTGTACAACGAAAGGCTAAAGACCTGGGCTTTGTGAATTTATAAAATCATAAGCTGCAGTGAGAGATTGCATCCTCGTGCCAGAACTTGGGTTTATCCACTGAAGGCAGCTGATAGCAGGTTCAGGAAGATTAGAAATAATCATACGTTACACAAAGCAACTGAAACAATGAGATTCTCAAAATTTGCTAGCTTTGGGGAAACGGGCAAGTATGTCCAATTAAAAGAGAAGTGAACCTGAAGCAGGTTTGAGATGTGTGAACTAAGCAGTGCTCCCAACTTCTTGTTCTTTACTTGCAAAAGTAGATATATGACTCTGCCATTTTACTGGCGAAATGGTGCTGTGTGATGTGTTGTGGGTGGGAGGGGTAGGCCTGACTCTAGTGCTACATTCCCAATCAAATCAGTGGTGGTGCTTTGAAGCAGAACTTACTGTGGATTGTCCGCATCATCTATTGTTCGGCTCTCAGGAAGCACCGTTTGATAGGCGAACTTTCAGTTAGTTATTGCTTCTATGAAGACATTTGCTGGGTCATTAATTAGCATTCACATATTCTCCTTTAGAATGTAATTGAGGTTGACCTGTGTTGCTTGTTTAACTGGATGTCTCAGTCCTTTTTAGTCCTGAGAGATAAAGCACAGCTCCATGCTTTAAAAAAAGAAGCAGCAGACTGCCAATTATGAGCCAACTTTTCCCAACAATCACTTAACCACCATCTGGGATTCTAGGTGTGTTTGCTACGTGTCAAAAAGGCAGCTGATGAGAAGGGTGAGAAGGCGCCGAGGACCAGCAACGGGCAGGGGGAGCAGCCCCCTCCCAACCACTACTTAAAATTATAGGCGTCTTCCATGCCACTTCACAGCTGTGTCAGCTTAACAAATAAGTCTCACCTAATGCCTACCCCCATCCCTTGTGTGAGAGCAGCAGATGAATGCTTCTGGTTCAGGAGGGATTCCATGTGAAAGTTCACAACATGTGGGCAAACTTCCCACATGAATCCAAAGCATCATGAAAGGCCTCAATGCACACTATTGCTATCCAATGTGTTTTGACTATACAGTGGTACCTCGGGTTACAGACGCTTCAGGTTACATACGCTTCAGGTTACAGACTCCACTAACCCAGAAATAGTGCTTCAGGTTAAGAACTTTGCTTCAGGATGAGAACAGAAATCGTGCTCCCGCAGCGCAGCAGCAGCTGGAGGCCCCATTAGCTAAAGTGGTGCTTCAGGTTAAGAACAGTTTCAGGTTAAGAACGGACCTACAGAACGAATTAAGTACTCAACCCGAGGTACCGCTGTACACAATTTTGGCTTTCGGCATAAACCCTGGAACATAACCCCTGCACGGGTTTTGGGCTTACTATATAGTAAAACTGGCATTATGGCTTTAGCAGGATTAAAGAAGTGGCTACCAAGTGCTACCAAGGGCAAGTTCCCATTTTGTAAATGATTGCTTGCATCCACCTTTTTCATAAGACTTCTATTAAACTAACTGAACAAGCAAAAGGACATTATTAGGTGTATGTGTTTAACTGATTAACCTGAAACATTGACATTTCGTATTAAGCAGACATTCGACTAACAGAACAAGGGGGCAAGAGAATGTGCATGCGTGGTGTTAAAGCGTAAAATGTGTAGGAAGGCTTTCCCCATGGCTTTCTGTTAAATGTGCAAAGGATGACAAGTGTCAGTACTTCATACAACTAGATTTAATAAGTTATTACAGAAAAAAAAATTGTCCAAACTACAAAGTTGAAGCAGTTGTAAGCAATAGCAGCATTGAGCTCCATGTTTAGTCACAGTACTGCAGTTCCATACAAAGCGTTAGTCCAAGCCAAAAAAAGGTAAAAGCCTTTTAGGGTTACTAGCAAAACCAGTCTAAGAGAACATGTAGTAAAAGATATGGTACATTTAAAATTAGTTAGTTGAAAAAACAAGTACAGAGGTTTTAGCTGTGAACACTCTAAAAGTTATGTCCATTATTTTGACAGCAAAATTACAAATACCTAATACTTTATACCCAAACAGAGCTACATCCAGAAAAAAATAAACAGCAGAAATGATTATCCCGTATTAGCACCCTGGATTTCTATTTGTTGCTAAACGTTGTTATTATTAGGTAAATTTAAAATGTGCAGAATGACATAACAAGCTCCTGATCTGCTACCCTTTTGGGGTATAGAGCAAACCATCAGCATGAATATAAAATACTCTGTGGTAAGACAGAAACACTACAACAGCAGAGATTGAGAAGAAAAGTTTTCTGGTTAAAAAAAAGGTTAAGCTGACATTATACAAACTGGTGTAAAAAGCAACTACATACAAGCCAGGTTTAACAAAAGACTTTTTTATTATTTGTTTTACAAATCTGTGACTAATCTTTCACTCATATCTTGCAAATAGAGATGTCACAATACTGAAATATTAACATGGGGGATTTCCCCCAGTAAAGCACTATACTTTTTGTACTACTCTAACAAAGATCATGAAATCAGCAAAGTTTATTTGCTGACTGCATATTTGTAATACAGTTGTCTTTTAGCCCCTGCCTTCCTAAAAGGCAAGTGTGTAGGCAGAATCTAAGAACACATTTTGTACCACTTTGCAGGAAATTTAGAGATTTCTCCTCCACTTCTATTTTACTTGCACAATTTGTGTACATCCCAACCAGTAGTAGTACCTAATTATAGAGTCTAAATTTTACTCACTATTTTATTTTTTTCCTATACATTTCTTACAAAAAGGACACAATGGGCCAACTCTAGACATTTCTACAAGAGATCAATAAATTACCCCCCTTAGGTAGAAGCCAGCGTGAGAATAGATCAAATCTGGCTACTGATCTATCTAGGGACGGCCATTGGATGTTCTGTTTATATAACACCAGTTTGGTTTGCAGGATCAGAAGGGGTGGATAATAGTACCTCTAGCATCGGCACAAAAAAATCTGCCAGGATAACAGCAAAAAGGTAAGGATTAGATAGGCAAAGGGTGGTGGTGATGAACTACATAAAGTGAAGCAGTGTTTTGATAGCAGCAACAGACGTTGCACTTGTGATATTTTTTATTTTTAAAGGGCCAACACAAAGGGATAAATATACAAGAAGCTCAAAAAAGTGCTGAGATATATAGTAATAACGGTTGCTACACATGCATTACTTAGCACTAACTATGTCATAAATTACACTGTATGGTAATTGCACTGTAACATTATGCAGATACTATACAACTTCCTCCATTTGTTCTGGGTTGCCACTTAAAGAAGTGCATGAATAATGCAGCATGAGGGGCGAGTGGAATAAATAAGATAATGGCAGATCACACTGAAGCATGTTGGGAGAGATTTAAAATAACAGTCCAAAAGAGACCATAAAGAGTATTGGCGGGGGGGGGGGGGGGACGGGCAGGGAATTGACCGAGCATTAATGCTGTGTAGTCTCCATTTGTTTTTTCGGCACTTGCAGGAATGCTGACTGGGCCTATGCTAATGGGGGGGGGGGGGGGAGCAAATTTGCATTACACTAAACAGCCATGGCTGTAAGCCTGTTATTTTTGTAGATTGGAGTTAATTACAACAGCAATAGTGTTTTATCAGCATTGGTGTTGTATAAATCTAGACAGCGAACTGGTACTGTGACATCCCTAATATCTTCCTAAATCATTCTGACAAAGGAAAAAAAGGCTTCTCAAAAATATCACATCATTTTCCTGCTTCATTCTGTAATTTTATTGCCCAATTATTCATTACAGTTTTTCAATCATTTTACATATCCAACCATTTTCACACCATTGTAAACCACAACAGCGAGTTAATACATAAAGCTTTGCATTTCAAAAAACTAGACACTTTTAGTAACAATATTACAAAGGTTTTTTCTTAGCTTCAAAAATAACTGAAAATGAAAAAAATAAACTTTTAAAGAATTAGCATCATAAAATTAATTTATTCCAAGTAAAAATACAAAATAATATTAATGACATTGACCAGATATGAAAGTCTCTCCCAGAAACAACTATATTAATGGTTGAGAAAGCACTCCTTAAAGAAAATCTGAAATAAAAATGAAAAATATGTCAATGTTTAAATTTCTCTTAGCAAAAAATCTTTCTAAAAATAACAATGAAAATTTGTCTCAGTACAAAGGCTACATTACTATTGAAAAAATACCAGCATGAAGAAAAGGTACATATTTGACAGTAGAAAAATGATCTTAGTGAATCACAATGTCTAAAGTTTGCAATGAAAATAAATCTGCAATAAAGATTTATGCCTTTTTTCTTTTCTTTTTTCTTTTTTTTATACAAACAGTACAAACAGTATTGCACATAACAACAAATAGTCGAGGTTAAGTTGCCTTCAAAAAAAATCGACTAGTTCAAGTCTCACATCAAGAGAAGGCCACAAGAGGACCTGTTGTACCCAGGGACTTCTTAGTCAAGTTGCAGTTCAGAACACCTTATTTTAAAAAATAACTTCTTTTCTTGAAGGACCCTCTCATAATAATATAACATATTAACAACTTAGGGGGCACATTCATTTACAAAACAAAAAGGGACCATGTTATAATTTAATAAACTAAAAAAGTATCTTTAAAAAAATACAAACAGAAGAACTCTCACAATTCTGGTCAGTCGTGCATAATTGCTTGATTATAAATATACAAATTAAGGGAAAAATATTTTTTCACCTTCTATTCACAACTTCCAGCACCAAATGCAGTTTTTTTTACACCTTTCGTTGCTGTGTTCTTGTTTTCATGTTATTACTTATATAACTTCCAGCATCTCTTTTTCTTGCTCTTTCCCTCCTTTCTTTCCGGGGTGTTTGTACAATGAGAGAGGGATATTTCTTCAAAACTGTGTATTATTGTTTCACATAATTAGGTAGACTTCTGTAGATTAGCTATGATCTTCAATATTACAGTTATAAAGCTCTAACTTCTTCATTTTCAAAAACGCAAATAAGCATGAAAAAAATAAAGTTACCCATCTGTTAAATCATTTCCTCGCAGAATTAAATTAATATATATATTTTTCTGAATAAACTTACTTAGAAAATATTTTCTTTCCTATATTTCAAAATTGAGGTATTGCAAAAGATCATGTCAGTCAGAAAGCATGCCTTTTTCTTTTAAAAAAGAATAATCTGCCAACTATTGAAAACTGTCTAGATACAAAAAGTAGTGCATAACAAATCTTGTATAGATGAAAAGAAAAGAAAACCCCAAACAGAAGAAAAAAGACAGCTGGGCTGGATAAAGCAATATCACAAAAATGCCCAGAAGAAAACGTGAAGGGATACTACGAATGGTTTTGTTTTGTTTTTAAACCAGTAAAAAACTATTTTTCTAAACACAAAGTTTCTTTCAGAGCCAGTAATTGCAACTAAACATTGAAAGAAAAACGTACAAAGTTAGACATTAACAAGGCCATCACAACACACAAAATCCGTAACATTTAAATCTACTATGCGGTGCCAGATCCAGTCAGATTGTCCCCAGAACTCCCAGGGGGGTGGGGGGTGGAGAAGGGAACTCACAAAAAACGCAGAAGAATAGTGTACACGTCCTCACTTTCTTATAGTTCGCACACTAATGTGTGCTTATGTGTTTGTCTTGCACGCCCAGAATACATGCTAAAAAAATGTCCACTGTTATAAAGTAGATCTCAAATATATTCAAGCTTCACAGGATACATCCAGGGTTCAAGAAATTAAATGTCACACCCAGAGAGTAGACATCTTGCAAGTTAACTTTTGTATGCAGACATTTCTTTAGCACCACTTCCCCACTACCTTTCATAAAATGTGCCTAGTTTATCAGCCTATTAGTGATGTTAGTAGTGTACATACACTGCCATGAGCTCTTTGGTTTTCTGGACAAGGGCTGCAGCTACATAAATGGTGCAAGCATTTATGAGATTGTAATTAAAGAGCTCATAATTAATTTTGTGAGTGTGCATATGTATCCGTATCTTTCAGAAGTGATTGAACGTTAGATATAGAGGCTTAAACAGTTAAGTTTGATCACAGTACTAGACATAATCACTTTTACTATATAAAATAAATTGCACAATATATAACAGAGCACCGCAAAGTACTTCGTCTATCATTCAGAAATTTGTTTTAAGGATATTCTACATCTAGTTTTTTAAAAAAATATTTGTTGTAATATAGGTCATACTGCAAAGGGCTGATCCTAATTTCAGAAGCATTTACATTTACTGAGGCATGCCTTCCTCCAGTCAGTAATTTGTGCCTGGTGTGCTAAGTCTGTGTGTGGGTTTTGTTTTGTTTTGAATAACAAGTACTTTGTAGTCTATATAAATCCTTAATTGGTGCATTGTGGGCAGATTTTCATATGAGACATATATAAAAAAAATTTATTGCATGCAGCAACCTGATTTAAGTAAACATGCAGTCAAAACTATTGACCTTCCTTGGAAGCTATACAGATCTCCTTTCAGCAGCCATCACGGTTTTAAATCATATAATCATCTTTTAAACTGATAGATACCCTAGCTTGAATAGAGTATTGTGGTATTAGTAATACCATCTTAATAGCAGCAAAAGCTATTGCAGCATACATTTACGTAACACTAAAAGACCTAACCAAATAGGAAACCCTCAGCAAAACGAAAAGGGGTGGGGGTGGAGAAAATGTGATCCAGCTTATGAGGTATCAACCTTACCAGTAAAAATGGAGAGCAACTAAAGGCTTTTCAGGGTTATTCCTATGCTAAATGACCCAAACTAATGATTGCTGAATATCCATTTTAAGTTTTTGCTACATCTGCCACCTACCTACTTGTGAGTGTTACCTTTGGTAAGTCATCTGCTAGGGGCAAGTCTATAAGTTTCTGAAAATAAGTGCATGCTCCAGTTTTAAAATAAAATTATAATTTTAAAAGTCTTTCTCACATACACACCAACTCAGTAAAGGCTGATGAGAATGGCAGTCTACTTATTGTCAGACATGACAAGTCTCGTGTAAGAAATTAAGGTACCAAGCAGATGTTTGTGTGAATCAAAGTGCAAAATCAGTATAGTTACACTCTGCTAGGCTTGTATTATACTGGACACAGAGTTCAGTAATGTGACTGTAAATAATCATAATCATTATCATAATAATAGTAATCGTAATAAAAAGACCCATCTCTTCATTAAAGTAAAGGATGAATGCACAGATTTCCAGAACACTAAAGCCCTGAGGCAGCACTCTCTTCTCCCTTCAATTTCTTCAGTTCCGGTACTTCTTTGCTGCTGGATTTAGGCCCAGACTTCAGCTCCAACGGAACGGAACGTGGCGTGGCCGATCCCCCCCTTCCTTCACGAGTGGTTTGTGGAACTCTCGCCCAGCACGAGAGTGAATGCTGGCCCAACAGTATTCACAGTAATACTGCAAGCAGGTAACATTGGCACAGAAAAATGGAGCAAATTTTCCACCACAGCGAGTGCCCTGGCATTCATCACACATCTGATCATCAAGCACATATGGCTTCACTTCCACCTACAGAAGGGGAGGAGAAACACAAAATAACTCAAAATATAAAGAAGGCTCTGTGAATTCATCTCATTCATCTGAATGCAGGACAAACCTGTATAGTATATAAACTTGCCAGAATAGCCAGTAACAACACACTCTAGTTAGCTTTTCAGTATCAGAGACAATGTGGTGCTTCTGGCTGCTACAACTTGTCACATCACAGAAGTGCATGGGTTTATAAAGTGATCTGTCAGAGCTCCCACCGTTGTACATTACCATCATGGGTGTCCACAGGAGTTTTTCTGGGGTGGGGGCAAAGTAAACTTAAAGATGGGAATCAGGACTAGAGATGGGACAATTGCCACCTCCACATGGACACCCATATTGCAAGACAAGCCTCAGGCAAGAGCAGCAAGAATGTGTCCTCGTTTTGTTACTATTAACTTAACCTTCCAGGTTAATAGTATCAAAATTCTCAGTTCCAATTTTAGATAGAGCAAGTCTACCCAGAAACCTTACGAAAACTAACCCTCGTTATTTCCTGGCCAAAGCTCTCCCACAGCGTTTGGAGAACTGCACCGAACATGAGAGAAGTTTGGGGAGGAAAACTGCGGGAGGAGGAAGGAAATAGAAGTCACTGACAATGTCAGTCATCAACGACCTAGGGAATCTGCTATGCTTCAAAGCATTTGCTGGAACTTCCATTTGCATCATTACGTAACCCATGAATGAGCCTTCATATATCAGCATAAAAGTCTAATGTTTTCAAAATCTGCTCTTTTAAATCCTTTTGACGTATTAATAGCACCCCACTCCTATTACAATAGCAAATGTTTAGGATCTCCTTTATATTAAGATCAAGTTTAAAGTACTAGACAGTGCTACTGACCTAAACATAGAGCTTCAAGCCCAATAAAACAACCACATTAAAACATTAACTTGTCATGATCACTGGAAAAAGTGATCAGAGTAGAAAAAGCCTTGTCTTTCTTGTCCTGTCCCATTTTTCTTTTCATAACATTAGATGCTATTGCCAAAATAAGTCTATAATGATTCAGTGTCAAGGTAATTATATTCTGAGCTCAGCATTTGAGCCAAAGCGACAGCATGACTCAGGATTAACACTGATGGTTCCAGTCATGCAAGAATTAATGGCTTTATAGATTAAGCCCTATCAGATTTATCACACTTAAAAATTATAAATCTGTAAGGATATGAGTCAGCCAAAGTTAAGCATACTTATATCTCACTGGTTTCAATGGAACATGCTTACATACTTCTCATTAAAATCTAAGTGGGGTTTTTTTTCCCTAAGTCTAGAGAGTTTGCTCTCTCCTGGGTGGGGTGGCAGTGCTATTTGGATATTCAATCAGAGCTTTAAAAATATATAATCTTTGGATTTTTTTTTCACATTCCCTATTTTATTTCATAAAAAATACATTTCTATGTAAATAAGGTCAAGCCTGAAGAAAAATACGTGTGCCGTTTTCACAACAATTTTTGTTAAAATCATACCAAAAGCAGCAGTTTTTGCTGTGGGATGAATTAAGACTATGAAGGAAATCAATTTCAAAGGAAAGGGTATTGTTGCTTTGACCTCACATATTTTTGAATTTCTGCTATTCTTCCACCTTCCCATATTTAACCACAGTACTGTTGCCCAACTACTGTCTAGTGTATTTTCCAGCCCAAGTGTTATATCCAAAAGTATATTACAGAAAAAAGTAACAAGGAAATTGTACTATGTCTTCACTTATGAAGACAATATTGATTTTGCACACTGTTATTGAAACCCATTTGAGATTGGAAAGAATTTACATTTTAAAATCTAGTAAACACTAAATTTTGGCCATTAAAACAGACATTAAAACAGTGATCAATCACAAACTCATGGGAGGGCTCGTAGCGCTGCTGGGGAGGTCATGCATTACATAAAGAAGATTCCTTGGTATCTCCAGTTAAAAGATCTCCTCAAGTAGGACTTGAAAAGGCCACAGCCCAAGATTCTTGAGAGCAAATTTTAGTCGGAGGAGACAGTGGTGGATAAGATGGGCAAATGATTTGAGCCCACTAAAGATGCCTGCACAAATTGTCAGCCGTGTCAATCAGTCATGTGGCATTTTGCTTACCCGTTTATCAATGTCATTGTGTTGGAGCTGGACAAAGCGAGCACTTATAGCAGCAATATAGCTCTGCTGATTGGAGAAAGCCACTCTACCAGCACCTTTTGGGTATTTCAGCTCTGGGTCCGTATCAATGCCAGCATAGCAGACTCCTCCATACAAACGATCCATAATCATTGCTAGTTCAACTGTAAAAGAATATTAAACTATAAAAGACCTATACATTCATTCAACTTCCAGTAGCTAATTTGTGACTTCTTGTTGTTTAGTTTTTTAGTCGTGCCCAGCTCTTGGTGACCCCATGGACCAGAGCACGCCAGGCACTCCTGTTTTCCACTGCCTCCCGCAAATTTGTGACTAGTCTACATATATAAAAAACCAAAATTCTTGATAGTTATAGCCCCAAGTAATCTAAAACAGTAAATGGAAATGATTGACCGTGTAAAAGGCAAAAATCCTAAAAAAGCAAACAAAGCCAAATGCAACAGAAAACAAACTTCATAAACCAAGACAAACGGAATACCAGAAATGTAAACAAGTTCTTACCAGTTACCTATCTATGACAGTCAACTGATTACACTTTTAAAATGAATTGTTTTATATTTCACTGTTTAAAATGCAGAGCAGTCAGTATCTCAACACAAGTGGTTTTTCAAGAAACATTTAATGAAGACAGTTCGTTAGACTGACATAATACTGTATAATATGTAGTTTGTTCTTTAATCTTGCTGCTTAAGGGGGAAAAACACATCGAAGTCCTTGCCAATTTGAAATATAATGAAAAGCTCTAGAGACTATTACTGCATCATTCCTTAAACATTTCGTTGGTCATGGTTTTGGTAACCATTAAACATATTCACTCACCAGCTCTGAGGGGTCGTGGGACTCCTCCAACAAAAATAGTTTTTCTGGGGTCTAAAGGTTGAGAGCCATCCATTACAAAGTCACTGTCACTTAAGTTCCAAGGTCGAATTTGCACCTGAAAAAGCCAAAAGATTAGCTTCATTTTAAACTTCTATTTTGAAAGCAACAAAAGTCAAGGGACAACTTTAATCCTTTCCCATTTCTAATAGTTAGCAGTATAACCAAAGTTAATTCCATATAAATACAAATCAATGAAGATGGGATGTTCTAGAATTTATCAGAACAGATATGCTGCACTGAAGCACCATCATAAAAGCATCAACTTCTGCAGCTATGCAAAAAGAATGCAGGCAGCAGGCTTGCCCCTAACCAGTGCTGTATCTCCTTGGTGCTCACTACCACCTTTGTCTATCAAACTGGCCTGTTAATATTGCAGGTACAAAGTAAGCTAGAAAACCTCCATTAGGATTCCCAAATACATCATCTAGATTTCAAATACTGTATTCAGATATTCCCAAACACTGGTTGTCTTACATGTGACAGCTAAACTGACCAAAAATAAAATAAAAAGCATGGTATCCAGTCAACTCTTGGGTTCCATCCAGGCATAGCAAATCATGCTAATTTGACTTGCCAGCGAAAAACGTTGTGTAAACTTAAAATCAGGGTGTTCATCACTGAATGGAACATTGTTAGGGGTTAGTAAACTGGTGAGCAGCACATACAGAGCTTCTTGCAGAGATAAAATGCAGTATAAGAACAAGATATGTATATGTTATTTTAACAATGTTGCCGAAGAAAATATTTGCTTCGTACATAAAAATCTAGTCTGCTCACTCATATCTCTTATAAACGTAATAAAAGGAAATCATTTCATGCAAAAAGTCTCAGTTGTATTTCTTCCATAATGAGTATAAATTCAGTTAAATGCCACATACACAGTCTCTGAATTTAATATTAATTATGGTAATTTACTATTTTATTTACTGCCTCTAGAAATAAGGTTGAGCAATATTTTTTCACATAAATCTACAGCATTTCCTCCTATTTGCTTCTTTTAATACACAATCACACAGTAGAATACAGGCCAAGATTCATTTAATAAGCATTTCATACATTCTGAAAACAGAAGAAAAGGTGGTTGGTAGTGAACTTAATTCCTTTGCTTAGGCTAAGAGGATTGCCCAAACCGAAAGCATTTACGCTGTCCATTTAAGAAGCCAGATGGCTGAATTTGGGACAAAGTCTTTGAATTGTTTTGAACCAAGCAATCAACAAAAAAGTCATTTTCATAAGCCTTACAAAGCCATGTGAACTTGGAGAAGGTGTTTATAATATCTGAATTTGTCACATCTATGCATTTTTTATCAAGTCAGAATTTTAAAATATTCTAATACCTGTTTGGTTTGTTTTAAAATTCTCTGCTGAGAGCACTCTCATCACCACACCTTCATTCATGCCAAAACCAAGTTCCCCTGAAGACCTTCTTTCTACTCATACAATCCTTACCCCATTTTAAAAGGAGGGAAATAGGGCGAGTTAGTTTCTCCTCAGAATCAAACATTGATCCCTAGTTCGTATTTTACTTCTCCCATTTAGCCACAGTGATGGGGTTGCTCCACATCAGTTCGTGAATAGCGGCAAATACACCTGAGAGAATTTTGGAATAATTCCCAATTTGCATACTAGGTAATTAACGTCAATCTGGTTCAGACACAGTTTTGCATTATACAAATGAGACTCAGGCTTATGTACACCTTTCACTTCTTTTTTCAATTAACCCTGGTTCATCATTAGGTCCAAACCTGAAACTGAACTATAATTTTGCAAAACAAATCAAGATCATAAGTAGTTTTATTTGAACTATGGTTTAGGCAAACAAGACAAGTCAGTTTGTCTAGGTTCAGATACAAATAACCATGGCTTTTAAAAAATGGAAGCAAAAGTCTCACTGTGATCATACTTATGGGGGTGGTGGCAGGAGCACACACAAACCAAAAGCCTGTTCACTAATGTTAGACTATATATTAAGACTGAATGATGCTATTAAGAAGAAAAATCAGCTCATGTGTTTTACCTATACACTGCCTTACACCATGACATATCATTCACTTGTGATATTTTACTTCAATGCAGTACTGCTAGATTGCCTTCAACTGTACAGAATTCAGTACTGTTATGTCTGCAGCAATGGAACTTAAGCAAAATAAGGTTAATCGTTATTTGCAAGCTGAAACATCCCATACACAAACTGACTCACAACCCAGTCAAAAGAGCCATATACTCTTGCACATAATTTCTTTTACATTGGAGTATCTACATTTCAAATGAAAGGAGCTAACCAGCACATGGAAAGGGATGCACATAAAGAGTACATTAACACGCGTGATAAAGCTGCTTTGTGTGCTCACTAGAGCTCCCGTACATGGATCAGTTTGTTGGACCAGGGCATTAATCTGTTATACAATCTCAAAGGAAAGACTTTTGAATGCTAAATTGTTCTGACATTTAGTGAAGTTTAACATGGTCAATATATGCTACAGCAATATGCCAGTATAACAGACAAAATAACAGGACAGAGACAGCCATTTTTGCACAACAGTAGTTGACTTTCAGCTATATATATATATATATATATATATATATATATATATATATACTTTCAGCTATATATATATATATATATATATGTATATATATATATATATGTACCGTATTTTTCGCTCTATAACACGCACCCGACCATAACACGCACGTAGTTTTTAGAGGAGGAAAATCCGTAGGCATGCCACCCATAGGCATTCCCTCCATAACACGCACAGACATTTCCCCTTACTTTCTAGGAGGAAAAAAGTGAGTGTTATGGTGCAAAAAATACGGTATTTTAAAAAGGTAGTATGTTGATTTACTTACTGGTTTGTCCTTGATAGTGGGACTTGATACACATAGATAAAGTTTCCCATCCTCTTCCAGACAGGCATCTATTAGAGCTTGCACAGAGCTTTCTTCCTGGAATAGCAGAAAGGCATAACCTTGGAAGAGAACAAAATTACAAAACAGGAATAGAGTCAGAAGATATAAATTATTGTGGGAAAGCAATACATTTAAATACACAAATATTAAAATTAAAACATGGCATGGATTCTGTATGACAGATGTATCGTGGACACAGTTGATTCAAGGCACACTGTTGGTGTGGAAACAAGGCATATACAAACATTCCAGACTCGAACAGGGTCAATTGTTTTGTTTACACCTGACCTCCTAAGGCATTATTTGCATGAAGGCTTAGGATGGGGTTTAATGATTGCTGCATTTGCATAAATTCACAAGCAGAACGGTTCCTACCACTTCATAGGAAGAGGATCAGGCTAAAAGACAGACCACTCTCCATATATAAACAATAATTCTATGCTAAGCGAACACCTGAAAAGCCCTTCTTTTAAGTGTACCTATGAGATATCTTGGATCCATAGCTAAATATTAATATTTGAATTGACTCAAACAGATAAAGATAAATAAAAAATAAGGTGTTTTTCTACTGGGAAATGGTAGATTGAATTTGCAAATTCAGGAAATCTTTCTAAACTGTTAACAGCATATCAGCAATAGAACATATCGCTTATAGATATAAAATTTGTTCTGTGCACAGGCACTGTTCAGAAATGTTTTACATAGAATTTCCTATTCAAGACAGCTACTGCATTTGATCAGAATGGGGAAGAACACATTTAAACTCTATGACCATAGCTATTCAGCAAAAATACATTTAAATTGCAGACATTTGACACTTTGCAAAGTGTGTTAAAACTGTTCTTCAAGCTTTATAATGTCACCGCAGTGGGCTGCTCCCAATTCCACTGCTGTAAAATGATATTTATTGAGATGGCATATAGGCCCCTCTTTATGAGAAACATGAGAAAAACATTTAGTATTTTATCCAAGCCATACCCAGAGTAAACCCACGGAAATCAGTGCATCTAAGTTAGTCCACATTTTTCAATTGGTCTACTCCGAATATAACTTACTTGAATACAGCCCTTAAGAAATGTAGGCAACTTTTTTTTTTTAATTAGTTACAATTAGCATAAATGGTCATTGCTCTAGAGTCAGGCATATTTTTTAACTTTATAATTGTATGCTTTGAACACTAATAAAATTGTACTTCAAAATCCAAGGATGAAATGAAAAGTCAAAGAAGCTGATTTAAGAATACGAATCCAGAGATACTTAAAAAAAAATCTGCAGAGTTTCATTTAAAGCGTTGCTGTGCTGTGACTTGCTTTCCAAAAACATCAAAGGCATTAGCGCTAAAGAAATTGCAAAATAGAAGAGACTAATCTTACTTTAGCTACTGCAGAAGAGTGATATTGCATATTAGGCTATGAAGCTAGTTTCTTTAGGCAGTGGCAATGTACTGCAGTGCCAGCTGACTCATTCAACCAAGGAAATGGTGCATAAACATTTCAGATGTGAGGAAAAAATAGTTTTACAGCTTGATTCCTATGTAGTGCCCTCCTGTCACAAAGCCACAGGAAAATTGCCACATAAAAGACATTATTCCTTATTGCTATTGGACTTCTTCATATTAAAGCTTTAAACTAATTTGTGCAGCAGCAGCATCTCTGTATCACAAATACAGAAGCACTCTGTGAAGAATGAAAGTTAATCTATAAAAGGACGAATCAACACGGAGAGAGTATAATTATTGCTAGGGATAAAGAAAATCTATTTTGCCTTAACACTCCACTGAAAACATGCAAGAAATTTGTGTCAACTGATCCATTTTCAATGAGCTTTGAAGAGCTGCTCCCGACACAACCGGGGTCAGGGTAAAAGGGTTTTCTGTCCAGGACTGGCAGGACGGTGACAAGTGTGCACTGGGGAAAGGGGGGCTGGAGTCTGACTCAGGAGAGGCGGTCAATGACATGTGTGGTACTGCATAGGCCAGGGGGCAAGAGTTGAAAGCAGGGGACTTTTCAGAGCTGGAGGGTGGAGCACAGGATGTGTTGGAAGAAGAGGAAGAAAAGGCAGGTCAGATAAGTGAAGGACTAGGTGCTTCCCCACCCTCTCCTGCACCACTGTCTCTCAGGAGGGGATTGAAAAGGGATTAGGAGAGGAAGCTTCCACGCAGCTGTAGCCTCTGTCAAGCAGCCCATCAGGGAAGGTAGATAAACTGGTAGAGGGGGAGTGGTCTGCTGTTGTGGCAGCTGCTCCATAGAGTGTGTAGGTATCCAGAGCTGTAGAAGCTGTAGAACAGGGGATTAACCTCTGATGCTCAGAAAAAGCCATTTACTATACCAAGAGACTGAGAAGTTGTCAGCTCCTGGGAACTCGGATGGCCAGATTGAACCCAACATTGAGGGACCTACCAATCGGGTGTTGTGGCTGACCAATCTTACCCACCCACAACACAGGTGGTCGGTCTCCAGGTCTCACCGCAACATGTGCCCTCTTTTAGGGAGGACACAATTTATAGTAAGGTTTTGCAACTCTAAATTAATTTAGTGGTCATGGTTTGCATCATTATTTGGGAAAAAATATGAAGTTTCAATACAAAACTTCTTTTAAGTCAGTGCTTTAAATTAACCATTTTTCTTGTTGATTTAAATCATTAATTTGAGTTGCCTTGATTTAAATCCAGTGCTTTTTTCTGGGGGGATGCAGGGGTACACATACCCCTAAACATTTTGTGAATCTAAGTTTGGCCTTATTGAGGAGCAGTATTTCAATATGAGTAGGAAAAAGAGAATACCCCTAAACATTTTTTAAGAAAAAAAACCTGTTTAAATCAGTGCACCCAGCATTACAAACAACTGTTATAGTTTGGTTATTCTTGGCTGGCCACTACATCTTTTTACGTAGAAATATCAATGCACACATATTCATATTACTGTTTTGATTACATTTTTCTCCTTAGCTTTATAAGGCAGCTCTTCTTTCAAAAAATTGCATCAACTTTAAAGCATCAGACTAAACTGCTAGTACAGTCCATAACAATTTGCAACAAAATGTAGACTAGGGACATACTAAAAAGTTCAGGTGCTATATTCAATTTTAAAATGGTATTTGTCGAAGTCAAATGAATGAGCAAACAACAACAAAGATTTCAATGAGGCAAGGATGAACTGTGTTACATTTAAGATAGTATGTAGTCTTTCATAGACAAGACAAAAAACAAACCTAAAGTATGATTTAGATTTGGCACTTGCTAGCAATAGGTGGAATAACTTCCAGGTAAGAAAATTACATTTCTGTTTCTGTGAATGAAACACAATCAACCACTTCAGAAACCAGTTTAGCATTAACATAGTAAAATGAAGTTTTAGTTTTGTATTCTAAAAGTGTAAAGAGATGACTGATAGAGCTATCATCCCATATATTATGCATGCACACATACACACACATTTATATACATGAACATTCAGGATGAAGTTGAGGGGACAAATACAATCATCTATTTCATACTTAACTGAAGTTGAGTTGTGTGGTTTTAAAGATCTTATAATATGCAAATTGAAGGATACAGGCTTCTTCAAAACTCATTTTACCAATTTTGCATTTTTTTAAACAAAAAATTAAAATTCTGAAGCTTTTTGTCATCCAATCTATTTATGTTTTTATTTAGACAGTGCCACTTGCATACCTGGCACATGAAGTAGGGAGAAAGGCGACAGCAGGAAAGAGGATTATGTTTCACAGCATGTGCATTTGAAGAGTTCAGCTGCAGGTTAGCCAGTGGGGAAACCCTGCAGCAATCACATTTATTGTGCCTATGCCCCTTAAGATAACATTAGGAAAGAGCTTTGGTTAACCTATTCCATTACTCTGCTTTCTTACCTAGACTAACTAATCAATCCAAATCTTTACTAAAACATACCTGACCAAGCTCTTATTTTATCATGCACTTATGCAAGTTACTTTTATTGGCTGGTATCATTTTTGATGTTTTCTGTGCTTGCTATTTAATGTACCCAATTATATTTTCAAATGTATTTTTATGTGATGAAGCATAGTGGCTAAGAGATTGAATTCTGTATCAGGGCACCCCTGCTTCAAATCTTGCTTCTGCTGTAAACTTCCTAACTGCAACCCTCTCTCATCAAACTTCTCGCCATCTGCAATATGGGGGATAAGGACACTGATTTACCTTATATAACTGTTGTATATACGATTACAACAGAATAATGCATATAAAGCATTTTAAACACACTATACAGATGTTAAATAATACTATTAGGATTTTTACAGTATCTTCTATAGAGTCTCTTCTATGAATAATTGTGAGATACAAATTTTAAGTAATAGAACAGGCATTTCATAACTTAATAGGAAGCTTATGGACAAAATATTCAGAATTATCTCCATAACCACAAAATGCACTTTACTCAATTGTTTGCAACTAAATACTTTAATCTGAACAACTGCATCAACTAAGTTATACCTTTTATTAACTCTATAACCATATTTTTCTGAGTACGATGATGTTTTTTGCTAAAAAAATAGTCAAAAATGGGGGGGGTGTCTTATACATGGGTGGTGAATGCACAGGGGTTCAAGTTTGAGTTCTGGTGTGGACGGCCCAAGCTTGAGTTTGGTCTCTGGCCCAATTTCTTAATTCTGGGATTAAAAAAAGGGGGGTCGTCTTATATATGGGGGCGTCTTATACACAGAAAAATACGGTACTTTGCCATTTGCCCTGGACATACTGTACTGTAATCCTTAGCAATATACAATACGCTCCAAGAATCTTCAAAACAACAAATGCTACTTCAGTTTTTCATAGAAGCAAAATCATGGATAGAACTAACACCCACATCACACACAGTGCATTGCTTGGTATGGAGTATGGAGAATGTAAAATGCTATGTGAAAGCCATTTTTTGAATGTCTCAGAGACCAGAAATAGCAATCTCTTGTTCAAATATAGGGACTCAGCTTTAATTCCGAGAAGTCAGCTATGTGAAAACACTTATGTTCTTAGCACTCTAAGACTCTATTTATTAACATAGTATGAAGATGGTTGGCCTTTGCAATTACAGCTTTTTGATTTAATATTTAATCCACAGCATTACTGTTTAATAAGCAGCACACTTAGCTTAGGATACAAACCATAAGAATACTTAAATGATTTGTGGTGATTGTTTAAATAACAGTAATTACATATACATTTGAGTGATGACTTTAAGGTATCATTGCCTAGTACCGTAATTGGCTCAGGAGTAAAACATCTCAGAGTAACAGTGCTCAACAACAAGTTAGAGGTCTTTTGGTTAAACTAGTAGAATAGGAAGATATAGCGTCTATGCAACTGCTTCCTAAGCATTGGCTAGAGTAAAAAAGAAGGCAATATGTAGGTAGCAGTGCCTGATGATTTTTCCAAGAGTTTGTGAAGAATAATAATAATGTACCTGAAAGATCACAAAGAAGAACGGGGTTGTGAGAAGTATCAATAAACTTTGTATTTCATCAACATGCGACTTGACTGGTAAGTAAGGCTTAGAATTTGAGTGACAGGAGAGCATTGGGGGAAGATCTGGGGATTTTGATTGTCTAGCTGAGTCAGATGTTATGTGGAAAAGAAAAGCAGAACTCATACGAGACACAAAACTCTGGTAAAATAAATTCAACTTGGAAGCAGGGTGGATCATCATCAAGCTACCTCAGTGAGAGGAAGGCAAGGAATTCAAAACAAACAAAGAGAAGCGGGATTCTTGATTAACACTGTCGCAGGGAGAGTTGGCCAGTATTTATTCAGGAATGCGACTTAAATTAACTTAGTCAAAAAGTAGGGTGGAGAAAAGACAAAGAATGGGGGAAGGGGCTCCATAGCTTTGGCACCTTTCAATCCCTGTGCCTCTTTAACACTAGCCAAGATGAGATTTCTTTTAGTGAAATCTTTGAGCTGTTTGTAGCTGTTGAATGCGTTGTTGGCAGTTTTTCGCAACTTGGTAGTAGAGAAAGCAGCCGATTCAATATGAATTGATTCAATAAATCTGAAGACACCAAAGGAGTAGAGTTGTGCTTTTAAGTACAGGACCACTAGCCCAAGGGGAAAGTTGTCAAATCTTTTGTATAGATTCTCTCTCCTTTACCTGACATCTCATGCAAAGCTTCAACAACCTTGGATGTGAACTCCTAGTACTTGGAACCAAGAGGAGTGGTGATTCTGCTGATGTACACGGCAGACTTCCTGGCTATGTTGATCTCATGTCTGCTGTTGAAATGTTGCTGTCCTGGGAGCAACAAACATCCTCTTCCCAGTGCAGCTCAGGTATTCCTTGCCACTACGTCAACTATTCCATTCTGACTTGCCCCAGTGGGGCTGACAGGAGGGCTTCTGTCAACAACTGCCTTGGAACCGTCATTACCAAGAAGTGACGGAGGAGTTTCCCAACAATTACAGGGACATAATTGACTGAAGATGTACATACTCATCACATAAAAAGTGTGGGGCTGACAAAGCAATGGGAATAATAGGCTTTGTGGGTGGAAATTCCAGAAATACAACCAAAGACTTCCCTAATGTTGACCACTGCAAAACTAAGACAGGAATGGGAACATACAACTTTAGATGGCAAGCAGACCTTCGGTAGGATTCCAAGTCTTTAACCAAAAAAGCTGCTGGGTGACATGAAGAAGCTTTCCACACTATGATGCTACAGCCAATAAAAGGAGCAGTACTTGCCAAGTGTCTGTGCCATCAAAACACAAAAGCTCCCCTTCACTTAAGGGAGTTGGAATGTGACAATGCTGGTTGGATGGTCAAAGATTTGGTGGGTTACCTAGAAGATTCAAAACACACTTATAGAAAAGGGGTGTGACACCCATGGTATTGCACAACTACAGTTATAAGCCTGAGATAAACTTTTAAAATGTTTACAAGCCACAAAGGATACAGTAAAAAGTACTCTTAGCTAGCTGGCATAGATGTTGATCTCAGGAAACATTGGCAAGGTTATTTTTTAAGCATCCTGACAACCAGTGATGGGTGAGAAGAGTGCTCAGGAGGAGTTAGAAACATGATAACAAAGACTGTCAACATAAGAATGTGAACATACCTGCAAAGGCACCAGCCTTTTGAACACAGAAGGAATGGTACTGCAGTTGTCAATTAAGTACCTGTTCCCAAGTTTACCTGACCAACAGAGTTTAATATATTCGTGCTACAGGGTTTGTGCTGAAAGCTTTGACAGCTCAGAAGTCAGTTATAAATAATCTGGAACAGTTGTGACCAAGTGTTCTTTAGCACTTTCAGACAGACATTCAGGGCAACTGGCAGGGGCTTTGAAAGCTGTTTCCCACATTAGAACCATGATAAAAATAGGAAAAGACTGTTTCCTTGTCTTCTGCTAAAATAGATCTTACTCAACAAGATTTTTACAAGCATGACAGAGCACTGATTTAGCTTCCTCAAAGGTAGTTTAAACTGCTTCCAACAGTAACAATTAAGGCCTTTTGCAGTTCAGCAATAGGTATTTTTTAAAACTAAAGCAAGAGGAAACATACTGGCTTGGCTCCATAGTTCCCATGTACTCATGGGATGCTTTTGCTGGAGGAAAAAGGGAAGTGATTTTTGCCAATTCCTTCTCCCCCTGCTCCTTCAGACCCCCATCTCTTCTGAATATCTTCCCTATGGGGATGCAGAAATCTGTGGAATAGTGAAAGAGATGCCACAGAGGGAGGGAAACAGGCAATAATAAACCCCACCGTCCCCCCAGGGAGGAGTCTCTCCTGGACTGCAATTCTTTATGTGAGCTCAAAGGCAACTCTGAAACCCACACACTATTAGGAATCACCTGGTGAAGCAGAAACTGGTTTTACCCTAGGCCTGTATGATAAAATAAAAATAAAATCATAGCCTTCTACAAATGCTCTTTGGGGAAAAGGCATCTTTAAACTTTGCAATCAAACTGGCAGGTTAACTGATTAATTTTGGTTTTCTCATCAACATGTTTATATTGTATATCCACTGCGTCATTTTTTTGCTATAGTTAAAAATCATTTTGGAAAAATACAGTTGTTTTTAACATAAACAATTATCAAGTGGATGATCCTCCAGTGATCTGCCCAATAGTTTGAATAGGAATCATGAATCTTATTAGTCAGCATGCTCTCAAAAATATTACTGCTAGAGATGCTTCACTTACTATTAATCAACTCAGCTCAACCCAGCTAGAGAAGAGGAAATGTACGTTCACAGCCCAAAATACGGCCTATTGAAGTGGCATACATTTTTCTAGGCTAATCATCAGGGGTGATGGAAAATGTAGTCCAGCAACATCTGGAAGGCACCACACTGGCTACTCCTGTCCTATACAGTATGCCTGTGACTATGAAGTCTTGTATGGACTAGCATTGCAACAACTTTAAGCTCTTTTAAACAATCCAGATGCTGGACACTCATGCAAATGGTTATGAATTTATGTCCTAAAATACTAGCAAACACAATGATATTGCATCTAGCATATTGTTAGAGTGACCTTGTGTACATGCTCAAGAGAGAGATTAAAGAACTTTGAAAAGCCAAAAGAAAAAGCCAAGAACCACATATGTCTTTAGAGAAAGAGAAGAAAGAAACTATTCACATACAAAGCCTCATATGCTGAAATTCTAAATTCATTTCTAAACAAATTACTGTTAAAAGGACATCCTTTTCGTGTTTATTCCATATTCTACCATCAGAAGCACCTTAATTTAAAAATACTTCAAGCACTTAAAAACATATACTTAAAAATAACATTCACACACAGAAGGAACATTTACATGCACCAGAAGGCTTATATTAACCAGATTACCTTTAGGTGGAAAATATGACTTGCTTTCAGCTTTATGAGGCCAGTCTACTACAAGAGGTCCAAACCTACGAAAGCTGGCAGTGATTTCATCTATATATAAAAAAAGTTGTAAAGACCTTTAGAAAGGGAACTTCAAGGAAAATGACAATAATTCCCTTCCTCTCCCCACACTGAACATTACTATTTCATAGTACCTTCATCAATGTCAGGAGGCAGACCTCCAACAAACACCTTCCTAGAATAACGTTCCACTCTTTCACCATTTTGACAGCGGGTTGGAGAGCTAAGACCCGATGATAAAGACTGGTCACCATGGCTGTCATCTAAGAAGCCATCTTCGAAAGGAAAGAGTGAAGAACGACCTGCAAAAAATGTTGTAGTGTATTAGAAGTCAGAACATTACACTTTTCTGGAAAGACATATTTAATGAACAAACTAAGAGTGTTTTAAAATGTTGCAGTTCATGCTTCCCCCCAATGGGTCTTAAAATCCCTTCTATCATGCTATGTTATCACTGCTGTAGCCAGAGGTAAGTGAATTCTATATTGCAGATGAGTACAAAAATTTTCTCTTGCCTACCTGTTCCACATATTACAGCATGACTTGAACAGTGGTACTCGGATCACTAACCAATAATACACTGTTTTACTCTAGATGAGCATCTACAAGTGTCAAATTGATGATGTAAGACACCTGTGTCAAATATAGGTGGGTTCAGATGCTGTGAATAATAATTATATGATCACCATGCATCATGAGGGATGAGTTGAGGTTTGCTTTCAGCACTTCTGTTGGGATTCTGTCCTTTCCTGGGGCTTTACCACATGCCTTGGAGATGATGGCGTAGACAAATGCCAACCAACCAACCAACCACCACACAATTTTTAAAATATGCACTTGATCCTCCAACCATACATGTGAATAAGTGTCATTTCTGATATTAATACATGTCAAGCATGTTACCAGCAATGACCAGTTTGAACATGTGCAGATGACGAGGGTAATGTTGGGACCCCCTTACTCATTCATCCAGATGCACACAATACACACAGTGGTCAAGTGAGTTCAGAAATTAATTTTGGCTAGCTTGGAAAGAGGAGATAAAAGATGATAAAGTAGCCCATTCTGTTTGTAGATCACAAAATTTATCTGTAGCCATTTTCTTGTTTTATAGCATTGATTAGAATGTAAGTCTGCAGGTAGGATTTTGTAAATGTTAATGTATTTTGTCCAGCATCTATGTTTTACTTGCCTAGGAAATTATTATTATTATTATTGTAATAAAAATCAAACACAGAAGATTAATCTCTTATTCTGTCACCTGGAATGTTCATAATAATTATAATGGGCAATATACTATAATTTTAGGAAACTAAAAAGTTTTGAAAGGGCCAGTTGTATTAAACACCTGAACAATTTTAAACACATGGGGAAACACTCCGTGCTAAGGTGCTTGCTTTGAAGAAATGCTGGATGCATAAGAAAATTTCATCTTAAAATGTAGACTAAAGTGGAAGCATGAGCAAGTCCTAATTAATGTAAGTAGCCAATATAGTACGATCGCATCTTACGCACAATTAACTTGCATGATTTCAACTTTGCACAGTTGAAAGCCATCTGTTTGAAAGCCCACAAACTACCGCATTTTTCGCTCTATAAGACGCACCCGACCATAAGACGCACCTAGCTTTAGAGGAGGAGAACAAGAAAAAAAAAATCTCTCCCTCTCTGCTCAGCGCCTCTCCAGCAAAGCAGGAGGAGAAACGGAAGGGGCTCCATTTCTCTTCCCGCTTCGCTGAAGGGGTGCTGCACAGCTCTCCCTCCCTGCGCAGCACGCCTTCAGCGAAGCGGCAGGAGAAACGGAGCCCCTTCCGTTTCTCCTCCCGCTTTGCTGGAGAGGCGTTGAGCAGAGAGGGAGAGAATATTTTTTTCCTGGCTTTAGCGAAAGCAATGCGAAGCCTCCGGAGCACAGCGGGAGAAGCGCTCCCACTTCGCTCAGGAGGGTTCCGGCAGCTATCTCTGAAGCCAGGAGATCAAGAGGGATCGGTGCGCACCGATCTCTCTTCCTCTCCTAGCTTCAGCGAAAGCTGTGCAGCCTGCATTCACTCCATAAGACGCACACACATTTCCTCTTACTTTTTAGGAGGGGAAAAGTAAGTCTTATAGAGCGAAAAATACGGTAATTGCATGCAAGGTGGAGAGCTTGAAAGGTCATTTTGTAACTTGGTTTTCAGACTTGCTTATTGGGCTCTGGGATGCTCTCTGCCTTGCTTGGAAGGTAAGGATGGTCATGTGGGAGCAGTTCAAGTATACATGTTTTTGTGTATACACACCACTGCAGAACATAACACCCTTGCAAGATCCAATCATACTGTAATTCCTATTTTGGATACACTCAAAAACTATGGTTTGGATTGCAAGATAAAAACTTGAAGTGCATGGAAGGAAAGTTTTGCATGCCCGCCCTCCTCTCCTCAAATACCCATCTGTACCCCACTCCAGAGTCACTCCAGAGGATCAGAGGGCCTTCTTAAACAATGTAGGAAGGGGTGTGGATGGGGTGTGCTAAGGGAGTAGAAGACTGCCCCAAATCAGGCAGAGGTCTACTCAATTCCTCACCTCCTGCAGTGCCCCCAATGCCGCATGCCAAAACCTCTGAAAAAGATTTTTGGGAGGTTCAGGTGGCTGTAAGGAACATAACATTTTCCTTCTGTAAACTTCCTTAGGTTAAATTAACTTATCTTTGGATCCAAGTCCATGTTGGAAAACATTTTCATCAATAATTAGTTTCTTCAGACTATCCCTGTTCATGTGTCAGCGCTGCTCGGTGAAATTTTATCTTGACAAGGAAGCTTGTTAGAAAGAATGCTGGTCATCTCAGCTTTCACTTTAAAATGTTACACTAGTTCAGAATTGTAGAGATAGTCTTAGCCCTGTGGGTCTTTCTAGATTTTTGTTTATTTAAGATATTTGTATCCATTTCTATCAAAAATTAATCAAGACAGTTAAAATAATAAATACCAGCTAAACAATTTTATAAGCAACAAAAATCATTTAAGTTGCTTTAAAATCCAGTAGGTCAAAAGTTGTTAGTGTTTCTAGCACAATACTAAGCAGCAGCACCCAAAAACACTCTAAATACATTTTGCTACTCCACAGACTTGGTGTCAAAATAGAAGGTTCATCTTCCTTCATGCGTGCCCATCGTTATCCAATAAGCATCCATGGCACTGATGCATCAGCAATCCCCAAAGCAAGACAACTGCAACATCTGTTCTATGAAAATGTCAACCTACAAACTTTTTTCATTCTTAATAAACCTGTTTTATTATCATTTCAAATATTATTTTCCAAAGTTTCATTATCTGGAAACAGTTTTTCAAAATGGAATTTTACATGTGAGTAAAACAACAACAGAAGTTCGACGTGCAAGATGACTCAAAATTTCTCTATTATTTTCTCTAAAATTCAGTAAAAGAAAATAGAGAATAGGATAATGACTCTATAATGTGTTGATTGTTTCGCTTTCTCATTAGGTGAATTGAAATGTGTGTGTTCTTGCATTCCCTCTTAATTAGTTAATGGTGTTGGGAACAGTTATCCTGCATTCACAACTCTAATTTTAAAAGTGAAACAATTCAATATTTAGTTAAGGACAGAAATGAAAAGGACAGAAAAGTGTAACATGCATGCAGAACAATAGCAACGAAATGTAAGTAGAAAAGGGGAGGTGTCTCAGATCTAATATTCCCCTCCAGCCTCAAGCACCATCATGTAACCCTGCCTAGAAATGATGGAAAAAGCCAGGTATCCACTGCCGTAAGAGTCAAAAAAAGGAGGCAGATACAAAAATAAGAAAACTTCCCTATTCAAGTTAGAATATGAACTATGAGAATATTCCTTCTAGTAGTTTTGATTAACTAACAAACTCTGCTTAGCTGATGGCGGGGGCGGGGGATCCAGTTGCTAATGTGTTCCCTGCTTCGCATAGTTTTCTTCAGTGCTTATATTTCAAAGACAGATAGTATTTGTGCCTTTTAAAATAGAAGGTTGCACATGAGACTAAGATATTTTTTACTCGAGCCCTTAGTATATTAACAGTGCATTGCTATACATGTCTACTAAGAAATATTTTAACGGGACTTACTTATGATTTTAATGGAACTTACATACAACTAAGGGTTTAGGATTGCAGCCATGTCATGGCTGATATGGAAATCTGAGAAGCATGAAATCCTGTAGGCCCTTCACAGGTCAGCCAGCCAGTGGCACATCGTTGGAATGATTGGCAGATATAGTGTTTGGCAATATTATTCAAGTCTGGAAATTGTGACTGAGTAGACTGGTTAGAGACAGAGAACATGGCAATATTTTGGGAGGGAGCGGGGAGGTTGATACCTGTAACAACATTTCTTGAAATGGTCATCTGTGCTGTCAAACAGGCCTATGCAAATCAACATTTGTGACTTTCTTTTCCTCATGAAGTATCCAAGCACAAAAGTACAGCCTATGGTCCCTTAAGCATGTACCCCAAGGACGGCCCTTGGCTCTAGAGCAGTTTTGGGGATCATTGGTCATGCTGGCTGGGGATGGTGGGAGCTGGACTCCAACAACATTTGGAGGGTCACAAAGTTCTTTATCTATGCTCTAGGTCATGGGTAGGCAAACTAAGGCCCGGGGGCCAGATCCGGCCCAATCGCCTTCTAAATCCGGCCCACGGACAGTCTGGGAATCAGTGTGTTTTTACACAAGTAGAATGTGTGATTTTATTTAAAATGCATCTCTGGGTTATTTGTGGGGCACAGGAATTCATACATTCCCCCCCCCCAAAAAAGTCCGCCCTCCCCAAGGTCTGAGGGACAGTGGACCGGCCCCCTGCTGAAAAAGTTTGCTGACCCCTGCTCTAGGTGCTGAAGTTTGCTGTATGCAAACACAGAAGCCGTACGTGGGATTGCACAGAAACCAGTAAGAATAATGTTCTCCTTTAAAGGGCCACAGTAGCCCGCCCTCCCCGCATCTCTCTCTCTCCTAGGAAACTTCAAGACTAACATGCTAATTTCAGCAGAAACCTTTGTCTCAATTTTAAAATGAGAAGCCTGGTCTTTAAAAAAACACCTCAGCATAACTTTAAACTGAAGCTGCTCCTTCAACAATGTAATAAAACATACTGCATCACTGAAAAACCATCAAGGCAGAATATGTGCATGTGTTAAATTACTCAAGTTCAGTTTCAAGTATTAAATAATAACTTTAAAAATTGGCAGCAAAACAATGATTTGTGATAAATTAACCACAAGCAATTAGAAATCTGTATTGCGTGATTGCAGAAACAGAATCTGATACAGGAAAGCTGTACAGAGCATTACAGACTTGGGGGTGGCATGATAAAATAATAATTACCCACAGTATATACACATATTATTATGGTCTATCATATTCCTTGATGAAAACTGAAATGGGTCATAGCTTTAAGAGCTGTGCCTGGGGAAAAGTAAAAACCTCCAGAAGTCCCCAAAAGCACAGAAACAGTGGTACAATACATGTATACTCTGGTGTGCCTCTTCTAGGCAAATGTTTGCTATTTTTTATAATCTTACATGCTTAAAAGCAACATAATTTTTTTAAAAAAATAGAAAATTGAACACTTCAATTTTTCATTTTTTTGTTAAAGCATGTGAGATCATAGATGTTGATCCACACCTGTTCACATAGATCTTTGAAAATAGTTAAACTTTGTTTGCCATTAGTAATATATCAACATTTCATGAATATTTTACTTTGACAGGTCAGCAGCTACTGTCTACCACTACAGCACTGTGCTTTTTAAAAGAAACAAACAAAATCTCTCTCCTTTCAAAAACACTTCTCCGCTATGTTCATATAACTATAAAGCTATATATCCAGTATTGGGACTAGTGCCACTATGGCAGCAAGGGGAAGACACTCCTGTTGCCCCACAGAAATAAACAGCTGTACATAGCCTCAATTTGCTGTTCCCATCACCATATTCAGTAAAATTTAAAATATTTTTTTTACCTCGTCTCCGCCCATAGCTCCTGGCTGCATGTAAATACAGAAAAATATAGTGGGTATTGGCATAACAGTAATTACTATATATATTGTTTTCTGCAAAATTCGGCTTTTGAAGAAAGTAGTTTAAGTAATTCAAACAGTCCTAGGGTTAGTGACTGAGAGAAGCACTGTCTGGGCAACATGTTTCCCCAATGGCAAAGAATCCGTAGTAGGTGTCTAGAGGATGTAGACATTTATCCAGATGCCAATCTTGAATGATTTTTATGTAGAAAGCATTTTTAAAAGAGTTCCTCACAGAACTCAGTAGAAATAAATATATACAGCACTGAAAACTCAGCAATGTGCATTGTCAAAACATAACCATCCGTCAGTATCTGTTTAAATGGCTAGACATAGAACTAAAAGTTGTGTGCGTGCACATATTTGTATGTCCCAGCAACACTAATCTTCAGTATTCATCTCAGATCTTGGCAAAATAACGTCAATGAAGAAACTCGCTAGAAAACTCTAATTCTTACACAAATATTCAACATATTTTTTATTTTATTTTTTAAATTACAGCCCCCAAAGTGGGGTTTGATTGTTTTTTACAAACCTTGACAAAACTGAGCTATGATAATAGTACATGGGTTACTAAATGTAGTAGAAGAAACAGCAGAAGGGTGCTTATCTGATTGAGGCAGACAACTGAAACAAGCCATTTGGTAAATGAAGCTCTGAGTTAATTAAATGGGTTAGTGTGAATTTCTATACATTGCTTTACGCAGCTGAATCTTTATGAAGCTCCCACAATACTACCTGACATAGCATCTCTGCATTTTAGTCACACATGCTATTCCTAGAAATGCAGGGTCTATTATCACACTGAGAACAGCAAATGGATATGCTTTTCATTTTCTGATTGCTGCCTCCCTGCTGCAGCAATCTCTGAATTTTGTATTCTCCTTGTATTTCTCTTCTATCACAGAGAAAAATGCAGGCAGGCTGGGTAGGTGGGGGAATACTGTCCAAAGGTCTTTTTATATTTACGGAGGGGGGCATGATTTAAACACAGAACTTTATGGAATTCAGCCAGACAAATAATCCTTTCTATGAAGCTAGCTTAATGGACATCCCAATCTATGTGGCAACCAGAAAGCACTTCCCAAATAAAAATAGTGAATAGCTCATGACTGCAAGACGAACATTTTTGGCATTGTAGCTGAAGAAAATTTGACTCTTCTAGCCAATATGTAGCTGATTTTCACATTCACACAACATAAACTTAACAGAATTCAAATGGTTGTAAGCCAAGTGACCCACATTCAGAGAGGAGGCCCAATGAATCAAATGGCTTAATTTAATCATGGCAATAGGATTTCTTGGAGTATGACTGTTATGTACTGAGTTGAATAGGATCCAAACTGCAGCAGTCCTAGAACAATAGGATCCAAATTGCAGCAGTCTGATTGGTCCTAGAACAATAGGATTCAGAATGCAGCAGTCTGAGTGGTCCAAGAACAATGCAGCAGTATGATTGGGTGGTTCCTGCATTGTTCTTGGACCACTCAGACTGCTGCATTCTGAATCCTATTGTTCTAGGACCAATCAGACTGCTGCAATTTGGATCCTATTGTTCTAGGACTGCTGCAGTTTGGATCCTATTCAACTCAGTACATAACAATGACTTACTCTGTTTATTTTTAAAATGTTCTGCTGTTTCAGCTATGGACTGCATAACCCTTAGTGGAAAGGGTGTGTAGGCAGTGGGCTGTGTAAGAACTAAACTGGCAAGAAAATTTTATCCCTCTTGTCCTTTAATAAGGTCAAGAAGCTTACAGCAAACAAAATAGAGATAATGCAATTTAAATATAATAAATATTTTGGAAACAGCAATAAAAAAGCAATAGCAACAAAACATAGCAGCAGTAAATGAACATTAATAATCAGGTCAGTGATCGCTTTCAGTGGGGTGACTGGAGTGCATGGAAGGGAACATATAAAAAGAGAGGTGTCCTTAAGGTACTCCAGTTCTGAGCAGGAGTTTAAAAGAAAAGCCCGCAGAGTTGAGCCCAAAGACCACACAAGATTGGAGTATTATACTCTGGTCTCATAAGCCCACAGTCTTTCTAGAAACTAATGAGATAGTATGCTGAGGTTACTCAGCTCTGATAATATTTCAGCCTGGAACTCCACATGACTTCACTCAGAGATTTCATGTAGCTATTGAGAAACAGGGCAGGGTTGCAGTTTGGGAGGGACGGACATACTTCACAGCCTCAACTTTTGGAATGCAGAACTGGCATTCATTCACATGTCTTAAATATGCCATTTAATCTATGTTCTATATATGAAATTTTAGGATACAAACAAACATCTGAAAGTTTGGATTCAATGTGCAGAAACTGAAGCTAAACAATTGGTCCTGCTGTGCTAAGCTAGTTCAGATCCAGAAATTTGGACACAAGATTTTACCAACATGGCTGTGAAAGAGAAAATTATTTATCTTAAGTGTGAGTGCCTGGAAAAATTTCAAAGTATTTGGCAAAGATTCCTTGAGTTTTTCCAAAGTCTTAGATTTCTTAAGAAAACTTCATGCAATTTAATGTTTGCATAAATATGGGGTGGGGCAGGTTATGTAACTTTTCTTTTAATGTATTATTTCTTTTGTTTCACTGATCATTGTTCCCCTTGGCAAAGGATAGGATGAGGGAGGGAGGAAATTATAGCTAGTTTTGAAATGCTTTTATTTATAACATTTCTTTGTGCTTTAGGTGCCAACCTAAAAAAAAAGGACTGAAAGAAGTTGGAATCCTGTGGCATCCAATTAATGGAAGGGCCAAGAGGCAGAGCAATAGATTCCCACCATCACCTTCTGGCACTTGCCTCCAGAACCAACCTAATGCTACATTATCAGTCATCATTCAGAAGCACCAGCTTTTAAAAATTAAATGCAATTTTAAAAAAACCCACAAAAGCCACAATAATATTTAAGAAATTTTATAAACCATTTAATCAAAAAAATCAAAATCTTGTTTGTCAAGGGAGGTGATTTATATCATCTTAGTGGCACACAGACCATCTATGTTCCACCTCTTTCATGTTAAGTTGAAGAGCTCCACCAGTTGGTTTTTGCACAAGTGCCTTCACCCTTCCAAAGTTGGGATTCCCCATGCCTACTGGGTCCTGCAAGACGAGCGTCACCTGGGTCTTAAATTGAACACTCAATGGCACCATATCTCTATTCTCTCTTCCATTCTGTACATCTTGGATCTCATCCTTTGAACAAACGTTTCCTCTACGGCTTCTGCTTCCTATCCACCAACCATTCACCACAAGATCCTGTTTACCCTTCAACAGCCACTATTTGAGACCCTGAATACTGTTCCAGTCCAGAACTAATCACTCCTTTCCTCCACTTTTTGGAGTATCCCAGGTATAAGAAAATCCAGACTTAAGGAAAAGAAGTGCAGGAAGGCAGTGATTTGGAGGAGAATGTCATATGGAAAACAGAGAAATAATGAAGGAATAGGAAGCTTACACTAGCCACATTAGACAACAGTATGGATGAGCCCATAGTTCACTGGCTCAGAAGTACCAGAAAACTGTGGCCGGAGACCATCTTGGCTATGAGATTTGGACAGCCCATTCCCTGCCCTGCAGGCCTTTTTCCACCTGGCCTGGGAGGCTGGGGCCTGATTTACTCCAGCTACAAAAGTTGAGACTGCTGAAGAGATGAGAGATGGTTTTGGCTGCCTCTTAGGGCAAACCCAGGTCATCAAACCTGAACTTCCACAGCTGCCACTTGCCATGAACAGTGGTTGGTAGCAACAGATGCAAGTATGTTCTATGCTTATGATAATATTTTATTCTCTTGCTAATTATGCTGTTTTAAGAGTGCATTTTTATTTGCCTTCTAGTAAAGTTTTCTTTTGTAATGTTTAAGGTTTTTTTTTGTTAGCTCTGCTGTGTCAAGTGTACATTCCACTGTTGCTCTCCTCTGTAATGTTTTAAATCTTTAAGATAATATTTTAGGTCCCTAGTAATTATGTTGCTTTGAATGTATACTTTATATTTTGACTTTCTTCAATAATGTTTTATTCTGGATTGCTTTGTTTGGTGTTTAAATGTAGGTTGTAAACTACAGATTTTTTTCTTAACAATATAAAGCAGTATAGAAATGAAATGAATAATGATGATAATGATGAATAATTATTTATTAACTACCCAGTCTTCAATCTAAGGTCCGAGGGTGGGTCACAACATTAAAACACAAGATTAAAAACAATTAAAAACAACTTACAACCATAACCCCCCCTCCCGCTCAAAAAATTTTAAATGATACCAATGACTAAACATAAAGAAAATAATATGACATGTTAGTAAAATGTTTCCATGGAACTAGGGAAGGACAAAAATGCTTGGATAATGAAAATGCTAATTAATCTCAGTCAACTAAATACTATCAATCAAAAATATATTTCAACCCATTCCTCCTTTTGTCTACTAGAATAGGAGCAGAATAGAAGCAAGAAGCAAGTTGGCAAGTCACTGCATGGCAAAAGTGCACAAACCACATCTAAATCTAATACTTTGGTTTGAAGTAACTTCCTATGAAAAAATCAACTGTCTGCTGTGGATAACATGTCTTACGTTTGTTAATAGCTGATTTTTCCAGAGTCTAACTTCCAGTTATACTGGAAAAGTCAACTACACCTAAAAGCCAATTTTTTCAACATTTATCTTGCTCCTAATGAAGCCCAAACAGTAGCCAAGGTTTGTTCTATGGGTTACCACTTGTGGTTTGTCTAGGGGAGATAAACCACAAGCCTGGATTCAGACATAATGCTAAGCCAAACCATGCATTAACTCGCAGCAGGGCAGCAGCAGGACCAGAGGAGCAAAGCAGCTGAAATCTCTCTGAGATCCAGCATGTTTGCTCATTTGTGCTAAGCCTTGGTTTGGCTTAGCATTACATGTTAACCAGATCTGTGTGTAGTTACAGAACACATTCATGTTACTAAAATATATCCTGCAATAGAGATTTTGTATATTAGTGTGACTCTGTTCTAATGATGAGGTCAGCCTCCAAGGGCCTCATTCCCTGAAACATGTCTAGCATTGGATTCTGAAGTAGGTTTAAGAACAAACGGATCAGTTCCTTTTGAAAACCTAATATTTACTCTCACAATGGAGCTTAGCTAAAATTATAGAACATTTAATATGTGGCCTGTAACTACAATAGGGTGATATTGGTAACCTTTGGGCAGAACATTAGAGAGACATCTCTTGGATACTATTTTGCTGCTGTCCCTGTTTACAGTGGGGAATTACCTCAGAACTATGTTAAGACACGGGTGGCACTGTGGGTTAAACCACAGAGCCTAGGGCTTGCCGATCAGAAGATCAGCAGTTCGAATCCCCACGACGGGGTGAGCTCCTGTTGCTCGGTCCTTGCTCCTGCCAATCTAGCAGTTCGAAAGCATGTCAAAGTGCAAGTAGATAAATAGGTACCGCTTCGGTGGGAAGGTAAATGGCATTTCCGTGCGCTCCTCTGGTTCACCAAAAGCGGCTTAGTCATGCTGGCCACATGACCCAGAAGCTGTATGCTGGGCTCCCTCGGCCAATAAAGCAAGATGAGCGCTGCAACCCCAGTGTCGTCGGCAACTGGACCTAATGGTCAGGGGTCCCTTTGCCTTTTTATGTTAAGACAGAGATAGTCAATGTGATGTTGAACTACAGCTCCCAGCAACCCTGACAACTTGGCATTCTGGCTATGGTAGTGCCACAACATCTAGACATACCACAAAAGCTATACCACAAAAGCTAGCTGCTAAGCAAGGGAAGAGGAAGGCCAGAAGGAATTTAATCATCAGCCATGTTTTTCCTTTAGTCACTGAAAACCATCATGCTGCAATATTCTGGTGTGAATAAACGTGTGTCTTTGAGCATATGTAGAATGCCCTTCACTAACCAATAAACAAGTATTGTAAAGCTACTGTTCTTGCCTTCCCAACATATGGTATTAGAGTTAAAGACCTGAACAGGGCATAATTCTCAGGCTGCTGAAGCCCAAAATGTTTCACTACATTAAAAAAGGTACTGCATTGCACATGCAGGTCCTGCTTACTGAACACAATTCATTACCTGGAAATTTTTCATTCGGCAAGCCTTCACATAACATATCCACAATTTCTATTATTTCCTATGGAAATATTTCTAAAGCGGGATTTGTCCGCTCTTGTCCCCCCCCCCCCCGGGTTTGTTCCTGAAATGGCTGCAGCCAATCAGCAAAAGAGAGATAAAGTTTTTAAATATACAGTATATAAAAAACCCTGATTTGTCCAATCTCTCCTGCTCTCTGATTTGTCTGATCTCGCTCCCCTTTTCCTCTCTCCATGGTTTCTTCTGGGAAATGGCTGCTGCCAACCAACAAAGCACGAACAAACAAGGAAGTAAGGAAGGAAGTCAGCTGTTCGGATAGGTGAACCTGCTGAGTGAGATTTGGGCATAATCCTTTAAGTGTGGATAACTGATCTTTCAGATAGCAAGCGTGCAGATAGTGGGACCTGCATATACTGGTCTAAGTGAATGAGGTGACATAGTAGAAAGACACTCCTTGGCCTCACATAGAATCTTAAAACTGTAGAGTTGGAAGGGACCCTGAGGGTTATCGAGTCATCCCCCCCCTACAAAGCAGAAATCTCAACTAAAGCATCCATGACAAATGGTCATCTAACTTCTGCTTAAAAACCTCCAGGGAAGGACAGGGAGCATAGCTGTCGACGTTTCCCTTTTTTAAAGGGAAATTCCCTTATTCCGAATAGGATTCCTCGCAAGAAAAGGGAAAAGTTGACAGCTATAACAGGGAGTTCATTCCACAGTCCCGTACTACTGGTTTTGGGAGAGGTTTTTAAGTTGGGGTTACCAGCATGGCGTCCATGGGCTCAACGACACCCATGAGGACTTCCTCTGGCACCTGCAAAGCCTCTGAGCCCTCTCCCACTCAGAGCCCCATTTGTCGTGAGATGGCAAAGGTGACTATCCCCCTCCCCACGTTTGCAAAGCACAAGAAAATGAAGGCTCATTGTTCTTAATTATAATGTTTTGAATGAAGCCTTTCCGCAAGTTATGCTCAAAGTGATGATGATGCCAGAACAATGGGTACGTCTACTTCGTCTGTTAGCTCTATTTGCTTTTCAAGAATCAGATGAGCAGCAGAACAGAAAGTGGAATGACTGAGAAAGGATTAAGTATAAAGGGGGACAATCTGGAAAACTAACAAAGATCACCACAGCCAATCACAAGCAAACAATCACACCCTAGGCCAACCCCAACCTCTCTCACCACCAAAGGAACACAAGTGAACAACACAAGCAACGCTGACACCAAACTCTACATACATTAAACATAATAGAAACACCGCCACCCGACCCCACCCCCATCCATCTTCCCTCTCTCCACCCCCTGTCTTTTTTCTTTTTCCTTCTCCCCCTAATGCCTCAACAAATGAAACGGATTTGTAAAAATGTTACATGAAAAAAAAAATACGAGGCACTACACTTCTGTAAAACAAGAAAATCCTTAAAAAAATATTTTTAAAAAAAACTGGGAGCAGGAAAATGCTGCTCCGCAGGAGTCAGAGAAAGAGAGGTGAGACATGCATAAGAGATTCAGCAAAACATCCTCTCAAAGCTGCATTTTTATTTTACACACGACCAATAATTACCATCAAATCTCAAATCACATCCATCTCCATTGATTGCATTGTCAAAAATCACAGATCTGTTATTTCCAGCACTGCCATGGGAACATGTATATAAGGCACAGATTATTATGGATCCTCATGATTTTATAAGGGATCTCCACAAAATCAGCATCTGATCAAATATTACCTGTGTCCATAGATGTGTTCTGTTATTTGTTTCACATGATAGTAGCAATAGAGACTGATTAAATGTACATAGACTTTTCATCTATTTCATCTATTTTTCCTTTCCTTTCTCTTCACGGTACCCAAAAGACAAATATTTAAAAGCATATTGCGTATAGCCAAATTATATAAACTGCATTATAAGAAGATAAATGTAAACTTACTATTGAGAGCCATAATGTTATCTGTTCCTGGATGATGAAAATTTATACCCATACGACCTAAAAAATAGAACATTTTGGCATCATATTTTATGTTCGGTAGGCTACTTTTCAATGCTAGATTTCACAAATGTGTAAAAAATGGTAATGAAACTAGAAAAGATTTGCTTTTTATATACTTCTCTATAAGAATGTTTAATAGTAATTATGCATTCTATTTGCTAAAAAACAAAAAAAATGGAAGGGGAAGATCAGAGGAACTTTAAACACTGCCAATTTCACTTTATTAATTTAATTAAATGTAGTATTTCAGTTCAGACTTACACTTTTTAAATTATTAACATGACAGACCTATGTTAATCATTTAGTATTATTTTATCCCAACCAACCCCAAAGAAGTCCAGAGCAGCAAACAAAACAATAAATAATTATAAAAACAATATAAAGCATATTTGGGGGGGGGGTTCTTATTGTATCACATACCACTTTTGGACTATCTTCAAGGGCAGTTACATGTAGAGCACACTGCAGTAGTCCAGACTGGTGATTACTACAGCATGAAGTACTGAGACCAAGCTATCACTATTTAGGAATGGCAACAGCTGACAAAGTAGCTTAAGCTGGGCATAAGCATTCCAAGTCACCGAATGTATTTGAGACTTCAGTGACAGATTGGAATCCATGAGTACTCCCAAATTATGAACCTGTGCCTGCAGAGGAAGTGCAACCCCTCCCAAAGCAGGTCATTCACTTAATTACAAGACATAGGAACCAGCCACCCACAGCTCATCTGCCTTACTAAAACTGAGCTTCGGTTTATTGGCCTCCATCCAGTGCATCATGCTTCCAGGCACTACTCCAACACCTTCACAGCCTCTCCAGATTCAGATGGAATGGGAAGAGAGCTGTGGGTCATCAGCATACCAATAACACCATGATCCAAATACCCAGATGACAACTCCCAATCATTTCATAAATATCAGCATAGCTAAATAGCCCCAAAACTATGGGGCAGGGCAACAGACCCTTGATGCTACTTTCTGGTAGTGACCCCACAGACAGGAGCAGAACCTCTTTAACAGAGTGTCTCCCAAACCCCTGAGTTGTTGCAGAAGGACAACATGGTCAGCAGTGTCAAGCGTGCTGACACATCAGGGAGTGCCAGCATGGTTGCATTGTTGCCATCTCTCTCCTGATAAAGGTGACAGCCATCAAACCAACCAGGGCTGTTCCGCTGCTAAAATATTTATGTAACACTATAATATTAATTATTATATTGTTATTATTCTTCAACTATGCAATTCAATAATTTAAATTATTTAGTTATAGCAAGTAACTAACACCTTAAACAAAATCTTGAACCCTAGAAAGGAAAGTATTTGTCCCTCTTCACTAGCTCAGCAAGATAGAACTGCTGATAAAAACTCTCACAGAAGCCCTCTTCAAGTGTTCCTTTCTTGACACAATTACATTGCACTCAGGAGGAAGTGGGGAAAAGCACTCTCCTCCATCACCATCCCCTTCCGTGAGTATGGCTGGCCCCCATTTCCTCCTCAATGCAATGCTAATAGTGTGGAGAAAGGAACACCTGAAGAATTCTCATGATTTCAGCCTATTGGATTGTCGCTTGTTACTGTCAACTCCACCTCTACTAAATCACTGGAAAGAAGAAGACAACCCACAGATGTTCAGTGCCTGCTTAATGGGATGCTGACAGTTAAGACAGAAATAAATCCCTTCTTCCATTTTTCTGAAAAGAAGCAGAAGCATCCTTGAGGCACATAGCTTAGAATCACAGAATTGTAGAGTTGGAAGAGACCCCAAGAGTCATTTAGTCCAACCCACTGCAATGCAGAAAATGCTTGGAGACCATCAAGATGTTAGTATAAAGAATCCTCTCTCTGCCTTGCTTCTGGCAACTTTTGTGACCCTCTTTGATTCACTAAAACTTGTGTAGTGTTTGAAAGAGGACTGCAATAGCAGTATGCTGTATTTTTGCAAATTAAGAGACAGTTAAACTAGAAATTTTCTAGTTTGAATCTTGCCTACCATGAACTCAGCTGGTGTTTAATTTTGGTACGTTTGTAATTTTTACTGTTTTTGGTTTTTATTGTTTTATTGTGTTGTTTTGTTTTTACATAGGTTTTATTTTGTTTTAAGGGGAGGGGTCAGGGCTGCCTAGGAGTGGGTCCCAGCCAACAAAATGTCTGGGGCAGGTTCCACGGGGGGGGGGGGGCAAGGCAGATGCACTGGGACAACCGATCTCAGTAATCACGGGTAGGAGGAGGAGTTACGCTAAGACCAGACCATGTCATTATCGAGGAGGCAGGTTTAGTCGTTATTTGAGGACTATCCCTGCCTCTGGGTCTGGTCTTGTCCGGACGGATACTGGAATCAGCAAGGGATACCCACATGACCTGAAGGTGCTGCTGTGCAATGCCAGGTCAATGATTCATAAGACCACTGCCATCCATGACTTGATCGTGGATGGAGGACTTGACCTGGCATGTGTAACAGAGACTTGGTTGGATGAAGCAGATGGGCCTGTTCTTGCTGCTGCTTGTCCACCAGGTTTCTCTTACGCACAGCAACCCAGGCCTTGTAGGCGGGGGGGGGGGTTGCAGTGATTTTTAGGAAGTCATTAGTTTGCACTAGGTGTCTTATTGGGAAGACCTAGTTCTCTGAGTGCATGTTCTGGAAGTTGGGCAATAGGGGCAGTACAGGATTCCTTTTGGTGTACCGACCTCCCCGCTGCACAAAGGATTTCCTGCCCGAGCTGCTTCAGGTTGTGGCGGATGTTCTGGAGACACCTAGTTTGGTTGTCCTAGGGGATTTTAACATCCACCCCAACACAACCTTACAAGGGGCCGCTCGAGACTTGGAAGGATGGATGGCGGCTAATAGATTGAGGTTGAATCCTGACAAGACAGAAGTACTGTTTTGGGGGGACAGGAGGTGGGCAGGTGTGGAGGACTCCCTGGTCCTGAATGGAGTAACTATGCTCCTGAAGGACCAGGTGCGCAGCCTGGGAGTCATTTTGAACTCACAGCTGTCCATGGAGGCGCAGGTCAATTCTGTGTCCAGGGCAGCTGTTTACCAGCTCCATCTGGTACGCAGGCTGAGACCCTATCTGCCTGCGGACTGTCTCATCAGAGTGGTGCATGCTCTAGATATCGCTCGCTTGGATTACTGCAATGCGCTCTATGTGGGGCTACCAGGTGACCTGGAAACTACAACTAATCCAGAATGCGGCAGCTAGACTGGTGACTGGGAGCGGCCGCTGAGACCACATAACACTGGTCTTGAAAGATCTACATTGGCTCCCAGTATGTTTCCGAGCACAATTCAAATTGTTGGTGCTGACCTTTAAAGCCCTAAACGGCCTCGGTCCAGTATACCTAAAGGAGCATCTCCACCCCCATCATTCTGCCCGGACACTGAGGTCCAGAGCTGAGGGCCTTCTGGCGCTTCCCTCATTGCAAGAAGTCAAGTTACAGGGAACCAGGCAGAGGGCCTTCTCGGTAGTGGCACCCACCCTGTGGAAAGCCCTCCCACCAGATGTCAAAGAGAAGAACAACTACCAGACTTTTAGAAGACATCTGAAGGCAGCCCTGTTTAGGGAAGCTTTTAATGTATAACAGACCACTGTATTTTAATACAGTGGTGCCTCGCAAGACGAAAAGAATCCGTTCTGGGAGTCTCTTCGTCTAGCGGTTTTTTTGTCTTGCGAAGCAAGCCCATTGACGGATTAGCGGATTAGCGCTATTAGCGGCTTTTAGCGGCTTTTAGCAGCTTATCAGCTTATCGGATAAGCAGATAAGCGGCTTAGCGACTTAGAAAAAGAGGGGGGAAAGGAAAAAAAAAACGCAGGAACTCGCAAGACATTTTCGTCTTGCGAAGCAAGCCCATAGCAGATTCGTTTTGCGAAGCACCTCCAAAACGGAAAACTCTTTCGTCTAGCGAGTTTTCCGTCTTGCGAGGCATTCGTCTTGCGGGGCACCACTGTACTTTGTTGGAAGCCGCCCAGAGTGGCTGGTGAAACCCAGTCAGATGGGAGGGGTATAAATAATAAATAATTATTATTATTATTAGGCAAGCCAAACCATCTTCCCTCAATCTGAAAATTTCCTCTACAAAATGAGGATGATATTAGCCTACCTTATTGGGTGCATGTAGCAAGATCACGTATGTGAAGTGTTCTGAAGACTCTAAAGTGCTACATAAATGCTTGCTATTGCTCCAAACCCCCACAATTAATACACCTGAAGAGGACTACACATTTGTAACTTCTTGTGAACTTATTTGAAAGGCTGACCTGATCAAGCCAGCCTGTGAAATAATTTCTGGTTACCACCCACGGTGACAACAGTAGCGTGCCAGAACCAGAAAACGAGATAATAAGAATATGGTTAACATATTCAGGAGACTGTGCTTGGGTATGGTCACGCTGCTGTATGTACCATAGAGGGCTATATATCAACTGGTTTTAATTATAAACTGCCACCCCCAAAATAGCAGTTGAGATCCTAAATGAATTCTAGCTAGTTCAATCTTAGTGTTGTTGTTTTTAACTCAATCCACCAAAATAAATAGCAAGCTGTTGACACAGAGTTACATAAACTCTGGAATACAGACTCAAATAACAGACAAGTACAATATAAAGGTTAAGACATAGATAAAGGCTTAGATCTTGCACTTTTCATCAGCCCAGTCATTCTACCACCACCCTAAGTGTTATAGCAAGCTCTTAAATAGCTTCTTCAGGAACTCAAGTCAATGCAGGGCAGTTTAAAAAATCTTAATAGAAGCCTCACTTGACATTGGAAGGAGAAAAAAGGCACCTTCACTGGAATTTGCTACCCACGTTGTTTCATATTCATTCATGGGATATCCATTTCCAAGAATAACAAGCAAGTTATATATTGACTTCTCACTGTGGTATAGTAGGGTAGCCCTATACCCAATATGCAATCACCCATTCCCCGAAGGGAGGCATGCACACTACCCAAGCAAGAAACAGCATGTGAATCCAATCTAATCTCTAGCTATGTCTGCAGAAGAATCCCATATGGCACACAAATGTCTGCCAAAATAGTTATCAGCATAATGACTGCAATAAAAGGTTACCCAACCATTTAAATTGTTTTATGGTTAGATATGAGTGAATAAATGAGCATGCTATGAATTATGGCTCTCAATGCATATTTAATCTCTCTCCTCCTTTCCTTTGCTGAGGCTGGAATTGTGCTATTCAACCAGATATAAAAATAGAATCAAGAGTGTGACATCTGGGGTGTGTGTATGTGTTCATTCAGTCACTCTGCTAGGTGCTGCCTGTGTGACATTTTGTCACCTGCCCTTTGCCTTCTATTTTTAAGTTTCTCTTGACAACTACCTTCCCAGAAAAGCAAAAATGTCAAATTGTATGAGCAGCCACGCATACTTGTTCTTACAATACTAAGAGCTCTAAATAGGAAAGTACACATGATCGTTTCGGTCTTCAGCTCCTTGAGTGAATAGCTTAAAACTGAAATACTTCGCATTAAATTTTGTTTGAGAAGTTGATCAGCAATAGAATTAGTAATTACTGCTGTTTCAAAAATATCTCAATAACATATAATATTAGTCAGCATTCTGTGTTTTAGTTTAGCTGTAACCAAGAATCTTAGCTTTTAGGGAGAAGACTACAGTAGTAATAACGTCTGACTGAAACTAATACAAATACAGCTGTGTTTTTTGGTTGATATTTTCAGTTTCAAGTTCAAAGTGGTTAAGGACAAAGTAACTTTAAGTATACCAGTTGAAATGTTTGCATCATGTACGGTATTCAGCTTGCAAATCATGACAGGGCAGTTATTGCCAACCCTGACTGGGTCAATAACACTTACTCTTCCCCTCATTCAACTTCTCTGGCTTTGGTCTCCCTATTTTTCTGGCCAGGGAGGAGGCACTGGTGGAGGAAAGGGGGGAGCGCACCACCCCCAGCACCATCGGGGGAGTACCATCGCGGCTGTGTCCTGGACGCCCGCTGCACACACCCCCACCGTGCCAGGCGCCACACCCCCGCAGGCACGCACTGTGTGCCCCCAGGACGCACACCACACCCCCATGGGTGGCATGCTACGCCCCCGGGACACGCCCCCACCTGCTTTCTGCCCCCAGTGCTGGAGCATGCAGCTTCGCCACTGGGAGGTGGTGTGGGGACAGGATTTTCCTGACCAAGAAAGCATAGCAGAGAGCTGTGCCAACAGTGCCTGTATTCTCCCTCAGTGCTGGGCCTGCATGCAATTACTTGGGGCAACTTTAATTCACCACAAGGCACGTGCTTAATTGCATGAAGTCTGAATCATTTATTTCCCACATTTCGGACAAAGGTCTGCCAAAGAGGCTCACATCTGTTGGCAAAATGAGACACAAGCCCTGCCGTCATGCTTACAAGCTTAAAAAAGATTAAAAAAGGGAAGTGATGAGAAAAGGTAGAGGAGGAAGATCCATTAGAAAATGCCAAAACGAAGTGCCGAGTTATAAGCAGCCATTTGTATCCAGTAGAGACCAGAACTTTTTTTTGCCAGTTTAAGATTTGAACATTTTATTATTCTCAGTAGCCCTACTTAAATCATTAGGTTTATTTCAAGAACTACTAGGGAACAAAATTGGATTTTTGAAAATGATTATAGTATCTGTATTAGCTGATGTCCTCTACTATAGATCACATATTCTATTTTTTCTTTGACAAAGGTGTTGTTCAGATAGAAAACTTCCTATGGTGAAAACTATGATTCAGTATAAGCATGGCTCAAGAGAAACTGCAGTATTAGCATTGTAAGTCGGACCATAGTTCTCCACCCCAGAGGCACTAAGGTAAGAGTGAACAATTTCATGTGCATCAAGTTTCTCATTATGTTTAACTTTAAGAGAACATAGGCAGTAATGGTAAGATGGGTCAAATCCCACTTCTACTTTACTTGAAGGCTTCAAGCAGCTTAAAGCACAGGAGGAAAATAATTCATGCCAGTGTACAATGGTAGGAAAATAGCTGTTGTGCTTAACAACATGAGAGAAAGCAGATTGAAAGACTGCAAATTCTTCAAAAATAAAAGAAAATAACAACATCTACCTGTCCACCTACTCCTAAAAAATGTCAAGTTTAGATATTAGCACGAATGAGTTACACATACATTGCCTACCAGATTAAAAATATATATTCTGATTAAATCTATGGTAGAAGTACTGCATCTGAAATTTTATCAACAAGATAGTTCTAAACTTCTGCCATCAGCATGAAGGGTACAGCCTTGAAAAACTCAAGGTTTTGGAAAATAAATTGCTATGTTGACCAGTAATACTTCTATATATATTATAATTTAAATATTACTACTTATATTTTAAAGGAATCTATGTGGAATTTAAGTATATTTACAGTATATTTAAATAGAAAACTTTTTAAATGGCTTAAATAAGGTATGCAAACTGGTTTTAAAAGGTGTACAATATTATATTGGACTTCAGATTCCCCATAGATAGGGAAGGTAAAACAACCAACTTTGACTGCCTCAGAACTTGTATTTGGCTCACAGTACCTGAAAACCCCCCCAAAATATTCTAAAGTTCTAAGAGGTCATTCTTCTTCATAAATGAAATATTCTAAACAGAGAGACTTCAAACACACTTTATGTAAACATTATGTTGCAGCACACAATGCCCTCTTTAGTTTTTGCTTTTTAGCAGGCAGTCCCAGCGGTACTGAGCCAAAAAGAGTTAGCAGCCAACTGTGTAATTCCAGCCACGTGACCTCAGCTGACTGGATTTGGGTTAGAGAACTCGTGCATTCCTACAGGAATACTGAATTTCATTCCCTTAACATTATCTTTATCACGATGCCCTTCAGCTGCCTGGTTCTCAATAATGCAGAGAACTACAATAAACAAGAATCACCAGCAGTGTCAATATTGCTGAGCAAAACAACTACCGTATTTTTCGCTCCATAAGATGCACCTGACTATAAGATGCACCTAGTTTTTAGAGGGGAGAAGCAAGAAAAAATATATTCTGCGCAGAGCATGTAAGCGGCTCTCGCTTTTCTTGCTTTAAACCCTTCCGTCCCTTCTCCTGCTGCACAGCTCTCACTGAAGCCAGCAGAGCAAGAGTTATAGCTGCGCAGTGCCTCTTCTTCTGCTGGCTTCCCAGCAAAGTGGGATGAGGGATGAAAGGGAGCCCTTACATGGAGCTCCTTCCGTCCCTCCTCCCACTTCGCTGAGAAGCCAGCAGAGCAAGCCCACAAGAGCCGCACACATGCTAGGCGCAGCTCTTTAAAGAGCGCACGGCTCCAGCAAGAGCCTCCCACCTGCATTCGCTCCATAACACACACACACATTTCCCCTTACTTTTTGGGGGGGAGGTGTGTCTTATGGAGCGAAAAATACGGTACATGACTCAGCGAAAATAAAAATAAACATCACCAGACTTTTTAAAAAACATACATTTTACGACTCTATAATTTATTAGAAAACCTATCTGCTACAGTTTAACAATAGTGATGGCTGGTAGACAATTGCATCTGTTCAGAGCAAAGGGCAATTTATAATGTGCCCACTGGACTAAGTAACAAAGCATACACATCAAGGACATGATACTCAGTTCCCCCACCCCACTTCACAAATGCAGATTCAGATATGGAACCAGTGGTCCACATGCTTCCATCAGCAGGTGGCCAACGATGATGATCAAGTCTTTTCTAATAAATAATTATAATTATAATTATTATGTTAAAAACAATAGTAAATACTGAATTGTTACTGTCTAAACTAACTATGTCATAACTGGTCAGCTTATGATAAGACCTTAATTGCTCTTCTCTGGCCTTTGGGATTATTAAGACATATATGGTGTTGAATTAGGTTTGCCAAGCAGCTGGAAAAGACCTTTAGTTCCAGAAGAATAAAAGCTTCTATATGGTGATATATGTTATCATACAAAGCTGCTTCCTATGACTTCTAGGTCTTTAACACAACAGTTAAGAGACATGGGCAATTCATTTAACATAAGTTGCAGCAAAGATTCTGTCTCAGTATGTAAACTTGACTAGTGGGAATTGTGTTCCAGAGAAGGCAACAGGCTCAGCAAGATCAGTGCTATACTCAGGCACAATTGTATAAAGAATAGAACCAGAAGTCAAGTCAGGAGGACACTTCATAAAATAATAGGTGTTGAGAGCTGTTCACAGTGCCCAGTGGCAAGCTGACATTTTATCTGAAAAGACTTAATGGCTATGAAGCAGACCTTCCAAGATTCATTTATCTGGCAGAAGGACAACTGAACTGGCTAGCACACATTCATATCGTCTATTTTCAAACACAATAGTTTATTGTAGCAGAAAGACCAGCATATTTTTACTGCACAGACTGCTACAGACTTTCCCCAAATGCCTCTTATTTCATCATAGTTTGATACATTTGCTACGAAAATTCCAAAACATCTCAGATACTTGTTTAAGGTCCAGTTGGTAGACCAATACTAAAGCCAGCTTTATTATTCAAATTATTTTTATCCCACCTTTCTACCAAAACTAGTCCTCCAATTCACAAGCCTACACTGCACTTTTTCTTGCCTTTCTGCAACTAGTCTCTGTGAAAGACTCCCAAGCTAAAAGACACCCCTTTAGAAAAGGATGGAGACTAGAATGTATATGCACAGGTTTTTATCAACTTTCCATGTTTCTTCAAACATGCATTTGATTTTTATGCCTAATAGGGAGTACTGGAACACTGTATGTACAAATATCTACTGAGTTTGACATCATAACAGCCCATTAAAAGCTGCCTCACGCATCTGGCACACATATATGTGAAGTAAATCAGTCCTTGAGACATAGAATACATCTCATGTTACCCCTGCAGAGACAGGTCACATGGTTTTATTCAAGGACAAATAAGTGTACTGCAACTTCAGACTGAGTATTTAGGTTAATTCTGATGTTACTTTTTCTAGTACTGCCTTTACAAGATATGTAGGAGGACTGTTTGTTATGACGTTTGTTATAACACAGCAGCACCTAGGCCATACTGCACCAGAGACAAAAGCAGGAATGGGAAACCTGTGGTCTTCTATATGTTGCTGGACTGCAACACCCATCATCACTGGTCATGCTGGCTGGGGCTGATAGGAGGTCGAGTACAATACTCAAATCTTTCTTATGTATGTCTGTGTCCACGGGAAACCATTTCCAGGGGTCTTTTTCTTGGCACACTTGCTGTCTATGTGCAGGAATGTTTTTTTGTGGGGGAGCATTTCAGAGGCACAGGTGTGCTGTAAAGGTCTAAGTTCCCATTAAGCTCAGGTATATGTAGTTTTCTTCTGTAAGAAACCACCCCCCCCCCCAGTTATTCCCTCAAAAAAAGAAGAAAGCTAGCCAATTGTTTTTAGAAACATACAGAAAGCACATAATGTTGAACAGAAAGAAAACAGGCTCATGTGGTGCCATTTGGGTGGCTGGTTTGTAAGATAACAAAGAGAAGGTTAAAGCTACATCTTTCCAGCATCATAATTATCCAATCTGAGGCCAACACATGCAACTGAAAGTTCCTCAAACTTGGCCTTCCAAACCTATCAGTCAAAGATTTGGGGGGGGGTGGCATTCAAACACAAGAACTTACACTTGGATTCCCAAATAATGTCATGGAAGCTTGATCACAGTCTAACTAGTCTGCTGACTCAGGCTGCCATTTCCCCACAGCAATGTTTTTAATTAGGTTAGTTAGTAAATATCAAGGGGCACTAAAGCTATCTGAATCGGAAAAGGACATACAAGCCCAGACCAGTGCCTGGATTCAGTGGTGGGCTGGAGGAAGAAAAATAACCAGTCTGAATCCTGGCAAGGTGAAGGCACTGTAGATGAGCACTTCCTGAGGCCAGATAATTGGACAGTTGCCTTCTTTGGATGGTGTTATATACCACCTGAAGAAGCAGGTAGCTGAGCTACCACACTAACTTAATAACATAGAGTGTGCTCCTTGTGATTTTAGAGCCCACTGATTAGCAAATACCACCATATCCTAGCCACCGATACACACTGCATTGGCACAATATTGTTTAATGTCATTATGTTGGCATGTCCTAAAACTATACTTGAGTTATGTGACATCACAGAAATACAGTAAATGTTTTCAACCAAGTTTATGCATTCAATTCTATGAATTCAGTTCTATGATATTTTGCAAGTAAAATTACTAGGTTTAGGGAGAAATTCATGGCATATCATTGTGAAGTAAAACAGCAAATATTGTGGGAAGCAAGTGTAAATAAAACATTTGGTCAAAATGGCATTGCAGGAATAGTTCACTTCAGCTGAACAAGTAATTCCAATGCAGTGAATCCTTTTAACAGGATCTTTACTTGAGGCTTGCATTCTGAACTTCACTGGAATTAAAAGGCTGAAAGATGAAAACGCTTCACTGTTCTGAGTACCAGTTCCCATATTCACTTGCCCAGTCTTCAGCCTTCCTACAACCAACCTGAATTGATGATTTTGACCTCCAATATATCCTAGGTGTCCCATGGAGCTTGGAATGAATGCAAATTCATTTTCTGCTCCATCTGGACAGTTAAATACAAGATCAGTCTAGATCCCAGACATTCTGTCCCATGCTCAAGACTAACTGATTGATCTCCAAAGTTTGATAAGCAATTAGATATTGCTCAAAATTTGTGCACTAAATATCTGTGATAATATTTTTTCAACAAAATCCATTGCTCTCTGTTAAGTAATTCCTAAAAGCTATATGGCACATTTAGCTAAAGACTGGCGAGACTGATGTTGAAGTAGACATTAGTATGAATTATTAAACTAAAAGCTGCCCAAACCACTCACTCACATAATTTATTATGAGTGCTAGGAGTAGTTTAATCTTTATCACTGGAGCTGAAAGAACAGCCTGGTCTTCTCAGCTGAAGAGATATCAATATTTCATTATCGCAACCAAAGAAGTGATTTTTTAAAAATGTAATCTTTCTTTCCCCTAATTCCAAACCATTTGAGATTTGTATCCACATTGGAAACATGATAATTATGGGTAGATATTTAAACAACCACTTGAAAATATGAGCAACCCATTTCATAACAGAATAACTGGATTATCAGTTTCGCAGGTTTCATTGATTTAAAAATTAGAAGCTGAAAGCCTAAGATCTTTTTGTAAAAGAAAAAAAGTCCTCTAAAGAAATCATGATTATTTAGCATCCAGTTGCATCATTAACCACACTATATGCTTAATTAGCTAACTGAGATTTTTAAGTCAAAGAGTAGCATAAAACATATTAACAATTTGTTACTAGCAAAAAGTATAACAAATGTTATTGCAGCAAAAAAGCTGTTTTCTTTTAAAGTGAGTATGAACATATGAATATTCCTAACCTGTAAAATGATTCCTCCACATTATATCAGCGAAACTCATTGGTGGGCCACTGGGAGGGTAGTGTTTACCTTTAAGAGGCTCATGATCAGTCCTTATCATATCCATTAATGAATTTTCCAAAGAGTGCAAGTTAAAAGTATCATAGGGCCGATTCCGGTCCTAGGAAAAAAACAAAAAATAAGAGGACCGTTACAATGTCATCACTAAATAATGCAAACACTTAACACTTTTCCCACTCACCACAAATTTATTGTAAAATTAGCAAAATATGCAAAGCTCAATATGGTAAGTCCTTCAGAACATTTTGAGTGCAGAACATGTAAAGAGAAAGATCCTCTTTTCTATAAATGCAACTGATCATGGCAAGTGTGAATGTTGCAAAAAAGGACACAGTTTTAACTTGACAGCTTATTGAAGTGAGTAACCAGAAAGGTCTCAGAATGTCAGAATCAATGCTGGAATAAAACTATAATGAATGTTCCTCTTCTATTGCAACATTATTTGGAAGGAACCAAATCCACATCTAAGACAACGATTTCCACATATCCCTTCCATTTCCCCCACAGATTGAGAAATAAAGACATTAAGCCACAAAGACCAAGAACTAACAAGATGTACTGTAATTATTTCAGTTTATTTAGAGAGATTAAGAAATTGGCATCCAAATTATGTGAAGCATAATTTGCACTAAATAAATAAATAAATCTATTTTACACACCCTAGATCTAGAATAAAGCAAATTCTATGATCATATGAGTTTATGCAAGCTCTTGGATTTCTGCTGACGTGCCTTGCCTGTTATTCCTCCCCCAAGCCTCATCAAATGTGCAAATAAATAAAAATCCTATTCCAGATGCCGCTCTGACACTCAAGCGCAGCTTGGGGGTGGGGCAAAGTAGGCTGCAGAAGGCAGGAGTAGATAGAAAGGGTCTGTTCTGTGACTGGAACATTGTAGTTCTTGAGATTCAAAGCTAAAATTCCCTTAATTTTGTTTTAATCCCATTGCTGTTCACATTAAGCTTGCTAGAAGGTAAATAATGTATCAGTACAAGGTGGATTTTTACATTTCCTGGTATCTTAATATGCAAAACTAAGAGATAGGGTAGCCAGGGCGAGGGGGAAATCAGCCTCACTCAGAAACAGTGTTCCCTGAAAATTTTACCATTTGCACCCAATAAGAAGCTTCGCGTTGCCTGCTTGCAAAAATAAGGCAATTATTCTGACACAAAACCCTTGGGCACAGCAAGATTGTGCAAACAACCTGAGAACAGATAAAAGCAGTGAAGCACAACAGAAGACTAAGCAGCACACAGTGGCCTCTCTAAAATCCTTGCCAGCTTCAGCTGATTTTTTATTTTTTATTTTAGTGTTAGCAAGCATTGCACAAAGAATCAATTATTAATCCATATCCAAGAGCCTTTTTATACTCTTTTTTTGAAGACCATTTAAAATTAAGCTGATGACAACAAATACTGTCTCTTTCCTATGGAAGCTTCTATACTGATATTTTAAATTATGTTTTTACCAGAAAGAAATTTGGGAGGTGTAGCCCATATATACCCAGACCAACCTGTAAGAAAAAAAATATTAGATGACAACCTAATTCGCACAATAACCCTAAACACAGATCTACTTTAATTGACTTCCAATTGTGTTCAAGCTGGTAGTAACCTAGCCCTCTTGACTGAGTGGAGCAGCAAAATATGTCGTCTCAGATAAAGTGTCCCTGGCAAAGTCAAAATGTGACAATTGATTGCATTACACCACTGGAGAGAGAAAACCCATGAGTGGGCAGCAGAACTAAAAGTGGGCCTTGTTCACATGCATGATCCAGAGACAGTACACCTGGGCACACAAGGACTTGACACAGAGGGAGAGGAGGGTGCAGTAATTTCAGTGCCTCAGAAAATTTGCTTGGAAAATATTCTAAGTTTTTTCAATAAAAATATGGCACATTTCCTCTCTTCTGCAAGTGCATTAATTAACAGTTATGATAATGATCAGAAGGGTAATGTGGGGTGATTCCATTACTTCCAAACATTCAAGTAAGATAAGCTCATTATGTGTGTCTGTTCCAGTATCACCAAAAAAGATTCACAGTTTAATGGGAATTTGTACACAATCTACCCACTGAAGAACAATATTAACCATTGTACTCAAACTGCTTTGCATAAATTCTCAGCAATTTGCTGACACCTATGAAGTAGGTCACTTTTATGTCCATACAAGTAGGACCCTACAAGTAGGACCTTCAACTATAAGTTGTGCTGTATCTTTACCTTCTAACTGGAGTGCTCCAGTTCAGAGTTCCATCAGCTAGCCATACCTGCCTCCAACAGACCATTCCATTCTTTCCCTTCTCATTGTTTAGCTACTGTACAGGCTCAATCCAGGTTGTTTCAGATTTATTCCTCCCATTCTACTGGGCTTTGAGATTTCCCTGAACATGCTGCTATGTTCCCCTTGTTTCTGAAAGCCCCATTCTAGCTCAATTTCTTTCAGCACTCACCACCCAAGTTCATTATTATCCCAGAGTGGGATGTTGGATAGAGCAATTGAAGGGTAGGCAGAGGAATTGACACTATTTCAGAGTCACACCCAACACCTTTCCTCAAGGATATTATCCTTTCAGTTGCTTTTCAAGGGATAAAATACATGAATATACAAGTGATAAAGTTTAAATAATTTTAAACAATACTCATATCTTCAGAAATTTCTCATTCAAGGTAATGGCTTTATTCATATTATGCTGCTTTCCTGCCTACTAATACTTCCGGAACTTCACAAAGAAATGTAACATCCAATAATAACATTAATCATCAGGAGTCTCTTTAAAAATGAAAGATAAGTGACCCAACCATTTTGATTTCCTTAAACCCCTGGATAATAATAAACACCAGAACATGGCAAACATGCAGTGCCAGAGTGCTCAACTTTATTAACACCCATGTTTGGCCTGTTACAAGCAGATAAAAGGCAGGCATAGCTCATTTCAAACAGATTTCTGTCTCATTTATGCTTCCACGTCAACACACCATCAGCGATTATCTCCGTCACACACACATCCAGAACAAAACATTCACTTGGGGGAAGGGGGAAGATGTGGCAACGGGCAGAGGGCTCCAATGAAGACTGGAAGGTTTTGGTGGGCGTTTCCTCATGCAAGAAAGTATGCTCAGAAAGTCATTATCTGGCACAAAATGGAGAGGCTTGTAATCCATCCCCATGATTTCCTGGCAGGAGAAGTACTCTATTTGTCACTTGCTGCCAGATGGGCAGCCCACTGGAACTGTCAACTCTGTGTTGGAGCCATCTGCCAACAGCTACTCTGTTCCTTCTGATCATCCCCTAGTCATTATATATATATAGAGAGAGAGAGAGAGAGGAGTAGGGTGGTATAGGAGCTGATGCACCTTCAAGCATTAAGTCAAATGCTCAGAAAGCCTCCTGTCAACCTGACTTAAATACAAATGTTCTATGGGGCCCAAGCAACACTGCTCAACCAGTAAGCAATTAAGGGCTTTTTGAAGATTAAGTGGCGGGGGGAGGGAATACTATATTCAACAATCAAACATCATGCTAAGAATGTACAATTATTATTATTTTTTTGTACAAATTGTCTTGCACAATCAGACTAAAGTACAGTAATCTAAATCTAATATTTTGTATATAGTCTACCAGATGTCTAGGTACTTGGAAACAAGGCAAGAAAGTTATGTTCCTCCTCTGTTTCCGTCAGCATCCAGTTCTTTGAGGCATAGTGCATCCGCACTGAACTACAGTACTGTGGTTAACAGTGTCCTCCATGAATTTGCCTAATTGCTTTGTAATAAAATATAATTCACCCTGAAGGTATCTGAGAAAACAGTCTTATTGTTATTTTAACTAATTTGTGGTTTGTATTGTCTATGCTCTGGAGTTAGTTTAACGCAACTAAATGGCAAGTTAGTTTCAATAGACCTCACTTAGGATAACAACTTGAAGATTCCCAATTTCTAACTACCTATGCTACTAGCATTCCAATTACTAATTGACTGGAGACATGTAGACTATGATCACAGAATTTATTAGAAACATAAGTAGGTGGAAGCAAGGCAGTAGGGATAGATCCTTTGCTGACACTGACACACACACACACACACACACACACACACACACACACACACCAGGATGTGCTTCCTGAGGACACATATATTCCTGAAACTCCTGAAAATGCAGTATACTAAAAAGAGAGAGAAAATGCATCTACACTGAGTCACCAAAAGCCCATGATGCTAGGGTGACTAGGGCAGGGGTGAGCAGATTTCAGGCTTGTCAGACTTACTTTGTCTTTTGCTATAACCCAAGATCTACAAGCAGCAGAAGTGAACAGATCACACACTCCTCCAACACAAAAGTTCACTCTTGGCTACCCCGAGATGTATTCATTTCAGAAGCCTAATTTAGGTGTTAAATGTTATTTTAATAAAAAATTATTTTGTTGCTGCTACAATTGGGCTCTGAAACTCTTGGAGGTGTATTGCAAATGGCCCAGATACCTACTACTACATCTGATCTACTTTCTGCCCACCCATGGACTAAGGACACACAAGCCCCAAGTTTCTTCATCAAGGCCTAAAAGAATAATGTCTTCAGTATAGCCATTGTATATTAGCCTACCCTTTATAAAATCTTGGAGTCAGATAAGGAGAAAATTAACATTTATACCTTCTCTTTCTTTCTTCACCGATGAGTGAGTGAAATACAGAATTTTACTTGATTATTTGTAATTTTCAGTAGAATCATTTTTTTTAATTGCTTTTAAAAAGCAATCCAGCAAATGCAGGAGGATTTTCTGCTATGTGACCACACTTCATTATTATGTTGCTGTACACAGTAAGAAAATAACAACAAAAACCCTTCTGTGTTATAATTGTTTTAGCCCAGAGGAAGTTTCCAGGAATTGGAAACTTTTGCCCCATAATCAAATGAGAAAAATTAGCTATCAGCAGCAACCCAAGGGCAAGGAAGACTTCACACATTCATATAAGAATGCACAGGAACATTTGACTATTTCTCCAACCTCCTGTTGGTGACAGTGATATTTTAAGGGACTGGAAGTAAAAGACAAATCCTCATCAAGATCTAGCAACTTGAGATTTCAATCTGTACAGCTCAGTATAACCCAATTTGTGGAAGTAAATTATACATTGTAAATAAATGTTTTCTTTTGTCAGTCTGTTTCTTTGATCCCCAAGCCATTAGCAGTTATTCTTCAAGCTCTATTAGTGTATCTGTGCTGTGTATGACCTAGCCTAGCAGTCAATTTCAATGTTTTATTCACCTGGCAACTTAGGTAGAAGAGAGGGGGTGAAATATCCACCATTAGCAAACTTTAATAATGCTTATCTCAGCAGCGGGCTTCCCCTTCCACAGAGCTCAGAAACAGTAAGAGGACAGTGTTGTCAGAGGCCTAGGAATCAGGAGGACTGGTTAGAGCCTAGGAGCAAAGTGACTTTGTTTATACACACACTCCTTGGTCTTCTTACTTTCTGTAGGAGCCATGGCTTGCAGGTTTTTGTAACTGATCTTTCAAGCACTTCATTCTAGTTAATGTTTACAATATTTCAAATACAGTTTCATAATATGCTTGCTGAACAATTTTGAAAAACCTATGCTTTTCCATTCCATGATTAAGAGGTATACCGCCACACAGAAACCTACAGTTAACCTAGCTCACCTAACCCAGCAGTTCAAAAATGAACACCACTTATTTCTGCAGGAGATTAAAAAGATATTACAGAGTACTTTCCTTTTTTGTCAAAGGAGAAAGTGGAAGTCATTATTCTTACTTTTATGACTGCACTCCAGCAAATTATCTGCAGACATTTTTACGATCAACTGAGAACTTGTGGCATTTAGGTTACAGTTAAATTTTGTTTAGCACCAAGCTTCAGATAAAAATCTGCTCACACATTCTGCTTTATGAATCTATTTTAAAAAGCCAATGACTACTTCTATTGACTAAAACTGGTAAAATTCACTTCTATATTCAAAAATTTAAGAACAAGTCATACCAAAGTTGGCCATCAGTTTAAAAAGCTCAAAAGAAAAGGAAGGAGAAATGTTATTTGAATCTGTAGATTCCTGGACTATAAAATAGCTTGGCTTAAAAATAACAGATCTTTAATGCTGGCGAAGCTGTGACCCATTTTGTTAGCAAAGAAATGCTACTACAACAGTTTAGGCACACGTCACAAATCATACAACTAGGTCACAATCCAAGCCAATGTAGCAAGTTTCTGGCATGCAGCAGCACATTAATGAGTCACGTGAGTGGCCCTTTGCCAAAATATGATGCCACAATGTCTTAAAATGAATAAAAATAAGCAGGGTGGTGGTGGTGATTAACAAGAACATGAATTACAAGCCAAATAGGTTTTGGCCACCACAAAGCCACTGGTATGAGCTTAAAATATTGTAGACTGACCCTGATGAGGCTTCAAGTGATCATTCACAGCCTGTCTGGGTGACCTCATATCGATATTTTACAGACTTTAATTATGCAAGCTCAACAATATGTTGTCCTCAAATTATGAATATTCATGGCTGTCTCCCAACATACGGTACATTTATTTTCCAACTTATCGGTGGTGGTGGTGGTGGGGAAATCTATAGAAACATATATTACAGTATCTCACTTCTGGAAATGTTCTGCTTCTGGAATTTTACTCAGCAAGCAAATGATTTTGCTCAGTTGCCCTGACCAAACTCATTTATTTCATAATTGTTCTGTTGATTCTCAATACTCGGAAGACTCAATGTTAAGTAGGCTTCATGGGCAAAGTTTTAACAATATATGTAGAAAGCAGGAGTTGGGAGCAATTTAAAGAGCAAAGGTGGCATACAGGTGAAAACTGCAAATACCTACCACTGCCAGCCATTGAACTCTCTGTTGTCCTCCCCAACCACTGTCTCTCAGCTGGTCTCACTTTTGGTTTCAGAGTACAGCCAACAGAAAAGTTACGCGTGGGGGGGGGGATGTGGAAATGCAAGTTGGGGTGTTCTATTTAACATCCACCCACCCATTTTGCTCTTTCAATCAAACACACTAACCTTTCCCTATACAGTTGTGGATCTGCTCCCATCACCTCTTATTAACTTTGACCTGGGGCCTAATAATGTGAACATTATTGTTATTTCATGCACACTCCAGAACTCTGAGTTGTCACCCTCTTTGAAGCCCACCCACTTAGTATTCCAATATCATCCCATATTGTAACAGGTGAAGAGCTCTAAGGATAGCCTGAGGAGGTAAGAACTCCTGGAAAGTTTAGGGCTTTGTGCCTGCTTTTCCTTTCTTTCATGGTGGGAAAATACTCATTATGTGAGCATCCATCTTCTCATTGTGTTTAAGCAATTTATAGAAAAATCACAGTTCAAGCCAGAGCTACAAAAGAAAGTGTCATCATGTAATGATGAAGTTGTGAGCAAAGAAGCCACTTTCTTCTGCAGCAGCTCAGTTGCATGAAGTCTTTCGTGTCAACTAGATGTAGAACATAGCTGAAATCACCTCCAATGCCACAGGACAACCAGCAATATAATGAGGATATTACAGTCCTAAAACTAACAGGGTTAAGAATTTGAAGTTTGATTCAGCTGAATCAGTCTTCAAATGCAGTCCCAGTGAAGTAAATTTTGGATCATCCTGAATCAGAAGTTTTTACTTATGAGAAGTTTCCCCATTCAAAAGCATACACCAGGGCAAACCTTTGCTGTACATTTTACTTATATTTTATGATGATGGCAAAGCAGCAGAACATCTTAAGACCTCTAACCCTTCTGATTCAACATAATGTTAATTTATTCTATTCTTATTTTAGTAGCAACATCCAAAACTCCTACAAGCCAATAAACTACAGGAAATACTCCAGAAGAGAAATCCCAAAAGCTACAGGGACATAAGAGTTTATCAACATAAGCAGTGAAAAATAATACATATTTTTCTGGTTATTCCTATTATTGTTATAACCTACAATTTTAAAAAGTGTTGAATTCAAACATATATCTACTCTCAATATATCTGCTAACGTTTTACAAGTACACACAAGTCTGTATCCTGAAACAGTATGATTTAAGCGTTTAAGTAAGTACAACCAGAACATCTGCAATGTCAGTTAACCATGATGCTTTCCCACACACACCCAAGAAATTGCACTAGGATCAAAGAGCACATTTTGAAAGCTTCAGTTTTATCACTGTATGATCAGTTAAAGTAACTAGCCTAGGTACAGTCAACATGGTGCCTTCTAGATGTTATTGGATTCCCCTCTTCCATCAGCACCAGCCAGCATGGTCAATGATCAAGGATGATTGGAACTGTAAACAACCAACATTTGGAGGGCACTGCATTGGTTACCCCGACCTATAATGTTTTCATTTATGATACAAACTACTCTTTACAAAGTAATGTGACCTAGTCCATCTACTTTGCACAATCTGGAGGATGCAGTACATAAAGGAACACTATGCTCCATAAACATGGATTTAACCTCATCTTCAATGTCCATTTCCCCATTTAAGTCAACAACATGCCCAGATGTAGCTTATCCTACTTGATCAAGTTAGAGACTCCTATAGGAAAGGTATACAGTGGTGCCCCGCAAGACGAATGCCTCGCAAGACGGAAAACTCGCTAGACGAAAGGGTTTTCCGTTTTTGACCTGCTTCGCAAGACGAATTTCCCTATGGGCTTGCTTCGCAAGACGAAAACGTCTTGCAAGTTTGTTTCCTTTTTCTTAACACCGTTAATACAGTTGCGACTTGACTTCAAGGAGCAACTCATAGAACGCAGTGTACATAGTAGCCGTGTTTGAGGTTTTTAAAGACTTTGGTGATTTTTGAAGCTTTTCCAAAACTTCTTTTGCAGCCAAGTTAAGCTTTTAAAACTTTTTTGGGGTTTTTTGGATTTTGGGTTGGGGTGTTTGGAATTCAAGGACTTGGTGCTGGGGAGGGGTTTGCAAGAATCTGGAAGCTTGTGTGTCTTTTTTCTGCATTTTTTATGATTTTCTGTGACCATTGGGCCACTCTGCTGTTTTTTTAAAAAATTCTGGATTTGAATTTCTGTGTGCTGGGTGGCTGGGGGAACAGTTGGGGAGGGGTTTGCAAGAATCTGGAAGCTTGTGTGGTTTTTTTCTGCATTTTTATGATTTTCTGTGACCATTGGGCCACTCTGCTGTTTTTTTAAAAAAAATTCTGGATTTGAATTTCTGTGTGCTGGGTGGCTGGGGGAACAGTTGGGGAGGGGTTTGCAGGAATCTGGAAGCTTGTGTGTTTTTTTCTGCATTTTTGTGATTTTCTGTGACCACTGGGCCACTCTGCTGTTTTTTAAAAAAAATTCTGGATTTGAATTTCTGTGTGCTGGGTGACTGGGGGAACAGTTGGGGAGGGGTTTGCAACAGTTGGGGAGGGGTTTGCAACAGTTGGGGAGGTTGTTGTACCAAATTTGGCTTTGTTTGGACTTTTTTTGGCCATAGGAACGCATTAATTGATTTTCAATGCATTCCTATGGGAATTCGTGATTCGCAAGACGAAAAATTCGCTAGACGAAAAAACTCGCGGAACGAATTAATTTCGTCTTGCGAGGCACCACTGTACACCTCTAGGAATATGAAGAAGTGTGTTTAAAGGAAGGGTCTCAAACCAGATTCTACTGCATTCTGTTACTTGTAAGTTAGTAACCAATCAGTGACTGAAACACTTTTAGGTGACAAGAGAAAAACTCTCTCTCTCTCTCTCTCTCTCTCTCTCTCTCTCTATTTCCTTATCACACATGCCTTTCATAAAGATGAGGTTTTTGATCAATAGATCCAGGAATAAGCAATTGCTCATCTTCTGCATGGCTTCTGAAGCTTTTGTGCTGCAACAGATCTTTATTTTATTTCAGTGGTAAACAGAAGAAGGTGACTGTGCCTCTGGGCATGGAAGAGATCCAATGCAGATTTTGGTATTCAGATATTACCTTTGGCTGTTTTTGAACTTGCAAGAGTCTAGATGAAATTCCACACATCACACATAATTTTAAAACGCATTTTGACTTCTGAAAAACATTTGAAAGCTGCTTCAGATATTCCTTATTTTAACATGGAACCAGAAAAAAAGAGTTTGCAAAGGAGCAATTTAAAATCACCTGAACTATAAAACTGTATATAATATTTTTAATTTTATGACAATTTTCAGCTAAATAGAAGTAAATGAATTACATAGCAACCTGCAGTCGTTGAGCAAAGGAAAATGTGAACAATAAATATTTTATTGTAACAAAATTATAAGAGAACCCTGGCCTACCCACACTAGAATGTGACACTGAATTTTGGTGCAATAGGCACAAATGGCACAAACAATATAAAAACTCATTTTTCCAGTTTAATTAACCCTGCAGTGAAGTGGACAAGTGCCAAGTGACCTATGGAGGACCCATGCTCAAGTCTTCGCTCAACTGCAAATCTCAGTTGCCTTGGGCATGTCACCATTTCTGAAGCTTGACCTATCTCATCAGCTAATAGAAGATGAGAACTGTAAAGCACTTTTTACCCACCAAATATACTTCAGAAATTCTGTCCAAACAGAACAGAGGACCACAAACCAAACCAATAATAGCACCCTTGAGTATTTCTGCTGCTGTTCTCCCAGCAATGACAGCTTGCACACTTCTTTAAATGCATAGGAGTTTTTTTTAGTATTCACTTTGTAAAAATACAAATGAACACAAGATGAAACAGTAGCAACAATCAAACCAAGCAAAATCATAAATATACTGTCATACAATTACAGTGGTGCCCCGCAAGACGAATGCCTCGCAAGACGGAAAAACCGCTAGACGAAAGGGTTTTCCGTTTTGAAGTTGCTTCGCAGGACGAATTCCCCTATGGGCTTGCTTCGCAAGACGAAAATACCTTGCGAGTCTTGAGGTTTTTTTCCCGCTTTCCCCCCCCTTTATCTAATCTGCTAAGCCTTTAATAGCCTTTAATAGCCTTTTAGCAGCTAATCCCTAAGCCTTTAAGCCTTTAATAGCCGCTAAACCGCTAATAGCGCTAATAGCGCTAATCCGTCAATGGGCTTGCTTCGCAAGACGAAAAAACCGCTAGACGAAGACTCTCGTGGAACGGATTAATTTCGTCTTGCGAGGCACCACTGTATAAAACGGGGGAGAGAAGAGGCAAGGGGTGGGGAATGGTCTCCAGCTGAAATGCTACTTATACCCTCCATGTCATAGGGTTACACTCTTATTTGTGAAGGCCATCATTAGTGCCCCAGCAGAGGGCACAGCGGAGTTTTACTTTCCCCCCCTTTTCTTTCTTTTTTTAAAGAGAAGTAAATATCTAGCCCTCCTAGAAAGGAAGTTATGAAGAAAAATATGCAACTACCTTTCTAAGTAACTTCTGTGAAATGACCCAGGCTGCCTGCTCCCATCTGTCATTGTTTTTAGCCAATCAAATAAGTCACAGCTGGGATTGATAATTGTTTGGACATCAGGCAACAGGAATCCCCGGGGTCCTAGAGAGCTGCTGTTTTATCCTCCTCTTTAGTGCATTTTTCCTGCTTCTGTCTTACTTTCTAGTCCTTGGAATCTCTGTAGCTTGCCCTCCTTCCTTTTTCACTAGCAACCAGGATGAAACTTTCCTGCCGTTGATGCATCTCAGATCAGGAGGTCCCTAGAAGTTATTTTCTGCAAATAATACTACACAATTAAGTGTAGATGGATGTTAAATAACTCCCCCCCCCCAAGGCAAATATGAAAACTTTGCAAAGAATATTAGGATGTCTCATGCTGCACAGGAGCTAAAGACCAGGCACTTAGTAACAATTCAGTGTGCAGTGAATTGTCTACACAGAAGTACGTCTCTGTGATTAACGGGGCAGTCTAGGCTTTGGTTTAGGGGTTGGTATTGGAGAAAAACCAGGTTCTAGTGCCTTTAACCAAAGTGGCCTTGGGCAGGTAGGAGCAGGTGCACAGGCACTCAGACATTTGGTCTTCATATATGAATTAGACAGTACAGTCATGGCTTGAGTATGGAAATATAGTTATGGGAAAAGCTTTGCCAGGGCTGTACTGTCTAATTTATTGTTATGCTACACTTCCATGGCAGCTATTTTGTGACTGGCACCCACAGCACCCTCTCAAAATTAAAAATGTGTCCACTAGTCCAGAAAGGCTGATGAACCCTACCTGATTCAAATAGTACTATATATGAAGACAAAATGTATGTGTGCTTGTGTATCTGTTACTACTGCCAAAGGTCACTTTTTCAAGCTAGGCAAGAGTTGACAAGTCTTGTGATCACTGAATGATTGTGGCTGTGGTGAATTCCTTAGAATACTTTTGGCCACCAAAAGGGGACAAAGAACCCAATTGCATTGCCCCTGGTCAGATTCTACAGTGCTGGGATATAATTGAGTATGAGACCAGCATCTGAAAATTTTAGAGGTTTTCCCAAGAGCAGATTAAAAAGAATGATAACCTGTGACCAAAATAGCACCATCACAGGACAGGACAAGACTGTGTTTTTCAGTGTTGCCTATTATATTCCACAGTGCCAACACACATTTACAGGTGACGTATATGCTTATGGAAAAGGCAGTGGTAAATCCAACATGCCTATAAAACAAGTTTTGGTTGGCCCATGGAGCACAACCTTATACAACTTTCCATTGCCTTTCAAGCATGGGATATTCCAGGTCTCTGTCCCTCTGTCCCCTCAGCTCAGTTGCATCTAATTTGGTTTTGCCTAGCAATGCCCTGAAAGAATAAATTGTAGGTCTTGAGTGTTACACTGGGGCAATCATGCCCGGGGATTTGTGATCTTGGCTTGCCAGCCAGTCTAAGCTAGACAGTCCCTCTTCAGCCCATTTTTTCCAAAGAACCATTCTGTCCCCAATTTTTATGCAAACATACCCAAGAGCATGCTTCTCGTGGAAGAACCTAGGTGACATAAGTACAGTTTCCCATGAAAAGAAACAAAAAAGGGAGGGCATGTGACATCCTCATAAGTCACTGCTGAGCACCAATATAAAACAACTTTGGAATAATTATATAAATATAAAAACAATGTAAAGCTACAACACATATCCAAATCAGTTCAAATCCAACAGATACTAACAGGGATACAAGTGTCCACTTAAAAGGCTTAGAAGGACACTACACAATGCACTTGTCTGATATATAATAGGAGGGAGTTCCAAAAGGTAGGTGCTGCAATGCTAAAGGACCAATTCTAGCATTATGCATAGCAGACCTCCTTAATGATGGAGACTAAACTTGGGACTTTCCACATGCAAGGCAAATGTTATACCATTGAGCTATGGCCCTTCACAACCAATAAATGATTCTTTTCCAAGAGCCTGTTTATTAACAGGGATAGCAGGATTGTCAAAGAGCTACACAATGTGCTAAGTAAAAGCCCAACAACTCCTCTCTCCTATGTTATAACAGTAACACAGGGTAAAACAAAACAGTATAATATAACTAAAATAAAGCAAATGTGTTGCTGTGTATATGAAGGAGAAGGAAGGGGGAAAACAGAAGATCAATGGGGATTGCCAGAATGTGTTACTTCACACTAAAGAAAAAGAGGGCGACAACATGGTGATCCAAAACAAACTTAAATCTAACAAACGGAATTATTGTCCATGCAATGCCCGTGTTCAAAATGAGGAAGTCCATAGTCACAGACAACTTCAGGAACTGTTTAAACCTAGGCTATAGTTAAGTTTGCAGGAACCAGGTCTACAGTGTTTCTCAGAAGACAGCTGATGTAATCAACCTGGGTAGAATAAGGCAGCTGGACAGCAACTAAAGGCCAGGCCTGCACAGAAAGTTTTTTCCAGTGGAAGATCAAGCGTAAGCAGAAGGTCCTTCAGAACTGCTGGTTCATAGAAATTTTGACTTGCCCATTGATGTACATACAGAAAATAGCAGGAAATATAATAAAGAAGGTAATGTCACACTCCTGGGCCATGTACTTCACACTGGAAAAAGTCTGCCAGGCCTCAAAAACCTCCTTCACATAATCCAGAAACAAACTATCTCATCCACATTTGGCCCCCACTTCATCACCCACTTCTCACATGCACTCCACAACAAATCCTATTTGATTAGATATCTTAAAATATTGACATACAATCCAGTAACTGTTAGCAGGGTTGCCACAAAAATCATAGGGTTCCCCCTGCACCAATCTTTCCCTCACCCCCATAATTCTTAAATTGTTACTATGAGACCTACCCACCAAGTCCAACTATTTACCATGTAAAGCTGAATTCTCCACTCTAAGGATATAAAGGGGGAATACAGTCTCATCTTCCCGGCCTTGCACATCTGAAAGGCAATACCCAGTGGTGACCATATGTTATTGATGGTGACCATATCTGATGTGCTGAAGTGTGCAGCATCAGAATTGAAGATTTGATAGATGTCACATTCATTCAGATAATTTTTTTAAGATCCATAATCTCTTCAGTGGAACTTGAAGCAACTAAAGGCATGTGCTGTGAGTCCACCAGTTTCTTAGGCTCCTTTCACAGCATAGCCACAAGCACAAAGGAAACAACCCCACATACAATAAATTACTCCAAGTGAAGTTGATTATGTACAGCAAAAGGACAAAATAAAAATTATAAGCTATGGGAAAAGAGGAAAAAAAATTCCATTGCAGGATATCTTTGGCTAAAAATTAGGTCTGGAGTTTGTGGAATCACTGCTCCTCAGATCACCATCTTAACTGGAAGTCAGCTGGCACATATTGTTCAAACTGGGATTGGATACAATACAGTATTGTATGGTGTGATAACCAGTTTATTTCTGGCTTTAGAACTAATGCACAAGCCACATTACTAGCCTTTGACATTAGAACAGGGCTTATTATTATGCCATAGCATTTTAAGATACACATCTGTACCAAGGGTCATATTAATATTACAGGCAACTCCTCATTTGTGCAGGGATTGCATGCTGGGTTATCACATGAATTGGCGGAGTGCAAATAAGCCCGCCCTGTTCTAGGGTCAAAAACAGGGTGTGCATCAGAGGTTGTGTGCCAATAAAACACGTGCAAAATGGTCACTGCCTGTATTTAAAACCTCTCTCAAAACAAGTAGTGTTCTCTAAAAGCTGCATCCAATTCTTTATTTTTATATTTAAATGTACTTATTAAATCATCAGTTTTAGTCATTTTAAAAGCTGCTGCATCAATTAATATTCTAGTCTCAACAACAAATGAACTGTGGAAATTAGCATGGAATTAATTTTATGTTTGAGTTTAAGCAACATGAAAAATTATTCAACCAGCACTCTAACCCACCCATCCATCATTTTTCCATATGACGACTACTTCAACAGCATCTGCTACTATATTATCAAGAAGCAACAGAACTATTGTATAAGGGGTGTTAAAGCCATCATCCTAAACATTTAACTTCCTTTTCCTAATAAGTAATAATCAACTGTAGCTTGAAGGAACCCAGAATATTGCTTTGTATCTGTAACAAGTAACAATAATATAATTATCACATTTATTTTTTATTAATAATTTTTGTTAAATATTCCTAGGTCACCTTTCAGGAAAAAAGCCCCCCAAGGCAGTTTACATTAAAATATACAGCTCTCATAAAATACAATGATTTCAGCAGTTAAAATCAACTCAGAGTCCAGCCCTATAGCTGATACAACTAATTAAACCATTAGTAAAAACAGAATTTTAAACCAACAGCAATAAATCAGAAAAGCAGCCCAATATCTCAGATTGTTTTTCCCCAAAATAAAAGCAAATTGGAATAAATAGGTTTTCAAGGACTGTTTAAAAGCCAAAATGATAGGCCTGGCTGTACATTTTGATTCCTCTCATCTAGGAGCTCAGAGCAACACACGTGATGTTCTCATTTTATTACCTGTGGGGTAGCTTAGGTTAAGAGACAATGACTGCCCAAGCTCAGCTAGTAAGCTTTGCAGCTGAGCAGCAATTTGAATCTGGATCTAAGTCCACTGTTCCACACTATACTGAATTTATTCACCTTAAAACAACTGGTAGTTCTCTTATTACTTTCAAACACTAGCCAGGTTTTTTAAAAAAAAGGTTAGAATATATTACACACACAGTGTGAAAGCAAAATAGTTTTAGTGCCAGGACATGTGTAGAGTTCCTGCTGAACCAAGCTGCTCAGTAGCAAATGGTAGCCAAGATATTGTGTTTGCTTGCTCTCTTTTTTGTTTGATAAGCAAGGTATTTTTAGAGCAACATATGGCATAATACTAACATCGTCTAGGATAGAGCTGCACAGCATTAATTCCTCAAAGTACATAAATCATAATACAAAATATTTTTAAATTCTTAAATATACACTCTTAGCATTAAGAGTCTGTAGTCAACATTACTGAAATTTAGTTCCAGCTCACATCTGTTGTGCCATACTCTGTTGTGTATACTCAGGATTTCAGAACTATTCCCCTATGGACCTAATCTAAGAGGCATGATGGGCATTCAAAAGTTTAGAAACTTATTGCATATTTTTCAAAGATATATGCAGAAGTAATGAAAATGACACTAAAGTAGCCACATATATTTTAAATGATCTCCAACTATAAGATTAATCTAAAAAATCTAAGGCTCTGGATATCCTGGCTATAACTCAAGAGCAGAAGCATTACAAGAAATGTTGCCCTCTAATACATAATATTTGAGCCAAATGGGATACTTAATTATGTCAATACTGCAACATCTAAATAAGGTAATAATCGGGAACAGCAGCTTGACTTTCATTTAGAGAAGCAGTCAGCTACTACAAATAAATTATTTGGGAAAGGTAGAGAAATGAGGTTCCTTCTCAGTGCTTGCAGCTGACACTATCAAATAATATTTTGTATATTCTGAAGCACCAATTCTAAATAGGACATCATACAAAAAAGGCAGGATTCAAAACCTTTTTCCAGCAAGGACCCCTTATTTGCCTTTCATCTGTGTGCCTTGAAGACTGAAATCTGCCACATGCAGATTGTGGGATTCTCATAAAAAGATAACAAATTCTGAATATGACTGAATAACCACAATTTTTCAGTACGTCACCCCACATTCTTTAAATTCTTCTTGAGACCATTTGCAAAGCATGTATTGATGGTGATGAAAAACAAAGTCTTCCTTTAAGATCATCACCCTCACCTAGGTATTAACAAGCATCTTTATGTTTTCATAGTTCATACAGGGTAAGTTAAATGTAATATTTAAATTTAGGCAGCTAAAGAGTTTTTGCAATGTTTATGTAATTTTAGAACTGCCACCTTATCTAGTCGCAACATCATTTAAAGTAAACATGCCAAGTTAAAGCTACAAAATGAAAACATTTTCAAACAACACCAAATAGCAAAAGGTGTAACAAATTTGCCCAATTGTTTTTTATGGGAAAATACTTGGCAACATATGTTTAAAATAATAATTGTGCCATTTGGTGTTCTTAGTATTTAGTAAAGCTCCCAGGTGTATGGATGGCATAGTCATACTATAAACTTAAATTAGATTTATTCTGAGTTAGTTTATATGCTGCTCTTTAAAAAAAGCCTTCACAACATGGCTTACAATAATTTAATACAAATATGGCTCAAAACAACCATAATGATGAAAGCTATTTAATTAGAATTGCAAAAACAAAGCAGCAGTATTTCAAAATAAAACCCAGCACAGGCCTTGAAATGAATTGGCAGGCAGTATTCTATAGTACAGTACAGGTGTTATGTGTTCCAAATGCCTGATCCTGTCAAGCAACTGGGCAGCTGTGTTTCATAAAGTTGAAATTTCTGAACCATTTTCAAAAGCAACCCCAAACAAGTCTGACTTATAATAGCCCAGTCTGAATGCAGTGGAACTATCAATGCATACTCCCCAATAAATCTGGAACTGTCATTTGATGACAATGCTAAGAATTCTGTTGGAAATTAAGCCATACTGCCTCCAACCTCCAGAAGCACAAACTATGAAACAAGTTAAGTCTGTACTATTAACATACCTACTAAATGAACCATGGAATGAGTACTAGGCTCCCCCCCTCAGAGAATATTCTCATGTCATAAATCCATCCCTCATCAATGTAAGCCATTTCTTGGTTGAAAAATCATATTTCTTTTTACAAAAAAAATAAAATAAATTCTTATGTTGGCTTTTACTTTTATAGGCTATTTAAAGAAAAGGAAGGTTTCGAACACATTTTAGAACCAATACGTTAAATTAATATTGCCTGTACAATGTATCTATTTTGAGTCAAAATCAAATGTGCTTTATAAATTACTTTTATTTTATTTTCCTCTTGACATAAACACAAGATATATCAAAGTTTAGAATGTGAGTACTGCAAACATTGGGCAACATCCAATGAACGGACTTCCTTCTTATCTACTCCTTTCCCCAAATCTGCTCTGGAGGACTCCTGGAGAATGGGGGGCGGGGGGAGTAACAAGTAAGAAGAAAGGAAGGGGAAATACCGTTGCACCAGTGGAAGTCCATTCCATGGAAGCCACAACTGGATGTCACTCATTATTTAGAAGGAAAATGCTATATGTTAGCTTGTCTTCATTGTTTTAATGGAAAAGTGACTTGTTATGCATGTCAGTCTAACACCTATGTTTCAGAAAGTCAATGTAGTAACCTATATAGCAATATATAGGTTACCATATTTGTCATTAGGCACCACAGAAGCATCTAATTATACTTTACACTTACTTCATGGAATGCAATAATAGACTACAATTAGCAGACATAAATGTCTCAAGAGAAGTCTGTCTGTCCACCTCTTTGACTTTTAAGATATCAACTGGCAAGAAGCCTGCAGCTCCTTTCACACAGAAGAACCAGTAGGAACTCTCATTTTAACAGAATTAAGCCGCACAATGAAATCTGAAACCAATCCTCTTATTTGAATGGAAGGAGGCAAGCAGCATTGCATGCTCAAGAGCAGGAGGTGTGCAGCATGGTATGGGGCCAAACAAACGGTAAAAAAATATACAGGATGGTATTGGGTTGAAATAGACCCCAACTTTTTATTGATTACAGATGTAAATAGACATAGGCAAAGGCACTGGGTATGAATCCAGAATTAATCAACCTGCCTACTGGTTGATCAATGGGATGGGTCATCCCTGGGATGAGAGTCACCCCTTGACATATATCAAGTTGGACGACCCACCAGGGCCGCCACTCAGAAAGGTGCTATGGCCTGTTGGCCCTGTGTGTAGGCTCCTGGAAAGAAAAACCCCATCCCATACCCTTTTAGGGGGAACACAATAGGCTAAAGATTCAAGCCATTGCCATCTGCAAAAAGCTGTGGCACTTGCTATGAGGGAGACCGGCCAATTTGTCTGCAAGAAAAATTAATTCATGGCTCTGAGAATAGTAACTAAGTGTTCCATAGCAAGGTCTTCACACTGGCTTGCCTGATCACATTTGAGCATGTCCACACATACACAGGGTGAGAAGGTGGGAAACCCCCAGAAGAACTGGGGCCCCAGGTACAGCCACAATTTATAGGATATCAGCAGGTTAAAGATAGGCTGCTGACACAACCTAGCACTCTCTGATTGGCCCATTGGAAAGGACTCTTCGTGCCAAACCATGCAGCCAGAAGTGGAGGCTCTGGCATCCCCCAGTGGCCATGCAGGAAAGATGGCCCAGAACCTCGCCACTGCCATGCAGCAAAGCGCTGCTTCCTCAAAGCTCTAGGTAAGCAGGTATTCTTAAAAGATTTTATTCTGCACTACTGAATATACTGGATTTTAAAATCAATCCCAACAGTAACTGTTTATTGTAATTTATTGCCTGAATTGGAAAATGTAACTTTAAAAGAGTGTTCCTTTGAAACCAGAAAACAAAGTGATTTCACTGCCCTTTAAGAGTCCAATTTATGCATTTAGAAGCAACAACTTGGGGCAACCAACATAAAACAAAAAAGCTTCTATCTTCATAATCTGATACAGGATACAAGGTAAAGTGCATGTGCCAATTATTCAGTTGAGGCGGCATTTAACACCAAGACAAGTTCCATTCTACATTAAAATTTCAGAGCTTCTATTTTCCCCAGTTTCAGTTGTTGCAATTGATCTGCCCTGACATCTTAGATAACAAAACCAATGAAGGACACTGCTGCTTTAAATATTTCAGGGCTTATGTAGCTAGTAAATAGGCTCCATTGCAATATGGTTGTGAAGGTCATGTCCTATTGTATCTTTCCTCTGATAAGGCATAAAACTGAAGTTTAAGAAATTAATTCACACAAATACGTTCCCTGTATTTCTTAATCTTGCATGTTGCCATTAGAGATTTCCTTATTGAAAGCAAATGATACTCAAGTCAACACACATCCAAAACTCCTTCAAACCCACACCCTAAACACATTATCATGATTACACTTCAGCAATTTCAGCATTTTATTTGCATTCATCTGCCTGATTTTGCAAACCCAATCCTGCTGAACCTCATTTCTCAGGACTAATAAAGTAAAGCCCTTTAAAGCAGAAAGGGTTTGGCCCTTTAATATGCAGAAGGTAATTAACGAGATTCCTAAACTGTTCTCGGTTTTAGTCAGCCATTTAATTTCAAATTTGAAGCCAACTACTTTAATGGATCCATTAATGTTCCTATATTTCAGATTTAAAAATAAATAAATAATACTGTACCAATTAAAATACTGGAACATGATACATCCTAGGAAGAAGGGTGGGAAGAAAGGGAGCACCAAGAAGCAAATATTTCTGATCCTTAAAGTCAAAATTAAAGGGAAACAAAGAATATTGAATCACAACCTGACTCTAATTTTTACTTGAGATTTTTAACATATGTGAGTGCCCTCAGCTACTATATAGCTTGAATTATTTCAGTGAAAATAGCTAATGAAGTCAGGCATGTGCTAGAATGGCAAAAGCGGTGTTTGATGTAACATAGAATTATATTATGAGACAAATCCTTAAATATCACTTCCCCTTTACTCAAATAAAGGACATTACCTGAAAAGGCAACAGATTGTTACCATTGTCAGTCCTGAAGGCGTTGTCTTCCATCCAGGATTTTGGGGTTAGGGGAGCAGCCCGTGGAAACTTTGGTGGGGCAATGACATTGCTAGAGAAGGGCTTCTTAAGAGGTGAAATGGGATTAAGTGGGGATGGCACTCCAACTCCCACTCCTACACCAACACCCACACCTACTGCCCTTCGAGGGTCCCTGCCAGCTTGCAGCCCGCCCCAAGGATTGGAAGGTGTACTCCAGGCGGCATTTTGGTGGTTATTCCAGCTGGAAGGAGAAGAGGTGGAAGCTGAGGAGGAGGAAGGTTTGCTGGTCATGATGGGCTGATGGCTATAAGCAGCATTTCTCTGGGCAAAAGATGCCTGATTGGGGCTGACTGGCGATCTCCTTTGCTGCTGCTGGGCTTGCTGCTGCTGCTGTTGGTGGTGCTGAGTCTGAGCTAGGCCAATCTGGGGGGAGAAAGTGCCACCAAAAACTGGATTTACATGGTGAGGGAAATTCTGGAAAAGCATTGTCCCATTGACAGGGGTAATCCCTTGGAAAAAGCTATCATCCACTGCATTTGTGGTCCCAGTAGACCAGGTGCTTCCGAAGGAGGGAGACAAGGAGGTGCCGGCTGTAGGTTCCTGCTGAGGCTGGTGGAAACTTAAGCCTGGCAAGATGGGGGACTCCATCTGCATCTTTTCCTTGCTATTTTGGGCAGGAGCTGCTGAGCCGATGCTAGTCACTGGGCTGCTGTCCTCCTGTTTGGGTGTCTCTGACGTGATGGGCGTAGAAGGGGCTTCTGCTGCGTTTGGATCTTGCTGCTGCTGCCGCTGCTGCTGGGGCTGGGCTTTGCTTTTGTCCATCAGTAAATCATCCTGCATGGTTTGCGCAGCTGAAACGAGAGGAAGAAGGGAAAAAATCCAGAAGACAGACTATTAATATTCATATGGCTGCTTTAGCCTTCGCCTCTGCTGCTTGCAAGAATGCCACTGCGAGCGTAACGCTGCCGCAAGTTGCAAGGCACGACTAATACGTAATCCCTACCCCCACCCCTTTAGGAGTAACAGTTTGAATCAGTGTAATCGCTCCACGTCGCTTCTAAAAATACATTTGAAGATGCTTCACCCTTTTTGATGTCTTGGTTCCCTTCAGTGTAAAGGAAAGGTATGCTTATAGGGCAGAGATATACAGCAATTTCGCCACGTCTCTTTCTCATACACCGGAACTCAGAGCTCTCGCCCTGCAATGAGAAACTGATTCTGGTTCCTGTTTTTCCGTGCACCCTCCTCCTTCCTTGTTATTTGCATACGTCAATAAATACTGCTGCGTCCTTCAGCAAGGTTAAAAAGACAGCAGCCTTTACTCTCCCCCACCCCCTTTCCTATGAATAGACTTTTTAAAGGAGCCGCATACCCATTTCGCTTAATCAACAAACCGGTTCAACCAAATAATTAAAAACAGTTCAGGATCCACGATTTTAAAGCCCTGAATAAACGAAAAGAACTAAGCCAAACGGTATTTTTTTTAAGCTACTGAAGGGGTGTGAGGCATCTTACACGTAACTAGGGGATACAGTTTTGTTTGTTTTAATAGTCCTTTTGTCTCCCATGTTAAATATGGCATTTAATAATCCAAGAACTAAATTGCTTTGAGCAAAAAATACTGAAGCCTTCAATCCCGCATAAACTGGGGAAAGTATTCAGACGCGTTAACACTTCCTTGTAGGCATCCTCCTGCTGCAGATTTTTCCACACACAGGCATAAAACACTAATTAATTCATATTGCCAATATAAATCACCAGATAGTAATAATGACCATTTTGTCTTCTATCTATTGTTACTAAAGAGCATTCCCTACCTCTGCACCTATGAGAACGCTATCAGAGGAACAGCAAATAGTTAAATAGGCCAAACAAAAGACGGCCGTCTGGAAAAGACGCTGAACAAATTCATAAATTAAACAGGCTTGTTTTAACAATATACTTTTCTCAAATAATGTTGCAACCTTCAAAATCGAATGTATCTCTCAACGCTATTTAACTGCATCAGCAAAGTAACCAATACTTAAACAGGGGTTGCTTTGAGAAGGGTGTGAAGAAATATGAAGGTAGTAACTTCCTCTCTCATAACCACTAAATTCAAAACATTCCTGAATTTAAAATCCCTCTTCATAACATGTAATCAAGTGAAAACAGCAACATTTTTAATGGACATAGAAGAAATATATTCAAGCAGTTTTGTTTTTTATTTTATTGCTGATCTGTGCACACAATCTAAAAATAATGTCTTGCAGAGAGTGAATAAAGAGAGTATTAAGCTAAATTCCTAATCCGAAAAGGAGCAAACTAGCGCATCTGTAGCACGCAGCTTTGCTGCTGCTGTAGGGGGTGCAGGGAAACCTTTAAAGCAGCACTGCAGCAAGCCATAATATATAAGGCTTTGTGTAGTTTTCCATTAGCTGCGCTCCGATCAAAGTCATCACAACAGTAAAGGAAGAAAAATTAATACAATACATTTCATACAAAGAGGAACAATCAGATATATTGCTCTCCTCCTGTGTTTTAACGGCCAGTTTAGGAAATCATTTAAACAATAGCCAATAGTAACAGTAAAACTATTGCTTCCAATATAGCAGATAAGCTGTGCTACAACAATTTTAAGGTATTTTTTATCAACTTCATATTGAGACACTAGCTAGCATTATTTCCCCCATCGCTTCTTATACGTAAGATTTCACTACAGATCTACCCCTCTGTCAAGGTCAATACCTAACCATTACATGCACGCAGGCAAACTGAAGAGAGGCAAATTGGGTATTACTCGGAAAAAATAGGCAGCTAAATACCTAGCATTGGGCTGGTATGCGGCGCCTCCTGTTTCCTCCACCCCCTTTCCCCCCGTGTATTTGTGCCCGTCTAAACTACTGTACATGAAAATCAAATACTCCCATAATACTTCGTTTGCATGCAGTAACCCGCTTAGCCGCCGATAACAGTTACCTTTTGAGTATTCTGTATTTAAAGATCAATAAAAGGAAGGGACAGTGTGTCTATTTCCTTCTTTCGGGTTTGGTATATGACAAATAGAAATTGCTCTGGCAAGAGCACTTTGACAACTGTAAGCAGAAGACGCATGTGCAACCGCGGAATTGTGGGGATTGAAGTCTTTCCTTGAACAGAGGCAAGCTGGGAGAAGAGTGCTCAAAGCACCGAGGTACGTTCGTAAAGCTAAAAGAGCTTGCAGCTCTCTCATGGCTGAAAGCCTCTCGATCACTCTTCAGGAGGCAAAACTGGTTTAACAGGTACCTTTGGAGCCAAGCATTTTATTAGGCACGGGTCACTCTGATTTTAATTTAGATATGGGTCAAGATGTTATTTTTAATTTTTTTTAGCGAGAGATTTGAGCCGTATCTAAATTAAGATCCAACAGAGTAATAGTGATCCAAAGTAGGCAACTCTACTAGTAGCTAATTATTGGGTATTTTTCGATTTTAAAAGGCACAACACAAAAACACCTGGTTGCCATAATGGATCAAATAAAAAATCTATCCTGTTCTTTCTCCAACAGTGCACATCATACAACACTAAGAAGACTACAAGCAAAGACACACCCCCCCCATGTTCAGGGGTGCTTGTGTGTGTGTGTGTGTGTGTGTGTGTTATGTACATTCATACACACAATCACAGCAAACAACTGTTATGCTCATCTTCCACCTAAGCATCTTCAGGTGTGTACAGTGGTACCTCGGGTTACATACGCTTCAGGTTACATACGCTTCAGGTTACAGACTCCACTAACCCAGAAATAGTACCTTGGGTTAAGAACTTTGCTTCAGAATGAGAACAGAAATCATGCTCTGGCGGCGCAGCAGCAGCAGGAGGCCCCATTAGCTAAAGTGGTCTTCAGGTTAAGAACAGTTTCAAGTTAAGAACGGACCTCCGGAACAAATTAAGTATTTAACCCGAGGTACCACTGTATACTGCACTGCTGAAAAGGGGAAGGCAATTGACACAAAGTTTTATTTTCATCTTACTAATGGGAATCAGGTTTCATATCGGTTTCTTCAAAATATTCTTAGTGTTTAAGTTATTATAATGTCCTTCATTCTTAAAGCATATCCTAGTCAAATGCCTTGGATTCACATATAGGGATAAATTTGGGTAACATATTTATTTATCACATATAAGGATAAAATTGGGCAGGGATAAATTTGGGTAATATATATTCCTGCAACAAAAGTGGCAGAAATGGAAATCCTTGTTTTTCAACACATCACATGCATCAGAATTCCTTTACTGTGCTTTAGATACCTACTTCCCAACCCCACAATCCCAAAGGTTGTCAGGTTAGTCTGACTAACCAAAGTACAGCATCATCATAAATCACTCTAATTATCTCTCTTCCTGTGTTATGAATAATAATAGAATGGCGTGACTTTAATAAGCCAAGTTAAATGTACAGAATTGCATGTTTTCCCAATTACCAACCAATGAGCATTTTACTTCACAGTAGTACCTTGGAAAGACATATACCAAAGATTACTATGCTTAAGTAGCATTATGTATATTGTACTATTAATAAGATACAGGGCTTTTAAACAAGTTTGGATTTGGCTATGTTAGATTTCAGCCACCAATTGTTTATTCAGATGTCAATTCCAGAAAGTACAATCGGGCCTTTCTCCCATATAAACTATCATCTTCCATCTGCCTCTGATCTGAGGAAGGCAGTGGAAAGCCTGAATTAGTGCCTGGAAACTGTGAGAAACTGGATGCCAATGAACAAACTTAATTCAGATAAGATGAAATAACTGTTTGTAGGATCTAGGATTACAAATACAACCTGTCATGGATGCAGCTGCACTCTTTCTGAAAATTCAGAATCACAGCGAGAGGGTATTCCTTCATGCTGCTTCTGAATTATCAGATCATGCCAGTTGACTAGAAATGCCTTTTACCAAGTTTGGTTACTATACCACATGTCCCCTTTCCTGGAGAGGGCATGCCTAACCACGTCAGTCTTGCTTCATTTGTAAACCATTCTGTATTACATTATTTTGGAACTAAAATAATAATAGGGAGCCAGACTGTAACCTGAAAAACAGGTGTTTATTTTTATGTGTAGGGATCAAGCAAGAGACATAGTAGCAGCTGCTTCTGCCCACTCCTCCCCTAGGTCCTTTAATCCACCCCTCTCCCCTGCCTGCAGGAGCAGTGGTGGCTGGTGCCCAACGTGACTGGTAGGGTGGAATGCAAGAAGACCAACAGTAGGAGGAACCAAAGTGAATGGCAGACTGAGCCACCCTTGACTGGTTGTAAGTAAGAAGATGGCTATATAGGGGTTGAGTAAGGGCAGACTTGGGTTGGTAGGGTAGTGCCCCAATTGCCCCAATGGGTCAGCCTCCACTATGCAGAAGTGAACAGAAATCAGCCTTTGTATCCATCCCCGCCCCAAGATGGGGTTGTCTCCAAGGCAAGCTTAAGCCAAGACCCTAAGACAAGAAAGCATTAATTGCCCCAACCACAGCATCATTTTTGCACAGAACAGAACATCCAAGAAAGTCAGCAGCAATGAAATAACTCTTGTTTGCATGCCTTCTCTTTTTCAGGTTAAAGGAGGTCCACTATGTTTTTTCATAATTATCTTCCAAGTCCTGGAACAGTGGACAAAAAGGACAAGGGAATAACAGACAGGATCCGCCCTGGCTAGCTTTTTTGTTGCTTGATCACTATGGCAAAAGGTATACCATTTATTTTCAACACTGACTGGCAGCAGCTGTCCAGGGTTCCAGGCTCAGAACATACCCAGCACTCTCTGGAGATACCACTGGGATTGAATCTGTATTCAGAAGGTTCCAGGATCAATCCCTGGTATCTGCATAAAAATGGATGGGGAAGGGAAAATATAAATGGTCTGAACCTGGTATAAGAGGACAACTTCTGGGGTGTGAGGGGATTAGGGGAGGGATGGTACCTCTACTGGGGGACACATCATGCTCCGTTGGGGGTAGTTTGAGAGTAAACTCTGAGGAAAAATCTGTACCCACTGCCTTGTGGGACATCTTTGGAAGATGAAAAGGCTAAGGAGTTAACCCTACACAAACCTGGAGTGCAGTCCCTAAGATGGTTAGATGGTGCTTTCTACACCTCCTTACAACAACTCCTGCAGCTAAGCTTGTGCCAAATGTATTACTCTACTTTCCTTTGGACCACATCAACAAGGCTGAGAGAGGGGTCTTGTCATCTCAGCAGCCCAGGCTTGTGCTACGAGGAGGTCACTTTGGTGCTGCTTATGCAGCAGTTTGATTTCACCCCCGGAAGCACACTCTATTGCCTCTCGAGACAGACAGGTGCTGCCGCCAACAACAACAACAACAACAACAACAACAACAACAACTCATTCTCAATGCTGCAAGCTACATGCTAATATTCAAAATATACAAAACTATCAGCTAATAGGAAAACAAATGAATTCTAACAAGCAGCTTTAAATAGAGCAAAACAATGTATCAGAAGGTTACACTTCTAGCATTCTGTAGAAGTATACCACTAGCATGACCCCCAAAGCAACTCCAATCTGCAGACAGAAATAACTAAGAATTGTTACAAACCCTAATAGCTAAATTGTTATACAAATTATTGCATCCCACTTTGTAGTTCTGCCATGTTTAACAATTGCAAAACCAATATCAATTACTATGTACAAATTAAAATTGATAGGAGATAAATTATCAGGGAAACATAATGGAGTTTAATTCTTTCATAAAATTAACCAAACAGAAACATTAAAGGTAAAGGGACCCCTGACTGTTAGGTCCAGTCACGGACGACTCTGGGGTTGCGGCGCTCATCTCGCTTTATTGGCTATGGGAGCCGGCGTACAGCTTCTGGGTCATGTGGCCAGCATGACTAAGCTGCTTCTGGCGAACCAGAGCAGTGCACGGAAATGCCGTTTACCTTCCTGCCAGAGCGGTACCTATTTATCTACTTGCACTTTGACGTGCTTTCAAACTGCTAGGGTGGCAGGAGCTGGGACAGAGCAACAGGAGCTATTAGGAACTGACTAATTTTAAGTTTTCACATTTGTAGAGTGCACCAATTTTGAAGCAAAAAGACAATTTTTGCACAGAAGTGTTTTGTTGAGTCTGAAATTATGGTGTTGTGATCCAGTTGTTTGAGCAGCAATATTATCAATATGTGGATAGCTCTACCACTTTTTCACCTTCTAATTCCAGTGTGGAAACACCTCAGCAGGTTCCAGTCTGATTACAGGACTGGAATGGGTGAGGGCTAACAAAGTAAAAAAAAAAAAATCCAGGTTTTTCTTAAATATCATGGTTTGGAAAATCTAGTAATTAGAATGTTTAGATTTGACTCTGGATGGGGTCATACTCTTCTTGAAGAGCTAGTTACAAAGTCTCCAAGTGACATTAGGTGCCAGGAATGTTTTCACCAGCTTCAGCTGGTTCAGCAGTTGCAGCCTTAACTAACCTGACCAGCCACAGTGATGCATGTACTCCCATTTCACTAAATGCCCCTAAGAGAAGCATGTTGCTACTTATTTCTATATCATATCTATGTACTTGGTTATCACTGTCTATATGCTAGTCTGCATGTTTAATCAAAATATTGAAAAAGATAAAAGGTCAAAAAGTGGCAGCATTCCTTTGGCTACTTTACAGAACATTATAGAAAGTAGGCCCCAATTGGTTAGGTTACTTAGTTACACCGTACTTCAAATATGTAACATTTTCACATAAATTTACAGCCTGGGTGTTTGTCCCCTTTACTCAACATGAATACTGGTACACAAACATCTTTTACAAAAATGCCTCCAAGCTCCAGCACCCTCTTCCCAGGAGAAAAGTCTCCTGAATGGTACTTCTGTTGACTCAGAAATTGAGGTTGAGAAACACAGCCATAATAAAATGTTGGTTTCAATTACAGCAACAGCCTCCCCAATAAAAAAAGATTGGGAGAAGTCACAAAACTCATGAAAAGCATATTATTAACCAACTTGCAACACATACTCAAAGTGTATTTGCATTATTTCCTTTTGTTGAGGCAGGTGACCTTTTTTGTGGCAGGGTGGTGATGGTGGCAATTGTGTCATATTTTGGCAAGAAAAGTAGCCATTCTCTATAGTGGTTCTGGCTAGTACAGTGACTAGTTGGGCTGAAACCCCTCAGCTGGGAAACTCACTTGGTGACCATGGGCCAGTCACCCCCCTCTCAGCCTAACCTACCTCATACGGGAGTTTGAAGGATAAAAATGTGGGGCAGGGAGCTGGATGGACCATTTGCGCAGAGGGAAAAGCCTCCTGGAGGAAAGGCTAAGTAGATCAAGGTAACAAACAAGTTTACTGTACATGAAGTTCTTTAAGCGAGCAGTCAGTCAAGGGGTCACAGCTCAGCCACCCCTTTGCCCCAAAAGGACGTCTGTGACGAGGGGAGGGGATGGGAGAGAGTCCCCCCCCCCCGCTGAATGCCCTGGGACAAAGGAGGCGCACCTGTACCAGTGGGGAAGGCAAGGCAAAGGGGGCCGAAGGAGCTTCAATGTGATGATGTAACCGAAAAATACCTCTCCCCACCCCACCTCACCCCACCACCGTCTCCGCGCAGGGAGCGGGGGAAATGAGAGCTGTGGAAACACTCGCCCATCTCTCTCTGTTTCCTCCTCCCCAAGGAAGGGAGGGAGGGTGGGGAGCAAGGAGCAAGAATTGACAGCGTCGAGGTGTGTGCTGACCTTTCCCTCAGCGAGCGTAGCCATCTCGCCGCTCCCCCAGCCGAAGGCAAAACCCCAACCCCGGCCGGCCCGCGCTCTCACGCAGCGGCGGCGGCGGCGGGCGAGGAGGAGCAGGGCAACGAGCAACTGTCGCGAGCGAGCGCGCCGTTAGAAGAAGGAGAAGAAGGCGGCAGGGGCGAGGGGGTTGGGAGGGGGAGGGAAAGGGGAATTTAAATCCCCCCCTCAGGGCCGGCGAAGAGCGGGAACTACATCTCCCATGGTGCCTTGGGCGCGCTCTGCGGTATCTCAGCTCGGAGTGGGCGAGAAGGGAACCAGGCGCAGCGGCGGTTCCTCTGTGAGGTAAGAGGGCCCCGCGCGTGCGCAGTTGCCCTCGCTCCTCCCCGCCCCCTCGCCCGCTCCGAGGCTGCGGATCTGTTGTGCCTCTCGCTCTCCTTGCCCCCCCCCCTTACCGGCCTAGGTCGCCGTCTAGTCAAAGGGGCCCGTCGCCGCTCGGAAGGAGAGCCTCCTGCCGCTTCCTCCTCCTCCTCCTCCTTGGCGGCAGGCTCTAGGCCTTGCTTCCCCCGACCGGCTCCTGGCGCCTGTCGTAGCCGAGCCCCCGGGCTCCCCGCACCCGGAGAGGATGTCGGAGCAGACGGGCTTGCTGATACCGCAGACCATGGACAGGTACGGGGAAAGAAGCGGAGGTGCGGGAGGTCAGGCGGGCCCGTTTCCAGGTGCGCCTTGAGGGGGTGATTTTGGAGCAGGAACCGGGTCGAAGGGAAAGCACGCGTGGAGGCACCGCACCATCCTGGGCCGCGACGGCCTATATGCGTGCAGAAAGTCACGGGGGGAATTTGAGGGGAGCTGCTTGCCCAAGGCCTGAGCGGATGTGGCAACGAGGGCTCAAAAAGAAACGCAGGGCTGTTTGTGTCTTTTTTTGGGGGGGGATTGGAGAGTTGCTGCTTTGCCCCCACCATGAGCATTCTGAGGGTTAATGAGGCCTTGGGCCCACATAACACACACACGCACCGTTTGCTGTCAAATGCCTTCCAGTACAAACTGTCGCTAAGTTCACCTTGCAGTAATCGTAAAATTAGTAGCCCCTACAGCGCTGTTAAAAACATCTATGTCAACACCCACACCCCTATTTTAGTAGCTTACAGATCTTGCATATAAAACAATGAGTTGTGATCATGGATGTTTCCACCACATGGAGCAACCTTGTGCTCATACTACCATTGCATGTCCGAGTAACCTTTTCTATGTCTTTGTCACTATCCTTCAGCACTGACTACTTCAGAGTCCCCAGGCCTTCGTTCCAAAAGAGTTTGAATTCTGTGGCCCAGAAGGACAGGAGTGCTACTGTTCTGGCTTCGTGGTTGCAGGGGAGAAGCAGAGAATACAGATTAAGTTAGAAACCTAGTATGTGGAGGGTTGGGACAACTTTTCAAAGGATTCTTGTAGAGTTGAGATCCAGCTATATGACTATGGGTTGCTGTACTATCTTTTCATTCCATATTGTGTACTGCTACAGTGATCACTGTAGTTCCACAGTTTTTGTTGGCTTACCTTTTATCTACAGTAATAACATGTAAGAGACGGGTCCTGTTAGTAATTCTATATAAAGTATATTGCTTTTCTGTTGTGGTAGGTGGCATGATAATGGAAATAACCCAGACCTTAGCCTGTGCTTTTTTTCACTTAGTAACAGAAGGTAAATTCCCATATCTTTGAGAACAGCCCTATTGACTTGAGTAAGGCAAAATGGTTACATTAGTCAATTGAGGAACCACAGTCTCATTTAATTGCATTCCAATAATATAGGCAACAATGAATTTATGTGTGTCCAACTGATGCATGACCATGATAGGGCACTGCAGCAACCTGGAAGTGGCTGGAAAGGGGACAGGAGCGAAGCAGGCATATGCATGCTCCACCGTCGCATGTGATGACCCAGAATGCAACTCCCACACAAATCATGTGTTGCCTGTATTGTAGTTACTAGATATAAGGGGTTGATATGGGCTGTTGGAGGAGGGGTAGTACCTCTGGTGGGGGACACATCATGCTGTCTGGGGTGGTTTGTCCACCTTTGGTTCCCATCCTGCACTCAGTCAGCTCTCACCTGTGGTTCTTAGAAGCTGTCAGCATGCAGCAGTGGCCACACCTCAGGAAATGGCTTCAGCTGGCTGGCTAAAACAGCTGAGGGTAGCCAATGGGTCTCAAACCCTCAGTGTGTTAAGGACTTCCCCTGCACGTCAAGACAGGTGTTAGTGGATTGAGTGGATAAGACAAATAGTGGATCCAACAGTCAAGAAGGTGGTTTCTGCACATGCTGTAGTGGGAGGTGAGGGGCAGATGGCTCATCAACCTGGTAAGGTAGGCCATTAAGGAAAAGGAAAACCTGATCGAAACCTCCATTGCCTTGCAGTTATACTCATCCATAAGAAAGGCTTTGGGAGTAAACCCTGGGGGGAAATCTGTACCCGCTGCCTTGTGGGACGTCTTTGAAAGATGAAAAGGCCAAGGAGCCAACCCTACACAAATCCAGAGTGGAGTCCCTAAGACAGTTAGATGGCGTCTTGTATGCATCCTTCCAGCAACTCCTGCATCCAAGCTGATGCCAAATGTATTGCTCTGTTTTCCTTTGGACCACATCAGTGAGGCCAAGAGGGGGGGTCTTATTATCTGGGCAGCCCAGGACCTCCATACACACTGCCCAGGCTTTCGCCCCAGAGAGGTCACTTAGGTGCTGCTAACACAGCAAAAGCAGTGCAGAAGTCGGCAGTTATGAGTTACTGGTTTCTGCAGCCATAACAGGCACTGTGATTCTCCAGTGGTTTGACTGCACCCCTGGATACACATTCTATTGGCTCTGGAGACAAGACAGATGCCAACTTAATAGATAAGTGGATTTTTTGGTCACATTGTTTGAAGTGTATTAACAAATCAAGAGGAAACACTGTCATGAGCTATTGGCAGAAGTTGTATAGTGTACAATACTAGTTGCTTGGGATATTGCTGTTGGTTTGTATCCACAAAATGAGAGATACAGCATAAGGATAATTCTTTATTGTACCACCTTGATGGAAATGGTTTCACTGGTTTTTAAAGAAGACTTTTAAGTTCATACTATTTAGGCTAAACAGTATATAGTATAGCAAAATAGAATTTGCTTGCTTTTAGTTCATGTTAGCCGTCGTGCAAAACTCCTGAAGTTTTAATTAGCATTGACTTAACTAAACAAAGAGAATGCTAAATGAAATTTTGGAGAGGCAAATGCCAATGTACCAGTGCTTTTTTTCTAGAAAAATAGGTGCTGGTACTCACCATGAAGTTGTTACAGTAAGTGCCACACTTCTTAACAACAACAAAAGAGGTGCTGGTACTGTGTACCCTTGAGTACCCCCTGGGGGGAAAAGCACTGCAATGTAGTTGATCTTCATTTATCATATTTAGAAATGAGTCTTTCTTAGTGAATACAGGGGAATCACTCACTTTTGGAAAGTTGTTGCCTTGCCTATCTTTGTGGTAGGAATGCCTTTTTTAAATGAATGTTGGGAGTTAGTAAGGCAACTTACATTACATGCAGCAAACTACCTTAATTTACCTGATATATGTAACCTGATAAGGGATGCGGGTGGCACTGTGGTCTAAACCTTTGAGCCGTTTGGGCTTGCCGATCAGAAGGTCAGCGATTTGAATCTGCGATGGGGTTAGCTCCCATTGTTCTGTCCCAGCTTCTGCCAACCTAGCAGTTCGAAAGCATACCAGTGCAAGTAGATAAATAGGTACTGCTGTGGCGGGAAGGTAAAAGGCGTTTCCATGCGCTCTGGCATTCGTCATGTTTCTCTGTGCATTTAATCATGCTGGCCACATGACCTGGAAAGCTGCCTGTGGACAAAAGTTGTATCTCCATAGTTCAGATGGATCACTGCTGCTGAGAGAGAGTGGCTTGTCCAAGGCTACTTAGGTCACAGTTCTATACACAGATGTAGAATGCCCCATTGAATGCAGTGGATGATGACTGAACCAAAGTTCAGGAGTTATGCTTTGCCAGCAAATTCTAACATCTGTCTCTTCTGCAGCCTTTCTTCATCTTTTATTGACTTCTCTAATGTGGAAATAGTCTCCTGTGACATAGAGAAAAACTGAGGAGAAGATCCCCAGCCTGGTTTTTTCCCCTGCCCTATACAAAGTGTTATACTACAACCAGTATCACTCCTCACTGTTGGCCATGCTCAAATTGTAGACCTCTAAACTTCTGGAGGACACCAGGCTGGGGAAACCTACCTTAGGTTACTTCTCTCCCCCTGGTGACTTTTGGCCTGGTTCAGATGTTTGCCTCTGTCTGTTTCCTAGTGGAAGTGCAGACATTCAGCAGCCCTTCCATCATGTTTGTAATGTACCATGGATACCTGCACGTATAGAGGCACAATAGCATTTTTCTCTCCAAAATGGGAGTGACAGTGTTTTTTCATTAAAAGAAAACAAGATTTGCCATTCAATAGAGAATAAGTATTGATTAGCTTAAATTTTAAAGCACTTCCCTGGGAGTAAGCTTGGTGGACTTTTAGGAGAATTGCTTCTAAATAGACATTAATCTGTAAGTGTTGGCATAAGTTGTGTATTTGAAAATTATTATACAATGGAAAAAAAGGGGGCAATGATCACTCACATTAAAATTCAGTGGTGGTGTGCTATTTGCTGCAGGGGCAATTGATGTCATAAGGACATGTTAATTCTTCTCATATTATTGTAGGATAGTAAATGAAATTGGAGATAAATTTTTTTTTGTTATAAATATATATCTTAATAAATCTTTTAAAGTACAAGGCATAAATACTTTAACTTTATCTTATATGCTCTTATGTTGATTTTAATGTTCTTTTTCCAGAAAAAGTAGTTCTCGTTTTAAAAATTAATTTGGAGGCATTTTTTTGTTCTCTGTATGCTAATTTAAACAACAATCCGTGTGCTCAATAAAGAAAGGGATTTTTAGGCACAACTGCAGTTACTAGAAGTAGTTTCTATATGTGGAAACAGAAAGTTTAATGATTGGGAGTAGCAGTTCTGCAGTTGCTAGAATTAATTGCTACCCACGGAAGGAGAAAACAAATGCCCTAAGCCATTTACACAATCAGCAAAACAAATAAGGTATTTCAACCAGTAGTATTTGAATTATTTGTCTACACGTTCACAAAGAGGAAGGTCTGCTTCTCAGTGGCAGAATTATTTAAGAGCAAAAAAGGCACTTTCTACTTCCTCTTTCCACTCACAAGATGAGTGAACATGATGGTTGATGCACACAGATGAAGAGTGGCTGATTAGTGAAGTTGTGTAAGTAGCAGTGACAAGGCATAAAATTCTAGCCTAGTGGTGCAATATGATAAGGAAACATTGTAGAGTCTTTAAATAGTGTCAAGATTAAGTACTTAACAGTGCAATTCTATACACACCTACCTTTTGTTTACGTAAGACCTTTTGTAATTCCACTAAAGGCAAACATTCATTACTATAATTCAATCTAATCAAGAATATCTTCATACAGATCTTGTGAAATTTGTCCAGTAATAACACTACCTTGGTTTCCTAAGATGCTTCTAGTTCTTCCCCTTTACTGACCAGTTCTGTATCTAATTAAAACAACGTTTGGTGTGTAAAACTGCAGAAGTCAGGCAAATAGGTCAGTACTGTAATCTCACAGAAAATAGAAAACATTGAGAGTTTAGAACAACATTAATTTTCAAAAGCAAATGATGTATCCAGCAAAATAGTTCTACTAGTAGAAGGACTTTTAACTATACAACAGAACTTCTCCCCTCTTTCCCTGTGCTCCCTCTAAATCTGTTCTGGAGATTTCCTCAACCATTTGGAGCACGTTTCTGGGATCTGTGGGGGAGAGACGAGGGCAGGAAAGTTCCACTGCTCAGCTAAAATTCCTTATGCTAGAAGAAATGTAAGATGCCACTCATTCTGTATAAAAAAGATTGAGCATTCTTTTGCTGTACATTCTGTGTGCAACAGAATGGTTAATATTGTACAATTATGGTTATGTGTCTTCGGAAAAGGCTCAGGGAAGAATTCAACGTTGTGCTAAGCAGAACACTCCATCAGAGCAAGCAATTCTGTTTGCTTGATGGTATAATTTGCCCTTTCCTTCCCGCCTAATGTGCTGTTCCAGGAGTTCCTCCATACCAGGGGGAGGAGATGGGGGGAAGCCGTATTGTGCTAGCAGATGTCCTTGTGTGGGCTTCCCCTGGCAGGACTAGTTAAATGAATCTCTTCTTCCTGCACCATCCATGTAAAATTTAGTTGCTCACACTGCTTTAAATCCCCAGATTGCTTTTAAGATAAACTTTGCAGTAGATTAATATAGAAATTAAGAAAAGGGAGGTATGAGTATCTATCTTCTTGATGTTTTGTCCACAGAGCCTCACTTACAGGGTCATAAATATTGAAATTAGTTGTTATGTGCACAACAGCTGGAAAGTGGTGTAATCTAGTGGTGCTTGAAATTTTACTTTTCAAAATCCCTATCAATTGAACTTAAGACACAAAGTAATAGCCAGCTGTCTGGCACAGAGCAAATGGAGCCACACCTATATTGAAAAACAGGCTCTTCCCTCACATACTTGAATACATTCTCCTTGAACTGGCACGGAACCTGACGGTTGGCATTTAAAATCAAAAGGTGGCAGAGCAGCTTTTAAACTGATTGTGGGGGGAAAGCTGACAGGAACAAAACAGGGTCTGGTTCAGAAGAAGTGTTCCCTTCCCCACCAGATGAAGAAAAAAATTGATTTAAATAGGGGAGGTGTAGAACTAAGCGTTAAGAGGGCAGGGGGCACATGGCTGACATTTCTGACTTACTAAATGATGTAGCATAAAACACACATGCCAAAAGATACTTGGAGAGCGAGAGCGACTATATTTGTGTGTTTATGTGCTAATGGTACTAGACACCTCTGAGCCAAGATGGGCAAACTGGAGTGTTTGGTCTTAGAGGACAGCATTGATATAGTGGGCATAATGGAAACCTGGTGGAACGGAGAGAAACCAGTGGGACATGGTTATTTCTGGATATAAACTCTACAGGAAGGACATCATGGAGGTGGCATCACTGTACATTGGGCATAGAGTCCCCAAGCTAGAAAGCCCCAAAGGGGCAGAATCCTTCACACAGCTGCTGTGGTTGATTATACTGTTCTTGGCCCCAAAAGTGGGCTTACTATCTTGCCACTGATCAAAATGTGAAGCTGATATTGAGATGGAGAATGAAATCAAGGAAGCACCCAAAAGAAGAAAGTGCTGTAACTTCGACATATATGTAAGTGGACAATTGCCAAGGAAGTCCTGTAGCCAGCAGGTTGGCCACTGTGAGAATAGGATGCTAAGCTAGATGTGCTGCTCAAAATTAACAGAAGTGTCATTTTTGGGAAACTTGAAATCCAGGATGCAAAGATCCTCTTTCATGATGTTAGAACTTGTGGATCTCCTGTGAAGCTGAATGCTAATAGTAGCTAGAATAAAGAGATATTTATTTTCAAGACTGAAATAATAAGTCTGTTCTGAAATGCTTAAAGTAGAAAAGAGTTGGGGAAAGTATACTATTGCTAATTCATTTGGTTTTATATAGTAATGTTGAGTTTTTAGAAACTATGTTTTGTTTGACCTAGCTAGCTGTTTCTATTTTAGGTTGCAGTCTGAGTAGCGACCTGATTCTGTACTAAGACCAGGGTAATGTTTTATTCAATACAAGAAAATGGAAAATCTGGCAAGAACTGAGATCCTTGTGTCAATGGTTTTATTTAGCTCTTTCTGCTGTAGCTACTGTCAATAGCAAGATAAAGCTGATGACAGAAAACAAGGGATTTACTATTCATTATTCATAACTTGCTAAAGGCTTAAGAATATAAAGGATATCATGTGATTCTTTTTGTAGGCCATCCATTGTTTAAAATATAGCTGTTGAGCAATAAATTGGATGAAACTTCTTGTTTAAAAAATGTATGTGACATTGATCCATTGCAGCATCAAAATGAATTTGATAGTCTTAATGATATATATTATATTTCAAGCATATAACCTAGTATTAAACATGTTTTAATACTTCAAAGTATAGCCTTTAATAACTAATTCAAGGGTGTTATTTTGCAAGATTGTAAAGTCATTTTTTCCTGTCATCCAAATGAACTTTAGACCTCTTGGGGTGTCAGGTTGCCCCAAGGCATGTCACAACTTTATCTGTGTGGCCCAGTTTTGCACTCATTAACAGTTCAGAGGTAGCCATCATACATTGTAACTTGAGCAAGCTATGAAATATGCCATGCATGTGTCTTCTAGGTAAAAGAGTTGATATACCAGTCTGATATTATTTTTGGTTCGAAAGACTCCTCAAATTTCAGTGAGGATGTTTAGTAGTTTCTGCATTTGTGACTTTATTTCTGTTTTGCTTTTTGATATGTGTGTGTGTCTATGTGTAGAAATTCCACTTCGTCTGTAATAGTGAAAAGAAAGATTGAATTGTTCAACTTATTTCCTGTATGCATTTTTTTAAAGCTTGGATAAATGCTTTTCTATTGCCGTGTAGTTCTAACATCTTAGCAACATCTCATCATTTCTTTTTGGGGGGAGAGTGTTGCGTAAATAATGGAAAGATTAAAGTAAACAGGGAATACCATTTGTTAGACGTGAATACAAAACACACACACACACACACAGTGGACAGAGCTGTAGTGAAATAAAGGTAGTAATAATAGCTAAGTTTGGGTATATAAGATAGAATACACCATAGAAAGAGTATATGTTTATTTTTGTTAGGGGACTTTCCCAAGATAATTTGTTGATTGCCAAGTCTGAAGCTATTGAGCATGGGTAGGCAAACTAAGGCCCCGGGGGCTGGATTCAGCCCAATCGCCTTCTAAATCAGGTCCACAGGCGGTCCAGGAATCATTGTGTTTTTACATGAGTAGAATGTGTGCTTTTATTTAAAATGCATCTCTGGGTTATTTGTAGGGCATAGGAATTCGTTCATATTTTTTTTCCAAAATATAGTCTGGCCCACCACAAAGTCTGAGGGACAGTGGACTGGCCCCCTGCTGAAAAAGTTTGCTGGCCCATGCTATTGAGGGCAGGGTGGTAGTAATTAAGTTCCTTGTGTCCTTATTCATGAATTTATAAAATTCCTAAAAGCCGCATCAGCTGGTGCTGCTTACTTTAAAATATTTAAATCTTTATTTGAATCAACTCTGGAAATCCTGTGCCAAACGGTTTATAACAATGGTAAATAATGCTTGTGCAGGGGTGTCCCATCAGATCTTGTTGGTTTGCCTCCATTATTCTGAGCCTGGTGGCAGGCACCAAAGTGGTTCAGAACAGTAAGTAGGAATGCAGACCTATTTTCTATGCTGTAGTTTGAGCTGAAGAAGTAAAGGCCTTATATCACAAGCAGAAGTCTGAGGTTCATTGGAAATGTATTTGTTTGCAGAAAAATGTGTTTAATTGTTATAGCACCCAACTGGTATGCATGCTGCTTCAGAAAATAGATGAATTTCAAGATGAAAGATTTGATTTAAATCAGTCCACCCTGCCTTCAATTTAAGATTCAATTTTGATTATCTTCCCAGTAAACTGTCTACTGTTGTTTTTGCTCCTGATACAACTATTTGTGTATCTTTCCTTGATGAGGATGGTTTTTTTGTGTTTGCGTTTCTCAGATGCCCTGAGAATGCAAATTAGCCATTGAAAGGCAGGATAAGCATTTTGGAAATAAGAAATATGATTATTTTCTGTCCTATCATGTGATTATAAATATGGAATGGATTAAAATAGTTTACATAAATAAGCATTTATTCATTTCTATGCAGTATTATTTGAACACAATCAGCCAGAAATGTTTCCGGTGCAAATGTGGGAAAGTTGTAATTAACTGTACAGTTTCTTTGTGGATTTACTTACTGCCCTATTCTGAACTCTAGATCATTCTACTCTTCCTGAATAACATTTAAAAGTTGTAGTTCTTAGAAATTTTTGTATTTGTTTATTTGCTGTATTTATTATATACTGCCCAGTACTGTAACAATATTCTTGACGGAAGTAAGAAAGAAATGAAGTGAATGAAGATAGAATTCTGCTTAGTTGCAGTGCCATAGCTATGTAGATTTGACATGATAAGAATAATGGAATTTTTTCTCTCTCCATATTGGAAAAGGAAGTGTATGTCTCTTTTGCTGTGCATTTTCTGTATAGTGCTGTGATTACGATTGATTGTGGAAAGCAAAGGGCTTTACAGACTTAGATGTATTTATAATGCAATCACTCCGTTATCTGAACAGGAGGGGAAAGATCAATTGCAAGAGGGCACTTTTCCATTCGCTAGATTACTGTCAAACACATTTATAACTAAAAATAAAATAATCAATCTACAAGAGAATTAAGTGTATTTCCTTCCTTAATTTTAAAATCACATTTTTCTTTATTTGTAAGTGTTGCCAGGATGTAAACATTCCCTATTCAGGAAAGTCCAAAATATCAATATTATGTGTAGAATAATTTGTTCATTTGTTGGAATACATTATGAATAAAGCAAAAAATTGCAGATGGACCTCAATTACTTCAGACGTGAATGATGCAAAATATGATTTTAAGAAATGGCATTAGGATTAAGCACACACATTTTTTTTTTTAAATCTAGCTATTAGAATATGGTATTGATGAATTTGAGTTAGTAGCACTGCATTTAGGAAATGCCCTTTCTAGGTAAACAAGTTAGCAATAAAATGGTTGGGGAGATTTTATTCTTACGATATTGACAGCTAAAGCTTTCTGATGTGTCCTTTGTGCTTAACTTTCAGGAGTTGTTGGGTGTGTTTTGCAACTGATGAGGATGACAGAACAGCAGAGTGGGTGAGACCATGCAGGTGTAGAGGCTCTACGAAATGGGTTCACCAAACCTGTCTACAGCGCTGGGTGGATGAAAAACAGAGAGGGAACAGTACAGCTCGTGTTGCCTGTCCTCAGTGCAATGCAGAATACTTAATAGTATTTCCAAAACTAGGTAAGATGCGCACATGAAACTTCCATGAAGAGTGGGTTGCGGGGAGCACACAACTGGAATATTATTATATTACCACCATTACTACTAATATTAACCAGGGGCTCCATCCCTGCTTGCTCAGCTCGCCAACCCCCTCACCCTCCCTTGGCAACTCTGCATCTTTCACACCTCACCCCTAACCCCTAACCCTCACAGCTCCTTCCACCCACATGCTGCCCACCCGTCAATCACCTTATGCCATATTGATGTCAAGGGGTGCTTCACTTTCAAAGTGGACCACAGGGATTTAAAACCACACTTTGTAAACATCCTCATGAGGCCTTTCAAGCCTCAGTGGGGGCTTGAAGGAGATGTGCGGGGCTGGGTGCGAACTCCCATCTGCCTATAAGCAATGCAAACTGTAGAGGGTGGTGACATTTTACATTCTTATGTAATAAGGAAGATACCATCATTTGCCTTATGCACAATTGTCTCAAGGTGATGTACAGTGACGCAAGGGACAGTGTAACATTCAGGGTTGAATTTTGTTCTATTATTATCCTGCACTGAGATTCTCAGAGCAGCTCATAGCATCCAATCATAAAAGACAGTGATAGAGTAAATAGAGGTAGTGCCATGCTATATACTCTTTTGATTCATCATCTCTGCTACAAAACTTTATTTCTCCTTTATGTTATAGGTCCAGTTGTTTATGTCTTGGACCTGGCAGATCGCCTTATCTCAAAAGCCTGTCCGTTTGCTGCAGCTGGAATAATGGTGGGCTCTATCTACTGGACAGCTGTCACTTACGGAGCAGTAACAGTGATGCAGGTTCAGATGCACTTTCTAAATGTTACATTATCTTAATCAAGCTGCAAACTTCTAGACAGTTGCTGAAGAAGTTTGTTTGGTTTTTTGTAAGGAACAAAATTCCGTGAGAGGATTGGAAAACACAGTTTACAAGAGCGTGACTCCATATTCTTCTTTCCTTACCCATGTGGTGGTTTTTCCTTACCTGCCTTGCTATTTCATGTAACTCTGTGCTTACAGATTGCCAAATCCCATCTAACAGGCACAGCTGTATTCAGCTCTTCCCTCTACACACACAAGCATCTGTTTGAATAAATTTCATCATAAATATCCTGCAAAGCCTCGCATCTGTCCATTTCTGCCTGTGTCTGTATTTCTCTGCATATGCCCACTTGTACTTGTGCTTTTCTATTCATTAACAAGCTCTGCTAAACTATATGGGAGTCACTGCGGCTATTTGGATGAGAAACAGATTCCTTGATAAATCCTGTTGCTTCTACCTACGATCTGAGATTTTTCTCTTGCTTTTCTCATGCTCACCATGATTCTCTCACTGCTTATTGCTCACCTTTCCCATTTTTGGGGGGTGGGGGTCAGGGGAAGGAAGCAGTCACTGTTTCACCATAAAGCTTATTGGATGACCTTGGGCCAGTTATTCTTGCTTGGGCTAGCCTTCCCCCTGTTGTGATGATAAAATGCTTGTGTATTCTGTTCTTCGAGGAAAGCTGGGAAACAAATGAAATAAATACCTAGTTGAGAGGAAAGGGATAATGCTCAGAGCAAGCCCTCAGCCTGGATATAGACTTCCTATATAGTTTCAATGAACAAGTTTGTTCTCAGCCTCTTCCCAATTTTTCATCTTTTCTGTCTAGAGGAATACTTGGAGGAAAGATACAAGCCAGGACTCCTTTTTTATGCGCTCCTGCCTTTGAGTATAGATATGGAGTCACTTGCAGTACCTTCACCATCCATCTGTTCACTTTATATATAGTACTTGAAGCAGGCTTTTGACAACTGCACAGATGTGCTCAATGTACTGCTGCTGCTGTCAATGTACTGCTGCTCAATGTACTGCTGCTGCTGTCATAACAGTTTTCAATTATTTATAGACTGTGGTTATTTATCAGCACAACTGTAGATTGAAAAATATCGGACATTTAAAAAAGTTAGCTTTTCTCATGGGTTCTGTTCTTGATACATAGTTCTAGGAACATCATTTTTGAGTAGCATATATATATCAAACATTTATTTTAAAGTTTTTGTGGGGTAGTGCTCTTTCTTGACTGCAATACTCCTCATGACTCATATCAAGATGCTTTTGGACATATATAGCGGAATTAATACCAAAAACAGCTGCTTAAAAATACATCCTTGTTTCAGATCTATCTACATTTCAGATATGTATCTATATCTTTTTAAAATGGTTTGTCAGGTTTCAGTTACAAGATTGTTTCCTGTGCTGCCAAACTCAAATGCAATAATTACGTATACTCAGAAACAGGATTATTTGACTTGATGGTGCAGTGGGTTCTAAATGGATATCTAGCCTAAGAGAGACAAACAGTTGCCTAATCGTATGAGTTGCTCACCAGCCCAGAAGGTCTGGCACTCTGATCTCAGTGTGCAAAAGAAGCTAATAGTGCTACTATAAGTGTACAGGGCAGTGGCATGTAGGTTCTCTGGATGGTGGTTCAAATTAGGTTGTTCTTTAGTTGTAGCTCCTGAAGTCAAGCCATTGTAAAGTAGCCACATTACCTCTATTTTAGAATGGTGCTGTGCTTAATGTAATAATGTATTTTTTATTCATCAGGTTGTGGGTCATAAAGAAGGCCTCGATGTTATGGAAAGAGCTGATCCTTTATTCCTTTTAATTGGACTTCCCACCATCCCAGTTATGCTTATATTGGGAAAGATGATTCGCTGGGAAGACTATGTGCTTAGATTGTGGCGAAAATATTCTAACAAACTACAGATTCTGAACAGCATATTTCCAGGTAATGCTACCAAAATTTGAGTAGAATATCTAGGCTTGGCTGTTTCTGTGAGGAGGGGTGGTAAGATAGATTTTAGTATCCAAAATATAGCACTTCTCTTTTTCTCTCCTTGGTGCTAAGTAAAAAGACATTGTCCAGCACAATATTTGCTTAGATGAGTTCCATCTCCCAAATGCAGCTTGCAAGAAGGTATTGCAGTATAAAGACTAAAAACAGTGTAATTGTGAGCAGCACTTTCTAATCTGTGAAACTAGAAGTAAATGCCATAAATAATTTTATTAGAATGTGTTGCAGTACATAAGTTTTCTGGCTGGGAGTACTCAAAACCATTAAATCGAAGAGCTAATTGGAATGGAGAGGTTAAATTTGTAATACAAATCTGGTTTAGTGCACTCTAATTCTTGGTTAGCAATGGCATTTTTCTTTAGGGATTGGATGTCCTGTTCCTCGTATTCCAGCTGAGGCCAACCCTCTGGCAGATCACGTCTCTGCTACTCGTATTCTCTGTGGAGCTCTTGTCTTTCCCACTATTGCTACGATAGTTGGCAAGTTGATGTTCAGCAGTGTTAACTCTAATCTTCAGCGAACAATTTTGGTAAGACTGTGTAAAGTTTCCTTTATAGAACTAGATTGGCAGACGTGTAGGAGATTTAGCTTCTCTCTGCATATTTTCACCTTTGTCGTACTTCTGTCAAATAACACGCTTGGTGTGTTTTGTTGCATTTACTGTTACATAATATCAGTTAAAACATTCAGAAAGCATTTATATGGCACTTTGGAGTTCGAGTAGGTCCTATTTCATAGGGTCTGGGGGTTAGTGGTGGTGCTTGGGGTCCAAGGATACTTTCTGGTTGTTCCTTTGGAATGCATCCTTAACTGCACATGATGTCACATATAGCATTAGATATGGAGCAGGTGGGTGGGGTTTTTTTTAGGAAACAGCCTGGTGAGCCAAATTGGGACATGCTGGAGGTGCCCCACCCTTGCTGTAGGATTGCATTCACACAATCCTGTGAACCATGGACTGGGCATGAGCTGTGAAGGACTGAACATCCTCTTTTTCTCTTTTGTGTCAGTAACCCCACCCACCTGTCAAAATGGCCCACGGGGTGTGTGTGTGAGAAGGTTGAGATTCAGCCCTAGAACAAATCATAACCCTCCCCTCCCCATTTAAGTGAATGAAAACTTTCAAAAGAATGTGCAAACTCAGCATAGAAACATTAGATTACCCCCATTGTGACAGGGAAATGTATGCTTCGGGTTTTAGTACAGAATTGCTCTAATTAGCCGAACTTCAAAGGAAACGGGGCTTGACAATCCTGTGTGTGTATGTAACCATTAAAAAAATATATTAGGTGTTAAACGTGTTCTGTCAGTTTTGAATAATTGTTCCCTTTTATTTTAGGGCGGAATTGCTTTTGTTGCTATAAAAGGAGCTTTCAAGGTCTATTTCAAACAGCAGCAATATTTGCGACAAGCTCATCGGAAAATTTTAAACTATCCTGAGCAAGAAGGTGCATAAATGACTGTGGATGTCAGACTTTTACAATCTCATCTGCTATATTCAGCAGCAATGTACCAATACCTATTATTTGGCTAAAGGAGCTGAAATTGGAGGATATGTTGCTGATTTTTGTGGTCCCCACCCCACCCCCATAGAATAATAAAATACCTTATTATGGCAGGGCAAATCCTCCTTAGTTGTTGATCCTAAGAATGTGATTTGTTTTCACTGATGTGTTTACTTTGTGGCGGAAGACATCTGAATCATTTTCCTATGGGCAAATGTTGCCTTCTTTCAAAACAGAAGCCAAACAGTTGTGAAGTTAATAAATTATGTGCAGACTGTATTGAATTATATTTTGTATGCTTATTGCAGTAAATGCACAGTACTTTGATAAATGGGCCAATATAAGAAACTTCTAAAAATATGCATAGTTTATTATTGCCAAGTGGAACTCTGGAATGTCAGTTAATAAGGGTTTCCGTATTCATAGAGGAAGCTAAAGAATAAGCCTCAAATTAGTGATAGCAGAACTCAACTCATTTTCTTGCTAGTTCACATAGTCCATCACAACAGCCCAGATTGTTAGAAGTTTCATTAAATATAGAAAAACCTGTCTGGGTCTGATAACTTGGAACACCAGCAAATTGCTTTTTTATTTTTTAAAAAAATTCAACAGATTGCTGTCTTTTGGCTCTTACATTGTAATGCAAGTAGCATTATATATAATTAACTCCTGTCTGCCACCAGTGAAACTGAAAAACTGAATTACAATCTATATGTGACTAGTTTCAATATTAGACTGTTGCTTAGTGCCAGTATGCTGTGGAAGCACAACCAAATTGTGGAGTCATTATTCAGGCTAAAACAAGAAGCAAGGGTTCAAAAACAAGCACTGGTAACACATAGCTGTGTTTAGAAGGAAGTATAAATGTTCAGTTGTGAATGTTAAAAGACTATTGATTACACAAGTCAATCCTGCTTTACTGAAGTCAGTTTTCTATTTTCTATTTTTATTTTTTTAAGACTTATCTGGCACTCACCTTAACTGCATCTCTTTTGAAATCTATTTTCAAAGTGTCCTTGATTTTGGTGGCACCTATAAGTAAATTCTTTGGATTGGAGCCTAGGTTCCTATCTAGACATGTGTGCACAAGTCCCATTCCAGTCAATGAGATGGATTTCCTAGTACATGGCAGGATTAAGGTTGATAAGGGAGATATTTAAATTGCACTTTTTCTTAACAGTAGAAATTAGTGTATCAGTGTTTAAATATTGGGTTCTGTACAAGTCACATCATCGCGAAGTAACAAATGACAGTCATTCTGAGTTTACAAGTGGTATTTGCTTTGACAGGATTAAAGAACCATTGAGTGTATCTTAAACTCTCAAATTATGTTCCAGTTCAAATATCTAATGCATGGAAAAGGTAATAAACACATCTTTTTAAAGTACTGATAAATAGTTGTTGACCAGAAGTGATGCAAATGGGGAAAAAGTCTTTGTTCGATTGTAATAACGTATGCTAAAGAAATATTATTTCCATAGCAAGCTTTACTTTAAATATAAAAAATGTAATATTTTAAAAGGTAATAATGACCAGCTAGTATTCCAGCATTGGTATGTGGAAAAACCTAAAGCATAACAGAATACTTTAGTTTCTTGTTGTAAATACTAAAAACCCCTACTGTAAGTCAATTTGACTTTTGATATCTATATATTTATATATTCAGCAGTATCCTGCAGAATGTTGGCTTTCTATGAGTTTTCAGCACTATAAAACATTTCTTGCAGAAATTCCTGTTGTAAGAAGCCTTCTAGGTGATCTTTACTTTATATACACCAGCTCTTTGATACCTGCTGGTTTTTAAACTATCTCTTACAAAACCTAAAAGTACAGATTGGTTGGTCTAAAATTTTGTTCTATGGTAAAATTGCTGAAATTATTGTTTTATCACTACAAATGTACTGTGAAGAATGTGGGATTATATTTTAAATTCAGTTGCAAGAAGCATTTCCTTGGTTACTGTGCTTTTGACATGTTTTTAGTAGTGCAATTTACGATCACATACTGGATTAGATTGAATAAAGTTTTTTTATATTCTTTAGGTGTATGGTGTCAAATATAGTAACATAGATTGCTTTAATTCCTTTAAATGTTTGGGGGAATAAACTATTAAACACTGAACTATATCCATTGCTTAATTTAACAACCAATATATTAGTTGATTATTTCTACTAGCATACATCAACTAGCGACATCAGATTTCAGCTCCTACAAAGGAGCTTGCTGTTCATTATCCCAGTTCTACGAGAGCATCTTCACACTGCCCAGATTTAATTATGCAAGATTATGTTGTACTGTCTATAATTCCTTTCTCTTTTCCACTGCAGATCCTTGGATCATGCCGCCATTTGCTTTGCTTAATTTCATAAAATGTCTGAGCCCACCTTCTCCAACCCCAAATTAGTTAACCCATTGCTTTATGCTAAATGAACATTGGGAAATGCAAGTTGTGTGGTTCTGGAAGTGATATTTCTATTGCTGTGTAGGAGATTGAAAGCCTCAATGTGTGGCTGAGACATTGGTGTTGGAAAGAGGGGTTTGGATTTGTTAGGCACTGGAAAGTGGAATCAAGGATTCAAAGAGCCCCATGATATAGGGAAGCACTGTCACAAGTGAATCAATGCTTGGCTGATGTCGTATACCTACAGCAGCTTCAAAATTGGAGTGGTGGCTATTCTAGAGGGTTTCTCCAGTTTCTGGAGTGGCTTTTCAGGGGCTGCAGTGGGAAGGGGGAGCTTAGATTTCACAAGGAAGAATCAAAAGTTCCCATGCACAGACAGAAGATCCACCAGTACACTGGCCTTGTGCCCATTTGTGCAGTAAACCAGGAAACTATTGCGTGCAAGGCAGCTCTGTGTACACAGCAAAATCTCTTTGTCCACAAGGAATTGCTGTGTTGTGCCAACTTCTATATTACAATTGCAGAGCCTTTGCTAATCCCGGTCTTCTTCCATTTAGATCACCATTAAGAGTGCTCATACCCAAGCTTTACAAATTCCAGCAGATGCATTAGGTGTCTCGTCAAAAGATGTGTAAAATCCATGGGGTTCCAGGAGTTTGTTCAGTATTCAAGCAACCCTTGTTTACATAGTAAGGATGGCTCGTGTGATCTCTCCCTCCCCGCCCCCCACATACACATTAGAAAAAAGTGGCAAATACAGAAACATGACTGATTTATCTGCCCAAGTTGGGGTGGCTTTTTAAGTCACTGTTTTCAATTTAAAAACAAAAAACCCTGAACCATTTCATGCGCCATGAAATCCTCAACAATTGAGGAGTTGCACTGTGGTGTTTCGTATCCCTACCCTTAAAAAAAATGAAAATTTCTGTTTAACTTGCAAAAATAAAGGATCCTATTTACCCCTATTAAAATTGAATAGGAAAGGCACTACCTATCTCCAGCAACTGATCAAAATTGGGTTCTTTTTGTAAAGAACTATATATCATTTCATTATGTAAAAAACCCCAACATTATAAAACATTGCAGGCATCCATTGGATCTCAGGCTAAGCTTAACCTTAGGTTCATTCTTCTCCAAGTTGTCTTTATCTTGACACAGGAGTTAATACTCTCAAAGAGCAAACTCATGTTTTATTTATATTATTTTTTCTTATTAATCTAGTGGGGTTTATTAAACACCTTCCATATTTTACCTAGGCATTTTTGGTTTTCTCTTTGGTTTTCTCCTCCAGAGATTTCTAATGAAGGATGCCTCATTGGAAGGTTGTATCTTTTCCCAGCTGGTTGGTTTGTCTCTAAATAAATAAATACTCAACCCTAAAGTGCTTGAGACTCACAGTTGCTCAACACAAAACTGCTCTAATGAATCTCAGTAGCAGTTTTGTTAAAATATAATCATGTCAACAACACTGTGGAGGCCAGTGTACCCTAGTAATGTGTGTTTAGCAGTGTTTTTCGACTGTGATTTCCAGTAAATTTATTATGTTAAACACAGAGTCACACTGAAATAAATTGTATCTTTATTGCTTGCTGGGAGTTTAATAAGGTGCTCCAATTTAACTCAAAGGCAGATTGATGTCAAAACAAATGATGTAAGAGGGTTAAGCGGACAGGCGATAGCTTTAAAAGTGGGTTGTATAAAATAGACATTGGGAGTGAGACCTTATGGGTTAAATTCAAGTTCTGTGTCTGGAATGACCAGGGCATCTTGTTCACATTACACCCGGACAACCAATTTACATTTATGGTGAGAGGAAAGCATTAACACTGCAACATCTCTCTTACGCATCATTGAACTTTGCTTGCTGCTTTATTTAAATCTACACTTGTTTTAATTAAGCTCTTCTGTAAATAATTGAGCGTGGTTATGAGCATTTATCCTGGCTATATTATGAAAATACTGCCTGCAGACTGTGGAGGCAGCTTTATTGCAAAGCAATAATCATTTAGACAGCACAACAGCATGGAAGCCAGTAGTAAAAAAACCAGAATTTTATGAGTCTCCTCCCTGCTGCATCGAAACCTGAACTGAATGCAGTTAGACCAACAGCAATTCAATTAAAGGCTTACTGGAGGATGGTGGTTCCTAAATAGATTTCATGTGTTCTTCTTGCTCCTATTCAATAAACACTTTGAATTTTTATTTATAGAGCATATGTTGCCAATTTAAACAATAGAACATGGTGGTATAAGACCATCATAAAAACATTATAAAATGATTAAAATGACTGATCAAAAAGGTTGCATAGGCCTGTCTACATAAAAAGGTCTTAGGAGATGGCTGAAATTTAACATACTGTATCTTTGCTGGAGGGGACGCGGGTGGTGCTGTGGGTAGAACCTCAGCGCCTAGGGCTTGCCGATCGCATGGTCGGCGGTTCGAATCCCCGCGGCGGGGTGAGCTCCCGTCTTTCGGTCCCAGCTCCTGCCCACCTAGCAGTTCAAAAGCACCCCTAAGTGCAAGTAGATAAATAGGTACCGCTTTATAGCGGGAAGGTAAACGGCGTTTCCGTGTGCTGCGCTGGTGCCGGCTCGCCAGAGCAGCCTCGTCACGCTGGCCACGTGACCCGGAAGTGTCTCCGGACAGTGCTGGCTCCAGGCCTCTTAAGTGAGATGGGCGCACAACCCTAGAGTCGGACACGACTGGCCCGTACGGGCAGGGGCACCTTTACCTTTACCTATCTTTGCTGGAACAGCTGAGGGATTCTGACACAAAATGTGCAACTCTCAATGGAGGCCAGCTAGGCCTCTGTAACATGGGCAACTCAGTGGTCAGGCCAGGACATAAGGGCTAAAGTGGTCCTTACAGCATCCTGAACCCAAGCTGATAAGAGCTTTGTATGATCTGTCTCTGTTACCAAGACTAAACTGCTAACCGGCTGTTTTTAACTTTATTCACTGGTTTGCCAGTATCCCAAAGGATCAAAGCACGAGTACCATGAGCCCAAAACCCAATAATGGATGACCAGCTGAATCTCAAGGGGATTTCCAGAGTCCATTGTGCTATGTCTGCATTGGCTTGACTGCATTGGCGCTCCGTTTCCAAACTCATTTCAAAGTACTGTTTTTGAGCTTTAAAGCTGCCTGCACCTCAGGACCCCAGTACCTCAAGGATTGCCTGTCCCCACATGACCATCATCAGAGTCTCTTCTCCGTGAGCCTCCTGTGAGGGAAGTGAGGTGAGTGGCAGCCTGAGAACCTGCTCTTTCAGGAATGGCTCCCCATTTGTGGAATGCTCTCCCCCTGGGAAGCATGTGTGATGCCATCATTATTCTATAACCAGACCCTTGGCTGCTAAATAATCTATGGCCTTTTAAATGTGTTTGTGGGAGGAGGTTTTTTTTGGGGGTGTTCTTATTATGATATGCATTTTGTGTTTTTCCATTTTGTATTTTACTGCTGAAAACCGCCCTGTGATCTTCGGATGACAGGCAGTGTATGAATTTTAATCACCATCATCATCATCAGCTTTTAGGCACCAGACTTAAGGCGTCTCTGTTTGCTCCAGCTTCTAGTCATTAATTTAGATTGCACTGAGTTGTGATTTCTGGCCAGCTATGTGGTGGTCATCTTTTTAATGGAGTGGCGTAGGATTTGTCCTTTTTATAGTTATTGGTGGACGAGCACTTCTAGGAATTTTGTTCTGTTCTCTTCTCCTACCCCAAGAAACACCTATGACAGCAGGGACCAAAAGGAAGACCAAACTGAACCTAAAGTTGCCTTGGCAGTTTAGTTAAGCGTGGCAACTTTTCAAGTTGTTAGCACTTAAGTGTCTTTGCAAGGAAGGAGGATGGGGAGAAAACCAGAACAACTTGGCCACACCCATGGAACCTCCTAGCAGCCTCACCAGGTCTAGTGCTTCCATTCACACTACTAAGGTTGCAGGAGGGATCTCTCCGCAGCATGGCTTGCCATAAACCACAAGGGCTGCAACCCGATGGAGAACCAGACATCTCCCAGTCATTTGCAGAAGCCATTGGGCTGTGAAATCCTTTATGGAGCTGAGCCTATATATTTGTACCCGCACATAGTATACTTTTACTTCAGTTGACTTATTTATATTTTTTTAACAAAAATTAAATGCTGTCTTCCCAACATCTGTCAAAAGCAGCTTAAAACACATCTATAATAATTAAATTCATATTTAGGAAAAATTACATATTCAGCCAATTAAAAATATCTATCCTTCTAGCAGATGCCAATTGGTGTTACATTTCTGATCAATTTTAGACAGAGTCAATACATTGCCAAGCACACCCCCAGTCTCTGAGTAGTGAATTTTTTCATGGGAGCTTGCAAGTGCCTTGGGTTTAGTTTCTATAGTATGAAGGCTGGTAGTGATTGTAGTGTTTCTGTGATATGGTTTTGTTTAGCGCGCGCGCACACACACACACACACACTGTAGACTGAGCATAATATGGAAGGGCTCTCAACATTAACAAAGCCAACAGATCTTACTATTCTCCCATTAGGTTTCTAGGGGAGCTTTCAGACTCTTAGTACTAGATCCTCACAGAGAGAGAAATCAAGTCTCTCTGTCTTTCCAACTCCCAGTTACTAGCCTGACTGGTTCTTTTGTTCTTCTGCACACTCAGTCCCACACCTTGATGGCATCACCTCCAGCCAGGTGAGAGAGGGGAGAATACCTTCCTGCCTAAGCTCACCTCCTGGAAAGATTTCCAGCTATTTTCTGCGGAACAGTTTAGCCCAAGCATAACATAACAACATCTGATACTTCACAGACTTGGCTATAGCTATTAACACAGAACATAGAACATAGAATCATAGAGTTGGAAGAGACCACAAGGGCCATCGAGTCCAACCCCGTGCCAAGCAGGAAACACCATCAGAGCACTCCTGACATATGGTTGTCAAACCTCTGCTTAAAGACCTCCAAAGAAGGAGATTCCACCACACTCCTTGGCAGCAAATTCCACTGTCGAACAGCTCTTACTGTCAGGAAGTTCTTCCTAATGTTTAGGTGGAATCTTCTTTCTTGTAGTTTGGATCCATTGCTCTGTGTCCGCTTCTCTGGAGCAGCAGAAAACAACCTTTCTCCCTCCTCTATGTGACATCCTTTTATATATTTGAACATGGCTATCATATCACCCCTTAACCTCCTCTTCTCCAGGCTAAACATGCCCAGCTCCCTTAGCCGTTCCTCATAAGGCATCATTTCCAGGCCTTTGACCATTTTGGTTGCCCTCCTCTGGACACGGTCCAGTTTGTCAGTGTGCTTCTTGAACTGTGGTGCCCAGAACTGGACACAGTACTCCAGGTGAGGTCTGACCAGAGCAGAATACAGTGGCACTATTACTTCCCTTGATCTAGATGCTATACTCCTATTGATGCAGCCCAGAATTGCATTGGCTTTTTTAGCTGCCGCATCGCACTGTTGGCTCATGTCAAGTTTGTGGTCAACCAAGACTCCTAGATCCTTTTCACATGTACTGCTCTCAAGCCAGGTGTCACCCATCTTGTATTTGTGCCTCTCATTTTTTTTTGCCCAAGTGCAATACTTTACATTTCTCCCTGTTAAAATTCATCTTGTTTGTTTTTGCCCAGTTCTCTAATCTGTCAAGGTCGTTTTGAAGTGTGATCCTGTCCTCTGGGGTGTTAGCCACCCCTCCCAGTTTGGTGTCATCTGCAAATTTGATCAGGATGCCCTTGAGTCCATCATCCAAGTCGTTGATAAAGATGTTGAATAAGACCGGGCCCAAGACAGAACCCTGTGGCACCCCACTAGTCACTCTTCTCCAGGATGAAGAGGAACCATTGATGAGCACCCTTTGGGTTCGGTCAGTCAGCCAGTTACAAATCCACTGAGTGGTAGCATAGTCAAGACCGCATTTTACCAGCTTCTTTACAAGAATATCATGGGGCACCTTGTCAAATGCCTTGCTGAAATCAAGGTAGGCTACATCCACTGCGTTCCCTTCATCTACGTCACAGACAGACTGGTTCAACCACTTTTCACGGTCTCTTTTTCTGCAGAATCCACTCTTGCAGCAGCTACAAGATCACAGGAATGGAGGGGAATCCTGAGAGCACAACCAAACTAACCCCTAGTCATAGAATCATAAATATGTAGAGTTGGGAGGGATCCCAAGGGTGATCGAATCCAACCCCCTGCTGTGAAGGGACCTCAACTAAACCATACATGACTAGTGGCCATCCAACTTCTGCTTAAAAACCTACAGCAACTTTAAAAAAAAACTCAAAACCTACACCACATCTTTTTTGCTGGGTTAAGATGGATTTCAAGGTCTTAGGTTAAATATTTTTCTGTGGGGAAAATACTGGTGTTAAACGCACCAAGTAATTGTAATGTTCAAAGCTGCCTCTTAACACTCCAGCTGTGCACTGCATCAAATGAATTGACATGGGGAAAACAGGAGACATTCACAGAATATTTAGGTCTGGGAACATGAATTCTGTTGCCCACCAAAAAAAAGGCAAAAAGCTGATGTACTCATTTCTCCTGTCCAGCCACATTCCGGTCTAACAATCGCTTGATGCTATTGAGTCCTTAAGAGAGGAGGTATTATGTTTTATCAGGCATAAACATTGTGCTCTGAGCACTTGGGAAATGTGATAGCCCTGCAGCAGAAGCACAAAGGTGAGGATTTGGAGCTTTAATTGCACAATCAATAGTTTAGATTCAAGAGCCTCCATAAAAGGATGTCTGATGAAATATTGCAGTTCAGAAATAAGTTCCTGAATCCAGTATTGATACTGCGATATTGCGTTTATTACCGTACAGAACACAGAAATCATGTGGCCTGTTCCAGCAGCGCGAAGAAATTTGGTTCAGTTCGCCTTTTGATGCAAACCTACCTAGTTTCCAAAATTCACCCTTCTCCTGATTTTGCAATGCAGTTCTCCAACCAGAAAATATGGACAGATGCATATATTTGGGGGAAATGTGTGTAAAAATGAATATTAGTGAAAACGGCATGAGCCCATTGCTGTACACACTGTTGTCCTGTTATTTTGTCACTGTAGTTTTATGATTTGTAGTTTTAAAAATAACACACAGGTCCTCTTTTTTTTATTTTGGACATTTGTATCCTGGTCTTCAGCTAACAGGGCTCCCAAAGTGACTTCTATAAAATCAATACCAACCAATAAAATGCTTAAAAGCATGATAGACACTCACTGAGGTATAAAGAGAGAAGGAACAGTTATGGAGGAAGGGGGTTGGCAAGTAGTTGGGGTTGGTGAATGGAGCGAGCAAGGGGGGCATATATTTCATATATTTATATGTCACTTAATGTCTCTGAACAGTTTGCAGAAATAACATATGTAATAAACTATACAATGCAATACTTTTGCCAAAGCACATCCTGACTCCCAGTATACAACAGTCACCCCAGTACCATAGACACAGTATTCTGCCTTATATCTCTACTACAAATTCTGCCTTATATCTCTACACAAATAATACAGCACCCACTACACATCCCATTCTCCTCTCACAGCTCGCAAGCACCCATAAACACCACCCACCCCATCGCTCCAGTGCCTCCCACTTCATCCACATCCCCAAACCCACCTTGTGGCCCCTTCTTGTGAGACGCACTCCTAAGACCAGGGGTCAGCAAACTTTTTCAGCAGGGAGCTGGTCCACTGTCCCTCAGACCTTGTGGGGGGCTGGACTATATTTTGAAAGACAAAAATGAACGAATTCCTATGCCCCACAAATAACCCAGAGATGCATTTTAAATAAAAGCACACATTCTACTCATGTAAAAACACGCTGATTCCCGGACCATCTGCAAGCCAGTTTGAGAAGGCGATCGGGTCAGATCTGGCCTCCGGGCCTTCGTCTGCCTACCCATGCCTAAGATGCACTTGGCCACAGGCAGCAGGGAACCATTTCTGCTGAGGTTGTGCTAAGTGGCACAAAGTCGCAGGGTGGAAAAAAATCAGCCCCCAAAGTTCAGAAGTCAGATGTTGATTCAAAATGCTCTAGCTAGCCAAACAAGCCCTGCAGCACCTGTCAAAACCTTTCCCTACGAGCTCATAATTTAATGCCAGCTATTTGGCCTGCTAAGCCGCAGAAAAAGCAACGCCGAGGCTACAGCTCTGGCTCCCTTGCGCACAAAATACAGAGAGCTGCTTTTGAAGGAAACCGAAACTCCTGATGGGCCCACTGATTTCTCACTACAACCATACTGGACCTTTCCCTGGCATGAAAATAAAGAATAGGAATAAAGTTGTTATTTATAACCCGTCCATCTGACTAGGTTTCCCCAGACAATCTGGGCAGCTTCCAGCACACATAAAAACATAATAAAAGGTCAAACACTAAAAGCAGGGCTGCCTTCAGATGTCTTCTAAAAGTCAGGTGGTTGTTTATTTCCTTGACATCTGATGGGAGGGCGTTCCACAGGGCGGGTGCCACTACTGAAAAGGCCCTCTGCCTGGTTCCCTGTGACCTCACTTCTCGCGGGGAGGGAACTGCCAGAAGGCCCTCTGCGCTGGACCTCAGTGTCTGGGCTAGATGATGGGGGTGGAAATGCACCATCTCCACCCCCCCCAATAAAAAGTGCCTGTTTTTCTCTTTCAGGCATCACTTGCACTCCTCGGAGGAAAGGTGGAATGTAAATGAAATACATAATACATACAAGGGAACAGTTGTGAAGCACTTAGGAAGGTTCTGGTTAGTGGTATCACCTTTTTATACCTTTTTTTAAAGGAAGCTGGCATCCCACTTTATTACAAGACCTTGGAAAGGAAGAAATAAAATATCAGTGAAATAAACTCTCTCTTTCTGTGGTTTGTATTTGGACTGTGAGAGGGCATCACAGTGATCTATCCTTGAGGACTTATACATGGACTTGCCCTTTCCCAAACCAAAGCAGGCACAACTCAGGCCTCTGTTCTCGGCAATGTAAGGATAATATATATACAGTGGTACCTCGGGTTAAGTACTTAATTCGTTCCGGAGGTCCATTCTTAACCTGAAACTGTTCCTAACCTGAAGCACCACTTTAGCTAATGGGGCCTCCTGCTGCCAGCATGCCGCTGGAGCACAATTTCTGTTCTCATCCTAAAGCAAAGTTTTTAACCTGAAGCACTATTTCTGGGTTAGCAGAGTCTATAACCTGAAGCGTATGTAACCTGAAGCATATGTAACCCGAGGTACCAGTCCTGGAGGGCTCAGAGCAATGTAATATATCCCCAATGTTTTCATTGAGCTAAGCAGAGAAAGAAAATGTACAGCATACCTGGCATACACAGCAGAAAAAGGGGGTGGAAAAGACACCGCCTCTCCTACCCTTTGATCTGTGTGCCTCACAGTTTCTGCACACACATTTTGCCTTGTAAGCATATCTGGATTTCTACATGGATCGGCTTAAGCTGTAGCAGGGAAAAGAGGGGAGGGATCAAAGCTGGGAACAAATGCAAACGAGAGAAGTAAAAGAAAAGAGAAGAGGAAACCTTGCGCAAAGCAAGGCTGCTTTTCTACCAGTATTTGCAAGAATCTATCTCTCTTTCCTCTCACATGCAGAACAAACAGCAGCCATGTGAATAATAAAAATGGTGTTGAGGCGGGCTTTAAAAATATAGAGAGAATCATAGGATTCCCAAGGGTCATCTAGTCCAACCCACTGCAATGCAGGAATTGCAGCTAAATAATCGCTGACAGATGGCCAGCCCTACCTGTGTTTAAAAATCTCCAATGAAGGAGAGTCCGCGTTGCAAGGGAGCCCATTTCACTGTCAAATACAGTAGCTCTTCTTCAGCCCTGTGGCTCCAGTTTGTATCTATAGAGACACACAAGCATATATACCTTTGTTTTAAAATAAAAATATTAAAATAAAGACAGTATACAAACAACATCAAACATACTGATAAAAAGGTGGGGATGAAAATTAGAATGGATAAGAAGGAGGGGAAGGAAAGGGAAGGCCATACCCTACATTAAATTATGTGGTGCATATTTTATCATCACAATCCAAGACACTGATAAATCACTTTATATCCTAATGTTCTGAAACATATCCTCTCCACAAACTTAATTGGACCATGTTCAGTCTCTTGTATTGACATAAATCAAAAATTTAGACCATTAGCATAAATCCCAGGCTCTACCAACCCAGTAATCAACTGAGAAAGGTGAGCAAGATTTCCAGTGATTAGCTATTGACATTCTTGCCCACCATATTCCCAATCTGGGATTTATATTGCTTTCTATCAAAAGCAAGGCCAAGACTGGATCTGATGTTAGTGACTGATCTACAATTTGAGAGGTAAAATCCAATGACAAAATACACAGGCTCACAGCTTATAGAACTGACATCACATATTAGTTTGTACTTTAGTATGAAAACACTCATTACCTATGATAGGGGTTGCCAACTTTTTTGGAATACTGGGCACACTGAATTTTGAAAGTGCTGTCAGCACCAATCACAATTCGCAATAAAAGGATTTTGCTATCAAGGGACCCCTGTGGAAGAAACTGTTAGTCAGTCATGCTGACTGCACTGCAGGATCAATCCTACTATGGGGCAGAGTGAAGTGCGACCATCACAGGCAGCATATATGGGTGACATAAAAGCTGGCAAAACATAAGTGATTTTAATTTCTTACATTTTGGTGACCCAAAGTGGGAGGGAAGCTGCTAAAATATTTCATATTCATTCTTATAGATCAATTTCCTTGCTGACATAGCTGTATGAAAACACATGGAAAATAAGAAGTATCTACAATTACGTAATCTGTTACGGAGCATTAAAATTGATGTGCCTTCTGCATTGTCTCAGAATCTGTGGTGTTCCTATGCATTTTTAGGATGTGAAATCCGCAACAGTCAGGGTTTTGATTTTCTACAATCAGTTCTCTTTCCATTCTTGTATCATCTTAGATTTTTGGGAAATTATTTAAGGCACATCCTCATGACACTTACTCAGCAGATGAGATGTGATTATTCATGTGGGTGAGCAGTCCGCACTAGCAAATGGGCAGCATTTGCAAAATCCACCATCACTGCGTGGCAGGGCCAAAACAATCCATTTTAGGGTGTTTCAGGACATACAGACATTTTGGGGGGAAATAACAACAAATATTGACTGAACTAGAAATTCAGCGGTCAAATCACAATGAAATATCACAATCCTGTAAAATGTATTGCGATTGTAACAAGCATGTTAAATGTATTCATTTATTTTTGTCTCTAAGCAGCTGATCTACACACATACACCATGGAGCTCAGTCACTTTCCATATCAAAGTAGCATCTTGCTGGCGACCTCTTTCCTGGAATTTGGACAAAGCTTGACACTCTTTTCAAACAGATGCTATTTCCATTCATTTGAGATGACACCATAGGTCAGAGTCATGGTGGACCTGTGCATTATCAGGTTTGTTTATTTAGCTCACATAGGAGTCACTGGAGAGTAAGACAGCTTGTATGGCATCATATATATATAAAACGTAAAAGTAAAGGACCCCTGGATGGTTGAGTCCAGTCAAAGGTTGCGACACTCATTTCGCTTTCAGGCCGAGGGAGCCAGCATTTGTCCACAGATAGCTTTCTGGGTCATGTGGCCAGCATGAATAAACTGTTTCTGGCGCAATGGAACACCGTGACAGAAAGCAGAATGCACGGAAACGCTGTTTATCTTCCTGCCGCAGTGGTACCTATTTATCTACTTGCACTGGCGTGCTTTCGAACTGCTAGGTTGGCAGGAGCTGGGACAGAGAAACGGGAGCTCACTTCGTCATGAGGTTTTGAACTGCCGACCTTCCGATCGGCAAGCCCTAGAGGCTCAGTGGTTTAGACCACAGCACCACCCTGTTTTAAAACAGCTGCACTGGTTATCAGCTTGTTTCCAGGCCCAATTCAGGGTACTCATGGTATTTAAAGCCCTAAATGACCCAGGCCCCAAATATTTGAAAGACTGCCTCCTTCCCTACAGACCCTCTTGGGTGTTGAGACTGGAAGAGAGGCCTCTCTTGGTAGTACCTCTGTCCCCAAAGGTTCGGGACAAGGGCAGTCTGGGAGAGGGCTTTATTGTGGTGGCCCCCTAGGTTATGGAATTCCCTTCCCACATATCTGGCACCTTCTTTATGCAGCTAATACTAAAGCAGCTTCTGATATGTAATGAGTATGTTTTTAGGACCCAGCTTATCTTTAGGGCTGTTAAGTTATTTAAAATGGTTTTTAATATTGTATTTTAATGCTGTAACCTGCCCTGGGAACTTAGGGTGAAGGGCAGGTAATTAATAAACAAACCATTGCTCAAGCACCACGAGAACAGAATCAGCCCTAAGCAAGACTGTTGGAAGGCAGCCAAGTAGACAACATCTGCTTCCAGGTGAGTGCAGGGTGACAAATCTACAACTGACAATAATTTTACAAAACAAACTCTCCAGCTTGGCTTGAGCTCATGCCACGTAGCTTGTCCCTGATCCTCCAGAGTGCCTTTTATGTACATAATGTATGGCTGACAGCATCTCCCTCCAGGGCAGTACACAACATACCAACCCTCTTCTGGGTGACTAGGAATTCTCACTGCTCTGCAGCAGCCCGAAAAGACACAAAATGCGGGGATGGGATACCAAAAAATTGACAGGGTGGTGGCGAAGAAGAGAAGGTGTTTCAAAGGCCTATCCTGACACACGCAGAGCCTCTCTGAGCTCAAGAAGAGTCATGTGTGGGGAAAACTTGGCTCAAATGTGCATCTTCTATAAATGTCAACATTATTTTTAGCGTTGGCAGTGCACATGACAAACGAGTGTGTCACGTCATTCTTCAACCTTTTTGCTTTAAAAGACAACAGAAAGCTTTAAAAGAAAAAGAGGAGGTTGCTACTTAATGCTCCTAGAAATTGTTCAGTAACGCAGCATAAGCAGTACAGTGGTACCTCAGGTTACATACGCTTCAGGTTACATACGCTGCAGGTTACAGACTCCGCTACCCCAGAAATAGTACCTTGGGTTAAGAACTTTGCTTCAGGATGAGAACAGAAATCGTGCTCCGGCGGCGCAGCAGCAGCAGGAGGCCCCATTAGCTAAAGTGGTGCTTCAGGTTAGGAACAGTTTCAGGTTAAGAATGGACCTCCAGAACGAATTAAGTACTTAACCCGAGGTACCACTGTAATACAAAATAGGCTGCCATGCTAGCAACACTTTATTATTTTGATTTTTGTATTCCTCACTCAATGCAAACACAGGGTGAAGTCCAAAACAGTAGTTCTGTTAGTGCAGCAGAACTTCCCTTGCCCTCTGTCCCAGAAATCTCCCCAAATCTGTTCAGATTTATGGAGTGAGCAGGGATTGGTGAGGGAGGGAAAGTTTGGTAGTGCAGCCAAAGCTCATTGCCTTAGCTGAGCTGCTCCATTGTACAGTCCTACCTCGGGTTAAGAACTTAATTCGTTCTGCAGGTCCGTTCTTAACCTGAAACTGTTCTTAACCTGAGGTACCACTTTACCTAATGGAGCCTCCTGCTGCCCCCGCACGATTTCTGTTCTCATCCTGAAGCAAAATTCTTAACCCAAGGTACTATTTCTGGGTTAGTGGAGTCTGTAACCTGAAGCGTATGTAACCCAAGGTACCACTGTATACTGTTCATAGTTTCTAGATACAAACAAAATAGAAATACGGGGGTTTGGGGTTGGAGAACCTCCTTCACCACCTCTCCAAGAAAAGTCAAAAGGGAAAGGTAAAACACTGAGGAATCCAATCACAGATCTGTCATGTCAGGTCAGTTAGGTCTGTTGGGTTTGACTAGATGACCCTTGGGGTCCCTTTCCAACTCTACAATTCTATGACTGCTAGTCTTTGCCCTGGAAACTGTAGTTCACCCCTCACAGACAATTCTCAGCATTTTCAAACTAGTTTCAATAAAATAATAATAATAATAATAATAATAATAATAATAATAATTTTATTATTTATATCCCACCCATCTGGCTGGGTTTCCCCAGCCACTCTGGGCGGGTTCCAACAAAATATTTAAAAATACATTAAAATTTCAAGTGTTAGGTGGAGGGAATCAGGTGCTTCAGACCTATGGCATGTACAATGCCTAAACATAACTGCATCATGACTCTGCTAAGTACGTCTGAATACAAGCCGTCCTCAAGACTGTAGCCGTAACTTGAATTTTGAAATACTGACCCAGAACAAAGTCCTGGGAAAAGTTAGGTTAACATTTCAGGGCGTATCCCAGCAGGATTATTTTCTGGCGCAATTCTCTTTCAGCAAAGGACAACTGAGAAAATTCCAGTTGCGTTGCACTTGTAATCATTCCTTTGGCGACCAGGGGTTAATTGTGAAGGGTTATCTTGACAACCCACTCGGCTAGAGAACAAACAGCATGGCCTGGAACTCCAGTGCAATTGCTTCTTGCTTAAGTGCCTCTCTTGTTACAGCCTTGCAAGCAAGTGATTTGCTAGAATCTGTGTAAATAAAAGCAGAGCTTTATCCTTACATGTGCAGCAAGCATTTTCCATTTCTAAACATTCTCCAGGTTTGGGAATGGTCCACCTTTGATAGGAAACAACTATGTACCACACAATCTGAAGTTCTGATTTCAGAGGAATATATTTCTAAGGAGGTATGGTTAGGATTGTAGTCTAATCCCTCAGTATTCAACACTATTTCAGCATATTTGAGATTGAGCTATACTGTACTTGAATGAGAATAAGGCTTCATTGATCTCAGGGGGCACTTGTTCCCAAGCAAGGCTGTTAATCTTCAGTGTACTTACTAGGAAATAAAAGTCTGTTGATTTCAGTCTACTTTTGCTTCTATAACTTGCAGTTTTGTGTCTATTGATCAAGTTTGGCTCAGAACAGGACTTCTGAGTGTCATAGTGCCCAGATGCAATCCATACAGAATATACCTGCCTAGAAATAAGTTGCACTGAAATAAATGGGGCTTATAAATGGTTTGTAAACTATGCCCACAGCGTTCCCCTGTGGTGATAGTAACTCAGATAAAGAAAAAAGAAAGGAAAGGAAATGAGATTCGTCTGGCATGACTTGTTTTTGATAAAGCCATACTGGGTTTTAGTAATTATAGCATCCTTTTCTCAATGCTCAGACTGACTGTTTAATTATCTGTTCTATGACCATTTCTGGTATCAATATCAAGTTCACCAGTCACTAGTTACCTGAGTCTTCCTTTTCCCCCTAGCTCCAAGTCTGCAGGGACCTTGCCTGGTCTCCAAGAAATCGCCAAGATTATAGACGGAGGCTCTGGGATTTAGAGAAAGTAGGCTGGAATTAAAGGAAACAGAAATCTCCTTGGTGCAAATTAAGACTGGAGCAGCAAATCCCTTTCTAGTAAAGCAAAAGCACTGTACTTCAAACCACGTTTCGGAGACAAATACTTTGGAAAGCTTAAAACAAAATTGATTAGTACAGCTGTTAACTCATTCCTAATGTTTCTGCCATACTCTGGGTGTTTTAAAAAAGCAGGGTGGACCCTAAAAGGTAAAAGTGAAATGCGTTAGGAGACTTCGCTGAAAGCTGTAATCTAGATTCCTAAAATGACGTATTGTGCTCAGCAAAGTCAGCTGCTGACAAATGCATTGCTACCAGAATGTGACAAGTTAAAAATAAAACCATTTCAGGACTCGAGGTTATATTCAGATTGTTTATTGTCAAGAGTATGACAAGCACTCTGTCATATTGTGTTCAACATGCACCCAATTCCACATTAACTGCTCAAAATAGCACTTGCAAAAATTACAGTAGTCTAGTCATAATTTATGATTTGTTACATAAATTTTGTTAACGAGCACTAAAACTGAATTACAGTGTAGTCTAGGTAGTCTGTTATTGCTTGTTGACACTGCAGCTTTGGATCTACTGGAGAGAATCCACTGATATGCCTGAGTTATCAAACTGCATTTTGTTCTACCAAACTCGGAAATCATAAAATGCTGGAGAACACTTAAAAAGAAATTTAGTCTCTCTACTGGACACATTGGCATTCACAGCATGTGGACACACTGACTTCATGATAGTTCAGAATAAAGGTTCATTGTACAATGGATTTTTATTTATTTTTTTACGATACTGTTGATATATTCTGCTAGCCGCCTTGGCCATTCCTATAAGTAGTGAATAAATAAATATAGTTCGGGATGCCGAGGGGCCACAAAAGGTGAACTGCATGCACACATGAAACTGTAGTCAGTTTCATAACAAGCCAACTTCAAACTATGAGTTATGCAGTTGGCTAATTAAATTAGACACAATGTTTTAAACCAGCAATCCTGGTTGGTAGGTAAGACTAAGACAATATGTTTTAGAAGTGAAACCAAACTCGGCAGAAGTCCTCCTCTTGGCTGTGGAGGAGCGAAGGGGGGGCATGGGCGCTCGCTGAGACTTGCCCATGGTTTAGTGGTGCTATATGCAAACTGGACCAATATCATGTCACAAAAAAGAATGTTCTGCTTATGTTGTAACCCCAGCATTTTTTTAAAAAAAACATTCAGTTCGGCAATCATGAAATCACTTTGGAGCATGTAGTGAACAGACTTGTATTCAACCAGTTCCGTGGAAAGTGGTTTCATGCTTGCTCTACAAAAATAAGGGGAGCAATTTCCATCAATGTGTAAGTTGTGATATAAATTCAAAAATATTGCATTAGGAATTATCTATTTCATGAACTGATTTTCTACACAAAGTCATTGGGTTCTTCTTGAGAGTTGTGCATGTTTTAACAAGCCTCAAAATATATAATTTTGCAGTGTGCATTCCAATCTCTTTAAAATAGTTGTGCAAATGATTTTAACAAAAAAAGGGGGGAAGCTAAACTTATAAAAATTAGGTATTTGTGAGGAAAAATCTAAAACCTTTTAAATATTTGTGAAAAGCACAGCGGAGAGAAATATGGTATGTACGAATGAAAAAAAAGAAGCATTTTTTTGTTGACAGCTGGCAACGCAACAGTAAAATGGCACATTTTCCAACATGTTTACTCCACTCCTCCAAGATTTCCAGCAAAATGTTTTTTTTACTATTGAGGGAAGAGTGGGAGAAATGAGATTAAGACCACTGCAGCATTCTGAAGTCATTCTTGAGACTGACCAAACATTTACTCGTGCCCAATGTTCTATTACAGGAAACTAAGTATACAATTCCCAAAGTGTGTTCTCGCTGAGAGAAAGTTACCAGCACAGACGTTTAACACAAAATGGGAATCACCATGGGTATGCCAACATTTTGGATGTGAATAGCATAAACCACTACTGAAATCCTGTGCATCTCTTAGCCAGTGTTCCCTAAGGACAGAAATTTTTTGATGGTTCCTTTTCACACACACTATTTGCCACAAACAGGGTCTTTCCCCCTAGATAATGAATTAAAAGCTTCCTGGATAAAATTCTGTAAGTCTTGTTCCTGCACAACCTTGCTTGGATTGGATGAGGAAATCCCTGAACAGACTGCATGCATATGCAACAATACTAGCATAATTAAACTCCAATGATGCCTCTGTCATAGCTTGCATCCTGTAAACAAAGTTTGCTGTATAATTAAGTATCAAGGTATACTGATATGACAATATCCATGGCGTGTGTGTCATGTCTAATGCCACTTATCACATGAAGAGTTCATCTGATTCCTTGTCATGTTTTCAGTTTTTGAGCAGGTTAGGAAGGGAGTGGAAAACCTATCATCTGTATCACATAAAAAGCTACAGCTTTCTGTGTAACAAAACAATCGAATGACCTCTTTACCATGATGCCAGCCATAATGAGTAATGAACTTGTTGGACGTGAAGGGTTAATGTTCAATAGCATTAGCACTCCCTGAGAGATTATGTCCTATTTCTTTTAACTCACTGCACTGCTGTAAGATGCAGGAGGGGCCTTGAACCTTAACAAGGTAAAATACAGCAATGATAAAACATTGCGCCCTTTAAAGATACAGGCAGGTTAATTCTATGTCCCAAGGTTAGCTGTTTATTTCCTACTCGGATGTTATATATTGTATCTCCAGGAAGATGCAACATACAATTTTATTCTGACAATTCACAAGGCAATCAACATTGGAACTAATAAAGCAAAACAGTGGACGGGGTAGCCAAGACATTCAGATTCCAGCCTCAGACTGCAAAGCATGTAACCAGTGCTCTCATACGATTAGTGCTATGCAGGTCAGATTTCTGAAGTAGGAGGCACATTTTCTCTTAGAAAACCAAACTGAGACTAGAAATCCATTGGGATCTTTGAAATACTTCAGAGTTAGAATCTGTATAACAAACTTGAAAAAAAGCCAGCATTTAAAAGACATATTACTTTGGTAAATGTATGCCTTTTCTCTCCAAAAACCAGATTAAGCAAAACTTCAGCACCTGGCTCCCTTGTCTTCCTGTGAGCTTTTAGTAGCACAACCTCCACTAAAACCAATAGGCTAGAGATGAAAAAATTATTCTATTTTATCATTCCTGTTTATTTTGCATACAAATCTCTGCTTTGTGCTGTTTTCCTAGAAAGCAGTTGGCACCAACTTCCTGTATCCTGATTATTAAATTGTGCTATTATTGCATTGCAGATGCCTGAAGTGTCAAATAAAAATGATCCAGGATAAGCATTTAAACTGTGTTTAAAATACTGGCTGCAAGCTTTTAAGCACAGGGAAGTTTGCCTTGGTCAGGCTCAATGTGATGTTGCCCTATTGAGCTGATGTTTAATTGCTGGCATGGCTAAGCAAATGCTAACCTTCCATTTGTTCTGGGATTTCTTCTTCCCTGTCACTTTAAAATATCTAAGCCTGATAAAGCTTGAAAGCTTGCACCAAGAGCTGCAAAAACAGTGGTAGGTCAGATTAAGGTATTGTTGTATCACGTGCCTTGAAGGGCCACCCTGTTCCGGACATTCAAATAGTGCATTTGTGGAATCAGGCACACACTGTGCTGTGTCTTTGTGACAAAGACTAAGATTTCCATTTTATGCCTTTTCACGGAAGTCTGCCCCATGTCCACAGCTTAAACACCTATTAAGGGTCACAGATAGCCTTTTCGCCAAGTCACATACCCAACAAGAGAGGGCAAGTTTGATGAGATATCTAAAAACAATACATGAACAACCGGAAGAAAAAGCGCCAAAACAATTTTATTTATGCAAATGAAACATTTTCCAAGTAACCCTGAGAAAACACAAGGGTTACAAGCAGAAGGTAACACTCTGGGCAAGAAAAGGGGGGCTACCCAGGTGTTTCCAGCATTTTACTAGTCTGAATATTAAAAAATGTCCTCAAATGTGTATAAAGATTAAAACTATGTCAATATGCCTGGTAACTTATCTGAAATATATCTGTTGACATTTTCCCCTCATTTCCACTGATTTATATAGTACCTAAATGGTTGGCTGCTCTGAGGATCAATATGCTTAAGTCTTTTCTTTAAAAATCAGTATGTGCATTTTAATAATGTTTCGTTCCTCCACATCCAATAAATTGCTTAATCTTAATGACTTTTCATAAGAAAAGGAAGGGCCTTTAAAATAACACCAGTTTGTTCAGTAAGCTTCTTCATATTCCATTATGCAAACAAAACCTTTAAAAAGGCCTCACTATTGTAAAATATACCATTACCTACACAGACCTTTGAATATACCACTTGATTTTGGTTTCCAAGAGTGGCACTACAATAAACATGACGCATGACTACAGCCTATTTGCCTAATTTGCTGTAACCCTATCACACCAGAAATGCCGAATGAACCTAGAAGGAATCAGGAACCCTCATAATGGACAGGATTGTTTGTCCTAACAACAGTTTAAGATGTTGGTTCATTATGAAAATCCACTGAAGTCATACAAGACTCTTCCACTTCCAGTTCTTCACCCAGCAAAGGTTCTTCACAGTTTTGCAGCCATGAAATTGATATGTGGCTTCACCAGAGGAAAGAGTGGCAGACTGCGTTTGAACTCTGTCATATTCTGAATCACGTCTGGCTGCAAAGAAACATTTTAGAAAAAGAAACTTTGAGAATCAAGCACGTAGCCTATATGTATTCACTGAAGCAAAATTCATTTTTTTAAATCATCAGCCAAAGGGTGACCAAGTCCTTAAGTCTCAGTTAAAAAGCCAATAGCAAAAAAAAATATAACTAAGATCCAAACCTTAACATAAGAACTTCCTTCAGATGCAAAATTTACGAGATAATATTGCCTAAAAAATGGCTTCTTACAAAACTATATATCCAATATGTTATGATGACAATCTTAAGACAGGAACATCTCTCTGTGCTTGACAGGTAGGTGTGGTTTGCTTCAAATGGCCAAATACAGAAGCCTAATTGGGCCTAATTAGCTCCATGTACCAGAAGTGCCACACCCCAAATCTATACTATTCACGACACTCACAATTTTTCTAAAGGCTTGTTCACACAGTGGTTAAGCTGTCCCAAGCATAGCAGTCAGATAGGTCTCATGAGTAATGCATTTCCTGGTGGTGATATGCACCACCAGCCTCATTTGAACACCGGGATAGTTACTTCTAAACATGATAAGGCTGAGCGAGAAATAACAGTGTTGGAGCGTATATTGGGCACTCTCTTTTTTTCCAGAAATGATTAAAAAACATCTTACCTGTGGCAGTGGTGGAGCTGGTGCCAGGTTTACATCATTCTGAGATGGAAATTCTCCCACAACAGGGCCTGTTTAAAGCAACAACAACAACAACAACAGTTCATAAACCTCTAGGAAAACATCTACTTTTATACACAGATATTAAACAGACCACTAAAAGCAAAGGGTTGAACTGCTTTTCATGCTGCTTGAAAATCTGCACACTTGCAAACTTTTCTCACATTTGTTATTCTCCAGGACCCCTGAGAGTGAATACTCCCACCAATCCACTAGAGGTCATAACCATCCTTTGCAAAAGATTCTGTTTGTTCTACCAAGTGTTTTTCTGTGCAAACTTGAGTGAAGATTATTTGGAAACAAAGAAAGGCACTCAGTACTTACAGGAATCCATTTCCCGTGCTAGTACATGCACGGATACTTTGTGCCTTCTTTGAGCATCAACTGACAACATCTCCTACAGAAAGACAGAGGAAAGAGAGATGAGAATCGGTTATTCCAACAAAAGCACAGGAACATCTGTACTGCAGACCAAAGTGTGCAAGAAAGTCTGCCAGCCTGGAGCAGATGTGCCTGACCCAAGCAGGACACTTTATCCAAGTAGGGTGGAATGTCCAAAAAGGAAGAGAAATATGTAGCCTATGCACACTGTGATATGCAGCCAACTGCTGCTTCTTATGCTGTCATATACAATCTCAAGTCACTCTTTTGCAAACATGAAAACTCCTGTTCAGTGTTAAACAAAACTGACCTACTGGGCCCCTCCCTGATCCTGAGCAGGGCTGGCTTGTCAATATTTCAGTTATGCCAGTGAGTCCACCCCATTAACTCACCCTGGCTGTTACATAATGCTTGCAGCCTGCCCAAGAAAACCTCAAATTCCGCCAAAATCTCTTCCACATACTGTGGAAGGTAAATAAAATTAATGATGAAATAGGTGCACTTAACTAGACATGAGAGCCATTTTTGAATAATCTAGAAACACCAGCAATGCTTAAGAGCAATATTAAAATGTATGGCAAGACTAAGCAATTCAAAGTCGATATAGCTGTCAGTTGCTCAAATCTTTTAAAAGCTTCATTAACAGAATTAGCTGGGGAGTAAATCAAATGCCTTCCACAACTGTAATCAAATAATTTAACTACAATGCACTTATATCAATAATTAACATTTTCTTAATCGGCCGTAATGACAAGTCTACTGAAAACCCTGATGCAATGCACAGTCAAGTTCTATTAGCACTGACTTGAACACAATGAGCATTCATAATTAAAAGTAACTAAAGTTGTTCTAGAAAAAGCATCTCCATTCCAAAGTCGGGGGGGGGGGGGCAGTTAATGGCAAACTCCTTACACAATTATTTTTTTAAGAGAGGCTTCAATTCCAAAATATTTTTTAATTTACTTTTTTAGATGGCAGAAAGAAGTTTGCCTCACTTCAAAGAAGTTGCCTTGTAATCTGTTCAACAGAAATGCTGCACAGTATTTCATTCCCTTTCTTGCATCCCTTCTTGCAGTGTGTGTGTGTGTGTGTGTGTGTGTGCGCGCGCATGCAAAAGCTGGACAGATGCAATGATGGGGGAATGAATGGACTGGGGGTGTGGGTGGAGGAATATGGTGTGGGGTGTGTGTGCATAAGGGGTGGATTGATAGGAGGAGCATGGCTATCATCTTGGATATCCTCATGACTGCTCCTGGTGTGGAGACACTGAAAGCACATCTTCTACCTCTTGATTACATAGTCTGCAACCATGCATTTTAACTGCACACCGAGCAGCTGTGTTTGACAGACAGGATAAGGATTCAGAGCTCTCTCCTAATCCACTCTGCTGTTTGAAAACAGGGACCCAAAGGGATGTGCACTGCCCTTATATGCTGCCTCTTTCAGCTGTGTGTGCATTTGGCTTCCCCCGGTACTTCATGCTCTGCAACCATTGGGGCATGGAAGGAAATACCCTTTTGTATGGTTTCTAGCCTGGGGGTGGGGGGAGGGTTCATTAGTTGGGCTTCTACTGCTGAAGAGTCATGTGCTTCCTTGTCCACCTCCACCTTGTTCTGTTGTACTACTCCCAAAACCAATACTGGCATATATGTAACATGTATTCTGCTTAGGCTATTCAAACCAAAGATCCAAAAAGCATGCATGAATTTGTCTGAGTCACTTCAAAACTGTAGTGACCATGCTCTTTTTAATAAGCACCAGTTATTAAAGGGGGAAAATTAGTTCGTCTGAACTTGAACCAACAGCCCTGGAATATGTTTAACGTATTCATTTTTACCTGCCTTGCAAGCTGCACACATTGAACCCTTGCTTGTTACTGCCATCTGGTCGTATTGCTTTCTTCCACTGGCAGTTTGGAGGGGGGAAATGTTTTGCATGTGCGCTACTGCTTTAGCAGACAGCGCTGTGCCTTTTGGCATTGTTTATCTTTCTGTCTTTCTTACAAGTTGCGGGCATTGTGACCTGATGGTTGCACACCTCTTAGCATGCACAGAGTGCCTCTCTCTGTGTCCATGTGGCATGTGAGTGCTGTTGCAGTCTTGCCCCTGATTTGGGGAGGTTATTCCAGGGACATTGGGAGCATGACTGCTGTTAATATCGTAAGAGTGGCCCTATCGGATCAGACCAAAGGCCTAGCTTGTGCGGCATTTTGCTCTCACAATGGCCAAGCCAATGGCTATGGGAAGCCCACAAGGAGGACAGGAAAACAATAACACTATTATCTTTTGTATTGTTCCTGTTGTTTTTTTCTCCTTGTATCTTCCAAGCTGGGCTTAAGTTAGACCAGAGGTTTTCAACCTTTTTGGGTCCATGGCTCCCTTGACCAACAATATTCTTTCTGTGGCACCCCGTGGGCCTCTGGAGCCCAATTATGTCACCCCCTGCCTGCAAAGCTAGCAGCCCCTCACCTCTTTTCAAACAGCCTCCCTTGTAGAGTGTTCCCTCAGCTTCCTCTTTTCTCCCCTCTCCTTGGGAATCCTCTGGGTAGCTGCCACCCCTGGTCTCTGAGCTGCCCCCCCCCAAGAGAGGTGCCTCCTCCCACTGCCCCACAGGGGCCTGGGAAGCACCCCCTGGCCAGCCCCAGAGACACCATTCGCCTGGGGAGCTCATAGCCAGGGCTGCTGCAACAAACAGTTGTGCAAGCCTTTGGGAGGCAGAGATGCAAGAGGGTATCAGAGGAGGGAGGGAAGGAAAGAAGGAGAGACAGAGGCCAGTGTTGTCCATGGCACCCGTGACGATCATTCAAGCCACCCCAGGGTGCCACGGCCCACTGGTTGAGAACCACCGAGTTGGAATATAGGACTCCTCTGCTATGTACTTGTATTGCAATAAGCAGCTGCTCAATAAGGCAATATTATTAATTTTGCAAAATCACCAATTACTGTTATACATACAGAGCTGATTGCAAGGTTCAAACAACCCTATAACTTCCTTAAATACAGCACACAAACAGTTCAGGTGCTATACGTAACAATGACAATAGTAGCTGCAGAGATGTCCCCAAGGACAACGTGTGCTTTGTAGAATCTGGCTAAAGAACAACAACAAAAAAGTTGTTCTTCCCCACCCCCCTCTACTTTAAAAAGCTTTTAGAATATAGTGTCACAATTTTAACCCACACAGATATATATAATTGTTCCTGTAAAGAGCTTTGGCTTGTCCAGGCAAAAAAGAGAAAAAAACCCTATCATTTACATGTTTGAATTATGCTGACAGTATGCACAGAATTAAGTTAGCAAGAATAATTGGGGAGCAACATTTTTACCCTGATAAAAAGAATGTGGAATAAAATAAAAAACAGAAGAATGTACTCACAGGCTCTATTTTCATGTTCATAGCACACAGCAACATTTTAACATCTGGTATATGTATACTCCATTTAGATAAAAGTTGTGATGCTTATCAAGTTCTCAAACTGTTATTAATATATTCCCTTAAATTTTACACAATTTTACAATCAGAAGCTAAACTAATCAGAAATATTATGATCAGCTTACCTTATAAAAGTGCATAATATCATCCTTAGTAAGAGTTTTGAGATATGCCACTTCAATGTTATCTGGACGACAAAGTTTATAATTAATACAATTATGCAATTTACACTTCCTTCAAATCACATCACCTCAACATATTGTAATTATAATTATTATTTATTGAATTTATATACCGCCCTATACCCGGGATATGCCTGTCACTGAAAATATTGCTATCCTGAAGGATCAGGACATTTTCTGAATGCACATGTGACATTCCATGTTCTTAACTATGATTAATGGATCAGGAGTATCTGCATCAAGCATCATATGTTCTTACAGTGATGCAAAGGAAGGGATAAGGCAGCACTGGAATTTCCAGAATGCAAATCCCTCATCACATAATCGGTTATAAGAATACATGCCAGGCAGGTTTCAAAAATGGAATGTGGTCTAGATGGGGCAAAGAAATTGGTAATACCACAGAAATAGCTGCCGTAATAATAATTTAATTTTAAAAAATTATTATTTGTACCCCACCCATCTGACCGGGTCGCCCCGGCTATGTGCAGCATCCCAGCATTGTGACTTTTGACACTAATTAATCTTCCAAGTGTATTCCAGAACTAAATATTATTATTTTATCATGCATGGTGGGTACACTTTTAGATGGTCTGAATTGTTACTTTTGTTAAGCTGTCATCCAAAAAAATTACATTTCCAGCTTGGGAGTGCTTCTTACCTCTGTCAAAGTTATATTGCTGGGAAATAATTTCGCCCCAGTATTTTGCACACTCAGCAGACAGTTTCTTTGGTTTGTCAAGACGACGAATTGCTAAAGCCTGGATGTGCTTCTGGAAGGCTTCATCAGACATGTCCTCTATACTCTTCTCCATGGTTTTTAAAAAAGCTTCAACCCTGCTCTCCAAGTAGTGTGGAGGTTTTTCTGACTGGATGATAAATCGTAGTCCTTGGATACCATTTGCCCGCCGTGGACCACTGAACACAATGTAACCTTGAAAAAAACCAAATAATTCATTCTATTAGACTCACTAAATAAATAATTTAAAAAGGCAGAAGGGGTTTGTATTTCTGCCCTTGAATTCTGGCCAAATTCTAACATAACCATTAGTGCCTTAAATGGCCTTACATCGAGTGAATAGATGATATAACTATCGTAACTAATCTCAGGTTTTAGCTTTCGTGCAAGCTAATGGAGGGATCTCACATTATGCATTTTGACCATGAAGAAAACAGCATATATATTAAAATTGTATAAATCACTTTCATGATTCTCCTGTATCTCTTTGAAACAGTGATTTCCTTGATTTGTCACTGAGCATGAAGGGCCCCAAACCAGCAATAAGATTCCACAGCCATCACATGGACAGCACATTACATTGAACTATAGTGGCTGAAGTATACAATCCAATTTCTGCTCACTATAACAATATTTAGGTGATCTATGGAGAGAGGCAATCTATTATTTACCTAACTGTTCTTTAGTGCGCAGAGTATTGAAGCAAGGCTCTGAGATGATTTGACAGAAGAGCTCCAAAAACATATTCTCTGAGGTGCTTTGCATATCTGTTTGATAATATATTTCAATGCCACAATTGTTATGAACCTCGTTCCTCTGTTGATAGACGAACCAACCTCCTAAAAAAACATGAAAATGATGTAAAGGGTCATTTTGAAAGATGGTCAAGCAGGGAACCATCCATTGTCAACAGAATTTGAATGGAAGGGGAAATATATTTTCTTCTCTAAACTAGTGTACATCGCAGAGAGAGTATAAGTACTCTATATAAATGCAATCTGGAGGCCCAGGACTGAGATGAATTACTTTTTCTAGTCATGGTTTCTTTGTTCCATGAGCAAAGAACTTCAGCTTATATTATTATCAGATGCATAATTACCCCAAACAATGCCAGTGACTGATTTGGTAAACAGTAGTTCCCGTTTCCACATTAGCAACCAGCCCCAAAATGGTGCATGATCTGCCCATGATGCACCTCTACACATTGCTATCCATTTTCCTACTCTGCAGTGCTTAACTCTTTGCAGTCTGTCAACAAATTCAGGATATATATTTGAAAGTCAAATACTGAGACTTGAGTGATTTCATTTGTATAGTAATTCTGTACTCTATTCAGTGAGGAAGACCTTTTCCTCCAAAACTAACACAGAGATTCACAACACAGACCTAGATTATTGTTGCCAAAAATATATATCATTTTGGCGTTGATTTTGAAATATTTGCCATGCAGTACTGAAAGCAAGTCACTTTCTAAAAACAAATCAAGAAATTTCATCCTGACTTATTGCAAATGTAAGCACCATGAACCTCAGCTTTATATGTTTTATAGCTTATGTCCAAATGGACAACTTACTGTCAGGCAGCTGTACTTCTCTATACCTTACAAGCTGGCTCGGAAGCAAAGGTTTTGTATGAGCATGCTCAATGAGAGTGTCTTCAATCATTTGCATAATTCCTAATGCAGCCTGGAAGAGAAGAAATTCATCAGAGAGTTTATTCATCTCCTGGCAATTGTCCATGTGGTAGCACACAGAAGGATAACAGGTATTAGGGGAAATGGCAAAATTAGAAAGGAAAAGGAGATGACTAATTGCAGCAGATGCAAGCATTAGGAATGCAAAGCCGAGTTAGTACGTGTGACAGCTATGAAGCACGCAAAACTGAAAGGCTGAATCTCTGTTTCTACATTATGTTTTAAATACTTTTAGAAAACAAGATCAACTTTTAAATAAATAAATAAATAAATAAATAAATAAATACACATTTTATATGCAATGCCTGTGCCCTACATTTTAGCACACAAGGCTGAATTGTTTTTTCCTCCCTGCCACCCCTCTTCATTTAAAGAAAATATATCAACTCATTGCTACTTTGATGTCCACAGCCAGCATCTGCTGTATCATGGGTCAAAGGGCCCCATATTACTCTTGTCTCCTGCTCTTCTGCATTTGGTTTCTGAAAGTTTAGTGAAACCACACAATTCCTTAGTTCCCCCTTCATTTCCTACTTTATGCATTGATTAAGTTCCAAGTCCATGGTCCTCTTAAGCCTGTAACTATGAGAGACGTGTATGCATCATGGGGCTAAAACAATACAGCTGCACAAACAGCAAGAATGCCTTTGACAAGCCAATGTTATAAAACCCTTTGACCATCTCCAGAGAGGAGTCTTACTTTCTGGAGTTGATATCAAAATCACTATGCATTAAAGTACCAAAGAAAACCTTACGATAATGAGAAACAAACCTACAAAAAAGCCTGAAGTCACTCTAGGGAAAGCCTTTATAGAGGAAACAAACTCATCAAGATGTATTGAAATTAAATCCAAAATAATATAGGCTGTTAAAAGCTAACTGTGCTTATAGAGATGCAAAACTCCGAAGCCTTTTTGAAATATACAGTCATATTCAGATATGCAACTTCAAAATGAAAACTACAAGGCTGGGTCAACTGATCTGAACTCAAGAAAATCTCATTTAAAATGTGCTTTAAAATTCAAATTCAGTAAGCCAAAACCTTTTGGATTCTTACCTCACAGAAAGTAACCTTGCATAGAAAAGAAAACATTTTAAAACGCTAAACCAGGGTGTGGTTTGATTAAACAAATAGGAAAGCCACTTCCTCTTCCATGAAACCAAATATCCAGGTATGGTAGATGTAATTGTTCACTGCGCAGTTCACTATCTGGGGAGACTCAAATAGTTTTTACTAGTTCTTAATGGCTCATGCGGGAGGACTTTGAGACTTTGCCCTTTTGGTTTGCTTTAAGTCAAATTATTTTACCATTACTATGGCATTAAGGGTTATTTTAAGATGCTCAGAAATAAGTGAGCTGGACATGCTCATTCACTGTTGCCTCTTAACATAAAATATACACAGTTTCTACAGATACAGTACCTTAAAGTTTTTTTCTACAAACATGGCTGTTGGTATCTTCCTCTTACTTATTTTATCCAACCAATATACGCAATACAGAGCTGTCATACTTAGTGCAAATATGTAAGACCCTAGTCTCATTTTACAGGTAGGTATGGAAGCAAACTAGCTCTATAATTTCATCAAAAGTACCATTAACATCGCTGCATTAAACTCCTTTGCTAAGATAATATTCAAACATCTCACAAAGCTGTACCAGGCAATCTTATACTATAACATTAAAGTCACAATGTCTATTATTTCCAGCTCACAGACTGCCATTTAACATTAGCCACTGACTTCATTCTCAGCTATTTTAAATACATGCTCTTGGTTCAAATTATATGCCTGTTTGAGAACTTAAGTGTGTGGATCTAGCATTCAATTTTACAACCTTATTTCATCACTGAAGCAGACTGCACAGATACCATGAAGTATAAACTGCCTGAAAGCTCATTCCAATACATGTTGGAATGCAAGTCCCTTGAACATTCAAGTAGTTTTGCTTGATTTTAAGAAATCACTTAACAGGGTCAGTTACTTAACAGGGTCAGTTACTTATCTGGGACAAAAAGGAAGCATCACACAGCCAAACAGTTCAATCTTGAATGTGAAAAGTATGCTTAAAGAGACATCACAGATATGATTGTGCACCTGTACTGTCCCCAAGATATGTATTAAGAAACAGAAACTTAAGTCTGGGATACAGCATTGTGCAGATTTCATTTCAAATAGATGTCATAGCCTTTCTGTGTTATTTTATACTCTTTTCTCTAGTTAAAGACACCCACAGAACAATATTGGACAAGCAAACCTGTAAGAGAGACTCACTGACAGAAAAGCTTATGAAGATTTAAAAAGCAAGCATGGATAAAAGATAGAGAAACTTAAGTAAACCCTTGATTTTACGTACAATTATCAGTATAAATCTGCTTCTGGTGAAAAACGTATCAAACCAACCTGTTTTGTTATATTGCCATGGAGAAGTGCTTCAATGTGTAACCGTGACAACAGCTGAGAAATAAAGGCCTTGAGACGGGGAAGGGTGACATCTACAATAGATATTTAGATGTTTAAAATCAATCACATTTTCCATTTCGAAAAACAGGGCCTATATCATCCTAAAATGCAATACATGTCTTAGATGACAAAGAAATTTATAATAATCAACAAAAGTCAGTGGGAGTTTTCTTCACAAATATTCAGGTTTGGGAAAGTTTCCAGGACAAAATTGCAGTGCTCACTGCGTAGTTTGCCTTGCTTAGAATTCACATGTTATTTGACCCAGATTCCAACACAGAAAAGAAAAGAGAAAGGCAGACAGACAGACTATGCTGCACTGCAGTTAGGCTAAACAGACATCCAGCCTCAAAAATAGTAACAGTCATTCAGGTGGTGGCTGAAGATAAAGCTTAAGCTGTTAACTACATAAAAGAACATGTAGTTTATCATTCCCCATCATCTTGACAGCAATTATTTCTGAATGGCAGTTTCAGAGATTGGTGGTTATTTTGAAATTAATTAAACTTTTCATAGATATGTATGGTAGGATTAATGCCTTTAGCTACAGGCACATCCAAACACCCACTGAAACACATGTGAGTGTAGATGAATGTAAATGGTGAATACAAGTTTAAGCGCCACCAGAGTGGATTGTGGCAATCGACCTTAGAAACTAAACAATCAGAATAACCTAGATTTCACACCTCCACTCCCTTGTAGAAGTGTACAAAGGGAAAGATGGGACACATACACAGGGGTCAGGGGGTGAGGAGAGAATGTTGGAAAGAAATTTCTTCCTCCTGCCTGTCTACAGCCAGGCATATGGATCACTAGTAAATAGATGCTGTGTGAATAAGATCTCTGATATCACTGATGGTAAGGTAGAGAACATAGGAATGCTGTATTTGGGGTTGTTCTTGAGGCTGAAGCTACCGCAGAATGATTATGCTGGCTGTTACACAGGGAGGCAAGAAGCAATCATATTGCAACAAATTCTGCACTGACTGGTGGTTATCTGCCTAGCCCAATTCAAGGTATTAGTACTGGTGTACGAGACCTCTTCAACCTGGGATCCAAGTATTTAAAGGAGCGCCTCCCCTGATAACTCCCAGCCCAGCCTATGCTCCAAGACCTGTGGAGGAAGTCCTGCTTGGGTGCTGCTGGAGGGCGAGGCCCATGGGGTGGTGAAGTGGAGCAGGGCCTTCTCAGTGATGGACTTCCACTTATGGAACCCCCTCTCAACTGAGATTATATTGACTAGACGGTGCTGATGTTTCAGTGTCGCTTAAAGACAGTGCCACATGCAATGAAGTTGTCCCATTACTGCAAGGACAACAGAGGGGGGCAGCAGAGGAGGGTTCTTGTCTTCATGTCCTGCCTGTAAGCATCTCCAATGGCATATAGATGGCCACTGCTGCAAACAGAATGCTAAACTAGAAGGATGTTTGATTTCATCCATAAGACCATTTAGCACATCTGGCCCTGAAGATGTGTATGGGGACTAGGTTGGATTGGATAGTGATTTCCCCTTTGCTTCATTCTCTGTTGCTGTCATTAGAATCACTCATGAGTTTGTGTTGGCCCAGTTCTTTTGTCTGATAACAGACATGGGCTTCTAAGTGGAGCAGCGTGAGCCCTGAGTGAGCTATGTGGCTGCAAACTGGAGTGAGTGAATTAAATATCTGCTGCTTTCTTCCTGAGACCTATATTCTGCCCTGCCCCATGCAATGTTCCTGAACAAAGTGGAGCAAATTGTACGAGTCTGGCTGAGAGTATAAAACAAATATTACTGTGCTTGCCTTTGTCTTGAAAGAGACTGAGTGTTTACAGAGTTCACAGACTTAATATGACGGAGGTTCAGCTTGCCAAACTGGAAAAGCAGCAACTATGCTTGGTGAGCAGATGAGTGGCAGTGCCTGTACCTTTCTCCAATGTTCTGATTTTCCCTAGACTCAAAGAAAATTGATGAGCTAGAACAGCTGCATCTCTGGACTTTTAAAAGGTAACAGGGAAACAGGACTTGAGAGAGGAAGAAAGGAATGGCATTCAGCATGCTGGGGTTCTGAAAAGTATTTGGAAATCTCATCTGAAAACAGGAATATTCAATGTACTGACATCTAGGTGTTTTGCACTACAATTCACATCATTCCTGAACACTGACTATATTGGCTGGGGCTAATGGGAGTTAAGAGTCAAACAGTATTGGAGACCCCTCTCCTAGGACTATCAAACAGAATTTTAGAACTGCACAACTGCAACTGTAAAAAAATAAGAGGCAAATTATATATCCATGGGTCATACTGCATAACCACTTCTTCCACAGGAATATGGAATTAATTTCTTAAAGTGTTTTTATGCTGTCCAGATCCCAGAATTTAAAAGGCACTCTTTAAGGGCAGATTGTTTGAACTAAATGAAGCCCCAGTTAGGGGGATTAAGTTCTTGAAATCTGTCTGCACCAAAACTGTGGGACTTTTCTGTGAGGGACTTCAAACTTCACATCTGAGACACTTTTGGAAGCTTACGATCTTCTTGGATTGACTAGTTATTGCTGGTGGATAATTTTAAACTAGATATATTTTAGAGAAAGATATTTTGATGATTATGCTAAGCTTCTTCACAATGGACTTATTTTAAATGCTTAAAGCTTTGTTATTTTAATATTCCCTCTGTAACAAATGTGGTTTTGGTTATCATTAAGGATTATTTAAATTCTAAATTTAGATCTTAAAAACCTAGAACATGACAATAAGGTTTTAAAAGGTTTTCTCACCACCATTAAGTCAATCTAAATTACTAAAAATCTCCATACCCTCCATAGAACAGTAGTATGAATGCAGATACTATTTAAGACTGAGATGAAATTAAAATACTTTGCTCAAAGTTCAGTTGAGATAAAAAATGCTTGACTAATAAACAATCATAAAATCAAAACAAGTAAAAATACACATTAGATAGAAAAGATGTAGTTAAAATGGGCAAAATATATAAACTGGCAGCAGCTCACCGTCTAAAGCTTCTTTTAATTCATCTTTGGTCCAGGCAACTTCTGTCATCAGTAGTCGGAGGTAATACATGGCATGCTGGTGTGGTTGTTCAGCTCGGAAGTTATTAAGCGATCGCATGTACTAACAAGGTTAAAATAAAATAATGGTTAAGAAATGAAGATTTGCGATGAACGTTGCCTGATTTTTTGATGTTCTATATTCAAATTATATGGCCAGATAAAAGAAATAAAGATGGGCAGGGCTCCCTCTTAACTGAGATCTCATATCATAGTTTGAAGCTGGATGGCAAATCATTATTCATCCATGATTAAAAGGTTACCCTGACTAGCATTCATCAACCAATACTGGGGCCAATAAAACACATCAGGAATTTGCCTGTAATTGATGAGCAGCTGGCAGGTGGAGGAGAAGAAGCATGGGATCTTGTGGTCTGTTCCTAATCTCAAAGCAGCACTAAGGGATGGGAACAGAATATATGTACTGGCTAGAGGAAGAGAACTACAGAAAGACAGAGTCATAGCTGAAAAAGCCCTCACTAAATTTAATTGACTTAAATCTTATGGATGACTACTTTGAAGTCACATTATTTTCAAATGGAGCTTACTCTCAGGCAAGTGTGCAAATGACGACAGTCCAAGTGTGGCACCAATCATTGCCCCCAGCAGTTTTATACCTTTCTGCAGGCATATGTACATTCCCTACACATTGTTCATACAGTCGTGCCTCGCAAGACGAAATTAATCCGTTCCGCGAGTCTCTTCATCTTGCGGTTTTTTCGTCTTGCGAGGCACGGCTATTAGCGGCTTAGCAGCTATTAACGGCTTAGCGGCTTTAAGAAAAAGGAAACAAACTCGCAAGAACTCGCAAGACGAAACGTCCCATAGGGAAATTCGTCTTGCGGAACGACTCAAAAAACGGAAAACTCTTTCGTCTAGCGAGTTTTTCGTCTTGCGAGGCATTCGTCTTGCGGGGCACCACTGTAACTTATTTGAACTTTTAGGCTCCTGCACACCCCCTCCTGCCTTCAAGGAATGAAATATTGCATGTATGGTGTCTTCCCCTGCTTGATATTCTGATTTATAAGGATCAAAGTCAAGTTCAAGATGGCTTACCGCCTCCTTGATAATTTCAAATCTTTTTTCATCAATCTCAAAGGTAGCCATTTTCTCAACAATCTTCTTGAGCAGGATATGCTGCTTGTCATTGTAACCTTTTACGGAAAGCTATAGGAAAAGGATATATAAGCTGTTATGTGTTTGAAATATTCTGTTTTCTAGAATTCTAGATTGTCCATCAAAGCAGTAAACAGCAACTTCTTAACACTGGGAAGCATTCTCCCTTATTTCACCAGAAATACTAAGGTTTGCCCTTTACTACATCGAAGTCTATGTGTGATATTATTACTGCTTTACTTTTTCCCAGGGCTTAACATCTTCTATTACAATTACAAAGCAAAATTATAGTGGAAAACCAATATTGTTCCATGCTGCAAAGCAATGCTTCAAACGTCAGGTAATAGAAAACGGAATGAAATGTTGTTGCTCTTTCCCAGGATTAAAATCAGAAAAGCAATATGCTAATTGGAATGAAAAGAGTAGTTTATCATTCTTCTTCCAAATGAAGAATAAAAGTATGCTAGGAACCCAAATCTAGAAAAGAATATAGGAAAGAAAAACTTCTGTTCCATAGTTAATAAAGCAGAAGAGTCCATTATAAACTGATTTTTAAGAAGTAGGGACTTACAAATGTTTAAGACATCAAGATGACAGGCTCATAAAATCATTGCATAACTCGGTTGACCACCATACACACAAGGCTGTATAGAACGCAATGCCAACTGGGTGCTGCTTGTGCAATGTGACTTCAGTTTCCTCTCCCTTTCCTGCCCCCCCCCCAAACATGCTGCACAGGTTTCTCCCCCCTTCTGGAGCTTACTCTGAAGGTGTATAGGGAGCTAGAGGGGACAGGAGAAGAAGAAAAAAGAGGATTTGCAGGTACTGATGACCAGCAGCATCTGCAAAGCTCCTTGCGCATATAAAGGATAAAACCTTTGTTTTAGCAACACCTTGCTACCTGCAAGATGCACCTACTCACCTGTCATTTGTGATGTCTGGTGACTGGTATGTGGGAGGCTCTGCCAACCTTGCAAACTAAGCCACTGAGGCAGATCCTAATAAGGATCTGGCCTATGAAGTCAAAAGGGTTCCCCAACCCCTGTGCTACATGATGAAAGTAATTAGAATGGACTTGACTCATATTGACTAGATCCCAGGTTGCAGTCTGAAAACATAACACCTTGGCAACCTTGCTGATGCTAAATAGGTCTGATCAGGTGAGAGGCTGCTGAACAACACTTCATAAACCACACCGAGTTCCATGATGGAAAAAATGGCAAGCTACAAATGTAAATAAGCAAAAATACTATAAAACTGTGCTGTTTCCCCCCAGCCAATGTTAGCACTGAAACCAGTACATTAAAAAGCATGCTTTTTAGCAGCCCCATGTTTCGTCAGATAAAGAAAATATATGACCTACGCAGAGATTACTGGAGTCTTAAAAGTAAGTGCAATGTTTTGGGAAAGTTTAGGAAAGAAATAGTCATGTACTAGAGATCACTTTTTAATGTACTCATGTGTTATATAAGGACCCTGTTTCACAAGTCATCTTGATCCCGAAATGCAGTCTTCTCTTACCAATAATGCAGTTAGTAATATTTAGTAAATTGCATGTCTGATGAAGGTGGTTCTGGCACACAAAAGCTCATGCTGCAATAAATGTATTAGTCTTCCAGACGCCCTGCAGTACTTTGGTGGTGGCTGGGGTTTTTTATTTTTTAAGTATACATTAGGATCTAAATGACTGAAAGCCAGCAGAACTCCATGTTTAACTAAAAACATAGCAACTCTTTCAAGGTTACTATACTATACAAATGAGTAAGAAATGCAGATCAGTAATGCATCAGCACACTTCTCAGTCATAAAAAAAACCATTCCAATCATGGCCAAACCATTCAATAAATGGTTATAAAACTGCACAAGTCTCACGCCCTTATGATAGGGATGCAAAGGACAAAACCAGGAGCCATTTTTCCAAGCAGCACTCAACTCTCACGCCATCTACTTTTTGCTTGTTCACCCCCCCATCTTACTTACAAGTATTGCATTCATTCCTGATGCAATGGCATAGACCAAACCTGAGAGGCGTGCTGCATATGTATACTCTTTTAAATCATCCTTCAATAACCTGATTAACAGGTATGTCATGTTGCAATGGAGAGGATCAGCATAAAGGTAGCGACTAACAAAAAAGAAAAACAAAACAAAAGGATGCTTTGATACTTCAAGGAGCGACACGGTAATGGATGAAGAAACATGACTGAAGAGTATGTATATGCAGCCTCATAACCAATATTCTCGGGAGTGAAACACTGGGAATTTGATTTCTCATTCGGAACTCTAGTGAAATGGAGCAGTATCTCAACTCCAATTCGGACTGTAAATTTGAGTTTTAAGTAAAAAAAATAATCTTGCAAATATTCTGGTGAATGACGTAAAATGAAGTGCAAAAATTGCTGAATGCGAATGGAAATGTTGAAGACTCCAGAAATTTCAAATTATGAGAAAGTATAGCTAGAAATCAAGGTTGAAAAAGAAACTGAAAAAAACAGGTTCTCAATTGGAAAAGCCATTGAAAAATTGCTTCCAGCAAATCAATTTTTTCCTTCTGATTAGTGGAAGTAAATTTAAGGCTTTTAAGATTCTCCTTGATTTGGTACTTACATACATCCCATAGATGGTATTTTGGAGATCATAGTTCAAGCCAGCTAGCTCTGCTGCATATGCATACTCGTTGAGGGAGTCTTTGAGTAGCTCAAGGTACAAATAGGCCATGTTACAATGCAAGGGATCCACGTAAGCAAATGGGCTGGAAGAAAATGTTGAAAGTAAAATATCTGCTGCAATTACTTCCCAGCTCTGCTAGATCCTCCATACTGGATCTCAAGGACACAGTAAAAAAGAAAATCCTGTTTCCTGTTATGAGAATATTAAGACAGTATGTGAACACAAACACACAGCTAAAGGGGAAAAGATTGATTTAACAATTCCATACTGAGACAGACACACACAGATGTATTACATCTATGTTAAATCTACTGCATAAGATTACACAAAACCGTTTTTAGCCCACATTATTCTGAATTTGTTACAAAGACAAATGCTTACAAACAAGTACAAAACATATATAAAACACTTAAAATATACAATGAGTTAAAAATCGCCACAGTGGATAAATCTAAAAGCTTGCCAAGTAGGACAGTCTCACACTTAACTTGCTTGTCATCAGGATTAAACCTCACTGAACACAGCTGCTGGTTTCACAAAATCAGGAAATAGCGCAGTTATAGGTTTGCTACCAAACCACTGGCATTTTCTATATTAGGCACAAAAATATCAAAGTTTTGTATTTAGCTATAGCACATAACGCTACCCTGATATATTTTTGCAATATCCCAATGAAGAAGAGTACGCTGCAGAGACTTCCAAAGGTAAAGACAACTCAAAGACTCAAGTCATGTTTCAACAATACTGCTTTGCACCAACATATTAAGAGTGACAAACCAGATTAAGAGCAGAAGTAATTTGTGTACAGTATGGTCTAATATCTATTATGGATATATACATATAGCAGTTAAAAATATGAAAGCATCAACATCGCCCAAGTAAATTGTTCACAAAGCAACATTTCTTACTGAAGAATTCTATCATAAGTAAAATACAAAAGTACAACAATATTCAGCATGTTAAAGCAAAATAATAATTATGGGGCAGAATAATGATTCAAAGAACAGAACATTTAATTAAAACCATGCATCTCTTTTTGAAGAAAAATCAGAATGTTCTTTTAATAATGTGAAACAAGTGACTCTTTGCACAATGATTTCTGACATGCAAACCAATACTATTTATTCAGAAGTTAAGTTTCACTGGGTTCAATCAGACTTACTCCCAGAAATGTATGCGGCCTCAATATATGTTAAAACTCACTGGACAATGTTGCATTTTCATATACATCTTATCTCAAGGCTATTATTGTAGAGACCCATCACAAGCAGAAGCAACATAATCAGAAAAGGCTGAGACCTCATTTTTAAAACCTTTTCAATACAAAACTCATCAGAAGATAAAGAAGTTTGGGGGGGATGACTGCATTTTACTTAATATAGGAATTATCATTTCAAGATACATAACCACCCAAGTTTCTATCTATAAACTTTCTTACAAAACTAAGCAGTACTGCAGTTCACATGCTTCCTCAAAAATCAAAATGGGACCATGAAATTAGCTAGCAATTATATTAAGTGTAAAAACCTAACTTACTTGGTTTTATCTTAAATTTCATTTTCAGTGCTGTAAACTGTTAAGTGTGCTTCAACTTTAACAGGTAATTTGACTTCAGAACCAAGCAATTTCACCAAAGTAAGTTTTTAACTGGTCTATACAAATATCCCCAGCTCATAATGCTCAGCCTTCCTTATGAATTGAGCAGCATTACACTGAGAAATTATCAGGCTTATGAGCATATTTCGCTCATAAGAAGCTCTGGAACATATATTTTCTGTTTGAACGTTCAGCTGCTTTGGGAAAACTACACACCACATTCCAGACACGACAGAAAACGGAGGCTTTGCAGAAAGGCACCCTGGTTGTTGCTAACATTACAAGTAAGTTTATACTATAGGGATGGTGAGTCGAGGTTCACAGATTAGAAAGGTGTGCTTGGGCCCTCTTGAGATCCCAGTGACATTGAATCAAGAGTGCAACAGAGTTTCCAAATTGGGGTATGTGAGAGCTATTACCTGATGGGGGGAATATTATTAGCAATGTTAGCAAATCACAATTTCAAATTGAGTAATTCATCATCACTAGATACAAAGGGAGACCTCTGCGGGTGATCAGTTGTACTGCACTGGAAATGATTTAATGATTCAAGCACAGCCAATGCAGAGATGCAACAGTACTATCTGGCCTAGAGGTCTGGTGGGAAGGAGGCAAGACCTGAAGCGTAGTTTATGCAGAACCGCAATGGTGATTATGGGTTCACAGGAATGCTAAAGATATTTATTTTATTACTTGTTGCATATTAACTGTTCTCAAAGCTCCCAAGCTGAGACAGACCAAAACAAAGATGAATTATTTTGTGTGCTAAAGAATGTTTTTTTAAAAAAATCAAAAGCTTTAATGTGCAGTTCTAAAATTGTTCTGGACATTTGAAGGGAGAGGAGAATGAAGCCCTGTTCATTTATTTCCTTCCATATGACTGTATGTGGAGCTGGATCCACTGGCCTCATTGATATTGCCCAACATGCAGAGACAGCAGGGGATAAAACAACAGTGGGAGGCTAGAGCAGGGTTTCCCAAACTTGGGTCTCCAGCTGTTTTTGGACTACAATTCCCACCATTTCGGATCACTTTTGCTTTTTTAGGATGCAGCTTGAAGTGCTGCAAAGGCTCAAGAAGTGATTCTTCCACAGAATATGGTAGGACACAAAATGCATGTGTACAGTAAGGGAATTATGGCTCTACAATACTAATTCCTGCTATCATACCAGTTTCTGTCAAATACAACAGTCCCACATTCTACTTCTTGGACAAATCTTATTAAAAAAAAAACCTTCCTCCAAAATGAGATGCTCCTAGGACACAAAAAAATTACTTTAGGGGTTAAATAAGGATAGTAGAGAGGGACGCGGGTGGCGCTGTGGGTTAAACCACAGAGACTAGGACTTGCTGATCAGAAGGTCAGCGGTTCGAATCCACGCGACGGGGTGAGCTCCCGTTGCTCGGTCCCTGCTCCTGCCAACCTAGCAGTTCGAAAGCACGTCAAAGTGCAAGTAGATAAATAGGTACCGCTCCAGAGGGAAGGTAAACGACGTTTCCGTGCACTGCTCTGGTTCGCCAGAAGCGGCTTAGTCATGCTGGCCACATGACCCGGAAGCTGTACGCCGGCTCCCTTGGCCAATAAAGCGAGATGAGCGCCGCAACCCCAGAGTCGGTCACGACTGGACCTAATGGTCAGAGGTCCTTTACCTTTACCTAAGGATAGTAGAATGGTACCAAAGTTGTATAAAAGTGGACTTGTCCAGGTCAAACAAGGCACTCACCAGGATCATAAAGCTGAGGGACTGCTCCACTGAATAGACTGAAAGCTACTTCCCTTTGAGGAATGAAGTAATCAAACAAACACCCATGGCTTGGATATAGCCATACATGTGTGGAAGCATGTTTCAGTGCATATATTCCCTGTGCTGTGAAGCTCTATCACCAGAGATATGTTTGGTGTAGGAGTGTGGTGAAGGAGGAGAGTCATTAACAGCTCTTGGATTACGTTTAAAACACTCTTGTGGCACTTTAACAGTAACAAATTAAGATGCTACAAGACTTTGTTGCTTGTGCTGCAACAGATTAACATGGTTGCTCCTCTGGAACGTGGACAATACTTTTCAGCCAGCAGAAAACCTGTGCACACTGTTGCACATCCATAATGCTGGATTGTAGCAATAAGTGGGAACCGACAATCTCAGTTATTCCACTATAGCAGCCCCAAGCATGTCTAGAATGATAAAATGTTTTCTTGAATGACTCTGCTTAGAAAGATAAATTTTAAAGACAAAAATGCTTGCATACCTGAAAAATTCAAAGTTGAGACAAGCTTTGGGTAGGAAAAATTTGTCATCTTGCTTGAACCATAGCTTGCACATAGCAGTGTCCTGAGTTTAAGAAAACATACATTTTCTATTGTTATTATTAATTATTATTAAATTACAAACTGTATTTTTATCATTTAAATCTGTTTAAAGAATATAAACATACAGAGCCCAGGCCATCTGAGTTTGGGTGCAGTCCCACAGGGTTTAACAGAGCCCAAATTTCTCAACCCCACCCCAATTACACACAGTGATGCAGACCTATTCCCTACAATGTTCCCTCGTGCTGTCTAAACACATGCCTATATGCTAACATTTCTGAGATGAAGGGACGACCTCTAAGCCCTGTGGGACTTTTGCAGGTATGAACACTAAATCCATACGCCATTTGTTTGCACCACTGCCAGGTAAGTCTGGAAAGAAGAGACAGCTATGGCAGGGTCTGGGCTTACCTGATATTGGGATGAGCCATTAGGAGTTCATTTACAAACTCTGCAATTTGAACTCACTTCCACCACTTTGTAAACTTAAAGGTTTATATATTTTGAATACGGGGCAAAAAGCCAACTGGACAGGAGCTAGTCACCTCTTAAAATAAAGATCCAATTTTCATTCATTTTTACAATCTAGTCTTACAATACTGTTCATATTATAAGCAGCCTACTCAATGACCTTAATCTTTCAAAAGCAATTCAGGAAAGAATGGTACATATTCCCAAAATTCCACCCACAACTATTAAATACATATGCTTACCTTGATAAGAGTAGGGTACTGTGGTGCATCCTTCTCTAAAGGTACAATTTCAAAGTTAGTAGGGATAAATTCATTCTTCATTGGCAGCTTGAATTTCCCATTGAGGTCAGCATTTTGCCATTTCTACATTCAATGTGCAAACAAGAGGATAGGTTTGTTATTATCCAGTGGGTGGGCTAAAAAAAATTGTGCTGCAATTGTGCTGCTCTGTGAAGGATTATCGACCTCTGATGAATCATGCTTCTTCAAAATTCATGACAAAATTAATTATTACTAATGTTTCAAATTATTTAATCTGTACGATTCCTTGCAGTTCACATAATACCATTTAAGTTTGCTTTTAACTATGTTCCATAAACACTTAGAACATAGTGCTGACTGAGGGCTAGAGTGCATGTTCTAACCACTGTGTAGAACTACTAAGAAATGCTTTCTGCAATATGTATCCCCATGTGAGCAGCTGGTTTTCACTCTTAGCAATATGTGAAAATATTATACAAATCCTCCAAACACAGCTGCGTGTGTGATCATAGCTGTATGTTCAGCTAGGTGCTCTGAACATAGTTTCTCTCTTGCTAAAGCTTATCAATCAGGATTTGGGGGGGGGGGTTAAGGGTCCAACATGTATAATATTGGCTGCACCACAAAGAGATGTTCAAGGATTTGGTTCACATTTTGAAGTGAAGTCTATTTTTCCCCCATAACACCAGTTAAAATTAACTGACACCAATGTGACACACTTATACAAGCAACAGTATTAGTTGCTTTTGTAAACAACACAAAATAAACTTTATTGTAAGCAGTGGCGGAGCAAGCTGATCGGGCGCCTGGGGCGGTGCGCGTGCCCTGCACCCAGGGGCAAGGTCAGCCGCCCGTGGGGGCGGGCCAGCCACCCGCAGAGGTGGGGCGATCCAGGGCAGGACGCTCTGTGGGGCCTCCGAGGAGTCTGCCTGCCTCCTCCCACTCAGCCGCCCTACAGCTGAGGGGGAGGTGGCGGGCGGACCATTTGGGGCAGTGTGGAGCCTGCGGGCGCTCTCCCAGGAGAGACGCATGCCTCGGGTGTGCTGCAGGCCCCGCAGTGAGTGCCGCCCAGCATTTTGTCACCCCGTTCAATGGTGACACCCGGGACGGACCGCCCCCACCGCCCCCCTTCCTCCACCCCAATTGTAAGAAGTGTGAAAATACTGGTTACATATTCAGTTTACCACCAACTTTCTCACCACACCTTAATGACTTCATCAGAAATTGCCTCTTGCTTGTACTGGGTTCCATACCATTTTTCTGTTCTATCAGTTTTTCCTTCAAAAGACTTAGAAACTATTGCAACCCTAAAAAATAAAACCAAAACATAGTAAGTAAGCAAGCAAGTATATTACCTCCCCCGCCCCGCCCCCCCCAAATGCTATTCAAATAATTCTGCTTGGTCACTAAGTTCAAAGATTCTGTTACTAATACTGTAAATTATATATGTCCTATTCTATTTTTGCATTTAATCCTTCTGTCAGTAAAACAAAAAGCAACATTTATCCATATCAAAATGGCTATGTTAAATGACCCCTTGTTATTTTTAAAAATATATGTATTATATTTTGCCATAAAAGATATAATATATATATATATACACACAGGGAGAGAGAGATATATTATACACTGAACTTGCATATAAGAGGATATATTTTACAGGATTTAATATATTAAGCTCAGTTTGCTTTTTGCAGCTATGCAAAATTTCACTAAAAATTTCACTAAAATAAAAGATTTCTAGCTCTCATGACAAGTATTTTTAAAAAGACGTTAACAGAATATTTGAAAAAATTCCCAGCAATTAAGAGCATATATAACACACCTAAGGTGCTCCTAAATTCATTTTCTACCATTTCTAAACAGAAATTTGAAGCAAAGGAAAAGACCATACAAATGTCATCCATGGGTGACAACGTACTTTTGTAATCCTGCTCTCTGCAACATTTTAACAACTGTTTCTAATTACCGGTAGTTTTAACAGTTTTCCAGGTTTCAAATGGTCTAGAATTTTAAAGAAATGCTTTGGGGGGGGGTAAGTAAGGAGAAATAATGCAGAATAGCAAGAGTAATTAGCATCTCTCTGGCCAATTATATGCGAGAGAAAACATTTACTATCAACCCTGTTCTAGCAGCTCAGAGCCAACTCATAGTTAATTAGAGGACTATAGGACAGTTGGATATATGGAACACTTAATCAATCTGAACATTTAGTACAAACAAAACCTTAAAAACAAAGGATAGGGCTGAATCAGAGACAGAAATAACTAGCAATTTTTCATTTTAACCTTGTCCTTGGCTGCCAAATAATATCTCAAGATGGAAGATTCTGTGCTGTAAATGAAGCACCCCACTCAGCCTTCTTTCACACTATGTATGAATACAAGGCACAATACAATAGTATGAGGGAAGCTTTATTTCCCTTTGAAATTAGTTACTATGGTAACAATTCTGTCACTGGCAATGAGCGAACACTGCTTATCTCAGTGTTTCTAGCATACACTGGCAGAGAACCATGGCTTCAGCAAAAAAATAAAAGTCAATTATGTACACCAAGTATGAAAGTCTATCGTATTGAAAATAGCAGGAAGAGTTTACCTGCCACTAATAAAAACCTCTGTTGCCAGTGGACAACTGTGTTTCCACTCCGCTGCAACAACCTTGTTTTACAAATCATATGACAAATACAGAGCAAGTCAATGCATTATTATGAATTAAGCAGCAGTCAGGGGTGCCTGCTAACATGGTCCCTGTATGTGGACCAAGTGCAAAATTGGGGTGAGCATACAATCACAGGTAAAAACCATGATGAACCACTGTGATTCTCAAGAAGAGCTGCACAAAGAAGAGTGTGTTTTCCTTAAGTAGAAGCATTGGGCTCAGTCCAGTTAATCCTACAAGCACAAGTTCCCCCTCAGTCCCTATTCTGCAGCAACCATCGTCTTTACAGTTTCCCAAATAATCAATCTGTGTCATCTATACCCCTCACCCTGCCACAACTAGAATCAGATACCTAATTCAAATCACATTTTCAGATTCTGATTTCAAGGGCAAGCACTGACCAGTTTGCCAATGTGGCAAACTATAGTTACAATAAATAGAAAACAGAAAGAAAAGCATCACGCTAGAGGGGAAGAGCATGCCTGCTGTTCCTTTCGTTGCTTCACCTATTGAGCCCTAGTGTGAAAGCATCCAGAAGAGTCAGTGACATGGGTGTGAAGTTTCCATGAAGTCTAACAACATCGTATGATAATTCAAAAGAACTGCACATTAGTTACGTAAATATGACAAAGGGTTCTATCAGTTCTTAAAATTATTATGCAGTGTTCTTCCCTCCTTCCATGCTGTGCTAAATATTTTTCTTTGTATAGAATAGGAAAACTTAAATATTTCATTCAAGGAGTTTTGCACGTGTAAAGTTATTTTGGATTTAAAAGTACAATCTACAATCCATCAGCAGTTTTAACCTGCAAAATATTTCCAACTCAATCTGTACAAAATATTGGATGTGGCAATATAGCTTACCGGACATTTTCAGGTCTTAACTTATCCAATACCATTTCTATTAAATCAGGCCTAAATTCTTCAAGTAAATATTCTGCAGCAAGAACTTCTTCTATAGGATAGTACTACAATAAAAATGTGATATTTTTAGTTTAAACCGAAGACATTATGCATAATACTAAAGTGATATAGTTACTAAGATAGTTGGCTATCACTCTAAGTAACACTTGGAGTAGACTCACTGAAATCAATAGATCTTCTCAGAGTTATGACTAATGTTAGATGTCACCCATAGTACAGAAAGAATCACTGTCACTTAGGTACACAGCTAATAAAATAAAAGCTACCCGCACTACATTGTTGATATTATAAGGGATAAAAAGAAGCAAATGCTGACCCCTGGAGGATGTTTTCAAAGTGAATGGAAGCAACATAAACATGTTCATATAGCAGTATCTAAAAAAACCCCTACTTTCACAAATTCTAACAGAAAGCTATCTTCTCCCCCCCCCCCCCAGCAAAAAGCAAAGAATTCAGTACTTATGAATTCATTCTGGAAATAAAAAAGAGTGTAGAAGCAAAGATGTCTCCAAGGTTGTTTTGCAAACTGGAACCTTTGGTGAGTCTGCCTTCAATCTAAGTCACCAAGGCTCTTTAGATGTGAAGACACTAAAGCCTAACAGGTCTACAGATAAATAAGACAATACCATATGTTTAGGACCAGGCCCTAAGAACACCTGGTACAGGAAAGATCATTTAACCAGTAAGCATGCTTGTGCATTGTAAAAGTCATACTGATTAATCAATATACAGGTAATCAGTTCAGTTATGCTTGGAAGGAAACAGTGCAAATTATTCAGCTATATCCAGCACCAGTCAGGGTCCCAGTCCACACTTGGTAACTAGTCTTTCCATGGAGATATTAAGTGAGGAGACAACTAGCTGTCACTACCACTTTATAGTGTAATTGTGTGCCATATCAACATCTTTTGGCCTGCAATACTCATCTTAGACAAAGTAATTTATCACTATACATGCAAAAAAAAATTGTGCTTTACCCCAACCTAATGACATTGATGCCCAACTTTTGACACATTTCAGAAATGTTAAGAAATATTTCAGCATTAAATTCAGTCAAATTTCGTAACTTACATGAAGAATCCCTGCAACTTTTGATGTATAACCCCGGGGTCTTTCCTTATCTTTAAACCTGAAGGCTACAGCATTTAAATCCTAAAACAAGAAATAAAATTAAGTTATTCTGCAATGCCACTCTTCATATTGTAAACGATCGGTAAGAATGGTATTTTTAAACGATAATGGGAAATGAAGCTTGGACATAAATTTTATTTGTTTTTTGAAGTTAGCAATAAATTGAATAAATGCACTGTGGTTTAATGAATGCAGGCAAACATAAGAGAATAAGTGAAAACCGCTTTAAGTTATTACAAAGCATTTGGGGCAAAGTAAACAATGTATGTAATAAATTGCATTCAAAAGCATTAGAAACTAATTGATTGCATTCAAGAACATTAGGAACTTAACTAAGCAGATTTAAAGAAAATGGAAATTATAATAATTTTAATCTTTTATAAAATGAATAAGGTTATGGATTATTAGATATAGCATTATTTTAGGTCGGGCATGTGTTTGTTTGTTCATAAGTTCATAAATTAATTTTAAAAAGAATAAAATTTAACAGACACAATCTATTTCTAATTAAGGTATCTAAAATAAGAGAAGATCTGGTGTGAATCTCTAAAACTACTTGAAAGAAAACCCCAAATATGTTGCAATTATCATACCTTACATTCTTGGAAAACCCACTCTTGAGGTCCTTCTGTACGTAGTTTTTGTATATACTGAAACATGTGCAAGATAATATCTTCCACGTGTACTTTTAAGAAAAAGATAAAATATTGCATGCATAAGCAATTTCTCAGGGAAACACAAAGTGAACATTTTTAGTTTTCTTATGGCCAAGACTAGACATGCGCAAAAGAGATCTGCGATTAGAATCTCCTGTACGCATGCACAAGGCTTTTAAAAAACGAATCAGCAGCCCCATGCATACACTTTGAAGACTGGGATGTTTGAAACTGTTTTCTCCGATGCCCTTCCCCAATCTATTTGCTCCAGCGGGTGAGCCATTTAGGGCTGCTATTCTTTCCCCACTTAACTGAGAGTAAGCCCCATTGAATTCAGCAGGACTTACTGCTGAGCAGATATGGTTGGGACTGCATTGCTGACCATCGATCTTCTAGTTCAGCCCTTATACTTAAAACTAACAGCTCAGTCTGACAGAGGATAAACTAATACAAAGTTGTACAAACCGAATGTATGCAGTAATCACACATTATTTTACTAATGTAAAAGAATACAGAGTATCAAGCAAACAACATGCACGTGATACCTTTAGATGTACAAATAATTTCCAGAGAGATAAACTTGCTGATCAGTTATGAACTTAACAGTGGCCCAATTTGCACGTAACACAAAACCAAACCAAGGCTCAGTGTGAGCAACTAAAGATAGAAGATTGTGGCCAATTTGCTCCTCCTCTGATCCTGCTGCTGTTATGCTGCTGTGACCTTAGCATTATGTCCAAACATAATGGCTTAGCTTTATGTCTGAACCCAGGTTCATGTTTTATTTTCCCTGCACAAACTACGAGTGGCAAAACCATAGAACAAACCTTGCCCACAGCTCATGGCTTGTTTTGAGCAAAATAAAACATAAGCCCAGGTTCAGATGTAATGCTAAGGCAAACCATGTAGTAGAAGTAGCACTAGAGGAAAAGCAAAATAGCCACTATCTTATCTCTGAGAACCCACATTTGCTTCCTTGTGCCAAGCCATAATTTGACTTAGTTTTATATGCAATTAGGAATCCTCCAACTAGTTTCCTGATAATTTCAACAGAATTAGATGGGCTAAGAACTTTCCTCATATTTGGGCGAACAGTAGCAGTGTTCAGATGCAGGAAAATAATTTTCAGATCTGTAGAATTAAGAATGAGCACATAGGTCATTTGTTCAACCCTCTAAAAAAACCCACCTACAATCTTAAAATTACAAATGTTTTGGCAGTGAGATTGTTCTTAACTCTACATTTTTGCATGTGATGGGGAAGTTAGTTTGAAGCCAGTTCATTTGTCCCTGACCTAGCTAATATAGTATGGATTTCCATCATATTATTTCTCACTCTGGGAGATGTAAAAAAAGTCTACTTAGAGTAGCTCACTTAGATCAATGTGCTCCAAATCCAAACTCAACAGAATAAAAGAAGGGATCCACTTACAAAGTCCTTCTTCTGTGAGGTCAACATTAATGATGAAAAACATGAAACCTCTAGCACCTTCTTTTTGTCCTCCAACCAGGGTATTTACCCAGCCTGTGAAATAGAATATATTTAAAACTCTCACACAATAGTTTATTTTTTCTTAGTTATGTTGTTCATGTACACACACAAAATTAGGAGGTACAGTGGTACCTCGGGCTAAGAACTTAATTCGTTCCGGAGGTCCGTTCTTAACCTGAGGTACCACTTTAGCTAATGGGGCCTCCCGCTGCTGCCGCAGCGCGATTTCTGTTCTCATCCTGAAACAAAGTTCTTAACCCGAGGTATTATTTCTGGGTTAGCAGAGTCTGTAACATGAAGCGTCTGTAACCCAAGGTACCACTGTTATATGTCTTTGGTTAACATCTATGAAATTAAATAAAAACTATGAAAGAACCAAATGACAGAAAGACATTGCATGCACACAAAATCTAAGTGCATTGGGGGCAATCCTTTGTAAAGATCTTCTGCAACGAGCATCTTAGAATTCAGCAGATTCCCAATGCAGCTAGGCTATGTCAGCCCAAGTCCCCATCCCCACCTCAGTTGGCGATATGCCTGTGCCCCCTTGCCACTCCTGGTGGAGCTGGAGCTGGTGCAGGCCCCTAAAAGGGGTATTTTGAGGGCAAGGGGGACATATGCTACACATTGGTAAACATGCCCTGAGCATCACAAACAGTCATCCTGTTGATGGAATACTGGCGAGGGGGGATATACTGCATACAAATGAGATCCCTTATAATCTTTCATATAAGAAGTACTGAGCCATTGATAAGAAAAACCAAAAAGAGCATCAGTAATATAATGCGAGATTGTTTGAAATATCATTACAACTGAAACTTAGATTTTGTTTACTTCACTCCTACTTTCAGGGGCTGAGCTGTAGGGAAGCAATTGCCCCAAGGCTTCAATGTCAACTCACTGCGCACCTTACCTTTAGCTTTGAGTTCTGATAGAAGACTTCCTGGACCTTCATGACCAATAAGATGGCCAAGATAATGGCCAGGGTTTGATTTATAGTACTTCTGAAGATCTGGTATTGGAAACGTGACGTAAAGATTTCTAATGTCTTTGATAGGTACCACTTGGTAAAGTTGCTGTGAAACGAACAAAAAAGCAAAATAAATCTGATTTAAACTGAATCCAGTATTTTGCCTTTACAAGGCTACTGTTCTTCTCAAATCCACCACCCACAGTTCATTACACATATGACCATTTCATGCTTAGGCCATAACATAAAATTAATATTGCTCAACTGCATTTTCTAGCAGAACAATTAGTGAAGTTTCAGGAAGGGGCCAATTACACCTACACCCAAACCTTTTCCAGCCAACATACATTTGTCTTGCTGTACAAGTAATTCTGATGTGTTATGACGCTACTCAACTTATCACAGTAGTTTTCTAGTCTTGCTTAAATACACAACATAAAACTTATTTTAAAAGAAGGCACAATGCAATAAACCCACCCTGAGATGTTCTTCCTGGAAAGGATGTTCAGGGAATTCTGGTAATGGAACGTTTTTGTTCTCTACTTCAGAAAACAGCTTCACTACCAAACTTGTTAGCTCATCTAAAGATTCTGTATGCATATATTTGGGAGGAAAATAAAGTTACACATGGTCAAAAGTTTCAGATGTTATCCTTGATTGCTCCTTTTAGAGAAATGCTTGATAAGCATCTTCTTGAGAAAAGTCAGTATCTAAAATCTGAATGCATTTTACACATTCTTCAATATAAAAATTCTGTGCCCAGAATAAAACCTGTCTGTGTACTGTTGATGCAGCACAGTGTATTCTGTGTACAGTAAGTATCTTCCTAAGGAATTAAAACTATGGAGTCTAGACTGGGAGGCAGAAAGCAGTGAGAATAAGAAAGATATGGAGATTGGAGCATGCTAGGAAATGAATGTCACTGAAGCCTGCCCTCCATGTTCTGAGTTCCGGAACATCACTGCATGTTTATATTTTAAAATTCATCTATAAGAAAATACTAGGTCTAGAAACATATACATTATATAAAAACAGACATTTTCAGAATGACAAATTCTACAGCAGACACACAATCTTTTTCTTCTACTACAAATCTGCAGAGTACATACATCCCTTCCTATATTTTTTTTTTAATCGTCCTACAAATTAATAAGTGTAGATATTAGAAATGCTACAGATTTAAGGTAGACCTGTGGTTTAGGATTTGGAGAGTGGTTGCATTCTTTACACACACACACACACACACACACACACACACTCACACAGAGTTAAGTTCCAATGCTAATCCATTGTAAATTGATTATATATTAAAAGTAGCTCCCAAAAAGTTTGGCATTCTTACCTCGTCCTAGAACACAAACAGCCATTAAATTTGATGAATAATAAGTGGAGTGAAACTTCAATAACTCTTGTCTTACATCTATTCCTTCTTGGTTTGGTCTAGTTTCCAAAGTGAATTTGCTTCCTACAGTACATAAATAAAAAGAAGGATGTGTTACAATAAGAGCCATGACTGGGTAAATGTGCTCAGTTCTGTAAAAACTGTTAATCCCTGCAATCACAAGAGGCGATACTGCACATATCCCTCAAACAGATTACAGCATCTGGATTGTTTTATTTTACTACTACGTTTACACTCTCCATTTCCTCCAATGAGCTCAGGTGGCATACATGGTTCTCCGCACCCCCTAACTTTATTCTCACAAAAACAAATGATGGGCATTGTGCATGCAGATCCTATTTATATTTCTATACCATCATTTCACATGATGGTACTTCTATCGAGTGCAAGATGTTTATCAAATTTCCTGCTTTCATGATTTCAGCAAGACCATTTGTGGCTCAGCTTGAATAGCTTGGAGTTAGGAGAATCGAAATCTGGAATTGTGTTCTCAAGGGATTGCTTCTACAAATCCTCTTTCTAAACTTTTATTTATGCAATTTCAACAGCTTTTATACACACATCGTACAGTATCCATCACTTATCTCTTTTCCTAAGACTTCCCAATCCATCTCTCTGTGACATTGTAGGGAAATCTTGATCTACTGCATATCCTGATATTTCACCCATTATCATTTCAAGTCTTCCTGTTTTGATGTTATCTGCTGCTCATATGTCAACTCCTACTTGTAGGTTAAATTGTATATTTTACCCTCTAAAATAATCTCCAAAACACTTCCACTCTTATCTTTATCTCATCCTTATTCCTTAGTTTCACAGTCATGGTTACTAATGCTATGTATTCTATCAATCTGTTTTGCCAAATTTCCATCATGGGTATCTCTTCTGCTTTCTGTTTTTTCGCGTATACTGTTCTAGCTGCGGCGGTTGTGTACAGAAAAATACTGAGTGCCTTTTTTTGGAATTGTAATATCATCATCTATTATCCCTAATAGAAAGGCCCCTAGCCTTTTGAGAAATGTGAGTTTTAGAATCTTATTTAATTCTGTGTGGATCATTTCCCAATACCCTCCAGCATATTTACATGACCACCACATATGGATCAGGGTTCCCTCCACCTCGTGGCACCTCCAGAATAAATTAGACCCTTTTTTATACATTTTCACTAATTTGCTGGGTTTTGCTTAATAAGATAACAGGCAAATCCTATTCCGATATCGTCATATAAAGGTTGTGTAGAGCAGAAATACAGGTATGTTAATCATACAATTTGTGTTGTGCCTAACAACAAATGCAGTGTATATCCTCATAGTTCATGGACATGTTCAGGCCAGCATCAGATACAGTGTTCTTGAGTCAACAAAGCATGGTTTGTTGGAGTAGAAATGAGCAGTTAGCTCAAGCGCTTCCTCCTCCCACCATTGGCCTTAGATAAGACTTTCGGGATAATTAAAACAGTTTCCCCACGATACCTGACTTAGGAAACTGTGGTTTAAGTCAGGGTGGATGTCAGTCACTTGACATCATGTGACAACTTCAAATGGGCTGCCTGCCGGTGTCTATCTCCCAGTTCTTATTAATCAATAATAATTTTCTAAATTACTTCACTTTTTTCTGGCAGTGAAAAAGGAAAATCAAGACTAGAGTTTCTAATTTCCAGTAAGCTGACTCTAACATTGCTGCTATGCAAAATAAAGCTAAAACACAGCATTCTGGATTGACGAAATGTAGTTATGAAAACAAGCTTAATGCAAGAAATCGTAAAATAAGTGAGGTGAAGATAATGTTCTAAAAATAATGAGAACAGGGATTTAAAGAATGATCAGCTCTATTCACAAATAGTAGTAATGAATATAGACAAGCATGAATAAGAAAAACCATTCAAGATACAAAAACAAATGGTCTTATTCAATTTATGATGAAAGCACAGTAGTTCAGGTCTCCGCACACTTTCATTGTGAATTACCACCCTTACAGAATAATTCAACATTGCACTTTCCTGATTGCTTGCCAGACAGAATGATCCCCCCTCTCTTCTCCTCCCCATGCCCTGTTATCCTGACCCTCCAGAGCAGATTTGGGGGTTGTGGAGGGGGAGGAAAGCCCTGTTGCACTAATTGGAGTCCTTGCACTGGCTTCCGCTAGCACACTAGGTTAGTGGAATCTGACTCAACGTCTGCATTTCACATGGCAGAGTATCTGGTGCTGCTATACTTCTTTAAGCTTCTGTTTTCTTTTTTTATTTTAAAGACTGCAACTACATTTGAAAATAAGAGTTTTTGAAATCATGTTTAAGACAAAAAGTGACCATTATCAGAAAGGGTTCTTGCTACCACCATTTTAAACCTAATACGTTCACCAGAGGTAATAACGCTGTAATAAAAACGGACGGAATAAAACCTTAGGAGTGAGAGCTTGCATGCTGCTCTCACTTAACCAGACTTAAACCCTCTGCTATCACAGATTCAAAGCACATTTCAATCAGAAGGGTGGATGATCTATGCTGAAAAAGAGACAGGGGAAGTGAAACACACTGATTCATCTCAACTTTACTGTGGCATCAACCACAATATCTTTCTGGAAAATTTCTCAGGAATTGCTTTGTTTTCTGGTTTAAGAAGCAGTGCTGGGAGAGGTTTCTTCCACCAGTACAGCTATATAATACTCTTTCCACACTTATAAAGAAATATTTCTTCTAGTGTGCCAGCACTCACACTTTGAAACTCTTTACCTATGTACTCTTTTAGGACCTGCTTAAAACATTTTTGTTTACGCAAGCCCATCCATGTAGATGTTGACATGCTTTAATCTCTCTTCAGTCTACTGTTAATTTTAATTATCCTTTAAATGTTTTTAATTACAGTATTTATTCTTAAACTGCTTTTTATTGGTAATTTTAATACTTCTTGTAAACCACTTATAGGCTTTGTAATTATCAACTGGTATATAAATTCTGTTAAATAAATGTGACACATTCTCAGTTGCTTTTAAAGGTGAATCAAATGCAGTAAATCACCATGTGTAAAGGCTACATCATCAAATAATTTCCATACAACATGTTTTTATTTTAACACATTTTTTTAAAAAAAATATTTTTCCGTCATACAATTTAAGAAAAAAAGAGAAAAAATACATAACAGAAAAGAAACATTAAATCATTATACATTAAATCATTATACAATATCCAAAAAAGAAGAAAAACAACATAAACAAAATAAAATGAACCCACCACCCTGTTTAACTTCCCTCCACCACTACTCGTCTTCTCTAGAATCAATTTTACCCTTATCATTGCATTCTGGTTTTTATTTTTTCTATATGCATACATATGTCATTGATAATTTATTGCTTTGATGCATTTACATTCTTAGTCTAAGCATATTAGCATTTTTTTTTGGAGCAGTATTTTGCCATATAGTGATCAAAGCATTGCCATTCATTTTTCAGTTTTTGATTTGACTGCTGTCGTATGGATGCTGTTAGTTTAGCCAATTTTAAATATTCATTTAATTTGAGAATCCATTCCTCCTTGGTAGGTAATTCTTTAGCTTTCCATTTAGGTGCTATTACTATTCTAGCTGCGGTGGTCGCATATAAGAAAATGCTTTTTTTCGATTTAAGTATTTCTTTCCCTAATAGGCCCAGTAGGTAAGCCTCTGGTTTTTTCATTAGTGGGATTTTAAGCATTTTTTTTCAACTCCTCATGTATTTCTCCCCAGAAGTACTTAATTGGGGTGCAGCTCTGACTTTAATCTTCCCATATGCAAGGTAGGTGTGCTATCCATACCTGTTGTTAAAGCCCTCAAGGTTTAATAAATCTGCTTTTTCCAAAGTGATCCATTCTTTCAGCCATACAAGGCATTCTGCTTCATAATATAATTTTTCCAATATAAAATAATGCCTTGGAGCCTCACAGCACAGTTTAAAGGGACTCCCCAATCGAAAGCAGATCATGTGCAAATGTAATGGAAGATTAAATACCTGTTCCAAATTTACTGAAGGGGTGATTGGGATTTCCAGTAGCCTTTTCCAGCTGAAATAGTCTCCAAGCATCATTCATTAAATTCTTCTCATGCTCAGAATCAACAGCATTCACTTCTCTGTCTTTGCAGCTTTCATCAAACAGAGGGCACAAGAAAAACTGAGCAAACCTGCAAGAAAAAAAGTCAGATTTCCCAAATCAATGTTTCAACAATTACATTTTATTTAATTAAAAATTTTGTTCACCTGGAGACACTCTGGTGCTAGGTAGTCTCATCACCAAGTGGATGTTCTAATCTAGTGCAATTTATTATAATGACCTTTTTAGCAGACAGGACACAATCTATGAGCAAGATACCATCAGCTGCCTTTTTGCTATCTCAGATCTGCTTCTTCTTGCTGTTGTCTTATGAACTAGCCACTGAAAGTTTCCTTAGCAGAGGCCTGATGTGTATCTGTGAAAAAAGAGCTACTGGGACCTGCTCTACACAGATGTACTGAGGACCCTTCCAAAATCACCAAAGCTAATGTTACTAAGCCTCTCCTTGGCCCTCAACATGAACCAAGTAACTTTTTTTAAAAAAAGTAAAAGGACACAGACCATGACATGAGTGAGGGCTGTGCAGCCTGTTAATTACTTTGTCTTTGGGGGGAAAAAACATGCTAAATTACCTGGGAGTAAGCCCCACCAAATTCAACTTACTTCTAAGTAGACAGACCAGAGATTGCACTGTTGTTTTGCTAACTCTGAAGTAAAATCAAATATACAGTGTGCAGCAGTAGCTTGAATATCCCTATTTTCACCAAATATAAAATTCCAGAGAGAAGATCCTTTGAGAGTCAGCTGATAAATATGCAACATATGCTGAGAGTGTAAGCAGAATATATTTATAGAACAAACATATGTGAGGTTCCTATGCAACACTTTCATGGCTATGTAAAGTAATAGCAAAATGATAAACCATATGAAGTTTTTAAGACACTCGCCATACTGTTGATGAGTCTCTCCTCACTTAGAACCTATTTTTATATACTACCGCAAGGGCTCATTCCATATGTTTTCTTTTATCACTGTTATTCCCAAGATGTTAAAAGTATTTCAGTAATTTAGTTTTTACAATTGTATTAAAGTCGTTATTATAAAAAAGCAGAAGTAATAAATACACTAAATAATGTTATCATCTGGTAGGACTCTCATGTTAATTGTGCTTGCTGGAAAGACAAAACCAAACCAATATATTTAATCATTAGTAGATATGCTCACCTGTCCAGGGCACCTTCCAAGTGTTCATGTGATACATCAAAATAAAAGTTGGTGTGTTCTCCACTGGTAAAAGCATTTGAACTTCCTGCGTGTTCACTGAGAAATTGGCTGTACTCATTTTCTTTTGGGTATTTCTCAGTTCCCAAAAAAAGCATATGTTCACAAAAATGGCTTAACCCAGCAATGTTAGGGGGATCAGATAATGACCCTATGAATAGGAGAAATGGGCAGAAATAGAGTCTTACTTTAAAAGCTGATACACAAATTCAGTATAAAGCAATCAAATCATCCAGAACACTCAACATTTTAACACTTTTCTTTGGGTCAGAGAAATCATCTTACTGATTATGACTGCAAATATTTAGGAAATTATATAGCTCCATTTCCCTTTGCAGAAAAGCTAGGCTGGAATGCACCTGCTAGTATACAGCTGCTTCATACTAACTTTAGAGAAGCTATAGGAAAGGTGTTAGCTGGAAATCAGAGGCAAGTGGTTTATGTGAGCACCCCAAGCACTTCAAACTACAAAGAAAAGATATCTGATAAAGCAGGACATACGTATGTAACCATTTTGGTTTTTGGTTTTTAATCAGAACATCTAGGTAACAACCATGTTCTAATTTCATGTTTGCTTAACATGCAAATACATCATTTTCAGGCCTACTATCTGACGTCTCAAACATATTACACAAGGAATAATTTTCATATGACATGCCATATGCCATTAATTTATATCAGGAAATTAAACTATTTTAATTCCCTGGCAGACACACTGGGAGCTTAAGCGCAGAAGGATATGGAGCATATAAATTGAGTTCTTCCATCATTCATCCTTGAAAAACTTAGACCTGCTTTAGAACAAGTAATTTATACAGCCAGTTTTATGACAAACCTAACTTCTGAGGCTTATCTGGCTAAGGCTACAATCCTACTTCCATTTACCTGGGAGAAAGCTGCACTGAATACAACAGGACTTACTTCTGAGTAGAAATGAATAGCCAGCGCTGTAAGACTGCAAACCTATACACATCTTCCTGGGAGTTCAATGGGGTTTTGTGCACTTCCAAATAATGTCAACTTCCAAGTAAGCAAAACTAGGATTGCAGCCTCAGTGTAGTATGTAGAAGGTTGTAAACCTTTTTTTTTGAAAGTTATCACATTTGAATTAGATTACAGTGCAAAACCAAGTTACAATATATTATAGATGATCATATACCTATGTGTACATCAAGTGCAGCTGAAGACTTGTCTGTAGTGGGGTCACTGATAAGCATTGCCTTGATGCCATTTGCCAGTTCTAGCCCACGATACTCTCGTTTATCTTCAGGTGATTTGATAATATCATTTGCTATTCTTTTAATAGCAAGATGACTCATTTTGTTGTGTGTTGCTTGCTGAAGCCTAAAAAAAAAGCAGTAAAAGTTAAAGCCATATCTCAGTTCAAATAGCCCAAGAAAGAAAAGGGGGAGACACATTTGCAACTCAAGAACACTCAACTCTAGAAGGTCCAGGTCAAAAACTTATTGTCCACAGTCCAACACTGTAAGGCGTACTTAAGTTCACTGAAATCAATAGAGTAAAGCTATATTACTTCCTTCAAATGTAGAACAGCTCTGAGTGCTTTCAATAACAAGTTGGCCTAATAATGGTCACAGTGAATCCAGTTTATTAATATCTATTTTGTAATATTAAAAGCCTGTACTTTATTTCCTTTTTATCTATAACAATATAGTTGCTGTCAACCTTCACTAATTGATAATATTGGCTATATACTGAAAAAAGTGCAAAGTAAAATCAACATATGCTTGTCTAAATAAAAGCATTATTTCAGTTATGATGCAGTTTATAACATCATTTTCATCTGCCAAGAGTAGATTACTATAGCTCTTTAAATCCATGATGAATTGCTTTACAATGAAAATAGAATGCTACAGAGCCAAAATGAACTGACCAAGCAGGTTCAAAATGTCACAACCACACTCCCAATGACAAGCCAAAAACAATTTACTTCAATGTCTGTGATTCTGTGAATTAATTCAAGCCCACATGAAAGGTGAAGTCATTCATGCTGGGCTCTTTACCTGACTACACCCTAATTCGGAACTGAATAAATATAATTGCATTTCCTGTATTTGTTCATGCTACATACACCCTATTCCTGACCTGTCATTGATCTAGCTAGAAGATAGGAACAAAAGAAAAGAAGAAGCATAGAAAAATAAGAAAACCATCCCTGCACATATTCCAGGTACTAGGCATCATTGCAAGAGCTTCTTGTTCTGTCTTTGCATACAGTCTCTTGTTTCTTGGCTTTCAGGTAAAGCATATAAATATATATTTAAAATATATGCCTAAAAGGAACAGCATGCCTTCTTCAACCTGCCAAATAAAAATGCTTTTGTGCTGCAATTCTATCCACACTTACCCAAGAGCAAGCCAAACTGAAAACTATGAGACTTATTTCTGAGTAGAAAGACACAAGATCAGCCTGTTAACAAGGTCCCTTTTCAGTTCCTAGATCATTCTCGCCTCTTTCACCCAAGTATCTTGTACTCTGCAAACTAAAGTGCTGAATGATTTGTTCCCAGTGTCTCCTGGCAATTACACCATCAGGCTGAAACACTGAAGACAAATACAAAGTGTATTAGCTATTTGGAGCAGAACAGCATCACATTACGATTGTTCTAAATAATTCATTTGATAAAACTACAAAGCTATTCCATCATTACTGTTACTGCCACAAAAGTAAAGAAACTTCAAAAGGAAAAAATAACAGCATAGAATTTTGGGAACAGTGCTATTTACTTTTTTTAAAAAAAGGTAACAGAAGAATGTGAAAAATTAAGGCTTAGAGGAAGGCGAAATAAGTACTAGAGAATAGTGTGTTTAAGGACTATTATGTATCTAGGCCAAAATCAGACCACATATTTAAAGACACACACATCACAATTGCACACCCCAAATAGTTAGCAAGATCTACGAAAAGCATTTTGGGTTCCACACAGTCAATTATCATGCAACTGTGCAGAGGACATCCATCCATATGGAACAGTGGATATTTTTAAACATTTCAATAGAGAAACGTAAATAAAAATAAATAAACTTACTTGCATAAATATTTTTATGTTCTCCAATCAATCTCATACTGGCCATGGGTTAAACTACATAGTAAAATTCCACTGTCTACTGACACTATCAAAGTCCATAGCCCTCACTTATATACTAAACATTTTACATTGATGTTTTATGCAAACCAGTTTGATCTCAGCTACAGCACACTGCATTTATAAAATCAAGGTGTTCATCTTGCTCTGTATAGACTTCCTCATCCCTCATTGAGAACTGTGCTAACCTATGAAACAGCAGATGTGAACAAGACAAGCAAAAGAAAAAAATAGTCAAAAGATACCATGCCAAAGAGCAGAGGTTGCAGACAGGCACAATTAAGAATCAAACTGAGGGGTCAGGCAGCTGTAGAAGTGAAAGCCTGTAATAGCAACAACTGCTCCAGTAACAGAGGATTAGGATAAATTAATAAGAAATAATAGTTAAAAGGTAGGGGTGTAGTGGGGTTTAAAAGAGCAGAAGGAAATAGAGCCTATATGATACACAGATGTCATATTTGAGAGTTGCATAGGTATTCAGTGCAGACAGCAGTCGGACTCTGTGGAGCTTATGTTGGGATTCATGTTCCGGTTGGGAGTTCAACAGTGCGCCAGCTGCCCAGCTGATTTCCTAGCTTAGATTGTGGACATGATCTGAGACCTAGTATTGGAGTGATCAGTGGAGCATAAAAGGAACTGACTTGTGTACCACAAGCCTCACTCTGCCACTAATGCTGTTTAACGTCTATATGAAACCGCTGGTAGATACCATCCAGGACTTTGAAGTGAGACATAATTCATATATTGATACCACCCAGTCCAGGAATCACTTAGTTCTGAACCAGTGACTAGAATGCCACAGCCAAGTGTTGGAAGGAACCAATTGGGTAGCCACCAAGGGAAGAAGGCTCAGAGCCCAAAGAATGGTAGTGGGACAATGATGAGTAGTCAGAGGGAGAAGACTGGGAAGTTGAGATGTTGGAAGCTGAAGGGATAACAGGGCTCAGTGAGTTGGGAGAGTGTGGCAGAAAGAAGTCAAGAATCAGAGGCTGAAGCTGCAGAGTAGAAGGAGGGAGGTCAAAAGGCAGAGATGAGTCAGGCTGGTGAAGAGTTATGGGTGTCTCCCTCTCCTGCTGCAACAAGTTCCCCCTCCCAACTCACAGAACCAAGAGAGGAATAAAATGGGCAAAGCAGACAGACTGCACACAGGCAAAGTCTCCAATTGCTTGCAAGAAGCCCTGGAGAGGAGGAGACTTAAGACAAAGCCACTTCCGGCTTGCCCAGGAGGTGGGGTTGCGGGCTTCACGCCCACCCCACGTGAGCGGGGGCTGGTTTCAGCCCCCGCGAGAACAGGGGAATCCCGGCCGGGTGTGCCCCCCCAGCCAGCCAATCGGCTGGCTGGGGGGGCGTGGCCTGGGCTATTTAGGGCCGGCACGGAGGGGGCTCGCCCTCTCTTTGCCGGCTAGCTTAGGGTTTGGCGTTTACTTCAGAGGCCAATGGTGTGCCCAACGTTGGCCGCCAGCGTGGCAAGGGACCCCCATAACCAGAGATTTGACCTTCCTAGAATTCTTTCCAATTGTTGTGGCAGTGCACTTGTGGTCTGAAGTCTTCAGCAACCATAGAGTTTGCTTCCACACTGACAACCAAGCAGTGGTGGGAGTCCTTTCCAGGCAGGCCGCGCGATCATCAAGGGTAGGTGCCCTCCTGCGCTCCTTCGTTCTCAGGTGTCTGGAACTTAATATCCACTTCTCCGCCAAATTTGTGCCTGGAGTTAACAATGACATCGCGGATGCCCTATCTCGTTTTCAGATGGACCGCTTCCGCTCGTTAGCACCGGAGGCTCAGCCGCTTCCTCAGCCGTTCCCGGAACATCTGTGGAGACTTGGGGACCAGAGTCATGGGAACCAGAAGTGATTCAGGGAGTATTGGCCTCATTGGCTCCGTCCACTTTAAGATCGTATAAGAAGGCGTGGTCAGATTTCCTTAATTTCTGTAATAAAACCCGCACCGATAGGAATAACGCCCCCCCCCGTTAAGTCCGAGGTCTTATCTTACTTGGTATACTTAAAACGTTTGGGTCGCGCCCCCAGAACTATCAACCTTCAGGCAGCGGCAATATCATTCTTTTGCAAGGTGTTATTTTCTTCTGATCCATGCGCTGATTTCGTCATACGAAGGACCCTGGAGGGCTGGCGCAGGCTGCAGCCCCCAAGCCATGACGTAAGGAGGCCAATATCATTCGACATCCTTTCCCAAATTCACAAAAAGCTGAGAACGGTCTGTTGGTCCAAGTATGAGGCGCGCTTATTTTCAGCGGCATTCTCCATCGCCTTCTTTGGTGCGATGCGTGTGGGTGAGGTGGTTTATGAAGAGGGTCAGCGCGGCTCTTCCCGGGGTTACTACTGAGCGACCTTACGCTCTCTAGGGAGGATCTGGTGTTACGAATACGCAGCTCCAAAACAGACCAGTACGGGAGGGGGGCCCTGGTTCGGCTTCTGGCAACCGGACAACCAGGCCCGTGCCCCATTAAGGACACCAGGCGCTTCCTAGATCTGAGGACCAATTCGGCAGGGCCTTTCTTTATCCATGCAGACGGCTTACCTCTGACGCGTCAACAGTTCACACGGGTTATGCGCTCAACGCTGGCTGCATGTGGCCTTCCCCCTGCGGATTTCGCGGCGCACTCGTTTAGAATAGGTGCGGCCACCACAGCAGTGCACCTGGGCCTTACTACGGAGAGGGTTAAGGACTTGGGCCGCTGGAAATCGGACGCTTACAAACGTTATGTTAGAGGAAATCTATGATGGTTCAACTGGGGTCAATTGACCATGGCCTGTTCTTTTAATCTTTGCAGGTGTTATGGGGGTCCGCGTCTGGATATTCGGGCACAGCATTGTGCATTGGGCCAGGGTCCGCGCCATCAACTCCGGTCTCGGGCCGCGCCTCGGCTTACCGTCTGGCATCACTTTATCCTGGGTTGCGCGAAGGGGAATGCGCTGGGCGGAGATGTTGCCCGCATTTAAGACCAGAGCAGCAGCGGAGGGCCCCCCGGATGCTTTGTTGATACAATTGGGAGAAAATGACCTTGCCTACAGGAAGGCAGTTGACTTGCAGTGGCACATTTTCAGTGACTTTGAGGAGCTTAAGGCCTCTTACCCGGACATGACAATCATTTGGGCCTCTTTGATGGAGAGGCGTGTTTGGAGGGATTGCAGGTGCCCGATAGCCATGAATAAGGCGAGAAAAGCCTTGGATCGGGCGGTGGTGCGTAGAGTGGCAGCCCTGGGTGGAAAGGTCATCGAACACCCGGGCATTCGTTTCAACTGTGAGGCCCTCTACCGGTTTGATGGCGTGCATCTTTCCGATGCTGGAAATGATGTTTGGCTGTGCGACATAGTGAAGGGGATAAGGGATTGGTTTCAGGTATGAGAGTATTGGCGGCGAGCGGTTGCTCGTGTGGCGGTAGGCATTGGTAAGAAGGGGTTAAGAGGATGTGTGGGGGGGGAGGAGCGCCATCACCTCCCCCCAGTGAACGAAGGGTGGTCCGTTAAAGGACTCCGGGGGGCGTGGCCCTGTCCGAAGCCTATGGAGGTGAGGGCCAAAGGCACGCCCCAGAGCGGTGACCCGGGAGCTCCTAGTCGACGTGCCTCGGCAGGAGACTCCCGATATAGTGTTAACCCTTCCCCGTGTCTCCAGCAATTGGGCTGGAGCCGGATAGTCGATAGGACCAATGCCTAAGCCAATGCCTCTCATTCCTGAACTCAATAAAGTTGTGGCCTAATTCGCCCAATTAACCTTAATTATGGTGTCTGGTGTCTTTATTTATCCTGGTGGGGGGCGGGAACTCGCCACGCAAAGCCACTTCCGGCTTGCCCAGGAGGTGGGGTTGCGGGCTTCACGCCCACCCCACGTGAGCGGGGGCTGGTTTCAGCCCCGCGAGCACAGGGGAATCCCGGCCGGGTGTGCCCCCCCAGCCAGCCAATCGGCTGGCTGGGGGCGTGGCCTGGGCTATTTAGGGCCGGCACGGAGGGGCTCGCCCTCTCTTTGCCGGCTAGCCCTCACGTTTTCCCACCCTCCCTCCCTCTAGGTAGGTTTTTAGGCAGATTTCTGACTTTGCTATGGACTTCGGTCTGTCGCCGCAAGGGGCATGGTAGGAATTTTTCCCAATTGGCAATTTACAGCCTTTTGGGTTTTCGCCTACCTCGTAGCAACTCGTCACAACTCTTCGGCATTGGCGGTAGGCATTGGTAAAAAGGGGTTAAGAGGATGTGTGGGGGGGGGAGGAGCGCCATCACCTCCCCCCAGTGAACGAAGGGTGGTCCGTTAAAGGACTCCGGGGGGCGGCCATGTCCGAAGCCTATGGAGGTGAGGGCCAAAGGCACGCCCCAGAGCGGTGACCCGGGAGCTCCTAGTCGACGTGCCTCGGCAGGAGACTCCCGATATAGTGTTAACCCTTCCCCGTGTCTCCAGCAATTGGGCTGGAGCCGGATAGTCGATAGGACCAATGCCTAAGCCAATGCCTCTCATTCCTGAACTCAATAAAGTTGTGGCCTAATTCGCCCAATTAACCTTAATTATGGTGTCTGGTGTCTTTATTTATCCTGGTGGGGGGCGGGAACTCGCCACGCAAGGAGTACTCAGCTAAATCTGTGAAGACTGGTTCTCTAACCAAGAGTTAACTTCAGCTGTGTGATTTGCTGACCGGCTTGCTCTGTGACATAGAAGGTGTGGATGTGGTCAGCCAAACGAATTGTATCCAGACAAGTCAGAAGTGATGTGAGTAAATAACCCTAAAGCTTTGGAGGGAGGTTATGCACATAATCATCTAAGGCATAGTCTCAGACAGAATCTGCAACTATTTAAATCAATGAGATCTTGCCCCACTGACCCATGTTTTTATCACCTTGAAAATCAAGTAATGCAATGTGTACTACGTTCAGCTGCCCTCATAAATGACTCATGAGCTACAGCTAGTACAGAATATCACTGCTTACTTCCTGATGAACATGGGGAGGTGATTAACATATAATCAATTTTGCAGGAGCTGTACTAGTTTCCTGAGAACTTCTGAGCCTAATTCAATATCATAGTACTTACCTTTAAACCAGAGAAAGCTAACCTGTGACCCTATAGTTGTTTCTGGACTACAACTTCCATCATCCCCGACTATGGGTCATGTTGACTAGGGGGTGATGGGAGTTGGGAGACCAACATCATCTGGAAGGCCACAAGCTCCCTATCTCTGCTTTAAATCATGCACAGCCTGGACCCAGCATTCATCAATAGGGACCACCTCTCTCTGTATTGAACCCTATTATGGTGTAAGATAAAAGATCAAGTCCTGCTCTGTATTTCCTCAGGAAGTGAAATCAGCAGCTAAAAGCCAGTCTTTCATTTGTTATCACTCCGAGATTCGGGAATAACTTTCTAAATGGATTTTTTTAAATAAAAAAAGTCTGTCTTGATGGCATTCTGGAGGGATTTGCAAACTATTTTACATGAAGTAGACAGAAGCTAAATAGGATGCTTTGGAGTGGTATGACTTTTATTATTAGGTTGTGGTTTTTTGTGCTTTTATGTTCTATCAGATTTTAAGTATTGCTTTTCATTTTAATGCAAAGTGCACTGAGCTTAGTAAAAGTAGCATACAAATGTTTTGAGGCACAGACACTGGACTGGAAGTAAGAGGAAAGGGTCCACAGAATGGGTCCAAGTTAAGTTTTTCACTTAGAAAGCAACCAGAATAGTGCATTTTGCATTTAAGCTGTGGGCCTTTCCCAATTTATACTGGAGCTAAGAAGCTGTATATAAAGTACTGCTTTGGCTGATTGGCCTCTGAAAGCTGACATTATGGAACAGTTAACAACATTTACCTTTCGATCCACAGTTAAGGATGAGTCCTAAATTAGAGTAATAAAGCCTGTAATGAACAGTATGTTGCAAAATATAGCACAAGGTAGAGCAGAAGGATTCAAATGGCTACAATGTCAGAAATTCCCGCAACTGACAAATTCAGGTATGACACCCACAGAAGCCAATGTTTCCATTAAATAAAATCCACCAGCTGCACAATTCCTGCCAAATGGCAATCAGGTTAATGTAACTTCTCACCTCTTCTATAACGAAGACAGCATTCAGAGCTTTGGAGGAATTCATTAAAACTCACTACTATCATATACAAATAAAAAATAACCAAGTCCATTCCCTAACATAGCTTTTAGCCTAGTCCTCCTTATGCACATTCCTTGTTGACCTTAAAAAACTCTTAAAGACAGGGAGTGAAGATGAGGGGGCTGATATTGTGACATATTTCCTAAAGTAATAGTGACATTTAAAGGCACATCAGCCAATAACAAGCTTTTTTTTTGACATATTACTCTCAGTAATGAAAAAGAGGCATTTTCATCAATGTACAGATCTATTTAAATACATTACTGTTCAGTAGTTTTAAGTCACACTTTTTATATTGTTCAGTGTGATACAACACAAAAGTTCATTGTACTTAGAAAAGATCTGGCAGTGTCACCCCCCTATCTCCAGAGTCAGACTTCAACCACATCTGCATCATCACTCATGTCCCAAGCAAGTGGTGTGGTAAAGTACCATTACTCACCTGACCTCTGGTCAGTTGTTGCTCTAACCAGGAGGTGAAGCCATGTTGGTACAGTGCTCTCACTGGTGTGTTTGTACCATGCTGCCCTTGCTGCTGCCTTTCCCCTCCCAATAGTCCTCCAGCTAAGCAGCAGCAACATGAGGGCAGGTAGGTGGCGACACCACACCACCTGCTACTTACCCCAAGTAATTTAAAAATCTCTGTAACTACTAAGTTCATGTTTGGAAGTCACTGGCTATATCTAGTAATTAAGGAAGTGAGATAGATCATAGAACTGTAAGCTTGGAAGGGACCTCAAGGATCATCTAGTCCAATTCCCCTGCTATGCAGAAATCACTAGTGACTCATGTTAAGTTTGTGGTCTACTAAGACCCCTAAAGCCTTTTCACATGTACTACTGGCAAGCCAGGTGTCCCCCATCTTATATTTGTGCAGCTGGTTATTGCTGCGCACGTGCAGAACCTTAGATTTGTCCCTATTGAAATTCATTTTGTTAGTTTGGCCCATTTCTCCAATCTGTTGAAGTCATCTTGAATCCCAATTCTGTCTTCTGCAGCATCACCTACCCCTCCCAGTTAGGTGTCATCTGCAAATTTGATGAGCATCCCCTCAATTCCTTCATCGAAGTCATTAAACAGATGTTTAACAACAGGCCAGACTTGTCACTTTTTTCCAGGATGATTTTGCCATAAATGCTTTAAGAATTATGATGTTTTAAAGACTTTTACATACGAAGTGTTGACAACTCAGCTACAAATATCTCTACTCTACCTAATTCATAAATCTAAGTCAAAAGTACCTCCAGAAATGTATAAATGGCATCTCCCTGCATCCCGCTTTTGTCATGACGTTTTTAAATTGATAACTGTCTGCTTTATTTTAGAATCCCGAATTTAGTTCTTGTTCAAATGCTACATAGAAGCAGAAAAAGAAAATGAATCCTAGAGTTGATAGATATCACTGTAGGTAAGAATCTGTTTCCTTCTGCATGTTACAGCAAAAGCATGACTCATCCCTACTTGTGCTTCCTATGCATCTAATTTAACACACACCTTGGCTTTCACAGTTCCTACTTTTTTTGTCCTGGCAAGGGCTCTGTGTCTTTATTAGGCCTCTGACAGGCAAATAAAACATGTAACAAATTTGCCAAGCAATGGTACATACTCTTCAGAAAGCTACATCTGTTGAAATTCTACCTGTTATGCAGCTGTTAGAGACACAAAAAACTCATCATAATTATGAAGATACTTTCAACAGAAGCTAAATGCACTTGCTAAGGTGGTACCTAATAATACTTCTGGGAACAAGTATTGAACTAGCATGTGACAGTCTGAGTAATCTATATTTATAGCAGCTTAAACACTGACCCGGAATAACCCAGATAATGAGATCAATTAATTTCCAGTTCAATTAAAAACAGGACTTTTCCTATGGAGATACACTTTGGATGTATAGTGGCTTATTCTTCCCTCTCTCTCTGCCTCCTGGATATTTTTATAGAGAAACGCATTACTTACATGCCATATATTAGTGACACTTCTCACAACCTCAACAGGGAAATGGCTTTCATCAAATTAGTTCCTAAGCTTGTGCAAGGCAAACCAGAACAATAAGCATTCTTCTAAACAAGAATATGAACACCCCCCAATTCACCACTTGTATATCTTTTTGCTTTATATATCTAGATATATAAAGCGTATCTTTATACTTCCTGGGGATTCTCAATAATAACCAGTTCTGAAATAGTTAATACTGTACCATTAAAGAGGAAATGTTGTACGATGGCACACATCACGGATGCAAAGTTTGAGTTACTTTCAACAGAACATTTTTATGATGAAAGTGGCTTGCAACTGAGATCTAAACAATTGCGTGGGAAGGAGTTACAGAAAGGATACACACAAAAACACATACGTACTCCCAAGCTGTTTATAAAGGTTTTTACAGTGATTTAGAGGAATGCTTCTGTCATAAGCATTTATTTTCAGTAATGATAAACTATGTTTATCATTTCTAAAAATAAAGAGGACCCATAGTGGTATACAATATAATAAACTAAAATTAAATTATGAACATAATGACATTAATTGAAAGAACCACCCTCACAAGTGGTGTACAAAGTTCTGGCATTTCAGGTGCTGTCATTAAAGGGTAGCCACACAGGAAGTGACTCAAATGGAATAACAGGAAGGATAAATGCTGTTATTCATGTATTGAGCAAGGGGTTGGGCTTAATGGCTTACAAGCCCCCCCCCCCATTCAATCATCATATACAAGACTATTTGGTGGCAATAACAGGCATTAACACGCTTAGAAGAGGAAACAGAGAAGTTTCACCAAAGTGAGAATAAGATAGAGGAAAAAATACACAACAGTTCATTTCGAAAAGATGTTTTTTCATACCATGCACAGTGCAGCAACACAGAAGCAGATGCTCACAAAGCCTGAAGTTCTTTGGCAATAACTTAATGGGAAAATATCAGTGAGGTGCACAGGTGTCTGCAAGAGCTGAACTGAAAGGTTAATTTACTGCAACACGTAGGACTTTATTCGCACAATGAAAAGAAAGATTGCTATCTCATATCAAAACAAGTAGGAAGCCCAAAATGATTCAGCTACATCCCTAGCTGACTATCTCGCATCACTCAAAGGTCACTGTTTTTCTACAGTATTGTGAACTCCATCCAGCAGATATAATAACCAGATATATTCACCTGATACCTCTCTTTCCTCACAAAATAAAGGGTCAAGAGCTCCTGATCTTACTGATTATTTGTCAATGCCTTCAAGCTTTGATATACCTGAAGTATAATTTTTATCCCAGAAAACCAGATAAGACTCCTGCCCTTGCTCTGGTCTGCATAATTATCTCTTCTTTTTAGTCTTTGTAGAACTTATTTACTCATTTTATTATGATTATCCCCCCCACCTTAGGAAAATAATGAAACTAACTTTTTATCTTGCTTCCCCTTTTCCTTCGTTTCCCTTGTAGTTTAAGATCACATTTCTTTCGGCCTTCCAACAGTATTCCTCTCTAATTGGCTTGTTTCTTGCTGTCCTTTCCATTTTCACAAGGGCCCACACAATCTAATGTTTCAGTGACAAAGGATGGAGACAAGACTACTAATCATGGGAACACTACTTAGAATTGATCCCAATGGTAGTTTAAGTGTGTGATGAGCTGGTTGCTGGGAGGGTTCTACTCACTTACTTCATAGGGTACTTATAAATAGGAACCACGTGACAATCTGGTATCTGTTTCTATCTGGGAAATATGTCAACCAATATTTTAAATATTAAGTCACCCTGTATACTACCAAAAAAACCTAGTTAAAAAACTGGACTGCACTCTCGCCAGCTGCTTTAACCAAAAAAAGTAACACAGTTTTTTCCTAACCACTTTTGTTGTTTCTTGTAATCAATTCTTATCTAGTAGGTACCTTAGAAAGATAAAAGAAAGCCAACCTATACCCTCTCTTTGTTATTTGCTGCTGTATGATCACCTTATAACAGGGATGGCTAATCTCAGTTCAGGTCTGATCTGACCCCTTAAGCAAATTTTTCTGGCCCTCCCAAAACTCTGATTTTTGCTGAAGCAGCAAAAAAGAAAGAAAATGAAACGGACACAGTGCTGGAGTGGGAAGAGCCCAGTTCCCCAAAGGGAATTCAAATCACTCTCCAGTGTCATGAGATTGATCATCTGAGCAGAGAGGGAATGATAATCACCCTCAGCGTGGATCAGCTGGGGTGGGGAGGCTGTCTGCCTGTGGATATTCTGTGTAAGAGTGTCTGCACGCATGCAACATGCAAGTACATTAATGAGTGTGTGGCAGCCACACCTACTACTGGAATGGGGCCCCTAAGTGAATCCCTCAAGTCAAAGAAAGCTACCCTGCCTTACAGAGAGAAGACTCAATTAACATACTACACAAATTTTCTATCAAGATACTAACCTTTCATGAAATCAGCAACATCTATCAAGAAAAATGGCTCTCTTGCTTTAAGCCTCTGTGAGAAACAGTTATATTTCAGTAATTGGGATGAGTTCATCAGTTTGAAGCACCTGCGTTATCTCACCCTCCTGTGTCTCAAGGTCAGCGACTGGGCCTGCTAATTGAGAATCGACTACAGCTGTGAGAATGAACATATGCCCAAGTTCAGGAAGTTTCTAAGCGTTTCATTGGCTCAGGGGACTCACCCCAGTTGCTATACCTTTTTACTATAAAGTTAGCCATTGCCTTCACCCCTTTGTCTCTTCTTTCCTGTTGCTTGTACCTGTTTCTTTGTAATGCCTGCAAGATCCTATTTTCTGTGCTAGGGAAGCTTTCGGGTCAGTTTTAGAAAGTTAGTTTCATGATTCCATTCATAATTGTCAATTGTATTTAAGATCTGCACTTTTTATGGGACTTTCACATGCTTTTCCTTTGAATAACTATCTCATTTAAGATGGGTGTCTGTCTTTTGGGATAAAGCCTTGGTACTGAATCCAGTTCCTAAGTGCCCTGCTTTTAACTTCTCCTTCTCTGATATCCTAGAAGGATTCAGTAAGGGTCTCTCGGCCCAGGCTGGTTGGACTTAAGGAGTGGTGGTAGTATACTATATTGCAGGGTTGGTTTTATACCCTGCTCAGTAGACAAGATCTGAAACATCAAGAACTGTGCCCAGGGATTTGAGGTAGAAGTTCTTGACATCAATGTAGCCCACAACTGTGACACACATTTCAGATTCAATGATACACTGGTACTATAAATCTAATGGGATCAAGAGAAAGTAAAAGAGCATAATTTCATACTCTGACATTGAAATGGAGATACTCTGTTAGCAAACAGGAGCCACAGCCCAAAAAAATTGGGGGGGGGGGGGAGAGAAGTTAAAAAACCTATTTCTGGAGATGATAGAATTTCTTGTGAATAAGAAAAAATAACAAACAAAGTGAACAAAAGGTGTAACAGTGTAGGATGGGAGCCTGGATGGATGATCTCATTGTATTAGTATTGGCCATGTCCAAACATTCATAGGGTGGATAGAAAATCCAACTACTGTCTATTGCTCCAGCAAAACGAAGCTATCTTCTGTTGTGCGATTCAGCAACTATTTGATCAATGAATTAAACATTGTGCCCAACTGGAAAGGTATCCTCAATTTACCTTTTAAAAAAATCAGTATTGATAATGTATTAAAAAGTTCAAAGAACATTTTAGAAGTACCATTTGCTCCAGGAAGACACAGGAGGGCTGAGAAATCAAATCATCTGAAGAACTTTTAATGTGCAAATGTATGCAGAGCAACTAAAAATTAAGATTTCTTTAAATAGGAGATAGCCCTACTTCTGATGTTGTGTACAGTACATGCATGTGGTGCACATACGGGCAGAAAAGAATAATTAAAGCATGAAATAATCTGAAGTGTTGCCAACTCGTTTTATGGATTGTGTTGTTGAAACCTTTGTCCCACTTCTTTAAAAAATTTACTGATGCAGTTATGTGGGCCTAATTCCAACAGAATCAAGGGGTGCATTTATTTCCAACATATATCAGAGTATTAAGTTACCTTTGGTGAAAGCTTCTCAGTCATCCTTTCTTAATATGTTAGCAACAGATTTATATTTAATAAATAGATCAAATAATTTTTTATAATAGCTCTTAAGTTCAAAAATCTTGCTACTACATGACACATTCACTGGAAACCTGTACAACCTGATCTTATTTATGTATGTTTAGTGGTAGGCAACTCCCACCAAGTTCAATGGAGTTTAATTCCAAGAGCACTTTGTTGCACCTCATCTTACTACATTAACCTAAGCCTATACATTTTCAAAGCTTTGCACGCTTTTGTTCAGCGCTGTGGTTGTTCTTCCTCATACAGACCAATCTGTCAGAAAACAGATGCCCTATATACCTGCTGTATATTGTACTTAAACTACTGTATTTAAACTAACCGTTGCCTCATTTGTATTTAAGTATGTTTTCTGAGTACAAGCCAAATCCTACTCTGTTCAATTATGGCATACCTTTTGAATTCAAAATGATTTATGGTACAATTGTACAGCTGTCTACTAAGAAGTCTTATTTAGTTCAGTGGGGGCTTACTCCCAAGTAAGTGTGTTTAGCATTCCTGCATGTGTTCTATAAAGTAAAATAGTTGTTAAACAGTGTCAAAACCACAGTTTTGAATGGGTGGGGAGAGAAGCTTCCTTCCTGCGGAACAACTTATAAAGGTGTCTAATGCATTGCTAACTTACATAATGTTGGGCTAACATGGTTCCCGATTCTTGCTCTAAACAAAGTTGTCTGCACTGTGTTTTTAAGTCCACATGAAAGCCATGCAAGCATTAAAAGCTAATCCTCTTCAAAGACAACGGAAATCTGATAAACCTGTTACGTACACACTTGCAGGGAAGTACTTTCCATCAGCCCTGTAGGTAAACAACTAATATTGCCAACTCATGCAAAACAGTCGCACTTAAAAAACAGCAACACGATATTGCAAAACCCTCGCCTGCATGCATGTATTTTGTGCTCTCGTTTCTGACATTCGCACACACTAAGAGAAAAGCATTCGTGTACCGTCGGCGACACAGTATTTAAAGACGATCGCAGTTTGCGAAGAAAAAAACTCGATTTCCCAGATTTTTTCTGCGAAAAAAAATTCTTTCGCTCGAATTTCAGCGATCGTTCGCCGCTTGCTAAGTTCTCCCCTTAGTAAACCGGTTACGACCAATGTGACGTTGAATTCCTCCCATTAAAAACATGACTCCCAGCAAAAAATACAAGGGGTGGGCGGAGGGATAGGGAAAAGAAAACAACCACAGCCACCACTGAGCATTATTTGCGCCAGCTGTTTACGACTTGCTTACTCCTACTTGCACCACTACACCCGACTCAATCGCTTGGGGGCTATTTCGCAGCCGCATACGACCGACCCCCTTTCTTGCCTACCAGAGTCACTTCGCAGGCTCGGAGAAAGAGGCCGCTACACCGCCCCTTCCCCTCAAAGCCAAGCCTCCCTCCTTAAACAGCTCAGTGCCAGAGTCCACCTTCCCTTCCCCCACGGCCTCGCATTAGCGCTGATTCACCCGCTCCCAGGTAGAGGTCCCCCTCCAGAAAAATCACACACATTTAACCGCCTGTTATACAACCAGGGCAGAAACCCAGGTGGGGGGGTGGAGAGAGACATCCCACCCCACCCTCCTCCTCGCGCCTCCTCAACGGCTTACACAACGGAAAGACGGAGCTGGGGGGCGCGCGCACACACACCCACACACCCCTCTCCCCCCCTTAATACTACTCCTGCTACTACTACTACTACTACTACACTGGCACACAACACCCCCATTTTGGGGCAACGGCGCGCCGCGTGGCGGAGGAGGTGGGGAAGGAGACACGATACCCGGAGACGAAGAGCCGCTGTCGCAGCAAAAGCAGGCGAGGCGGAGCGAGAGGCCGGGCGAGGCAGCAGCCCCAGGAGAGCAGCACAGTCCTGCTGAGGAGAGGAATAAGCCGGGGGAACCGCTGCCGCATTATATCCCGGCCCTGCCTGTTGTCGCCGGTGCTCAAGCCCGGCCTACCTCTCCGCCGCTCCTCCCTCAACAGAAGCCGCTTCTGGCCGGCGGAGGCGCCATTTTCTCTGCCCTCGTTTACCCGGCGGAGTGTCGCTGCTGCTGCCCTCGCCCACCTCCTCCTCCCTTCAAGCCCCGCGCCGAGGCCTGGAAGCACTTCTGCTGCTCCTACCTGGGGCCGAGGGGAACCAAGTCGCCTTCCTGCGGAGGGACCGCTAAGAGAGAGGCCGAGGGCGGCGGCGGCGGCGGCTGCAGAAGCGACGCGGCGGGAAAGCGCCTGTTGCTGCTGCTGCGGTATAAAAGGAGCAAAAGGCCGCCGAGCTGTCTGCTGCTCTTCTCGATCGCGGGGTGGAGGGATTCCCGTTATGGAGAATGATGACAGCCTGGTTTCTAAGACACTCGCCCTTTGCACGCTTTGCTGCGATGGTCGACCCCGTTTTAACTTCCGAGTTAAAAGCATGCACGTGCGAAAGGAACTGGCACATGGGTGGAACGCCCAGAGCGCGCGCTCTCATTCTGCTTCTCCGGGAGACCCTCCTAACTATACACTTACCTAGGGGGAGAACGAGCCTTGCCACCATCCACTGGATTTTGCTTCCGATTAAAATGGGTTAGGAGACATCACCGCTCGAGCCCGGCATCCTTCCGATTCCGGAAGAACAACGCGATCTGCGGCAGGGGCTGTTGCAGGCGGATGGCTTGCTCGGCACGAGCGTCGGCAGACAACAGCCTACTAGACGGTTGTACGTATGCGAAATCGGCTGCCCCAGTAATGAAGCAGTTGGAAGGCAGCATCACCTGTCTCCTGTGTGGGATCCTTTTTTAAACAGCCAGATCCGATGCAGATAGGCGCGCCTATGCCTTTTGATTTCGATGGGTTATGCGCTAAGCTGCGTAGAATCGGTGTAAGGACAAAAAGGGCTTCAGAAATACCGGTAATCTGTGAAATGGCAACGGTAAAATCAAGCTAAATGATCAAGGCTCACGTGTATTTGGCACAGAGGCAAAAACTAGCCTTGGGCACAAACTTAAGCATCCTAAGAGTTTCTGTTTATTATTAAAGGAAAGTTCTAGCCCTCTAGTCTGAAATATAGGTTCCTTCCTACATTCATATTTGCCTCTCCCTGAGATCAAAAGCAAAACAAATTATGCAAATAAGTACAAATACTTTGTTTTGAATTTACATATACATATAACTAGTTTTGTGTGGATGAGACCAAATGTCCATCTAGGAGTCTAGTGTTACATTTCCAGCTATGACTAGCAAGCTACTTGTTGAAAACTTAAAAGCGTAGCATGAAGACAACAGCCTCTTCCTGTTCTTTGTCTCCAGCACCTGGTCATAAAATTCATCCTTTTTTCACAGAATTTTATTGATCTTGGTGTAAAATTCTGGTGTTAGTGGGTTGTTGTTTTTCCCTTTTAAAGCACAAATTATATGCAGGCTGGTATTTAGTCAAACTTCATAAGAGGAACCTGCTGGATCAGGCCAATACCCCTTCCTAGTCCATCATCCTGGAGTATAATGGGGTAGATCGTAAAGAACTCAGGGTATTTCTGCAAGGCAGGAATCTTTGGAAGAATTATACAGGCCTATAAAATCAGTACAAAAGTTCCCATTAACTTTAATTGCAGCTTTCAAGCTTGTTCTGTTTGGCTGATGATGTACAGTTTAAAAAAACACTGTTAATTTCTTCTTCCAAAGTTGCACAGACGACATTTGACATATTTTAATTAGAGTAACATAATTCATACTTCCAGGAATACTAAACACATGTGGAATCAGAGAGTTGTAGAAGGAAGGACCCCAAGGGTCATCTAGTCCAACCCCCTGAAATTCAGGAATCTCAACTAAAGCATTCATGACAGATGGCCATCCAGCCTCTGCTTAAAAACCTCCAAGGAAGGAGAGTCCACAACTGCCTGAGGGAGTCTGCACACATTCCACCTCTGCACACATTCTAGTTTGCCAATATCCTCCTCAAATTGTGGCACCCAGAACTGGACAGAGCATTGGTGCCAAGGTCTGTGTGACATGGGGAGGGGGTGCTTGTTGTGTGCGCATGATGTCACATGTTTGACATATGTGTGACATCACACATATCAGGAGGAGGCCGCAAGGCCCAGGGAGGTCTGCTGCCACCACAGTTAAGCCTGATAAGGCCTTCCGCCACCACAGGGAAGCAGCTCATTGTCTGACATGCATTCTGGGTCTTATTAACCCTATAAACAATAATGGCTTCCAGTGGGTTTTTAATGATGGGCAACTAGGCCAGTCTGGCCTCCTGAAGCAACAGCTGTGATGGAAAAGTTTGTTTTGCTTGGCAGGTTGGGTCAACAAGTGTTTTCTGTTTCTTTTTCCCTGCCAGCAAATGGTTAGCAAACAGCAGCTTATGATTGACTGGGGGTTCCAGGAGGGGGAGTTGAAAAGGAGAGGATTTGGAGAGACAGTTTTTAGTTTGAGATAGAGTAGGTTGGGAGAATAGGTAGGGAGACGGGGAGTGAGAGGAGAGAGTTTGTTCTGGGTAAAAACACCCACTCTAAGGAATATATCACAAGCTAGAGAAAGGAGTCTCTGAGCTTACTGTGAAGGACAGTGTGTGGTGTCCTGTAAGAGTAATTAGGCCAGGAATTAACTGGGAGGCTGAGCCAGAAGAAGTAGAAGCTGTGAGAATACAGTCTACTTAGGTCTCATTCCAGTCAGGAGGGGAGAGATTCTTCTACGAAAAAAGACTCCCAAACCATTTAAGAGGGGTGTGGAGATCCCTTGAGTCTGTTACTTGGAGTACCTCAGGAGTAGGGTTGTCTAAGGGGTGTGTAACTGACAGGAAGTACCACCTTGTTTTAAGAACCAAAATATTAAGCAGCAACAGCTGTGCAACAACAGAGAGCACTGAAGTGAAATATTACAATCTGAAGTATCCTGTGTTTTACCCACTTGTGTCATAAACTTCCTTTTTTAAATAAAATCTTTATTCTTTATTTGACCAAATCCTGCTTGAGACTCCAGATTATTAAGTTTTCCCTCACACAAGTCCCCCACAAGATAATCTGGGGTATTTTGTGGGAATTCATGGAACTGGTGTTCTGTGAGGTGGGTGCACTATATTTAAGTGAGGGTGGGCCCAACGGCATCAGGGGGGGAAAGGGCTGTTGTGCCGTCGCATATTAATTGGTGGCAGCGCCGTGATACGAAGTTAAAACCCACACAAAAATGTACCCAGAGATACAGAACAACCAGTTTAATAAAGTATTGAGGATATTTTATTAAAAGAAGAAAAATTTTCTGTCAGAAAATGACCAGCAAGCGCCAAGCAAAAGAGACTCGGGATGACCCAGTGCAGGGAGCTGCTGCATTTGAGGAGAATCCTAATACTGAATTAGAAATGACGAGGCTAAGATTAGAATTGGCTAAAGTTGAAGCAGAGAAAGAAAAACAAATTGAAGCAGAAAGAGAAAAGGCCAGAATCACAGCTGACATTCAGGTAGCACAGATACAGGCTGAGAGAGATATGGCAGAGAGAGAAGATTAGCTCATGAGGAAAAAAAGAAAGATGCCAGATTAGCCCAAGAATACAGAGAAAGGGAGGCCAAGATGGCCCATGAAAAAGTGATGTTTCTTTTAAAAATGGAGGAAATTAAGCTGAGAGCAGAACTGCCACAACCATTGTTGCGGGGTGAAGATTTTACCTCAACTAATATAAAGAGGGTCTTTCTGTGACTGGGCAGCCATGTCGACCGTGGTGCCCCGCGACTCCCCGGGACTCCAGGCCCCCGCGGCAGCCGGGCAGAAGCCTCCGCCCTCCCTCAAGCCCTGCTGCGCCTGCCCGGAGACCAAGCGGGCGCGCGACGCCTGCATCATCGAAAAAGGAGAAGAACACTGTGGTGCTCTTATTGAGGCCCACAAGGAGTGCATGAGAGCCTTGGGTTTTAAGATATGAACAAGATGAAGCACACATCTGAATGTTTGGAAGGTGAGTTGCTGTTGAAATATTAGTTTGGGGACTTTACTCTTCATGGCTGCTTGAACACATGTGTTTATTTATCAGAAGATGAATTTATTGGGGGAAAATACGATTGATTCTAAAATCAGAGGAGTGTGTTGAGTTACAATCTTCTTCCACGGCTGGATCCTGCCTAAGTGATAAAATGAGAGATTCTCCTGAATAAACATTTTAACATTCTCATTTGAGCACAACAAAACTGGCTCCTGTATGATGCAGTTGTATCTGGGAAACTATGTCACCACCCTCCCATGTATTCACTGGAATTAAATATGCTAAATCAATAAAAACAAAGTTGGCTGAAATTTTAAAAAAACAACAACAATAAAGAGATTTCCAAAGTATGTCAAAGGTGATGGTGTACAGGCATTCCTGTTTAGTTTTGAACAGACCTGTAAAGATTTAAATATTACTGAGGAAAACTGGATGCTGTACATACGCCCACAGATATTTGGAATTTTGAGTGAAATATTAATTTGTGATTTTTGAGAGAAGATGAAACCTCACATTTAAAGAAAGAGTGAAGGTGCTTGGTGTTCTGTGAGGTGGGTGCACATATATATTTAAGTGAGGGCGGGCCCAACGGCACCAGGGGGGAAAGTGCCGTTGTGCCGTCACAACAGCTGAACCTCATAACTGAGGACAGTTGCACGAAAACTGTTTCATATGTTAATGGAAGTACTTATGTTCTGCCCTTTCAATAATACCCTCCACCAGTTGCTGAAAAACCAACATTCTTGCAAAGTCCTGCTGGCTTTGAGGTTGGGGTGCTTGCTTGTTCTTTTGACATCCACTTGCCAGTAGGAACAAGGGAACTATGGGGCTTGTCACAGAAAGAGCTACAATCTATGGAGTACAAATCTTAGAACTTCCAGTGCTCTCAATCTCAGTCTCCCTTCTTTTAACAGGAGTGGCAGAATGTGGAGTAGGTTCTGGTGGTAAACCTCTGAGGAAACTGAAGAAATTTGACAAGGAGCACTCAGTTGTTTTAGCAGCAATATAAAGACTCACCATCCACCACATGCTACTGAAATGAAGTTGAGAGATAGGGAGTGTAACCAGAATGGGTAACCAGAAGTAGCTTTTTGAGTCAGCTCATTTAAGTTATGGTATTCAAAATGAATTACTGGGCTCCAAATTCTTTTATTCTAAATGTGCCTCTTTTGCACGTAACTCCACCTGAGTCTATCTTGAGGTTGTAATGAAAACAAAATAGATCAGGCGTCAGCATACTTTTTCAGCAGGGGTCTGGTTCACTGTCCCTCAGACCTTGGGGGACGGATGGACTATATTTTGAAGGGGGGGGGATGAACGAATTCCTATGCCCCAGAAATAACCCAGAGATGCATTTTAAATAAAAGGACACATTCTTCTCATGTAAAAACACACTGATTCCATTTAGAAGACGATTGGGCTGGATCCGGCCCCTGGGCCTTAGTTTGTCTACCCATGAAATAGATCTTGCAAGCCTGCAGGCTTCCTATACCTGTTCTAGAGAGCCTACACCAACAGCCTAATGTTCAACGTGTTCCCTGTTGTTGTACCAGACCTGCTCAGTGATTCCAACAAGTTTCGCAACATATTACAGGACTGGGACACCCCGAAAGAATACAACTTTTGTAAACATCCTCATCCGAGGCTAGTTCCTGCTTTGCTTGTTTAGAATCTGTAAACATTTCCCTCTTTCCTTGACCTCCCTAGTCCTTCAGCCGAAGGGGTGGGGGAACCTTTCCTGGCTAGTGATCCAGATTCTTATCTTTCCACCTCTGCTGAACCAAGTTTTACAGGTGGGTGGGACTGTCCTATCAGTCACCTGATGTCACTATGATGTGAGGTGATACGGGGTTTTGAAGCCCCACTTGTTGACCCTCCAGGACCAGGGTGAGTTGCCACCACTCATCAGCTGTAGGCAGGGGAGAAACTATGCTTTATTTAATCTGGGTCAAAAACACACTCCCATGCACATTTGCGTACACACACACAGGCTGGGAGCCCCAATGGTAATCCTCTCTAGAAGCTTCACCTGGGGCAAAAAACCTGGCTACCCCTCCTGCCACTGCCACTATGGCTCTGCTATAAGAACTCACTTTAAGCTCCTAGTCGAATGCCTTGGCCTCAACACCTAGTTGAAAAAAGGCTTCATACTCAGTCAAGGTGAAAAGTAATTAGTAAGAATGTGATTATTTCATGCCAATTATATACACACCCTCCTTTCATTAAGCCTTATACGTAATGATATATATGAGGAAATGCCTAATTGCAATCATGTCAATTACAGCACGGCGCACAAGCTACTTGTGCTGTAGTCTGCTGTTCTTTGACCAATGGATGAATTCCTCTTAAACTGAAGTGCTACTTATTAATTTAATTCATCTCTCAACCTTTTCTTTGAGAAGCTCATGGTGGTGTACATGGTTCTCCCCCTTTCTCATTTAATACCCTCAACAACCCTGTGAGGGAGGCTAGGGTGAGAGGCAGTGATTGGCCCAAGGTTACCCAGTGAGTTTCATGGCCGAGTGGGGAACAGAACCCTGGCTCCAGGTCCTAGCCTGATATGCTAGCCAGAGGTTTGGAAGGGATACCAAATTTGGGGGTTCATAGTTCATAACCCTCTACCCACTCATTTGAGAGAAAGCCTCACTAAAACGCTGTGAAGTCACCTGTGCAGAGATAGGCAATAATTTTAAACCACACAATCTTACCTGTCTCCAGTTGTAGCTCAAGTAGGTGGAACTGTCTGTGACCTGGCAGATCCTTGCTGCGATATCTTTGTTCCTGCCTGCTGCTGTCAGTCATCCACCCATGTCCAAACAAATCTAAGGCGTTTATATAAACCCAAGAAACCGAAGTAGGAAAATGAATCTGCATTAACAGGCTGTTAAATATATTCAGAAGCCAGGGCAATAGCTAATTTAAATTTGACCCCGCAATAAAGTCTTGGAATGCCTCGTCTTCTGTGCTCTGCATCTTGAAGATATTCAAGCAGGAACATGAGAATCCAAATAAGTTCTGATGAGAGCTACAGTATACACAAGACAGTGACGAAGCTCCATTCACAGCTGATATAATATTTTTGTTCCAGATTCTTGGGAGGGAGGGAGGGTGCCCTGCCAAAGGCAAGGGGGCTCTTTCTCTGGGATTCAGAAGCAAGACAAGGCACAATTGGGGAAGAAAGCCTTAAGATTTATTAAAAAGCAGGCAGATTATACATAAGAGTATACTACACCAAGTAAGCAACACCTCCGTTCAGTTGCTGGGAGCTCCACAGGGACAGCAACAGAGAGGACCCTATTGGTAGTCACCAAATGACACAGCATGGCAGGTCTGCACTGATGCTCTCCCTGTGTCTGAATCACAGGGGCCTTCCTAAATTGGGCTGCATGATTGGTGCGGCAGCTGCCAATAATAAGCCTAATGCTGCTTCAAGGGATCCTCCCCCAATCACAGCTGTTCTCTCTTACAGGTATTTAGGCTGTGATCCTCCTAAGATGGTATAGCTGTACGCTATCTCTTCTAAATGTTTAAGCTGGGAAGCAGACAAGTAACACATTTTAGCAAAATACTGTAAGGCTGTTTCTAGCCAAAATAAGGATAACTGCTGCCTAGGAGAGTGAAGGTCACTGGCATGAAGGAGCAATTGTGACAGGCCACTACACCACATCGATGTACAATATATCTTCTGGTGCATTTCCCATACAGGGTGTAGCTACTTCTTTTACTTCTTGACACGCCCCCCCCCCCATCTAGGCTTCTCTTCATGCCCACAGACAGCATGGTAAAATCATGGTCTTAACACCATCTGCTCTGGAAAAGCAAAAAAGTACAAGATGCAAGGAACAAGCCCTCATGATTTTACATGCAGGTATCACAGTTCCACCGTACAACAGGCCACATCCATGCCACATAAATCCACAGTGGTGCTGCAAAGTTCTGGATCCATCGGTTTCACAGCACAGTCACGGAGTGTAAACTGAGACTAAATCACAAATTTCTGTTGAACTCTAAAAGCCTTTAAAATTTTTGTTTAGTAAGGTTTAGATAGCACTAAGAACAACTAGGTTGTTTAGGTAAAATAGTACAAAATATTAATTAAAATAGTGACAAAACAGCCTTTAAAATTTCATAATACAATTTTCAAAATTTAAATAAAAGCAAGTTTTAAAAAACAAATATGCATGATAAAATTACATGTCTGTGTAGTCTTTCATAAACAGAAAAGCTTATAGCAGGCATGGAAAACAATATAATTATGGTGCTTGCCTAGTAATTATATTATTGCCTACTATTGCCTAACTTGGCTCATAATTTTGTTATGTTTTGATTGGTCCTAGTAAACTGTCATTAGGTTGTTAAAAATTCTTTGTGTCACTCCCAAGGATACTTAAGAAATGCCTTTTTATAGGCCCCAAAGGTGGTCCTTTCACACCACAGAGGACAAATGGTAGCTTCCAGCAAATGAATCGCCCTAGGTGAGTCTCCTCCCTCTGCAGTTTTCCTTTCCTCACAGCAAGGAGGCAGGGAATGGGAACAGTTCACCTGGTGACTGACTGGACACGTCATATGTAAATAAGTACGCTCTCTCTCCCTAGTTTCCACCATAAGGAATCCTGCATAGCAACCGTGTAACACCGGACTCAGGTTTCACAGCTTCAGAGCTAGGTATGTGATAGGCAAGCCGAAAAGGGCAGTGGAAACTACAACTCCCAGCATGCCCTGTTGTCATTAAACTGACGGTGCTTTTACAAATCCCTAAGCATAGAGATAAACGCTCAGAGCAACAGCCAGTAGTTTCCCTATTTGGAAATTTCTATTTTACTCCGTGAGATGACTAAAACAGAAGAGTGTCTGTCTGCAGAAGTAATGCTGCACAGCTTCCGCACAGGACCACCGAATAACCGAGCGTTTGCTTGGGATCAAGTGTTCACACGTGCCAGTCCTGGTGTTATACACGAATATTTCCAGCAGAGATGCGTCTCCCGATTCTTTTTTCCTCTGAAATGTGAGAAATGATCTTCTTACCGCGGCTCAGGTCCAGAGGCTGAAATGCGCTTCCCATACATACATTTTTTTTTCATACAACGTAAAGACCTGTGCACAAACCCCTGCCATTGCTCTAAACACTTTGCCACCAAATCTCAGCCTGACATTTTATTTTGTTTTAAATCTTGCCACAGGCTTTTGCCGGGCGTGGGAGGAAGAGATATCTGTATTAGACTAATGACTAATGAGGTTCGCGTCAGAAGTAGCCCAGAAGTCCTTTCTACAAAACGGGAACGGACTGCTCTTACATTAGTGGTTTATGTTTCATTTTGATCCTTGCGTCGCCGGATCACGCAGTCAAAAACGTAAGTCCGCTTCCTGGGAGGAAATAATAAACGAAAAGAGGGAGAAAAAGTCCCGTGTTGCCCTGCGCGCCTCCTCCCTTCGCGCTGATTGGCCGAGGCGCGAAGGAGCGAGTCGTTCAAAGTAGGCGAGTGTGGAGGCGCTTTGGGCGCGCGTCTCGTTTGAGGCGGTTCTTCTTGACATTCGCCGGTCCGAAGCGCTTCTTTTTCCTCCGGGAGCCGGCGGCTCTTTTTCTCCTCTCCATCTCTCGCGGGCGTTTCGGCCAGCCGGTGGAGCTCGCAAGTGCGGGGACCCCCCTCCCGCAGCCGTTAAAGACGAAACGGGACTCGAGCGGCCGCCTCCCTTCCCTTCCTCCGCTCCGCCCGCGTCGGGGTCTTGCCTGCAGCGGCATGAACATGAGTTCAGCGGGTGGTGGGGGCAAGAAGGACGAGAAGGGCAAAAACATCCAAGTGGTGGTCAGATGCAGGTGAGCGCGGCGGGCGGGCGGGTCCTGCAAAATAAAAACGAAAATAAATATGGGGGATTAGCTGCGGAAGCCAAATTAGGCGCCTTTCTCGATCTTGTGCATGTAAGCCTCGCTGACTTCTCACTAGGCTTGATCCCCCCGCGATGGTGGTGTTGTGGATGCTTCGGGTATCGAAGAGATCCTTTTTCTAGGCGTTGTCGGCGATGGTGAAATTCAAAGAGGTTGGGTGCTAAAGACTGCGGTCCTGGGCGCACTGGCTTGGCAGCGCAGTGGGACATCTGAATATGCATACAGGGTTCTGCTGTTGTCGAAGAAACCTCCCCCCCCCCCAGTGTTTTGTAGGTTTGGGCAGAAGGTTGGTGGTGGTCCTCGGGTTGGTAGCAGGTCATCTTCCCCGTGGTTGGTCCAGGTCCATCTCCTGTTGATTGCTGGCATTTTTACGGAGAATGTTCAGCCTCGGTCTGATCCAGCAGTCGGCTTACTTACATACAGTATCTTTAAACAAGAGGGTGTATATTCAGGATCAGTTATACTTTAGCTTAGCAATTACTGGATACTTTGTGGGGAGAAAGCAAGATCCTTGATCTTGCAGACAGAACCTACACCTTTGCAGTTTTTATGCATTAAGTTGCGTTGGGATTTGTAGATCCTGTTTCTTCCTTGATGCATATTGATCATAATGTTGGAATAAGTTCCCAGCTCTTTTTGCATTGTAAATTTCATATGTCAAACCTAAGGAAGGCTGATGTGTGGCCAACACATGCTCCTCCGGATGTTATTAGATTCCAGCTCCTATCAGACCCAGCTAGCATAGCAGCCAAGGGGTCTTCAGCCCCCCAATAAAATATTTGATGGGCCAGCCCCCCCCAAGACATTGCCATTCAAATGCTGTATGCACCGTGACATGTGATTGCTTATGCCGGGTGCAGCTTACCTGTTCCCTCCCCCAATATTTTATTAAAGTTGGCACCACTGCCAGCTAGCAGGGTCAGTGGACAAGAATAATGGGAGCTGAAATTAAACAGCCTGCTGTAGACAGTGGTGATGACTGTCTTGCATTATCTGCTTAAAAAAGGGGGGGAAAGCATTGTGCCTCTTTTGTTATGCCATCTTTTATTCCCTCTTTCCTCTTCCCAAGAGGTTTAAGTAGTGCATGTCAATAGAAAAGCTATCAGTTCATTAAGAACAAAGTGAAAGAGATGAGATGAGTCATTTTTTTCTAGCTTGGCATAGAAAATAAGATTCTTTATTTAAGGTGGAGACAATCTTCAGCAATTCAGTTTCCACTATCTGATTGCTTGGGACAATTTAATTTCAAGTATAGTGTAAATATGTATAACATTTAAATCAAATTGTATGCTTGATATTTTCTTAGTCATATATTTCAGTCATAATACTTCTGTTGGGGGGCAGGATGAGATACTGATTCATCACCTAAATGCATAGCATACTTTTTAGTTAGCCTCTCTAAATATAGCCCCAGTAAATCTCAATGGATTTAGGGCATTGGAAAACTTTCCACAATTCCAGATTTTCCAAGAATCCCACATCACTGTAGGTGATTAAGTCCAACATTTTCCCATTTTTATTCTGTACAATTGACATTTCTTAAACTTGTCAAAGCTAGTTCAGCAAAACCAAATTTCAGCATAAGACCTGCATATATTGTGTTCATAATTCAGTGTTCAAGGTGTTAGTACTGAAGGCTGCTCCCTACAAGGCCCTTTCTACCTGGCCTAGGTGGAAAGGGCCCCTGCTCACCTTGCCCTATTTTAGGAACTCCTGGGAGACTGGAGGGTCTCTGCCCTCGTGTGAGTGCTGAAGAGCCCAGGCTCACAGGAACAAACTCTGGGGTTGGGGCAAATGTCAAAAATGCTTTCAAATGTTTTAAATAGTTTTTAATTTGTAGTGTTTTAAATTTTGGTTTTATGGTCTACTTTTTGCTCTGTTGGGGGTGGGATTAATGTTTTGTTGGGCCTGGGAATTAGTTTAATTTCTAGTATAACTGAATTGTTTTTTTGTTTTATTTTTTAATTAGTTTCTATTTTATATAGTTTGTATTCTGTTCTTAAGCGGGGAGGGTCAGGGTTACATAACACCGGTCCTGAAAGACCTACTGGTACATTGGCTCCCAGTACATTTCTGAGCACAATTCAGAGTGTTGGTGCTGACCTTTAAAGCCCTAAACGGCCTCTGTCCAGTATACCTGAAGGATCATCTCCACCCCCATTCAGCCCGGATACTGAGGTCTAGCTCCGAGGGCCTTCTCAATAGTGGCACCCTCCCTGTGGGATGCCCTCCCATCAGATGTCAAGGAGATAAAGAACAACACAACTTTTAGAAGACCTCTGAAAGTAGCATATCCACTGTTTACAATCTTGTCAGCCTTGTGTTTGCTTGCAGCTAGATTAGTGCATATGCAATTTGAGAACAACACTTTTACCGTTTTTTAAAGGCCCTTCAATGCAGCTGAGCGCAAATCTAACTCCTATTCTGTGGTGGAGTGTGAAAATGGAAGGAAAGAAATTTCAGTTCGCACTGGAGGGGTGATGGATAAAACAACAAAGAAAACGTACACATTTGATCTGGTAAGTATCACTATTTGGTTGGCTTCCTAGCATGTCTTAGCTATCTTATCAGTTTTGAGAATTTAGGGCAGGAATCATAGATCAGAATAGAGCATATTCTTGGTATGCAGAAGAGTCCAGGTTTGATCCCTGACATTGGGATAAGGTACAACTGGTTAGACAGTCCTTTTGCCTTAAGACCCTAAGGATTCATTTCCAATCTGAATAGATACTAGACAAGATAATACTAGGACCAGATGGACATATCTGATTTGAACATAATGTAACAATTTGATTTAGTGTTGCCTACCTTGGCCCTTGTGTGTTTCCCATCTGTTCTACTCTACTAGTACAGCTGTGAAAAGGAGATCAGAAGCTTTTGGTCCATTTTTAAACTATGAAACTGAAGTTAGTCTTGACGGTGCTATAGGGAACCAAGCCAGAACCATAAACTTTAGTTTGAAGTTGGCTGCTTCAACTATAGTTAAGACTCATGACTTATTTGGGTTCAGACATGATCATAAACCACACTTAGTGAAAAATGGAGGCAACAGTTTTCAGCACAGTTGCACCAGAGGAAGAAAATGCGAGAAGCATATGAGGCTGGTGCTCATTCACAGAACACAGCCCTAAGTGAGCGTCATGTCTGAATGAGCATACTTCTTGAGCTAGTATGCAGCACTTTCTATTGTGGAATAATATAAATTGAACTAGCTTTACAAATAATTTGCAAATACTGTATGGATAGGAAGTGGTTTGTTTGTTTTTTAAAGTCTTTTACGCTGGGAAGAATTAAGAGGTAGGTGGGAGTGGCAAGTCTTTTGTCATGTAACAGGTAACCTAAACCTACCTGATCAGCCCTATTTAATTTGCCTATAGAACATGAAATGTCCATAGAAAATGGGTATTTATTTCAAATACTTGGGGGAGAGGATGGCTTCCTAGCACAGCCTTGTAAACAAGCCCAAAAAGTGCTTAGCCTACCTGGAGTACAGGAAGAGGGATGACTCACTCCATCTCCCCTCTACCAGCATACTTACTGAATGTGGAACAGAAGTATTTCCTACCACTCCCTTCCCCCATGCCTACCGTAGAAAGCAAGAGGACAGATGAGTGATCTGTTCCCCCTTCTCCATCTTGCTCACATGTCTGCATGGAATTACAGGTAGACAGTGCCTACAATTTAAAGGTTAAATACAAAACCTCAGCTTTATTTTAGAAAAGTCCTAGATTCTCCAAAACACCCATTTCCTTGAAAACCTTTGATTTGGCCAACATCTTTCCTTAAACAATGGGTGCTTACCATTTAAACTCATTTAAAACAATCTTTAATAAGGAAAAGTTCCTTTTATTACTTTTCTTTCACATCTTTCCTTCAGGTAACTCAAGGTTGCGACTGGCCCAATGTCACCCAGTGGGTTTTATGGCTGAGGGGATTTTAATCCTGGTCTCCCAGGTGCTAGTTCAACATTACTACACCACCACACTGACTGTGCTACACCACAAAAATTTCCCTTGATTGGAAAACAATTGGAACTTCTACCACTCTTTTTGGGGGGAAGCAGGTGCAAATGGCATGAGATGACAGGCTGGGAGATGAGAATCTATCTAAATCAGAATATAATTCTGACACTGATGAAATTATGTGGCAAGTTGGAGAGTTCCTGTTTCATAACTGAAAAACATGTAGCAATGATGCCTTGTATGAACTCTACAGGTTTTTGGAGCTCAGGCTAAACAAATTGATGTGTACCGGAGTGTTGTGTGCCCGATTTTGAATGAAGTTCTTTTGGGTTACAACTGTACAGTGTTTGCGTGAGTATCATATTTATTTTTCTTCTAACTCCATCTATATCTGTGTTCCTGAAGTTAACATTCCAAATTCCTTTGTACAGCTATGGTCAAACAGGAACAGGAAAGACCTTCACTATGGAAGGGGAGAGATCACCTAATGAAGAATACACATGGGAAGAGGTAAAATATGAGGAATTAACAAAACAGCAGAATCCTATGCATGTTTATTTGGAAGGAAGTCTTCCTGGAAAATACACGCACACACCCTCTCCGAGTGGTGCAAGATTCTAGGCACTTATGTTTCCTTTTGGAATGAGGCATAGTGGAGACTGCTGATATATGGTTTATTTACACATACAGGAACCTGAGGAGGTTCCTAGCATTACCACCCAAATAAAGTCTGTCTTCTCTCATAGCCACAGTTTTGGATTCCAACAAAAATTAAACATTGCTCTGACTCTCTTGCTTTAGGTCTAGGTCACATCACTGCAATTCAACTCTAAACTCAGGCCTTTTGTCTTTCTAATTAACCAGGGAAGGAGGCACACACATTTGCCCTCTGACACAGCCACTCCCTTTGTTCCCTAAACAGCTCATACTTAGCAGGCCATTACCAGGCTGGCCTGGCTATTCCAGCAATTGAATTGTGATGGATCCAGGAATTGGATGTGGGGCTCAGGAATATAGCCTAACCACCTCAAACTCATAACATTATTTTCAGTGTCTCCAGCATAAAACCATATATAATGGATTGTATTAGACACACTTGCATTTTAAAGGTGTTTGCTCATGCTAGCATTCTAGTGTCAGATTCCTAAACTCCAAAAAGAAAACCAGTTAATGCTAGTATGCTATGTTTCTTTACTTTTAATTATAGGATCCATTAGCTGGTATAATTCCCCGTACACTGCATCAAATATTTGAAAAGCTTGCTGAAAGTGGTACAGAATTTTCTGTGAAAGTATCTCTGTTGGAAATCTACAATGAGGAGCTCTTTGATCTATTGAACCCCTCTCCAGATGTTGGGGAAAAGCTGCAAATGTTTGATGACCCACGTAACAAGGTAAAAAAAACAACAACAACCCTGATTTGGCTTCTCCTGAAGGCTGTGGGATGTTAAATTACTTGCTAACCTAGCATTTTGTTGTGACAGAGAGGTGTCATAATCAAGGGTTTGGAAGAGATAACGGTACATAACAAGGATGAAGTTTATCAAATTTTAGAAAGGGGAGCAGCAAAAAGAACCACTGCAGCTACTTTAATGAACCAGTATTCCAGGTAAGAAACATGTCTCCATGAGAAGCATTTTGTTCGTTCATGGTATAGGTAAAGAAAAAAAGAAAAACGCCTAGTTAGCTCAGTTGGTTAAGCATGGTTCTGATAATGCCAGGTTTGATCTTGGTATGGGACAGCAGGTCCCTTCCAACTCTACAATTCTATGATTCTAATATGTAAGAATTATATCCAATAGTTCACTTAGGCAAGCCCCCCACCCCCGATGTTTTGGATTATGAGGTCCTTATCTGCTGCAGGCTTCATTAAACACATTGCTCCAGTTACCTCCACCTTTGGAGATTATTAATTTATAAGGTTTACCATAAGCACCCAGGGCAGGTTACAACAATATAACATAATATTATTTATTTTATTCATTTTTATTTCATAAGTTTATGTACTCCCTTGTCATCCAAGGAAAAAATACTTGATTTTGAATTCTGTGGAATGCAAATTATAACACAATAAAATTCCACATAAGCAATAAAAGAAGCAATAAAAATACAGTTAAAAATCATAGGGCATTTAGCACAGTGCATTGCAGTTGCTACAGCAGGCGGAACAATCAAGTACTCCACTACTTAGTGTTACATCTGTCTTATTTGGTTGAGTTTTTGTAGAAAATATTATAGGAAGTTGCGTTGTGTAGAATCAGACCACTGGTCCATCTTGCTCAGTGCAAGGAAGCAGTTCTGTGGGGTTTTTAGATAGGCTGTACCGAGGATTGAACCTGAGAGTGTTTGCATTAAGAATGTACTATACTATTGAGCTTACAGTCCTTCATTTTCACAGCAGTTTAGTTGCCCTGTTTCTTTGTATTTTCTCACAAGGAAGCATAAGGACTTCTGAACTCAATTCTTTGAAAATTGCATTTGAATGAGGCGATAACACAAGCTCATGTCACCCTTACAAATCCAGTGTGGATCAGTGGGAGTCTGCTACTAGCCATCCAGGTTTTGGCTAGTGGGGAAAGAAGGCTCAGTCTGCCTTTCAATGCAGTTTTTCCCATGACCCATAAGCCTTCTCCCTTTCCAGGTTCTATGCCCCCAGAAGAGTCCCATCTAACAGTTTGAATTGGGCCTTGAACTTTCTGCCCACTTATATGGAAGAATGCATTGGAGGCAGGAAACCAGCAGGTGGCGCCAGAGCCACCAACACATAATACTTCCTGCAGCCCTACTTGCAATAAGAAACAAAAGGCTTTATTAATGAAGCTTTGTGAAAGAGAAGGTGCTGTACTGTAGCTGAGAGATTTGCAGAGCTTGGAAAATGCAGTGGTAGAACATTTCTGTCCTGCTGTTTGTGGCAGCACATATTCTGAATTGAAGAAAATCTGTAAAATGAGCCAATTTAGCTTCTACTTTGAGTTGACTTGATGTAAGTGAATGCTGGGTCTGTGTGTGTGTGTGTGTGTGTGTGTTTTAAATGTCCACTGGAATATTTATCTGAAATGCTTCACTCTATTTGCAGTCGCTCCCATTCGGTGTTCTCTGTCACGCTACACATGAAAGAAACGACAACAGATGGTGAAGAGCTTGTTAAAATTGGGAAGCTAAACTTGGTAGGTGCCCATTCTTGGGATTAACCCAAGAAGAGATTATATATAGGAGCAACAAAAAATGAGGGGTGGGGGACACAGTGCTGCTTTGAAAACTGAAAACTCTTACTGAATGTTTTAACAAAGTGATCTGCTTAAAATGCGTGTCTTAAGAGACCATAGGTGCTAGGGCAATGCACCAGTCTTGCCCAAGGCCTGAATCCAGAGCCAAATGGAGCTTATTAAGAGGGCCTCCGATAAGTTCGGCACAAAAACCATTGATGGCTGCGAGTTTGGTTGGATGGGCCCTGAATGATCTGTGGGTGTCAAGGAATGGGCAGGACATCAGGCAGAAAGGAGAGGCAAGCAAGGTGGAAAAACCATGGGGAAAGAGCCAAGACTTCTCTGGTCAGTGGCTGCATCTTCATAGGAGAAGGTAGACTGAATGTCGCAGCTCCCCTTCTGCCTGACACCCCTCAGGATCCATGTATCAATTTTGTGGCATGTGGATGCTGCACAGAATTGGATGTGTTAGCTGGTAAGCAGAAGGTGTTCTCTTGTGTGTTGCCATTGCCTCCCCTGGCTCTAGTTTGAGACCTATTTTAAATTTGTGTTAAAATTGGGTCTTAAAACCATTAGTCCTGCCCCTGGAATTGTTTTGGGGGCAGATCCAGGGTGGGTGACCCCCAGGGCAGCAGAAGGCAGATCAGGGATCTGCATACACTCCTAGCAGATAGGCATGTAGCACAGGAGAGTTTGGCTCATTGCAAAAAGTAGGTCACACTTTACCTACTTGTGTTGGCTTATTAGACAATTTGAAAGTAAGGTCTCACTTATGACTGTCACAGCTTATTAACCTAGCCACGGTATTGCTTCCAGGTTGATTTGGCAGGAAGTGAGAATATTGGTCGTTCTGGAGCAGTTGACAAAAGAGCTCGTGAAGCCGGAACTATCAACCAGTCCCTATTGACTCTGGGAAGAGTCATTACCGCACTTGTTGAAAGAACCCCTCACGTTCCGTACAGAGAATCTAAGCTCACTAGAATCCTGCAGGACTCCCTTGGAGGGCGCACAAAAACTTCCATAATTGCTACCGTCTCTCCAGCATCGAGCAATCTGGAGGTAAGGTGCTTGCCTTCAAACTCTGTTAGTGGCTGAAAAGAACCTTGTTTCAAGATAACTTGAGTAATTGCGTGGCCTTCCAAGACTTCATCACTGGACTCCTAACCTATTCTAGGGAGACTCTGTGTATGCTGCAGGGTACGGGTTAGGGCATGCTAATCTAAGCCTTCCTACAGCATTGTAAAACTGGCTCAGAACATACAGATTGCTGTGGATGATAGGAGATAGGTTGCTGGTAAAGCTACAATGTTTGGTTGATTAAGGAACTACATTAACTTGAAAATTCTCAATTAAGTAAGGTTCTGTCTCCATAGAGCAGGAGGCTTTAAAAAATTAATACAAAAAAAAAACTATCACAGAATTGTATCACTCTATTAGAAAATAGAAAATATCTGTTAGATAATGATGTCTACCACCTTCTCTCTGACAAAAGCAGGAATGCTTCCTCCAGGAGGATTTCGAGAAAGTTAGCCTATTAAATCAAAAACAACAGAGTCACATGGCACCTTAAAGGCTAACAAATTTCATAATAAAATTTGTTCTTTTTTTAATGGTGCCACAACCCTCCTTTTTCTTCTGAGTTGGTGGTTGCTGTGACATGTGTATCATCTGTATACCAATTTTCTTTAAAATGCATGTTATTACACAAATGTGCAGATTTTGTCATCTTGAAAACTCAAATGATTAGTCAACCATGATTTATTTTAAACGGAGTTACAGCCCTAGAGCCTGCTGTAGGCAGGGCTGATTAAAGTTGGTAGGATGCACAGCAGATCACAGAGTGAAATGTCATTTCTCTATACAGAAATTCAACTTTCCCCATTGGGATTGACTAGTGGAGATTGATTATATGTTTATAGGCATACTCTTGCTGAAACAGAAAACACTTACCTGTCACTTTTATATCTTTTGTACAACAGGAAACTCTGAGTACTCTTGAATATGCCCACAGGGCTAAAAATATCATGAATAAGCCTGAAGTGAACCAGAAACTCACAAAACGGGCACTCATTAAGGTTCAGTATAATTTCATTATGTATAAGTTCTCTTCAGATCTTACCTACTGCATTGCAGGACAGATCTAGTTCAATTAGTTGCAATGCGAGACCTCTTGAGATTGGGGTTTGCAGAGGCCAGTCAGCTTGGAGGATACGTATCAACACTGTACTGATGTTTCAACAGGAATATACAGAAGAGATTGAACGTTTGAAACGAGATCTTACTTCTGCACGCGAGAAAAACGGTGTCTACATTTCTGTGGAAAACTATGAGTGAGTGCTTTGAAAAGAGCAAAGCTTGGCCGCTGTGGGTCAGCATGGCATCTTCGTTTCTTCCTCTAATCATGAACTCAGGTGGTTAGTGATAATAGGATTGGTGCCAAAAGCCAAAAGGGAGCCTTCAACATGAGAAGATTTTATACAAATCCAATCAATTTTTTAAAAAATTTAAGAGTACTCCCCCCAAAGAGCCCAATGAGAACAGGCCATGCTCAGTAGCTAATGGATATTGAGCGATGGTTAGAAAAGAAGAAATAGGAACACGTGCAAAGGAATGAAATGGAATATTATTGAGGAGGGCTCAGCTAACTAGAACCGTGAGTAAGGAGCACTAATGGTAGAAGGTGAATGTACACTGAGATGTTTTGTTTCTGGTCTTGCTTATATCCTCTAAAAATGAACTCAGGTTATTGAGTGCCAACAGGGTTGGAGCTGCAACAGTGCCATTGAGGCATCCGCACGCTCTGGTGAAACCCGAGGTATGCAGAAGAGTAAAACGCTTCTTTAAAAATTCCCCAAAATGACAGTAACACAATGATGACCAAACATGTTCTGTGGCCTTTGACAGCCACAGATTGCTGAGTGTCAGTTGGAAAAGGAAAGGGGGGGGGGAGTATGAATCGACCACTGTGAAGCCCTTTGCAGTTTGTACCATCTTGAAGGAGCGTGAAGGTGATACACTTACAACGTTTTGTTGCAGGTTCTGCTTGTCTAATATGCTGCCTAGGCAACATTCCTGTACATAATTATTTTGTTTTAAGTACCACACTCCTATCTATATATTAGAATGCCTAAAGTACAGTATAAGTTACAGGCCACTTGCACTTGTTTAATCTCAGAGACTTCATTGTAAATGGGCTGCTCCTATATCTTAAGAAGAAATCTGTATCAATAATTAGTGATAGAAGAAATTTAAAATCATAATAGCGTTTAAACAGGGAATTTCCAGATATGTCTTTCTTTCCTTGCTCTTACAAATATTTAAGTGTCTTGCGCAGGCAGAGTCAACTTGTTCAGTGTTCACCATACGTAATTTTTTTATTTTTTTTTATTTTAGTGCTCTTAATGGGAAGCTGACGGTTCAAGAGGAACAAATTGCAGAATATATTGATAAAATTGGTGCAATGGAGGAAGAACTGAAAAGAGTAAGTTGGTGGCTCCTTTTGGGAGGAGTAAGGAGGGGGTAATGTGTTTACATTCTGAAAAAGCTTTAGAATGGCTAGATGAAAATAAAGCATCTTCACATTGACATGTTCCCATCTAACCAACAGCATTCAGCATGTCCAGGAATGGACAATGTTGGTAAGAAAAAGGAAACAATAATGTACTTTATTCACTTAATGCAATATATTTAAAGCATTGTCAACTTTTGTTCACGTGAAAACTTTTCTGTGAGATGCAAATTAAGTTTGTTGAAGCTGATGTAACAAAGCAGTCTGACAATATCTCCATTCAGATGCAACAACAAACCATGGCTTGCTGTTCTGATAATCATTAGCAGCAAGCTTTTCCTTACTTGGGTCCCTTCCTTCAGGTGGTCCCGCCCACCTGACAAAGTTCACCCATAGGTGGGGAGAAATAAAGAGTTGGGCCAAAGACGTTCCCCACCCCTGCTCTAACAGCTCATAGTATTTCTTTCAAGTGTTTTTTAGCTGTTTTTGGATTACTTTCAATTTCAGGTCACTGAGTTATTCACAGTTCATAAAAGTGAAATGGAAAAGTGCAAGACAAACCTGCAGGTTAGGGAAAAAGAGCTGGAAGACACACAGAAGCACTTGGAAACAACCAAGGTTCTTCTTGAGGAAGAAGTGTATATAGCATCAGCTTTGGAGAACACAGAAGAAAAACTTCATGGCACTGCAATTAAGGTTAACAAAATTCACACTCCCAAGTTCCCCCCTCGCTAGCACTTGAATGGGCAATACTGTTATAACGTCATGATTATAACTTACGCTGTCGGCGTTGCATAGGTTTTCAGGCTGCTTTCAAAATCTTGAAGTGCATCCCAGACCATAAGAATGATCTGTTAATGATTTGGGATAAAAGTGGAAGAGAATGGTCTACTTCTCTCATGAAGGGAATCCAGAGGGCCAGTGGCATGCACTGTTCATGTGTTCAGGCAAGACTTGTAGAGCCTTTTAGCCTCTCAAGAGTTACCCTCTCGGCTTTGCCTTTTCCTCACTGAAGTATCTTGAACCTTGGGCATAGAAACTAGCCATAGACATAGTGACTGAAGCTTCAACACCCCACCCCTTCCATTTCTCCTTTTATTTTGTTTGGAAGGTCTTTTTTGTTTGCTGCTGTTTATGTGTGTTTTAGCACCATGCTCCGCAGCAAAAGGCACAGGGTTGCCTTGGAATGAAGCTTTGAAGTTGCTAGAAAATAGTCTGTTCCCCAGCAAGCTATCTGAACTCAATAACTCTTTTGAACTTTCACTTCTGGACCCCAGCAATTCCATGCAGCTTGGGCCACCTCTAGTTACAGCACTAGCTTTTTCATGTGTTGCATGTTGGCACTTGCTTAAAAACTGAGTGTTGGACTGCACTGCAGAGTCTGCCCCTGATACCCAAACACTAAACTGCTTAAACGTAGGGGTTTAATATGACCGAGAACACAATTGTGCGAGAGTCTGGACTGCATGGAAGCCATGTGTGAGCAACTGTTCATACACAGGTTTTCCTTTGGGTGCTCACACTAGATGCTATCTTCTACAATTGCTTGTTTGATTTGAAGGTGGCTTAACGTTTGCGACTGGACTTAACTGTCAGGGTTCCTTTACCTTTATCTTTTTAACATCACCTAATCTGTAACATCACCTAATCTGTACTGATTTTGTAATCAGTGTGATGCGAACTGAAAACTGTCAAAACCTTTCTGCCTTAGCTGCTTACTGCTGTTAAAGAAACAACCACAGATGTTTCGGGTCTGCATGCAAAATTGGATCGTAAAAAAGCAGTCGAACAGCATAATGAGGAAGTCCAAAAGACATTTGCAGACCACATGAATGCCTTCTTCTGCGATATGAAGAACTCCATCAATGAGAACTGTTGGAAACACCAACAAATGCTGGACTCTTACACTTCTTCGGTTGGTAAGTGCCTTGTTTCATCTTTCTGTGCAGCAGTCATTCAGAAGACCTCCCTTCCCCTGAAACTGAATTTGGAGTCAGACTTGTTCCTGAAATCATGGGGAAGACTGTCCTGTTGAGAAGTGACTCACTTAAACTGTGGCGCCCATCTCTCTCTCGGTAGGTGATCTTCTGTCTGCCAATTCTTCAGCTTTTGGAGTTACTGCATCAGCTATAATTTCAGCGTTCGGCTCTCTGCAGGAGATGGTTTCCACTGAAGTTTCTCTAGCTTCTGAAAAGATACTGAATCAGGAGTCTCTGACATCTCAAAATAAAAATGATCTCCGGAAACTCTTAGTAAGTATAAGTACCATGGGCAGTAACACTCCTAAATAATTATTGAATTGTTTTTGTAAAATATCATGATTGCTTGAAATGGACAGTTGTGTGGAAATGTAACTGATAATGGCTCTCTAAACCAGGGAAGGAGAAGCTCTGCAGTCAGCAAAAGAAATGACGTGTAGAAGCCACTTACTGATGTTTTGAATGGTTCTCGTTCAGCCTCATTCCCAGCCATTCCCTGTTCCTTGGCAGAGTGGCATCAGGGAAGAAGCTAGGAAAGAATATAGCCAGCTGCTGTAGGGAAAAAGCTTCTGAGTTATAATAGAAAACAAATAATACAGTCATCCAGCAACTGATTTGCTGCAAATGACCTATCTACCTCATTGTGACAGGTGAGGTACTTGGTCATTGGGCATCTTGGGAGTTGCCTTAGCTCTCAAGCACAGTCTTGCTCAATCAGCTGCCACCCTTCTGTACATCCTTGACCATTCTACCATACTGTAGTATAGCTATAGTAGCCATTTCTGGAGCCAGGTTACAGCTGCCCTTGCTTTAATTTTTGAGCCAACATGGCTTTTGAACAAGAAGCCATCGGTGGTTTTGAGCTGTAACATTTCCTTTTCCACTTCCCACAACAATCAGTTTTCTTACTGAACTCAAAATGATTTAAAGTAGAAGAACTGTCTTATACCCCACAATCTACTCTTGGTTCTAGGAAGAGCACACATCAGGATTGGACCAAGCCTTGAGGAGTCTGTCACCTGTGTTGAAATTTGTTCTGAATCTGAACTCTCAAGTTCATGATAATTTGCATAAATATTCATCCCTGGCTGAAAAGGTAATTTTTGAACAGCTTCTGCCATATCCTGAACTATTGTACTCAAGTGTGTGCGAAAGTTTCTTTGATATAAAATATATATAACAGCAACATCAATAATATTTTAAGAAAGTAAGCAAGGTAGTGAAATTCTTTCGCGTTGTGAATTGATGGTGCATTGTGTGTGGATGTGTGGCTGGAGTAATTTTTAAAAACCCTACTACAAGTCCTAACATTGGTGTATTTCTGAACCTTGATCTATCATTTTCTTGTTTATAGATGACAGGTTATAGAGAGGAAATGACTATATTCTTCCAAGACCATTCTCTTGCTTTGAGTAAACTACAGGAGGACATTTCCCAGAAGCTGGCTCAACTTCAGCATGATTGTGAGAGCTTACAGGAAGAGGTGGTGTTGTCTAAGGTGGCCCTTAAAAAGGTATCTCTGCTTTTTGCGGCACAATAAGGAATAGGCCACGTTAGTCTCTGCAGCAGGTTCTCAATGCAATCAGACAGGCAGGCAGAACTGTGACCATGGTTGATAGGCAAACTGGACTGGACAGGGTTGTTGGTTCTGGTGCCCTTCACCTTATGTTTCTAGTTGTGCATTTGCCATCCTGTAGAGGTGGGGAAAGTCAAGTTGCAGCTCTCAACTTCAGGTTCCATTTAAATGCTGCAATATGCAGGAGAAGGGCATATAACACAGCCTATTTAGCCCTTTTTTGTCTTGAGCAATCCATACAAGCCACAGTTCTTTGTATGGGAACTGGAAGTTTATCTGTTATTTCATAGGGTTCATTTAAGAAATAAACACTTGTTTGTGCACCCTGCAGCTGGGGGAGGGGGTGTTTCTGTGCACTTCACTCTCGTGTGCTGTGTTCCCTCTGCACTGCCCCCCCCCAATTTGTAACAGGGTTAGTGTGTTCTGCAATATGGCCTAGATGCTGCTGTGTCATGGATTTCAACATGCTGCCCTCGATACCTTCCTGCACAGCAGTGTGCAGTGAAACCATGTGAGAGCCAGCTGGCTGCACCCTATTTAGGTAGATGAAGGAGTTGAGTGTTGCGCTCCTGAATGTGCATCTGAGAGAGGGAAACAATGAGGTGTTAGCATGCATAAGAGCATATATTCAACAAAAAGGAGACTAATAGTGCTGGAGAAGAGTGTACTTAAATATAGGTTCTATTATCTGTAGGAACAGATGTTATTTTTGAATATGCTTGTCTGCCTAATGTACAACTTGTGTGGTGCAGCAGGTAACTGTCCCCATTCCTAATTCACGAGCTCCTGTCGAGGGCCTGAAGTTACATGCAGCAGAATATTTAAAATGTTTTGCCATGTTCATCAAAAAGTACACTGGCTTTCTTTTTATGCTGTGGCTCTAAAAATCAGTAGATTTGTGTTTTAATTCTCTGCATTTGTTCTAGGCCTCTTCCCAGCTTCTTGCTTCTCTGGGCCTGCTAGAGCAAGAAACCCAGCAGAATCTAAGTGAAGTGCTGGAGAAAGGTGAAATGGTGAAGAAGAGTATTGGTGCTGCCCAAGAAAGCATAACCTTGTAAGGAAGCTCTTCAACTTGCTTATCGCTTAAATGTCTTTTAAAGGTTACGCACATGTTTCTTAGGCTTACCCCGCAATAATTTTGCAGGTAGGCTATGTAGGAGTTCAGATGTGTGAGCCTTCTAAATGCAGAAGTCTGATTCTAAAAATCTCAAAACCTAAGCATGCTTGAATGCAGCACCTAGTAATAACTGACTGACTTATTGTACATTTTTTGGGACTTGCATTAATTAGTTGTGACTGCTATGAACTTAGTAATGAGTAATTGTGGGAGTTGAATGAATAAAACTTAAGTTTAGGACTGCTTCCAAACTATTATCAAATGGTCTAAATTAGTTTCTGAACAATGTGGGTGCCTGACCTATTTTTGTGGTTAGTTGTCCAAAGGTTATATATTTAATAAAACGTAAAATCAGAGAGCTGTTGGTAGTTGTAAGCTGTGGTGTGCCTGCTGGATGAATGAAATAAAACTTCGTGTAACAGAGTTGCCGAAGGTTGTTTCTTTTGCTACATTCTTCAGCCTACCCTTAAGGATACTCATTGATGCTGTCACAATGAAACACTGTATTTATGATTAGGCATTCTCCTACAGAGGGCCCCCAAAATTACTAGTTACTGTATCAAGAAAGGACTGCAGCTCAGTGCTTTTGAACACGCGTAAAGGTAAAGGTACCCCTGCCCGTACGGGCCAGTCGTGTCCGACTCTAGGGTTGTGCGCCCATCTCACTTAAGAGGCCGGGGGCCAGCGCTGTCCAGAGACACTTCCGGGTCACGTGGACAGCGTGACGAAGCTGCTCTGGCGAGCCAGCACCAGCGCAGCACACGGAAACGCTGTTTACCTTCCCGCTATAAAGCAGTACCTATTTATCTACTTGCACTTAAGGTGCTTTCGAACTGCTAGGTGGGCAGGAGCTGGGACCGAAAGACGGGAGCTCACCCCGCCGCGGGGATTTGAACCGCCGACCATGCGATCGGCAAGCCCTAGGAGCTGAGGTTTTACCCACAGCGCCACCCGCGTTGAGCACGCATACACTATATAAATGCAGGAAAGTATCCACAGTAATAATGTGACCTGTTCAACACATAGGAAGTGATAGCCAATGCAATATGCCTGCTGTGTACCATTAAAAGCAAGTACAGTCGTACCTTAGAAGTCAAACGAAATCTGTTCCGGAAGTACGTTCAAAAATCGAAGCATGACTTCTGATTGGCTGCAGGAGGAGCTGCAGAAGCCCTGTCGGACGTTTGGCTTCCCAAAGAACGTTTGAAAACCAGAACATTCACTTAGGGGTGTGCGGTGTTTGGGAGCCAAAACGTTTGAGAACTAAGTTGTTTGAAAGCCGATGTACGACTGTACTTGGATCAAAAGTTTTAATAATCTATTACTAAATCTGTTAATACAGGCAGACTACTGGCCTTGTCAACTCTACAACTTCGCAGCACAGCAGATTAACGCTGCCTCTGAATGATTTTTCACAAGAGATCAGGCAATCCAACGAAGAAAATGTTCAGATATTGCTGGAATCAGCCAGCCACTGCAGGGACCTGGACAGGCTCCTGAAAGACATGTGCCTGGAAACAAATAAGTGGAGTGAAATTGCGGCTACAAAGATGGACTGCATTGTTGATCAACAGGCAGCCTTCCTCAGCACCAGAAAGGAACACCTACAAAGAATATACAAGGTTACTTAGCATCTTACAGCCTAATGACAGACTTCCTAAAAGTACTGTACCACTTTAGGCCATGGGTGGAGAATCTCTTGGGGGTAATGTGTTGGGTGGTCAGGGGCAGTGGTGCGCTGGGCCTCCTGTTTTTTCTTGTTGTTGTTGTTGTCTACCTTCCTGTTTCTCCACCCCTTGCCACCCACAAAATAGGCCAAATACTGTAGGTTGCCCACTCTTGCTTTAGATAGACAAGACCAGTCTGTGGCTAGCATATATAAAACATCTTGGATTGGATAAAATTTGGGTGTGAAAATTACTTGATTCTCAGTCGAGAACAGTTGGAAAGGCTGGGCCTATTCAACATCTAGTATTTGGCCAAGGTTGGGGAGAGTTGCCCATCTTTACATGGAAGAATTCAAACACATTTTGGCCCCCTCTGCACTATACATTTAAAGCAGCACCCTACCACTTTAAACAGCCATGCCTTCTCCCAATGAATCTGGGAAATGTTAGCTAGTTAAGGGTACTGGACCCTGTACTCCACTCACAGAGCTATAATTCTCAGAGTGGTTTAACAGTTAATCCCTCTTCTCTGGGAATTGTAGCTCTGTGGGAAAAATAGAGGTCTCCTAACAACTCTCAGCACCCTTAGCAAACTACAGTCTTTGGGGGAAACCATGGCTGTTAAAGTGGTATAATGCTGCTTTAACTGTATAGCGCAGATGAGGCCTTCTGAGAGTTTGATCACAAGTGGCAGCGCTATCAGATTTGGCCACCTGATATTGGTGAAGGCAGATGAAGTTGCAGTACCCTTGCTTTGAGCTCCAGTTGTGCCAGGATGTGCAATCATTTCTGTGTGCAGTGTGATGTGCTTTCAAGCGCAATATAGCGCTTTTAGAAAATGTTCGCCCTCTGGCCTGATTCTGGACCAACGTTTTCTAGTCAACCTTCCTGCCGAAGCAACAGGACCTGGTTCACATGATACGTTAAAGCAAACTAGGTGGTTCAGGATGAGCATGCAGCATGCTGGGGCACATTGCTGAAATTGGAGTGCTTCATTCCTTCCCCACACCTGCTGCTGCTTATAATTTGACAAAGAAGTCAGGAGACGTCTGGGCAGTGCCACTAGTGGTTTTCCAGAGTTTTAGAAGCCTTTGTAGAGGAGAACTGGCAAAGAAGAAAGCTTAAATATTTTTGCTACCTGGAAGCTAACTTGGTTTTCTGAGAACATGGACCTTTGTATGTATAAAACCAAGCTTAAGCCCTTTTTGTCCAGCATTATATTTATTAATTCCACATTTTGTAAAGAAAGTTCCTAGTATTAAGCTCATCTAGGAGTTTTCGTGAATTAATTAGGGGAAAAAATAGCTGTGTATGCGTGGTGTTTAGATTTCTTACAGTGGTTAGTAGGAACCATATGATAAAAAATGAAAATGTTTACCAGTTGCTACAACTCTGGAGTGTTTTAAGACTTGCATTTTGCTTTCAGGATTTAGATGAGAATTGCAGCTCATCAGTTGCTAAGGTCACAGACCATATTACAGGACAAAAAGATACTGAAGCAGAAGCCCTGAAGAGGCTCCTTGACAGGATGAGGAATGATAAGAATGTGCTCCTGAAGCAGAAAGAGATACTCCTTGAAGAAACCGAGGATGGGTCAACTCGCATTAATGGCTTCCTGAAGGAGGAACTTAAAGTGGATGTCCCGACAGGTATTTGGAGGGAAACAATGAGTCATGGAGAAATCCAAAAGTGTGTGGAATTTAGCAGCTTTTCTGTGCCAAAAGACGGCGGTTTTAGTGTCACTTAAACTTACTTTTGTCCTGAAGGAGCCACCCCAAAAAGGAGAGGATACCAGTACCCAGTGACAGTTGTGAAAACAGAACCTCGCGATGTCCTGCTGGAAAGATTAAGGCAAAAGCAGACAGAAGTCGCAGCTACGCCCAAAGCTCCTGAAAAGGTATTTGCGGAAGTTAGAAGGGGGGAGGAAAGATGCTTCTTCAAATGTGTAATTCTTAATGGCAGGGACACAGAAGTACATAAATAGAAGTGAGATATCTATCTCTCTATCTAATCTATGATACCGCCCTATACCTGCAGGTCTAAGGTTGGTAAGTAGCTGTAGAGCAAGGGGGCAAACCTTTTTTAAGGGCCACATACCAGTAGTGGGCAGGGCTGGAGGCAAAAGTGCACACAGCAAGGAATGAAAGGTTTTCATTTGTCGTGTACTCATGAAACTAGCCTGTTACACAAGCACCTCCTGCCGGCTGTGCATTTAACTTTATGAGGGGGCTTCTATCTGTATTCACTGATATAGCAGGCTTACTGTTGTGTTCCCAGGATGATTTGGAGGAGGAGGATGAGGAGGATATAATAGAGACCAACGGGAGCCCGCTAAGTGAAAAATCCTTCTTGGAGACAAGTGTGTGTATCAGTGGAGGAGTTCCTTTCTTCCAGGTAACTGTTGTATTTTCTGTAGAACAAGAAAATTACAAGGTTGTAACAATCTACAAGTCTGTCAGGACTAATCAGAGCTAGGAGATAGGTATAGTTCAGTATAACAGGCACACTGGAAATGTAGAAGATTAGGGATGTAGTCCTTGAACTCACTGGAACTGACTTCTGAGTAGACAAGCCTAGGGCTGTGCTGTAGAAAGTCTGGCTTCTCACGAAGAGGTAAAGTGAACTTGAATGTGTACTTGCAGTTGTCCAAAACGAAAGTGGTGCAACCCTTGTACCTTTGAAGCATCACACTTTCAAACCAAAGCAAGAATCTCTGCAGAATTTCTAGCAAAAATCCTTAGGCGGCATAAGCTTGTAGAAGATTTTAGATAGAATTGAATGAAGTATGGAATTTGGTACTGGGAAGAGAGTTAATCTTGAAAAGTAGCTTTCATTTTTAAAAACAAGAATCTTACCCTTATGGCTGCAAATAAAACTTGGATAGCTGCTAAAATCAGACAGTGGAGCTTCAGTGCTGTGTATCTCCTTGTCCCGCCCCATGACTAGCAGATGGAGAATAAATACAGGTAATGTTGCAAAACTTACAGGTCTTGGATGACTTTGGAGCAGGTTACATCCAGCTGTATGCTAGGTGACCAACCCGATAAATACAGTTGTCTTGAAACAAAAAACCATTGGTGTGTCCTTGGCTACTAATTTAAAGCTTTTCTAATATCTATCTATTTGTTTTTGTAACTTCAAATGCAAACAGCTTTTAATCTACTGTCTGGTAAAGAATATAATTACGAGTTTCTTTTTCTGGGTGGTGTTGGTGTGGTTCTCTCATAGATCACTGCTAAGACTTGATAATCCACCTTAAATGGCTATGCCACAGAACAGAACTTTTTTGCTGGTATTGCTGGCACCTACAGTTGTCTCAATGGGGCGCAGGTGGCACTGTGGGTTAAACCACAGAGCCTAGGACTTGCCGATCAGAAGGTTGGAAGTTCGAATCCCCGCAATGGGGTGAGCTCCCGTTGCTCGGTCCCTGCTCCTGCCCACCTAGCAGTTCGAAAGCACGTCAAAGTGCAAGTAGATAAATAGGTACCGCTCCAGCGGGAAGGTAAGCAGCATTTCTGTGCACTGCTCTGGTTCGCCAGAAGCAGCTTAGTCATGCTGGCCACATGACCCGGAAGCTGTACGCCGGCTCCCTCAGCCAATAAAGCGAGATGAGCGCTGCAACCCCAGAGTCGGTCACAACTGGACCTAATGGTCAGGGGTCCCTTTACCCTTTACCTTTTACAGTTGTCTCAGAATGCAGATGACTCTCTGTAAGGATGAGAAACTAAATTCAGTATTCCACCTTGACTGCAGCTTATAGTAGAGGTATCTGGCTTTTCCAGTGTTCTCATACAGATGGAAAATTAAATTTTGCAGAACGCATTAGAAAAAAATGGTTAGTGGAACCCTGTTTTCCATATATTAAGGCATGGTTTGCCCAACAAGCCGAAAGAGATGGTAAGGTAGACTCCAGATGAGGAATGCTATTTTTAAAAAATGCTCCCCTATATTTCAAAGCTCCTTGCTGGTAAAAAATCAGCATGACAGGCCCAGACCTGGACTTGAACATTTTTACATTGTGCTAGTTTTTTGTTCACTGGAATTTCCCCCCCTTTAAGGGGTATTGTCCACCTGTAGAACAATCTCTTCTATCACTTCATTTTGCATTTGTTGACCCAGCTTTAAATCATCACTAAGTTGCTAGGCCAGTCTAAAATTGTGATAAGTCTACCTTTCAAAAGAGCCAAATTTCCAGTGTCATCTTCTGTGTGGTTTTGCCAGTCAGTGAACTGTGTACCGTAGTGCGTACCATAAATTTTAAAACATAAAGTGGAATAAATGATCAGCTGAGCTCTTTAACCCTACAGCATAAAAGGAGTATCAAAAAGGATAAAGAGAACAGATCTGCATTGATCCTGGAAAAGACCAGGGAGGAAGATAAAGGAGACCCAACTTTTTCAAAGTCAAGATATCCATTTAGAGTACAGAACTAAGGATGTACAGCATTTGTCTTTGTTTCTTCAATGTTTCACGGCTTATTAGTTTGAGTTATGTATGTAGTACTATAATGTTGGTGTCCCAAATTAGCTGTGAAGAGAGTTTGAAAATACCAGTCTCTTAATAAATGCTTTAACTCACTATTTTTGAATTTTTTTAACACCTTATTTTCTAATAAATACATAAAATGTCCAGCATCGTTAAGCTTATTTTTCTGCAAAAGGAATCAACACACATTGCTGGGTGGGAAACAGGCCTTTTGAACATATCAAACATGTGTGCCTTATTTGTAAATTGAATTAACCTGGGTTTCTCTAACAAATGACCAAAAGCACTTTTAGTATCAAGCCTTCCTCCCCAGATTGGCCTCTGCTCTGATGGGCTTTCTCGGTCTCAGGGATACAATCCTCATACACATAACACATTGACTCATTAAGTGAAGATATATGGGGATGAACTCAACAGATCCTCCATCTCAGAAGAAAGCCCGAGAAGATGTTCGACTAACCCTATTGTATCTTAAGGATCCTAGATTCCTTGGCAGCAGTGTATAGAGTCATCAAACCCTGGAGCTCTGTCTCCTGAGGCTTACTCTGCATAGCACAAGAAGTCAGGTCTTCTCCACAACTGAGACCTGAAGCTAAGCCAGGACATTTGCCCCCTACAGCAGAGCACGCGTGTGGATCTTACCAAGTTGTTCCTATGCTCCTGCTGTCAGGCAAACACTCTCCAATGGTATTAACCTATTTAGAACATTTAAGAACAATTAAAAACATCTAAAAGTATGTATGCTGCCTGTCTTTAGTATCAAGCTCCGATCACTTTTAAATTCACTCTCTCATCGCCCATATTTAATCTGTTGGAATGTTCAGGGAGGCAGGAGAGGATATATTGTTTATTAATATTCCTCCTAACTTGCGCTAGCAAGTTCCTTTACTTAGCAGAGTTTCACATTCCACTTTTAAACGCACAGCGGATAACTGGTTGCAGGCTTCTGTAAGCCTCTATTAGGTTCCTGGTAAGTTCCCTTATATCCCTCTTAAAAGAGTAAACACACCACAATATTGTGTAAAGTATATAAAAGTAGTTTACTTACATTCAGTTCACAGTTGGATCCCTGAAGGCAGACTTAGTTACAAAGTATATACAAGTGGAGCTATCCCATATGGGGAGAATTCCAGTGTCCTCTGTTGGCTGGATGCCAACAGAGCATCTCTAGCTAAAAATTGCTCTAACAAGGGAGGAAGTCAAAAAGAGAGTGCTGCGTGCCTTGTCCTTTTGTTACCTGGACAGGTAAGGTCACACCCACCTCTAGTCACATGCAAAGGAAGTATGTCCCAGCCAGAAGGAAACAGGAAGTTTTTGACTGGCTGGACCAAACATTCCCCCGCATGTCCACTAGGAAAACAAGGAACGTTGTACTTGACTGCTACTTATGTATCACATCCCACACAATCAAGTCTCATTGGTGTTTCAACCGATCTTTCTGCAACTATGCACTGACCGTGCGTTGGAGGGTGCTACATGTGCCCTTTCAGTTCATTATTTCTTTCTCGGGTCCAGGGTCACCAATAGTTTCCAAACGTAGCACTGATTCAGTAATCTGTAACAACAAATATTCAGCATTTGCTCAGATATTCGATTATATTAGGTTCTATCGATAATGTAACTCAATCCAGCAAGCTAGCACCTGAATAGGTGGCCTGAAAGCAGGCAAGGAAATTTTATTACATCTGTTAACGCGGAAGCCAGTCTTGTTCATCCCAGGTTTACAGAAGGTCATTTTATTAGCTGTTATCCATAGCTTATGTTGACAATTGATTTTCATTGTTGAACAGTGAAATTTATTATCTGCCATTTGATAAAGATAATTAAATTGGCTTTATATAGAGTTGCTATTGTAAATGTTATGCCTGCGAAATGCTCGCGTAAAACTGCTGTAAGAGTGGAAATGTGGAAAGTGAAAGCTGCTTTCATTACATTTAATGGCCTCTGAGCTTTTCTGCCCTGACTCTGATTTCACAGGTTATTACAGTGCCTATTAAAACTTGTTTTTGAGACATGGTTGTCCCTCTTGTTCTTCTTCAGGGACTGTCATTGTTCTTTAAATGAGTCTTGCCATTTTACACCATTGCAAAATTGTACAAAGGAAAGAAACGATTCAGCTGTCCAGGTTGGAGTGATGTGTGTTGCTTTCTGGCTAGTTTTTCTACCCAATATATTTTTGTAGGATCTAAGTATACACTTCAGACTACTAGTGGCTCTAATAAAACTGTTCAGGCTTGGTTTACTGGGCTGGTGAACTCTTCCGAGATGTCATTGGCTCAACTTTCCATCTCCTTGCTTGTTAAACACAAATTGTACTTGCAGATCATGAAATCGCTCTTATGGATCATTTTGTACAGAGCAGAAAAGATTGCAAACGGTTCTTTTTTCTGGAAACTTTACCAAGTAAAAAAAAAACACTGGCTGATTTTAACAGCTGATGAGCTGGAACTTAAAGGCTTCTAACGCTGACCTTCCTTTGGCTGTGTTACAGCATAACTACTTGAGGGCAGACAGGATGCATTTGCATCAGGACCCGGATAGATGGACCACAACGTTGGACAGTGGCAATATATAATGGGGGCCTATAATGTAAAGCTTTGAGCCAAGCAGGGAACCTGTAGCCCTCCAGAAGTCATTCAACTCCAACTCCCATCAGCCTCAGCCAGCATGACCAGTAGTCAGGCATGATGAATGTTATAGTTAGCAGGTTCCCCACCTCTGACTTGAAGGACACACCTGTTCGCAGGCTGGGCAAAAGATTGAAATGTAGGAAGCCTGAAGAATGCTGTGAGGTAAAGGAAGATGGACCCAGGGTGGCAGGAAGCATTGTTTAGCTGGGATGGGCACTGGGGACAGCACTGCTCATTTTCAAAAGTCAGAGTTGCGGAGCACAGTCCAGAATTGTTGAGCTAGCAAATCTTCTCAGCAGTCCACTAAGCAGCAGTAGAGATTATTGTTTTTCTGCTGCTTGTAAAGGAAAGGTTGTTTGGTAAGAGGAACAGCAAGCTGATAGGAAGTAAATTGAAGTATGGGAGACATAGGCAGTATATTTTGGGATAGGTGTAAAGTTGAACAGATAATTATCAGGGGAAATCAGGCTGCTGTTTAAATGACACCAAGTGCTGCTTGCACATCAGTGATTTCACTATTAGCTACATATCATTTTAAGGAGAAATCAAATATTTGAGCATGTATTTTGTTTGCAATCTCTGCATCATGGATTTTGTAGTTTCAAATTTAGTACAGCACACATGTTTTGCTCACCAAAAGGATTGGCATCAGAAGGTTATATATAATGATATTGTAGGTGGCTGCTATACCACAATATAAGTCTCTCCTAAGTATGAAGATGGTAAGGCTACATAAAAAAGATGTACTGCAAGGATACAAATGGTTTGGTAGAAAGTCTGTAATATTGCAAGAATGCAGCTATGGAGAGAATATGTACCACTCATTCATGCACATCTGACTTGCAAGCAGAATTTGTTTGCGCCCTAGTATTTTTTTTAACTGCCTTGTACTCCCAGGTTAACCTGCCCCATAACTGGATTGTCAGTTATCCTCCTTGTAATGGTCTCTAATTGCTCAGATGCCATTTTGTACTCTCTTCAAGTGAACAGCCAGGATCCTGTTCAAAGGCAGTGTTCCCCTGCCTCCTCCCTCTGCTTCTCTTATGTTGCAGGGTCCAGATAACAGGAAGAGACAGACAGATAACAGCCCCTCCTACAGATTTCAACGCTGCTTTTAGCCAGAGAAAAAGACGCCAGACAAAACCGAATCAATTAATTTGAATGATCTACTGATTGTCTATGTTAGTTATTCTCTCATTATCTTGCCCAGAGTTTAGTTCAGGCTCTTTAACCTCTGTCACCTAGGAAAAAGTTGGTGCTGTTCTAGGGCATATTCTTATACATATGATGTAGTGAAATAACACCTGCGTGGAAGATTACACTGCAAAGCCCAGTGTGTGCTAGCTGTAGATATAACTTAAGGGTTTGTTTTTAAAGGCCTCCAGGTTCACCATTAGTAGGAAGGACAAATATCATATACACAGCAAAGTTGTCTATCCCAGGACTGGGAGTCCTAGTTTCAAGTGCCCATTTGACCATAAAGCTTGGTGAGTGACCTTTGGCCAGTCACTAGCCTACCACAGGCATGTCCAACAGGTAGATCGTGGGGTATTCCTGGTAGATCCTGGTAGATCTTTGGCACCTCAGTAATCTCTCCCCCCCACAAAAAAGGGGGGACAACAACTGTGGCTTCCTAAAAAAAAGCTTTCAGCCAGCAGCACATGGGCTCATTCCCATATGGGATGAACTCAAACTCTGTTCTGTAGCTACAAGCTTAAGCCTGCCTTCAGGGAACCAACTGTGAACTGAATGTGAGTAAACTTCTTATTACTCTTATAGAAGACTGTTGTGTCTTTATTCTTTTTAAGAGGGATAAAGGGGGAAATTACCAGGAATAACTCAATCTGGACAAAGCCAGATTGGATTGCTTAAGTAAAGAGATTCAAACAAATCTATCAAATACACAAGGAGTAATCGATTATGAAACTGATCTCCCATTGCGGTATTATTCTGAATATAAAGTGCCCTGACATTGCCTGATATTTGCTAAAAATGGCACTCAAGGCGGACAAAACCCAGATTATTTCTAGTTGTTTCCAGGACACCAGATGATAAACGGAATGATGCATGTATGCCTGTAGCTCTGTCTATGTTTGGGCCCTATCCCCATTTAATGCTTCTTGGCTTTGGCGTGATAATTCAACCCACCACAAGAGGTCACCCAATCGCCCCCGGGAGGCAAAGGCAAAGCTTCATAAGGGAGCCTCTGCAAAGTGAAAGTAACTTTCTTCTGGCCAAGGGGCAATTGACATTACCACAATCATGGGCAACCTCTGTCCTCTGAGGTTTCATAGGTTTCTGCTTGTTCTAGATCTATTGCTCAGTGCAACCCCTGATTTTTTTGAGACCATATTTTAACTTGATGGTAAAATAGGGTTTAAAAAACCTTTAGTCCTGCTTCCTGAATTGCTTCAGGGATGCATTCAGTATAGAGTGGATGCCCTCTGGGGTTGGCATAGGGTGAATCAACTTGATTTGGGAGGGCACAGGGTGGATGTGGGGGAATAATAATAATAATAATAATAATAATATTTGTTTATACATACCCCACCCATCTGGCTGGGTACCTATGCATAGCTCTACCCATCAGCCCCCAGTCAGCTGTCAACTGTACTCCAAAACATATGGAGGGCACCAGGTTGGGAAAGACTGTCCTACAGTCGCTAATGTTTCCCCTCTGAACACATTTCACAAATACACATGGGATAAGAGCATGCTTGATACTAATATGCAGAAGCTGAAGAACAAACTCTAGTTCCTGTTATTTGGAATAGAAAGCAACTGGGAACACAAAGAAAATTCCTTTAGAAACTTGGGAGTGTGCAGGAGCTTACTATTACAAAGATGGCAGAAGGAAAATGGAATCCTATGTACATTTCAGAACTGGGACCTGTTCCATTGGGTGATACCTTCAAAAAAAATCCCCTGCTGAAAGAATGACCTGCTTATTCCAACAAAAGATGGCCAATGTCAACCTTCTATTATCTTGGCGTGCACACTTGTGCCTTAGTTTATTTGTTGCTTTTAATTCCAGGCGGATTGGGTGCTTAAGGGGTAAAGCTGATAAACTGGCAATTACAGGAGAAAGTCAACAAGGTGAGATGGCACCACCCAGGCAGGTGAACTGTTTGCACTGGAGAGGAGGGGAGACAGTCTCTCTGGACAAGACAGGCCCCAAACAGCGGAGATAAGAGGATTCCCTTTTGACTACAGCCCCTGCTGCAGCTAAAATGATCTGAGAAGATAAATGGACATTCCGCTCAATAAACCTGTGGAAATACACCAGCTTTCAACAATTGCTAATTGATTTGATTTTCATTTAGTCCACCTTCTTTCCAAAAGTTCATAGAGGGCCATTTGCCCCTCTATTGACATGCCGTTCTGGTTCCTTGGGGCATATAAATTCAATAAATAATTTTTTAAAAAATGCTTTTAGATTTATAGCCTATTGTTTTATTAAATGGGCAGGCTGCAACCTTATCTCGCCTCTTCTATTTGTAGTTACCTTTTACTTATTTTTAAATAGATAACTTTGCAAGATGCTGTACATTTAAATTAAAGCAGCATGCAAAACCTTTGCCATTGAGTCGCAGGGTACAGGACATGGGTTTATTGTGGGGGTATTGTTAGGGAGTGGGCCTGGGGCACTGAGCGATGGGTCTTTTGTAACAGGCCCCATTGGTCCTGCCTCTGCTTTGCAAAACTTTGCATGTAGGACAGCTGGGGGCATTGCAAGGCCACCTGCTGGAGAGACCCAGCCACTGGGCATCTCCATCTCCCAAAGCCACCCTATATGTGGCCAAGGTGTGTCACGGGTTGGAGTGCCAGATCTTTAAGTTTCCCAGCCCTGGTTTATCCAATACTCTCCTTTGCGACTTAAGTGATGAAGGAGGATGAACAAAGGAGAAGAAAAGAGGCGGGGCAATGGTGGGGAAGAGAGGGCTGCTAGGAGGGATGGTTTCATCATCAGAAGCTGCCTTAAGCACTTGGATCACACCATTAGTCCAGCTAGCTCACTAGCTGCCTACTTGACTGGAAGCAGGTATTTCCCATTCCCTCCTCCTCCTTAATAACTAATAATAATAATTTTATTATTTGCTACTGCTTTCTGGACTAGTCTTTCCCATATCTATTATTATCTATATCTATTATTATTATTATTATTATTATTATTATTATTATTATTATTATCATCATCATCATCATCATTATCAGTCTTTCCCATATCTATTATCAATATCTATCATCATCATCTGTCTTTCCCATATCTATTATTATTATCTGTATTATTGGCATACAAATTTAACAACAACAGACAGGCTCACTCTGCTCTCCTGCCCACCTCCCACTATTTTACAGATCCCGACGTCTGTATAATGGC